CTACGGACTTGTGTGGCCCATTGTCGCCAAGCTACGGCTATATGTCCAAAGCCGATTGTCCGACGCCGTCTACCCCAAATTTCAGGGTGTCGCGCCCTACGACGCCATCCAATCGGTTCAGATCCCTGCTTCTGCCTGCAGTCCCGCATGATCCGAACCCGAAGTGGTCCAACCAAAGACGACTGAAGTTGTCTTGCCACTTGCCCTCCAGAACTACGATGTCCATGTTTGTGGTGGGACAGCACAGATGGTCATTGAGATAGATCCCTGCCGCTGTTGAAGATACTGACGAGACATCGTTTTCACCAACAAGTGGACTATGTTGAGGGTCCTTTGTATGAATAGAACTCATCACCAAGTGGTAAATAGGGGTGCATGCGAAACAGCAGTATATTACTTTCAACCCTATCCTAGACCTTATCAGTCCAGGCCGACTTCTAGGTGCAGATGCCGGAATGATTGTGAGCTGGAAAAATAGGTGCTCCTCACCCACGCCCTGGAAAGACGAGCGCTTTGCTGCGGCACGGTTTATGATAATATCGCCAGGTTTGTCTGTTTTTGCTTTTGCGAAGTGAAATGGTTCAACTTTTGGCCTATTGGAGGATATGCAGGAGCAGACCCTACGTGCATAAGTTCGTTTCTAGGCCCCCGCCTCATCTATTATGACAGCACTATCATTCGATGTAACACCACATATGCAGCTTTGAGCAAGCATGAGGTTTGTCCACAGGACTATGCCCTCGTATTATTTTGAAGCCACTTCCGCAATACACCACTGATTCTCATCACTTACTTGCCTGCGATTTCGCGACTTTGCAGCTCTTGCGCAAGCCTTTCATGGATCGTCAAGAATCTAGATCCAATACGACACGGTCATAGTATCTGAAATGGTCTGATGATGCCACTGTCTTTCTATTATGATGTCAGGGGTCACTGGCTGTCCTTGAAATTTTCCATATGTTTGCCAGAAAATGGAGCAACCCAGTTGAATGGGAGCTGGGCTATATGTACCCTGCGACTTAAAAGGCTGCCGCTTTCCCTCTAACTAATGGAAGATCTCTCAAGCACCAAAACACGAAGTTTACCCACGATCGAAATCAACATCCAACGCGAATTACTCTGCCGTTATTCTAGGAGTTGTCAAGTATGTCCTTTCACTTTCGTGCATTACCACCGATCGCTGACTTATGAGCCTCAACGGACTGGCAGTCAAGATACGCTCTACAGCAATGCCGGATAATTCTTCCCTCCATACCATTAAAGCACATGCCACGACCGTCGTCGGCGCGGGTGGGGCCGTTTACGCTGCGGATCAATTGGTGAAATGCTTTGAGGATGACGACGAATCGACCACTTCACATCTGATGAAAGCTAGTGTTGGAGCGGCTGTTGCAGTTGGCGCATATGAGATGCTGAGCAAGGATAATAAGAGCCTCCCGGCATATCGGTCGCTCTTCAAGAAGAAGTACTCTCACCATCATCACCATGAGGCCGAGAAAGCGACTTCCGAAGAAGAAGAGAGGTCCCGATATTCAGTTGAACACGAAAGAACCGAGAAACAACTTGTAAGACGAGAGCGCTCATCATCCCTGTCTTCATCGGCGTCCTCAAGCTCAGCCGAGGAGGAGTCTGGACACAAACGTCGGCTTGCTGAGGAGTTGGTTGGGGCGTACAGCTTAGGAAAACAGCTTCTAGGGAGATAAGAAGCATCGGATTACCCATCTGGTTGCGGATGCAGTTGGGGCAGCCGCCCTGTTGAAGGAGGTGAATTTGCATGATCTCAGGAACAAATAATGGTTGTTTTTTGTTGCTACTGCATTTTTCGGGTTAATGGGGTTATTGAACACTGGTCTTGAACAATACAAAGTGCTTATTATGTCCCTGTGTACCGGCTGTACCTTATCGTGTGTTTTCTGACGGTGATGCATCCACACTCTTGCGCGAATTTCAGCCAGTCTCTCATAATCTAGAGCCTAGTAGAGTATGATCCGGCAGCACAACACCATTCTTCCTCTTGCTCTCTCACGACGCCTATGAAACTTACCTGAGAATAAGGTTGTGTGGGGCAAAATGCCCTGCGGCCGGTACAAACACCTTGACCTGATCGAGTCATCCTGAAATTCCACGAAACTTCACCAGCCGACGTGAGATATAGGGGCATGATTGCTCTGGCTTTGAATTGACTACGTAGCAATTATTTTTTTAGTAGTTCTAGTGGGGTGTTGTTGAAAATTTGCATTGTATAATTCCATTGTGCAAAGTTCTCTAGCACAACAATGCTCTGCTAGAATTAATTAAGCCGCGGTGCTGAGAGTGCTGCAGCTTTCTTCATTAGTCGGTCGGTACCGGTGGTCTAGGCCCTGCACGCTAGACCACCTCTCTGCTGCTCTCAGCTGAGGGTGCGGGGTGGCTGAGAGTTTATGGTCTAGATCGTGCTGATGTCAGGCAATACCGACGATTGTGTGTAACCATACCTATGCACGATCAATCATCCTTGACCAAGTCATAGAGATTGCATGATGAGGAAAGACGAAGCTCTCCAAGAAAGGTCATTGTATAAAGACTGTCCGTCCTCCTAACAGCTCAGGATTTTGGTGAGCCCAACCGGTTATTGAACTCTTGTGTTTTAAGAATCCTTTATGTCAACGAGTACAATGGATGCAAGATTTTTGGACATGATACATCCGAATCACCTGACTCTCAGGGAGCCCGGTCATGACCTACTGCATTCAATTCTTCAGCTTAGAGAAGATCCATGGTTTCGCACAAAATCCCGTCCACCCCATTCAGAGGAATCTTTCGCACCGAGGTTCGATGTCCGCGTCCTAGACGACACTTTCTTTCTCGAAGGTGAATTCCCTGGGGTTGAAAGTAGCGACCAGATTGAGTTGTCCACAATCGACTCCAATATCCTTATTGTTACTGCAAATGTTTCCAGACTCGACGTGGTAACGGAGTGGAACTTGGATAAAGTCCCTAACGTTCCGACTGCTACACCGGGAAATGAAGAAGTATCACTACATGGCAGCGAAACTGGAGAAAGCCTTGAGTCACGTCAACAGATGAAGCAGACCAAGTCTGCGCTGAAGGAGCCCTCCATCTGGATAAGTGAACGAAGAATTGGCCGTTTACAACGGTCATTTTCTTTCCCGTCGACAGTGGACTTCACGACCATGCGAGCGAGGTTGGGTAATGGCATATTGAAAATAATGGTTCGCCAGTTCCCGAATTCGAATGCGAAGAATGTGCGCAGTATTCCTATTGAGAGAACCACATAATGTCCCCTGTATTGGTCTACATTTTCAACGTTATCATTGCCGTCTGTGGAGAGTGCTCTCATCTGTCAATTAGTATAATACCAGATTCAGATCATCGTAATGTTACAGAGGATATATCTGCTCTCTGAATAGACTACTTATAACTGTATTCTTTTGCATTCGAAAGCCGTTTGGATGTATGGAGAAAACTGAATTTCTCATAGACATGGCCTGCCACATTATGAATACTAACTTCGGTCGTATGTCCACTTATGGCCGCTGCTGCCACCATAGGTAGGTATCTTTAGGGTATTTCAGGTATCTTTTCATACACTATTGCACCAGTGAAACTGAAGAGCCTATAGGCAAGATGGCTCTAAGATTACTGACCAAATATGACCGTCTCGACGGAAAATGGAAAACAATCGAGACTTCGCTTCTAGGGGCATCTTGCATTCCAAGGACTGGAACTAGCACCCCAACAGTACCCTGGGAAACACTCCAGGTGCTTGGCGGGAATGAAATCAAGTTTTACCTACGACCTTGGCGAGTAGCAATCAGGGTCCAGGGAACTCAATCTCTTCAAAGAGCGCGCAGGCGGACTTATAAGCAGCCAAGGGAATTGTGGCAGCCTCCTCATATAAGATCAAGTCCGGAATATGGAAGGGAAATAGTTAGGTAAGTGTATCTAAAGAGTGTGAGCTGGTATGCAATATTAGTACTTGCGTGAGTATGGGAGATGTTCTAGACTATATAGCTGATCCGACAGAGGAGGATCTGATTATGGTGATTCAAAAGAGGCTATGAGTAAGGGAGATGCTCCTGACTGTTGTTGCGGGAAGGCCTATATTACTGTTTCCAAAAACAAGACAATTATACTTATTATTAAGGCCATTGCTGGCCCGCCAGACGTTGCTCGCCAGAAGCTAAAGGTAAATAATACTTTCCTTGAAAAAGAAGGTCGAGGGCACTTACTTGAGTGTTGATATTCTCTTCTCTATGGTTGGTCAAGTTCATGCAGTCTTCGAAACATAGGATAACTTGAATATTCCGGGACGTAGGGAAACGTAACAGTCAATCTGTCGTCTAATGGGACCTTGCTTGGGCGCGGGACAATCCCTGAACTCGTTCTCGTCCCTGACAATAATACCGTCGACATGGGTTCCAAGCTCGATCAAGGAGAGCTCTTCCAAACACTCAGCCAGCTTCCCGAAAATACGAGCACCATTGACCTTACAATCGCTGGAAACTCAAGCACCTATGATGGCCAGGATATTGCATACTTGAACGCAGCTCTCTCATCGACTACATTCGGTATGCAACTGAATCTTCTTGAACTTCTTGGATTTTAAGTTTAAGGATATTTCTCAGGGAAAGCAAATAGCCGTCTCTAGTAAGCAGCCCCACCCCGCCTTCGGGGGGTTGGTCTGCCATACCTCAACGATAATTCCCAGCTTAACGATAAATTTGAATCTATTCAACTTATTATACAACCATGCCTTGCGAATCAATGAAAAAAAGAGGCCTTTTATTATTTTTATCTTCCTGCCTATCGTCCGGTTCAATTAGAATTTCCTTATCTGCCTACGTTGGCGAGAAATCGCGTTGTTTTACCTGCGCGCGCTTTGCCTGACGAAAAATCTGTCGCCTTTCTTTTTTACCACGATCCTTAATTCGTCGCTTTATATTAGAAGTAGTTAAACTACCGAAATAGAAGATATTTCTGCGTGATTTCTTAGTAAATTAAGGCTTTCGGTCCCGAAGACGGTTATATAAATTATCTCGAAATTACGCGACTTCTTCAGCGTTTTTTAATAAATTTTTAAAAAGACAATTAACGCGCTGTATAAAACTCCTATTAAATTCAGAATTATTATTAATATAATCCTAAGCTTTGTTTATACTTCGACGCAGTCCTCGAATACTAGAAAAAAGCGAAGAACTAGGTATTGGCGGCAGTGTTGTGTATATCTTGAGTTTTAGAGTAGGATCTTTCTCCTTAAAAAGGGGCCCTATTATCTCGTCGGAATTGAACGGATAAAGACCTTGCTTTCTTTAGGTATCTTGTATAGTATGTTGCTTAAAAGTATTTGTACGAATAGACTTAATTTCTTATAGAAAATCGCCTTTATCTTCTATCTTATTATATACTTAAGCAAGCTTATTATTTTGCTTCCGATAGTAGTATTTATATATCTAAAAAGGCTAACTATTAAGCAGTTAAATAAAATACGTTGTATAAGACAGAAAGCAGTAAGGAATAATATAGTTTAAGTCGTAAAACTGCAAGAATTTGTACGTTAAATAGGATCTATAGCTATCGAAAAATAGGAGATATAGCTTATTCTTATAAAGAAGACAAGATCTAGTATAAAGATCGAAGTATTAAATCTAGTTAAAAGTAATTAAATTAGTAGTATAGCTTTTAGAGAAAAGCGCTATATAATAGTCGCCTAAAATATCGTTATTATACTATCTTTCTAGATGTACGGAGCCTTTAAAGATTAAAAAAGAAGGTAAAATAAAGCTGTTTACAGAGATATATTTAATCGCTAATATAGTCTCCTGTATTTCGCTAGTAAGATTGTCTTTTTTAGCCCGGTAAGGCCTAGTAGTGACGACTTTTTAGGCCTTACCTTATCTAATTTAGAAGCTAGTTTTGTTAAAATTGTAGATATTTCGAGGCGGAATTTTGCTAATATAGCCCTTTAAAACTTCGTACTAACGTTAAATTTCACTAATATCTTCTGAATTCAGGCGCTTTTTCTCTATAAGCTTCTAGTCTACTAATTTAAATTCCTCTGGGAGGTGTTTAATAAAGTAATGAACCTAATTCTTACTAACTGTACGCAACGCGTTGTCTTCTGTATTTTAATATAAAAGCTGATTTGCAGAGACTTTAATTATTTCTAGCGTAGGTATATTATTTAGGAAGTCGCATAGGAGTATCTAATCGATTAGAACCTTTTCTTATATATCGGTAAGGGCTTTATTAATAGATTTTCGCATGGAGCGAGTTGTTTATTCTTACAGATATGCCCGAAGCCGCTAATAAGAGACTAGAAATTAACGCGACAATATTTTTAAATTCGGATTTTTGACGCGTTTAGCGGCTTCGCAGGCTTCAGAGATACGTTTTTCAATTTTAGAATAGGAATTCATAATGGTGGTAGTGAAAAATTGATTAAAAGGCTTTAAATTTATCGTTGAGCTGGGAATTATCGTTAAGGTATGGCAGACCAACCCCCCGAAGGCGGGGTGGGGCTGCTTACTAGAGACGATTACAGAGTATAGAATCTAGCTGCTAATATTATAGAATAGCTATAATATCTTATTCTATCTATTTAATATAGTATTTATTTATAAATAATTTTATAAGACTAAATATAGTTGTTAATTAGACTTGCTTAGTTATTTAATAGTAATATTCTTATATTTGCACGGTCTTCTGCGTGTCTAAGCAGCTTCGGTAACAGCGCATTCTCCACCCGCAATATTTGCAATTATTCAGTGAGGCTTGGACCTGGGCTTACAAACTAGCGGTGGTCCGTCGAGGTTGTAGTTGACGAGCACGAGGGTAAATCATTGATCATGTTGGATTACGGTGGCTTCTAAGAGTCGTTATTCCAACTACTAGTTGTACGACTGGTAGATACCGACGTCTGAACATGACGATAGGTCTGTGAATAGTTGTGCTTCGCGTACTAGGCGCACCCTAAATCAAATGTGCCAGACTTGATATACCCCCATGGGACAGGCGCGACTACACCCGACAACAGCCTAGCTCATTTACAAATTGCTGGAAAGCGAGAAGGCGCTCTGTACTCTCATGCCGTTTCAGTTCTCCATGTTTTCGGCTTATGAGCCAGGAAACGGCATTTCCATAGACTTCCCCCATACGGAATTCGATTCGCCCAAGCTCCACCAGCTCCCGTACCAACCAGGCATGGACCCCAGCCAAAGCCGAAAGAGGCACATCAATTTCGCTCCTAGTGACATCGACATGGTTCTTGATGATAAACTTGAGTGGGCACCATTCAGCAATCTCAGTGAGGACCATCCCAAGGGAATAATGGTCCATATACATGGCGTATGAGTCGGACGGCTCCCCAAGCGCCTTCGGATGCCGGTAGATGTCCAACAGGGGATCTTCGGAGGCCTGGTCACTGATCTCAACCGGGGAGTCAGCACGTGAGAAGGCAAATCCGGTCAGATACGGCTGCGTCAGAGCGTCGGGGCCATTGCCTGACTTCTCTCTATCAGTAAAGAACAGGATGTTCTCGGAGCGGATGTTCTTGTGCAGCCAGCCCGCAGTGTGAACCGTCAAGATTGTCCTGCAAATCTCGAGTGCCAATCTGATTCTTGCTGTAACACTTGGAGGCCTCGTCTTCTTGTCGCGAAGCAGGTCTTGAAGAGATCGTGGCTGGATCGAGGTGTCCGCCCCAGGCGGATACTCGTACAGGAAAACAAACTCATCCACGTCTTCCAGAAAACCGAGACAACTCAAGGTCAGGAAACCCGGATTTTTGGGCAGAGCAAGCAGATTTGCTAGATTCGTGGATCGCAGTCGGAGCTTTGACTTGAGCCGTCCGTGAACGGGCTTGGCCTCGCACAGTACTTGTTTCCCGTCGTACTCTGCGATAAATGAGCCACCATTGCCTTGTCGATTTGTAGGCTGTTTGAGAAGATTCCTGTGCAAGGGGCGAATAGACTCATGGTTGAGTGACTTGACGCGGGCTGGGTCACTGCCGTCATCAGGAAGCTGTTCGCGCATCACCTTCAAGCCAACAGCGGCGGAGAGGTTCGCCTCTCCTGGGAAGTCTATTGTCTTCAAACTAAGACTAGCCTGGACACCCTTCAAGGCATCAATATCATGGCTCATGTCCACGACCGCCGTTAGCGTTCGGTCAACCTGTTGCACAAGCTCCCTCAGCCGCATGGGCTCGAGAAGATTCCAAAGCGCATCCACGATCTGCCTCAAGTCCCGAACAAGATCCTGAAACTTGGACTTCTCTATCATTACCCACCAAAGACGCTTCGGTAACCCAGTCTTGCGCTCAATCAATTTGGCGTGTGCCAAGATCTCCGTTCGTCGCTCATCGGAGACTGCGCTGGCTAGAATGTCCGGGGCTTGCGACCCTCCTATGATGCAATTATCTGGTGCTTGGCTGGTGAGATTTGCAGGCTGAAGGTCAATTGAGTATCGCTCCCTCAGCTTGACACAATCCAGTCTGTCACGCAGCTGCACCATCAGCTCATCGGCGAGCCCTCGATTGATCTGGGGCAGCATTTTGCCGCCTGGTGAGGTCAGGCCTACTGTATCTGCCCATTGGATAAACCGATACTCCTCTACGTTGAGCATGGTTCGAAGGAAGGAGGCGTCCTTGCCAAAGTTCTGCGCGCTCGACAGTACCACGAACCCTTTCACGCAGCCTGCAAATACTTGAAAGGATAGCGATGCCACGGAAATGGCAATCCCAGCTGCTGAAATTGGGTCCATGATGGGCCTCGCCTGACACCTTTGCAGAAAGTTCGAAGTGCAATCTTTTCTTTTTTGGATCTTGACAAGGTGAAATTCTAGGAGCCTGGCTTGACTGGCTTTTGGTGTGAGATAAAACAGGGAGATTTCGATTGGATCCAAATGATGTTTGAAGCGATAGGTGGCATTGACTCGTACCTGTCTGCTCTGTTTTATGTGCCATCCACTAGCTAACCCCGGCCATAATCTGTCTGAGAATCTTCTAAGTTTATCTCTTGCGAGGCGCATTCACCGACTACGTGTTCCAGTCCAATACGCTTACAAGTCAGCCTCATCACGGTGGCGTCCCGTATCCCCCATCTCCAAACACGCCACGGGCGTTTAGAGGACTAAGAAGTTGACACAACAGTGATGGTCAATTTTGAGTGATTTGCTTCTGCGATGCGTGGGAAGCTTTAAAATGGTCAATACCAAGATCGAAGAATTCAGCGAAAAAAAAAAAAAAATTCAGATCCAGCTCATTTTGCTTCAGAATGGCCTCAAATTCCTTCTCAGCACGCCCTTTCACGTCGATCCCTCCATCGTCAGAAGCGGCAGGTGAATCAACGCATCCCTCAACGCAAGCTCCCAGGTCGCCAGCTGAACCATGGCTTGAGGGGGTATTTGTCCCCCATGTCTACGACTTTGTTAGCGTCTTTGGTCCGGCGAACTTCCATGGACCGTCACAGATCCCACCGTTGTACTTGGAGCCCCTCGCAGTAGACCAATCGGTCACCATTGGCCACGGGGCCTCGTTCACTACGTTTAAGAGAGCCATCCCAGCTGCCCCAGAAATGTCAATAACCAGCTCCTTGAACGGGTTATCTATTCGTGCATCTAGACCCCGGGAGACTCGACCCCAACATGTCGTCTACAAAATTGCACGAGTCGCCTTCATGGAGGATGGGACCCCTACACCGCAGACACGTCGTGCCATGAAAGCGGCATTAATGGAACTGTACTCGCTGAGACATCCACCTCTACAAAACCACCCCAACATTGTCAAGTTCCTCGGTCTTGCCTGGGGTGCAAATCACTTTAATCCGTCACATCGATTACCAGTCTTGGTGGTGGAGTTCGCCGATCGAGGCAATCTAGTGCAACTCCAAGAGATGAGAGATTTGGCTCCTGCCGTCAGAAGCCGTCTCGCTATCGACATTGGTGAAGGGCTTAGTATGCTGCACCGCTGTGGGATCATCCACGGGGACGTCAAATCGGAGAATATTCTTATCTTTTCTCATTCGGAGAAGGAATATGTAGCGAAACTCTCGGACTTTGGTTTCTCTATGGTTCGAGAAGCGACGAATGCAGATGTCTACGTAGGTGGAACCAGGCCCTGGAAAGCCCCAGAGGCAAGATCTCCAGTCTCCAGGCATCTCCTCCAGGCTACAGATATTTACTCCTACGGTCTGCTTCTGTGGCGTTTAGCAACGGACGGCCAGGATCCGTTCCGCTTCTGGGTCAGCTCTGCGCTTCAGGGAGAAGCGTATCTCGACGAGCTTGAACAAATCAAAGAGAAGGATCAGCCGGTGCAAAACACTTCACTGGAGAAGTGGTTTATACCCTATATCTTGGCAAAGGGTAAACCTTGTCGAGCAGAGTTGGCCATGGATTCGCTTATTGAAGCATTATCTAAACTTTTAACGGTTCTGGATATGGCTAAGTTGGGATCAGCTCAGACCGGCACCAACTTGTCAACAGCAGCCTGGGAGGCTATCATGCGATCTCTGGAGCTCTGTCTTCAAGCCCCGGGGTCTTCGCAGATCCTGCTTGGGCGTTTCCTGCTGTGGGCACAGGGAGATGTCTTCTACGGGCGGATACCATTCACTCTGAACAACTGTCTCAGCATCGATCCCACGAAGCGAGACTTGCATGAAGCCCTCAACACGCTCACAGGTCATAGTCGACCACAGCTAGGGTACGTATATCTTTTCTAGTAATAATATGGTAGGGATCTGCTTATATATCCTTGCTTGAAAATAGACCCGGCATAAATGACCAAGACATCTTTCTCCGTATGGGCTACGATGTAAGTATCCTGCAATTTTCCAGGGTGTTGATGGTGGCTAATAATCTCCATATCAATACAGCATCACATTCTATCCTGGCAGCAGATGAGAGACCTTCAGCCGGCAGTCCAATCCTTTGTGTTCAACTGCTTCCGTGCTAAAGTTGAGGAAACTTTATCCGCGCAGCAGATCAATCCGCCCGACTGCTTTGTTCTCACTTCCTACTATATCAATGGCTATGGTACCCCTGTGAACATCAAAGAGGCAGAGCGCCTTATCCGGCTGTGCTCAAATCCCAACTTCAACCACCTTCCTTCGCGCGCATATGTATACCGCATCTGGAAACATCTCGATCCAGAATATATTCCAAATGATGCCATGATTGGCAACCTAGAGGTGATGGCATTGCAGGGTTCACGAATGGCTGCTCTTGACCTCAAGGAAGTGGCGCCTGACAGATATGCTGAGGCTGAGTCTCGCATCCGTGACATATTGGCCGGCGTCGGAGCAAACTTCTTCCATGGGAACCAGATGCTGGGTGGTTTCACGTATTGGCAATGGGTACGCACATTTGACAATCAAGAAGTTCTTGTTCAAAACCTGAAGGAGTTCGACCGGATCAGCGATTACAGAGTGAACAAGCGGGGAGACCGTATATTGCACCTGGCAGCTTGTGCTGGCCGAATACAGGCCATCAAACCCCTTTTGGACACCTTCTCAGTTCTCACGATTGATCAGCTGAACGATAAAGGAGAGACGGCGCTGTTATGTGCCTGTCGAGCTGGACAGGTGGCCACGGTGCTTGGGCTACTCGAACTGGGTGCAAACGCTTCCGTTGTCGCCCCTAATGGAGAAACCTGTCTACATTGGCTCGTTTCTTTCAAGGATGATGACATTGATATGGTCGGAGGGGCACTGGTTGAAGGAGGCGCCGACCTAAGGGTTTTTACGCGTGAAAAGGTCGCGTACTCTGTTTTTAGGGCTACAGTGGAGGTCGATCGCCAGGTTCCAGGCACGCCTCTCAACTGGGCCGTACATCACAACCGGGCACGCATTGTTAAGTTCCTCTTAGGCAGAGCATCAGATGCGCGGATTTGTCTCGACCGTGCGACTAATCTTGTGGAGCCCTCCCCACTGGAATATGCCGCTTACTATCATCATGTCGAATGCCTGGAGTTGATGACGGAAGCACTCGACCAAGCAGATGTCACCTATACTCTTGGGTCCATTATCCAAGCCGGCATACACTCTGCAGATACATTTTCAATGATTCTTCGGCATGGTGCAAGGTATAAGGAACAATTGCAGAGGTTCTTGGACTTCTGCCTACGAAAATCAAAAGATAAAGTCTTCATACCGGGAATTGGAGGATTTGACACCCATTTACTCTACTACGCCGTCAGCGAGTGCCACGACGAAGTCGTCGAGTATCTATTATCTGAAGAGGTTAAGAGCTTGGTTGAATCGTTCCATATCAAGTCCGAGGCTAGCCAGTCCCGTCTTGGAGTGTATAACCCAGGCGATATCAATCGACCCGCGCAAGAACACCGGCGAACACCAGTACTGGAGGCGATCCGGTGGAATCGAAAGTCCCTCGTCGAGCTTCTAATCGCGAACGGTGCCGATTTGAAGGCAGCAGCCAAGAACCCTTTCAGCGATGAAATGAACTGGACAGGCTTTCACATCCTCGCTACTGCCGGGCACAATACGGACTATTCAGAGCTGGTGTCGTTCCTTATCGAAGCCGGCATGCATCTCGGTGTTCCCAGTAGCACCGAGAGCGTACCCCATCCGCCAGAGAATCCCTTCCTAGTTGCTGTCCAACACAATGCTTTCAATCTAGCCTCTACATTTCTCGAACACGGCACAGATCCCAACGCCTTGAGCTTTAGTTCCGGGTTGCTTTCTCTGGAATATCCCACCACTGTCCTCGGACATATCGTTGCCGCTTCGTCACAGCACACAATACCACGTCTAAGGTATATTCTCGAGCAGTGTTCACATGGCAACGCTATAGAATTCATCGTGGAGCCCTCCCGGCAATTGAGCGTGCTTCATCGCGCCGCATGGGCACATAAAGGCATATTGCATCGAGCGCCATATGGTTCGCGTGGTAGCTATTTATCCAGAGATGAGTACGACATGGTCGTCAACCGGGATATCATACGCGAACTTTTGCAAAGGTGGGGAGATGCAGAAGATCATTTGAATGCGCGCTGCCAGATTCATAGGAGAACCGCACTTCACTTGGCTGTCGAAGCGGGAAATCTCGAGGGAGCCGAGCTCCTGTTGGAGAAGGGAGCGGATTTGTCCGCCTGCGATGATCTAGGACTGACCGCCGTGGATCTGGCGGTGAAGTTACTGAATGAGTCGGGTGACCGGCACTCTGAGGACGAGAGCGTATATGCTGCTATGATTACCTTGCTTATGGCAGACTGATAGATAATTTAAGGAGGACAGCTTCACCGTTGAGCTTAACATGATACACTGTGGCTCTAGATAGTACAATATTTCTGTTTTATTAGATATTATAAGCGAGATTATCTGAACTTTGAATAGGAACAACAGCGAGCTCATATAATGGGATATCAGATATCAAAACCTAACTTCGCCCTGGAAATGGGTGGTCTTGGTCAAGACAGACTGCCACGCTGAAGCAAAAACGTGTAAATCTTGAAATATCAAGGCTTAGACTTTTGCTCGACTACCTTGGGCGATAGGGTGATGATCACATCATGACAGAAGGTATCGCCTATGAGGAACCGGAGGCGGAACTCGAGCATGCCAAAACCGCTGATTCCGGGACCGTCCCCGGTGGGTCATTCCTGCCCGAAGTGCAATGAGTGCTCCAGACTGCTGAATGTATTTTGCAGGCTGGTGATGTATTTTCCAGATAAACAGCACTCACGCTAATCACCACCTGATCCAAGCGGCATGCATCACCCATCACCAGCAAGGGCACCCACCCGGGTATTGACCGCGTTCAAGCCACACACCAGCCGGTTCGTAGTTGGGTGGATGACCACCAGCGGACCCCGGCTGTTGTATGTTTTACTTTTTGGTAGATAGTTCTTGTTTTTATGTGAGCAGTCGACACCCTAAGTGCTACGCGGCGCCGACTGATCACTGCAAGTGCGAAAGGGGAGAGAATTTGCTCACGCAACATCTGTAGTAGGTGGGCGTAAGTAGGTTGGTACGGAAGGGAGACGTCGATTTGGAAGCTTTGTTCTTGGTGGGTGTCTCGCCTATCTATTCACTCGAATCCACCGCTCTGGAAGATAACAGATTATCAAACAACGCATTCGACATGATAGCATTCTTATCACGAAGCTTTGCGGCCGTCTCTTTCCCATATATAGGGGCTTTGCACACCTTCTGCCGGTGTGGATTCCCAGCGCCAGCATGGTCTTCCACAGCAGCAAGGTCCTTGGGCATGAATCCCAACTGCATCATCACAGTCCCCTGGTCCCAGGTGATATGCTCGTGGTATAGCCGGTCACCCCGGATGTTGACGACAGCCATGAAGGGAATTTCGAGCTCGCGATGCGTGGGAGCAATTCCGGGAATGCTAGGCCAGAATGAGCACGGGGCATGCGAGAAAGTGACCGTGACGGTGCAGGGAAAAAGAGATCTTACAGCCAGTCTACCTCTGTATCATGTTTGAATTTGAAGAGAAACTCGTCGACAATCCGGTCGATGCCGATTGTGCGGCTGATTAATTCCAGGGTTGTGCTTGCAGGGTTCTTCCAGATGAAGTGGTCCCGATAGAAGGCTGTCAATTTCTCGCGGCCGATTCCACCAGTGAGCTATGGGTCGTTAATACTGTCTATCAACCCATGCCGCCTACGGCCATATGCGGGGGTTGGGACTCACCGTTGGCACATGATTTACATACGGCTCCTGCACCATCGTGCTCATCGTATGCTCCACCGATCGATTCTCAAACTCATAGTAAGTATGCTCATCCCAGATCTGCTCGAGATCGAACCAAGGCCCGCCCATCTTCTCTTTCAGAAAGGTAAGATTGCGCGTATGTGAGATCGCTTCAGCGTTGTAGTGGAAGCTTGGTTGAAAGGGGAGGCTGAATGATGCGCTGTCTGTCTCCGGGTAGGAATATTGCATGAGGAGGTCTTTATTACGCTGTAGGTTGCTTGGGGATCTTTCTTTGCCAGCCAGGTGATGAACCGTAGGGACTGTGGTCACCGGAAGGGCTGTAACGTCCGCGATAGTCGCATAGACGATGGCTGCTTTGAGGCCATGAATTTTGGAGAGGATTGGGGCTACCTGGGACCAGGAATGAGGGCCGTATGCTGCATGGATTTAGCTCATTGTACTCCTCGTGTAAGGAAAGGTGAGTCGCAGATATACCAATCAGCCCAATCCGATCTCTCAAATCACAAGCAGGATTCTCATTCAGTAGCTTCACAACATGAGAAAGTAACTCTTCTGCCCGGCTTGGGCTCTTCAAATAAGAGGGATCAATTGCAGCGACTATATAGCTTTCTTCTGCCCACTTCATCAATGGCGAGGGTATGCCATTCTCTATAGATAGAATTGGTCGCTCAAGACCCGGAAGGAGCAGAATCAGACCAGGCCCGGTACCTCGTCTGGACAATGGGAGCAAAAGAGAGACTCCAGGCAGAGGATGGGTTAGAACAGGTTGTGGGAGAGGAGGAACTGGTGGGAGAGAAGTATACGAAGCCATGTTGAGACGCGAGGGTAGCTTGCTTTACTTGAAGGCCACGATGACCAAGGTCGGTCTCTTTATAACAAAAATCGGAAAAGGCGTTATCTTCGACGCTGTAGATTGGATGTAACATGGATGGTATGGGCATCGGGAGCGGAGTTGTCCACGGCAAGATAATCGGATCGGCTCAGATTCGGGTGATGCACTGTCGGAGTTGGTACCCCGAAGCGCGTTCCACCGAAGACCTACAGATTGGAACAACTCCTTGATTTATAAAGGTACCTATAATAATTAAAAAATTATTCGTCTGGCCAGACATTCATCCATAAGCTATAAAAACAAGATAGGAACAACACCATCTCAACCCTACGCCACCAATTGCAACACCTTGCCTACAATGTCCGACCTACAGAACGTTCGCCCCATGTTCGACCTTGCAGGTCGCAACTACATCGTCAGCGGCGGCGCCCAAGGCATTGGGTTCGCCGTGACACGCGCTATCTGCGAGATGGGCGGCAACGTGGCGGTTCTTGACATCCAAGAGTCGCCTGTGCCCGAGTTTCATTCCTTGGGACAGCTGTTCGGGCGACAGCCGATATACATCCAGACTGATGTGCGTTACGAAGCTAGTATCAACCAAGCGTTTGAGAAAGTTCTCGCTGCCTTTGGGACAGTGCATGGATTGGTACCGGCCGCTGGAATTGCCATCGACAAGCCTTTTGTGGACCAGACCTGGGACGAATTTACTCGGATCAATGAGATCAACGTATGCTCCAACAATAATCCCCTCTAGGCAACATATATCACGATTTGTTCGTGTGCTAATGTTTACAGGTCCGTGGCACATTCTTTCTTTCTCAATTGGTAGCCAAGCACCTCCTCAAGCAAAACCAAGGCGGAAGCATGGTTCTCATCGCCTCTCAATCGGCACATATCGCCCTCCCAGGTTACCGGATGGCGGCCTACAACGCCTCCAAGGGCGGTGTCTTGATGTTATCCAAGGCACTGGCTGTGGAACTCGCTCCACACAATATTCGTGTGAACACCATCTCGCCCGGCTTTGTGGACTCGGATATGACTCGCTCGGTCCGAGAGCTAAAAAGCCAAATGGAAGGGGAGCAGATGTGGCTCGCGCCTCCGATGAGGCGGCTTAGTACACAGAATGATTTGACTGGTGCCGTGGTGTATCTTTTGAGTGATGCGGCCAGGTTTACGACAGGGGCAGATATTCCTATCACGGGGGGTCTGCATGTGGGGACGATTGATGGGTTGATTCAGTATGAAAGGAAAGACTGAGAGTGAGGTTTATACTGTCGGAGCGGTTCAGGGATAGATAGTACATGTTTATAATATCTGTATTCAGCACGACCTTGCATACAACTCGACTATAGTACTCCAAAAGTTCACGAATAGCTGCACAGTGACAAAATATGCTCAACTCCTTCTTGACTCAGCCAAAATTATGCCCTTCAGGATAGCTCATCAAATTATCCAAGCACGGATCGAGAAACATGCGCAGGATTTCATTATCCCCAGCTCCAGGACCCCAATCCCACTGCCTAGTAAAGTCGTCCATCAGGAAAGGCTCAACCTGGCTCTGTCCATCAACGGTAGCATTGGTTCCCCCAGACTGCGGAGACGAAGGGAACATTCTCTGTGTTTCAAACCAGCCACCTTCCCGGCTGCTGCTTCCCACGTCAAAAGACAGGATCTTCTCAACTCGCGATGACCTGCGGCGGGGCTGATCGGACTGCCTCTGCCGTTCGTGGGCATCGATGGCGTCGGCAAATTCGTTGAGAATGCAATGGTATTGCCTGGCCTGCGGACTGGTCTGTCCAAACCCGGCCAGAAGTCGACCGGCGGATTGAAACGCGTGACGAATGCTGGACCGTTGTTTATGCGGCCAGAGAAGGGAGAATCCCAGCACAAGTCCGCTGGAAAATAACCAAGCTCTATAAGCGACTCATCAGTGTTTCCTGGCCTCCCAAGTGGGTGAAATGTCCTGGTCTTACTTTAAGATGCACATGTTGCCTAATAGAGAATTGGCTTGAGCGGCGTCTTCACACATCTGTATCATCAGCAGTGCGGCCTCCGTGCACATGGTCGCCAGTTCGGTCTCCCGTTCATTGACACTGTCCGGAACCTTCTGCCCGCGGATATGAGGAATGATCTGGCTCACTAGGAATTGCCTCGTGACCTGAATCACCGCATAATAGTAGATACAAGCCAGATGGATCTTCCCGATGATAGCCCGATTAGTCGCCAGAGTTGGCAGCTCCAGGTGGCTTGCAAGACTCTGCTGCCGCAAATGAGCCGGCAGATTACCGCTCCATTTCTGGAGCTGCTGGATGAATTCCTCCGCATCATCGATGTGGATCCCTTCGTTCTCGGTCGTCTTGTTGACCACGGACTGGAGGACAGACACCACTTCGTACGTCGCGCATAACGTCGCGTAGTTTGGGCAGATTTCGCCGTCCAGAAATTCTCGCTCGTCGCAAATGATGGGAGTGTTGCCTGGTCGACCGAGTATTGTGTTGCAAATCAGGTCCAACACTCGAATGCTTTTGCATGTCTGAAGTCTTGGACAAGTCCAATGTTAATGCGTGGTCAATACTCACAGGAAGGAAATTCTCACCTTGCCTCTCTCTTCTCAATGGGAAGATGCTGATATTTTTCGGGTAAATGCAGTCCAAGAATCATGGACATGTTGGATGCAACCCCAATATACATCAGTGCCGCATTACGGTTGCACGCACCGAGCATGTAAAACGCCATTAGGACAAAGGCCCGGGCCAAATCGACGGTTGGTGCTTGCAGCATGCCCGCAAATGCAGCACGTTGGGCCCGTGTAAAGTACGGAACCGCCAGGCAAAGCTCATGCTGAGCTGCAGCGGCCTGAGCGCCAATCGCAATCATCAAATCCAGCAGGACATGCTGATTTACTTCTGGATCCACAGTGTCCTCCGGCGAGGGAGGACATTGAACCTGTGGATTGGAGCAAGCGAGGATTCTCTCAACATCATTCTCGGTGAATAGATCCAGAATCCCACTCGACTGATTTACTCAGCGTTTCACCCCGAAAGCATCAGAAAAACAGGGCAACTCACAGCATGTAAATAGGACCCAACGAGCCTCCTTTTCTGACTATCGTCCAGAACCTCCTTCGGCGGGGTCAAGGACCGTGGTATGTCTGCCTCGAGCATTCGTTTTGTTCCTGGGTTTTCGGTAAAACTGTTGGGCTCGACATAGGTCCGCCATGTCTGCTGCAGGAACTCCAAGAATGATATTGCGGCGGTGCTGCCAAGGAAGACTGGATACCCCATGGGGTTGATTCTCTTAGCTAACCCTTTCCGCCTTGATGAGTAGACGGGCTAATGGCTAACCTCGTTCATCCTGGGACGTCCGTAGCATGATCGACCGCGTCGAAAGATCACCCGGAGTGGAATGAGGACTCTCAGATAGAGCATCTCCCGGTGGTGCCATCTGCATGATGCGTGCGGCTCTAATTTAATATCCACGCATACAGCATACATCGGGGTGTGGAGCGGCAGTGGCGCCATACCTTCTCCTTGTCCACCACGTCTACCCTCGCTGCACTTCTGCCTTGCGCCGAGAAGACGCAGAGCGCTGCCCGGTCCTTACTAACACATTCCTGGCACGGATGCCGCGCATCACATCTTTTCTTCGACACCCTGCACTGGAAGCAGGCTCTTGCGCACCTTTTGCGGTTTTCTGGTCTCACGCGCGGACGGGGCATTAAGGGTGGAGTTCTGGAGTATTGATAATTGTCGGGCTGGGAATGGATGAGGGATCCGACGAGAGAACGGATGCGAGCCGTCCTGTTCACCTTATAGGGAGCCGTAACCGATCCGAAGTGTGCAGTTTCCGACGGAAGTTGGCCGAACGATAAGCTACCCCGCTTATCCAGTGCACCAGACGAAGGCCCAAGAACTCTGGGGCCGTGATAAGTGGAAGTTAATCTCGATAAGCTATCTATTAAGTCCCAGTGCGGAGATGGGAGCCATCCGACAGCTTGCAGGCAGGATGGTGAATTTAAAAACGGGTTCCTGGCCGCTGAGGAGGTTTGTCTAAACAAAACCGCACTGACTGTGAACGCAGTGAGTGATACTATAGAAAGCGAAACGAAAACATGTCTGACTCTGAGCGTCTGTATGACTTGGTGGTGGTGGGAGCAGGTATAGTCGTAATCATACCCGATTCATAGTACTGCTGCTGACGATATACAGGATGGTTCGGCATTGCAGCCGCCAAGTCATACATTGAGCTCCATCCCCAAGACCAAGTGCTGGTGCTGGAAGCCGAAAAGACGTGTGGCGGTACCTGGTGTGAAGAGCGCCTCTACCCAGGACTGAAATCAAACAACATGGTCGGATCTTACGAGTACCCCGACTATCCCATGGATCACAAAGTATACGGAGTGAAGGAGAACGGGCATATCCCGGCGGCCACCCTGCACAGATACCTCACCGACTATGCGCGCCATTTTGGTGTGCTTGCTCGAACCGCCTTCAACACCACTGTCTTGTCCATTGAGCCCATGGGGCCAGACGGCTGGTCGATTGTTACATCCAGCGGCGGCAAGGAAGGTCGCTTCTGCACAAAAAAGCTCATCATGGCAACGGGACTTACTTCCGAGCCCAACATGCCGACCTTCCCCGGCCAAGAAGAGTTCAATGCCCCCTTGTTCCATGCTAAAGACTACTGCCGTCAAGCCCCTGCCACCAAGTCCGCCAAGAATGTTGTGGTCGTCGGTGGTGCAAAGTCCGCCTTCGATATCGCCTACGCCTTTGTCCAGCAAGGCGCCCAGGTGGACTTGGTGATCCGTCCCGATGGGAATGGGCCCGTCTGGCTCTCGCCTCCGTTTGTGACCCCCTGGAAGCGGAAGATTGAGGAACTCCTCCACACCCGCCTCGTGACATGGTTCAGTCCCTGTCCGTGGGGCAACGAAGATGGCTTCGCCCCTGTGCGGTACTTCCTGCACCAAACCGGCGTCGGTCGGTGGCTGGTACATAACTTCTGGCACGCGCTGGGCTCCGATATCATCGCCCGGAACGAATACGACTCCCACCCGGAGACCCGCAGGCTCAAGCCATGGTGCTCTCCGTTCTGGGTCGCCAGCGGGCTCAGCATCCATAACTACGAGACCAACTTCTTCGACTTGGTGAAGAACGGCGCCATCCGTGTCCATGAAGCCAACATCGTCCGGCTCCGCGAGAAGGAGGTCCACCTGTCAACCGGCAAAGCCCTCCCCGCAGACGTGTTGATCTGCGCCACGGGGTGGAAAAAGAGCTCCTCCGTTCAGTTCTTGGACTGCGAATTGGGCATTCCCGGTACCGACGACGAGCGTGCCGCCCTCTATCAGAAAGCCGACGAGAAGATCCTCGCCGACTACCCCGATCTGGCCTCCCAGCCCGTTCTCCGCTACGAGCCGAAAGCGGTCGACCCACTCCGCCTGTACCGCTTCATGGTTCCCATCGCCTCGTACCGGCAGCGGAACTTTGCCTTCGCGGGCGCCGTCTCGACGGTAAGCACGTCCACCTGCGCAAGTATCCAGGGACTGTGGATCTCCGCCTTTTTCGACGGGCTGCTGGAGCGGGACGCCGCCACCCCGGCAGAGGCGGCGGAGGAAGCCGTGCTGCATTCCCAGTGGTGTGTTTGGCGCTATCCTAGCGGCTACGGGCATTCCCTCCCGGACATGGCGTTGGATGTTCTACCGTACTTTGACTTGATGGTGCGGGATCTGGGGTTGAGACACCATCGCAAGACGAGCCCTTGGGCGGAGCTGATAGAAGCATATAAACCGCGGGACTATATGAAGCTCATGGAAGAATGGAACGCCTTGAGGTCGCGGGATGGGGATGGTGGGGTGAAGACAGTCGCTCTGTGATTTAGGTACATGTGGTTCGAGGTTAGTATATAAGGGACTTTGATTTGCTTAAGTATAGTCGTTAAATAATGAATGTATGTTTAACCTGCAACATAATGGTCATCTCAATCTCCGCTAACATGTAATGGACGTTGCAAATATTTATCTGAACAACAAGACTACTGCGCAGCGCGAATTAGTACTATGCAGAAGCACTCTTATATATCCGTGCCGGGTTCTTCTACCTGAATATGTTCTAGTTGGATTCATATTGGGAGCACCAATCTCTCGATTCTCTCTTGAAGACGAGGAACTATATCATAATATATGTTAGATGATTGGCTTTGAGCAGCAAGATACCTACCGAGCATAAATCTACGAGCACCTCGGTGTCTGCGTTTCTGGTCCTAGTTAGTGAGCCGGTCGCGGGACAGAGCTGGGGGCGGGTGACTGGGGAGGTTGTCTTATTCCTGCTGCCTGCAGTAGTGCCAACACTAGGCTTGACTAGTTACGACCACTCGATGCACAGTCAGCGTATGCAGTGTCAATGGCCCCCACGCGATCGCTGTTGAGTCATAGTGGTGTACCCAATAATGTCCCATACGGCGCTGAGCCTCAACCCCACAAGGCACCGCCTGGACTACTTAAATATCACGTCCTTCTCACATCCACTCCTTCTTTTCTCTCCAACACATCGAAGACGAACATCAAAATGGCCTCGTCAGAGTACTCACAAACGCTGCAACATATCACCGATGCGAAGCTCGAGGAGCTCTCCATCAAGCGCCAGATATTCCTGGAGCGCAAAGCGTACGCCCTGCAGACAGCCGAGTCTCTAGACTCGCCGATAGCGAAGATCCGTGCCCTCGCCGATGGAGTCAAGTCGTGCTTCAACATCACCGTTAAAAACGGCCGCGTGGTGGTGGGTTCGAGTAATATTCATCACCGACAACTCGAAGTAGCCCTTGCCAACCTCGACCGGTTCCTCAAACAAGCCGAGTATGATCCTGCAATCTCGCCAGATATGACCGAGCGCTGGCGTCAGTCGCTACTCCGCTATCTTGACATCCAGACCCTCAAATACGAATACGCGACGCTCTTCGCCCAGCTCACCATGGAGTGGTTGTCGGTCAAGAAGAACCGGAGCTCACAGCCCCTGGCTGCGTCTCAGGACGACTTTGAGAAGCTCGCGAGCACTGCCAAGATGGAAGGCCGACAGGCGTGGGAGAAGGTCGTGTTCACTCCTGCTGGCCATGACGCTGAGACTATCACTGCTTTCCTCACAGAGCTCTTTTCTGGAATCGGCCCCCCTGAACAGGAGGGAGAGACAGATCAAGCACGAAGCGTGGAGAAGACGTTACGCGCACTCCGGGACAAAGTTGCAGCCTTCGAAAACGATCTCTCCCTGGGACAGATTACGTTTGGAACTCTCAACTGGGTGATCAATGGGCTGCTGAATTCCGACTTGGTGACGGACAAGCAACGGGCGGTCTTGCGAGGATTCCAGAAAGACGACACCGTCCTAACGGAGTTGGCCGACGTGCTCAACATGCGGCTGGCCGGCCTACATGCGTGGACATGGGGGTCTGCTGTCAACGTCGAGCAAAGACGCCAGATGAATGGGACATACCAGATCCGCATGCATGAAGACCTCATCCAGGCGATATTCTTGCAATACCTCGGTGTCAGGTGGTCCGTATTTTTCAAAAGCGCCCTGCATGACTTCCGAAAGACGCGCTATTACTGGAAAACCCTGCGATCCCAGGTCCCGGCCATCGATAAAAAGCGTCGCGAGTTCTTCCTCGACAAATGCAGTGATAAACCCAGTGTGCAAATCACCAAGGAATCCATTCATCGACAGGCGTATTTTGTCTCGCAGCTGCTCGATACCGAGTTCCAAACCCGAAAGCAGGAGGAAGGCGAAGAAGAGGCCTCCTCTTGGGGCCACGCCAAAAGGCGCCGCACAATGCAGACCGCACGCATAGTACAATCACCGGCGGGAGCGATGAGATTCCGCAAAGCAGCCAATCCCGCTGAAGAGGAGGAATTAGCAGAATCTGATGAGGACATGGGTTTTGGTCTGTTCGACGACGACAAGCACGTCACGGCTCACGACCCGGATGCCACCTACGATGACATCTGGGGCGCGAGCGTGAAGTCACCCGCCAACCAGTCGCAGGCCAAACAGAACCTGTTACTCCTCTTGAGCGCAGACACCATCATCAACAGACGGCTCCATGGGGAGATTACCTGCTTCCGGGCCCAGTACGAATCCCTGTATCCGAGTCTGCCTCACTCCACGATTCTGGCAGTCCTCGGCTTCCTCGGCGTATCGGAAAAGTGGCTCAGCTTTTTCGAGAAGTTTCTCGCTGCGCCGTTGAGGTTTATGGATGAGCCCGATGCGGAGCCGCGAACGCGCCGACGGGGAACCCCGGGGTCGCACGTGTTGAGTGAGGTATTTGGCGAGACCACACTCTTCTGTCTTGACTTGATGATCAATAAGGAATGCGACGGCGAGCTACTCTGGCGAGTCAACGACGATATGTGGTTCTGGTCCCGCAATCAGGAAACATGCGTGACCGCGTGGAAGGCTATTCAGCGCTTCAACGAAACTATGGGCATTTCCATCAGCGCAGACACCAGTGGCGGTGCCCATATAACTGCGGAGAAAACGGGGCCGAAATCGACCCTCCACCCTGTCCTACCGAAGGGCAAAATTCGATGGGGAATGTTGTACCTCAACGCCGAGTCTGGAAATTTCGAGATCGACCAAGAAATGGTAGACGAGCATATCAAGGAGTTGCAGCGCCAGCTGAACGACAAGCAAGGCAGCATTTTTGGCTGGATCCAGGCCTGGAACTCTTACGCATCCACGTTCTTCACTTACAACTTTGGGATGCCGGCGAACTGTTTCGGTCAACGACACGTCGACATGATGTTACAAACGCATGAGCGGATTCAACGCAAGATATTCTCTCTGGGTCCGGAAGGAGGTAAAGGGGACAGCAGCGTGATCACTTACCTCCGTGACACAATTCAATCACGCTTTGGAACGGAGAATCTCCCCGATGGATACTTCTTCTTCCCGATCGACCTCGGAGGACTGGAGCTATCCAGCCCATTCATCAACCTCGTTGCCCTCCGTGATTCGATCGTGTCCAACCCCGACTCCCTGCTCGACGATTTCTTCGAAGCAGAGAAGAGCGCATACGCCACCCTCAAGCGACGATACGACGAAAAGGATAAAGACCGCCTTAGCTACCAACGTGGTTATCGCCCTGAAGATGCGGACCACTTCATGTCGTTCGAGGAATATACCCGTCACCGGGAGTCTCTGGACTACGGTTTCCAGCACCAGTTGGTGTGGGTCTATGATCAACTCTTGAAGCGGCCGCAGCAGGAGGAGATCTGCCAGGATGTCTCCGGACCCGTCACTTTAGGTCTTGGTCAGCTGGCTCTGCAGCTCAATTTATCTGGGATCCGGTCGGACTGGAGGATGATGTCGTCCTACTGGAAATGGCTGTCGCAGCTGTATGGGCCGGAGATTGTGGATCGATTTGGTGGGTTCAATATCGTCGACCCAGGGTTGTTGCCCATTGGGCTGGTGAGCCAGTTCCGCAGTGGTAGGGTCAGTTGGACGGAGGAGTAAGACGCATTGTGATGGGAGTGATTTTGGAGCTCTTTTTGATTGTCAGGTAATGCTCATGCGGTGAAAAAAGGTGTCAACCTACATATCCTGCTACTACCTACCTACCTTCCTGCCTGTAGAGGTGGTTATGATTATAAAAGGCTTGGTGGTGGCTCGCATTCCATGCTTTTACAACTAGAGTCATTTCCTAACATCCAGCAATAGAGCGGAGACCTGGACGAGTGTAGACTCCAACTCGACACTCTGACTAGTGAATTCCTACCTGGTATACTGTTGTCTATTAAGACCAGAGCGGGATTTAGAAGTCTGGTCCACCTCCTTTTGCCTCTCTCGTAGAATACCCCAATAAACGTAGTTTAGAGTGCGTAACCCTTATGGCTACATAGTTAGGAGGGACTTGTCACTTGACGCTTTCTGCCTATTGAACAATGGCAAGGTGCATACGCCAGGATGCTCGATTGTTTTACAAGGAGACATAGATAGACAATCAAGATAGGCGAAAGCAGCAATATTCCAATAATGCTGGTAACTATAGAACATTGAGACAGAAGTCGGACTAGCTCATGTGGCTATTACCAACAAGCCGGCGCAATCTTATTGTGAGGCATCCTTCTGTACTAAATATATATATCCGTCTGAATGAACGAAATGCAGTGCCTTCAAATTAAAATATAAGAGAAAAATAGCTGCTCTTCTACAATGAATAAGAGGCCTGATACCTAGTATACGGTACACCTCCATTTGCCACGCCTGGATATATTAGCTAGAATGCTATTCAATACCTATTACCTACCCAAGTTTACATCTAGACATAATCTGTCTTCCTATATCATTCTACCTTTCCATTGAACTGACACATACGACCACAGGGTGTGGAAAACAGGGCTTCCCGTCCGCTCAGCCGTACTTAAGCCACACGCCGGCCGGTTAGTAGTTGGGTGGGTGACCACCAGCGAATCCCGGCTGTTGTATGTTTTTATTTTTTTTTTATTATTTGGGTAGCACCCAAGGTTTGTAACGGAGTTCGACCATATCTACCACTATTAGGATCGGGATTCAACAGTCGCTTGATGTCGGCCTGCGTTCCGCAGCCCACCTTTTTCCAACAATTTCAACACGTAGTACACTACAATCCACCATTCCGATGGCTCGCTTTCACCCCGACCAGCTCGACTTAGGGAACGCTCAAGCGAGTCTGCAATCCTCCTCCAGGGCTGTCGATACTCTTGCTTCATCTGATTGATAGCCGTTCTTTTCCACCGCAAGTATTTCCCATGTATTATGCCGACTATATATCTCAGGTTGAAAACGACCAGGTAAGTCGCAGCTGACACAGACACCATGGTGCAGGCCAGCGCCTTGTAACTGAATTCGTTTGTTGTGCTCCAGAGAGACTAAACGAGTTAGAAAGACCAGGTGAGCGTCGCTGCGAACTTGCAGAACAGCTTACGGTGCAAAATGATAATGGCAAGTAGAAAATGCTGACGAACGTTAGAAGTTGGACATTCTCTCCCAGCCGTGTCGATGCCCTGGCGCCTAGAATACTGCTGGCCAAGAACACCTGTTCGCATCGGTTAGCCACGAGCTAGGCCTGTTATTTACAGGAAGGCGAGGGGCTCATTCCTTACCCCTTCACGTAGAGCCAGTGCTCTAGACCTCTGGTCCTTGAATCCGTTTTGCATATAACGGAGCTTGTTGCGCATCTCGTTACATCTCTCGATTTTCCCGCATAGTTTGTCTTTGTCTGCTTCGGTCCACACTTGGCCCTTGTCTAATGACGGCCTGATAAAGTGGTCCAGATAATTATCCCACGCAATTATGTTTTGTTCAATCATGCTATGAACTTCGTAAAGGGTATTGACAATCCAAGAGAATTTGAGCGACTGGGAGCAGACTTCATCATCTAACAACAGGTCATTGTGCAGTAGGGGATTGAATATTTCAGCACCATTGGTGAACAGGTAGTCGATGTGCGATTTAAGACTCTGAAAGCCGTGCCAGGACCGTAGCAGTCCGATTGTGATCAGTCTGACCATGGTGATCTGCAACTTATCGACCTCATCATCATATGCTTGTTGTTCTGGGAACTTTACCGAGTGCGGAAGCGATGCCATCACCAGGATCGTCCAATATTTCTGATTTTCGGCCATTTCGTGGAGGCTAGGATATTCCTGTAGTGCGCTCTGCCGACTATCTTCGGGGATACCATAGACCTGCTACCGGTCAGATCTAACCAGTCGTTTCCAATTTGGCGTCATGTGCACAAAGAGACGGTTAGCAAGGCATAGGTATTACCGTAAAAGCTTCCTGGAGGAGCGTTCGTGGCGATGCCCACTTTTCCGTGCCGTACAATACTCCGTTTCTCAGACCTAAATGCGTATTCGCTCTTGGTGGGTTATGATCAGACATCTCTGCTACTTCAAACCACGACACTTGAAATGCATATCCGCTGGTCAAAGTATGGTCGGCGATACCAAAGGTACCTTGAAGGTGTTCCCCGATCAGCCAATCAACCGAGCTGTCAAACAGCACGGGGATCTGAGCTTGTTGGGTCTGTTCAAATCCTTTCCTTGCACGGTACCACATGCCGCTCGGTCTATTAAGACCACCGGTGCGGTCCAATGCAGAGAGACCTTCTAGTACACTAGCGACCCATCAGCGACTCCCGCGCGACGAGTGGATAATGTCGCAGGTTCCTACACAAATCTTCTCCAAGGTGCTTTGACTCGGGGTGGGCAGGTGTGGCACAGTTTGTGGCCAGCCGCATGTGCATGCCACGGCTCCGGCCACTCTACCGCATCGCTGGCGAAGTTTCCACTGGGTACTGGATTTGTATTCAGGTCAAATGATGTGCTGAGGGTGTAGACTTCGAGATTCCCATTCAGGTCAAAATCTTTGATGCATAACTCCCCTGCGCAGTCTTGGAGCTTGCTGATGAAATCGAGCATACTTCTGATTTCTTGCTCGTCATCCGTATTAACTCTAACAATTAATCGGTGATCGACAGGGGCTGAAGGCAATGATCCCAATGCCTTCAATAACGACTCATGTGCATAAGCGGATGGCCTGTGGAGGTTTGGTTGTCCACAGTTTGGGGGTTCCTGATTAGGGAGAGAAGTGGAAAGAAACCAGGAATCCCCTCTCGGGACGTAGTTGAGAAGTTCAACTGTGTCGTACCGCTGAGAGTGCCAATACCCCATCGGCGAAGATTGCCCATAATGGACTCTGCGTTTGGTGGGAAGCATATTGGACTCTGATCTTGAAGTTTCACTAAATAAGTGTAGATGGTTGAGAGTGCCTAGCTCGCACACTAATGCTGGACTTGGTGTGAGTTCAGGCCCTTTAGTAGCAAGGCTGAGGGTGGAATGACACGTATGCGACCTAAATATATCAAGAAATTTATTGGCAGGCTCATCCAACAATGAAATATCTGGATTCAACGGCAGTGAATAAAGCTCACACGCATGTATACTCACAGTAGACCGTACTAAACCGTTTCAAGGCGGAAGAATGCCGGCAAAGGATAGTTTGTCGTCCTCCAAATACAATTCACGTTATCTTGAAAACCAGAGGACTACCTAGCTAATGTTTGAGAAGCGAATGCTGGAGATTGTCAGCCAGCAACCTCAACTGGTGCCAGCATAGACCCACCATGCAGGTTTGCTCCCCAAGTACGTGGCATTCGAAAAGAGGAGCATAGGCACCAAAGGTACCTGTGATTGGGCAGTGATATTTTGGTGTATAGTCGGTTTTATGCTGTGTTCGGAGCATGATTGGATTGTGAGCTTGGGATGCTTTAGGCGAGGACGCCACGGCGCATAGAATACTGTTCTGTTGTTCGGCGTCAGCGGAGTCCTCACTGCACTATAGCTCATCCTACTATAACTTATATCTCCTTGTGGCTTCCCAGGTTTCATGCTTGCAGCCTTCTCATACGCCTGAGGGAAGAGCTAACCAACATCGCTCCTGAGTTCGGGATATGACAGTTTAAATGAGGCTATCAGATATATAATTTCTCCGATTCCTCAGCATGGGCAGTCCACCGAAGCGGATATGCCCATTCCAGCCACAGAAAGATGGCCCTGGAGAAGCCTCCCCCCAATGCACTCCGCTTCATCAACAATGGCATGTACGAAGTCATTCCCGACGAAGCCCTATGCGACGAACATCCTATCGGCGCTTCCTCTGACGGCCTCTGTCTCCTCTGCCAGCACATGGTGTCGCCGATTTTTCTGGCGGTGCTTAGTGGCAACCTTGGCCCCGGCCGATCCCACTTTAACCACCACCAGTGGGTGCAGCTGAAAAAATGTGCTGCGCGAGACTGTCTTTTCTGCCGATATCTCGTGGCGCACTTCATTGACGGCGAGGCCGAACTGGAACGCTACTCCACAACAGTCTTCTGGGAAGACGGGAATTTTGCGCGCCATCTACGTATTCGCGCGCCAAAGTCCAGTCCCTACGAGCAGGGCCCGCTGGGGCCGTGGGCTATTCGTTACCATACACCGCTAGATCAGCTAGATTATTATGCCAAATGGGCAGCGACGATGTACATCCATCTCCAACCGTGTAAGTGCTTCTGCAGACGTCTTTGGCTACTGTTTTTATCCAACGGTTGACTGACGGGACAAGCGGATGGCCGAGACATCAGCGAATACCTTGACGGTAAGAGCGAGGCATCAGCGCGACGCATCAAGGCCGCCTTGCGCTCATGCTGCGATTCTCATCAATCCTGTGGAACGCGAGACCCTCCTCTCCTGCCGCGTCGGGTCCTCGACGTGCAGGAGATGCGGCTGCACATATCCCAGCCCAACCAGCGCGCCCATTACACAGCCCTGAGCTACTGCTGGGGCGGGCAACAATCCTTCACAACCACAACCAAGACGTACTCCTCATTCCAGGACCGAATTCTCCCTCAGGACGTGCCCCAGACCCTCCAGGACGCCGCCATCGTCACCCGCCAGCTCGATCTCCGCTATCTTTGGATCGACGCTCTCTGCATCATCCAAGACGACCCCCTCGACGTCGCTATCGAAATTAACTCCATGACTGACATATACAAGAATGCAACCGTCGTAATCTCCGCCGAAGCCGCGTCCAGTGCGGGAGAAGGCTTCCTCTCGCAGCGACTTCCTTCTTCCGCCATCGCATTTCCCATAAGTTACTTCTCCCTGTCCACCGAAGACCTGACCGTGTCCATCACAGGACCGAGGCCAGAAGGGAAGAGATATGCATACCTGGTCCCAACAGATCCACGAACCCCAAGCGCCCTCTCCACGCGCGCCTGGATCTTCCAGGAATTCCTCCTCGCCCGTCGCCTCCTGATCTTCACTCCCCACGGCCCGCTATGGATCTGCCAGCAGAATCCCGATTCCTCCTCTGACTTCAGTGTCACTGATCACGAGCAGAATTGGCTCTGGCGCAAATACCGCGACGCAAGACAAGCCCTCTGCGAACTCTCCCAGCCCCCGCCCCCACCCCCAGAAAGGCACCCAACCGCTTTCTACCCGCAGCGCCTGATCTGGTCAAAACTTGTATCCACCTACGCCCCGCTCTTGCTAACCTACGCGCGCGACAAACTCTCTGCGATCGCGGGTATCGCGCGAGAGTTCCACTCATGCACCGGGGAAACCTACGTCGCGGGGCTGTGGGCAACGGACCTCCTTTTGCAGCTGGGGTGGTGGCGCGACGAGCTGCACCACAAGCAGCATCGGGTTCTGGATGCAGAGATGCAGATCGTCCCCTTGCAGGCTGATGTTGATGGCCACGTGCCGAGCTGGTCGTGGGCGAGTCTTCCAGGGAATGTCGCGGGTCTTAATGTTCCACATGCCTATCGGTATGAGGAGGAAACGGCACTGCGAGTGCTGGAGTGGCAGGTCGAACTATTGCATGCAGAGAATCCCTTTGGGGCTGTCAAGGGTGGATTCTTGCGCGTCGAGGGGTTTGTGTTTGACTTGACCTACTTGCATATTAACTGGAATGAGACGTCGGGGACGTTTGCCTTTTTAGATTGCGATGGATCACGGTACTTTCCTCGTGGTAGAGCCGATTTCAAGGGGTTGTTTTTGGGGGAGACTCCGTTAGGGGCGGGGTGGGGAGGTGGCGCGGATGCATTGATTATTGACAAGGTGGAGGGAAAGGGAAATGAGGATGGAGATGAAGTGTATCGTCGAGTTGGACATACATCTTTGTCTTTCTGTGCCGGGGGCCGGCTGCAAACCATGCTGGAGGGATTGCAGATGCGGCGATTGGTTTTGATATGAGTATTTATACAGCAATGCCTGTTAAACTTAAGTGTGCAGCCACTATCACCAGTTGGTATGCTATAAATTGCCGCCGGTCCCGGCACATAGCCCAATCCCATCGCAACTTGGATGATCTTGCTCCGTTGGGCTCGGATGCGACTTCTCATAAAATATGCAAAACACTCATTGCTTCCAGTCGGTGGAGGAGACGCTTTTCCAGAAACGAGAAGGCTTTGGCAAACGTATTAAAGAGACCCTGAATTTGTACTAGGCGATGTATTCACTAACGGTAAGCTACCTACAGTGTTGGCGGTTTACCTGAACATATTCTTAATACCCCCAAAAGACTCAGTCTACTTCCAGTGTGGTTCACAACCGCCGTTGGTGGTTGATTGTCCGTGGGTAGTGTGACATCATCCTCCCCTTGATCTATCTTATAGACTGATGTTGATCCGCTGGTTCCCCAGACTGATTGAGGATTTCAATTGTATCGACCTGACTGAGCGAACGAAGCCCACAGATGCCTTGGTCGACCTCAAAGTCCGTGAGAATGAGAGTCGATAGAAGATCGTCTTCGAAATATAAGCAAAGGTGCTTCAGCCTTGCAAAACCTCTAAGAAGCTGGACGCATCTCACACTATGCAGCTTGGGGAGCATGACGCCTCCAGACTCAGTAAGGCATTCCGTATCGCTAGGGCTTTCCCAAGTGAAGCTAAGTGATTCCACGTTCTCACGGCCAACCTCTCCTATTGCAACCGCAAACCTTATAAAGTCGTCCATGTTATCCAAGTAAATGGACGTCTTCCGATATGCTAACGGCAGGGTCTCGTCACGCATCTGTCGATTAACCGCAAGAGCCCCGAGGACACTCCTAAATGGGAAATAGAAGCCAGTTGGATCGCCTGTCGCTCTAGTAAATTCGATGCCGCAAAAACCTCCAGAACTGACCACTCGTAGATCTACCCTTGGAATTGCTCGAGCGTAAATCTCGTCCCGCATCTCCCTGGGAAGATTGAAGAAACGAGACGGAAGGCAATGTGTATTGCGACGTGGCAGCTTCGTGCTTTTAAGCATATATTGAGAGAATAGGGACAAAGAAGCCTTACATTTGCGACAGACATAGCTTCAGATACTTCATCTTTGGTAAACTGTAGCGGCAAATGAAAGTCGAAATCGCAGAATATGTCCGCGGTGAAAGTGTACCGCTCCATGGAATCTATGCCTTCCAGAACTACAGCGCACCGGTCATTCGTGGTAGTCTGGAGATGGGTCAGCTTGACAGGCGATCGCATAAGGCGGGCTGGCTATTGAGCGCATACATATCGTGCATCAACCTGCAATATTTGTTGTCTATTCTTCGTTGCGGCGTGGCCACTCTGTTTTACTCTCGAGTATCCGTCAAATTCCCTCTTTGTCCTCTCATAAAGGCTCAAAGAGACGGCAGTAAGATCTGAATAAAAGCGTATGTATTTCGAATTTTTTGGAAGGGAGATTTTATATCCCAGGGCATCTTCCATCTGCTCTAGGGAGACTGGAGGCCTCTGTTTCGCCATGTCGTTAAGGAAGAAGGCCAGATTGTCTCGCGAGATTGTTACATCGACATTTTTCTCCCACCTCTGGGAAATACGTTCGGGAAAACAGGACCAGTGAGTACACCGTGTAACAAAGAACCCTTTGTTCTATCCTTTCTTTGTTCTATCTGTTCTTTTTCTATCTCATCCGCAGGCCTATATAAGCAATGCGAATATCCTCCAGCTGATTGAGGAATATACAGTGAAAGCCTTTCGAAATTTTGTCTCGGGAGAGGACGACGAACTTACCACTGTATATTCTCACTTTCATAAAATGGTGGACTAGGAGGGGCGGATGGTAACTAATGCGACTCTTATAGGTGTTCAGCAGTTGAAGGAAGAGGTCTGCGAACAGCATAGGGCTGTAATGTAACATCTGGAAGGTTGGTTTGCTCGCCACATTGCTTTGTACCAGTTACTGACTGCTTCAAGATCGTGGAGCCGTCGTCGACCGAGAAGATGTTCTCACCGGTCTATCGTCCTTAAACTTCGACTAAAAACAAAGAGATATTTTCTTGAAACACCGCGAAGGTACAGGTCAGTGGATGCTGCAGTGCAGTGAATTCCAAGACTGGTTCAAAAGTGTCGGCGGTTCTACTCTTTGGTGCTATGGAATCCGTATGTCTCTAATCTAAGCTCAATATATCGGCATATTATATTGGGCAAAGTCGCGCTGATATTGAACTTTAGCGGGTGGTGGAAAGACTGTTTTGACGTGAGTGATCATCTCTATCGGCTTGAAACGACACAACCTAATCGCCTCGGTAACTACCAGTTCGATGGCTGTTAACTATGTCAGCGAAGCTACAGAAGGACAGGACGTCGCAGTCATATACGTATACTGTGACTATAAAGATGAAAGGACTCATTCCGAATTCGATCTTCTGTCCAGTATAGCTTGGCAACTAGCTAATTATTACGTCGGCATCCCCCCCGCGCTGAGAGAATTCCGGGATAAGAACGCGGGCAAGAAAGGGAATCCGACTTCGAAAGAATGGATAACTCTGATCAAGGAACTCAGTCGTTCTTTCCCGAAGACGTACATCTTCATAGATGCGCTCGTAAGTACGCGCTGCCGCTCTTGACCCGTATACCCTGATTGACTATTGTCCAGGATGAGTGCCCAAAAAGAAATAGAGACGAATTCATCCGATCCCTGAAGGACTTGGAAGAGTCGACTCTTCTATTCTTGTCGTCACGCCCGATAGTCCTTCCCGTGCAATTTTCCAAAATCCAACGCGTTGAGATATCGGCTGCGGCAAGTGATATGAAAACATATCTCAAGACCGAGATAAACTCGAGATCCAGACTCTCCAAATTCGCCGCGAGAGATCCCAATCTGGAGTCGGATATTATCAACTCTCTTATCAGAAATGCTGCCGGAATGTGAGTACGCTGATCCTAACTTCTTACCGGAGATTCGTTGACCAAGGCTCAGGTTTTTACTTGCATATCTCCAAATAGAAACACTGTCCAGATTCCACAGCCCTAGGCAGATACGAAAAGCCATGGACACATTGCCTTCCGACTTGGAGAGATATTACAGCGAAGCCGTTAAGCGAATAGAAAAGCAAGGTGATCCAGATTGTTACTTTGTCAAAAGAGCAATCTCTTTCATTTTTTGCGCGGGACGACCCCTGACCGTTGACGAAGTTTGCCTCGCCCTTGCTGCCGAAATTGGTGATAACGAGCTCTTTGAAGATGTACTTCCTGCACAAGAAAATCTGGTGGGCTCTTCTGCAGGTCTCATCAGAGTTGACAAAAAAAGCAAGGCCATTGAGCTGGCCCATCATACTCTACAAGAATATCTTGAAAAGCACCCAGCTGCACTTCTTCCTGGTCCAGACACCGATCTGGCAAAGGCATGAACCAACTGTACGCTTGCTGTTCCACCACGGTGCCAATGTTCATCTGAGGGGCGTATATAAGAATACCGCGTTACACTAAGCTGTCACATATGAAGAGATTACACTGTTATTCCTGGAGAATGGAGCTAATATGCATGCTAAGAACGACTTAAACTAGACTGTTTTGTGTTGGGATACGCAAGATAGTACAGTGGAAGTTGCCCAGGCTCTACTTATGTATTACATAAGGCTAACGTCAACTGGTAGGATAAGAAAAGCAGTACAGCACTGTATAAAGCAGTTATAAGAGGGTGCGGGGAGATTATCTAATTATTACTCTAGAAAGGTGCCGACGCTAGTTTTGTTGATGTTGACGGTTGGATACCTCTGTATGGAACATGCGTGAAAGTGCATACGGAAACCATGAAGATATTATTGGCTATTGTTGACAATTGAATGGCTATATTAGAGTCGATTTCTAAGTAGCGTAAGGAACAGAAGGCTCTGCTTATCAAAATAGCCGAGGAAAAGGCGAAAGGCAGCACGGTATTGACCGGTTTTCGTTATGCTGCCCATGAGGGCCAAGTTGCTCGAATTAAGATGATTTGGGGGAGATGTTTCTAACTGAGAATGGAGTTCAGTCGAGCCCTCTAGCACCCTTCTGGCCTCATGAGAGCGAGCAGCCCAGAACGACCCCCAACTTTCGCGTGGATCTCCATATATGCGCCAACAGAGTGCTTGCTCATCGGCTTGTCAAAGAGTGGTTTGATTGCAAGGATCACTAATATGTCATGCATATAGCATATCTTCTCCGTTCACTAGGCGCACTGTGGATGGTGCACTTCAATTCTCAGCCTCTTGCCTGTCCGACAATTCAGCTGCTTTCACGATTATCACGCTTCTATCATACTTATATGTCTTGATAGACTTTTTCGGACAGTTAATTCACTCTCCATACCCTGCATTTCCGGATTCCTATAATGGAATGAACGCTTTCCAATCCTGACGTTTTGGACTTTTTCTCTGGCCAGAAGAGCTCCGGATGTGTTCACAGCGCCTGATGAGCACTACCATACTTATGCTATTGTATGTTTTTTTCTACTTTATTTTACCTGAAGCAACATCCTCCTGATGCTTTTTTAAATAGTTAATGATGATATTCGATCGAATTGTTCAAGAAGTAAAATTATAAAGAGTACAGAATTGTGGTGCTCCCTCCACAGTCATATGCAATATCGACACTCCAGCAAATCAATCAGACATGGAGTACTCCAGAACGGCCTCACACGTTTCTCACTGCGCGGAGCGTATAGCTACCACGGGTACATAACCGTCGGGTTCTCGCAGTATTCCATGTCCTGGCCAGCCCGGCCTGGGGAACCTTTTTGCCTCTATCTTCCTGTTGTCCATAGGGAGAGCGCGATGATGCTCGTCAAAGCGTATACCAAATGTTCTCTCGGCGGGGACACGGCAATAAAGCATCCCTTTCAGTTTCGGGTCAGGGACACCCTCCAAGATCTGAGGCGGATCCCGGTCGCCACAGTGAAGGTCAGGTCCAGCCACTATGACCGTCCCATCGACGACGGATTGATGGTCGATGAACAGATAGGGAGGGTCGGAGTATTCGTGCCGGCTTGTGGCTCGCATCTCCAGCAGTTTGCGCCACATATCGTCCAGACTGCCGTCCTCTGCTTTGTCGGCATCCCATGGGACGAATTTATGGACGGGGCGCAAAAACACGTCATGCCTGTCGTCATTTGATTGTTCGCTGGAAGAGAGCAGCCTTGCGACAGCAGCCTCCTCCTCTTGCGCGAGCTTGTTCGTAAGGGAGAAGACCATCACTCGACGAAATGGTTTAGGAAAGCGCGTCCAGACGAGATCCACGAGGTTCCTCGGGTAGATCGATCGATCGGCCTCCATCAAGGCTTCCATATAATCGGGACAGGATCCGTCATCTAACAGGGGCCGAGTAAGCTGTTGCAGCCAGCGCTTCGTATAGTGGACTGATCTAAGCTCATTGAGCATGTTTTCCAACGTGGCGAACGATACAAGGGGAAACCCGAGAGGAGTCTCATAGATCGAAATGAACCGGGCAGGACCGATCTCAGCGGCATCTTTGATCGGTCCACAGAGAAAGTTGATCGTGTTCGAGATGGTAATATGACGATGATACGTAGCCCATATAGATGCCAGATCGCGTCGAGTAGCCACGCGGTTATGGTTCCATGGAATCAATTCAACCGTGATGTCGTCAGGGCTGGGTGCCTTTGCTCTCCTGGGATTGTGGAGGATATCGTCATGATCATCGTATGCATTATAATGACCGGCGCATATTTCTCTGTCGAACATTTCGTCATCGGATATGTCCTCATAGAAATCGTATTCGGGCGTCGGTCCTTCGTAGAACCAATCCTCCAACCCTTGCTCACTGTCCTCGTCCTCGGTCTGGATTTCCCCAGTGTCCTCTTCCTGTACACCTACTTCTGCCGTTGGCTCTTGAGTTTGGTCGTCATCCTCGTTTGTACGCTGAGACCTTCTGGTATCATTTTCCTGCATATCCTCCTGCAGAAGGTCACGCACGGCCTGCTTTATGACAGCCTGCGTATGTTGAAACTCTTCAGGAGTGGTAGGCGACAAAAGATGGATATTTAAGCGATTCCGGCTTCTCTTGATGGATGGTGGAGGCGTAATGGGCTGATGGTCAAGAGCCAAAGATACAATGTTGTGCACCAACTCCATTGGCAGTGGGGAATGCATCGACAGTGCCGTCTTCATTTCCCTCAGAGATGTTTCGTACTGCGAGAAGGGTGCGGTGTCCGCCGCAAACACGGGCCGATCAGGATCGTGAAGTTCCAGGGTATGGAAACCATCATCCTGGAGAGGTTCTCGGGAAGCCAGAATCTCATGCACATCTGATACGTACAAGACATGAAGTAACTCTGTTACGCGGCATTCCGCCGGCTTGTCGTCGTCCAAGTCAACACAGCAGATCGGCCTGCGGCCGGTAAAGACGTGGACTTCATGACAGGGACCGTGATTGCCCTGTGACTCCAAGGACGGTCGTACCATGACCATAGCCGTCGAAAACGTGTTTCGGCGGTGTCGAATAAGTGACAGGGTTTGCCAGTCCACAACCAGGAACCCGGGCACACCCGATCGATGAGCCAGGAGCGCAAGACTGTACAGCCTGGCTTGGCTGTCTCTGTGCTGAGCCCGACCGGCGATTTCGCATAACAGGAAGTCGGACGGGCGCCATGCATGGAAGTGTGCGCCTCTGTAGTATCCCTGCAGGTCATTGATGATTTCTGCTTCCATGGAGTCTGGGATGTCTTCCAGAATCACGACGAGGACAGCATGGTCATTCTTCTGGATGGACTCTGCAATGGCTGATGGCAGCATATTGGCGGGGCCGGTAGATTTGTTCATCTTGAGAGTCGATGGAAACAGAGACTGCGTCAAGAGTGTTGTGGACGGAACGTGAATTAAGTGGCTGTTAATACAGGCCGTCCCGTACGGGCTGCCATAGCTTCACCGCCCATACAAAATAGATATAGTGGTCAGCCCCTGCACATCGCCTTGGACCGCACATTCAGAAGAGGTCGGAATAGAGGTTATAAGGGCGGTCAATTTCTCGCTAAATTTTAGATAAATTCAAGTTAAATTCAAGTCCCCACTTTAGTCTTAATTTTGCGGTAAATTAGCAGTTTTTCAGAGAGCTGCAGATGGACGGTAGCATCCACTTCTGTCCGCAGGTTGATGGAGAGATAACAGACTGTTGAGACATCTAGCATGAGGAGATTGCGGAGACATGGACGTGTAATCGACCCTCTTCTTTTATTTTTTCCCTCCAGTCTACAGCTGTAGCGTACAGTGCTCATGTTGGAAACAAATTCCACGCATTCAATAACCCATTAGCTGGTAGATAGTGAAGGACTCATGCTTGAGGTGGTACAAGTCCACACCCAGCAAGATACAGTAGAAAACCGATCCGGAGTCACAGCCACATTGACAGTCCATCATATCATATCAACAACAACAATCAAATGACAGAATCCAGTTCAAGCAACCGCAATGGCCCAGTCTTGACGTCGTCTCCATAATGCAAACAACACCTAGACATTAAGACCGAAACGGCGCTCAGGGGGGACACAGCTATGCTTATGGTGCTTCCAATGGGCGCTCTGACAGTCCTACTACCATTAGCCCGCAGTCACCATCAAATGGACGACAACCTCTTACCTTATCACAGTACCAGACACGCTTGCATCTTCCACACATACGAAGAGCATGTCCAATATCCGACTTGATCTGACCACAATGGAAGCAACTCGGCTCCTGAAAGCTCCGCGGCACGCCAGCCTGATAATGGTCCAGCGCGGCAAGAAACTGCACACGACCCGGCCCACGGAACCCCTCATCAAACAGCGGCAGAGTGAATCTGTCGTTACAGTGGATCTGAGGCACCAAGTCACGCAGATGCTGCAGCTGCTCCGGTTTGATCCTGGCGCCCACGCGCATCATCAAGGCACCCACGATGATAGTGCGATACTTTCCATCAGCACGCTCAGTGGGCTCAGATTCTCTGGCGACGCTGGCGGCGAAGATGGCGTGTCCGAGGTCGTTGGTGTCGAGTTTCTGGCGCACGTACGGCACGATCTCGTTCTCGAGCTCCTGGGCGTACTCGGCGGTCTTGTAGAACTCGCGCATCTCGGTGGGGGCTAGCATGTCGGTCTGATGGACGGTCTGGGACATGGTGTGCTCCCAGTCGGTTTCGATGCCGAGGGTTCGAGGCAGCTCGCATGAGATGTCGAGATCCTGGTCGGCCTCGAAGAGGCCTTGCCTTGGTGTCAGTGGTTTGATGTGCAGAGGGGGAGAGAGAACATACGCCAACCCCAGCGACCCATTTGGTATGAAGGATTGGAGAGATGGGGATGAGTTGATGGGCTGATGGGTTGGGAAGATGGAGGGTGGTGAGTAGGCGGAAGAAAAAGAGAGAAGAAGAGTGAGAAGATTCTGCTTCACTTCTGTTTGTAACAACCACAAACGGGGAGCATCAACTGTCTCACTTCTCTTTTCCCGTTTACGTCACAGGCAGATGGACAGGCAGCTCGATGGTTATTCTCCGGACCCTATACTCTCAGAGCCTCATATCACTTCCTGTATACTCGTTTGGTTGCTAACATCGTCGACAGAAACACCATCACGAAGAAGCCAGACATCAACCCTACAGATTAAGAAAACAAACCCTCAATCTCATCCTCATACACCGCCAACGTCGACCCACGAGCGACGCTCCCCTTGACAGTCTGTACGAACGGTTTCTCCTTCGTCGCAAATATCACCCGCCCAGGCGAAAGCTTGACGCAATCATGACACCGCAGATTGACCTTGTCAATATAGGGCCGCAGACTGTCCACCATCTCCCCTCGCTCACTACTCTCGTACTCCTTATAGAGCTGCACAATCAGCACCGGCGCAGGGCGACCATATCCCCCGATCAAGGCCGCCCGCACCGCAGGATGGGCCTCGATCTCCGGCTCCAACAGCGACGCGTGCAACCCGTCCCCATGAGACAGATACACATAGTCATCCGTGCGACCGACAATCTTCCAGTACCCCTTTTGAGTCGGATGCTCCATCCACAAGTCCTTCGTCTCGTAGCGGTCTCGATCTGGGTATACGAAGAATATCTGTTGGATGGAATGGTCCGCTTGCCGTACAAACACCAGCTCGTGGAGGCCATTATACAGATGCTCGAACACCGCGCCGGCAAGATCATGGAACGCAACGTAGTCGTAAGGGACGTCCTTGTTCGGTGCGGTCTTGGTGAAGTAACCCCCTCCCTCTGTGCTGCCGATAGACGGGGCTAGTCTCGTGTAGGGCGTCAGTAGATCCGCCGACTTGGCTGATAGCGGTGCTCCTGCGTAATTGACGTATTTCAGTCGTCGAAGAGCGTTAAGACTAGATGGCGTCCGACACATGGCGTCTATTATAGCCGGGGGAACCAGTATCCCATCCGTCTCCCCCTTGTCTAGAATTTGAACCATGTCCTCCGGCGATGGGAAGCGAGAGGGTCCGATGACAGCAACCATATTCAGGGAGGCAGGCATCGAGAGAACAAACATTGTTCCGGCAAGTTGCTCAAATTAACCCATATTCTCATATCTTGTTATAAGAAGGCGGGACCTACGTGCAGACTTGGAAGAGGCGTGTGCCATCGGGAGTTAGCCAGCTGATGACACAGGCTCTCTGCGACGTCCTGCAACGCCGCGACACGATCCGGCCACGCCATCATCTCCTGCGTGTACGTAACCGGCTTCGGGTTCCCAGTTGTGCCTGATGTGTGAAACACCAGCCAGGGGTCCTTTTTCCCTTCATCCCATGTCTTGGGGTAGACACAAGACACCGCGCGCGTCTCTTGCATAAACTCCTACAATACGGGCACAGTAATCACCTCTATGTCCGGAGCTATCTTGACTACCTCATCTACCTTATCAGCCTCAGCAGCGTCTCGGAGATAGACCCGACAGTCTTTCTTGTTGAGGATCTGGAGCTGGGCCTCTGCCGTGATCAAGGGCGACGGAAGCACCATCTGAACAGCATCAGCATACCGTTCTGGACAACCAGCATATAATCTCCCAACCCACCACTTTCTGGAACTTTGCTGCCGCCACAGCGAGAATCGGGTAGCGGAGGTCTTTAGGGCCTGCGTAGGCAAAACATTGAAAGCTTTCCGCTGTCTGGGGGAGGTGTTGGCGCAGCCATTGCGCTGCATGGTTTGCGGCGTTGTCCAAGGCGTCGTAGCTGATGTCGCGAAAGCCTCTTGTGATATCATTCTCGTCGACCGGAACGGACACCCAGGTACTTCCAGGGCCCTCCTGGGCGCGGCTTTCAATCACGGAGGCCAAGATCCGCTGGCCGTGCTGAACGCCAGGGAGAGGAAGAGTAGGAGCTGGCATTTTTGCTGCGATTGAGACAGTGAGAGGCTCTACATTAGTGTCGACTGGCTATTTAAGAGCAGCATTGGACCAAGGGCTGGTTTAGCGACCTAGTGCTGACAGGCTTGGGATCATGCATGGTCATTGTTTCAATTATAGAGCTTGCCTTAGGATCGTTCCACCGTGAATATTGCTCTATCTAATCACCCCCCCAAAGAAGTTGTCATACTTGGGTCAGAGCCAAGTGCTTTAGCGTCACGCACAATAGGACATTTCCGCCATGTATGGAGGTTGCTTTGTTCAAGATTCTGTGAGGTATTCAGTCATCCTGAACCCTAGTCCATATACCTTTGTGTGTTGCTGCATTAGCGCAGTCCAGCGAGATGGCATGTCATAACAAAGCACATGTCTCCTAATTCACATCATGGCTATGGTCACACGACCATATGTATCTCACAATTACTGTGCATTGTGGAACACTTTGACATTAATATAGCTTTTTCATCTGCCCAACGTATATAGATACAAAAAGGGGAAGTCGAAGGTTAATTATAAACTCTATAGTAAAGTAAGGAACGACTAACCAATAAAAGAAAATAACTGCAGCGCGAGGACGGATCTATAATTGCCACTACGTGGCTAGCCATCCCCTTCGAACACGCTCAAGCGCCGTCCTGTGTGCAAGACGTTTCTAATACACGCCAACCTTCTTCAGCAGCTCTGGCAGCGTAAAATCCCAACCCCTACTTTTTTCTCCACCTCAGGAGTGCCTTTTTAGGCACTCTAGCCAACCAGTACATGAAGAGGGCCCCAAAGATGTTGACGACAACGTAGACAATGAAGATACCAAAGTTCCTCCATCGCTGATCGTAGAACGCATCGACACCAGCGAGGTAAACATTGGTCTTCCCGATGGTGCAGTATGTGCATACATCCGTCGCATTCGAGTCCTGCAAATATCCACCGGCCACATCGATATAGTGCTGCAGGAACTGCCCGCAGGTCTGTCCGGCAGGCGGTGGAAAATGCAGCAGTTCATTCGCCGCACAAACGACGTCTGTGTTCGCAACAGCCGCCGTCATCATGCCCTGGACCATGTAGGTGAATGGTGAAACGCGATACATGAAGATCCAGAAATGTGGAAAGGAGCTCGGGGTCGCGAGAACACCGCAGAAAATCAGGCAGAGCATGAACAGCAAGTTTGCTACGTTGCCGCCCTGCTCTGCAGATTCGACGCCGGCAATGATGAAGTCGGTGAAGGTGCAGGTGAACATCATAAATGCCCAAAGGAAGAGGAAGAACAGGGCGCCACGCTCTGTGACCTGGTGCGCGGGTTCGGCATTCTGGTAGAGCCCAATTGGGTAGTAAAAGCAAAGGAACATGATAACCGACATTAGTGTATTCCACGGGATCTCGACGATGATCTGCGATAGCATGAAGACCTTCCATGAGTACACTTTAGAAGGACGTTCCCGGACCTCGTAGAGAGACCGTTGGATGACAAAATATGGCATCGTCTGTTGCACTAACTGACCAAAGACCGTCAGGAGGTTGAAAATAGCGAACATCTGGTTTTGCAGGCCTTGGACGGTATTAGGCGCCTTGAAGAATGCGAACCCTAAGAAATAAGCTTGTTAGCGTATATAGGGCGAAGCACTCAGACGGTATTTGCACATACCAATGAAGGCGGACACCAGTGTGACAAGAGACGCCTTGGAGTATATGTAAGAAGGAGTACGCCAGTACTGTTGGAAAACTCGATGGGTAACTTCCCAGAGTTGCCAGTGAAATGGAGCTGCGAATTCACCCGAATTCTCCTCATCGTCAACATGAGGCGCACTGCTTCCACTCCTTATTCGCAAACGTTCCAGCTCAGCCTTGACGACTTGGTATTCTGGGCTGTTCTTCCATGTCGCGTGCCAGTCAATCTTGCTGCTTGACCCAGGGGCAGCGCCGATGGCCTCGAGCATCCACTCTGCGGGATTGGCACCTTGGGGACATGGTGGTGCACCATTGCGCTCAAAATAAGAGATTAGATGCTCAGAACTTTCTCCAATGTCGCCAAAGTACACGGTTCTTCCGCCACTTGCCAGCAGCAGCAGCCGATCGAACCGCTGAAAGAGCATGGATGACGGCTGGTGAATAGTGCATAGAACGGCCTGCCCGCTCTTTGTGAGTCGTTGGAGTAGATCGAGAATTGCCCAAGAAGTCTGACTGTCAAGCCCAGATGTAGGCTCATCCACAAAGACTAGGAGCCGTGGCTTCGCTGCGAGCTCGACACCGATAGTCAATCTCTTGCGCTGTTCGACATTGAGGCCTTCACCAGGAACACCAACGACAGCGTCGGCGTATTCTTGCATATCGAGGAGCTTAATTACTTCATCGACGTAAGCAAGCTTTTCCTGTCGGGAAAGATGACCTGGTTGACGCAAGAGAGCGCTAAAGTTCAGAGCTTCGCGGACTGTTGTAGTTTCGAGATGCAGGTCCTGCTGCTGGACATAACCAGTCTCTCGCTGGAATGATCTGCTTCGCGGAGTGCCATCAACCAGTACCTCACCGGTGATAACTCCCATCGATACTCTGTCCGCCAGGCAGTCAAGAAGGGTTGTTTTACCCGCACCTGATACTCCCATGAGAGCTGTCAGGGTCCCGGGCTTCACCCAGCCATCGACATGGTCCAATATGCGGCGGGTATTGCCCTTGATGCTGACGTCGTAACAGACATCGCTGCAGAGAAGGTCAGCTAATACCCAAGCGCTATGAAAACAGTGGCAAGGTACAGCGCTGGATCAACTTACCTCCAGTGGAACACACTTGTTGACTCTTGCACAGCGCCCCTCGTTTGCTCGGACATACTTCCGTCGGCCTTCTCGGATACGACGACGGGGACTGACGAACGCGCAAAGCCAGTCTCAGGGTCGCTTTTAGTCTCCTTGAGCTGTGCGGGTTTGTGTCCTCGACGGAAGACCAGGACTTCGCCTTCTGATTTCTTGGCCGTGATGAGCTCAGTGAACATCATGTACAGAGCATGGAAGAAACTGGTCACAGTTAACACCTCGAACCACTGCATCGGGAACAAAACCATACACGATAAACCCTATCACAATCCCAATATTCCGCCATTTATGGCTGGGATAATACTGGAAGGAAGACTCGATGTAATCAGTTCCTTCTACATAAGGGTTTCCAGGAACAGCACCAACAGCTGAACATATGCGATTGGCGTTGCTGACATGTTCATAACCGGCAACTGTGCTGCTTGGGACATACGATGTGCAAAGGAATTGTCGGCCGGCAAACTATACTCCGTTAGCCTGTGAGCAGACAGATAGAAAACCAAGTCCAAGTCGAACCTCGTTTATCATAAGCGCTTCGAAAATGTATGCCATGGGGTCGATGTAGTTGATCCATCTAGACCAACCCAGCATGTAGTCGATTGGAATAACAAACCCCGTGAACATGACCAGTGCCAGGATGAGAACAGCTGCTGGCACCATGGCCTGTGACAGCGTGCGGGAAGCAGAGCCAATGGTGCGGAAAATACCAGACATTGCTAGAACGGCTAGAAAAGATGTAAACAGGTAGAAAAAGAACGGCCCCGGTTCTCGACGAAGATTGCTCATGAAATCTGACCTGCGTTAGAAATTCTTCCATTCGGGCCTCAGGGTCTACTAGGAGGCTCAGACACATGGGGAAAGACTCACAGATAATCAGATTGAAGGCAATGGTATTCAGAACCTTGTACGGCATGTCCATCAAAGCGGAGGCGATTGCTTCACAGGAAGGGTGGTAGAAAGCATAACGGTCGTGCTTCTCGACGATACCGCGCTGGGCGTAGAGCGTTAGAATTTCCAAAGCCGAACTGAAGGCGTTCATCAAAACCGCAAAGAATAGAAGTGCCGATCGTTGAAAGAAGCTTCCTGTGGTTTGGTCCAAGTTGTAGAATACGGAAGAGACAATTAAACCCATGATGATATTGGCACCGAGCTGGCCAACTGTGAGAGAGGGATCGCCAATAAAGCGTCGGTATGCACGCCACAAGCATAGGCCGATCTGCTGTCTATAGGACAAAGTGTATGGCGACTTTGCCCGCTGTCCCCTAGCTTGATGCTCGTGTTTGATCTCTCGGTATGCCTGCGCATCGGCTCCATTAATCGGATGGTCGGTCTTGTACGCCTCAATCTCGGCTTGCAGCCGCTGGTAAGCCTGGCTACTGCGCCAGGCTGTTGCGAACTCATCCGGCGTTCTGGGCGCAGTATTCTCAAAGCCAGGACGGACCAGACGCTCGGACGGGCTGGTCATGGAAGTTAGGAAATCGGGAGTAGTTTGACGTTCGGGGCACTCGAATCCCAGATCTATAAAGTACTGGCGAGCTTCGTCCGCGCGACCGAAAAAGATTTGTCGACCTTCGTACAGTACTGTAGCTTTGTCAAAGAGATCGTATGCAGCTTGGGGCGCTTGGTAAATAGAGACCGCGCAGGAAGTCCGAAAGATCTCGGACTGTAATCTCAATGTTCTGCAGAACTCAACAGCATTTGCGCTATCCAATCCCCGTGTCGAATTGTCCCAACATTGAAACGGCGCGCCAGAAAGAGATGCCTCGGAGATGGTGACGCGCTTCCTCTCGCCGCCAGAAACACCTCGAATGTACTCGTTTCCAACCCTTGTATTCTTGGTATGACTGATCCCAAACATGGCCATCACCACATCCCTGAGATGGTCGGAGAACATGGATGGTGTGACACCGGGTGGTAAATGCCGCGGCGTGCGGGCCCGTGAAGCGAAGGTCAGCGTCTCGCCCACCGAGAGCATCGGAAAGTGAACGTCGATTTCGGCAGTGTAAATTGCGTCGCCACGGTGTTGGGTGTGCATTTCCTTAGCGCTCACTCCCCGGTAGTTGAAGTACGCCTGCTCATCGACGAAGAGACCATTCGTCTCCCCAGCAAGGGTCTTGAGGAACGTAGTGCATCCCGACCCCGGAGGCCCGAGGACTACCAGCATCTCTCCGTTGTGGACAACACCATCGAAATCGCGCAGGATAGCGGCGCGAGTCCTCCCATGACCAAGGACCTGGCGGGAAAACCTCACAGCCTCCAGCCACACGTTCGTGACGTTTTTCTGGTGACGTGTACCAGCGCTGTAGCCGGAAACTGTCATGTTTTGGAAGCAGACGCCGCTCGTCCGGACCGAGCCACCGCTGGACTCGATCTTATCCGCCAGCGCCCTAGCCCAGGTGCGAGCGTTGAAACTCGGGCTGTTGGGATTCAATGGGGAGTTTGGGTCGGTCTGGTGCGTGAAGATGTTTCCATTTCGGTGGTGTTGTGACTCTGAGGTGAAAGTCCGCGCCAAATTCTGAACCAGACTGCCCCTCCGCGCCATCTCCTCAACGTCATTCCTGGACTGAGCTGCTTCAGCTTTGTGGTCACTACTGGCCGCAGAGTCACTGGAGCTTATCGGGGTTGGATCATTTTCGGCGTTGCCAGTCTCCTGGGCCATGTGGTCGTCGTTATCCAGCGTTTGGCTACCAACCGACAACATGGTAGACAACGTGCAAGGCTCCGTGGCAGCTCCAAATCTGGTACTGGGTGGAAGTCCTTGTTATGACAAAGAGTAAAAATGTGGGAAATCAAATGGGTGTTGAAGATTGTGCGGACGCTGGCCAAGCATCTTAATATAGAGTCGGCTGTCAGCAATGCGACACGAATGACGGAGCTATACGACAATACCTGGATCATAGTCAGCCGCCCATGTGCTTACAGGTGTTATTGACTGATCTATAGGATCGTGTGATGCTTCCGCTGAGTCAGCGCAATATTTCTCGGCCCGCCCAGAATTGAGTTTAGCCAAGATCGTATTAGGTTTCTTTGAGTTTCCCGGATCGGAAACTGAGCTTTCCGGGCCCGTAAATACAGAGTACAGTACTCCGTACTGCTCTGAGGTATCAACCTTAAGAGGTATCAATTTCTGGTCGACCGGGGACCCCAGCAACTTCACTTTCCTGGAGACAAACACACCAAGCCTTCAGACCAAATGCTAATGCCAACCTTCGGGCTCGGAAACAGCTTGCATCCGGACCAGACATGTCATTCTTTTATTCAGTTTTGCGTAGAGAAGCCTTCTCTGAACGGCTGGCGACCAACAGACCCTGCTTTAGACAGGTATTTCCTCCGCTGAGTCAGACGAGTCAGGGGTTAATCTCATCTAGCTGCAAGAGTTGGGGACGGTGGGAATGCATATAGGAGCATATCTGGGGTAGTGAGAGGCGAAACTGGAAAGAACCCAACTGCCCTACACGCTCAAGTAACGAGCATTGTACTCCCGTACTCAAATGCTATGCGCAGCGATGCCTTGCCCGCAGCACTCAATATCCTACGAGGATAGCCCCCTAGAAATCTTAGAGCTACACAATACCTATGGGAATATAGTCCGCATTAGACCAAACAAATTTGCCTTCGCATGTGAAGAGGCTTGAAAAGACATCCGTGGCCGCCTGAAGGGAGGTCAAGCTGAAAACGGGAAGCACCCGAAGTACCTGGGGGAGGATAGGGGTAAGAGCCTCATAGCTGTCTCGCACGAGAGACGTGGACCCCTGCGGCGGAACCTGGCACATGCATTCTCAGCAGAAGCCAGGGTTTAGCAGTAGCCCCTGATCAATACCTCCATTAAGCTGTTTCTTCAACGGATGTGTGAACATGGCGAACACGGCGCGAAACCCATCGAGAGACCAGACGGTATGAGCGGACAACCTTTGACATTATTGGTAATGTAGCCCTGCCTCCACCATTCCAAGTCAGATCCATGGCTGGAGACGTTCTTTATTTCCATAAAAAGCATCTCTTTGATGCAGGTAGTGAGCGACTTCCCTTCTTTTTGCGTGGTGAAACCTGTACTGGTCCCCCTTTTAATACCCCTGGAGCGATGGAAAGCCGACATGCAAATGCCAAGGCGCTCGAATAACTAAGTGAATCAGAGTGGCATAGCCGTAAGAGGCAAATTGAAAATGGACGTCTCTAAGGGGAATCCTGATCTGTAGCTTCATCGCACAGGAGCTTAACACTTCTGTATTGTGCGATATGAGATACTATTCATCACGTCAAAGTGTGAAAGTGAGGCTGCATACTGGTTACTCATAGAAGCCAATAATCTCCTGACTAATGGCTAGGAGATATTGTTTGGGGTTTGCATTGCCCTTTGGTCATGGTCGAAAGATGATACGCACAGACTCGGAAATCAGCCTCCTCCCTCGCCCCAAAAAAAGAGATTAATCAACAAACAAGATAAAGAGAAAGAGAAACAGATAAACTGAATCTTTTTTGTGAGAATACCTGCTGGCCCTTGTATCTTGGTTTTGCACCAATTATATAGGAATATTGAAAGAAGCTGGTGCTGATATATCTACGTGTTGGAGACAGCTGAGATACCAACGTTTCCTTTCACCACTTCTTCGAAACAATAAACCGGTACGTGGATTTCTACTGGAAGAAATCAAGCTCGTAAGAATTCTTCATGCAATTCTGGTCAAGTGAGGATGAGAATGCATGCGCCGGACATCACGTTACAGCAGCCTGGCAGGATAAGAAGAAGAAAGGGCGAGCGTGGGGACACAAAATTTTCTGTCCCACCTAAATGCGCACGTACAACATCTACTCCGTACGGAGTAGTCAGCAACATATTGAACCCCTGGTCTCCGCAAGAATGGAGTCTGTAGGGCTGAAGTGGATCCAGGGCGGAGATACAACACGGTGAGCGGGAAAAGCTTGGTTCTTTACCCTCTTCGTCGATATGCCCTTGGTTTATCTCTCGTTTCATGTCTGTGCTGGGAAAGGCGGTGTTTCGTTATGGCTTGGGTCTGGGTTATGAGGATGAATTGGAGCAGTTTGTGTAGCCCATATCTAAAGTTTTCTGTGCTAAGTCAAAATGAATTACTCGGAAGATCCACGATTGACGGGAATAGATAAAGCACCATTCAAATACAAAATGACCACGTCGGACTTATAAAGTCTGAGGACCTTCAGAACCGGGCTAGGTCCGATCGGTTGCGAAGGCCGGCAGCTGCGATGCAGGTAGGGCTGAGATTGTCGTGGCCATGGCGTACTATAGGAGTTGGTAGACGAAAATCTATCGCTACGGAGCTGTCACGCTAACCTAGAATGACTGGGTGATTCCATATTACTTGGACGATCTCTTCCTACTTGGTTCATCCTCTTCTCTCTTCCTGTCTCTCTGCTGTCCCTCCCATCTCGTCTGACTTTTGACGCCTGCCTTTGGAGCGAGAAGATCGGCATGCTCTGGGCCATGTGGCAAGCATGCGTTGTTTGGATTATCATATCTCCGTGGAGGCCAGAGAAAATACAAACCCGATCCCGAATAGCATGATGTCTCTCTGTTGACTGCCATCGACGGGACTAAGAGAGAAGGGAGAAATCCATCCAGATGTGAGACTACTCTCTGGCACTGACATAATCTGGCTTATTCCATCTCAGCCTCTCTGCTCCCAGTATTTACATCAGCATCCTATCCAGGATTTGCAGATTTACTTCCGGGTCGAACTGAAAAAGCTCCTCTGTAACCTGATTAGCTCCCGTAGGTTTATACGTCCTAAAACTGAAATAATTACCGAGAGAGGATTGGGGCCACTCTTCCCTATCGATCTGACCTTGGGCGCTGGGAGACCGGCGCCCTGTCGGATCACTTGGCATATTAATGCGCTCTGCAGCGGCTCTCAGACTACCCAGTGTGCATGATATTTCCCGGGGCGTATTGAACTTTGACTGTGAGTTGCTGAGCAAGTCGAGAGCCGTGTGGAAATAAGCAGCGCACAGCTGGCCGTACCTGGCCGGATTGCTTGCCACCGCGACGAATAGTGCGGCCAGCGAGGTCGCAAGAAAAAAGTCAAACGTGGAACGTAGTGCAGGCAAAGGGACAGACTGTTGTAAAAGACTCTCGCAGGCACCGATGGTATCTTTTGCACACTCAACCAGCGAGTCCGTTGCATGTACGGACTCTGATCCCGAAGAGTCGGCCTTCTTCTGCCGGCAGTAAAGTCGAATCTTCAGATGGTTAATCCTCAGACGGAGCAAGGCCTGGAAATTCAGAATGACGCGTTGACTCGGGGCCAAAGCAACTTCCGGGACCCAGTCATCGGACTTCAGCTGAGAGGCAAAGCTATCCTCGAACGCCTGGATTTTGTACGAGAGATAGTTGCTCTCCTCTTTCCACCGGCTCTCGCTGCTGGTACTTTGCGTGCGCTGATCAATCTCAATAGAAAGCCTGTCATACGCGAGAAGAGCGGACAAAAATGGATGCGAAGCTGTCTGGCACAGTGTGAGTATCGAAGGGGTAAGAATCAAGTCGGGGTCGTGCAAACGGCTTACTATATCCAGGGCTGTGTCATCTATTTCACAGTACCGCATGAGACACGGCATCTGAGTGCCAAATGCCACTCGATGTTCCAGCACGCATACAGAGCAGAAGATGGTCTTGAGGAATCGTGCTCTCTCCGGGTCTGTGGCCTCGTACGTCCCTTTCTTGTGGAGACCTAGCTCAAAGCAGCCTCTTGATGCAAAGCCGACGAACCGCATGGCCTTCATCAGCTCATTGCGCCGGAAGAAGTAAATGCTCGGTAAAGAAGTCAGCAACACGGTACTTGCATGTGCGGGCGTGCTTCGAGTCTCACAATTAATGTGCTAATCTGAATATCTTCGATTGCCAGTGCGCCATCGTACACGCATAGATTGGTGTTCCAGTTGAGGTACTTTAGTAGGTTGTATTTCAGGGGACTTTGCAGGTCGTCCGAGAACTGCATGGCGATTGCTGTGATGGCCTTTAACATATCCAGATCATCCATGGATAATGATTCGGTTCTCGTGTCTCGGGACCATTGTGCTGGAGAGAAAAGCGAATTCACGTGGCTTTGCACACTGGCAATGTCAACTGCTGGATATAAAGGGAAGCACTCCTCGTAGAATTCGCTGACGAGACGAGAAACTGTGCCCAGGCCTAGTGCATGGAGCTCGCGAGCCACAGAATTTGTATCCGATATTGGCTTCGCTGAGGCCCTTCTTCGGTCTATACCTGTGGCGTCATTGTCCTGGGTCCTGTTGTCTGTCGCCAGTACCCCGCTCGAGCCCAAGGCGCTGCGCACCGCACTCATGATATGATTAGAGACGGGGGGGAAGGCTCCCTTGTCCTCTCCACAGGTAGAGCCCAATGGAACGGTCTGAGTAGAGGGAGCAATAGGAGGATCCGGGTTTGAAGCAAACGTAAACTCGTCCTGCGTCACCCCAGGAGCCCCACCCGAAGCCTGAAGAGATCGGTCGAGGCTCATCTCGATGCGTTCAAGACGGCTCTCGAGCTGCTGTTGTCTTAGCTCATACGCGGTACTACTGGATGCAATGATTGTAAGACTGAGTGCATGCATGGAGGCATTGGGTTGGACAATACCACGTGGTGGATGCTGGGCGCCGATACACCACCTCTGGATAGCTGCACGGCAGCGCGTGTTCAAAACAGTACTGGCAAGGATCACCACCGGTGCATTTGGCCTTCTTCACCTTGCATGATTTACTGCGTGAATGTCTTAGTACATGTGGCGTGTCGATTGAGTGAAGTCGTACCAAGCCACCGATACGTATTTCTGCCTTTTGCGAACTCTCCCTTCGGAATTGGCTTTCAAGGGTCCTTTAGACGCCATGGCCAGAGGATGAGGTAAATATTGACCGTAAGACACTTTCCCTGCGTTATAGCGGCGGAAAGGAACAGCAAGCAGTGTACAGGCAATTCAACAGGATGATGGGATTTGACCCTATATATATCCGGACTACCCGAAACAATGCCCGATTTGACTTTAAAATGCGGGGTAATAGGGTTAACGCCACGCAGAGTATGAACTCTCCAAGTTAATCACGCTCCAGCACGAAACGGATGCCCTGCAGCAGGTTTGTAACGAAGCGCTCGGCAGAGGGAAGACTAGCGATCATCCAAAAGATGTGCGGTAGCCCGTCGTAGACGTCTATTTTGACTCTCACACCCAGGCGTTGCAGCTCATCAGCTACGAGGACGGCGTCGTCCCGCAGAGGATCAACACCGCAGGCCACCAGGTAGGTGGGCGGAAATTGTCCGAGATGGGGGGAGAGCAGCGGATTGATCCAGGGGTTCTCCTTGTGGAGATTCAGACCCGAAATCTCTGAGACACCGTCAGCTTTCTCTGGATTCTCTGACACTAGGGTACACGACTACCTACCGTTGATCATCCTCGCCGTGGCGGCATTGATGATGGGCACGCTGTCCGAGCCACACTCCGTCATGGCGTTGTACTTGGCCCGAAATCTGTCTGGTACAAACTCCGGGTGGACGGCCCCGCCTGCACAGTTGATCACGCCGCGGAGGAGATCCCCTTTGCCTAGCTCGATCAGCTTGTGTGCCGTCCCCAGTGACAGAGTTCCTCCGGCCGAGCAGCCGAAGCAGAACACCTTGCTCTGATCTCCGCCCAGCTCATCCGCCGAATCATGGGCCTGGCCTGCGCATCAGCCACTCGTTCAACTAGTCCGAGCCCTGGTCGTTATACTTACCCATAGGAATCCACGCAGAAAATCCTCGAATGCAGTTGGGACCTTCCACGCAGGGGCTTTGCGGTAATCGATTGAAACAACTATGCAAGGGTATCGGTGTGCAATGATGCGGCACAGGGTATCTTCGCTGTCCAAGTCGCCTTCACAGAAGCCACCACTGTGGCCGAAGACGCCAACAGGATGCTTCAAGCCCGAGCTTCGAGCGACCGGCAGGTAAATCCTCGCCTTGAGATCATTCTCGATGATTACGTCCTCTTGTGCAGTCAGTCAGTGCCGTTTTGGGAACTATTGAATGGTACCCACTCGTGTGAAGCCCATCCGCCTCGGACGGTACGAACGACGGTTTGCAAAACTCGCCCAGCGATTTGCCGCCATTGCTATATTTCTCCATATCGCTTCCGAGATGGAGGCGGCTTCCAATCTGCTGCTCAAACTGCGTACGCTTAGCGGCTAAGCTGCCATGTTGGGGTGGATTCGCCCAACCTCAAGCCATTCTGGAGCTAGTTTGGGTTCCATAACGGGCTCGAATAACCTTGTACAAGCGACTGCGGTCGACGAGCGTAAATGAATATTGTGCTATAGGGATCACAGGTCCACGAAGCAGAGACTTGGTAAGTCCTTTGGGAGATAACATCCCTTTTAACCCCGCGTCAAAGCGGCTCGATGCAAGGTGGCCCGGAAATTTCCAGCTCATCCGGTCGGCGTGGGAAGAAAGATCCGGAACTGACTCTGTTACTGTCAACCTCAGGATAGGATAGCTCCCTTGTGTCCCTGTCGGGATCTCCGACGGGGCGGAACGAAGTTGAAGGTCCATGTCCGCACCTCCGGAATGGTTCCAAGATTCCGGTCAAGGCGAGGTCTGATAGCAAAGGACTTTGTATATAACTGACCCCAGATATCGGTCATGTAGTATCATCAAGGCATCCCAACAAATCCTCAATCCGATCTGAAGCTGTTCCAAACTCGAAGATATGGCCTCCACGACAGCCGAAAAGATTCTGGACGAAGTCCTCAAGTCCAGCAACTTGAATAATGCATACTACCAGGCGTTTCAACCTAACTATAAGGTCGCAGATCATCTCCTTGGTGACAAGAGTAAGCACCGCCATGTACATCATTGTCTTCACGCGTTAACAAGCCCAGGTAAACGCAAGATACGAGTCGTCAACGTCGGCAGCGGCCTAGCCAGCATCAACCTGGCCTACTTCCTTTCAACGACCTGTGAAAACTTCGAGCTCACCTTGCTGGAGAGGGCGCCCCAACTCGGCGGAGTGTGGAACCATAATTGCTACCCCGGAGTTGCCTGCGACGTGCCGTCGCACATTTACCAGTTCAGCTGGGCGCCAAACCCCGACTGGTCACACTTCTTGAGCCCGTGAGTGCCACCTTACGCCCCAGCATTCCCATCTTGCTTACTCTAATACAAATCAAAAGTGGCTCCGAGATTTGCGCGTATCTGAACAAAGTCGTCGACACCATGGACCTCCGGAAGTACATCCAATTCAACACCGAGCTGCTCAGCGCCACGTGGGACGAGCGCGGATTCTGGAAGCTACGCGTGAGGCGAACCGAGCCCGGCAGAGAGGCCATCGAGGAAGACTTGGAGGCGGAGATATTCGTCAACAACAGTGGAACCCAGGACAAGCCACTTTTCCCGGAGATACCCGGTCTGGAGGCGTTCCACGGGAAGGTGAGGCTCTCACTGGTCCAGTTCCGGTGCCAATTCCATTGCTAACAGGGATGCAAGCTCCTCCACACTGCGCGCTGGGATGCCAGCTTTGGTGAAGAACAATGGAAGAACAAGACTGTCGCTGTTATTGGAACCGGCGCTTCAGCCGTGCAAGTCGCTGCGAAAATGCAGGTATGCTGGAATCGCTCTTCGTGGTTGTTTGTTGAGGCTGACCGCTGCCCTGCCAGCCGCACGTTGACAAGCTGATAGTCTACGGACGTACTCCCGTTTGGTTCAGCCCAGGGTTAGCCAGCGAAGGCAACTTCGCATGTAGGATATTTTCAAGCTCGCTGATTGAGAATATCGCTAACGTATTTCAGATTCTGAGGCGCAGAAACATGAGTTCCGGTCGAGTCCGCAGGCTTTGGTCAATTATGCGAAGAAAATAGAGCGACAGCTCAACTTTCTGTTTCCTGCCATAGCGAAGAGTGGCTCTGTGGAGCAGAAGGAGACGATAAAAGCCCTATACAAACATATGGAAAACCGGATTCATGACCGAACCATGCTGAAAAGTAAGTTGGGTCACGCTGTCCATGAACCGACAGGAGCGCTGATGTGTTAGATTTCACTCCACGCTTTCCTCCAGGCTGCCGGAGGATTACTCCCGGCGATGCGTTTCTTGAAGCGATACAGAAGCCAAATGCAGAATTAATACCCAAGGGCGTCACTGCTATTACGGAAGACGGTCTTATCGATGATGACGGGCATGAACGGAAGGTAGACGTCATTGTGTGCGCTACAGGTACGTGAGACCGGAATAGCGGAAGATCAAGCATCTAACGTGGGTTTCCTTAGGATTTCTCGTCGATTTCATCCCTACGTTCGACGTCGTTGGCAAAAACGGCGCCCGGATGGCTGAGGCCTTCGCAGAGAAGCGGGACGCATACATGGGCATCGCCGTGCCTGAGTTCCCCAACTACTTCTACGGGACCGGACCCTACTGGACGACGGCCAATGGGTCTTTGATTAGCTCCCTCAACGCTGCGTCTCAGTACATCTGCCAGGTCGTCAATAAACTGCAGACGGAGTACAACATTGTCTCCGTGTGTCCAAGCCGCAAGGCAACCGATGATTTTGTTGAGCACGCTCAAACGTGGATGAAAGGTGCCGTATGGTCTGGCAATTGCCCTTCATGGTACAAAATCCAGAAGGGAAGATACGCCGGCCGTTGCGATGCCGTGTGGCCGGGGATCACTTTGCATTTTGTCCGGGCACTGGCAGCACCGCGTTGGGAGGACTACGATATTCAATATGACAGTCGGGAAGATGGAAGCCCCGGAAATCGCTTTGCGTATTTGGGCAGAGGTTTCGTTCCTGAGTCCGTTGATCCATCCGCTGACGACTCCCCACATCTCAACGTTCGGCATATAGATGAGAGATGGACCAAGGCTGCCAGTCTAGGGACTAAGTAGGGCGAAGTTTGCAGCGGGTTTGCAGCCTTTATCTACTCGTCAATAACCTTTTCCACGGTATAGACCTCGAATGAAATGGAATCTATTTGTCTGCATCCCCCATCCATGATAGTTGTACACAGGGAACCGGCACTCTGGTCGACTCATGTCTAGCTATCGGAGTGTTAATAAAAGGAAATGAAATACCAAGTTACTACGGAGCAAAGCAGGACGTTAAGGACGGATATGCGTACGCGCTGAAAAGCCGTCACATTTAGCTAGATCAATTTAATTGAACGACCTTGACCAGAGAGAATTCAGCAGAATTCGACATGTAGTCCCCGAGAAGCTCAAGTACATATATCTCCCCTAATAAGTTCAAACTAGGCAATCCTTATCGCTGTGTTGCATATTGATCCTCCGGCAGCTGCTGTTTCAGGATGAAGTGGAGAGGGGTTCCCAGGCCGCGCAATCTCCACCAAAGACGGAATTCCTGAAGGATCGAGTGATACTAAGTCCTGAGTCCAGGCAGCGGGTTCTTTAGGGGAGGACAGCACTAATACCTCCGGTACAGTCTCCTAGCCTTAGTCCTGATGGAGTGCTCAGCTGAGAGTAATGCAAGATCGTCTTTACGTGGGATGGTTCCTGACATTCCCCACCGGAACCGACCTGGAAGCTTCCCGGAAATTCCGGGAACACATCAATCAGAGAGTGGACCGCGGAATGGCCTCCGCCGTTGGATACTTATAGACGCGTTTATAGCAGGTAGGTGTATGGTACTAGTGGTTCACACCAAGGAGAAAACCGGGACTTCACATCAACAATGTATGCAGCACTACACCTCCAACACAGCACGCTGAGGCCTTTTAATCCCAAAATTTCATGAGCTAATCACATATAGGACGAGCGACTTAATATTGCACGGTGACTACTTGTCTCCGTATACCGTCAGCGTCGCTCATGCATTGCTTGAAAAGGGCCTTAGTTGGGAATACAAACATGTGAATATTCTCACATTCGAGACCCGAGTTCGTAATTCCAGACTTGCACAAGGAGGCTACATTTGGCACCGTTGCTAACTACGGCATAGACGCCTGAACACCGGCAGAAACACCCATTCGGCAAAATACCTGTGTTAGACGCTGCGATTGATGGAGGGAAATCCCTCCGAGTCTACGGTATGGTGCCCACTCTCGCCAGCGAAAGACACTCTCAAGCTAAACGACAAAAGAAAGCCGGGCAATCGCTCGCTACATCGCCTCAGCTTATTCCAAAGTCGGCAATCCCCTGATTCCAGCCCCCAATGACTTGGAGGCCTACGCTGCTTTCGAAGAAGCAGCATCAGTAGAAGTGTGTTATTTCTCACCAACAGCCTGGAAGTTCTGTGGCGAGTTATTGATCAAGCCGTAAGCCCCCGCTTACCCTCCTACTTCATAAATAAGTACAGGTAATGACCTTCATAGGATCCTGGGTTTTCCCGCGGCGCCCGAACAAGCCATTCAGGATTTATGGAATGAGTTGGATGACACTCTGAAGCGGCTAGACGAGATCTTGTCCGGTCGCAGCCATCTCGCTGGGGAACAGTTCACACTCGTCGACATCTGGTCAATGCCATGGATCTCACACCTGATCGATGTGAAGGGGTGCGACGTGATTTTCTGTGATCGGCCGCATCTATGTGACTGGTGGAAGAGGGTGAGTTCAAGGCCGGCGTGGCTGGAGGCCTTGAAGTTGATGAATGGAGCGTTCGAAGCACTGAAGCGGGATGAAGCAAAGTGAGGCTTCCATACTACTCAAGACAAACATGTCATCTGGTCAGTCGGCAGGATGCTTGACAAATTGCCTTTCATTAAACTTTTGCATGATGCCTAGCTGATAGAGAGCTCAATCACCACTCATATTCTTTGATTCGACTGTAGAACTGGTGGTTGGGATTTTGAGCTGTAGGCATTGTCAAGATCAAACAGCTTATAGACTAACAGCATAGACTCACGACGAATACCGTAGGCACAGTAGTCAGAAAGGATAGCAGTCGACGTACCGCAGGATGAATCCAGCTTCTTGGTGAGATTTGAGCAAACGGAAAATCGTCAAGTGTAGTCCTTGAAGGGACTTTTCACAGCGGATCTTTGGATGTCGCTCCGGACCGTGATATATAGAAATGCTGGGAGCTGAAGGTGAGACAACGCGAGACAAGGTGACAATACCTGCCCGGGTGGTCTAATGGGTAAGCATCTCTGATTCGTTCTTTACTGAGAGCTTGTCCACTAACTCCCGCAATAGTATGATTCTCGCTTAGGGTACACCCTATAGCATATCTGCGAGAGGTTCCGCGTTCGATCCGCGGCTCGGGCCGATTTTTTTCCACTTCCTCATCGGAAGTGCTGACCAATCAGCTGTCGAGAGGACTACTAGTTTACCTAGCTACCTATACATGGAATGGAGTGGGATAGATAGGTGGTGACACAGCGGCCTGGCGGCAGGCCGGTTTAGCTGTGTTTTCCCCTTTTTTATGTGGCTATATATCTTTTCTGTATGATGGGTTTATAGGGTTCAGTCGCTTGTTTGGATACTAGATTCTTGCTATTGGTGAAGCGCCTGCGTAGCTAATCGGTTCAATGAACAGGCTACATCAGGTTAATAGAATCTTGAAAGATTGATTGATTGACTGACAAAGTAACGGCACTAGATGACGCAGAATATTCAAGTATAGCAGCAGACGGCAACGTCGAACCACCTCAAATACATACCAACAACAATAACAACAACAGATTGGGCTTTCAGTTCTGCTTCCCAGATTGCAGGGTGATGTGAGACCTTTCATATCCATGTTCGGTCACGGTACAAGACCAATCTTTTTATTTGCATTCCTAATGGAACATGGATTGTCCACGTTGACTCATGTCTCTGTATTTCGGAGACAAAGCTCTGGGGTGCTGTCTGCGATTCAAGATACTTTACAAGGGTCATGAGGAGTTCGGCGTACTTCGCGCCTAGTGAATAAGGCCCTGACATATTCCACAAGGTCATAGATAAGAGAAGCGAGTCCGTGTAGTTGTTCCTCATTGCCATGCTCCCACTGCGCTACCTCATATCCCATGTCCTTGGACTTGTATGCCTCGAAAGTCTCCCTGCGGTAATATACAAGCACGAGGGTGGGAATGTGGGAAACCCAAAGTCGCAGAAAGATGTCGGTCATATCCTCTCTTTCTTTAGTATTCCAGTCCTGAATTCGACTATTCAGTGAGTCTTTATGTCAATCACTTTGTCTAGGGTATGGGATGGCCGCCATCCTCAGCCCTCCTCGCGCCCGTGAGTCCAGGGACCGCACGTAGCAGATCAACAAGGGACGCCGCTTCCTAATCTTTCATAATACCTCCGTCACCTCGGACAGGTACACGTCCGACTCGAAACGAACAAGAGAGTACTAGCTTATTACCCCCAAATTCCTATTGAATTATCCTCTAGTGCAACTCCTAGCCCGCAAGTCCAGAGACCCATATGGTATATTCATCCACGAAATTGTACCCGTACCCGCGGACACCTGGAATCAGCTCTGTTTGGAGTTCTCTCGATGGATGAAAAAGACAGTGTTTCCAACCCTTTCCATAACAAAACGGAGGCTTTCGCAGACACCAGACATATCGACACGGATTGCCCATGACACTAGAGCAAGTAAAGACATCTACTCCGCGGTCGCGAACTTCGAATGTCGCTTTTCAACGGCTCTGACAGAGGGTTCCTACGGGAAATCCGGTAGCGTGCTGCGTTCGGATCATAGAAATAGTTATCCCTATCAGGATCCAGACATCGAGGGTCCGCTGAGGATACCAAACAGCACGGCGTGAATATTGAAGGCCAGATGGAACATATCCATTGGCTCATAGGATGTGGTTTCTTTGCTTTTGTAGTAGAATGGCACCAGTCATGCTGGACATCGCATCGAGTTTGGGGCCACTGGATCAATATCTCAACAACATAGGTTATATAGTGAATATGAAAGCTCTCAGGAATGTTAACTAGCATGTACGACTCCCCAATGCAATTTATATAGATCATTGAGGCTAGAGAATCATCCTGGACATGACCTGTCTTGGCGTCTGCCTCTAAGGAAGATAGGGCCTCGGCAAACGCCCGGTTGCCCGGAGCGACACCAGATCAACAAGTGTCAAAGATGGCATCTATTTCAGATCCACAAGTCTATGAGATCAAACGTCAGAATGATATAGTCATTTTGGTAGTCAATTGATCCAAGAAAATCCCAACATTTCCATCTCGGAATAAAACTCTGATGTTTCGGAGACTTCCCGCTAGCCAGGCCCAAATGAAACTAGTGAGAAGATTTTGCGACAGCCAAAGTAACCTGGAAAAGTCTTATGCTGGCGCCTTCGGGCCCAAAATGACGACAGGTGGTTGTGGCTGTTGCTGTGCAACATGACTATCTCCATAATCTAAACGTATCAGCCTGAACCAGATCGCCCCTGGTCAGCTTCTATCCTAGTGCCCTATTTTAGTCCAGACACACTCCACTCACACCAATCACCACATGGATCTCGCCAAAAAACACCATCAACAGCGCCTCCGGACCCTGGATCGCGCCACCGTCCGCAGTGGACCAGGTGGACGATGGCTTAGTGGCAGCCTAGGACTCCTCCACCCTATCGCCTTTTATAGCCCTGTCCGCCGCCATGTCTCGCGTCTCACGTTTTCACAAGCAGAGGCGATGCCCTCTATCATAAGAGCATCGGTGCATCGCCCCAATTGCTCTGAGTCGCAACGGTGACACCTCATCGGATCCCCATGCGCGGGAGAGATGGGACCTTCAACTGCCCGGAATGGGGTCCTCGGCTGCTGGCATACCATCGTCTTCCTTATCTTGACCACGAGCGTCCTTTTGTCACTGGGTCAAACAATCCAGGCCGAACCCTCGACAACCCACGGACCCGATGGGTTGCAGATTCGAGATGGAAATCGGGTAGCGCTGCGGATCATGCCTCTCGGGGCCTCCATCACGGCCGGCTACCGTTCTACCGATGGCAATGGGTATCGGAAGTACCTATGGGAGCAGCTTCGCTATGAGGGCTGGGAGGTGGATATGGTAGGCAGTCTTCGCAGTGGGGATATGCAAGACAATGTAAGTGGCCTAGGCTCTATTTTCGAATATATGAGTCTAACAGTGCAAACCCTAGGAAAACGAAGGTCACTATGGCTACCGGGTCGACCAGATAGCAGAAGTGGTCAAGAAATCTTATCATTTCCAGCCCAACCTCATCCTAATCAAGTATGTTCACATCTATTCCTCACTCCCAGCAGATGCTTTGATAGTAACTGTTAGTAGCGCCGGAACCAACGACGCTCTCCAAAACTACAACATAGACTCAGTCGGAGACCGCATGAACGGGCTGCTCACCCAGCTATTCGATGCCATCCCCGGCACCACCATCATCCTATCCACCCTACTACAGAACACGCGACAGCCGATCAATGTTGAAACAGTCAACAGAGAGTATCGCAAGCTCGCTGCCCAACGCCGTGCAGATGGCGACAGGGTTGTGCTGGCAGAGATGAGCCAGTTTATCAAATTCGACCAGCTCAAGGATGGAACTCACCCCATAGACCTTGGATATAAAGAGATGGCGTCGGTTTGGTGGGCAGCAATTGAAACGGCCCAACAAGCAGGGTTTCTCCAGAAACCGAACGGCGTAGGTTCTCTCACTGCCAGCAATGCGACGTCCAAACAGGCGGTGAATGCCAACGTCTCGGACCCGGATCTACCGTACTACAGCGCGGTTCCCCAGCCTGTATCCAATCGTGGGCTACAGGCATTCCGGGAGTATTGGCATGTTTTGTTGTTGGTGGTGGCTCTGCAGTTGGTTATCAGACATGTTTAAAGAAAATAACTTCGAGGCTTTGTTAATGCCTCGGCCGGATCAGGCTGTCTTTATATGACGGAACACATGAATGACTGGAACCCGTAGAATAATGAACATATACTTACTGTTCCCAGACAACCCCCAGCTGTCGACCCCCCTACAATAGAATTTTCTCTAAGACACCGATGCCACCGAAGTCATTCGACATAGCGGCCGGGTACATATCTAATATGATGTATTTCTGTCCGCGAGAACAACCCAGTCCTGATTCCGCATCAATCACTCTGCAATGTTCGGGACTGCGCACTACGAACGTCGCCTCGGGGTTCAACGCGGTCACCTCACCATATACGGGTATCAACCCGTTATCATACAAAAGATAAGGTTTCATTACAACGGGGAGATTTTAGGTAAGGGGTAATACCTCTCGATGAGGCTCGAGTTCGTTCGTATAACGCGGTGCATGTAACCTTTAGGAAACTGTTGCCTGCATATCGCCGACAGGCGAGGGTCAGCATACGGCCCAACTGAGCGACCAACCTGTGCATATAGATGTGAAGCCGGTGACTCACTAAGTGTATGATAGAGAACCCCGCTTATTGTCTTATTCGACCTGTTGCAGCCTAATCCGCCTCGTATTCGGATGTCATATGGAGACATACTAAACCCACCCTCGCCCTCCGGCGTTTCTCGATCTTTAAGCCCCAGCCCTTCTATCTTGGAAAGAGCTTTCATACAAAGCTCTAAGGCTATCTATTGCTCTGACTTCTCAAGATCCGTTCTGCGTCTGACGAGATGCGCCCTTTCCAACCTGAATGGAGCGCATATGTTGCGCAGACACCCAATCCCCCTCATGATGACCCCGAACGCACCAGATCGTTTCTCTCTTCACCTGCTGGGAATGCACTTTCCACGGGCGTAGCAACCGTCGATGCCTGTGCTCCAGCGACGGATGGTCATCAAATACCCATTCGAGCCTACACCTCAGATGCAAAGGAAGAGCCATCGGGGCTGGTGATTTTCTTTCACAGCGGTGGCTTCACCGGCGGCTCTCTCGACACAGAAGACGGTACTGCTATCGCGACAACTCCCATAAAAAGTACCAAGAACCTTGTTCTAACACAACTAAATTGGCAGTTTCATGCAGATACATGGCCCTGAACGGCCATGTCACTGTCATCAGCGTGGAATACCGACTCAGTCCAGAATTTGTCTACCCCATCCCAATCGATGACGGATGGAGCGCAGTTCAACATGTTCTAAACAATCTCTCGAGCTTTGTGCCAACTCACACCGCACCTACCAAGCTCATTCTGAGCGGGACCTCGTCAGGAGGACATCTCGCCGCCATACTGACGCAGCGACTGCGGAAATGGCTCAGCGCGGCGGAAAATGCAGCTCTCGCTGCAAAAGTATCCTTCGATGGAGTCCTGCTTAGAGCCCCGGTCACCGTTCGCGCGACAGACGACGAGTTCATTCCCCCCAAGTTCCGGCAACTCCAGCGGTCCTGGATGGATGATTATACTGGGGCTAAATTAGATAGACTGAGCATGATCAAGAACCATGGTTCGTCTTTTGCGTGGTTTTGCCCTGGACCGAAATGTTGAAGCTGCCTGCGAGATAGTGCTAACTGCGCATGCTAGATAGCCTTGGAGTTCCGGTAAACGAACGGAGTTCCCCGGACGCGTATCCACTCTGGGGCACGTTGGATGGTCATCCAAGGACGTATATCCAGATTTGCGAGATGGACATCCTGCGCGATGACGCGGTATGCTATGCAAGGGCCTTGCTGGATGCTGGTGTGGAAGTCAGAGAGATCTTGTACACGGTAAGTAAGGTGATTTCCATGCACTTCCTTGATAGCTGAACGGACTGTTTAGGGGTTACCGCATATCTTTTGGGTTTATGGCCCTCATTTGCACGTATCCAAGATGGCGCAGGACGACTGTGTAAATGGGTTAAGGTGGCTTTTGGGAACGGCTGGATAATTGGCCATGCACTCGCAGGAATAGTGCTTCTATAACAGCACCATGTCAGTGCCCATTATGCAGGCGCGGTTGGGTGAATATGGTTCCGGCAAGGCCGAAGCCAAAATGTTGTATATCAACGTCAGAGGGACTGGAACTACAGCCACTGCCCTGATTGCAACAAGAACTCAGTACGAAATTTGAAGATGATAAAAGAAAAACATACAACACCCGGGATTCGCTGGTGGTCATCCACCTAACTACTAAGCGGCCGGCGGGTGGCTTAACTCGGTCTAGCTGGCTATGAAGTATTTTCGCCTCATGTTTTGTGGATACTATATACGAGAGGGTAGCATTGGACTCGGAGCCAGAAGCCTATCGACGAAGAGGAGTACCAGGTCACTTCTGGAGCGCAATCTCAGATTCCTTATCACACCCATCGGCTTGATGTCAGTGGGCCGAGTAGTCGCACTGCCTCTCCACGAACCCTTGGGAATACCTCGCTCACTCCTAGTCGGCTGGGTATCGTAAAACGCAATGCATCACCTCCAGGAGGACTACATCGTCACCTTCGGCTTGATACTATTAGTAGTACGTGATTCTTCTTGATCCTCCCTGCTAGTCACCTTGGCCATGACCAGCCCCTCTTTTGCTCCCAGGCAGTAGCCTCAACCGCGCTCTCGGACTGAAACCCTTCCCCTTTCCTATTTCTCAGTTGCCCAAAGAATATCTGCTCAAAGGATACAATGCATTCGGAATACAGGACTCTTTACTCCAGAACCCCCCGCTCCTTCCTCTTCGCCGTCGTCGCCAACGTCGGCCCCGGCGGCGCCAGCCGCCCCCTGGCCGTGGCCTACCGCCAGCACCACGAGGAATACAACATGAAGATATCATGGCCACGAGTGCAGCATGTGGTAACCGATACCCTCGGGCTTATTGAGATTCTTTCGGACCCCGCGAACCGCGCGCTGCTGGAGGCAGAGAGGGCGCTCGCGGAAGACTGGTATCGTCGGTCTCCGGGGCACCACGAGCCTCCGCTTCATGAGCGGCCCAGCGTGCCCGACACCGCGCAGCCACCTTTCGTGCCCTGGAACAGGCGTTGGGAGCGAGTCCAACAACATCCCCCGCTGCCGTGGCGTGATGACGGCCTCAACCAGTTCCCCTTCACCGCGACCTGCGTTTTGCTGGCGTTGTTGCGCGACGATCGTCCTGCTGACGCCACCCGCCCCAGCGACGTCCAGTTCCAGCCGCTATCAACGGTGTTCCGGGCGGACTGCACTGAATATGGCCTGGTCATCGTTGACATCTCCGACCTCGACAGTGGTGTCAAGTACGGCATTGTTGCGTTTCCCGTGGACTACATGGCTGAGGTTCAGTCCCGCGACAAGTTCTTCGACTGGGATCCCGTCGAAGACCCCCAGCCGGAAAAGGAGCCGGATGTTGTACTTGTGAGCTCGCGGCCTCGAGTGCTGTTGTCGATTGCTCAGTGGGCAGGGAAATATTACAGATGGTCGGGCCTGGAAGACCACCCCAGCATCCTCCGACTGGAAGGGAGGCCGCTGGCTGATGCGGCAGCCTTGGATTGTACGTCTGCTCACGCCAGTGGGATCCGGAAGGTTTTGCAGGTGCTGACGATGAATGGTAGACATCTGGCCGCCGGAGCTGGAGGCTCCGGTTCGAGCATCTTCAAAAGGTGTTCTCTCGCGCGTTTTGAAATGTTCTGTCCCATTTAAACCCATAGCAACCACATTTCCTAACCTCCGACAGACTTCAGACCGTCAAAGAAAGCCAGGTCCACCCCCCGATCCATGGTAGGCTACACCATAGTAGACGAACCGCCGCGACATGGATCCATGGACCGCGCAAAAGAGGATGGATCAACCACAAGAGCCTCGAGCGTGACCATATCAGAAGAACCGCCACAAACTGTCCCAGTGGATATGGACCGCACTATTGATGATCTGCTGCTTCTCACCCAGGAGCCCGTATCCCCTCCCCTCGAGAAACAAGCGCTTGCCCACCTTCAAACGCTGGTCCCGTTTAGTGAGAGGCTGCGGCAGCGACTCGAAGAGGTGCCTGACAGGCTCGGTCCCTCCACGATCTCCAGCCATGTTCTGCGCGTGGCATACACTGAACGCAGTCACCTCAACTGGGTGTCGTTTAGCAACCTGCTGCCTCGCGTGATTGCGGCCGCTGTTGCATCGGATGAGCTTCGCGGTGCGTCTGCGCTCAGCCTCTGCGTCGATGCGTGGGCAGGAGATGAGGAGGAGGGTGAGTCAGACCTCGTTGATCTCGCTGCGGCCCTGGCGCAGTCCACAAGCCTGCAGCAGCTCTGCTTCTTGCAGCAACCGGACCGGAACCACGATGAGGTCTCCGCTCGTTTCTGCTCGCAGCTGCTGCGGCTGTGGGGGAGGGCATCAGGAGAAGACTGGGAGTGGCTCCGGCCGAAAACTATCTATTCGACCTCCGGATTTTTAACCGGTTTGCGGAGCCGCAAATCTCTCACACCATCCTCGGTGATGGGGTTGGGTTCCTACTTCAACTCATCAGGTGCCAGGGTCGTTCCCATGGTCCACCTGTTCACGTTTGAATGTCCCCTGTGTGATGATGTCCCAGACTCAGTTGCAGACCCCCACGTCCGCCATGCTCGTAGCAGGTACAGACGCTACTACTCCATTGACAATACTGGGTTAACCGCCGAGAACTTCGCCATCCGATTCCTAGGATTCCTCCGGGCGTTGGGTCCGTATTCAGATCCCGACAAGGCCATCTTGCGAGTGGCATATCATGGGGCTTTCTCGTCGCTTGCTTCCATGGACGACGACAGCGAGCAACACCGCCGCAAGCACGGCTGGTCTCCGCCCCGGAGACCGCCGCCACCATCGCCGCTCCGGTCATCGCCAGATCCATTGGGCGTGAGACCCATCCCCGCCGGATTTTTCGACTATGAGCTCGCCCCTGACGACCCGTCCAGAGTTCGACTCGGGGATATCCCCCCTGGGAACTGGGTGGTTCTTGTGGATCGACGAGACCGCAGTTGCCGGGCTTGCGACGACACCACCTTCCTACAATACTCTTTCATGAGAATCCGTCAACCCTCTGCCGCGATTGCGCCCAAGCAGCAATCTAGCTCGGTCAAGATAGTTGGCGGGCTGACCGACTTCCTACGCGAAACCGTGCCGGGGACTGAGATTGCCACGTGGGAGAAAGGGGTCGAGGAGATAGAGAAAGATTTGGTTTCAGCTTTAACGAGACCGAGTCCACCCAGCACCCCGTCATCGCCTGATTTAGCGACGATGCTGGAACGGGCGAACGAGTCGTTCAGGCGTTTGGCCGAAGCTTCAACTGGGACGAGCGCATCTACCCCTCCGCCCGATATGGATCGTCCCACGTGGGAGAAACAGATGCAGGAGGTATACAGGAAGTTGGCTTCTTATTCATCTCCGATAAACCCACACGGCACCCTGCCAGAGAGTGGCATTTCCACTGGGGAGGAACCGGTTGTGGATGAGGAGAGGGAACGCTGCATCGGCATCCGCGTCATGGATGAGAGCTGGGCTTACACTTTGCTGGAGCAGTTATGCTGATTTTGTGACTGACGATTCCAGCAACTTTATGGACATAACGAAAGTGGACTTTGTTGTCTTCTCTTTCACCTTTGTTTCTTTGGTTCTTCTGTAGGGAAGACGGTCAAGAAGAGGTGATTACTTGGATGGTTGGCTAGGTGAGTCCTATTGTAGGACTATGGGTAAATACCACTGTGAATGATTGGAAAACGGATGTCTGAATACTGCCATATTCCCGACTTTGAATCGTTGTTATGATCCCGAACAGACGGAATAGTTCTACCATAGTCACGGGATTATATGATCAGAACCCCTGTAGGGACGTCAACCAGAGTAGAACGGAACAGGGACAATAGACATGATATTGAGTGTTCAAAGGACACAGAGCATGTCATCATTTCTTATGCTAATGCTTACAGTCGTGCAGCTACGCCGTCCTAGAGACACTACCTAAACTTCTGTTCATGTTATGCATCTTAGTTCACTCCCCGGGTGGGCTCTGAGATCAACTGCTACAGTACAAACACCCGAGGTTGACATCTGAGTGTCCTACAATCAGCCATATTGTGTTATCCGACTTAACCGGACTGTTCCGAGAGAAAGCATAAAGACATTTACTTTGAACACGGCAACGCAATCACCCTCCTACCACACCACGTCGTCGGCCTGAGCGGTGGCAGTGAGCGGGGATCTCTATTCGATTGAGAAAAAGCCGCAGATCCAAAAGTATCCATTGACAAACCAAGGTCTTCGTTGTGAGCAAGGGTATAACTCCATGATGATATTATTGATAAACCAGTTGACTAAAGTATTATATCCGATTACCAAATGACCTATTGAGGCTCGATATCAGGCTATACCTGGTGGGCTACCTACCCACATGTAGGGATATAGAATCTCCGACTACCCCTCTTACTCGTAGCCTCCGGATGAACGACAGAAACTCTGCCGATTCCACGGAATCACCCCATCCAGACATCCCGATGATATCATAGCGTCGTCGAACAAGGTTGAGGAGACGGCATGGCGCCATACGTCCGGGATGGAGAACTCAAAGACCGACAGGTACATGCGCATCTTATAGGACATCGGGGCGATCAGACATACTTAGGTTACAGTAGCGGCACGCAGGTAAATGAAGATCCAGACTCGAAACCAGTGCCCTGGCGGCCGGTGGCTCCTCGGTTACGCACTCGGGGCAAATGAGCAGCCTAGAACACGCCATGATCCCCCGCAATCCTCCGCCGTAGGGGCCGCCGGAGGGGCTGCCCCGCCCCCGCTTCTGGCCCCGCCAGGAGCCCCGAGCATTGCATGCAGTATTCCGATTACACCAGGACCGCCAGCAGCCTGTACGCTCTTCTTCTGTATGCGTCTGCGCCTGTATATAATACCGCGCACGCGTCTGATTGGGGCACATTGCTCTCAACGTGCAATCCACTCCCTGTGATCTCACCAGCACGATCGTCCTCAACAGGCCATCTGGCTCGGAGGACAGCCAGTAGGTTGCTCGTTTCATGACGCCATAGAGTAAGCGCTATGAGTGACGGACCATGGGATCCTGTTCTCTGCATCCGGCAGCGATTGGCAACATATCCATGTGAAGTGACGCGGGCCGGGGAAGAGAGAAACTACTTAAAGGCTGCGCAGAAGCCGGAATCGAAGAACCAGACCACTTCATAGGACCTCCTAGACACTTCCTTACTCTTCACATACCTATACACATCCATACAGCCCAACATGACAACCACGCAAGTCATCGCCGAAAACGCCCACCTCGCCGGCGCCCGCAACAGTCTCCGCAAGGAGGACTGCATGAAGCTCTACGAGGAATGGGCCGCCTCCTACAACAGCGACCTCGCCGACGCCTCCCAGAACTACGTGGCCCCTATCCTCGTCGCCCAGGCCGCCGTCAAGTCCAACAACCGCGCCAAGGCCACCGTCCTGGACGCCGGCTGCGGCACCGGCCTCGTCGGCGAGGCCCTCGCCAAGAGCGGAACCATGACCATCGACGGCGCGGACCTGTCGCCCGCCATGCTCAAGATCGCCGAGGACACCGGCGTCTACCGTAACCTCATGCTGTGCGACTTGACCCAGCCCATCGACCGGCCCGACGATACCTATGACATTGTGACGTGCTGCGGCACCTTCACGCGCGGCCATGTCGGGCCGGACCCGGCGCTGCGCGAGTTCATCCGGGTCACGAAGAAGGCGGGGATTATTGTCGCGACGGTGCTGGAGGAGATTTGGGTCTCGGGCGGGTACAAGGCTGAGGTCGAGAAGATCGAGAAGGAGGGCCTGGCGCGAGTGGTTAGTATGGAGCTCAAAGACTACAGAAAGGGCGCGGGCGACAAAGCTACGTTGATGGTTCTGGAGAAGACAGGTTCCGCTTGACCGATTGACCTTGACGACTGACGACCGGCGGGATGCTTTTATCTTTTACGACAACAGGTTTGCGGGCGAGGGCGGGATGACTTTGACATCTTAGGATGCACTCAGCTTAACCTAGTCTACAGAAGCCACGGATCTGTAACTGCCCATTGCGACCTGACGATCTCCCGTATGCGCCATGATCCTTGACACGAGTGACCGTACCGACGTAGAGCCCTGATGGAACTTGTACTTGTAGAGAAGTCATGGTAGTGACATCAGTAGGTGCTAATCGTAGCTTGGGTGGCTTGCCTACCAAGTCTGTTGTTAGTAGATGATATTACTTCCGTTGCGCATCGATCAAATATGATATACGGGATCAACCCTGCGCATCCTTACTCATTCTCACACAGACGGGTAGTAGTAGTAGCGGCATCTCGGATTGTCCAATTTGGCTCTCTGATACTTGGATGAATATTGTATGAGACATTATTTGATATCCAAAGCTACCCAGCACTCACCTGACTGCAGAATAACGCACTCATAGACCATTTCAATAACAGACGGAATGAGATCTGGTCATGCAGACAAATTGATATACATTCACTTCATATCAACATCATTTACAGAGCACATCCAGATACAAGACCTGCCGCAAGAACCTAGCTCTGGCCTGCAAGGCCTACAAAATCATCAATTAAACAAAAGCAAACGAACCGTTCTCATTCCCAATCCGTTCGGCTAGGTTAACGTCGGCGTCATGCAATTCACCATCGGAACTGGCCAACCTGGCCCGCAGAACGGGCACGTTGCCGTCTCCCTCCAGATGAAAGGAGATGTCCTCAGCGGTGTGGGAGAAGTTTTGTCCTCCCCACTCAAAAGAGCCTGTCGTAAAATCAAAACGTAAGCTCATTCCCATGCTACAGAGAGAGATAGTGTAGCATACCTTCGCTGTTCCCGAGGAACCTGTCCAAGTCAATGGATGCCTCTTGAAAGTCTCCGTCGCCATTGGCAAGCCGAGCGACGAGGATGTGGCCGTCGTCAACGCGGATATCTTCAGCGCGCTCGTGGAAGCTCATTGTGTATGTAGCTTGGAGGTTCTGGAGGGGTTGAACGCAAGAACGATTGAGTCTTGGGAAACTCAGACTGATCACAGTGGAGGTTTTTATACCCTCCGGCTCACTTGGTTATACGAAATTATATCAACTGATGCTATTACCCGCCCACCGCGATGCGTTGTCAGTCTACAAGAGGTCGGTAAGCTCGTTGTTTCCCCTACGATGCATGCGATATCCATACTACCTCTAGGCGCATCCCTCCGGCCCAATCAAGCGGTATTTCCAAGGCAGCAGCAATACCCAGAACCCTAGCAGCACATGTGTAAGCGTCGGAAAGGCGCAGGGCTGCCATAAGACAGTATCCACTGATCCACTATACAGCGGACATCCACATTGCCAAGAGACGTTGGCATGATAGGCAGCCATTTTTCCCAATCTAGGCGGGGTGTCAATGGCCTCCTGCTGGCATCTTGAACGTACTCCGGAGCATTGCTGCGAACTGCAGTCGGGGAACATGCAGCAAAACGCCCTATCCTACATCATTCTACATGTCCAGATTGGCCCTAGGACCAAGGCTACCGCCTTACGAGCGCAAAAAAACCCCTGATTACATGTTGCGATGATGCAATGTGCGGTGAAGACCCTGGGGCCAGAGGATCCACCTTCATCCTCCTAGTATCATTAACCTACTAGGTACCCCTCTAGATATATGCCCAATCCTTTTAGCAATGCTACATTCCACTTCGGGTCAAGGGAAAAAGGTCAGGATACCTTCTACCGTTGTCTTTATTCTTGCGAGTGGTTTCCGCTGTATTAGGTGCACCCAGCTCCATTCGAGACGAGGGTATCACACTCGGCTACCCCCGGGCCCAGGGCTCCCTGGACAGCTAGAGCAATGCTACATGTGCAATTGACTAGGGCTTATGGCCCAGATCCTAATGAGCGCATTTTACTGCCAGTCATATCCATGCAACCCAGGAATACTCTCTTCCGGTTGAAATATGCATATCCCCACGTTTGTCTTCCAACTCACCCGAGCCGTTGCTCTGTGGCTACTTCTCGATGGGACATAGGGCGATGATGTACAGTGCGCTTGGGCAGAATGGTCTCAAGAGGAACGTGGTAGCACCCTACACAAGTGGAGCTGGGCCAACTCCCCCACTGGGGATCATGACACACCTTCCACTTCCATACTCCTCACCGCGTGAGGAGCAGCCCGAAAGAACATCGACCCCTCCTCATACTGAAGACGAGCGTGCTGGGATTTGTTCATTGACAGGGCTACTGTTGACCCAAGAATGTATTCGGTCGGTTTTAGACTCTGGTGCATATGTATTCAGCGTTGATGTGTACCATTGGTAGTTATGAATGGAAGGAATAGCACCTTTAATGGATAACGCGCTTACTTTCTACCTATACTCTGTTGGGGTTCTATGTGTTCTATTCAGTACTTATTAGGAAAACGTACCCAGACCGGCCGACTAAGCAGTCGGAAGATTGCTCCAAGTGTAGATGAGATTACTGCCATAGTATGGCTATTTTTGTTAATATCCAATGGCTTAGGGTAGCTTTTGCTATGGACGTAGGTAGTCGGCTGAGAACGTGGGAGTTAGGGCTATCCGCCTTGTGCAGGATCAGCCTCCGTGCTGGCGGGAAGATCACGGTCCGGTAATTTGTTGGAGAGCTATAAGTGGAAGCCGTGCATTTTTATGCTATGTCTGTTCACGATTTCTGCTCAGAAGTAGATAGATCTTTCTTCTGATTTTGTTTTCTTAGGCCTTTCGTCCGAAGCCTCATTCGGTGCAACATGGAATGGGTTTCGATCACCCGTCGTGGCCTCGCATTGCCCTTCAAGTATTCAAGTCCCAAATTTACACTCACCATCGAACTCACCAATCCCAAGCAGAGCTACACCACCTGGGATTAGGTCAAGGGCACAATAACCGTGACTGTGGAAGGATATCACGCTGGATAATCTCGGTATCAAGTTCGTAGGTTACTCTCAAAGCGTTGACGGTTTTCAGTGCCAGGCTAGACGCAATGCAACTGGTCGGCGGGATAGAGTCGGGATAACGGGAGCTCATGTCAAGACTGCGTCACTTACCTCTATTTATATCTCACCTACTGGATGGGTGAAACATGTATCTGCTCAGTATCCGGAGTTTATCGACTCCCAGAACACCGTTGAGCCTGATATTAGAGGGCGTCGGGTCTGACTGTCCGAGTTAGGGCTAATCCTGGGGTCATGATCAAATAGGTTGTACACGAAGCCACACCCTTCTACTCCATCGACAATTACACTGAAAAGACAATAATATACAGAACTTCTTCATCAAGAGTAAAAAGAAAAGAAAAAAAAAAAACATACAACAGCAGGGATTCGCTGGTGGTCACCCACCCAACTACTAACCTGCCGGCGTGTGGCTTAAGTACGGCTGAGCGGACGGGAAGCCCTGTTTTCCACACCCTATGGTCGTATGTGCTAGACAGAACGAAAGATAGAACTATATCAAAGCTCTTAGACATTTTGGACATCTTTTTCAGACAGGTCCCTGACTCTAATCAGGGTAGAAAGGGCATGTATAGGATCTCATGTATATCGGGTAATCCTCATATAATACATACTTCGTCCAGTATCTTCGGTCCTTTGAGAGAAAGACAATACCTGGCCTTTGGTCTATGCGCATGAGAGATATATATTCAGCAGGGCTGTACTTATATACCTCCCACAACCAATACCCACCAAAATTAGACCAAAATCAATAGAATCTCAGAGCGAGCTCTAAAATATCGTACTCATACATTGCAGTCCCAACGTTCTGGGGAGTTCACAACGGAAGACATGGTTGATCTAACCTAGTGGATCTGACCTGTCAGACACAGTTACCTGATTCAGGTGATGCGCTATGTTTCAACAGCGGTGTTGGGGATAGGCGCACTGGATATAGATGCAAGCATACTAGGTAGTTATACATATACTCACCTTTATTATCAAACTATATCGTCTTCATGCGTCTCTTACTGTTTATTATTACTCACTGCATTGATCACGATGCAGAAACCGATGCAAACACAACAAACTCCGGACTTCCTCTTTCGGACGTTTTATTTCGCCGACGAAACGAAGAATCAAAATCTCTCATCAGCACCAGCATCGCCAAACCGACTGTCCCAGCCATTACTCTCTTACTCCCGTCTCTCCCAGCCATCCGTCGGCGTATATATTCCCCTCGTCATCTTCTCTGTCCGCGGACTGGGACGCTCCCTGCACATTCCCACTTGATCTGTCCATATCTCTCCCTCTACCTAATCCACCTACCTCCTCCGTCTCCGATTTCATAATCTCACTATGTCGACCGATGCTCAAACGGCTGGAAAGAGAAAGAGAGCCCGTATGTGACCCAATCGCAACATTGGATGGCAATCTGTTACCATCCTGTTGGTTCTTTCATGCTGGAATCCATCACATTCCGCAAGCTTTTCGCTCCCGCTCCGTTTTCTTCCCGCGGCTCTTCACCTCAATTACCTGTCTCTTCCCCTCTGCTGGGTCTGGATCTTCCATCTTCCATCGTCATCTGCGAGAATCGGAGTGTCAGAACCGGAGGTAATCAGCCAAGTGTCATTCTGGCTGACTCCCCCGCTTTGCGCTCTCATCCTTGCAGCGGCCGGAATCCTAGTGTGACCCCGCGATCAGCCACCACCATTACCCTCTTCGTCACCAGGGGCTCTTCACCCTACTGGAATTCCTGAAACATGGTCACTGACTCCTCTCCTCCTTCAGGGACCCAGTCCTGTCCGCCTCCGGAGTTGCCGCAACTCGTCGCCGAGCAGCATGTGCCCATCGCCGCCCATGACAAAGAGACCCAGCGTTTGATCGTCGTTCTCTCCCATGCCAGTCTGGAAACCTACCGCGCCTCGGGCGGTCGCAATGGCGCCGGTCGCGACGAGAAGTACTCGCTGCTCAACAGCGACGAGCATATCGGTGTCATGCGGAAGATGAACCGCGACATTAGCGAAGCTCGTCCGGACATCACCCACCAGGTTGTCCTCTCTTAATCTCCCATCGGTATGCGATTGTACTGACCCTGACGCAGTGTCTCCTCACCCTCCTCGACTCCCCCATCAACAAGGCCGGTAAACTCCAGATCTACATCCATACCGCCAAGGGCGTCCTCATCGAGGTCAACCCCAGCGTTCGCATTCCCCGTACCTTTAAGCGATTCGCCGGGTTGATGGTCCAGCTCCTCCATCGTCTCTCCATCCGCTCGACCAACTCACAGGAAAAGCTCCTCAAAGTCATCAAGAACCCCATCACCGACCATCTGCCCCCGAACTGCCGCAAGGTCACCCTCAGTTACGAGGCCCCGGTGGTGCGTACCCGCGACTACATCGAGTCTCTGAACCCCAACGAAAGCATCTGTATCTTCGTCGGCGCCATGGCCAAGGGACACGACGATTTCGCCGACTCCTTCAAGGACGACACCATCAGTATCAGCAACTACAGCCTGAGCGCGAGTGTGGCATGCAGCAAGTTCTGCCATGCCGCCGAGGAAGTGTGGGATATCGTCTGATCCGTCTGCGTCCGAAAGCATTTCTTCTTTCCCGAATCGAAACGGCCAAAACTTGATGAGGTGACGAAGTTTTCAATCTATTCATTCCAATGGCGAGAGAAATCGATCCGTGTGCGCGACCCGTCGTCTGCTGCCTGTCATTTTCTGTGTCGGTCCTTGTTGTTGGAATCCCTCTCTATAGTCCACGTGTTTTGGTGCCTTGTTTTTCTGTGCATTTCTCGTTTCCCAGTGTCTGAATTCCTCTCGTTCGGCGCCGTATGACCCGGAGAGAGCAGACGCATCTGTTGTTCGGGTATCTCTGCCTTTTGTTTTCGGGCAGTGACGGGATCTTTGCGTGACAATACCGCGGGAGTGGCTGGGTTTGACCCGGCCACGACTGGAGGTTCGGCCGTGCCCAGCGAGACCTGCATTTGTCTTGTTGTGTACTTTTGGCGGGCTCTGGTGGTTATAGAGTAATGGATCATGATATCTTGGTTTATATTGTTTATATTGTATTGCGTTGACTGTAGTGACTGTTTCGGGCATTGGGTAGAAAGTAGGGTGCCTGAGGCTACATTTCAACCTAAACCTGACCTCCATCTTCTCTTCATCTGCTCCCATCTCCAATCTCTACTCTCCACGGAGTACATCTCTGCTCTCCAACATACTCCGTTGGACGCTTCACTGACTCACGGTGGAGCCTGCAGAAGAAAGAGAAAATGGAAAAGCCCATCGGGTGGCCCCGGTGGCTAGATTGCAGTTCGATTCGACGTGGCACGCAGTCATCCTCGGTGCACTCCGCTTCACTTTGCGAACCCAAGCCAAACTACCGGGCGAATCGAACGATAATGCGATGAATCTTGGATTCCGAGAATACGGTGTATGGCGATGATGGCATCTCGACGATCCATATCTCCCTCCCCTGTTTCGTCTCGATTCTCGGCCATTCCAAAAGTCGACTGCAACCCCTGCATTTCACTCGAAAGGAACACTGCAGGCCCGACTACCGCCTCCGATTTGTTTGGCGCTCCTGGCGCTTGATCCACGAGCGAGGTGGGTGTGATTTGGCGGTCTGTCGCTCCATCCGGCGACTAGCAGCAGCAGCAGTGCCCAAGCAGGGACCACAGCACACATTCGCCCGTCTCATTGGCGACAGCGCCGGCCACTACGGAGTATTTATTATCAGTTTGATTCTTGTCAGTCATCGCGGCCTCTCCACCACCGCCAATCCGTCTCCTCCACCTCAACTGGCCCCCTCGTCGCCTCACCTCGGGGTTCTTAAGACGCTGGATCCACCGTCTCCTGATAGGCGCCTCGTCCATCGGCGCAGGGCCACCTACCGCACCGTCCGTCAGGCTTCCCCACGATGACCTGGCAGAGCTGCCCTGGAGGGGCCCGTCGTCTCGTCCTTGCTTCACCGATAGGGATCAGATCAGTCCATCGCCAGTCGGAGCGCAGAGCCGGGCTCGCGCATGGAGACGTCGGGGTGCTGGCGAGATGCGGTCATCCGGTCATTCCTTGAGTCGGCTCTTTGTTGGCCCCCAGTGCGGTGATTGGATATAAATTGGGCAGGCGTATGCATCGCAGTCCAACACCTAAGCATATGTTGTCTTCTGTCTGCTGTTGCATATATCTTGGTCGTCTTCTCGTCGAGAATACCCATTCTCAACATCCATCATCTCGCTGAGCCAGCGAGTCCGTCGACATGCCTGTCTCCCATCTCACCCTCACCGTCGCCCACCTCCCCACCTCCACCTCTTTCTTTCTCTCCTGTCTCCAGCCGCTGGGATACAAGTTCATCGGCCGCCACGATGACTACATCGGCTTCGGCCAGCATTCCGGTGAACCGGCGGACTTTTGGATAACCGAGCAGAAGCCGGGGTATGTCACCCTTTTCCATTACTACTACGACTGCCAGCTAACGACAACAGAGTCCCCGCCGGCGCCGCGCACGTCGCCTTCCCCGCCCCCTCCAAGGACGCCGTCGGCGCTTTCTTCATCAGCGCCCTCAAAGCCGGCGGCAAAATCCACGGCGAGCCCAAGACCCGCGACTCGGACTCGGGCTACTACAGCGCCGCCGTCATCGACTTTGACGGCAACAGCGTCGAAGCCGTCTACCGGCCGGGGCTCTCGTCCGCACGGTCTGAAGTGAGCCGGCCGGCCCTCGCGCTGCTCGAGAACGCGCCCGCCTCCGCCGCCGGCTCCGTCGTCTCCAAAGCCACCAGCGTCTCCGCCACAAGCAAGGCGTCCTCCGTCCGCCGCTCCGAGGCCCGCTCCGCCGTCTCCAGGGCGCCCACAGAACACCACCGCGGCCTGCCCGCCGCCCCCTCCACAACCTCCACCTCCACCCGCAGCATCCAACAACAGCCCCCGCCGCAGACCCCAACCTACGTCGTGCACACCACCCAGAAATCCGACGACGGCACCACCGCCAAAACCATCGTCGGCACCCTCATCGGCGCCGCCGCCGGCGCCGCCATCGCCTACGCCATGTCCAAGGGCGACGCCGACTCCAGCGAATCCCATCATCCCCCCTCCACCGCTCCCCCGCAATACTCCCCCCCGCGAATACCCCCAGCTCACCACCGGCCAACGGCCCCCTGGGCATGCTCCAAAAGCACCCTCCGCGCCTTCGAAGCCCCTGCCCCGCCCGGCAGCACTTTACTTCGGAGGCAGCAGCAGCGGGCCCCCGCTCAACCACCCGCAGCGTCACTCCAAGAACCCCCGCGCCAGCACCGTCTACGACCCAGCCACCCGAATACGACGGGCCCCCGCCGCCCGCCAGCGAGTTCGGCCGCCGCGCCTCGGAGAGGAGCATCTACTCGACCGGCTCGAGGCGCGACATTCCGCTGCGCGCAATTGAGTACCCGCCCCCGCTGGACGGGAGCGCCGCCCACTATCCTTGCGACCGCAGCACGCTGATCAGCAGCTTCCCGGAGAAGTCGCGCGCCTTCGACGGTGGCAGCGTGTACTCGTCGTCGACGATCAAGGCCTCCAAGGCGAATGGGAACTACTCGCAGACGATCTACGAGGTCGACGAAGAGCGCCACAGCCATACCTCGCGCCGCTCGTCTGCCACCTCGCATCGCTCGTCGCGCTCTCATGCTCAGTCCCATGCCGGCGGCAGCTCGGCCTCGCGCTCCCCTCGCCACATCCCCCTCCCAGAATCGGTCGCGTCGTACCGCTCCGCTACTAAGTCTGGCGTGTCGGCGCGGGAGGTGCCCCTGCCCGAGAGCGTGTATGAAGATGCGGGCGACGACGTCGGGCCCGAGGACTCGATTAGCCAGATTGGCGGGGATGCGTCGTCGCGGCGGTCGTCGCACTCGCATCGGTCGCGGGCGTCCAAGCACTCGCATGTGAGTAGTAAGTTTGATGAGCCTGTCCGCCCGAGTGATAGTATCAGTCAGGTGTCGAGTCATGCGTCGCGGGCGTCGCAGCGGACGCTGAAGGCTGGCGGTGGGGGGTCTAAGGCTGGATCGAAGATTAGTATGAGTCGGCGGGGGAGTCAGGTTGTTTAAGTGCATCTCTTTTTCTTTCTTGTACTTTGTGATATGGTTTGTTTCATGCATCTACTGCATATCGGCGTTGTTCATACATATACATTTACATATACATCTACATACATACATGGACATCTACAGTTAATACAGAAATCACTCTACCACTCAATTGAGCTATCTGATTGATACACCAGTCACCTCATCTCTCGTCCCGCATCCGCATCGTATCCTTCCCCAGCCCCGACCCGGGATCTCCCCTCCCCTCCCAGGTTATTGATTCATGATTGGAACCCACTCGCGCGAGCAGGCCGAGAAACAGAAAACCCATGATGCCATGAAATGCATGAGAATTGGTCATAAGGATCGTTGTGACGACGACATTCCCGCCAACCGAAACAAAAACGAAAACAAAACGAACACAGGGGTAACGGCGAAGACACGCAAATGATTCCGGAAAACAAGGATCTACGATCACGGTACGCCAGGCTTCGGATCTGGATCTAACGGAAGCGAAAAGGGATTGGGAAGACCAAGGTGGCCGTGGAGATTGAATTGCGAAGATCAAATAGCATATTTGCGGGTCCATTCGCGGGCGGTCGCTTCGTACCGAGGGCGGTCGGTCTTGTAGACGTGCGCGATCTCAGGCACCAACGGGTCGTCGGGGTTGGGGTCTGTGAGCATTGAGCAGATCGAGAGGAGGACTACACGATTAGCAGGGGTACCTTCAAAAAAGAGGAACGGACTCACCCTTCGAGATTGTGAGAGCGGGACTCCACTGGTCTCGGAGGATATCGAGACAGATGCTGCCGTTGGAGTTGATGTTGGGATGGTAGATGCGCGTGGTGAAGTTCACCTTGGGCGGCTTGAACGGGTAGTCGGTGGGGAAGTGAATCGACAGGAAGAAGACACCTCCGGAGTATGGGGAGTCACCCTGATTGCGTCAGTGTCTGTGTCTAGGCGGGAGTGGGATGGTCGCCCGACGAATGGCGTGCGACGTACGACCACCGAGGTAAAGAACTTACAGGACCCATGATGGTAGCTTGCCAGTGGAACTGTGGAAGCCGGTCAGTATACAGGACGAGGATATGTGCGATCGCACCGACGATCGACAGGTACCCCGCTGTGCCGCCACAGCGGGAGACCGCCACTATCGCCAGTCACGACACGGAAAGGAGGTCGTACCAGATCATCTCCCTGAGGACCAGCAGAGCAGGAAGAGGGAGGATCACTGTGAGATGCGGTGTTAGCGTGGTTCGCAAGTATCAGGATAATGTGGGATAGGCGAGCGCCCCGCGGCATGGTGGGGGCCACAAGGCGTAGACATATACGATAGCCATAGCCATAGACGATGAGGATCGGATAGGAACAGCAGGGAAAGAGAGGAAGGTCTAGAGTCTTACCGGCCGAGGTCCGTGAGTTCCTTGTTAATTCTCTTGAGGGCCATTTTGACGGAGGTGTGATGTGATGAGCGGCTAGGTCAGAGGAGGGGTGAAAATTGACACTAGGGGAGTTAGTCGAGATGGAATAAGAAGTAATAAGGAGAGTAGGAAGAGAGAAGAGGAGACGGAAAGATCGTCGTGGAGAGGGAGTAGAGACGAAGGGAGGGAGGCTTACCAAGACGTGAGGCGGAAGATGAAAGAATGAGGAAGAGAGAAGAAAGAGGAAGAGGAAGAAGAGGAGAGAGAGAGAGAGAGGAGGGGATCGGCGGGTTGGGCTGAAAGAAAAAGGCGGGTTGCCGTATGGCAAGTACCATACCGTGGGTATTTTTCGCTGCGCCACAGGCCGGCAGCCGGGTGGGAGCGGTATTACCGGTACGATGACTGCATTGCCACTTCGGGTGTCGAGGATGACTGTGCAGGAACAATGACCTGTCATATTGATATTATTATGGTATATTAGTTATATATTAATGAAGATGACAATATACAAGATCATTCTTTACCTAGGCAACTATGAACACATGAGACAGTTCAATAGTACTAAGTACTAAGGCAATATTAAGGACTATTGTACAGCGGAAGAAGAAATTCCCGATCGGGAAAGGCTCCACGTGGCGCAGTCGTCACGTGCCCTCCTCTTCTGGAAGCCTCTACAAGACTACTGTACAATTGAACATCATCCAAGAACTACACCAACTGCAAGAACTATGCCAAGTATGCTGAGTATGTTCATTCGTTCTATATACAAGTCTACCCCTCCCCCTCTACACAAACGCCTGCACCCCGGTAATCGCACGGCCCAGAATCAACGCTATCTCAGTTAGCAACCAGCAACCATCACCAAACAAACATCGGGTACTCACCGTGAATGTCACTCTGTCCCTCGTACGTCTGCACGACAAACAGGTTCGCCGCATGCCGCGCAATATGGTACTCGTCGCTGGTGGCATTGCCCCCAAACACTTCCTGCAGTCTGCAAGCCGTCAGCATTCCCGCCCAATCAGAAAAGCCACACCACAGGAGCAAGCATACATCCGCGAGTTCACCAACGCCCGGTCACAATTCTGCCGCTTGACCATCGAGATCATCTCGGGCGTACTCTTGCCCGCATCCTTCAACCGCGCCACCTGCGTCGCCGCCAGCGTGCCGTACGCGGCGTCCGTCGCCGCATCCGCCAGCTTCTTCTGGATCAGCTGATACTTGGCGAGCGGGTTGCCCTTGAACTGCTTGCGCTCGAGGGCATACTCTCGCGCCCGCGCCAGACAATCCTCCAGCGCGCCCATCGCGCCAAACGCAATGCCCAGCCGCGCGCTATTCAAACACGTAAACGGGCCCGTCAGCCCCTCCACGTCGGGGAACATGTTCTCGACCGGTACAGGACACTCGTCCAGCTGGATCATCCCCGTGATGGACGCCCGCAGCGCCGTTTTGTTCTTGATAGCCGGCGTCTCCAGTGTGCCGGCCGGACACTGGTCGCGCTCCACCACAAACCCGCGGATCTTGCCCGTGCTCTCCAGCTTCGCCCACACCACCAGCACGTCCGCGATCGGCGAGTTCGTGATCCACGTCTTCGCCCCGGACAGAAGATACACCCCCGGCTTGCTGGGGTGCGCCCGTGCCACCGTCTCCATCGCCCCCGGGTCCGACCCGTGGTTGGGCTCCGTCAGCCCAAAGCACCCGGCCAGCTTGCCCTGCGCCAGCCCCGGCAGCAGCCGCTCCTTCAGCTCCTCCGTGCCGAACTCGTGGATCGCCGTCATCGCCAGCGAGCTCTGCACCGACATCCCTGACCGGTAGCCCGAGTCCACCCGCTCGACTTCCTTAGTGATCAGCCCCGACGCGACGGTGCTCACGCCCGCGCATCCGTACCCGTTGATGCTGGCGCCCAGTAGGCCCAGCTCGCCCATCTCTTCGAGGATCCGGCGATCGTAGTTTTCATTGCGGTAGGCCTCTGTCTCGGATTAGCATGGTAGTCTAGTAGGGTAAAGGGTAGTGAGTGTGCAGGAAGTCTAGAGTGAGGCACAGCGGAGGTACGTACCGAGAACGCGAGGCTGCAGACGCTCCTGGCAGTACTGTCTCGCCGTGTCCTGGATGGCCAATTCCTCCTCCGTGTACAGCTCCGACGCCGCGAGGGGGTCTTCCCAGTTGAACGCGGTTGCGAAGCTGCGCGCCGGAGTCTTGGCCGCGCCGGTCGACAGGTGGCGAGAGGCGGCGCGGAGGAGGGTGCGATTCATGATGAGGACGTAACAGGAGATTAAAGAATTGAATGATCGAGAGAGGGGAGTATAGGTAGGAGGTAGGAGGTAGTGGAGGGAGAAGTTGCGTTGCGGGGGGAGGTGATTTAAAGGCAGCGTGACCTCGGCAATCGATCGGGCTGCGGTCGCCCACTGGGACTCCCGCGGAAGACCCTTACGTCGCCTCTATGCCGATATCCGCTGCACCACGGCGTTCCACGGGAAAAGGCTGTCGGAACTTGGATGTCATGCCGAGCTCGGTGATGCGGTCCAATAATATGTAGTAGGCACGGCGTAAACAGATAGAGCGTTCATTATCTATGACATACGAGGTATATACGAAACTATGTACGAACTTGATCATTATGTCCATGTCCAGGTTCTGCCAACAACAAGTCTTCTTAAGCTGGCATCTGGGATTGGAGAAAATCAAACACCCCCGTCGGAAAATACTCTTCGTCAAACCCCCACAGATCCGCCATCATAGGATCCGCCGAACCCTCAGATAGGCCCGGCTGCTGCTTGGCCGGCGCAGCCCCTGGATCCAGTCCGTTGCCTCGCTCCGCAGATAGCGGAGCTACGCCGAGCAACGGGGGTGGATGGCTCAAGATGGTGTCCCGCTCGCCCAGCGGCTGCGCCCCGGGAATGACCACCGGTTTGAACATGGAGGACAGATCGCGCGACCCCGGTCCCATGCCCAGCTGGGTGGAAGCGTTCCGCTTCTCCCATTCCTCCAGACCCGTGAGCATCTTCCGAAGACCGCGCGCGATGTGATGGCTCAGATGGCGCTCGCTGGCGCGCTTACTGCATGACACCATCAGCTCGATGATCCGGCCGACCAAGGCACGGACGTACGCGACGTCGATGAGCAGGCCAGCCGAGGCAATAGAGTTTTGCTGACCCTGGTTCCCAGGAATGCAGCTGGAACAGCCTTTGGCCGCGATTTTGAGCAGGAAAACAGCCGCAAATGTGATCATACTGTGGAGATACAGCGGCACACCGACCAGGGCCGTCTGGATGTCCGGTTCGTCCAGAACGACGAGAAGCGTGCCGATTGCGGATTCGATGGCGATATTTGCCCGTTTCTTGCGCTCCTCGGACATGGGACGCGTCGAAATCGAGGCATGGTACGTCCGCAGAGCAATCGAATTCAGCTGCAACCGAGAAAAGTGGTAGTGGAGATAGACGGCTTTGTAAGGATACGCGCCGACATATCGACTCCCCGCTGTAGTTTGTTAGAAAGCACAACTGACGTGAATGATACAACGTACTTAGCCGTGGAAGCCAGGCTGACCGCCATTCCCCCAGGTCAGCATCGAACTTGTCAATCGTAGCAAACTCGCTCTCGGGCACCTCCAAGTCCACATCCGGACCAAAGGCATGGTAGATCCGCGTAAGGATAATGAACAGATCCACTTGACTGTGCAGACGCAGTTCGGACTGCGCTGCCGTCGGGGAGAATGCAAAGGTGTTATGGTTGGTAATACTGTGGTCTTCATGAATGATAGGTGGTCGTCCGTAGGCGATAGAAAAATGGTGTTCCAAGGTCTACCCCGGTCAGTGCACGCCGCAACAACCCCCAAGGCGACTTACATAAAGAAGATACCACAGCCGGGCCTGCTCCTTGTGTTCGGGCGACCCTTGCGTGGCCTTACGGTACGACTGATGCAGGCCACGCTCGGTCGCAATCCGCACCGCATACCCGGATAGTTTCCAGCTAACATCCGCCAGCCAGAACGCGCCGATGCACAAGGCGCGCAGGTCGTCCAGCGTGTGGTGGCGATCCAGCATCGACTCCGATGCGAGTTTTGCAAATTCGGTATAACAAGTATCAAAGGTTCGCTCTTTCTTGGGCATGTGGAGGGCCGTGACGGCGAGGATCGCTGCCGACAGCATGGAGGAAGAGTTGCGGACGGACGTCAAATCCTTGTGCACCAGCGCGATGCCATCCCATAGATACCGGTTGAGAACCTGGTCGAAATAGACGAAGAGCTCCTCGGCCTCCTGCAGGTCTACCACCCCGCGCGAGATGAAATCGGTCACGCGATCCGAGGCATGGTGTCGCTCAGGCGTGCCGGCCTGGATGTCACTCAGCTGGGTCACTTCGTACAAGCTCCCCATCGGAGCCGTCACCAGCGACGACGTCCCGTTCTCTTCTCGATCGAGCGCATATTGGGATTGTTGGTGGAAGCCCTGGGTTGCGGCGCTGGATACCTCGACAGCGACATTACTGGCGGCGGCGGCGTTTAGGGGCTCCGTCCGGTCATGCCCCCCAATTGGGCCAATATCCTCCGTCGACACGGTCGAGTCTTTGCGATCTCGCTTTTTGGCGGGAGTTTCGTCCGTCTTGCCCATGGCCTGGTAGTACGACAATTCCGGCAGCTGAGCTTTCCGAAGCAGATCGGACATTGCCAGCTCGATCGTTGTCTTCCATCTGTACCCAATGCCGTCAGTATACACCCAGCCAGGAATAAGAAAGGGTGAAAGGCCAGCTCACTCCGCCTCATCATCGAGCAACGTCTGGAGACTCTTGTTGACGATGCACTCCAACCCCATGCGACGACACCGATTGCACACCGACTCGCCCGCGCTCATGTCACATCGCACCTTGTGTCGTTTACACTCGGTGCAGGCGCGTATTCGCCGCGAGATCTTGGGGATGTGTTGGCGCTGCGGGTGTCGGGAATCCGTCTCCGGGGTCGGGAGCGGGAAAGCGCCCCGGGGCGACGAGGCGGACGAGGCATCGTCATTGGCGTCGAACTGAATGCGCGTGCGTTTCATGATGTCGGCGCGATTACCCCGTTCATGGTCAAGACCCAACGTATGGGACTGACTGATCGTACGAAGTATTGGTTGACAGTTGGGGTTTCTACTCGGAGGATGATATGACACGAGACAAGATTGAGGGGGAGCGGGGAGAACCCGCTAGTGGTGGCCGCTGGGCTGTAGCTAGGCCACTAGTCTAGGGATGAATCAGTCCGACGGTCGGAGGGGAATATGGTCTCGACCGCCAGATGGGTATGAAAGCAGAGGATCTCATGCGACGGGACTGAATTGCCGAAAGAGGGACTCTACACTATGCGCTGGTGATTGGCTATATTCGGGGCAATCCCGCTGGACGTGGGGGAGTCACGTGGAGAGAAATGCACTAGTCCTGATCAGGACTAAATGATGTAGGCGCGTTCGACGTTCCGCTGCGCGTCTTCGCGCGGCAGCTTTCTTCCCCATCCACATCCTCTGATCCTGCTCGACTGGAGAAAGGCGAGTCCTTGATTATTGTTTCATCCGACGGGGAGTATCCCACTACACACGCCATGGGTATTAAACGTAAGTATCTTAGGCTGTGATCATGTCCTCACCTTCTCACTTCCACTCCAAACCCTTATTCTCGGCTGACAGAGCTCAGAGCTATACCAGGTGATCTCCGAGAATGCGCCCGACGCAATCAAGGCCGGAGACATTAAAAACCACTTCGGCCGCAAGGTCGCTATAGTACGTCCATCCTCTTCTACCCTGGGTACTCCTGTACTTCGACTAACGCTCATGCACCAGGATGCGTATGTCCGTGTAGATACCAAAATCCAGCCTCCCAACTAACGCCCCCCAGCTCCATGAGCATCTACAGTTTCCTCATCGCCGTCCGTTCCGAAGGTCAACAGCTCATGAGCGACACCGGCGAGACCACCTCACACCTGATGGGCATGTTCTACCGGACGCTGCGCATGGTCGACAACGGCATCAAGCCGCTCTACGTTTTTGACGGGGCACCCCCCAAGCTCAAGTCGGGCGAATTGGCCAAGCGGACCGCGCGCAAGACCGAAGCGACTGAGGCCCACGAAGAGGCAAAGGAAACCGGCACCGCGGAGGATGTCGAAAAGTTCTCCCGCCGGACGGTGCGGGTCACGCGGGAACACAACGCCGAGTGCAAGAAGCTGCTGAAACTCATGGGCATTCCTTACATCGATGCGCCGACGGAGGCGGAGGCGCAGTGCGCGGTGCTCGCGCGCGCCGGAAAGGTCTACGCGGCGGCGTCGGAGGATATGGACACGCTGTGTTTCGAGGCGCCCATCTTATTGAGACATCTGACGTTCAGTGAGCAGCGGAAGGAGCCCATCCAGGAGATCCATCTCAGTCGGGCGCTGGAGGGGCTGGATATGGACCGCGCCAAGGTATGCCTTCGATGCCTTCTGACGAGATCTCATACTTATTTTGAAAACTACAGTTCATCGATCTGTGCATCCTCCTTGGATGCGACTACCTCGAGCCAATCCCCAAGGTCGGACCCAACACCGCGCTCAAACTGATCCGGGATCACGGGTCCCTGGAGAAGGTGGTCGAGTACATCCAGAACGACCCGAAGAAGAAATACGTGATTCCCGAGGACTGGCCGTACCAGGACGCGCGGGAGCTGTTCCTGCACCCGGATGTGCGCGACGCCAACGACCCGGAGTGCGACTTTAAGTGGGAGGCGCCGGATATCGAGGGGCTGGTGGAGTTCCTGGTCAAGGACAAGGGGTTCAACGAGGACCGCGTGCGCAATGGGGCGGCGCGCCTGCAGAAGAACCTCAAGACGGCGCAGCAGTCGCGGTTGGAAGGATTCTTCAAGCCGGTGGCGCGGTCGGATGAGGAAAAGGCGACTCTCAAGCGGAAGCACGACGAGAAGCTGCAGGAGCAGAAGAAGCGCAAGAAGGAGGAGGCCAAGGCGAAGAAGGAGGCCAAAGCGCGGCCTCGTGGAGCTGGTTAGATGGATTGGAAAAGGAAAACAGGGAAATACGGATGGCGTAGGCGTTTGGATTGTTTGCAGCATTCGGGATGAGCGAGGGTTTTATGATGTACACCGTACCTTACTCCATGGTGGAATGCAGTGTAGCGCAGTTTGCATACGGGAGATTGTGAACCCGAATACACGTGGAATGTTCCTGCGGTGGTATCCGGCTGTTTGGATACGCGCGCCAACTGTAGGTAGGACACGGGGATGGTCCGTAAGGTGATCTAGATCAGAGTAATCGGTGGGTTGATTGGTGATGGTGTAGGATCCGACCGCGGACCGCAGCGAACTGTCAAGCGAACATCAAAAGAAAACAGTTGATCCTGGCGCCCGTTACAGCGGCTGTGATTGGCTCCGCGGCTGCTGACGGGTTGGGTGGAGGATCGCCGGTGGGGGCCGCGTTCTCTGGATGTCCTCATTACGGAGTATATGTATGCATTCTGAATGGCATATTCGGTCGATGCTGAGTGGTTTTGATGCGGAATATGATCGGACTGTTGTTTCCTATCCTACTGGAGGGTTGAACGGGTGGTGAGTCTTTTGGGCTGCGGAAGATCAACAAAACAATATATATATTGGGCTGGATCGAGTTATCGGGGTAGCTGATAGTAAAGTACTAGGTATCTATCGACCTAGGACCTACCTATGTACCTAGGTAGCCACCGTATCATAACAGGTGATAGGATATATAATAGAAAATAACACCAAAACATGCTACTATTCCATAAGTCTAGTCCTTTCTGTCAAGTCAATCAAAGGAGTCTACGGTGCCCGCGAAGGGAAAGCCAAGCATTCCCCATGGCTGTTTTCAGCAGCTCCTCATCCCACCATCTACCGAGTATATACAATGACGGACCAGTAGACCGAATCAGTCAGAAATTAAGCGCAATCCCGTAGACAATCAAGGAACCAGATCAACGATCTAACGGCAAATCACGCGGCACAGAACCCCTCACGCCACCTGATCTATACCTACACTTCCAGTGCCTTGTTTAGCCTGGAACACCTGACCACAACTCTCAATTCACAAGAAACTCAGGTAGAACCCAGCTAACGGTTAGCATGTCCATCGTCAACCATGGTTCCCAGCACAATCATCTACACCAACGCCAATCAGACCCGACCCGCCGCCCGGAAGCCGGAGGATGACGAAACTCAAGCTACTACAGACTGACTGGCATACATCATGGATCCGCGGGGGAGCCGCTGGAGCTAGCTGAGCCCTTCGCTGACTCTGTCGAGATCTGACACCCTATGAGATACCTAGTACTAGATAGAGTACGTAGCTATTAGGTACTCGCGACTATGCAAGGGACAGTTCCGCCGCATCGGGGCGTGCGCATCCTAGGTCGCAGTGCAGCTGTTAGGAGGTTGAGCTTGATCGGACTGCACGAGTTAATATAACACTATTAATAATATACATTTAGACATCACGAAACAGAAGAGTAGGATAGAACATATATGAGACGACGGGTTATTGTCTAGATATCTAGAACGAAGGGAGGGTGTCGACGGATCATGACCGTCGCGATGTGCATCCAAACACAACCGCGTTGGGAAGACAGCGGTCACACGGAAATGGAGATCCGTCAGTATAGTTGGTATGTTAGAGGTGTAGATCAACCTCGATGGAGATATTCAGCACCTAAGGAGATGAAACATGGGATGGAAAAAGTACGCGTGGAGGAGGAGAGAGCGCGTGGAAAGCAGAGACAGGAGGATGGATGTTCACTCAGACCAGACGACTGCAGAGAATTCTACCTCCATGGGGGATAGATCCCACATTACACTAAAAAGGGACGCGAAAAAAATAGGAAAAAAAGAAAAAGGCGAAGGGGAAAAGAATCAGAAGAAGGGAAAAAATTTAAAAAATGAAAATAAAAAAGCGCAAAGGAGGGAAGAGGGAGAGAAAAAAGGAAAACACGTCAATGTGCTGCTTGCGAGTGATCCTGTCAACACCCGCTGCCCTATAAAGCGCCCATGCCCCGCGGCCTTCCACCCCTTCCGTCGTCGACTGCTTTTCCTCTCTCTCGTTCCCACCCACCATCCACCACCACTCCATCTGCTCGACTCTCTGTCGCGTCTTGTAACCTCTTGATCGATCATCTATCTTCTACTTGAGTCTAATCTCATCCCTCTGCTTCATCATGCCTCCCAAGAAAGCTTCCACTGCCGCGTCCAAGAAGACCACCTCTGGTCACGCTTCCTATCGCGGTATGTTTGTACTGATCCTGCTTCCCACCCTCATCGCGTCCCAATATTCTTACCATCGTTTTTGTCGCGGAGCAATGCTGATTCGTCCAATATAGATATGATTAAGGATGCTATCCTGAATGTGAGTTGATCACGTCGTCCCCGCGGCGACTCGGGGTCCCGGGCGCTGGGTCGACGCTCGCCCGACCGTGACACGTTCACGGGCGTGCGATCCCCCAACGCCACGTCGGACCCCGTCTTGTTGCATCTCATCTTGGTCGCTGACTCTTCTTTTATCTAGCTGAAAGAAAGAAATGGTAGCAGGTATGTTTTTGTCGCCCCGAATTTCCTCGAGGGTCGGCCGCTCATCGGCGACGTGGCCACCCCTCAACCCACCCTTGTCGCGTCATCGCTGACAGCTCCTTTTCACTTATAGCCGTCAGTCCATCAAGAAGTATGTGCAGGCAAACAACAAAATTGCCACTGCTTCGTCCAACGCCTTCGATGTCCAGTTCAACAAGGCCATCAAGGTCGGCGTTGAAAAGGGCGAGTTCACTCAACCCAAGGGTAAGTCTCTTCGCGTCGCGTCCCTTGATTTTGTCGTCGCGATTATGCGCGATTCGGCATCTGGCTGCTCTCCAGCTGCGCATGATGTCGTCGCGCGATTTGTTATGATTTTTTTTTTGTTGGGGTGGACTGACGCGTCTCCAGGTCCCTCGGGCCCCGTGAAGCTCGCCAAGAAGGAGGCTGCTCCTAAGCCTGCTGCTAAGGTATGAAACCACAGTTGCGCAATCATTGTTTATGTTCATAATCTCTAACTGATCCACAGAAGACCGCCCCTGCCACCAAGGCGGCTCCTAAGAAGACCGCGGCCGCTGCGAAGAAGACTGAAAAGACCGAGAAGCCCAAGGCCGCCACCAAGAAGGCCACCACCACCAAGAAGGCGGCTGGCCGCCCCAAGGCCAACACCGCGAAGCCTCGCAAGAAGTCCACTGCTGTAGGTGATGCCTCTCCCTCGTCCTACGACCCCGTACTGACGGATCAGGCCCCCGCTGTGGTCGACAAGCCCAAGGTCACTAGCACCACCAAGTCGGGCCGCGTGACCAAGACGACGGCGAAGCCGGCCGAGAAGGCGACCAAGAGGGCCGCGAAGAAGGCCTAAGGTCTGATCTCGACTGTTTCAGCGACTGCTTGGTTTATCGATTGGTGCTTGTTTGGGGTTTGTGTTGGGCCGTATCCTTCTTTCTTCGGTTGTAATTTTCTTTTCTTCTCGCGCTACTTATTGTCGATCTGTTGATGCGGTGACTACTCTTGGGATCTGTTTGTTTTGTTCTGGTAGGGTTGGCGTCTTGCGGTGGATCTTCTACGGAATTGTCCTGTTGTTTTGTTTCGGCACGCGTCCAAGGACGGTGTTGCAATGGAAATGTTACGCTTCATTGACATATTATCGTACTGTTCTGATTATGATTGCAATTGTCTGTTGTATGGAGAAGGAGTAGAAGTATCCGTTCAACACTCCAGGTGGCGCGTAGCTCCATTCAAAGCGGAGGCACGTGTAGCTCGGCACCAAAACAGAGGTTCGCTTCCACCGCAAATTCCAACCCAATTCCATTCAATCCAGGGTCTGACAGGACCAGCCCCTCGGTAAAGAATTCTGCATAGCATTTCTACCTGGAATGCTTTGATCTGTCTGTGGGACCACTAGTTATCTATCTAATCCAGGGACACGGGATGTCGGCGGTCCAATTCCAAAAATAGGCAGCACTGTACTGTACCCACTGGTGGACATAGCGTACAGAGTACGGGGTTCTGTATATGGACGATGGATAGATAGACGGGTGCATGGGTGTAGGTAGGAATGTGTGAAACTGGTTGTATGCATGGCATACTTGAAGGCACAAGTCACTGGACAGGGTCTACTGGCGTCTGGTGGTGATTGCGTCAAGGCAGAGGCGAGGTTGTGCGTGTGACGTTGCAGTGTCGATCCCTGTATTGGTGCGTACCACGTACTCTGTAATGCATTGCATCTAGGCAGAGTTGATTCAGTGTGGATTTTGTACAGGCGCAGGTTATGCAGTTGGTTAGTTGAATGGAGAGGGCCTTGATAGGAGGAGGAGATGTCGGAATGGTGTCTTGTTTGTATAGACCTGTGGAGGATGTTTACTTAGAGTGACTATTATTAATGCACAGATGGTATGACTACGGTGGATTAAGACGTATTAATGACCAGCATAAATCTCCTGGACGTGACAGTGACGGTGACAGTGACAGTTGCCATCGCTTGCAGCTGATAGCGTGGTAAAGGGCCGGACAGGAATCGCCACCGCATTAATACCGAGATTACGAGGGTTCGTCGAGGTTGACAGAGCCGAAGGAGTGGCCTATTGAGGTCTATTGAACATTAGACAGCTGGGTAGAGATCAAAGGGTATCTAGAGGTAAGTAAAAGTGATCCATTCACTCTGGATCAATGGAGTGTACCAAGGTACCGCTGGGGCATCCACGTACACCTGGCATACGCGTGTCACTGGAGGTTCTAGCCATGTCGGACTGTACTCCCCATACAGAGATGGTATCAATGCAGTCTTGGTTAGTAGATTGATTGAAGTTTTCATCTTGTTCGGAGAATATTTGGATCCCGGAGTAGATGGGAGTTGTGAAAGAATTGAAGCTGAACAGTGGAGCTGAGATGACCGAATGGATCCATCTACGGAGTACAGTACGGAGTATATTATTAGTACCTACTATTATGGCTATGGTGTTCCCCTGCTTCAGTGTCAACATGTCTTAATCATTACAATACAAAGATAAAATCCAAGAATCTTCATCTCATTGATTCTACATATATCTTAAGTAGATACTTGTAGATCTACCTTAGTATAAGTACCTACAGGTAGGCAGGCACCTGGGGAGGTACCTGGTAATTACCGTTATCTCCGGTACCACCGCCATACGCCAAGGACCACCGTTACCGCATCTCACTAATCCTGCCCCGTCTTCTCTGTCCTCCATCATAATCCTCATCTTCCTCCTTTCTTGTCTTTCTTTCTTCCCCCCATCACATCTCCGTTTATTCGGTCCTCCCCTCTCCGTCTCTCCCGTCCTCCTCCACCCCCTCGATTGACTCGGCTCAGTCTTCTCGCTTCCTCCCTTCTTCCCTCGTTCAACCCCCCCATTATTGACAGATAGCGTCCCCTCTCAACATCAACACGTCGCCGCTGTCCGCTTCCCTCCTCCCTTTCTTTGGCTATCTGAACATGCCCGTCGGTCGCTAGACTACCTGCCTTTCCGGCTGGCTGTTCCAGCTCGACTCCGGAACTCGCTTTCTCGCTTCCGATCCTCTCCATTGACCGGCCGTCGCCGTTTCTCCCCCTTCTTTTCGACGCCATCCCGGCCTCTGTCGTCCTCTTCCTACCCAAGACAGACCGCTATCAAACTCTCCGATAGGTGCCCTGGTGGTCCTTCCGGTTCGAATTCACGCCAACCGACTTTCTTTCTAATTCCGCTTCCCCATCCTCTTCCTACCTCCCACCCAGGGGTCGACACACCATGCCGTCGTTTCCCAACGACGGCCCTTATCAGACGGCCACGGCTACCCACCCTCGTTCCTTTGACTCGTCGCAAGGGAAAGCCCCCGAGAAACAACCCGTCGGGAACACGTTTCTCTGGACAAACTGGCCCAATGGAGACTCTCGTCACCTCGACACTCCCAATGACCGGCAACACCTTTCGAATGGCACGGCCCCCTCCCCAAACCCGCCCCGCTCAAGTGCCAGTTCCTACACCCGTGACGCGCCCCTATCCAAAGACGGCAGTATGCACTCCCTCGCAAATGGATCCGCTCGAGACCCTCGGGACGGTGCCCGGCTGTCGATCTCGCTCGACCGTGACTTCACCCGGAAGTCGTCCGATACAGGGGTTGGACCGGGATCGGCGACGGCCTCCGTCGTCAGTCAACAACCAAACGGAGCAGCGTTGAGTCCCGCTAAGCCAAACGGGAAGCCTACAATGAACGGCGACCATACTCGTCCGTCTGTCGATGGCCTCGTCTATTCCGATTCCATGCCCAATGTCTCTGGAGGACGTCTGTCCACCTCCCCCGATGAAAGCGGTCGTCTCTCCCCGGACCCTGGTCGCTTGTCCCCGTCTCAAAAGGCCCCACACCGATACTCATCGCCCCCCGCGCCATCTGGTATGGACGCGCAACAAGACTCTACCCTGCGGAACCGACACACGTTGCAGGTCCCGAGAAACCCTAGTGGCCGCCGGAGTAGCCGTGATCACTCCGAGGATACAGCCTACAGTAGTGGACGGCTCTCCCCCCCGGGGGGATTCCGTCGCACCTCGATGAGTCTGGTCCGCCGGGCCAGCAGGACCAATCGCTCTGACACCTTCGGGGAAGATATGAATCCCGACGAAGATGCCGCCCGATGGGCCGAGGCCATCAAGCAACGGAGAGCCTCCCGGAGGCGGCGTCGGGACGACGATGACGACGATCGGGTCATTGTGGGAACGAAGGTCGACCAGAACCACGTCAACTGGGTCACAGCGTATAATATGCTCACAGGGATCCGGTTTACCGTGTCCAGGATCAATGCGAAGATGGATCGAGAATTGACGCCGGCTGACTTTGAGGCCAAGCATAAGTTCTCCTTCGACATGTACGCTACATGCCTTCTCTTTCGCTGGAACCTACTGACTTGGATTGTGTATAGCACCGGTAACGAGTTGACCCCGTCCGCCAAATACGACTTCAAATTCAAAGACTACGCCCCTTGGGTGTTTCGACATCTGCGCGCCAAATTCCGCATCGATCCCGCCGACTACCTGATGTCTCTCACGAGTAAGTACATACTGTCGGAGCTGGGTTCCCCGGGAAAGAGTGGAAGCTTCTTCTATTTCTCGCGCGACTACAAATATATCATCAAGACGATCCACCACTCCGAACACAAACTGCTACGGAAGATACTCCCCGAGTACTACAAACACGTCGAGAAGAACCCCAACACCCTCATCTCGCAATTCTACGGCCTCCACCGCGTCAAGATGGCCTATGGTCGCAAGATCCATTTCGTCGTCATGAACAACCTCTTCCCGCCGCACCGCGACATCCACCAGACTTTTGACCTGAAGGGGTCGACCATTGGACGCGATCTGCGGGAAGAGGATCTCGAGAAGAATCCCAGGGCCACATTGAAGGATCTCAATTGGGTCCGGAGAAACCGTCAGATCCAATGCGGTCCGTCGAAGCGAGATTTCTTCCTCGCCCAGCTGGAACGCGATGTGGCGCTGCTGAAGCGGCTCAAGATCATGGATTACTCGCTGCTGGTGGGTATACATGATCTGGAACGAGGAAACGAGGAGAAGCTGCGGGACAAGACGCTCCAGGTTTTCCAACCAGGGGGCGACCGGGAAGAGGAGTCCAATCCTAATATGCTGATGCGTACGCCGTCGAAATTGGAAAACGAACGTAAGGCGCGGGAGCTGCGCATGCTCATAAAGCGAGAACGCCCGGTGCCTCTCGACAAAGCCGCCGCCAAGATGCCCGATGAGATTTTGGATGAGCGCAAATTTCATGTCTTCTATTCGGACGATGGTGGTTTCCGGGCCACCCATGAGAATGGTCATCCTGGGGAGGAGATTTATTATCTCGGAATCATTGACTGTCTCACACACGTAAGTTGCTTATACTGCAGGCGCTGCTATCATGGCTAACAATACCAGTACGGAACGGTCAAAAAGATGGAGCACTTTTTCAAGGGTCTCTCTCATGATCGAAACCAGATTTCGCCCATACCTCCCGAAAGCTATGGGGACCGATTCGTCAAGTTCATCAAGGGCATCACGATGTCCAAAGAGGAAGCGGAACGGTATCGAGAATCGCGCGCCTTGGGCCGACCGTCTGCGGAGCGCAGCCCTTCCGTTGAACGGACCATGCTGGCGGCCGAGAAGGAAGCGGCCAAGGAGCCTTCCATTACGCAGCCCCGGACGCTCTCCACGGTCCGCGACCCAACAGAGGCGCCTGGCCCCGGTCCAGCCTCCACCCTCCCCATTGTGGACGAGGCAGGGGAGGCTAGCAGCGTTGGTGGACAAAGCCAGCACAGCCGACAGGGACCACCGGTGGTCGACAAAGAGCTGCCGCCGCTTCCCAACCCCATTAATCAGGCCACTGGAAACCAGGCTTTGGCTTGAGCTCGGTGCATCGCCTGCCTGTCACCTGGTTCCATGTATAGTCGTTTCGGTCCCGCATTTCGGGAGAAGAACGGGTCACTTTTCATGATACCCTTATTCGCAGTTGATATGCTTTACTTGCTACCATAGTTTGGCGCCTTGTTCTTTTCTTGCATACACGACGCAGTCATATCGTTCTCGAGCCCCTTGCGATAGTGTTCACGGTACCACGAATGATGTGCTTTTGCCAGCCTCGCCAGCCCTCGTTTTGACAGACACTCTTGTCTACTGCCTTCTTTGTTTTATCAACATGGCAACTAATCCCGTCATGTGCCAACCATCTCTTGGAAATCGCCGATTTCCCCATCTTATTTCTTTTGTCTATTTTCTTGACTATTCCTCCATTGCCGGGGTCGTTCCCCTATACCAAGCTGTATCCCATACGCTTATTCATCTGTCTCTGTCCATACACCCGATAGGGTCGAGCCCATTCTCTGACCATGTCTCTCATTATTTCCTATTGTCTCCGTTTGTCGCGCGTATATCTACAGGCGAGAATCATTCACATCATCGTTGCGACTGTTTTGACTCTTGTATACCGGCCGGGCGAGCGAATGCGTTGTTTTGCGTTGCAAGTTGAGCGCTGTAATTGTCGTTGTTTCTTTTTGTTATGTCTGTGCTGTGTCTTTAGAAGATCATAGAAGACGGCTGCTGTTAGTACCTAGAGAATTGATACCAATGTTTCGCTATGATCCTGCGCTAGAGTGAAGGTTACGTGGGTATACAGTATAGGATATGGATAGGTAGAATCCATTGTCTATGACTTTTGAATCATTGTATGTAGCCCACCCTGCCCAGTGGGTATACCATTGCATCCATCGCGAAACAAACAAAGAGAAGAAACAGAAACCACCGAGAAACGCCAGTATGCAACATGATCAGCACCCCGAAGATAAAGTCAGCACAAAGGAAAAAGGCCCCAACGCCACCGCGTGTCCACGAATTGCAAAAGCGCGTCGAGAGAGAAATAAAAGGAAATACGAGGTAGGTAGGAGGATTGGGTATTGTGTCGCAGGTACAAGACGAGGAAGGGCGTTTATTCGGCCTTCCCCTGCGTGACCTTTGCGGCCTGGATGGCGGACATTTTCTGGGTCCAGCCCTGGGTGGGCTGGGGTTTCTTGACGGTGCGGAGGTCGTCGGTGGAGAAGCCGGAGATGCGCATGTTGTAGTTGCGTTCGAGGACGAGCTGGATGTCGCGGATCTCGAGGGTGGACGAGGGGCGCAGTTTGGCGAGACGGCAGGCGGCCGTGATGACGTCGTCGACGAAGTCGTCGGCCATTTGGAGGATGAACTATCCATTGTTAGCAGACTGACTAGGGGGAAAAGGATGAGAAGGGAAAGGAAGCGGGGGAAAGGGTACCTCTTCAGCATCCGGAGTGAGACCCTCGCCTTCGCCGCCGCCGGTGACCTGGCGGACGAGGATGTCGAGCATTTTCTTGCTGAGGACGCGCTGGCCCTCGCCTTCGAGGACGTAGCCCGGGTGTTTCTGGATGGCGGGTTGGCCCATCATGCCCATGCCGCCGTGGCTGGGCCCGCCGGAGAGGGTGGGGCGCGCAGGGGCCATGGAGACGGGCTCGGGGGGCGGCACGTTGAGGTTCTTGGGGATGGCCATGTTGAGGTTGCGGGCGGTGTTGTCGGAAGCGCGGTTCATGGGGTGGGCGTGGTTGTTGGCGCCTTGTTGTGTCATGGGTTGCGGTTGCTGTTGTTGGGGTTGTTGCGTCATGGCCGCGTTGTTGTTGACGGCGTTGTTATTGGAGTAGTTCTGCGCGGCCTGCGCCATGGCTGCCTGCTGCGACAAAGGGCGCGGCGGGCCTTGCGCAGTCGCCGACTGCGGCGTCTGCGCGGGCGTCGACCCGTCCGCGCCGGGCACCTGCGCCTGCGTGAAGGTTACTTGGCCGGCGGGGGTGCCCTGTTGCGCAGGGGTTTGCTGCGCGAGGCCCTGCGTGGCAGGAGCGGGGGTCTGGCCCTGCTGCGACGTGGAAGGCGACATGGCTGTCTGACTGGCCTGGTTGCGCGCGGCGCTCACCGCGGAGGTGATGGTATGTGGCGCGGGCGTGGATGCCTGGCCCGGGTGCATGGCCCCAGGCCCGTTGGTCGGGCTACCGGCGGTGCCTGCAGCGTTTCCGGCGGGCACGCCCTGGGCGCCGGCGGCGCGAGCCTGATGCTGCGACTTGAAGGTGTCCTGCTGGTCGCGGAACTTCTGCAGAAACTCACCACCCTCGCGGTAGATCTTCTCAGCGGCGATCTGCCGGGTCTTGAATTCCTGGAGTTCCTCCTGGGTCACCGGGTTACCGGACGACTGACGGTTGTTGAACTGCTGACGGACCTCGGCGAGACGGGCGCGGCCGACTTCCTGTTTCTGAAGCGCGATGCCGTATCGAAGCTTGGCTTCCTGCAGCCAGCCCTGGGCTTGCTCGTTGTTGATGGTGGGCGGGAGGAAGAAGTTCAACGCGTTGACTTTCTGCTGGATCTGGGGGAGGAGGCCACTGAAGGACTGCGGCGCGACGGACTGGGGGCGTGGGATGGACTGGCCCTGCTGGGCGGCGGAGGCGGCCTGGAGTTGCTGTTGCTGCTGCAGTTGGCGGTTCTGCTGAAAGGCGCGCATGCCCTTCATCAGATTCTGCGAGATGGCGGTCAGTCGGGTGTGCGCCGTCTGGTAGTCGGTACTCTGGGGGTCGCGGTTATTGAGGATTTCCCAGAAGTTGCGCACCACCTGGGTGTGCTGGGTCTTCTGCTGGTCGGTGAGATGGGGGAGCTTCTGCACCTGATCGGTCCGGATCAGGTTGGAGTGCTGAGGCACCATCGGTTGGGTCCCGGGGGCCTGTTGCTGCTGTTGCGCGGCGTCCATGTTGGTCGTAATGATGAGAGATCGGGATTGATTCGCGGGCCTATGGGGATGATGGGATGGGATGACGGAGAAAGAATGTCGGGCGAGAGCCGTGGAAGAGGGGGAACCGCAGGGAGGAAATCACGTCTCGAACAGGACTCAACCGGTAGATGAGCCTGGAGGCGGCGTATGAGCGGCGGCGATGGAGGGGTTGGAGATGAGGTTACAGGAGAGGTTGGATACCTGAATAATCGCGATAGTCTGGAGGCGGAGCGGAGTGCGGATTACCTAAGCCGATGGGAGAGCCTCAGTCTTGGCATTTATCAGTAGCTTAGTAGGTACTGTTGATATTTCTCGATATTGGAGACTAAAATGGGTAGTTGCAAGAGAGGCTAGAATTCAGAGGTATAAAAGTAAAGCTAGCTAGGTATCATGACAATCAAGTCTCATCATCATCAATGTTCCGTCATAGAAGTGAAGAACATATCGTTCTTCAAGAGTACTCCAGTCAGTCCGGCCATCATGAGGACTGTAGAGGGCTTCAACAACCTCAGGGAGGCTGAACCCGTCAGGTTTGGAGTCAAGTGGGCCGACAGGGGGATCTGTATCCCTTGTAGACCCGGAGCGCTGTGCACAGGGTCGGTCCCGCAGACGAGCCAATGCAACTGCCCAGAGACAAGTTTAGGTGATCGAAATAAGTCTCAGGGAGACCAAAGAAGACTCAAAATCATCCCATCAGCTCTCCCAAGTCTCGGTCCATCCCGCTGACGCGATTCTCCAACGTCCGCTTCTTCATCTCCAGCGCGCGGATCTCTTCCAGCTCTCGTTCAATATCTGCATCTGTCACTTCGCCGAGTTCAGACGGAACACTATTCGTCATGTCGACCTCGTCATAGTCGTCGTCGCCATAGGAATGGCTCATTCTTTCCAGTTCGGCCGTGTTTTTCGCAACCCTCTCCTCGAGTTCAAGAAGCGACTCGCTGATCATCTGATGTCGGTACCGCAGATTCGCAATCTTCTCCTGCGCACCCGCAACGGGACTAGAGAGGTCAGCACATGAAACCACATCGCAGATTCTATGCCGGCAAGAACCACGTACTATACATTGCACAAGATTTCCGCCCCCCGCAGAAGAACATCGACGTTGACCTCACTCCGAGAACCCCGCGTCGACGTCCCCGCGGACCGTTTGATTTCCTCCATCATGTCAGACCCGAGGACACGTGCGACCGCCGACTGATTTCGGTTGTTTCGCGCGGAGTAGATTCGGCTCGCCATGGATTCGCCTTCGGCTTCAGCTGGGAAGATGGTCCCCCGTCGCGTGGCTCGCCGTTGGGACGACTTGACGGACGGATCGGTCTGAAAGAGCGCGCGTTCATGAGATTCTGTGTCCCGGATCAGGGCGGTGATGTCGTGGGAGCCGAGGAGAGCATTGGTGAAGATCCGTGGTGGAGGGAACCTAGCGGTGTTAGTTGAGGTGTGAAAGGGGGGTTTGTCAGACATACGAAAGATCGGCGATGACATTGGAGGAGAGCTGGATCTGCTCAAGGTGGCTTTCTAGTAAGGACATGGTGATGGGAGGTTGAGAGTGTTTGTTGTCTGAAGTTGTGTTGAGTCTCGTTGAATGAAGGTAAACATGCCAAGAGTGGTGCCTGAGGCAGAAACAGCACAGCAACACGCCGTATTTCACTACATCTCAATATGATGTGGTTATGGGAAATTCTTTATATTGTAATATATAGTTTTCAAGATTCTAGCTAATACCCTAATACAAAAGAGATAGATAATACGATCAGAGGGAATGGTCAGCTGCAGAATGCAACCGAAGCTGAGCTCCTGACTAAGCGCGGTCATTCTCTCTCCGACGTCCACCTTGACATCACATCACCACCTCATCAACCTCTTCTCCCAACGCCCCTACTCTCCCCCATCGTCCATCATCGTCTCTTCCCCCTCCCATTCTTCCCTTTCGTCTCCCAACTCCCCCTTTGTATTGCTCCCCGGCTTCATTCTGTTGTCGTGGGTGTTCTTCCCGACCTTCCCCCCCTTCCTCTGCTTCCGGTAGCCGCAGTCCTGATTACCCATCGGAGCTCCCAGCTGCCCAACGTCCTGAAAAGATGCCGGCTGAGAGACGATCTCTGAGATCCAACAACAAGTCAGATACCTCGTCGTCCGCTAACGGGGACAAAAACCGTTCCAACTCCCAGAACTCTAGCTCCAACCCCAAGGACAAGGCTGCTCCCACCACCCGAGCTGCCAGCAGGGCCAAAAACACGAGAGCTGCCTCATCGAACAACAACGCAAACGCCGACATGGGTGAGCAGCGCGACCAGCCCCAGGCGAATGGCTCCAAGCCCACTGAGAATGGCGTGAATGGCTCGGAGGATGTGGAAATGAGAGAGGATTCGGCAGGTGCGCCTACATCCTCATATTCCGCCAGCAAGGATCGCAAAGGTGACGAGAAGATGACTGTTGTAGTGCCCCCTGCCAAGGGTTCGAGGTTATCCGCCGACAAAGGTCAGGATCAGGAAGGCGATGTCGCCATGGAGGGTGCCGAGGGCGATGAGAAGGAGCCAGAGGTTGACCCCAAGGTCAAGGCTGTCCAAGGTGAGTAGCCCCTAAACAACTGGAGACCAAATACGTGGCCGGGATCTAATCATCCATGTCATTTCGATACATCTAGACATCAAGACCAACTTCACCCTCCTCGAGCGCGCCGTCGCCCATTTCGATCCCAGATTCACCCTCCGTGTCTTGCGGTCGATATCCTCCATGCGCAAACACATCACCGCTGATGTGTTGGCCGAAGTCATCACGGACGCCTACCCTTCATCCAACCCCACCGCCTCCTTCCTCCTGGAGACGATCGACCAGCCGGGTGCCTTTGAGCGCACCGCCAAGATGGACGTGGAGTCGGAGAAGACGAAGTCGACCCCCAAGGAGATTCTCCCGGAAATCGATACTTATCTGTCCATCCTTGTCCAGATCTATCTTTACGACAAGAAGGAGATTCAGAAGGGTGCTCAGTTCTCCACGAACCTGATCGAGCGTCTGCGGACATTGAACCGCCGGACTCTCGATTCGCTCGCGGCCCGTGTGTACTTCTACTACTCTCTCTTCTTTGAGCAGATCGCTCCTCTACCTCCCTCCCCGGCGGCCGCCGTCACTACCATCCGTCAGCCGCTTCTTGCTGCGTTGCGGACGGCAGTGCTGCGCAAGGATGTGGACACCCAGGCCACGGTCATGACGCTCTTGCTGCGGAATTATCTCTCGACGTCTCACATTTCGCAGGCCGACCTGCTGATCTCTCACAACCGCTTCCCTCCCTCCGCTTCCAACAACCAGATTGCCCGCTACCTGTACTACCTGGGTCGTATTCGTGCCATCCAGTTGCAGTACACCGATGCGCATGGTCATCTGATCGGTGCGACCCGGAAATCGCCCTCCAGCCACAGCGCTCGCGGTTTCTACCAGGCGTCCCACAAGCTACTGGTCGTGGTGGAGCTGTTGATGGGTGATATTCCCGATCGCGCCATTTTCCGTCAGCCGGCTCTGGAACGCGCCATGCACCCGTATTTCTTGCTTGTCCAGGCGGTGAGTGTGGGTGACCTGGATGGGTTCCTGAACATCGTGAACACACACAGCGCCACCTTCCGAAAGGATGGCACATACACTCTTATTCTTCGCCTCCGGCAAAACGTCATCAAGACGGGCATTCGCATGATGTCTCTGTCCTATTCTCGGATTTCCCTCCGGGACATCTGCCTCCGTCTCCGACTGGACAGTGAAGAGTCGGCGGAATATATTGTGGCCAAGGCTATTCGTGACGGTGTGATCGAAGCCACCTTGGACCACGAGCACGGTTTCATGAAGAGCAAGGAAGTGGGTGATATCTACGCCACCCGGGAACCTGGCGAGGTCTTCCACGAGCGCATCCGGGCTTGTCTGGCTCTCCACGACGAGAGTGTCAAGGTCAGTTTCAATCATTTGTATGACTGTCTATGTTACTTCAGTCACTAACGTTATTACAGGCTATGCGCTTCCCTATGAACCAGCACCGTCTCGAGCTGAAGAGTGCCCAGGAGGCTCGTGAGCGCGAGCGCGAGCTGGCCAAGGAGATCCAGGAAGGAGACATGGACGACGAAGATGCTGGTGGCGATTTCGATGCGATCTAGTGGAGTCATGCAGACTGTCTTCAACCATACAGCAAGCCTATTCTTTAATCCTGCTGTACCCTCGCACGGAATGAATCGGATGTTGGGGAGCCTTTCAACTTTTGTGTTCTTATCTTTGCAACTTCTTTGGGTGTGTGGGAGGAATATGCAGGATTGAGCTGCCGGCGTGATCTTCATGTTTCCGATCATTTCTCCTGGTCATTTCTTTGCCTGTCGGGGGCCTGGTCTTGTAGATGCGGCTGCCCAACTCGTCTGTCGTCTTGTTGTCGTGGGCTTGTGCCATCTGGGTCTCATTGTAATTCATCATATTCTAGACAAGAGATTTCGTTGACTGAGTTGGTTGTATACGCCACACATCCTTAAGTCCGGTTCTATGGGGAGGATGATAGTATAGAGGAAGATGATGATACCATATCCCTGATCTGTCCAGGCTTGTCCATACAAAGCATGCGGATTGACGAATAGTTCCTACGGGCTCTACGATGGACACTTAACGCTTCATACAATTGCCCATTCTAAGCATCCCCAGAAATCCTCGCCATCTCCTCGGCAGCCTCCCTTGCGATATTCTTGGTCCTCCTGTCCAACGCCGTGACAGACGCCACCCACTCGAATCTCTGCCTCCAGAACTCCCAGCGCTCTTTCGACCAACCTGGCGGTCCATCCCACAACTCCTCCCGCTCCAAATCCATAGGACCAGCCATTTCGTACAACGCGCGACCCTGGATCTTGATCCACTGCGCCACGGCCGGAATAGTCCCATTCAAGTGGCGAATATCGCAGAGCCTCTCCAACTCCCTATCGCGGTACTCCTCATATTCATCGCCCATGTCTTCCTCTGCCTCCTCGATCTCCGGAAAGTGATATTCCTCCCACGGCGCCGTCTCCAGCGCGTTCTGGAGCAAGCGGCCAGCGTGCTGGAGGAGACTCTCCGTCCGCACGCCCCTTGCGGCGAGCTTGGCCATGAACGTGTTCATGTTGAACCAGGCCTGGCGCTTTTTGGCCAGGTCGGGTTCGCTGCGGGGAGGATCCTGGTCTAGCGGTGTGAGCGGAGGCCACAGGACAGAATAGAATAGGAGGAGGGACTTACAGAACAGCCAGAACTCGTTGCAGTATTCTCTGAAATAGGGAAGCTCGTGCATCGCCCCGTTCCCATCCGGGAGCTGTTGGAGCGCCACGAGAAAGTCGACTAGACGATCATTCATCTCGGGGAACTGCTCGATCGCCTCGCCAAAGGGGATCCAGAGGGTCATGTTGGAAACGGGAAGGTCGGGAGAGTCTGGGATGCTAGATGCCACGGCGAGTCGGGCCGCTTCGACGAGTGACACGGACGGCTCTGTGAGCAGCTTGCGGAAGGCGAGGATCACGTCTGGTTCGGGGGGATACTCTCTTTGCGCCAGGGAAGCGAGGAAGGCTTCATAGCGCTCCAGGTTCGGGGCGGAGGGGTCTCTCGTGCTGTCTGCACAAATTGAGGAGCAGGAGTCGGAAGCACTGTGGTAAATCATATTGACCTGTTCGGTTATCTGCAGTGGTATCATGCTGGCTCTGGCATGGGAGCTTTATCTTGGACAGAGAGAGCTCAGACAGACAGAGAGTGAATGGGTAAGGAAGGCTATCCGGCCCGTATCAAAATAGGAGGTTCTTTGTTATCTGGGCCTGCAGACAAGGGTCAGAAGGGTACGTGCGTATGAAGACAAAGGAAAGAAAATATGTTCGCATGGTGTCATCCTGGTCTCATGTAATATCCAGTTTGCAAGGCATTTCTACTACCTAGACGTAGTACTTGATGACTTCCGATGTTTATTGTGCTCGGCGTATCGCATGGTTACGGCTATCAGCGTATACCTCGACCAGGTAGTAGACAGGACATACCCATTCACTACTATAGGTGAAGATGGCCATCACTCTTTCATGCTAAAGACTACGTACTGGCAAGTAGCACAGCACTGGTCTAGTAGTTCTTCCATTCAGAGTCCCGCCACCACAATCATTTCAGCGCTGGCTGCAGCCAACATCCATGTCAGTAGAACATATGAGGAATTCCGCCGTTGCACAAATTGCGAATAAGCCTAGTTTCATTATCATGGTCAGCCGAGTACGACGCAATCCTCGACGGTGGATGTAGGTCAGACCTATAAAGCACAGTCTAAATCCTCCAAAATAATGTACTCAACCAACCTAAGCCAACAATCAAAGAATAAAACATATCTCTGCTACCTTACCTTGCCCACTGAATTATGCACTCGCTGCGCTGTCTCGTCCTGACGCTTGCCGTCTTCCTAGCAGGACCAGCATGCCATCTTTTCGCCTTCGCACAAGCCGACGACGTTAATGCCGAAGACATCAACATCACTGCCCCCGTCCCTTCCGACCTGGAGCCCCAGGACCCGCCATCCTGGAATGTCCTAGACATACACGCCAAAAGCCTGGAGGTTAAAGTGAAACAGAACCCGACCAAAGAACTGACCTGCCCGAAGACGGACAACGGCCGGAACCGCCAATACGCAGCACACAAGTATACGGTGAACCAGATCCAGGCGGCTTTCCGAGCCGGTATCAATCTCCAAAGCAAAGGCAAACAGACAGGAGATAGTGAGTGACCTGGTCCTGGAATAGCAGTTTAACTGCTGATCCCCTTCCCAGATCATTACCCGCATAACTTTCGCAATGGAGACAGGCTAGCGCTCGGTGCCTGTGGGAATACAAGGACGAAGTCAGAGTTCCCAATCCAGATAGACGGAAAGACGTACAGCGGAGGAAAGGTTGATGCTGTGCCTGACCGGGTTATCTACGAGTATAAGGAAAGCAAGAAGACGCTTGAGGTGTGGTTTTGCGGTATCGTGCGGCATGGCACAGGGAACAACTTTCTCAACTGCCCTTGATATGTGGCAGTTGCTTGGAGTCACGTATGGAAGACTGCAAATTGCTCCTTGCATAGACTACTCTCAAGACAAACTTGATTTGGCTTTGCATACTGCTAGGAGGCATCAGAGTTGGTAGACTTATTGCTACCCGCCTAGGAGTCATTGTATACATTCATCATACGCACATCATTCGTATATTCCTAATGCTCAACTCCAATCCGCAGACCACCATTGAAATCCCTAAAATCCCCCCTCAAGACCCCAATCCCATCGCGCCTGACCTCCTCCACCAAATCCTTAACCTTCGGCGCGATGCTCTCCGGCGCAAAGCCAAAGTGCTCATACACCTCCTTGGAGGGCAGACTCTTTCCAAAGCTATTCATCGACACCGACGCATCAGCATAGCGCTCCCACCCGTTAGCCGGGTACGCCTCAATCACAACGGTGGGCTTTCCATCCCCGGGCCTCAGCACCGACAGCTTATACTCGCGCGACTGCAGCTCAAAGAGCCTCGTGCACGGGAACGAAACCACGCGCGCTCGAATCCCATACTCCGCCCATAGCAACTCGCGCGTCTGCATCGCAAAGACCATCTCCGACCCCACCCCGATCAGGGTCACGTCAAACTCGCCACCCTCAGCCTCCGCAAAGACGTACGCGCCTTTCAGTGCGCCCTCGCGCGACGAGTGCTGCGGGTACTGCGGCAGGCTCTGGCGCGAGAGCGAGATGACCGTGGGCGTGTGCGAGGCGCGCAGGGCGGCGGTGTAGGCGGCGGCGACTTCTTCGGCGTCGCAGGGGCGGATGTAGAGGAGGTTGGGCATGGCGCGGTAGAGCGCGGCGACGGCGACGGGCTGGTGCGTGGGGCCGTTCTCGCCGACGCCGATGCTGTCGTGCGTGGCGATGTGGATCTGCTGTAGGCCCTGCAGCGCGGCCATGCGCACCGCGGCCGCGGCGTACAGGTGGAAGACGAAGTAGGTGCTTGTCAGCGGGATGAAGGTGCCTTTGTTGAAGGCGGCGAGCCCGTTGGAGATGGCGCACATGGCGTGCTCGCGGATGCCGTAGTGGATGTAGCGGCCGCTGTAGGTGCCGTTGAGGCCGCAGGCGGTTTGGAGGGAGGGCTGGTTGGTGTTAGGGGCTTGGGTTGGGGTATGGGAGTTTGGATGTGCACTCACGGATTGGAAGTCGACCTTGTTCTTGTAGGCGATGTTGCACGAGGGTGTGAGGTCTGCAGTGCCGACGAGGAATGAGTTGATGCGCTCGCCAAGGGCGTTGGTGATGACGCCGGCGGACTTGCGCGTCGCCGTCGACGCAGTCGGCTGCTCTTCCTTGCGAGGAATGCATTTCGTCCAGTCTGAAGTCATCTTGCCCGCGACGCGGAGGGCGAATTCAGCCGCCAGGTCGGGGTATTCCTCGTGATACTTTACCAGGGCCGCTTGCCAGCCCACCTCGAGGGCCTCACCCCGGCTGGGAATGTCATGGAAAAAGTCGTAGACGTCCTGGGGGATGTGAAAGTGCTCGTCTGGGTTGAGACCGTACGACCGCTTGATCCTGGCCACTTCGTCGACTCCAAGAGCAGCGCCGTGCACGTCGGCGGTGCCGGCCTTTGCAGCTCCAAAGCCAATCGTGGTGCGGATGTTGAGGAAGGTGGGCTTGTCGCTCGATCGAGCGGCGATAAGGGCGTTGGCGATGGCTGCGGTGCGTTAGCAGGTGTCGTGAACAGCTAGAGGCTTGACCTACCGGCAACGTCCGAGTCTCCGTTGTGCACGTCTACCACGTTGAACCCGGTAGCCCGCATCTTGGTGTTGATATCCTCGGTGTTGGCAACGTCTGCAGTGCCGTCACACGTAACGCAGTTGTTGTCGAAGATAACGCAGAGATTGTTGAGCTTCCAGTGGCCGGCGAGGGAGAGCGCCTCAAGCCCGACTCCCTCCTGAAGGCATGCATCGCCGACCATGCACCATGTCATGTTGTTCACCACCTCATGGCCGGGCTTGTTGTATGTTGCGGCTAGGTTTTTCGTGGCCACGGCAAGACCAACCGCATTGGCGAGGCCCTGGCCGAGGGGACCAGTGGTGACCTCCACGCCTTCGTGTTCAATTTCGGGGTGCCCCGGGCAAACGGAGTCGAGCCTCGATGAGTGGTAGGACTTGAGCTGGTCGAGAGTCATGCTTTTGACGCCGACAAGGTGCATGAAGAGGTACTGCCACAAGCAGGCGTGGCCTGACGATTCCAGCTAAGCGACAGTCGGATCACTCGGGATACAGAGACGTACCATTCGAGAGAACGAAGCGGTCCCGGTTGAAGTAGTTGCAGTTTGTAGGAGAGTATTTCATGACATACTTGTACAGGGCAATGCCGATGGCAGCCATACCCATGGGAGATCTGAGTCTAGTCAGCGATACGCTGGGAGTAGGCAATAGCTAAGAGTGAGGAGTTTACCCAGCATGGCCTTCGCCATATTGCTGTGCGAGATCAGCGATAAAGGCTCGAAAGACGTTCATCACTCGCTGATGCTTCTCTGGGCTTTCGTATTTGAGCGAAGCCCCGTTGCCGATTGCCTTGACCGGCAGGGTTGCGGCGGGTTTCTCGAGGAGTTCCAACGGTTCCAGTGAGGGTGCCATGCTGTATGAAAGTAGGTAATTGTGATTGCTCGAGAAGGCGAGCGTGCTGCCAATTCTTATATTCACGACATCATTCCATTCATGTCCATGTGGCGCGAGAATCAACGCATTGCGCCAACAGATCGAGACGAAGCCATGAATGAATCAAGTCATTGGGAGAAATCCATCTGTAGAGGCGAGATTGCGAAACTGCTGTTCTCGTAGCATGGACTGGACATACTTGTTGGGGCCCCTCGCTTCGGGGCCAGCGGGCTCGCTTCGAGCACCACCGGCGACCTTCCTGTCCTCACCACAGGTCGGCCATTCTTGCAATAGAGGGGATATTCTTGATGGTGACATTTCTAACACCCAGCCGTGGCCAACACGATGCGTCCAAGTGTAGACAGCCAAAATTCCATCTAGTATGACATGAAACCCACGTTAGTTCCTAGGGAATCGTCAAGCCCTAATCTAACATTCCGCAGATCGCAACGCCACAGCGGGGTAATCAATGCCGAGCATCGTACATATTTAACAGCTTCTGGCGCCCTCGAGACGAACCCCCAATGGGACCCTCAATGGACAGCAGAAGAACAACCACCGAGGCCGTCGCCACGGGGCCCAAACGCCGCCGCATCAGACCATCTCGGGCCCGCGGGTTGAGAACTCGGACAGGATGGTGAGTGCATTCCAGTTCGCCCCTAAGCGAACAACCTCGCTTACATGCACGATAGCCTTACCTGCAGGGAGAGACGCGTGAAATGCGACGACGGGAAGCCTACATGTCTGCGGTGCTCCAAGGCTGATCGCGTCTGTCGGTATGCCCAGGGTGCTGACCAGCACCCTGCCACCGGAGCTGGAACGGCGCCAGCGGATTTGACGGTGAACAGGGCCGTGACACTGCAGAGTCCCCAGGAGCAGCAGCAGCAGCAGCAGGTTGCCACGGCGCCGTACTTCCAGGCCCAGAATGACCATCTCAACCAAGCCAATGATCAGGCCTTCGCGACTTCTCCACTGTCACTGAGCCAGATCTCCCTGCTCAACATCTCCCCCCTAGAGTGGTACGATCTGCTGGCCCGGGATGCCATCAGCAACATCCAACGGCTAAACGAGTCAACCGGCGACCCACGCTGGAAACATCCCGAGATTGCTCTCTCTCGTAGACAGTCACCAGCGCCAGAATGTCCCGAGGCTCCTGTCGAGCAGCAGCAGCAGCACGCTTTGGAACAAGACACCGGGACCGAGCCCCCTCTATCAGATTACCACCAGCTCCACGAGCCATGGAACACAACAAGTAGAATCGAACTATCAGAAACCGACCTCCCCTTCTTTCAATACTACATCGAGGTCGTCGGGCCCATCCTCGACCTGTTCGATCCCGCGCGGCACTTCAGCAACGTCGTCCCCCATCTAGCCCTCCGAAACACAGGCCTTTTGAAGGCGATCCTCGCAGCCGGCGCAAAGCACATGTCTCTCGGCCTCCTGCACGCGCCAGAAGAGCTCCCAGGCGGCCCTGCCCTGCCGCCCGAACCAGACCCGACCACCGCACCAAGTCACATGGCAACCCAGTACTACTACGAAACGCTACAATACCTCTCGCAGACCCTCCTCTACCCCTCGTACGCCGACTCGCGCGAGATCCTCGCAACCGCCACCATGATCAGCACGTACGAGATGTTCGACGCCGCCAGCGCCTGCACCACCAGCGGCGACTGGGAGAAGCACCTGCGCGGCTCGTTCTGGATCCAGCGCTCGCAGGACAACGACGGCGAGTCGACGGACGGGCTGCGCCGCGCGGTCTGGTGGGCATGGCTGCGGCAGGACATCTGGGCGGCGTTTCGCGCGCGCCGGTCCACGCTGACCTTCTGGCGTGCGCGAAAGCCCCTTGAGGAGCTCGACGCGGACGAGCTCGCTACTCGCATCGTCTACATCTGCGGGAAGTGTGTTGCGTATGCGGCGGCGGCGGCGGAGATGTCGCCTGCTCAGGATCCGCGGCCACGGATCGAGGCCGGGGATAGGTTGCTCCAGGCCCTGGATGAGTGGTACAGGGTGCTCCCTGCGTCGTATCAGCCTGTTGCTGTGGCTGGGCGGCTCCGGGATGATGCCGTGTTTCCGCCGGTGTGGATTCATCCGCCGAGCCATGCGGGAGCCATGCAGATGTACCATTTCGCGAGGGCGACGGTCCTGCTGAACCAGCCTACTATGGGGGGTCTGAATGCCTACTGTCTCCGCGACAGGCTGCTGAGTGAGAGTGTGCGCGTGGTCTGTGGAATTGCGAATGCGTGTCAGGAGCATGAGTCTGCCATGGCTTTTGTGAATGTACAGGCGTTGTTTGGAGGTGAGTCCGGATCTTCTTGCTGTCTAAACTGACGCTCGGCTGACGGGACCAGTTGGCCAGTTTGTTCGCTCGCCCGAGATGCGCAGCGAGTTACTCCGTATCCTGGAGAAGATGCTGCGGATCAGCAGATTCCCGGCTACAGGGCTTGTCGCTGAGCTTAAGAAGGTGTGGCAGGAGTTGGAGCCGTAGTGTAAGCAACGAAGTCATCCGCTAGTTCCATATGAGAGGCTATGTCATGAGCTCATTTAACGGCATGCACAAGAACAAACTCAAGTATATACACGTACATGAAATGAATACCCCGACATGCACCCCTACCACGCCCCCACAACCCCAGCAACCGGAATATCAATCCCAGTCGTGTACGAAGCACTATCCGAGAGCAGATACACATACGCACCACCCAGCTCCTTGGGATCCGCCAGCCTCGGCATGCCCCCATAGTATTGCATCTTGAGCTCCCAGTCCGGCGCCTGATCCACAAAGTACGTCATGGCCGTCTTAACAAATCCAGGCGAGACAGAATTAACACGGATACCATGCTTCGCCCACTCCATCGCCAGCGTATGCGTCATATTCCGCACAGCGGCCTTGGTCGCGCCGTAGGGAGCCGAGGGCGCCGCACGGTTGGGCCTGTAGGAAGTCATCGACGCCGTAAAGACGATGGAGCCCCTGATGCCCCGCTCAATGAAGCGGCGGGCCACTGTCGTCGCGCAGAAGTACGCGCCAAACACGTTGAGGTTGAACAGCTGGTCCAGTTGGGCGCGGCTGAAGTCCAGCGCCGGCTGGTGCTTGGTCATGCCGGCGTTGGCGATGAAGCCGTGGATGGCGCCGCGCGCGGCGATGACGGCGTCGATGGCTGAGGTGACGCTTTCTTCGGAGGTCACGTCGCAGCGGATGTAGGAGAGGCGCGTCGGGTGGGCTTTTTGCACGGCGGCAAACTCCTCGCCTGGTGAGAAGACGTCGAGGCTGAAGACGGCCGTCGCCTCGTTGGCGAGGCAGACCTCTGCGAGGGCGAGGCCGATGCCTCGGTTGGCGCCGGTGATAGCGATGACTTTGTCCTTTAGGGTGATTCTCCAGTCGTGGGCTGGGCCTGGCTGGGTGTTTAGAAAGGGGGGTGTTGCGGTGGTGCCGTTGCTGTTGACAGCAGGGATTGTCGTGGAGTCGAGCATACTTGGAGGCATGGTTGAGATGTGTTAGCGGATTGAATTACAGACAATCCCTCAGGCTCGGCGCCTTTTAAGTCTATGCTTTGAGTCGCTTCAGACAATGGAGATGTCCAACTTGTCGAGGGCACCAGGGCCTTGAAGCGATCCGCTGTCAGGTGGCCTCGCATCGAGACCACGCTGGTCATTGATGAGCATGATCGACGCCGGAGGATCAGCAAAACAAGAAAGTGAAACTATGCTTCTATAGTACTGGCGCTCCGAACCACTCGCTTTCATCTCGCCTCGACCATGTCTGCGCTTCATGGTCAGGTTGACCGGAGTCGGACAGAAGCCCAAGTCGCGCGGGCTTTGCACTACTACCGGGTGGTAAGTCAGCATTTGTCTCTACCTCGGAGTATAGGCCGCTTTGGGCTTCTTACATTGCACTAGGTTCATCTGTAAGCGCCACCATGTCAAGTGCGACAAGATATGTGCCGTTCCATGCATAGATACGGCGGGAGATACATATCTGACTCGACCAGGCTCGTCTTCGATGCGGCCTGTGCAAAGGGCGGCGCTCTTATATCTCAGCTCCTGATTATTCGCCATGTACTCTACCATCGCATGCCGTGGTGTCGCATGGTCGTAACGTTGCTGCACGGCCAGGCGCATCCGAGTCGACCGACGCCATCTTCCCTTTGAAAGGCTTCGTTTCTGTTCAGCTGTCTTGTGAAATTTGTCGCCTTGCTATCTGTAGCATTGTATACACTTCTGCTTGACCACATAACACTACAGATTATACCTCGTTCAACAACTCATTTCTCACTGGATGACGCCAGACCGCAGCCGCCGACGGTACCAAACATGCAACAACAAAAAGACAACCACGCCCACTGCGAGCATCGCAGATATAACCGAAAATCCCATAATATACTTGGGGCTATCATCTTCCGGAAACAGGTACTGTATCTGGGTCAGCCTGGCCGCCAAACAGCTAAAATTGGGGAATACGTACCGACCCGTAGATCTGTGCCAAATTACCCAGCGCATTCACCATAGCCAACGCAACACCGCGAGCTTGCGGATGCATCCCGGCAAAGGCAGACGAGGCGTAGGCCAGGGTACCGCCGTTGGTGGACCAAAGGCCGGCCGCCATGACGACCAGGAGAGCATATCGAGCAGTGAAGTTATACACAGCACAGACGATGATGGAGCAGATAAGGGAAAGAGTCAGCCAGCCGGCAATGATCAGGCCACGCCATGCCGAGACTTTGTCGCCGTAGTAGGACGTGATACCGGTGGCGACAAATGCCACGCCGTAGATTGGGACTGTCAACAAGTTGACCTTCTTGGTGGAAGCGTTGCCGAAAAGTCCTTCTACCAGGGTAGGGTAGAAGTACGTCAGGGTACTTGAGCCGACGATGACCTAGAAAATATCATAATCAGTCGGGCTGTAGATGCGAGTCAAAACGGACTGACGAACCATATACCCGACAACGAATGCCCAAGTGCGCCATTCGCGGCAGGCCACCTTACAAGCACCCAGGTTGCTCAGATGCTCGCTGTCCTCGGTCACTGCAGTAACATTTTCCCTGGCTAAACGGGCCACGGCGATCTGCTTCTCTCGCTCAGAGAGACGTCGCGACGTCGCAGGAAAATCCGGAAGCACAAAAAGGGCAATGATAGCGAAACCGACGGTAGCAGCGCCTTCGATAATAAACAGCCACCGCCAGCCACGGATACCGTGGACGCCCTCTAGGCCATCAACAATCCCGGCAGCAATCAGGCCGCCAAAGGCCCCTGACAGCACGGCCGCCGAGATAAACACGCCAAACCGCTTCGACTGTTCGGTTTGTTTATACCATGATGACAGGAGCAGGAGAACGCCGGGAGCAAAGCCGGCTTCGACGCATCCCAGGATAACTCGAAGAACGACCAGGTGGGTGAAGTGGTTGATGACCGCCATCACGCACGTCAAGACGCCCCAGAGGATCATGATTGACGGGAGGAAGATCGAGGGGCGAGATTTGCCCAGGGCAAGGCTTGAGAAACGGGAGTTAGTGACTGATTGAGGCTGGGGCTGTACTGGCGGCGGATTGTCATACTTGCTGGGCACCTCGAACACCACGTATCCGACAAAGAAGACCACCAGGGCAATCGAGTATTGGTTGGACGTCAAGTTGAGATCTACCTCCATGCCAGAGATCTTTGCATTGCCGATGCTGTGCACCCATTTAGCCCTGTGACATGCAGTCTTTAGATTCGACATGGACTTACTTGGTTCTGTCAAGATAAGAGAGCAGGTACATCACCCAGATGGTGGGCAGGAGCGTGAGGTCAATTTTCCTTACCAACGCCTTTTCCTCCTCGAGGGAGAACGAGACTTCCTCGGTGCCATTCACATTCTCAATCTCATGAGAGGAGACACCCTTTACCTGGTCCTCAACGTCGGCGGGATCCATGATGGTGTGGGAGAGCTTGAAGATAACAGAAGGAGAACGATAAAACAATCTCATGTCCCATACGGAGTCTCAACCGGATATACAAGGCCAAGGATTCTGGACTATGTGCACCCCGGATTTACTCCTGACTATATCCACCCCGACGGCTCTTCAGCGTCACTTCCCGCTCTCCACAGTCTAAGCATCTAGCGCGGACATCGCATCGAGGGCCATGTGGAGTCCGTGATGGTCTGACATGGCAGACTTGACGAAGCCTCCAGAAGAGTCAGGATAGCTTTTTCCTAGAAATTAAAGAGAAAATTCTTATGAGAATATAGAAGCTGAAGGCGAGAAAACATTCGTCTAAGGTGCATAATGTCGTAGCCTCAGGCTGCTGGTTGTCTCTTTAGGCCTAGCGCCTGCCTGCCTACCATAATATCTAGAGCCAGAGGTCTTCAGGACCTCACCCACAATCATCCCATCAGTCCTCCTTGACCACTTCCCTTGACATGTAATGATGCTGCACTGCCCTATGGGAGTCATTGGGATAATACAATTTTACTTTGCAGAGATTATTATAGAGTAAGACTTGGGCCTACTTGCTACTTAAACAGCTAGGGGGAGGTGCAATATAAGGGTTTCGGTGAAGTTTACTATTTTGCAATCCGGGGGATACTGCTTCGAGTCTCCTTTATTGAATGGCCAGGAAGAAGTCCGCATTCCTAACTGCATATTAGAGACATGAATAGGGCTCCGAGTTCGTGTATTGGGCAATCAATCCAACGCATTGCCAATAGAAGCATTTTGCTCCCTTCCTGAGCTTATCATTCTGTCCTGCGTGCCTGAAAGTGATATTTTGAGACATATAAATATTACGCATGCATGTAAACCACAGTTAGGCACAGTTGTTAAAACAATTTCCAGTCAAAACAAGCGCACGAGAATCAAAACGTAAGGCAACGAGGATAGCTATCACTGAGCACCAGGGAGAAACAGAACCTTCCTTCAATTTCCTTCCTTCGGTGTGACAGTTGCAATCTTGCTCCGACATAATACTTGCGCATCCGGATCAGAAGGGAGGTGGAATGTCACATCCAACCCCGGCCGAAAGATCATGCAATATGTCGAGCCTCCAAAATGGAATTTACCCAGCTTTTCTCCCTTTTCAAGTCGTGCCCCAATCATGGCGGTGACTTCAATAGAAGAAACTTCTGCCATACCAATAAACACGAGGCCCATCAGACCAACAGGGTCGTCAGCTTGGACCCAGACGATACCGCGGGCCGCGACTGACGAAATATACCCCTGAGACTCATTGTCGGCGCCTGGATCCGGATCCGGAGTTCCCGTGTCAGGTGAGAACCCTTCCAGCAACGGTTCGGAGTAGTATGCGCCATCAACCAAGCGATAATCCAGAACAGTTCCTCCCACTGGCATGTGCCACTGGTGATAGCTGTCGGCGCTTAAGAATGCTTGGTAGACTGTTCCCCCGATGAAGAGACCTGCACGGGAATCATGATCAAGCATGTGTTTCAGAGAATACGGCTGCCCTTTTGCCCAGAAGGTATCGTAGTCCTTGACGTTGGTTTGCTGAGCGAATGGCGTTGACTCCGCCGCACTCACAACGGTGCTGGTGATGTGAGGATCCGCGACGGGACGAATCCTGTCCATATCCCTGAAATCTCGGGTGAAGAAATTGTCCCAGGAGGTAAACCCCCAGTACGGCTGAGTTGGATCACAGACGTATGTTTCTGTAAAGCCTTGCATGTGCTGGGTTGATAATGCTGTAGCGGAGAACCAGCCCCCATCATCGGTCGTGAGGGTTGAACGGGAATACTCCGTGCTCAGAAAGTCTCCCCACGACTGGAGCATTCTCTTGATGTGGGCATTCACATCATTTCGGACGAAGGCCGCAAATCCGGCTTTGGTGCCCATCGGCCAGTCAAGAACCGCGTTGATAGGCGTCCCAATTTGAGGCGAAGGCTGACTGGGTTGATCTGGATCGGGTTCCCAGGATGGTGGGTTTCGTAGTAGATAGTCCAGGAATGTGAATAATGTGTCGATGTCCCGAATCTCCGGCCGCCCCGAGGGATCAGTTTTGTATTTCTCGGGGACCTCCGTAAGCATTTCCGTGAACAGCATATAGAGTGTAGGGTCGGTTAACACGTGTAACTTGAAGTCTCTCACCGATTGCAAGAGACTTTGGGTGTCCTTTATCTCGAGGGACAGGGCTTTTTCATTGATCCATCGCCAGATTTTCTTTGGGTGTCTTGGAAGCCAGGCTCCTGGCCGAGGAATCTTTACCGAAGACATATTGCTAGGTAATGCGAGAGGCGAGTGTACTAGTTAACTGTGCTGGATGGAAGTAGGAGCTGTAGCTACGGAGGATAGAAACAGCGGACTTGTCCATGATTATATATCTCGAGTAATCACAACGCCTAATCAGCAGATTGGAAGACGTTGCTCTCATGTCTCTCCCTCAGTTGATATCTGCATGAGGTTACGTACATCGCAGGGGCCCCGGGAGTCTAGAACTGGTCGAAAGCAAACAGGAACGCGCAAGCATGGTTCACTCAAGAATCATTCATCCCAAGAGCGTAAGGTAAGTCAGTATCCATATCCTAATCCATCAATATACATGTTGCGGCATGCATCTTCGTCCTTATGATGCACACCTTCCCTGTATAAACTTTCACCATGACGTGGATCAACCTATCTGCTACTGTTCACACGTTACTGATCCAGATGCATATGACGATGACCTCAGCCAGCTTCATTACTGGTCTGCATTGTAACTAAATCAAGCTAGGACAATCAGTATCTTTGTTCATTATAGCGCGAAAAAAGGGTTGTACCTACTCCTTCACCCCAAATATACGTAGACAATCCTTTGCGGCCAACTTCGCAACAGAACAAATCAATTGTAGCATAAAAACGGCTGTGTTACAAGGAGCAATTTTACTAACAATAAACTACCTAAGCCACTGTAGATCCTAACAATTTGCCATCAGGTCATGCGCAGAATCTTCCGTACTCAGTACTTTTGCTGTCAGCAGTAATGCAGTCCCAAGTATACCCATTACTATCTCGAACCACCGCCGCACCAACGTAGTACTTGCATTGACTCCCCATAATCCGACTGATATCATCTGACACCGTCTTTCCATCCACTACAGTATTCTTTTGCTGCGACACGCGGCACCAGACGCGGTCAACTCCCGGAGGGCCAGGCAGCGAAACAGAAGTGAGCGAACCAAAAGCTGCAGGACCCGGATTCGATAATGCAGTCAACGCCTTGAGCATGTTATTGTTAATGGGACAGGTGTGCATGTGGATTTGGTTCTCGGTGATGGAATGTGCGGAATTGATCACCAACGCCTGAGAATCGGGATTCGAGACTTTCTGGCCAAAGTCCCAGCCGTAGCCCGAAAGTGACGGATGCTGCTGGAGCTCCAAAATACTAGGGATTGGCTCACTGGTTGTGAGCAGCTTCCCATTCAGCTGGATCCAGAACGGAGGGGTTTGGCTACTCTGGGCGCATCCGCCGTTCTGATAGCAAGAACAGAGTCCGTTGAACCAAATCCAACAAGACTGACACCGGTGGTTTGCATCCGAGGTGCAATGGCCTTTGCAGTCGTCGAGGAACAGCTGTGACTGAATGACTGTACCCGGGCACCCGGAAGAGGACTGGCCGGCGTCACATTGAGTATTGCAAACATCGCCGCCGCCGCCGCAGGTACATTGGCCCACGTTGTTGGTTTCAATGTCATGACTGCTGCAATCAGGAGCAGCAGTCCCTTGAGCCAAGAAAAGGCTCAGTGCGATGAGTGCCCTCCACATCCTCTTTTGATAAAGCTTATGAAAAGTGATTGCTTCATTCAAGGTAAGAAGTTCGATTCTGAAGGCTCTCCAAAGTCAAGGACGCAGCTGACCCATTATGGGTATATATAAGAGGAAGAAAGGTTGGGGTTTCTGAAGAGCATCGTCATAGAGCGAATGTTGCCATAGATCTTGTATGTGTGTTTGTAGACATGATATCACAACCAAATGGAACCACTAGATCGGGTCGATCATCATATGCTGTGTGGCACCACCGATAGCCTCATCCGTCAATTTGGGATGTCTAGAACACGGGCTACGTCGCTCATCCATGGTCCTGTTGAGTACCCACCACAGTGCCGGACCCGTGGACAGAACCATGGCGCGGGTACACTCCCGCCCACCACAAACAATCGGGGTCGAACCCAAAGAGCACGTACGCCATTCCCCTTATATATGTGCCGGATTTACCAAAGCTAATCGAGTTGGTTGAAGGATACGATAACCAGAATGGCCTTCTACGGGCTCTGAACTCTAATCTGAGCAATGAGGAGTATGATGATATTCTCGCATTCTCGCGGAAAGCTGCTGGAGAGTTGGGCATCCAAAAGACTCTCCGTGAGAACGAGGTGGATGTTATTATTGGCCCTGGAGGGAGTACAAATGAGCTATATTGCTGCGGCAGCAGGTAAGATATCAAAGTTCATTGCATGAACTTGTAAGGTCTAATGGCTGAAGGGCATCCCATCGCGTCACTCACACTATCTTACCTCCATTACAATGGCCGGCCATTTGGCCTCGCGGTTTTGGCGGACGCGCATCAGGATGCATTGCTAGTGCAGGTCATGAGTGCGTGGGAGGCAACGTTTCCGCGCCGGAAAACCCCTCCTATGCTGGCCCCGACATCGATGCCCTAGGGGGGTTGATCAAACTACATATAAGTGAACGATCAATCTCAATTTACTGCTCAGCTTTACACTCCCTTTCCAGCGTGCACAACCAAGTCCAGTCATGTCTTCTCGCAACCCTCTTTTCCCCAATTTTCTTGCCACATCGTGTGAATTCTCCTATATCAAAATATCGGACCGTCACAGCGTGGAGAAGCCTTACTACTCCTCCGGTCCCCTGCCTCCCGACCAACACCCCGAAAGGGGCGTGGGCTGCTTACTAGAGACGGCTAGCTTGTAAAAGGTGAGTGAAAGCGGCTGTGTACCAGAATCCTTCAGCTATAGAGGTCGCCTGGCTAGACTGGGAGCCACGATATGTGGTGTGAATGATCCAAATTGCTGGAGCATCTGCTAGGCCTCCTATAAACAAGGCCCGCTCGATAATTGAGGATCACCTCGATTCTTTCTTCCATCCTCCCCACCGTTCAAACTGGGTCGTGTCCAAGTCAAAGAGATCCAGCATCCGTCCAACACTGTGATCTACCAAGTCGTTGATTGACGAAGGCTTGATGTAGAAAGCAGGTACCGGTGGGAATATAATAGCACCGGCCTGTGTGACGGAGGTCATATTGTGCAAATGGATTGCGCTGAGAGGGGTCTCCCGGAGGGCAAGAACAAGTCTGCGCCGTTCTTTCAGCATGACATCCGCAGCTCGAGTGACTAGATCATCGCAGATCCCGGAAGCGATCGCAGCAAGACTCTTCACGCTGCACGGCACAACTACCATCCCATCAACGCGGAAAGAGCCGCTGGAGATTGGCGCCGCCAGATCGTGGACATTGTAGACATAATCGGCTAACGCACGAACATTGGCGATAGTGTAGTCGGTTTCGTATTTGATTGTTGCTTCAGCCCATTTGCTGATAACAAGATGGGTCTCCACATTCAATTCACGAAGAGAGACCAGGGTTTTGATGCCTAAGATAGCTCCCGTTGCTCCTGTAATGGCAACGACTATTCTTTGCCGGCGAGAACGATCCTCTGCAGGCGAGGAGGGATTGCCTGAGAGAGACTTGAAGAGGTCCATTATAACAAGGAGCGAGATATCAAGAGACTTTGGTGAAGAGGAAATATACACCGGGAAAGCAGGAATAATGGAACTCGGGGGTAGTGCTATGTACGCAGCATCTTTGAAGGTAGAAATTAGGACGAGGACCGATTTGGAGAAGACTGCCGGCTGAATTTAGACATCCCTCCTATCGCCACCAACACCTGGGGATTGACTCGTATTGTGTATGGAGATTGATATTTTCGAGGTAGGAGAGGCTGTTTGCCAGTAGAGGTTATAGATCGAATAGCTCCAATTTGGAGAATATCGGGATGGACTACGTAATCAAACGGATCGGTGACGACTTCATGTGTCTGGATCATCTCCAATTTGGAGAAATCCGATTAGATGCCACAGATAGTCTGACGCTGGGGTAACAGCAGTACTACCTGCGTAGTCAACTACCTAGAGGACAAGCTCAGAAGATGTGTCATTATACCCGATGGGTCGGCCCGAGTGAACTGAATACAGAATTAGCTGGACCTAGTTCGGACGCTCCAAGTTGGAGAAGGATATTTACTCCAAGCGGTATTTATATATTCAATATAAGTATCTTGCAAATGGCTGAGACACAAGTTCGACACAAGATCCCTCTGCTTCATTTGTTATATGGTTGTTTATCTTGACGCATGCGAGAAGCCCCAATGATTGCAAATCCGGCCAACTCTGTCCGTGCGGAAGAAGACTTCCGTCAATATGTCAAAGAGCTTGAAGACGAAAACGACCTCCTTCCAATTACCAAAGAGGTTGATCCTCACCTGGAGCTTGCCGCAATCACGCGCAAAGTCTATGAGACAGAAGAAAAAGCCCCGCTTTACGAAAACATCAAAGGTCGTAAAGAAAGCGGCCTTTTCCGCGTCCTCGGAGCACCTGTGGGCTTAAGTCGGCAACCTGGACGAAGATTTGGGCGAATTGCAAAGTCCCTGGGACTGCCTTCCACCGCAACCGGTGAAGAAATCGTGAATAGAATCAATGAGTGCAAAAGAAAGCCGCCAGTGCCGCCGATCGAAGTCCCGCCAGATCGAGCTCCCGTCAAACAGTATAAACTGTTTGGCGATGAGATCGACCTAACTGCCCTGCCGGTGCCCCTTCACCATGATGCCGACGGGGGCAAGTATCTGCAGACATTTGGCATGCATATTGTGAAAACCCCCGATGGGCGTTGGGTGAACTGGTCGATCACGAGAGGAATGGTTCACGATAAACGTGCGCTTGTTGGGCCCGTGATTCCAAAGCAGGATATCGGCGTTATATGGCAGATGTGGAAAGAGAAGGGCCGAGATATGCCGTGGGCACTCTGCTTCGGTGTGCCTCCTGCTGCGATCATGGCCAGCGGTATGCCGATTCCCAAGTGGACGGACGAAGCTGGTTTCGTGGGTGCTTTGTCTGGAAGGCCTGTCCAGGTGGTGAAGTGCGAAACCAACGATATCTATGTTCCGATGAATGCCGAAATTGTGCTTGAAGGTACCACCTCTTCTGCGCAACCGAATGACTCCAGGGACTTGCTAACACCAGCGCTACATCAAAGGTGTCGTATCTGTTACCGAGGTTGGCCCCGAAGGCCCAATGGCTGAATATCATGGCATGGTCTTTCCGGGAGAAACTCAGAACAAACCACTTTTCAAGGTAAATGCCATTACTTACCGGCATGACCCGATCCTACCGCTTTGTGTCGCGGGAAGAGCTGCCGAAGAGAACCACACTGTGTGGGGCATCATGCAAGCCGCTGAGGTCTTGAACGTTTGTCAGGCTGCAGGACTGCCGATAAAGATGGCTTGGTGCCCCTTTGAATCACATTGTCTGTGGTTTGTCCTCCAGGTAGACCGCCAGAAGCTGAGAGCTTTGAGTACAAGCATCTCGGGGTTTAGCAAAAAGGTCGGCCACACGGTTTTCAGTTCAAAGCCAGGGTGGTATATACCGAAGCTGTACCTCGTTGGTGAAGACATCGACCCTACGGACCTGGGAGACGTTGTCTGGGCTGAAGCTACACGCTGCCAACCGTCTGCAAACGAGTTCTTCTTTGAAGAATATGGAAACATCCCCCTGATCCCGTACGTCGGACATGGCCTTCAGCCTGGGCATGGCAATCACCCCAAGGTCGTGCGCTGCTGTATGTTTCCTTGTGAGTTTGTGGATGAGGATTTATACTGGAAAGAAGGGTCCTTTCGAGGGTCGTACCCTCCTGATATTCGGGACAAGGTTACGCGCAACTGGAAGGCATACGGGTTCGATACAGATAACTCCTAGGACCAGCACCAGCTATAGACATGCAGCCCATGTAAGATGCTTGTTTGAACGGCTTCCGTTCAAAATCATCGGCACCTCACACATGAAATCTTTGGCTCCTTAACATCAACCTGTGTCAAGTAGACTTAGTAGGAGGAGGAGGAGGAGGAGGAGAAGGAGGAGAAAAGAAAAGCGGCGGCTGCATAAACAGCATTGCAAGTGTTACAAGACTGGGCCCTACAACAAGTTTTTGCGTGATCTGAAGAACGGAGATGCGACCATTGGTATAGACACCAACGGGTTGCGAGCGAGATATGAGCCTATTTATGCCATGTCTGGTCCGCTATGGAGGACTCACTGGTGTGACCCCGTCCTACAGGATAGTATCTATATAGATTAGTCTTTCGGCAACGACAGCCTTTTGGCTGTAATCGCCCCTGCGGGCACTGAGAGCGCCGTTGTTGAAGTATAAACTCCTGGGATATGCAGAGAAAGTCGTTAAGGGTTTTGTTGTATAAAGGGGGCAAGCATTCACCCTCCAACAGATATTATAGGTCTTTTACGTTTAGTCCATGTAAATTAGAGTTTTACTGTCTTGTTCAATAAAAGATATAGGAAAGCGGGATATCGCTAGTTAAGGTGAAGTGTATTAAAATTCCTTGTTCGAGACACCTACCATTCTGCGCGCCCCGTGCTCAGTAATCCCCTCGGACTGTTTATAACGTGCCCAAGCTGTCCTTGGGTCTACCTAGTGAGCAAGAAGCGGCGAAGAATATAACCTAGAACAAAAAAGGACTCCCATCGACTTGGCTAGCAAATCAAGTATGCATGTAACAAACAGTTCATTTGCGCAGCTATAAATTGCGGACGGCAATCTGTGTCTACTAGGTTAGATCTTTCCGACGAGGGAGATGATGACATTCTTCCAATGAATATCAATTCGACCCCTGCAACGCCGATGAAGCCAGACCTCGACATAAACACCAATCCCACGCGCCACCGCCGCAAGAACAAAGAGCCCCAAAGCATATACTCGGCAGAGTAGTTTGCCATCTCAATAATATCACGCTGGATGTGAGCTAGCACTAAGTAGAGGCAACTAATCAACAGCATTATCTATGCTATCCTCCCACGTAGGTTCTTCCTGATAAAATTATTGGATAAACCTAGCCTGTCGCCCCAATGATGCCTACACCGAGTAGATAATTATAGGTAACAAGATCACAACGTATTGGGGTGCCTGCTCAGATGAGGCAGGCATAGCCCTTGTTGTTCGAAGGCAGCTCTACATATTTGGTAGAGGCAAATTGCACAAAATGAGGCAGGTAGCCCAGTCAGAAAACGCGTGGGGCCGGAGAAGGCAGCCACTACGCCTATTAGCCGTATTTGTCCTCATGGATATAGAAAAGCGTCATCGCAGTTGTACCTCAGTTCAGAGTTCTATAACGTATTTCCAAAGCGAGCGGGCCACCAAAGCGAGCGGGCACCTCTTCAAAAATTCTGCCCACGGGCCAAATACTAGAGCCTTTATCAACCAAGCAATTGCATTTCTATCTAAAAATTAATTACTAAGTAGTTTAGGACATCTAACTCTAGTATGTCCACGAATATAGTAATTAGAACACTGCGGGGGGGCTCGTACGCGCGATCCAACTGCAAAAAGTGCAGGATCTATAGAAAGCGCATTTTAAGCTTCATCTACCTTATTCTCGCGCTAAAATCGCTCTAGACCTTCCTAAATAGATAGCCCCTCTTCCATAGCTAGTTACTTAGTAAAGCGCTTTCGCTTTTACCTTTACTATTCATTATTAGCGCGATATTTACAGATTTCATCTCGCGCAAAAACAAGCTTATTAAGCATTAATTTATAACCTTTAATAATCTTGTCTAATCGCGCTTCTAGCAAAGGAAAAAAGCTTTCAGCACGTTCCTTAAGCAGTCTTTTTACAGCAGATACTTGCTTCTCTAACTACTTAGCAGTATAGAGTATTTTCGACGCTAAATTAGTTAAATAACTGCTAGGTGGTGTAGAGGTCTTTAGTTAAATCTTTAACTAACTAAGCACCCTATCTAGATTGAATAGAACTATGCCCGCTTCTACAAAACTATTTCTAATAGTTTCTAGTTGAAAAGCGCTTTTACGGGCAGCTAGAATAGGGATGTCAACCCGCACCGCAACCCGCAGCGGGCCACCGCACCGCACCGCAGCGGTGCGGTGCGGGTTATAAATCCTTCAACCCGCGCGGGTTGCGGGTTCCAATAGTAGGACCCGCGCGGGTTTGCGGGCCACCGCGCGGGTTTTATTAATAAAAATATAGATATTTTATATTTATTATAAGTTAATTATATTTGTATTAGTTAGTGTATAGTACTGCATTAATTTAAACTAAAAAATAGTATAAAGTAGTGGTATTATTAGGGTTTTTTTAATTAAAAAAACTACTAAAAATAGAATAAAAGTGCGGATTATCCGTAGTACGGACAATCCGCACCGCATATAGATAAAATCTAACTATAGTTAGTTTAGTGGCTGACATAATATCGCTATATTAGGTATAGTTCTATAAAATGCGGGTTGTACGGTGCGGATTATTCTAAATCTTTGCGGGTTGCGGTGCGGTGCGGGTTATTTATCTAGAACCCGCAAACCCGCGCGGGTTGAATTTTGACCCTGCGGGTTGTACCCAACCCGCACCGAGTGCATCCCTAACTGCTAGAAATATCTTTAAGAAATTAAATTTATTAATGTTTTTAACTCCTAAACACTCTTTCTGTTCCACTAATATTCCGTACGCCTCTTTTAAAAGCGTAAAGCAGCTAACATCCAAAGATTAAAGCTTATAGAAAGAATAAGCAGATATGCAGATAGAAATTACGTTATTTTCGCTGCAGAGCTAATCGAATTAAGGCGTAAGATAGCTGCTATAGCCGTTAAAAATTAGAAGGCGATATTTTCTAGTTATACGATTAGAAGTAAGAGAAATAAAGATATTTTTAAACTAGCGAAGGCCTATTTTATTAGTAGTCTATCTATTAGAACTAATTTTAATCCTACTATCGCGCGAGAGCTCTATATCTTTATTATTTATACCAGCCCTGTATATAGATCTTTCCTTTAAAGATAATGCATAGAGAAAGCACCTAGCCAGTAAAATTAATATATTCGATTAAAGTAATCTATTCTTAATCGCCTAGCTATACAACAGAGACTTTACTATAGTAGTTAGCTTTAGTAACTACTCGAGCTATAGCTACTCGGCCTATAGCGAAGCCAGTCTCGTTAAAGTTATAGATATCTTTCTATGTAATTCTATGTTGCATTATAGTAATTTATACGCGGTTAAATTACTCCCTAACTAATTTAGGGTCCTTATATTTTATTTATTTGTAATCATAGCGTCGATTCTATTAAGTTTTTAGATCTTTACGTCGTTTAATAAAGTTATTAACCTAGTTTTTGCTAACTAATTAAATAGGCGTTGTACCGCGCGCAGCAAGAAGAATATCGGCTATTTCTCGTATTTAGGAAGGTCTAGAAGGTGCTCTACGCTAAATAAGTAATAGAATCTATCGTACAAGTAATTCCTCTTTAATTTAGATTATTTTATAGCTGTTAGCGCGTGTTTCTGCGCGTAAAGCAGTTTTATTAAGGCGTCGTTGGAGAGTTATGCGAGAGACATTATAGAAGTATACTACTTTACGAATATTACAGATTTTCTGTTTTTCTAAAACAGAAATAGTAAGTAGAATTCGTTCCTCTTTCTCAGCGAAATTACTTGAATTTTAACGCGCTTTTAGAGGCATAGTGGATGGTTAAATTAAGTAGAGCAATAAAACGCGTCGATTTTTGAAGAGGTGGCCCGCTCGCTTTGGAAATACGTTAACGTTTTCCACAATCGAGCCGCGCCTACAACCGAGCCGCGCCCTTTCCACCAAAACTCCTACTTCCTAAATTCAACGCGTCTTTTCTCATCACCACAATTTAATATGCATCTTTCTAAAGAATCGCGCATTCAGATGGCTATTTCAGCTTATCAGAAAGGCCAGGTTAAATCAATTAAACGCGCTGTGGCCCTTTTTGCTGTCCCCGAAAGCACTGTACGCGACCGGCTTCATGGTGCTAAATCACGGTCGGAAACACGCGCCAATGGTCATAAACTGACCGAATTCGAAGAGGAATTACTTCTAAAGCGATTATTAGATGCAGATACGCGAGGATTTCCAATTCGACCCGAATTTCTACGTGGAATGGCCCAGGTTTTACTTCGCAGTCGTTTACAAGACCCTACCGCAGCTATCGGAACTAACTGGCCTTATAACTTTGTTAAACGCCATCCTCAGCTCCGTACGCGATATACAAGGCGTATTACCTATCAGCGCGCAAAGCAGGAAGATCCAAAGGTTATAGGCCCGTGGTTTGAGACCGTACGAGCGACTATTCAAGAACACGGCATACATGAAGACGATATCTGGAATTTCGACGAAACTGGCTTTGCAATGGGAGTCTGCTCTACTTCAAAAGTGATTACTGCAGTAGAGCGAAGCGAGCGACCGCGCAGAGTTATTCAGGGCAATCGTGAATGGGTTACAATCATCGAAACAATCGGGTCAAGAGGCGTATATCTACCGCCAGTCATTATATTAAAGGCAAGCGTTCAACAGGCTGCCTAGTTCCAAGAACCTAAGCTGCCTCGCGACTGGTGGATTTCTACTAGTCAGAATGGCTGGACGACTGATGAAATAGGCCTTCTCTGGCTGAAAAATGTCTTTGAACCGCTTTCTAAGCGCTATATGACTGGTGCAAAGCGCTTGCTTATTCTTGACGGCCATAGTAGTCATTTGACTGCTGAATTCGATGATTTCTGCAAGCAGAATGCAATAATATGTCTCTGCATGCCTGCCCATACTTCACATCTTCTTCAACCGCTTGATGTGGGCGTTTTTGGCCCGCTTAAAGAGGCGTACGGAAAGCTCCTTGAAGACCTTATGGCTGCTGGCAACAACCATATTGATAAAGAAGACTTCCTATCGCTATATCCGGACGCCCACAAGCAAATCTTTACTTCGGCCAATATCTGCAGCGGCTTTAGAGGAGCAGGGCTTAAGCCGCTTGATCCAGAGCATGTTCTTTCCAAGCTTACCTTTCAACTGCGTACGCCTACACCACCACTAGTTGAAGGCTCAGTTTCCTCTGCTTTTCAGACTCCGCAGAATACTCGCCAGCTGAATCGAAAGGTTCGAAGCCTGCAGAATAGCCTTAATAGAAAGCGGCAGCTTTCTAGCAGTCCTATTGCGCATATTCAACATCTGGAGAAAGCAGCGCAAATGGCGATGCAAACTACCCTTCTTTTACAGCAAGAAATTAGGGCTATACGCGCTGAAAATGGACGACAACGTCAAAAAAAAGCAAGAAGACGTGCTGAGATAGGTAATGACCGCCTTCTTAATGTGCAGGAAGGTGAAAACCGCGTTCAGCAGCTTGATACGCAGCTTAATGAGCAGCCTGCGGAATCTACTCTAGCGCCTCGTCGACGAGCTCCGCAGCGCTGTAGTGGGTGTGGAACAATCGGACATACAATTCGAAATTGCCCTAGTAGATGGCTATAATTTCATGTATTTAGTTAGTTAGATTTAATGGCGTTGGTGGTTGAAAAGCCTTAGGAAATAGGAGTTTTGGTGGAAAGGGCGCGGCTCGGTTGTAGGCGCGGCTCGATTGTGGAAAACGTTACAGGCAGTGCTCAGGGTTTATGTAATCAATAAATCAACATAGACTTGGTAGCAGCGGGTGCATCAGTAGGAACTAAACTTGGGCGTTTAGGAGAAACGGCCGCCCGCCCAATAAAAAAAAAAAAAAAAAAAAAAAAAAAAAAAAAAAAAAAAAAAAAAAAAACATACATACAACAGCCTAAGTATGATGGTGGTCACCAGGCGCTGCGTGGGCGGCTTGCATTCAGTCTTCCTTCAGGGCACTCCAGGCCCCTGTTTCACCCACAAGTCACATTTGCGCAAATGAGACCAAGAAGCGGCAACGAAACCCCTTCCCCCGTAAGTGTGCCCCATACCGCTCTTCTGCTGTAAATTCACTGCATACTGAGACTTGGACAATCTAGCAGGAAGAGGCGTGCCAACGTTCGACCAGGCAATCAATCTGGACGACCTTAACAACTAAGGAGAAATGGTAGGAGCTTCCGATCCCGCATTCTACGATATCTATTAAAAGGAGTTCCTACTCTTTTCTCACTTCCTTTTCTTTTTTGTCCTGATATTTTCTGCTATTAGAGCTTTTTGTAACTGTCCTTTAGTCTCTTAGCATTGGCTCCGACATTATAAGAGCTGCAAAGTATACAGAAAAGGGGACCTTATAGTATTCTTTTAATCTTCTTTATAGCAGTCAGACAATCGTACATCTCAGTCAATGACACCCATCTTACCTTAGAACATTCCAGCCGACCTTATAGAAACGATTAGCTTCTTTCAGCCATGCTGCTTTGGAGACTTTGGCATATCGCTGAGAACTTCGGCAAGTTCGGCTCTGTCGACTAACTACAATTTGGAGCTCTGGTATAGATGAACGTATGTTGGCTGGGTTGAACTTCAAACAGGAGTGACACAGGGATAATCCATTTCGCCAAAGCCCAATTCTATTCCCAGGGCTGTACCTAGATCTCCTAATTCGGCCCCGGCAAGATTGCAACTCCTATCACTTGTAATTGCTAGGGTTGGGACAAACCAAGGCCTGCGCGACCATATATCAAGCGACTACAGAAAGAAAACTATATTTGACGGAATAAAATCCATTGGAGAAGAACTGGAGTCAGCTCTAGACCAGATCTGGAGCAGCCAAAGCCTCTAGGTTCCCCATTAGACGTGGCTCATCACAGAGCGGATCCTTTCTGCTGCGACTTATAGTGCTCGTACTGTTTAATGAACTCGAGCTTGAAGTCCTTGACGTTGTCCACCACCTTTAGGAGATGATTCTTCTCCAGTTTTGATTTTCCCTCAGCTCGAGCCAGACTACAGGCCGAGGTAACGACGTTTCGGATCTGGCGTCCATCAAATTTCATGCGGTGAATATCGCTCTCTATCCATTCCATAATCTCCTCGTAACCCTGAACCATTCCCTTATCCCTCAGTGGGTCCAGGAAATTTTTGAAAATTGACGTCGCTCGTTGTTCACTAAGTTCATCGTATTTTATCGCGACGTGGATACGCGAGTGGACAGCGACGTCGAATTGGGCAATTTGATTCGTAGTCAACATCAGGATTCCTGTTCAGTCAGTTTCGGTGCGAACCGGTACTGCAAGCCAAGTCTCTTACCCTGGTAGTACTCAAGTACGCGAAGGAACACTGTCACGATTCAGAAATGGGGCCCAGCGTCGGTTACTCCAAGTGTCTTACCGGAAACTAGAGCGTTTCTCTCGGTGTTGGCTCCAAAGCCAATACCCAGCGATCGACTCTGGAGAAACACGTCCGCTTCGTCGCTATATACAGTCAGTTCACATACGCAGAGAGAGCTTGGAGCCTCACATAAGAAGGATAGCTTGCCAAGTGGTGGCTAATGCAAAGATCCTGGCTAAGTTGGCCTCGACGTGTTTTGCGGAGGTCCCCACGTCGGCAACACTAATGGCAAAGAGTGGCTTTCGAGCCTTGATGGCGACCGTTTCAGCGGTTGATGTCTTGCCCACCCCGGGAGGACCTGGAGAGGTTAGTTGAGGTCTTTCAAGTATGTGAGAATGAGTCGGACCGTAGAGCAGAATTACCAATCCCTTCCCTTTCCGTTCAACAATATCCTCCACTTCCAACCCCTCTCGGCCATGGCCGGTAACTAGCGAGAGAATCATTTCTTTCGTGGCTTTGTTAGCAAGCTTCAGCCCATCGGACCAAGCGTTGCGATGCTCTGCCGCGACCTCTGACAATGAGTCAACCTGCAGTTGGGCCCACTGCTTTTCGCGCAAGATGTACCCCAGCACCCTCGGTGGACATATGAGGAATTGCTCAGGATCCCACTGGCTGCCATCGGCATTGGCCTTGTCGTAATCAGATCTAAAGGTCGCTCTAAGTGATATATTTTCTTGGCAACTCGGACACTGGCATTCAGTGTGACCCTCGTCAGGCACAAGATCGCCAATGCTTGCGACTCCAAGTCCGTACCGAAAGTAAGAGTGAAAGTCAACCATAACTCGACCTCGCACCTCGATGGATTTATGAGCGCGGCCGCTGGTTGATAGTTTCGAAGAGAGGCCGTAGACATCCTGAGAGACAAGATCGCTCTCCAGCTCTCCGTCTGGCTCGTCCACGCCCTGAAGGCCCGAGAATCCTTTCTTTAAGAAAACAGCCGGACCAGAATATTCAAACATCTGCGATCCTGGTTTGGCGGTGCAGAGCTTTCTGTACTTCATACCTCGCTTGATCAATCTTTTCTTGAGCGCTTCGGGGTCTTCATAGAACTCCAAAGGATAGTACGGTAAAGAGTTGATTGGTTTCTCATCGTTGAATGAGTCGAATTTCAGGCGAAACGGGAGGCGCTTGAATTGGGACCCGTCCCAGTCGTAGGCCCAGCAGCGAAGGTGGAAGGTATCCCCCAATGGCCAAGGACTGGTATTATCCTCAACAATGAATACTTGGTCCTGGCCCTGGAACGCCTTGCCATAGACCAAGGATCCTGGAGGGAAAAGGGTCCATAGCGTTTCAAAGGTGATTAAGTTTTGTTCCTTGAGCGAGCGTCTCTTTCGTAGATAATTGTCCAACCTTGGAGATCCCGTTCCCTTCTCGATGGCTTCCAACAGTTCCTTGAGGTCGGCCCGGGCTACCTCGTCTGCAGCATTGGGATTTTGACTGGCCTTAAGCAGGTTGTCCCAGTTAAAGATGATGGCTTCATAGGGAGCGTCGAGGGTCTTGGGAAGATTCCCTTGGTAAATATGGTAGGGATAACCTCTTACGCATTCCTTCACAAGCTCCCACAGTTTTGGACTTTCAATCTCAATTTCACTGTCGTTGGCATCGCTCGTGTCGTCGGAAACAATCTTACGTAGCGTAAATGCGTAATCTTTCTGCTCACAGCTTTCCTTTTTTGGAGTCACGTTTGGCAAACTATCCTCGCGGACTCCTTCGCTATTGACTCTGCTGATGACGATTCTGGCCCGAGCTCGGTGCTGCTATGGTCAATGAGTCTGTCCACTTTTAACTGCGGGTTATCACCAACCTTTTCTTCGTGCTCTTTCTTCCCCTGGGATGGTAAGCGCAGGATCTAGAGCTGACTAGGGAGATTTATGTTTACCTCTGTTGATACAGAAACATCAGATGACTCATTAGCCTTAGGCTGCTCGGTACTCTCCAACTTCTTCTCAAGTGCAGCCATTTTTGCCTCCAGAGCAGCGAACAGTTCTTCTGCGGTCTTTTCAATGTGTGCCACGTCAGTTAAGTCAATGGTCAACACTGCAACCTGCTTACCATTTTGGCAGTGCTACGCTACTTAGATTTTGGTGTGAAGTGGTCCTGTGCAAGGAAAAGTGAACAGGGCAGCGAAGGAGGTCTATAACTTAAGCAGGCTTTATTTGCTTCCGTTGGTCATTGATTGTCAGTCCCGGGCGTGAAGGCATGGCGAGCTGAAAGGCCTATCCATGCGGCAATAGTGATGTGGCTATCCGAAATCCTATCGTTGACGTTCCGTTCGTTCCGGTGGCTGGAAATGCTTACATGCACCAGGGAAGAACTGCATGTCAGATAATCTGACAGCGGAAGTAGCGGCCAATGACTGGTGAGCCAAAGGGCTTTCCCATAAGGCAATAGTAATGCGGCTATTTGAAATCCTATCGTTGATGTTCCGATTATTCCGGTGGCTGGAAATTCTTACATGAACTAGCAAAGTAACTACTGCATGTGGAGGGTTTGCATCTTTCGAGACAGTCCGGGCTAGGGTGTCAACCTATGCAACGAATATGCAGCTTGGCCCATCGAGCATACAATTATCAATTTCTGATAGAACAGAGAAGTGGAAGAGCATAAAACTTGGATTAGACAAGTTTGAACTACTGTCCAGATTTAGGGGTATTCCTTGAAGAGCAAGTTTTCACTATAAGTCCTCGTATACAAGAGAAGCTAGGGTGAACCTGCGAACGGCCTGGTTTAATGCGCCTGGAATATACCGACTCGCCCTAATAGTTGAAAAAAGCAACGCTCACATCGTACTTTTTCTTGCCTTCTGATAGGTACGAGTATGTACCAACAAAGGGCTCTGCGATCCAGACCGATGTCTCAGGTCCACCATGAAGTGTTCGATGCTACGTACCCAAGTTTCACGAGTCTTATTGGCCTATATAGTCAGCTGGTTCACACCCATGATGGTGTTCGGCCTCTCCGATGGCTCCAGAGGTTCACAACTACAGCAGAGCTCGCGCCACAATGGGGAGCCAACCACACACTAATGCACCACGTTCATCAAAGGGAAAGCTCCGGAACCAATAACAAGGTACTAAGACCAATGATCAAGAAATGAAAGAGCAAGTATCTCCGAGGTAGTGATACTAGGCTATCAAATCGCAAATCTCTGTAATATGGAGAAGCCCAGTTAATCTATCACAGACCAATTATTGGGAATTACCTTCTTAAATAGAGCAGCTATCTGCTTACATACAGTGATGACAATCACGAATCCATACTAAAGGTATTTTCCTCTTTGGTTCCGACTTAGGTCATTGCTTGTGTCCCTATGCCTTGCATAGGCTGTAGACCCATCTGTAATGATAGCGGGGGAGTTAATCAATTCGTGGCATGCGCAAGCCACCCTGTCTCCTAGCCAAACGAGGCTTACAGCCATTGCAGTACATTTCTGGCGGAAACAGCGCTAATTCCCTTTCCTAATAAGCCCAGGCAGGCGCTTCTCAGGTCGTTGCTCCTGCGCTGTAAGAAGACAGCACTGAGTGAGAGTTCACCCCGCCCTCACCATGTCTGCAGAGAGGAAAAACCGTTTTCCACGCTGTTCGGACAGAGATCTGTATATGAATTTATCCAAAATAAGGAAGACACACAGAGCTGACAAAAATAGAGAAACGATCAAACGGTGTGAGGATGCACAACGCCAGCTCAGGGAGAGCGTCCTCGAGCGACGAGGCTTCTCAAACGCGGAGAAAAGGAGCGTTCAGCTCACCTGCATTGAGGATTTCCGCGCGTACTGGACCCAGGCCACCAACGCGCAAGGAGACTTCGATGGCGAGCACGAAGCGGGTTGTGGCCTCTGTGCTAGGCGCTACCAGTCATCAGCTGAGTTGGTTGTAGGGTTTATGGATGATTTTAATCCGATTTTGAGCGCCGTCAAGGATTTTGCTGCGCCGTATGGTGGCCTTGCCATTGGCATTATCTCTCTTGTATTCGTCGTCAGTACATTCGTGCGCGAGCAAAATTGTTCCCTTTTCCTTTTTTTTTTTTTTTTTTTTTTTTTTTGAAGTCCATGGCTCACAGGTACCCACGTGGTTCTAGGTAGCCCGAAATAAGAACACAGTGGAAGATACGCTGGCGTCTACTATCTCTGAGATTCGAAACCGACTGCCGGGAATCGACCTCTATCAGCGCATCTACGATGATGACCACCCGCTGGACCACTCTATCCAGGCACAGATCGTGGCAGCTTATCAAAGCTTCATCGATTTTTGCATTGCTGCCACCAAGTATTATAAATCCAGTCCTGTTCGTAAGCAGAGATCTGTGCCGTGCATGTATATTTTTCACAACGATTGACTTATCTCGCATAGACCGTTGGCTGAGGGCGTTGGGACTGTCACAAAGTCTCGCCAATAGCGCGACGGACGTGCAAAATTCCTTTGTAAATATCGAACGAACAAGCCATGAATTGCTTGCCAAGAGCGTCGATGAAATCAAAGGCGAAAATAAAGGTCTGTCCCCCCGCTGTTTCGAATCCTGCTGGTGCTCACAAGACGCCAGATTTAAAAAAGCAGATTTTGGGTAGGAAGGGTAACTCCGTTTCCTCCGTTCAGATGCTAACAGAAGCAGAGCTCCGAGACCAACTCACCAATTCGGACAAAGATGCCTTTGAACAAACCTTCAGACTCGGCGTCTTCTCTGAGGAATTGCAGGAGAACGATCTTGCTACCTACAGGCAACGCTTGGCTACGGACCTGGAGCTCAATTTCCAGGGCTTCCAACAGCTCCGAGGTCCCCACTTCGACGAGTTTACCAGCAGCGGCGTATACCGACAGTGGGATACGTCACTTCAGCCTCGTCTGCTGATTCTGTCTGGTCGCAATTTTCCCGGTCTCTCGTCGCCGCAGTCTTGGCTTTCCTGGGTAGCAACCTCCACAATTGAGCGACAGCGAAGGTCTTCAGCATATTGCGCCTACTATATCGTCACAGAGCAAGGAGCAACATTGTATCAGGTGCTCCCAAGCATCTTACTGCAGCTAATAGCGAAGAAGAAGGACATGCTACGGATGGACGACCAACGAGATGGGCTTCGGGCAGAGCTGCATGAGTTCCAGCAGTCGGAGAAAACAGGCATTCCAAACAAGTACGGAAACGATGGCAGGACAGATGTTCTTTTAAAAATCGCAACACGTGTGGTGAGGTTCTTCAGCAGAAGTGATGAGGTGTACATCATTGTCGATCGCGCGGATCTGTGCACGGACATTGCTAACTATGACCATCGGGGTTCTTTGGTGCGTGCTCTGGTGCAGATGGTAAGCTCGGCCCATTGTCGAATTAAGATCCTCGTCGTGATCAAGAGCTCTGTATGGGATGTCAGGGAACATCAGGACGAACTACGCATTTGTTCGCATGATCAGGTTGTAGTACATACGATGGACCAGAACATGTTGTATTGATCTCCCACGCAAGTACAGTCAACTTCCGCTAGTGCCCGCTCGGATTGGGCATTCCTGGGTTTTAGCATCAAAACCTTTTGCACAGCCTGATTTCCATTCAAACCCGCCGCTTTTAACATATGTATGAGTGCCCCCGAGATTAGGTCCCCGAGCTTAACAACATTAAATAGCGGCAACTTAAGGACCGTCTCATGTCCGTTTCGGGGCAGCCAAGAATAACAGTGTCTGGCCATTCCTATCCTTATATTTCACGTCGACATTACCTGTTTCAGGCGGCAACTTAACGACAGCCTCGTGACCGTTCCAGGCGGGCGTCCAGCAGGCTTATCAATACCTCAGTTCCTTTGCTGTCAACGCTGGTATTAATATAAGAAAACGTGAGAGCGACGGCGCGCAAAGAGCCGGCTGACATGTCCCAGAGTCTGCCTCTCCATTACTGTCGAAGTTCCGCGGGGCTGCAAACGTAGCGAGTTATCACTGATGGAAGGCTACGTGCAAAAGGTCCAACCGGGTAGCAGAAGGGGCAGATTGTCTGTCATAGGCAACTGACGTCTCGGCTCGATCTAGGAGATTCCCGATCTGCTGTGCATCTAGGCATTTGTGACAATATAAAAAGAGGTGGCGAAATGCAGAGCACAGAGACCGGTCCAATGGCAAGATTAGCTTAGGTTAGCCTAAGTCAATACAGCATCAAAGGACAGGGCAACAACGAGACGCAGGCGGGCGAGAAGATAATGCTATATATACAGATTCTGCACTGAGATGCTAGGCGACAGCGAAGCGCTTTCCCCATTTAGATACCTATATTGGATCCAGAAATTCGCCGTGCCTGCAGAACATGGGTATAGGAGCCAACTTGTAAGGACATCCTAGTATGTTCGACTTGATTAACCGTACGGTCGCCTGTACATACCTAGTTAAGATATTAGTGGGATCGCATCTCCGCTAAGCACGGGCTTAGACCCAACCCAAGTCGTCGTAATACTAAACTGCACTTGTCGATCTGAAGCTGTAATGGATGATGGATTTCGTTTTCACGGTAAAGAATATCTGTCTGTTAGAACGTAGGAGATCTTTTTTCTAAAAGAGAAAAAAGAAAGAAGGAAAAAAAAACATACAACAGCCGGGATTCGCTGGTGGTCACCCACCCAACTACTAACCGGCCGGCGTGTGGCTTAAGTACGGCTGAGCGGACGGGAAGCCCTGTTTTCCACACCCTATGGTCGTATGTACTTGATCGTTCATAGTGACGGTATATAACGTGCAGTCTTTGGTATGAATCAAGGGCTTCGAGCGCAAGGTAGAAGTAATGACTCGGTTATGAGGGAGACTAAGGAGCGTCCATGGCACACGCATCGACAGGAAGATGCACTACCTCTTGTGCCGGATGAGATGACGGAAATGGCGCTTGAACTAATGCCGGCCACTGCCCGCATCCCCGCAGGGTATCGATTGCGCCTCTGCGGCCGAGGGGAGAGGTCGGATTCCGGGGTTAGAACGCGCATACGATGAATCGTACCACAAAGGCGCTGTCAATCGTGTTTTCACAGGCGACATCCATCCCAGCTCCATCAGCATTCCGGTAGTACCTTATCTTGAAAGACTGCCCCACAACTCTTATAGGGGGCGGGCCCGTTGGGATCTCGATGGTGATCTAGGACCATATCAGAACTCTATGTTTGTTTCATAAGACCTAACTTGAGGGACTGTAGCAAAGGCGAAATGAATGTGTGGTCTCTGAGCCAGGTACTATAATAATATATATCTATCTGGCAACAAAGTTTCACTGCTCTTGACTCGGAGAACTGGCAGCTTTTTCTCGGGTGAGTTGGAATGGTTTGATCTGCTTGAAATCGCTATGGCTGCTGCATTCATAAGCAAGTTTACAATATGAGTTTTCGTGTTTCTTAGTGATAACATTGTTGGTTAATTGCTAGTAATGTGCGTCTTCATCTCCAACTGCCTAGAATCAATATCATGGAGATATATTACGCCAGCTTCTATAAGCCTAACTTAAATGGCGGCCTTCGTTATCTATATAAATTCTAGCCTGCTTAATTCTAGCCGCCAGGAATAAATTATCAAATAAAACTAATTTAGTTGAATAATAAAATAATAATAACTAGAGAGTACTAGAAAGATAAAAAGATAGTACGTAAAGATAAAATAGAGGACCCAACAGCCTGATAAAACAAGTTAACTGCAATGACAGGAGATAAATCTTCTTTTCGTTAAATAAAACTTGCGATGATATCTGGCAGCACCTTGCAGACCCTTGATAACGGAGAAACAAGGATATTCTATTACCGATTAGTATTAAAATACTGCTATATACACTGGTCTTATCCCCTATACCAAAGTTTATATAGAAAGCAGCCCTAACCAGAAAAGGGAATCCATAACACAGGGCAGCGCTGCTAAACACCCCTATTTTCTCGATCAGCCACCAGCAAGGTTCATAAGCATAGAAGAGTATCCAGAAAACTTTCCTTCGATTTCTGAAGCAGCCACACAATATGAAGCTTTTTTAAGCGTAGAAGATTACTGTTGTCAAGGTTTGAGGGAACGGGCTGGCAGGCATTCGTCGGATTCCCCAGGCGGCCGATCTTACAAATCAAGTGAGTTAGTCCGCCAGCACCAAGGTGGTTGGGATAGTTTAAAATTATTAATGTGACTACGCTTAGAAATAATTACTAATGCCAGAAGTATACGTAGAGAGCCATGGGATAGACACTGTACTGTATTATTATAAGCTAGGTACTGTTCTTCCTTGCGTCGAGTCAATCCGAACCATCCACTGCGCTCTTCGTCTGTCACTAGGTTCAATCGGACCCTTTCCCCTCCTTGCAATGTCTTCCAAAACCGTTGTAATTATCGGGGCCTCCTTCGCTGGAATCCCAATTGCACACTCTCTGCTCAAAGATCTCCCATCGGTGAAAGTGGTTCTGATCAATCCGTCCTCCACATTCTACTTTGTGATTGCAGCCCCGCGCATTCTCGCAAAACCAAAAGCCTTCCGCCCCGAGCAATACCTTCTCCCGATAGAAAAAGAGTTTGCTCGTTATAGAAAAGACGCCTTCGAATTTGTCCCCGGTGCGGCAACCTCGATAGACACCAATGCGAAGACAGTCACCGTGGACAACGAGAGAACGATCGCATTCGACTATCTTGTCATCGCATCGGGGAGTACAACCCGTTCCATGACGATCGAGGCCGAGACCCAGGTCCCATTCAAGCCCCCCCAGTCAGGTCAGGTGCAGCCATTGATTGAAGAGGCTCAACGAAAGATCAGCCAGGCGACCAAGATTGTTATCGCGGGCGCCGGTCCGATTGGAGTTGAGACGGCGGGGGAGATCGCCGAGGCCGCCAAGGAGCGTGGAGCAACAGTCCATATCACGCTCGTCTCAGCCACAGAGCGGGTTCTCCCCATGCTGAAGCCTCGCGCCAGCGAGATCGCCGAACAGCAGCTTCGTCAACTGAAGGTGGAGATTGTCACGAGTCGGAAAGTGACCGGAGCTACCCAGGCACCGGGCGATTCCGCGTGGACGGTGTCTCTCGATAACGGACAGAGTTTGAGCGCCGACATGTACATCCCCACCGTGGGCATTGTCCCGAATAACGGTTTCATCCCGCAGGAGTTCCTCGATTCGTCGGGCTGGGTCACTGTGGACGGTGAGCTGCGGGTGCAGAGCAAAAGCCACTCAACCTTGCCGATATTCGCCGCAGGAGACATCACAAATAATTCCATGCGCCTTTCCTTCAAAGCAGTCGAGCAGGCGGCGGTTGTGGCGGCAAACTTGAAGGTGGAGATTGCTGGCAAAGGCAAGCGGCGCACGTATGACCAAGGGAATAGCATGATGATGGTCGTCCCAGTTGGTTCATCTGGTGGGACGGGACAAATGTTTGGTTGGGTGCCTTGGAACATGCTTGTCAAGATGGTCAAGGCCAAAGATTTCTTGATCGGCAGAGCTCAAGGCGTGATCTCGGCGAGTTGAGGTGGTGAGGCGGTTATAGTCGCGTTCGTCATATACTGCATACTGTAGATAGTTAGTCTCCACGGATGACCGTATGGTCCGACCTCTAGTTATAATAGTTGTATAATAGTATACTTACCCGAAGCATAACTACTTGCTATTCTAATTTACTACTTGTCTAAAGACGGGTATAAAACTTGCTGTCACAACAAATTTTCTCGCGCTAGGACTCCCTATTTTATTTACCTTACTGCTGCTTAATATCTTACAGAGCGTTCTAGGCGTGTTTACCTTGTTTACGTGAGTTATCAAAGTCTTTTGCATAAATCGGCCATATCTGTGACATCTCTATCGTAGCGGACTAAATATGATTACATTCTGCCTGGTGTATCTTCTGATAAGTACTCAAATGATGACTTCTGCCTACTAATTAACTTGGCATATATCGCAAGTCCCAAATGTCCCGGCTGTACAGGCCTATACTAGGTAGGATATAATATACAAGTCTACCTATAGTCTATAGGCGCTGCTCGTGGATTCGGCTCTAATAGTTAATCTAGTCAATTAAAAGTTGTCGACTTAGATCGGAACCTGTATACCTACCCTGAAGCACTATATCTAACAAGGCCTTACTTGGCTCTTTATCTATTATATACTATAGATAGCAGAGGAATATTTTTCTTAGCTAGTTAATTAGTATCTACTATCGATATATCTTCGCCTTCCTACCTGGTTCAAGAGAATCTAAGTACTACCTCGGTCCATCCACCCCAGCGCACCGTCCTTCAGAGACCATCTCAACCATGCTAGTAACCTCGACCGGACTAGTGATAATGAAATGACGATTTTTGGAGATTGAATCATGAGTATAAGAGGATAGTCTTGCGTTATGATCACCGGGTTTGGGGAATCTGGGCTAAGATAACATTCATGTATCCGTAAGATGTTGCCACTATGGCTTTCCGAATTCTTTTAGATGAAGTTTAACCACGATTCAAGTATGTGGAAGGAGGTCCAATGTAAATAGTACCTAGGCAAAGGAGCGACATGCCCTGTGAAATCACTTCCATCCTAAGAATAGGTCGGCTAGATTCTCTTTATTGCATTGATCAGAAGCATAATTCTTCGCATAGCTTTATGGGCCTTTGATAAATTGATAGAAATTATTTTCACATGAAAGAAACAAGCACAGCCTCGCAACATTCCAAGCTAAACATGACATCACACAACGAGCCACCGAGATGGTAATCAGACACAAAACATGCATTCATTATGATCAACCCGTCATACCAAGCATATACCAAACTGCCAAAGGCCAGTAAAGACCACTGCTAGCACAAGATAAGACGCCACGCTGCGCATCGGCCCCATAGCGCTGCCGGTGTTGCATACAACTGCATGGAGTCGCGGAGGGCGGTCAAGGAGACATTCTTCAAGAGTTGAGTAAGTCTCCTTGGTTGCATTGCAGTAAGCGAAGCAGTTATCCTCGCCAAAGTAGCTGTAGTGATCGCTAGGGCAACAGTTCTTGAGGACAGAATAGGGATCGTCCGTATTATTCAATCCTTGTTGCCAGATGGTGATAGCGCAGACATTGGAGTAGGGGAGAACAGGGATCCCGCTATGACTGGCGCATCGTGCTTGTTGCAGCGTACTGTTTGTGGTGTTCATGTTTGGGAATGGTCTGGGGCTGCGTTGTTAGCTTATATTAGGAGAGGGTGTTGACTTGCTTATAAGGTCATGACTTACAATGTGAGGTGAGTTTCTTGTTCTAAGCGACAGTATGAGATCAGAACCGGTGATGCTATACTCTTGGATGGCCAGGAAGAAAAAGAGATGTAGGAATCCAGGAAACAGTTGGAAAGGCGAAAGAGATAAGAAAGAATCTAGGCAGTGTTTTCCCTCTTAGAATCGAATTTTCATGAACTACTAACGTAACCATGCAGCACGTCAACCGACCTGACAGACAAGTGGCAAGGTCTGACCGGCGCTAGTGTCTGCTACGATCATTAGGGCAGATTTCCCCGTACAGAGTAGCATCCATGAGCTGTACTACCCTCTCAAAAACAGTTCTAAGTGGTCCGGGTATCAAGTAGGTGAAAGAACGGCTTGCCCCTAGCTTTAACCGATCTTTCCACCAGACCCTGGGGACAGCCGACTTAGGGGAATAGCTTAATGGCTTGGCAGAGTGCTGGGTCCCCTCGCTTCTACTCGGAGTACAGCAGTAGGGTACGCTAGGGGGCGGGAAGGGGCTAGAGCCAAGTCGACTTTCGATGAACTGTCGCTGCCTGACCGAGGTTGTGGGCTCAGGTAATGAAAGCTTCAGAAATTTCTCATATAGGCAGGCGCCGGTTATTAAACGATCTATAATCCAAATTACTTGAAGGTACAGATTGTGTCAAGATATACCGATGTGTATTTCAACAGTAAGACAAGGCGCGTTTGTCAAGTGATCGATGATATGAATAGCCATTGTCTGCCTCCTGACCACTACTACCGATATCCTCGGATCCGCCTGCTCGAACATCCTCAACACTGGGCCGTTCGTCGACTTTGGTATCATTGCAGATGTTGGGCCTCATGGCAACGGCAGTATTACTGCCGGGACGTCGACATTCACAATCCATGAGAACCCCCAGTATTCCGGGGGAATCACCTGCTATAGAATGTACGATGAGGATGAATCGTACGTGGTATGCGATGATGTCCTTTTGCCCAACACTATCCGATTGAGCCCGATCAAAGACGACGAGAAGACCCCTTGCTTCAGTAAGCCTGCCGAGATGAGCTTACAACGGGCAATGGAGACGGCCCATGTCATGGAGACTTTTCCAATGCCCCCTACTGAGGGAAACTTCTCTAGCACGGTACCTATAACCAAATTAGAGGAGCGGCAAACCGGCGCGTGCAATATGTGGTCCGTTGCTACAAGGAGACTTGGAGATGGCAACCCTCATCAGAACTACTGGCGGAAACAGTTGAGCGTGAGTTAATAAGCGATTCTTCTCTTAACGGTTACAGGAACTGACGGGCGATCTTTAGGAGAATATCGACTGCGGGAATGCAGCCCAATGCACTGTCGGTGCTTCGAACTCTAAGTCCTGCACCATTGGGTGGACAGCGTCTGCAAATGCAGGCCAATGGATCTCAGGTGGTTTCCGGTGCAACAGACCTGGACTACTAGATTCAACTATAAATGCACTGGTCTTGCTCATTAGACTATCTATATCTAGTATAATACAGCTTACATAGCATATACTATTCAGAATAGACTTTTTAACTAATATACAGGATTTAATTCTAATAGTAAATCTAGTTTTATTATATTCTCTCTTGATTAGAATAATAAAGATAGTGAATACTATTACGTTGTCGGTATATACTATAATTAAAAAATAAATTACTAGGATAAGAGTAGTCTTACAGGTAGACTTGAATTAATTTTAATATTTATTTCTAAATATTAATATAATATCTATAAATATGTTCCTGAATAATGCGGTAGATTAGTTGGATGTATACACCATGGGCTAGGACTATAAATAATAGGCATAATAATAGACGGCTTGCGAAGCAATCTTATGTGTATCAAGAAATCGAAATCGTTACAAGCCCAGCCTCTCTCCCTACAAACCCCAATTAAGTGAGGTTCTAAGACGCATAGATTCCAAAGGTACTGAATGGTATACTCCATATACTATTCACGAGACGGCGGACCAACCCGTGGACCCGGCCGCGCTTCAACATTGGTTCAATGACGACAACATAAACCTTGACCCGGATAGCGGGCTGGTTTAAGAATAACGCCGAGCGCCACTATCGGACCAGCGTCAGCGCCTGATGGGTCGGACGTCGGCCACTACCTAGGTAGCTTATCTTTCCTCCTTGCCGTCAGGAAGTATGGGGACGAGTGCGAGTACCGCAATCATCATCGTTACTGCAGTGCTCTTCGCCTTCTCGTTATCCGCCGCGTGTCTCCGGTGTGTCGTGCGTCTGCGTTTGGTCAAGGCTTTCGGATCCGATGACATATGCATGATCATCGCAATGGTAAGGCAGGCCGTGCGTACTCTTCCAATGGTATACCACGCTGTATAATTTAACAATCTCCAAGGTACTGAATATAGGGCTCTTCATCTGTGGAATCGTTGGAGCTCACTATGGGATGGGTAAAGATGTGGCTTATCTAGCTTCCCATCCGGAAGCCCGTAGGAAAGGGTTCCTGGTGAGTTTCTGCAACGCTCGACGAAGCCGTCATCACCTGCTGAACCTGGTCATCGTTAGTGCTGGTGGCTGGGGGAGTTGTTCTACGTCTCGACCTGTACAGCAGCGAGGATATCTATAGCACTGACACTGCTTCGCATTGCCGTTGGACGTGCATATTCGTGGGTCCTTTACGCGACCATGGGCCTGTCGACGGTCGCCGGGACCGTGTTCTTCTTCTTCACCGTCTTCCAATGCAGCCCCGTTTCTTCTTACTGGAATCAACCTGAGGACAAAGGGGCATGCTTGGACATAGACCTTCTCCTCGGTATCGTCTACGCATACAGCGGAGTCGCGATTCTATGCGACTTCACAATAGGTCTGCTTCCTGTTTTTCTCATTCGAGACCTTCAACTCAGCCGCAGGACAAAAATCTCGTTGATGACTGTTCTTGGGATTGGATGCATGTACGTCCAATTCTTATTCGTGGATATGGATCCCCTGTGTCTAATTGCAACCTTTAACAGCGCGGGAGCGGCGGTGATTGTGCGCATTCCTTTCCTGCACTTAGCCAAGAGCCCTGACTTTCTTCGTGAGTGCATCTTTTTGTCCTTTATCTTTCAGTCCTACTTATCGGTGGCCTTATTCTAGACGCAACGACACAGATATCTATCTGGTCGAACGCGGAAGCCAATCTGGGTATCACAGCGGGGTCCCTAGCGACAGTGAGGCCTCTTATTCGACGCATATCGGAGGCAATAACCTCCATAAAGAGCAAGTATACCCACCTTGCATTATCTCAGACCACATGTACAGCGCCCAACGCTGGCCAGACGAGCTGATTGGGGGTTGTGAAGGGACGTCAGAACTTCTACGTCGGGCTGTGTCGGACCTGTCGGCAATAGATGGCTTTGGAATGACAGCGTTGTGCTCTCTCAGATAGCGAGCATGGAACGCCGAGATGTCCCTTCCAGCTGGTTACGTCCTTTTATCCGGTCGGGTGATCTGCGCAAAGGCTGCCATATTTCCCTTGCCCGCTTCGGATGTTAGCACGTCAGCGGCTGTCGATCCCAAACTAGCGGTGACTTGCATAACGAAGTGGCATCGCCGCGGAGAACAGCTCGCGTGCTCGGTCCAGCGATACTCTCCAACTGACTGACGAAGCATTTGGGGAGTTTGATCCCACCATACCAGCCGCTCTGCAACAATTCTGGCTGTGAGTCGAGCATGTCGTGGCGTCATACAAATGTCTCGCTCCCGACTGTCTAGTTGTTAATGCTGGATTCACATGCAACGGCATGCTAAAGACGCCCACGCATATCGACGGGACAACAAGGAAACTAGTAGGATCACCTGCATGCAAGTGTCCTGCAGGTGTGTTTAATGGCCTTTGTGTCTTTTATAGACGGGGCGCTAGTGTTTGGTCGCGAGAGGAGTATAAAGAAATAAATAACCGTCTAAACTGCGTTTATATAAGTCCACCAAAATCATTCAGCTATTTAAATAGAAGTATATATGGATTTAGTTTGCAGAGACTTAATGTGGAGGTGCTTTGCAGTCTGAGGGCTCGTTCGGTCTTTTTATTAGCACCTCTGGCTTGTACTATAGCACCCGATGGGCACGATAAAGCTACAGGGCTGAAATTTTAAAAGTCGCTCTCTGCTCGCTTAGAATATGGTCTAGTTTCCCGGAAAACAATGCGTACAGTCTGACGGCGTCGCCAAAAAATACAAAAATTGGACTACAAAGCAAGAGCTGTCATACTCCCTAACCGAACGGTAACTATTTTGATTTGCCGCACCTTTTCAGTTATCTGCTGGGAAGATACACTGTCGTTTGTACTAAATATACGTAGGGTTTGGCTCTTCCACCCCCCGCCCACCCGGCACAAAAGGCCAGAGCGTATCTTTGCTCTCTGTCTCCAATACTGCAGCTGGCAAGCTCTCAGGCAATGTTGCAGACGCTGCTCCATCGGCCAGGAAGTCATCCGCGGCCTTGATATGCATGGGCAAAGGCCAGGCCAATAAGACAGCTTGTATATGAATCCTGCTGTCGTCTACCCCATGGTCCCATTTAGAACGCTCATATTCCCCTGTTCACCTCATGGCTGATCGAACCGTTGCTCCAAATAATGGGGGATGAACTCATCGTACATGGTGCGCAGATCAGGATGAACAATGGCATTATCCGGTAGAGAAGCATCTACTACCAAACCCTGCGAGGACACTCCGTTCTTCTCTGCGGGAGACATTCCAGATAGGTCCCGAAGCGACGAGTCCAGCTGGCCAGCGCGAGTCTCTGAAATCGAGCAATAGAGCTCGTGGCAAACATTCCAGGCTCTTTGAGCCGCCGTGTCGTCTTGAGCCATAGCACGGAGCCAGGACATTCCCTTATTCAGAGAGCTGGTAAGGACGGCGATTGGTTGTGGTCCGAATCGGAGACACGAATCCAGTTCAATCAATAACACTGTAATTGATTGCATAAGATAATGCAAGACACACCACCACGGCGATACTCGATTCAGCCAGAGAACATCTGGGATGTCCGCTAATAGGGCTAGCATGTCGCATGCGGCCGCGACGCATATGTTCATACCGTTAGTCTGATCTGGCCATGCCGATCCGTTATAGGCCTGTTGCCGGTCGAAACGACAGAGCGACGGCCGGCTGATCGTGATCTGCACGCTGTAGAATCGAAAGGCCAGGCTCCATCTCTGCCGCTCAAATAACCTAGAAGAACTCGCGGCTTTGAACTTGAAGTCATCTGGAAGACATCGGTACCATGCATCGGCTTCAGTAGCGAACCCAGTGATCGCTTCCTGCACTCGAAACCACGGACGCTTGAGAGATCTTTGGGCGTAGAGCAGGTCAGTCGCTCGTCGCATGACTTGCGTGATATCCACGAAGTAAAAGAAATATAAGGAATGGCTTGGCGGGACATGAAGGATAGTAGTGTGCGGAGCCTGGTCAGTGGACGAGAAACCCTGTCCTGGAGACACCTGAAGGGGACTTACCCTCAGCTTTCTAGCAGCGAAGTCGTGCATAAAGCCCTGTCGGAACCGGAAGTGGGACAGCAGACGGGAGGCTATCGGGCCCTGAAACTGGTCCTCATCGTAGGGTATGGGGAATGGGGTGGTGCAGAAATCCTCTGCGACACATGCCGGACGACCGGTCATGATCGACAGTGTGTTTTCGACCGTATATACGGACCACCAAACACGGTAGCGCAGTTCCTTGGACGCGTTTGTTGTCTCGCGGCTCTCGTTGCGTCGGTTAAGCCCCATAGCCAGAGCAGACCGGATTGCCAGTCCACATATCCTCCACGCCCTGTAGAGCTACGTTAGACTCATCTCGAAGGGGTTTGCCGGTTGGCCGCATAGGTAACAGCTTACCTGTTGATATGGCCGATCGTCATGAGGAAAAACGCAGTAAGGCCCTCGATTTGCACCTGCTGAAGAGAGGGATGATCCAAAACCGCCAGGTGAGAAAACCCTAAGCTGTATGCCCGGGAGAAATATTCCGTTGGAGATTCTGAATCGGTCGCTGATGCTTGCGAAGTCATCTCGGTATATTTGGCACCAAGCGCGAAAGTCAGGTTCAGGATGGCAAGCCATCGATTAGGGGGCTGAATATCTGGCGTAGAGTAGTAGAGGGCATACTGCTTCAGAAACGGAATCTTTCCTACGATAGGAAATGACGGATGCACCGCGTGGAAGTAGAGACTTAAAAGTCTGTCGGCAACGCTTCGTGGCGGCCGGTCGTACAAGGCTACACTCCCTTGCAGTAGAAGTTCATGATCATCCAGAAAATAGCTTACTGAAGTTGAATCCATGACGGCGGGCTTCGTTACGCAGGGCTGTTTGGGCGAGCGCGTAGAGGCCGTCGCCTCAATTGCCTGTTTCAAGCTTTTCATCCACGACACTTCTGATATGTCTCCAACGAAGCCAAAAGCCCGCAGTCGACTGTTCAGGTTATAGTCCTCCTCGATGTAGTCCGCGCCGACGGCGAATGAATGTGGCGACGGAATAGCAGGTGGGCTTTCGTTCCTGTCGTTCTATCGACCTGTTAGGGCAAGGGCGCATAAGCACAGGTATCGTCATACTACACCGAGCGTTGCCATGATAAGACCTCGATCATCGTCATCCACAGTATTCATCAGACGGCCCAACAGCCGTTCGTACGCATCGACTTTGCTCTGGGCCTCTCGCAGAACTCTGGCTCCGTTAGCCGCCGGAATCTGATTGTCGCGACTACGCCGTGCACATACCTTGCTTGGAACTGGCGTTTCCCTTCGTTAAATTCACAGACCAGATCCAAGCCGACGCAGCGATGGCACGGTTGAGCTCCGCTGCATTTCGCTTTTGATTCTTTGCAAGCTGCGCATGCTCTCTTCACACGCTGACCGACAGCAACAGCAGAGTCGGGGTCGCGCGAGGCTCGGGGAATCGGGAGTTTGCGCGGTAGTGTTGAATCGGGTGTAGACATAGCCAAGGGTTGCGGAATATTCGACAGATCGTTCTCCTGGTCATATTCCATGGTTGAACTCCAGCACTCCAGCCAGGGCCTCTCCAATATTTATTGATCCAGGGCCCTAGGATGTATAATTGCGTCATCCAGAAAGCTCACAAAGCGCCCGCTTGTTGGCGTGTGCACCCATTGGCGGCAAAAAGAGGCGGTTCTCCAGCAGCAGTATCATTGTATCATTTGCATCGGACCCTGCACGGAGGAGCTAGGCTAGCTCTTGCAGCTAGTAATAGCACGGCATTTGGCTGATCCTCCCCGCATCCGTTTGACATGACACAATAATACCTTAGAATACCTTACTGCTGGGCTCCCGCTATGCCCCCATCATTGGCCGGGCATTTCTCCCGCTCATTACTCACTCCGCCACAACCCGTACGACGCGTCGTTGCTGAGGGTCAAAATGCTGATCTCCTGCCCTTTGCTGGAATTTTTTTGGAGTCCGGGACTGATCTGCAGACGGAGCTGAAGCCGGATTTTTTAACTGTGGACAATGCGACCTCCACCAAATTCATCCTTGGTCCGGGAGACACTTTGCTCTCTTGATCCAGCGTATTAAACGATGGAGGGGCCGCCCTCTACAAATTCCAAGGGTAAGAAAGAACTAGAAACATTCGAGGACCGAATTCAAAATCCCATAATCTTACCACCCAGCGCTCCAAATGACGATTCAGAACATGAAACAATCGCAGGCCCGATCATCCATCATGGCTTCTTCTGTGACGGCCCGTCTTGTACAAACCGCTCAGACCAGCAGCCGATTGAAGGGCCCAGATACCAGTGCACAACATGTGTGAATACAGACTTTTGCTTGGACTGCGTCCCAGATGAAGCGAATCCACATAATAAAGCGCATCCATTCATCAAGCATGCCTCGGTGGTAGTCAGCGTGCCAAATACCGCTCTCTCCAAGCGCGCGCCCGAGAAACAGAGACTTGATCACACAACATCAAATTCTCCGTGGTATAAAGGCCTTCAAGGCATGTTGGTTTGCCTTCCTGACATAAAAAGAGGTCATCGTTGTCACGAGTCTATTAAACTCCGAAAAATGGAATCAACGAAACACACTGCCTGTCTTTTCTTCTGCTCTCAGGTTCAAGACTATCCGGACATGGTTATAGTTGAGTCCACATGCCTCTTCCTTCGCCAGCAAATGCGCAGTCTTAAGAACATTCTTGATCTGTCGACCGTTCAGCTCCAACCTAGCAACTTGATCAAGATCTGTCTCTGAGAAGTTCTCGATATTACTTTCAGAGATAAATTGTTGCCATATCTGGCGCCTGGATGGCGTGGTGAGTTCGGGATAGTGAATGGAGACGTGAATGCGTGACTCAAAAGCAGGATCAATATTCTCAGCACGGTTCGTGGTAAGGAACAAGATGCCCCGTTCATTATTCTGTTAGCTTATCTTCTCAAATTACTCAGAACCATACCTCGTAATACTCCAGGAGCCTCAAGAAGATGGAGACAAGCTCGTTTCTCTGAAGGTCGACTGCATCGCGAGCCTCCATGAAAACATCAGCCTCGTCAAGGAGAATAATGGCTCCCCATCTGGGGATCATCGTGAAATTATCCTTCAAGGTGTCTTCGACTTTTCTTGCAGTCGTTCCAAGGTCGCCTGCGCTCAGGACATACAGAGGCACTTTCATTACCTCTGCAATGCTCTCCGCAGTAAGAGTTTTTCCTACCCCTGGAGGTCCCCTAAGAAGCATGATCACCCCCCGGCCTTTACCATGAATTACGTCGTCGAAAGTGTCCTGGCGACTAGACTGCGACCGAGCGAGTCCAAGGATCAACCTTTTTAGATCCTGTTGCGCGTGAGGGAGCACCAAAGAGTCAAATGCCTGTTTGTTCCAGGTGATATCAGTCACGTCGTCGACGAAAAATCGCATCCACTTTTTCTCTCGAAGGGCATAGCCACGGAGCATAGGGGTGGCAATAAGTCGATCGTCGTCGGATAGTACGCCAGTTGGCAGGGGCGGACCGGGACCTAACATGTTCTCGTCTGGGTTGAAGAAATTGTATGCTTCTCCATCAATGACAACTCGACCTTTGATACTAAAACGTCTCTCGCGCCCGAGGTGGAAAGCTTTAGCGATCCCTTCATAGTGTTTGTAGTGGTATCCCTTGTATGATTCCCATAGCTTTCCACGCGAGATGAGGTCTTGTTTCACGGCCTGGTGGCTGCTATGATAGGAAATGGGAAATGCTGATAAGTCCATAATAGGTACCGTCCCTTCGTAGGGCGATATGGACAGCACGTGTGTTTCGTGGCAAAATTTTTCACCGTCCCAGTCAACGTATTTTACACGCATATCAAATGCGCCTGTTTGGGTGTTATAGTCGCCCGAATCGTATTCAAAGGCGCGCTGGCGTCCATCGACAATGCTCCAGAGAGAACAGCCGGGCTCAAAAATTGCCCAAAGGAGGTCGTGGGTGGACAATCGGTTTTTCATCAAGTCGTTCTTGTGTGAGATTGTGGCATGAAGCTCATCATTAAGAATGTGGTATAATAGCTCAACATGAGTTCTAGTAGGGCCGTCAAGCTCGTTGTCTCTGGCTTCGCAGAATTGCTCCCATCGATGGACAAATGCTTTGAACGGTGCTTTGAATTCAATACGGTCAAGTGACATGGAGAGACTAGGATACCCATCCATCACTTTTGTGAGGAAAGTCTTCAGAAGTCCACTTTGAATGACAATTGAATGTATCTGAAGGCTCTTCTGGCCATCGTAGCATTCGACATTTCGCACAATCAAAGCGTGTTTGCTTGATTCGGAGTTCTCCGCTGGATTAACGAGGTCTGCGGGGAGTTGGGTAGTCCATGATGTGCGACCTCTGTTGTCGGGCTTCGTTTGATAGAGATGATAGGGTGTAGGGAGTGAGCCAGGTGTGGCCGTGTAGTTGTGCGGGACTTCAATATCTGAAGCAGCTGGAGTCAGCGAGATGCAATAGAAGCAGGACTCGGAGAGCCAGTACCGTGTTCATCCATATTGTTCTGGCGGGAGGACTTCTTGTTGAACGAGTCAACTGCTAGGTAGTGATGATCGAAAGAAACACTGGAAGAGTTGTCCATTCCATTCGCTGGGGATGCTCGATGTACTTATCTTGTGGCCCAGACCAGCCTCGCCGGTACATGACCGTCCGTTGGGAACTCCATGTCGGCATCATTGGCCAGGCGTGCGAGCCTATGCAAGTTTCAAGTGTGGCTTCAAGCCTCGTCCGGCCTTGTGCGATGGAAGCCCGAGCCTTTCCATTTATCCCAACATCGAGTGGTCATGTAGGTGCCCTGCTAGAAGCAGTCAGCAGAAAATGTGTCACTCTACTTTCTAATACCCACCTATGAGGGGGACAACATATCTTACGTATATGCAGTAAAGACCTACATAAGCATCGGCAGTAGCGGGAGGTTCAGGGGTGTCACAGCCACTGAACCACTTGTCGATACACCTCCCCAGCCCCGCCTACAGATCTCAGAGTAGTCTCTAGACTTTCTGGACTTGACCTTATCTTTTAATCCATTTGTAATTACTAACATGTATGCCTTTGATCTCATGAAGACAGCAGTAGCTCGGGGCCGTGACTCATCTCAAACCCCCGGGATGCTGATGATACATCCGGGCTGGAGCGGTCTGAGGCGGCGGTGAACAGGGTTGTGTCCAAGGACATGAACTGGAGACCTGAGGCAGTTTCTTCTGACCAGGCGTCTTGTACCATTAAGAAGTACCTGTGCCGCGCCTGCTGCCGAATTCTTGAAGGAACGGGGATAGAAGCTATCAACCTCTTGACGACAGATAAAGATGGCGTGTTCTTTGAGCACTTGAACTGCCATTTCCTCGAGAAGATCGCCCGCAGCGGCTGCGGCATGTGTGCGGTTGTCTGGAACAGTCGCCGACACTTCAAGGAATCGTGGATGAGGGAGTGAAGAGATCCCCATACGGTACGACTACGGGCAGTTTCTGGGGACGGATACTCTATATGCCGTCAAGTTCTATCCCTTCGCACTACTGGAATCAAATGGGCAAATGCTGCCAAACATGATGCCAACAACCACGGTGATGCTTGACAGAGTGACAGAGGAGCTGTCCCGCTCAATGGCGGGCAATGAACTGCCAGCATGCAAAGCTCAAGGAGACGACATATCCACAGGCTCTAGTGAGTCCATGACGAGATACGCATTGTCAATGGGACTGACATTGCAGGATGCTCTAGCTATCTCACCTTAAGCCACTGTTCGGGTAACATAGAAGCCATTCAAGGGTTAGATCGTCAGATTGTGACTTCCCGCATAGGCGAATTCGAGGAAGAATACCAGTACGAAGACTGCCAAAATCCTTCAACGATGCAGTTTCTGTCGCCCGCACGCTTGAAATTCGGTATATATGGATTGACTCTCTGCATCGTGCAAGACTCAAAAGAGGACTGGCACCACAACGCAGGGTTGATATCGAAAATATACGCTTCGGCATATTTGACATTAGCGGCAACGGCATCGCGCAACTCCACTGGAGGCCTCTTCCAAACACGCGTACGGGCTACGCTATCTCCAGGTATTGTGGAGGTGGAAGAGGGACATCCCAAGTTTGCCCGTGGCCAGTACCGGTGCTATGATGACGTTGAGTGGCATGCCAGCGTCGATGCCGCACCGCTCAATACGCGCGCTTGGGTCTTCCAGGAACGGCTTCTGTCACCCAGGATTGTGCATTTTGCAGAGAATCAGCCGTATTTTGAGTGCCATGAGTTCCGGGCATCGGAGCGATTTGTGGATAGTATTCCAGAGAGGTTCTTGGTATCGCCCCATCGGAATATTCTGCCACGAAAGCTGGGTGATCCTACCACAAATAAGATGCTCGCAATCTGGCATACAGTTGTTTCCGAATACACTGCCCTGGCTTTGACGTACGATTTCGACAAGATGGCGGCCGTATCCGCCATTGCAACCCACCTCTCTTCCCTGATAGAAGACGTTAAGCATACCCAAACGAGGACCTAATAGGTCTGGCTACCCACTATAATACTTTCACCCAACCTCTCAGGATACATTCTCTCTGTTCCATGGGATCTCTACCTCGATGGTGGACACCCGGTCATTCTGATTATAAATGCATGGTAGCACATGACTGGGTTTGTCGCTGTCAACGATGCATCTGCAGTCTTTGCTCTGGGGCAAAGTATCTTGTCGTGGCTGTCTTTGCGACGGATTAGACGGGTAGGCAAAGGAGAAAGACAGCTGCTTTTGGGATGATTCTTCTTGTCTAGCTCACAACACTCTTTCGATGGTTATTCTCAGGATATAGATCATAAATGCCAGTTATACCGTATTTTGCCCTTTTTCTCCAGTAATACTTCCAAACCGACGATTACTAAGCAGGGGCCTGGCGTACTAGTTAACAGGTACCTCTCCTCCCCGATCTCTTCCCCTAATTCTTCCTACTTTCCTTTTTTTTTTTTTTTTTTTTTTTTTTTTTTTTTTTTTTTTTTTTTTCTTTTCCCTGCCTTCGTTTAACCATCCATGGATCCTGAGCTTGAATCAAATATCAGACTCTCTGAATATGATCGACGGTGAAATTCTCGCAACCTGCTCACTGTGCCGAACTAACAACTCTCCTAGTCCAAACACGCCCAGACTATCCATAGAGATTGAGCCTACCCGTCCAGTAATGTCATTAAATAACCCGGGCGGGTTCATCGTCACTATCCGTCGGGCAGAAGATGACTGCGACAAGCCATGTATCTTCCGCTGGAACTTCCTGCAGGATGGATGGGGTCCGTCTGGCTTTATGCTCTTTCAGCGAACGCCAGATGGTCTGAAAAGGGTGGAGGGGACGCCCAAGCCATCACCTCCCCAGACGTGCAAGCTCACAGGATATGAAGCCGAGATGGAAGAACTTCTTCCGGGCCAAACTCTCCAGAGAAATATAGGCCACCCGTATCCCTTCTGGGACCACATGGTCGCCGGTGAGAGATACGAGCTCTTCTGGCCGGGGGCGGAATATGCCTTGTGGGCATGGGGCACCTTACGCGAGAATTGGGGTCAAGAAATTGGGGCTTTCTCGGGGCTACCACCTGTTGTTATCCCCGGGGGGCCTTGCTGTTCGTTTACCTGCGTCGAGGTGGAAGAACGGTCGGACTCTGAGCCCGACGACCCTTGGGTGGAGAAATCCGAACGAATGTGAGAAATCCTCTCATGATATCCTTTTCCTCGGCTGATATGCTGTTTGTAGCCCTGGCACCCCTTGCATCAGTGTGTTTCTGGAAGGCCCATCGACGATTTCCCGAAGGGAAAAGATTTGTATCACAGTGAAGATCACCTACGAGGGTTTGACGAACGGGGATCACGAGGCTAGCGGCGCAGGTACAAAGCCGATCATCATACACGACTACCCGTTTTCGGGTGATAACTTTCGACTGCAACGCCGCTGCCACGACCAGTGGAAGACTTATTTTGACGACGAACAGAATCCGGGTTGGATGATTGTCGATGAACCGGACGTCGAGGTCAACGTCGCGGATTCGGCGTTCTTCTGCAGCCTCAAACCGGGGGAAACTCTGGTCAGACACCGTTCCCTCGGCTATCTCGACCTGCATCCCGATACGGTGGTCGGCGACACATATCGATACCGGTACTGGGGCGGCTGCGTGGACTGGTGGATCTGGGGTGATCGCGAAGAGCATGCGAAGACTGTAGTGAAATTACCATGTTGGCTGAATGATCATGTCGTTGACCCCGCTGATAATGATGGAAGGCCCGTTATCATAGTACCGTCATCTAATTTTGTCGAGTTTACTGTTGTTGATTGAGATGGTGTCTTTTTGATTCAAGTTTTGGCCTCAGTCCTGGGAATGGGTAGAAGTGCATTCGATATATATCACCAGCATAACAGCTCGGAGAACGGTATATCAAGCAGGCCTCATATCGCTGATGGAGGAGGAACGCAAGGGGTTGAGCCAGAAACTCACCCCAGTCGCGCTACGGCATGTTCATATCGAGCTCTTGGCGGCGCTACATGGAATCCTTGCTTGTTCTTATGATCTACAGTGAAACCACGGGAAGCTGCCAGGCGACCATGTTCTTCCACCAGTTGCTTCAGGTCTTTCTTGAAGCCTTCCACACCCATGGGTGGGTTGGCAAAGTGAGAATAGATTTATCCTTGTAGATTAAGGGAAGGAGTTGTCCTTTTATAGGGGTGGGGTGCACTATATATCAACCCCCAATCCCTGTCGCTAGGGCCAGCCACCATAATGCCCAACACAGCCGAGCCTATCGCGGTGCTGTATACCCTGCAAGGCCAAGTGAAGAATGCCGTGATGCTCGATTAGTGCTGACTCTGCTTGGCAGCGTATTCGGCTCATGAGGCTGAGTCTCAGGCTCTCCGCCTCGTCTTACATTCGATCGACGATCACCCCAAAGACTTCTTCTTGAAGCCCTTCGGCCATACGCTCAAGAGCCACCGACCGAGCAAAACCTTGTTTGGTGCATCGGGAACATGCGTATCGATACGACGCTCCAAGCAAGCGGGTTCCGGCCCCGGAGAAGACATGAGAAATCTCGGAATGGGTGTCTTAGATGTAAGCGGCAACGAAAGAAGGTAGGCCACGGCTCTATCATTTATCGCTAAATTACTGTTCTGATTGGAATACCCAGTGCGACGAGTTAAGACCGAGTTGCTCTCGATGTACCAATGGCACGTATACATGTCGGTATGAGAGCTGTCCAAGTGATGGCACCCTGTCGAAGGAGCAGACGTCGACCGGTTCCCCGATTCCCACTTCGCACGTCCCATGTTCAAGTCCCAGTATCGCAGTTCCAGGCCCTGAGTTGCCATCTGCATCGCCGGATGATCGTCTTTCGATCCCCAGCCTCTCGTCGGGTGGACGATCTGCGTCTATTGCAAGTTCCAGTACAGACAGAGAAAGTGTCGTATTGGAACCGGACTCTCCTATTGCTCTTGACGCGAGAGAACTGGATCTTCTAGCCCACTACCTCACGCATACTAGCCAAATCATACCGGTCGACGATGTGGACCACTACGCTCTTTCAGTGGGAGTGCCAAACCTCGCCTTCAAATGCAAGGCGGTCATGTCCTCCCTGCTAGCCTTGGCTGCAGCGTGCAAGTCCCACGATCTAGCCAAACAGTCCCAGACGTCTCCAAGCCGCCAGAATCTAACTGAAATTGGAGAGCTGCTGGACCTTGCAGAGCGCCATCACCGATCTTCTCTGAGCCACATCCAGGCGGCCATGCAGAGCGCGGATTCGTACGACAGCATCCTCGCAAATGCGGCGTTGATGGTCTTGTACGTCTCAGCCAGTCATTCTGTCCGGATCCATCTTGCGGCCACCGCAAAGCAGTGTGGGCGACGTCTGCCAAACGAGGTGCTTCCGCAGCACTCGCAGTGGATCTCGTTTACCCGCGCAGCGCATACAGCGTCCTCTGCAGTTTTGAACGATGTCGTCGGCGCCGCGGAGAGAGACCTAACTGCGACTACTGGCGCCGTTGTAGATGCGTGGTCGAAATCGTCCGGAGCGGCCGGATCTAGCACTGTTGTCTTGACGCCACAGGACGGTCCATCAGAGAACACGAAGCAATTGTTTCTCCCTATAGTCGCATCGACATATCGTCGAGCCCTGGAAACGCTCCACAGCAGACCTGACGCTGCGGCGGCTCTTTTAAAAGGGCCCGACCCGTCTGATTACAAGTACGTCCAGCTCCAGGCGTGCTTGGAAAGTGTGTCCGTGCTTGAAAAGTGTGCATCCGCGGCTCTGTCTGAAAGAGGCAACGAGAGCGTGGACGGCCCAGAAAGCCAGGCTTTATCATTTGACGGACTTTCTAGCGTCTCACCGTGGGTGGCACGATACATGATCAGTGTCACATCAATGAAGTCGCCGCGGGTCCTCCGTCGGATTATCATGTCGTTTTTGACCAAAGTGCCGGCCGAGTATCTCTGTCTGGTCCAGTCGGTGCTCGATGCACCCGCTACGGAGGTGAGAGCTCAGGATTGGATGACACGGGACTCAGCCAGGACGGAAGTGCCGTCGCTCAGCGAGACGCATCTCCTGGCCATGGACATCTTTGCGCATTGGCTGGTACTTGTCATGTTACTGGATGGGGTGTGGTGGTTAGGAGATACTGGGGAGTGGGAACTCGGCCAGATTGTCTCATTGATGAAGGCTTGGAAATCCTCAGACCAGTCGGCAGATACTGGAGGAACCTGGTGGCCTGAGAGTATGTACTTGGTGAAACGGGAGCTCACCCATAATGCCCGGTAATTATTTCGCCTACTAGGTCATTATAGCACTCAAGCGGCGTGACTTCGATATTATAGAGAAAGAGGAAAGATCACGAGTGAAGCTGTTTCAGTAGTTGAACCATTGAAGCTTCACATCATCCTATCCCAACTTTAACAAGATGTCGTGTTCCAAGCCCCGCCACAAGGTGCATAATTTTTAAAATATAAAGGGGCTCAGGATGCCCTGAATGACACTACCTAAGGTTCACTGCTAATACTCCGTACGCTCCAAGAGGCGTATTATTGATACGCTCATGCTCAATTCCCGACACACAGCCACCGTGCAAGAACGTACCCAGCCTCATTCGCGGACATGTCCAGTGATCCGAAGCTCTCATTACTAGATGTGTCTGCCGCGTAAGCTGAGCGGCCTAATGGTGCCAAGAATGAAATCTACGCCGAGCATACATGGAACTGCCCGGCACCACCGTACACGCAGTAAATGATTCAAAGACAACTAACTATTGGAATAAGCATCTTTGCTCCAGGTCGATACCTTCACCTACTGATTAACCCTGGATGGAGCCTTGTGTGAGATTCTAACGGCCCTTAGGATGTAGGTTCAGAGCGCTGTAAGTGATTACCTCCTCCCCTTAAACGGTGGAGGAGTCCTAAGCACAGAACTCGACGATGCATTATGGACTAATTCTGTACGAGACAAAAGCATAAATTTCATCTCCTTGCCTAATGACCCGTATAGTAACCTTACGCGAGAGCCTGGAGCATGAAGATATCTCAGCGCCAAATTCCACACTCCACCATATGAAACCCTGGCAGAACCCTAAATACACTGCCCTCACCCCCTACTCTAGGGCAGACGATCGGTCTCAATTAAATCTGTCTGTTGTAGGTCCATGATTATAGTGATGCCCCTAACAGATTCCTCCGCATCCAGGGCAGAACGACGCCCTTCAAGGCCTACTTCTTCAGCCACATATCGTCCTCTGATTTGTGTGCTACTCAGACCTTTGCCGTGCCAGTATTGTCCTTCATCTTGTTTGCACAGTAAAACTCTTAGTGTTCACAAATTACTCATATAAATAGACACTAATATTACCCAGACTCCACGCATTGAAGGACAGAAGGCATCCTGGCAGATTGCCCGAAATCGTGGCGCTTATCGATTGGGTGCCTCACACTTTCGCATATTTTCACCCTTGTTCTTCTCAGAAGACTAGGCATTATCTACACTGCCGAACTAATGGTCTTGATTTCCCCTGTTAGTTGTGCAGATAGCTGATAGAGCTCCGCGCGATTTACCTCCGTTCCCTCCGTCTTTCTAGATACTACCATGCATCGTTGGCGCACCACTAAACGCCGTAAGAATGAATTTGGGTCTTGCGTGCATTCTCAACTACCTGTGCCCTTCAATGTCACCAGCTAGCTCTGCCAAGCGGCGCCTGGTTAAGGACATGGTTACAGCTATTTCAAACTGTTGTTTCCATTGGAATGGGAATATCAGGGAGCAAACCAGGATCAGGCTGAGGTAGCCTTCCAGCTCGCTGCTTACCCCGCCGTGATTGTGGCTGCCGCGAGCACAGACGTGGCTCATTACCTTCGCCATGTTAATAAGGAAGACGGCAATCCATCTCTTAACAATCCGTTTTTCTCAAAGACTTTTCCAACAACCGCTCGATCCCTACGAGCCGCCATGGACCCATTTGCAGCACTGGGCGCCGCTGCTGCGATCGCCCAGTTCGTCCAGATAGGAGTCGGTCTCGCGTCCAAGGCTTATGACACATATTCATCTGCTTCGGGAATGCCCAGAGCGGATGAGCAGCTGGGGTTTGTTATTGGAGAGCTGTCAACTGTCTCCAAGTCTCTCATCTCGGAAAAGCCCGCATTGCAGCAAACGGACGAAGAGAAGGCACTGGCAATAGTGGCTGAAAAGTGTCAGCAACTTTCCGAAAAAATATTACGCATCCTCGAGCGCATCAAAGCCGATAACCCCAGGTCCAAGCGTCAAAGCGCCGTTGCTGCGTTGAGAAGCTTGTGGAATGAAAAGGAGAAGAAGGAGTTGAAGAAGGACGCTGATGACTGCCGGAACCTCCTTCACCTCCAGTTAACGTCGATTATGGGGTTTGTTTAAACCGCATCTAGACAGAAGATGCCCCTGCGGACGCTAACGTTTGGTGCAGGTCAGAGACGATCAAACGGCTCGAGGACATTGCTACGAGCGGCCAAGCAAGCATGGAAGCCCTCCATTCCCTTCAAAAACATGTCGTGGTCTTGGAGCAGGGAGTCCGTGTCTCTAGCTTAGACAAGGAAGTCCAGGAAACAATCGCCAATCTCTTTCGACTATCCACTAAAGCACTGGATTCCATCACGAGCCATCGCATCCTGAACAGCCTGTTTTTCCAAGAAATGCACATGAGATACTCAGAAGTGCCCACGGCATATTCAGAGACATTAAACTGGATATTCGAAGATCAAGCGCCTCCAAAACAATGGAAAGCTTTGGAAGGTCGAATGCTCTTCAGGGAGTGGCTTGAGACAGGAGATGGAATCTTCTATATCTCCGGAAAACCTGGTGCAGGAAAGTCAACATTGATGAAATTTATATTTCAAAACCGGCGAACAAAAGACCTATTGGGACGCTGGGCTGCTGGCAGGCAGTTGATTTTCTGCAAGTTTTTCTTCTGGAAACCTGGGTCTAAGATGCAGAACTCCGTTCCGGCAATGTTGCGGACATTGCTCTACGATATTCTCCAGCAATGCCCGGAGCTTACCCAGACTGCGTTTCCAGAATATTGGCTGCATGTTCAATCACTTCCATGGCAAGCACCTGTGCAGCTTCCGTTTGACAATGACCAAATACGTGAAGCATTCGATAGGCTGAGTCGAAACCTAAATTCAGACACGGAACGCTGCCTGTGCTTCCTTATTGACGGGCTAGACGAGTTACGGGAAACCCCAGAGGAAAAATACAAAGACTTGGTCGCATTAATTTCGCGCTGGACCAAGCAATTCGCTGGAGACTTGAAACTCTGTGTTTCGAGTAGGGAGGAACGTGTTTTCGTCGAAAACCTTGAAGGCCCGAGGGGCTTCAAGTTGCAAGACCTGACCTATGATGACATATACCACTTCATCGACGCCAAACTAAAGTGCAACCAGAATTTCATTGAGCTAGAGATGCCCGAGGGTGGCCGAACGAGTTTAATATCGAAGGTTGCTGCTAGAGCTGATGGCGTCTTCTTGTGGGTTTCCTTAGTAGTGAACCTGCTCGATGATGCATGCGATGATGGAGACGATTTTTCTGAACTCGAACGCAAAATTGAGTGCACTCAACCGCGAGTTGAAGATCTCTTTCGGCAGCTTTTTGATTCGATTCATAACTCTGACAGAAATCGATCAGCGCAGAGCTTTGCCGTCGTTCTGAAGCTGTTGGAGAATCCACATGGGATGAGGATGTCTCTTTTCCGTTTTTCTCTCCTTGACGATTTCAATTCCAATCCTGAATTTGCGGCAGACATCGAGAATCTCAAACGAGCCGGTTTGGTAGGAACCGACTGGGAGCATGTTGAGCGACGGTTAAAGAAGGCCCGCAAGCAGTTGTATAGACGTTGCAGAGGCCTCCTTGAGGTCCACACTGAGCCCGAACCCCTGATAGCGATCCTCGACAAGTCAAGAACTGGGTACAGGACAAGTAGGTATACAGAGACCATCTCACTGGCCCATCGAGAGGTCCACCAGTTCCTACTGAGAGATGATATCCAGAAGGACCGGAACGGCCACATTAAAGGATTTGACATATTTGGGGCAATTTGTCAGACCTTCGCTGCGGAAGTCACTTCGATGACGTTTCTGATGTCAGGGTCTACTACTCAATCATGGACTCTCGATTACCACAACTATCTGTCCTGCGTGCCAGAGCTGATAGATATTCTTCGAAACATTTCGCAGCAAGATTCGCCGAGGGAACAACACCTCATGGCGTTGGATAATGTCGATGTTTTACGCTACCCCACCAGCGATTGGACAAACGGCCGCCGACCTGATTTGGAAGTCCTATCTCCCACAATCGCAGTACCTTGGTTTGGGGGGGAGCATTTTGTTTGCCATATTGCGGCTGCTCTTGGTATTGAACAATATTTCAGATATGATGTGCAACTCCCTGCAAGGAACCTTGCAACAAAGGATGGCACTCTATTGTTGGTGCTCCTAGACATGTTGACACGGGACGAGAGTACTTCCTCAGCCACCAATTACCCAGGGATACTGCGAAAGATGCTTCAAAACGTATGCTTCCCACATCAAGCAATAGGGGGGAAGGATCCATGGAAGACCTTTATTTGTTTAAGTCTCACAAGTGGGATACTTTCGAAAGCTGACGGTGTAGGGGCTGAAATGGCTAAGATCTTTCTGGAATTTGGGGCCGATTGCAACATGTTTGTCACTGCTTACGCAGACAAATGGATGGGGTACCTAGAAGTGCATTCCTCCGCACCTGGAGAACAACGAACTAGTGATCGATCCCAATGTGTCATGGCCTCATTAGACCATGGGGCAAAGGGCTTCCAGTTCGTGAGGGTCAACCGGACCGTCACCTTACGACAAATCTTTGAATTTTGCAACCCTCCAAACTTACAGACTTTGTTGGCTCTGATCGATGAACGTATGCAAAATCCGCAGCAAAACGCATCTGCAGTGCCCAACACGAACAGTGCGCTGGACGTATGCAGTACGGCCAAAACAGCAAGGCCATTGGAATCAAGTGGCGAAGTTAGGCCGATGAACGAGGCCACAGACCATGATGACACAAGCCAGTTCGCCGCTAAAGACTCTGACCCTATCAACCCTCCACGGGGGATGTCTGGCAGAGGCATAAACAGTTACCCGATCATGTCATTCTCCATTGGTAAGTGTTGAGAGGACCTGAAGAGAAGTTGTGGTGTTCCATTGACTCATTCATGGGTATACAGGCATGTTACTTGCATACCTACTGTGGTTTCTTTGGTACATTTTGTATTCATGAATTGTACCGAATTGTGCAGCCAGAAACGAAATTTGGAACAGTGCTGAATCGCTCAGACCTGTGTTCGGATCTCGGTCATAGTAGGCGTGACTGTTCCCATATAAGAATATGCTACCTGACCCTACCGTCGTACTTTCCTGTCTTTATTTTTGCCTCTTCTTTCCTCATTCTTCTCGCTGTTACATCGAGTTTTTTCTCCTACTCTGCGGTATCCTATGAAATCCAGCGACGGGTTGACCGTTTCACTAAGTCGCCGTTGTACAATAACGTATGTATTATCCCTGTCGACCAGCGCCTAGTATGCCAGCCTGGTCATTCAATAGTTGAACCTTTGAAGCGCTTCACATCATCCTATTCCAACTTTAACAAGATGTAGTGTCCAAAGCGCTCCAAGCACCGGCACAAGGTCCGTAATGTCTGAAATGTAAAAGGACTTAGGATGGCCTGGATGATACACGGGATCATTGGTAGTACGCTCCGAGATGCGTATTATTAATACGCTCATGCTCAATTCCCGATACACAGCCACCATATAAGACGTACCCAGCTTCATTTACCGACATCTTTAGTGATCTGAAGCTCTGATTATTGGATGTAGCTGCTGTATAAGCTCAGCGGCCTGATAGTGCCAAGGAATGAAATCTGCTCCGTGCATACATTAAATTGCCTGGGAACACCGTATGCGCAGTAAATAATTCGAATCCGACAACTATTTGGAATACGCATCTTGGCTCCAGGTTGATATGGATTGACACGGAGTGTGGAGCAATAGCCAGGGATCTATGGATATATAAAGCCTCAACGGCGTCCTCTCTTCCTGAATAGCACAGAACCATCAAGCACCACATCCAGTAACGCATCTTGAGACCCATTATCAACCCCATTATGCTTCCTGAATCTATCCTCCGCTCCATGATCACGACGGTTCTCGCCCTTGCCCTTCCAGCAAAGGCAGCACCTCGAGCGATGGCCAACGACTCCACGCCCGGGCTCAGCCTGACAGCACAACTGCGACTGGCAGACACGTATGTTGTTCCTCACAAACTCAACGATGCATCCCGCACCATCTGACAGAACAGTGCCATCGAGCGGTACCAGCTCCTCCCAAGGGACGAAGACTTTGTCTTCAACTTCACCACCAACGAGCTGCCGGTAGCCACCAGCCAGAACTTCCCTGCTCTAGTCGACACGGGCATCTCATTCAGCATCTCGCAACTGCCAGGTAATCCCAGAGAGCCCGCCTCCCCCCGGTTTTGAGTGAGTGGGACTAATCCCTCCGAACAGCATGTAGCATGAGCTTCCTGCACCTGCACCCGCGCGCCACCGAGCTCTTCGCCATCACGTCCGGGCGCGTGCTGTCCGAGATGGTGCCGGAGACGGGCGTCGTGGACGCGGACGGCAAGCAGCGCGTCGTCCGCGCAGAGCTCGGCCCCGGCATGCTGACCGTGTATCCGGCCGGTTCGTTCCACACGCAGGTGAACCAGGACTGCGAGCCGGCCCATTTTGCGGCGGCCTTTACGTCTGATGAGTTTGCGCTCGGCCTGGTTGCGCAGCAGACGTTTGCACTGAGCGATGGGGTTATTGCGGCCACGTTTGGGCAGAGCATTGCTGGGGAGGATATTGAGAGGGTTAGGGAGGCTATTCCTGCGGATATGGTTATTAAGGTTGAGGAGTGTTTGGAGAAGTGTGAGAGGAAGAAGCGTCACATTTGATTGTCTTGACGTGGTATCACGATGAGATTGGGTACAGGCAGTAGGGGATTAGAAGGCGATTAGAAGTAGCTAGGCTAGGTTATAGACCGTTGCTTCATTGCGTTGGATGGTGCTTCTGTTTACGTAGGTAGTTATATGCAGGGTTGGGTTCAGATTATCCTCAGTATGTCTGTGTAGAATCAAGGATTGGGTAGTTTTACCTCCGTCTATGATAGTGACTGAAGGGCCTAGGATTGTTGCTTGCACAATGGCTGACAACCCTACTACTAGTCTTAGGTGTCATACTTAGTTTTGGAGAATGAAAATCCCAAAATGTAGTTATTGCATTTCTTCTAAATATTCAAATCAAACACTGACAAATCAAAAGCATAACCTGTCCCAGATCAACTGGTCAAGTCCGATGCATCACCTCAGTATCAAAGCAAAAGTGCCTCACCTGTCCTGCTCATAATAGTTACTCGGCAGCAAGAAGAGCAAGCTAGACTCATCAGCCTCGCCCTTCTCGATAGCTTTGGCATACGCAGCAAGAAGATCAGTCGCAGTACGAGACATCTTCTCAAAGAAATCGGGACCGGGCTCTTCGTCAGACTCTAGCAGCAGCCGGCAATGGACTGATTCATCCACCGAGGCAACATTATCAGTGTAAGTATTCGGGCCTGCGAAGATACACTGGTAACAGTAGGCGAGTTCGTTGTCAAAAGGGATGGTAAAGGGTCCAAAGACTAACCAGAACTTCTGAAGGTTGGACATGGCGATATGCTGATCACTTGTTGTTCACGGCGGTGACGATGGCAGTTGTTGTTTGAAGGGAAGCAGGTAGTTGACTGAGGCGCGATGTGAGAGAGACTGATGGAGTGCTTGACAATTGATGCAGGTGGAGATGATATTGACTGCATTCGATGTGGGTCGGAGGGGAATTTATACTAGGGTCATATCGGTTGACACGAAGGGAAACTATCGATCTACCAAAGGGAAAATGCTAAGCACAAAGGAGGACACAGCAGAAAACTCTCTGTCCTGAGAATTCGCATTGTTCCAGGTCAAAGGCCTTGTATATTCCTAGCCATCATTCATTGTACTGAACTGCAGCTCTGAATGGCGGTGCTAGACTATCTACGGGATTCCCCTGTCGAGGTCTACCCTTTTTGTCGCAACAATGGACTCTGTAAAAGAGTCTCAGGAAGACAATTACCTTCTTCTTTGGCATTTGGCGATCGACTTTTCCATCCTGGATGATCTTTGTTCCTTCAAACCTACAAAGCCGTTGTGGAGTGTCCTTTGTTATAGCATGCTGTCTTTGCCTACACAAAAACAGACATCATGTACATGCCCTGACTGATAGGTAATGAAAGCCAGTACACGCTCTATATCGGCGCGAGCAGATGAAATATGGTTGATACCACCTAGTACTCGGTAACAGTCACCCTATGTTGCTTCTAGAGCCAGAAAGAGGCATAAAGAACCTTTGCATTTACCTACAGTGCATTGCATACCAGCTACTGCAACAAAGCTGTCTCCCATCCGATCTCAACACGCAGGAACAATATCAACATGCGTGAGCTGGGATATCGACCTCCAGGTGCTCAGTGTTGAAAGGTGGTCGTCAGTCTTGTCGTCTCTTTGTCTTTTCATCAACAGACTCGGTTACTCTCGTCAGGTACGACGAATCCCGGTACGAATATGGCCTGGCAGTTATGCTATCAAATATAATGTTATCAGGGTACCTGTAGCATTGACATGGTTGACTAGTGTAGCATAGCATCTTTGTGGGATCACATAGTGTACGGTTTCGTGCACGGTAGCAGCAAGACAACAGCAGAACATATTGTGAAGTGGTATACTGATGAGGAAATGTATATCCTTCTTCCCAACTTGTATTTACCCGCGAATCATATCATAACTCTGAGGATCTATTCATCTTTGCGACTTAAAAAGTGAACTTGGAATAACAGGAGGATACCTCTATAGATTAACTGTGTTGATCGACGTGGAAGTAATATGTGAAGATTGATCACTTATCAAGGTGCAATAACTTCCACCACTAAAGTTGCAGGAGAGCATTAGATGTCGCTCCAGCTTTGTCAAAGCACCTCGGCCTTGTCAGGGATGCATGAAACACACGGAATTACTTCATCGCTCCAACGAATTCCTTCCGCTCACCACGGAAAGCGGACCGTGCTCGTTCGTCTGCCGACTTGCTGGATGCTAGACCGAGGAACGATACCTTTCCGTCCTAGATGTGGTGCCGATACCCATGTGTTTCCTTCCCCAGAATTGACATATTATTCTGGGCCTAAGGTCATCAACTCAGTCTTCAACATTGCTTTCCGTGCTGCATTTGGATGCTGAACTCGAATGCCGTACCCTGCATCAATGACTTTGTGCCATTGGAGGGGAAATCTGGAGTGTATTGCTTGGCTTTCGGGGACTTCTCAGCGTGATGTATGATTCTTGGCGTATAAAGACGCTGTTCAGTCTCTATCCAGAATGATATAAATCTGAGAGTCCTGTCTGGAGACGAAAGGGTAGCGAGTCTGGCAGATAGTCCTTCTAATCTTACTCTCACTACTCATCACCCATCGGTGTCTTTCTTCTATGGTCAAGATGAGACTTCCTACACTCTTCATGTTGGCAGCTATCGCCACTGCCTCACCCATGAGCGATCTGAACCGCCGCGAGATGACTCGTCGTCAAGCTGCAGAGAGCTGCCCCATTGGATACTGCACCCAGAACGGCGGCACCACGGGTGGTACAGCTGGCGACACGGTTACTGTCACCGACCTCGCCGGCTTGACGGAGGCCGCCGAGAACGAGACTCCTCTAACGATTATCGTGTCTGGTGCCATCTCAGGCAGCGCCAAGATCCGCGTCGCTTCGGACAAGACCATCTACGGTGAAACTGGGAGCTGTATGTTCTTACTTTGTTTAGAACGTCGTATACCTGATTGACATATACAGCCATTACTGGAGTCGGATTCTACATCCGCCGTGTCAGCAATGTCATCATGCGCAACCTCAAGATCGGCCAGGTCGATGCTGATAATGGCGACGCCATTGGCATCGACGAGTCGACCAACGTGTGGGTTGACCACTGCGATCTGTCGGGGGATCTCAGCGCGGGCAAGGATGACCTGGACGGCCTTCTGGACATCACTCACGGCGCGGAATGGATCACGGTGTCTAACACGTACTTCCACGACCACGTAAGTCACCATTGGTGCGTCTGTCTTGGTATAGAAGTGCTAACGTTCGCCAGTGGAAAGGCTCCCTGATCGGACATTCGGACAGTAACGAGGGCGAGGACCTGGGCCACCTCCACATCACGTATGCTAACAACTACTGGTACAATGTTAACAGCCGGACCCCATCCATCCGCTTCGGCACGGTGCACATCATCAACAACTACTGGGATAATCTGCTCCTGACGGGCGTCAATTGCCGCATGGATGCTCAGGTCCTGGTCCAGAGTTCTGCATTCTCCAACTGCCCGGACGAGGCTATTTTCTTTGCTGACTCGGACTACACCGGCTATGCCGTTGTTGACGACGTTGACCTGGGTGGTTCGACAAACTCGGTTCCTGAAGGCACCCTGACTCCTTCGTCGCTGCCGTACGATGCTATTGAGGCCATCGGCTCCGCCCAGATTGCTACCACCATTCCGGGTACTGCAGGGCAGAAGCTATAATCTGCATTTGTATGGATATGCAAGTCAACGTGTGCCAGATTATGTTTTGGATTACGTCTATTTAGTACCAAATATGTACTGTCGCTGTCGTACAAATTTCCACCCACATGCCAGTCTTGGCTTATGATTCGGTATAGCGGACTAGCGGATATCTTGGCTAGGTCATCTTCGAAATTGCCGGTCTCCCCTTAATGAGAATACCCAGGGGGCTAATTGCCATGACATCACTATATAGGGCTGTTCAGGTTGGCTGGCATTGGCATCATTGGCATCGTGATATGTTCCACTCTCATAGGGCCTGATGGCTTCTTGTCGCCCACCCCAAGCCTTGGCTCGACGTGGAGGACGAATTCTCTGCATGACCGAAGGCAGCAACATGAGACAAGATGGATTCCTGACTCTGTCAACTGTGATTCTCCCATATCAACAAACCCATGGATCAAGACCAGTACCTCTCCCGCGAGGAAATCAACCAATTCCTCGACGACCTCGACACCAACGGCGACGGCAAGATCGACTACGAGGAGCTCGAACACAAGCTCGACGAAGTCTATAATGAGCTGGCCCCAGTGCCAAAGCGTCACCATCTGCACCATGACAGCAAGCGGGACGACGCGCGACACCAATTCCTCCACCGAATAATCGGACCGCATCAGCGATGGATATCGCGGCAGGACCTGACGCAGCGAATCCAGGAATGGAAGATCCCCTCGCTCCAGACGGAGGCCAAAAACGACCAGGACGAAGACGTCTACGTGCACAGTCTGTCGGCGTGGCGTCGCGTCCGCGCCTACTGGAGTGTCCACGGCCCCAGGATCCTGTTCCTAGTCTTCGTCGTCGCCATGCAGCTCGCCTTCGGCATCTGGCAGCTGGTCAAGTATCTCACCACCACGCCGTATCGGCAAGCCTTTGGATGGGGCGCTGTGCTGGCAAAGACCTGCGCCGGCGCGCTGTATCCGACCTTTTTCTTCCTGCTCCTCAGCATGTCGCGGTATTTCTCGACCTTCCTCCGCAGGTTCTACTACATCTCGCGCTTCGTCGACTGGGATCTGTCGCACTCGTTCCACGTCAAAATGTCTATCGTCGCCCAGTTCCTCGCGTCGCTGCATGCCATCGGCCATCTTGCGGGCACGTTCCGATATGGCAGCAGTGCAGACCGACAGGAGCACGTCGCGTCCATTCTAGGGCCGGATTCCGTGCCAGGTTCCTACCGTGCCTATGTCGCAACCCTCCCGGGAGTAACAGGCGTGGCCTGCCTCGGTCTGTTCTGGATACTCGCCCTGCTGAGCATGCCCGCCGTGCGACGGCGCAGCTATGAGCTGTTCCAGCTGGGCCATCTACTCATGTTCCCGATGATCGCCCTGCTTATCGCGCATGGCACAGCCGGCTTGCTACAGTGGCCCATGTTCGGGTACTGGCTGGCATTTCCCACGCTCCTAATCCTCGTCGAACGGGCTGTCCGCGTCGCCCTCGGATTCCACCGCATCCCAGCGACCCTGCGAGCTATCGACGGCGACACCGTCGAGATCAGGGCCACGATCCCTAGCGAGCGCATATGGAAATACGAAGCCGGCCAGTACATCTTCCTCCAGGTCCCACGGCTCAGCCTCTTCCAGTGGCACCCATTCACCGTGTCCGTCTGTATCGGCAACGAGATGCAAGTCCATATCAAGACGGACGGCGACTGGACCGGCCGGTTGCACGATCTCACCAACGGCTCCGCGCCGACCCCGATCCATATCGGCATCAATGGACCGTTCGGCGCGCCTGCCCAGCGCTTCGCCGACTTCAGCCACTCCATCGTCGTCGGCGCGGGCATCGGCGTCACGCCCTTCTCGGGCATCCTCGCGGACCTCCAAGCACACGACGACCAACTCCACCGCGAACCTGCTGCGCTAGACGAGAAAGACGGGCTCAGTCAGACAGAAACAAACCCCCAGGATACCCCTACGAACGATGCCCCCGACGACTACCGCCGCGTCGACTTCCACTGGATCGTGCGAGATCGAAACTACCTCCTCTGGTTCTCCGATCTGCTCAACACGGTCTCGCGCGCGCAGATCCGCCACCGGACCTGGGAGGACCCGCCGCACCTGGACATCCGAATCCAGACGTACGTGACGCAGAAGCGCCGCAATATCGCCACCCACGTCTACCGCTGGCTGCTGGAGATGCACCGCACCGAGGACCACCCCGAGTCCCCGCTCACGGGACTCATCAACCCGACGCATTTCGGCCGGCCGGACTTTGTGGACGTCCTCGACCGGCACTATGAGGACATGCTGCGTGTCAAGGGGGGCATGTCGAAGCGGGCATTGGACGCACGGGGACGGCTCAAGGTGGGCGTGTTCTTTTGCGGTACGCCAGTCGTCGGGGAGATTCTGGCGGATCGGTGTCGGATGTTGAGTGTGAGGGGACGCCAGGATGGGAGCAAGATTGAGTATCATTTCATGACGGAGGTGTTTTAATTGTGAAGCAGGGAGGGCGGATCAGCTGGATAATGCACAAATGCATGGTATAAGTGAATTATGTTCTTCTTCTAGATTGCAGTAGACTCTTCATCTGAAATGTCCCGGAGACCGGAGACTGCACGGCATACATCACACCTGTGCCACCTACGCAACGTCCAGAACTTGGAATAGGACACGAAGTGATAGCTGGACATCAAACTATGCATCTAGACCAAGGTGATAATGCCAGTCAGTAGGCTGACACGAATCGAACAAGTTTCGCCCTTTGGCGGGACTTTTGCAACACCCCACACATACCGCACCCCGTGGTCCGTGCTCGATGACAAGCAAGTTTGACGTCCAGATAACGTCGATTCGGCAGAAATCTGGCGTTCAATACAGTTTTCACCCGAGATCCGTCTTGTCACTTGCGCATGCCCATCGGCTGCGGGAGGACCCGACGCGGAAGAGAAGTGCAAAAGCTTCCGGGTGGATACATCGTCCTTAAGTGGACGTGTTATACAGGACAGACATGGATTGCTGACAGGGGGTTGTGCAGAATCGCTCTATAGAGTTGTCCTGAGTGGTTGTCTGCAACGGCTGCCAAGGGTGATAGCGTGGATCAGTCCTGTTTGTCTGGAACAGCGCATATCAAACTATGCATCGGCTCGCTGCATACCGTCCATCATAAATCGGAATGTTATCTACTACATGTTCAAGGCAGATGGTATATAATGGATATAATGGTAGATTAACCAGGCAGCCCTCTGGTGCTTCTGTACTCATAGTCCATGTTTCTCTTTCCTTCTCTATCCATCTAGCTCAAGTATCTCTGCTGTAAACATGGCGCTGCAAGAGTTTCTTCCCGTCGTCCCGGCGATCAGTGTGCTATACATTTTCTTACTCGCCATTTGGAACCTTTATTTCCATCCTCTACGACACATCCCTGGCCCCCGGTCATGGATTGCCTTCCCCATAATGCGCCACATCTCAGCTAGTCGTGGCAGACTAGACAGCGATATGCGCCGATTCCACGCCCAATACGGCGGCGCAGTTCGCTTGGCGCCGGCGGAAGTCTCCTTCATTACCCCGGACGCTTGGAAAACGATCTACGGGCACGGGCACACCCAACTGCCCAAGGTACAGACCTCGGAGAGTAAGGGGCTGGATATTATCAGTTCAGAAGGCCCCAACCACACCCGACACCGCAAGGCTCTCGCCCATGCCTTCTCGGCCCGGGGACTCCAGGCACAGGAGCCGCTGGTGAGGGGCTATGTGGACAAGCTGATCGAGCGGCTGAAGGAATTCGCCGAGTCGCAGCTACAAGTGGATATGGTGAAATGGTACAATCTGACGACCTTCGATCTCATCGGGGACCTCGCGTTTGGGGAGTCGTTTGGCGGCCTCGACAATTCCCGCGTCCACTCCTGGGTCTCGACTATCTTCAGGTCCGTCAAGGTCCTGCCCTTCGTGCGGATCACGGATACATACCCCATCTTGATTCCGCTGCTCATGGCCCTTCTGCCTAAAAGTCTCCGCACGGCGCGGCGGGACCAGACCAATTACAGCAAGGAGACAGTGCACAAAAGACTCGCTAACACCGCCGCACATGGCCGCGGCGACTTTATGGACTCGATGCTTCGTCATCGCGGCGAGAAAGACGGCCTCTCTGACAGGGAACTCGAGGAAAATGCATCCATCCTGATTATTGCGGGCAGTGAAACTACTGCCACTTTGCTGTCCGGGGTCACGTACTGGCTCTTGAGGTCCCCCGAGGCCCTGGCCAAGGTGACCGACGAGGTCCGTTCCACCTTCCAAACAGAAGGCGAGATCACCCTCCAGGACGTCGGGGCTCGTCTGCCGTACATGCTTGCCTGCCTCGACGAGGCGTTCCGCATGTACCCCCCTGTGCCCTGTGCACTAGAGCGCCGCGTTTTGACCCCGATCGTTATCGCGGGATACAATATACCACCGGGGGTAAGTGAAAAACACTCTCAGGAAAGAAAAGCGGCTGACAGTCCGTCTAGACAGTTGTTTCCGTACACCAGTCCGCAGCGTACTGTTCGCCGGCGAACTTCCATCGTCCGCAAGACTACATCCCCGAGAGATGGTTACCAGATGCGAAGAGCAACCCATCGTCGCCTTATTTTTCAGATCAGCGAGACGTCCTGCAGCCGTTCTCGGTAGGGCCGCGCAATTGCATTGGGAAGAACCTAGCATATGCAGAGATGCGCCTGATTCTTGCGCGGGTTCTGTGGAACTTTGACCTGGAGCTTTGCGAGGAAAGTTTGCATTGGAAGGACCAGAAGTCTTATCTCTTATGGGACAAGCCTCCGTTGATGTGTAAACTCAAGCAGCGAATTTGAGAGCCAGGCAACGACAATCAGAGCTGAGACTCTAGTTATATATTGGAACCCCCAAACCGAGGCTTTGACAAGTTTTCTCCCTACGTGCGCGAAATTATTGCAGTGACATAGAGACCATCCACCAGCAGTGCCCAAAGGTGTATGCTGGCCTAGAGCGAACTAAATCTCGCTGAGGAAAGTAGTGTGATCATGTCACTCAAAGAACGACCGCTAGGCCACAAAAAGCGTGAACATACTAATGGGGGCTATATGGGCTATACCAGGTTTGACACAACTGTATTGCTCGTCGCCCAGCCCAAATAACTCTTCAAAGCCTCTTCAATGTGAGCTGCGCCAGCATCCCGGTCTAAGACGGCTAAGATGTGTTGGTCTGGACGCACCAACACGGCCTGGCCCTGCTTTAAAGGGACTACATCATCCCATTTTTCCTGGCCAGGCTGGAGGAGGAAATCCACGCCTTTGACAAACACTTGCAGGAATAAGCCAGAGGTCACACATTCAGATATCTGTGCGAGTGCCGTTTGAGCGGCAGCCCCGAACCGCGAGGACGACCTCTCGTCGACCAGGATAGTAAAAGCGTCAAATCGACACAGATCCAGCGTGGAGTAGGTCATTGCATCAACTCCCTGCGGGTCAGCAACGGCATAGGACGAGTCAATTGCGGGAAGCTGCACCCTCTCAGGGTCGAGGAGTTTGATCCAGGCATGGGGCAAACGAGCTCCAGGCACGCAGAGGGGCTCATACACAGATGCGTTGTCGGGGATGCGTTTGTCGCCGTACACGTAACCGATGTGCAGGCCGAGGTTATCAAAATGCTCGCGCTGGTCTTCAATAGCCCTGTTGATGTCGACCATGGCCTTCTCATCGTGAATGGTCTGGTATAGGTTGCGACGAGCAACGCTGACGTTAGGATCAGTAGTGCCCAGGCTCTTCAGCAACCTGAAAATCTTCTTCCCGTTCTTCACACTCTGTTGCGAGTTTACCAAGGCAATCGGACGACGCTCGGCTTGGTAGGTATCCAGGGACGCCTCAGTGGCGGCGCCACGGTGCACGGCAGCCAGCTTATAAGCCAAATTATGGACGTCGCCGAGCCCGGAGTTCAGGCCTAAGCCGCCGGTTGGAGGAAAGGAATGGGCGGCATCGCCAGCACTAGGTCACGAGTTAGCTATTGCGACAACATGCACGCGAAACGAAAGCTAGAGTGGCACTGACAGGAAGACCCGTCCATCACGGTAGGAGTTGGCGACCTTTCGGCTCAGTATCCAGGGACGAAAACTGAGAACGTCATACTTAACATCCGCGCCGACGGCAGCGCCGACGAGCGTGCGGCAGTGCTCTTCATTCCAGGATGCGACAGGCCATTTATCGGACTACATGGAAGAGTAAGTACCACTGGTGATGAGGCGGCAGCAACAGTAAACACACGTCAAAATTGCATATCAGAACCTGGTTGCCAGCCAGGTCGTAGGCGATGATGAATCCCGATACCAAAGGATCCATCACCCAATGGAGCATGCCGACTCGTTCCTTCACAATGGGACGCAGATCCGCGTTGATGTGGATGGTCATCATTGTTTCGTCTAGATGGGCAATCAATATCGAGGTTATGGAGGTCCGGCACGAGCTTGATGCCTACAAGAATCCTCGCCCTCGCTTTCAATCCCAAGGAAATTGCGCACGGCGCTTTTTGCGCCATCACAGGCAACCACATGCTTCGAGCGCACTCTGTACGTTTCGTTTGAATCACGGTCCTGAATCACGGTGATAACATGACCATCAAACTGATCCAGTCAGTAGCGATAGCATGAAAAGAAACAGAAAGAGTCTCTCACCTGCTCCAAGCTGACAAAGGTGTGGTTCTTGCGAATCTCGACCAGGCTACTCTTGGATAGCCTCGAGGCAACCAGCTCTTCGAAAGCCGGCTGGGGGATATTGTGAATCATCTATGCGCCAATTTAGTATGTTTCGGACTGCCCCATACGGCTTCATCGGGCACCAACAGTAGGGGTGCTGTTAAGAACTTCGGCGTCCATGCGCTCGTAGGGCAATCTGCCGACTTGCTCGCCGGCCAAGCTGGTGATAAAGTTGACCCAGTAGGCATCTCTGCGCGAGGTGCCAATCTTGCGAATCTCATTCACATCCAACCCGAACTGGCGACACATTTCAAGTGATCGCGGGTTCAATGCATGCGCCTTGGGAGCGGCCAAGCGGGTCGCATATCTTTCGGTGATCAGTGATCGGACTAGAATCCGTCAGTATGCGTATGATGGAGCAGGGAAGGGAAAGTGACCGCCGAGTCTCTCTAACATGAATGCCAAAAATAGACCGGATGGGCCACCCCCAATAATGAGGATCGGAACATCCTCGTCGAAGGTCTCGTTGTACTGAACTGACGGCGACATTGCGTGGTAGGTAACTTGTTCTTGTCGAGTAGGCCTGAATGGATTGGATTCAGTGGGTTTGGTATTAACTGATTCAACTTTCGCTGCTCCGATTTAAGATTCCTAAGGTCTTCTCTATGTTGGTTGATTCACATCAACTAACCCAACGTCGCCCACTTCTTCCCCACCACCATCATCAACGGTGGGACATCATATCGTGGGGACGAAGAGTATGTGGGGAACTGCCAGTTCCGTATCTCTCCCCTCGGGAACACTCCCTATAACTAAGCTTTCCTAAGGTACTATCCAGCGTTGAGAATCAGAAAGTATCCCAACATCGCGAATTCGTAAGTGGGTCAGCTCAAGTTAGTCACAATAGTATACACCGACTGTAAAAGAGTGGCGATTCTAGCAGCCTATGACCGAGATAGGTGTACCATGGATAGATCTCTTGAGCTCAGTAGTATAGGGTTAATTATAAGGAATCTCGGATATATGCCACTTAATTCAGTCGATCCAATTCAAGGTTAAATAAAAGAAGGAAAAACGGGAAAAATCAAGCATTACTGGCTTTCTGACTCCTCGCCCATAAAATCTTTCTTATGGAGCCAAATCCGGATCCTCTTCCCATACAAGTGCAAAATAAATGTCGTCAGATAAACCACCACATTAATGGCCGCCACGGAAATAAACACGGTCAGGAGGCCGCTCGAAGTAATCCAGTCGTTGATACACCAGGTCCAGATCCAGGCAACGCTGGATTTGAGACAAGAGATGGTGACCATGATTTCCGCCGACAGCGCCTTGTGACAATCCAAGCTGTACGTGATAGCGATGGTGGCTCCCATCTGCGCACCGGCGGATAACACCCCGAGTCCGACAATGGGACCCGCCCAGTGTGTCTGGTAGTGGTAGGTGAGGCCGGCTATCAGGGCGCCCACGAAAGTGAGGACGGCGGCGACGATGCAGGTGGGGAGACGCATTTCGGGCTCGCGAACACCTTGGTTCCGGGCCGTGAACCAGGTGGCGATTTGATCGGCGAGAGGACCGGCGAGGTATGTGCCGACGAGAGAGCCGAGCAGGGGGGAAATAAAGACAAGCCCCTGGGAACCGGAGGAGAAAAAGTATGGCCTATGAAGAGCGAAGGTATTGATAATTATTGGACTCATGAACAATGGGAATTCTATATATAGGATGGATGGACATACGGCGGTGAAAATAGTTGGGCGACGACAGATCCCAAAATCACGTTCCAGCTCAGACTCATACCGTAGATGAGACTTGACCAGACGACTGTCGGATAAGCCATCAAAATAAAGGGTCGTTTGAACACCTGCCAGAAACTGACGTGATGGTTGATACTGAACTGGAAGAGCTCGTTGGCGTAAGATCTCTTCTTTCTGTTCGACGATTCCAGCTCCACTGGCGCCGTGTTCATAGAGGTAACTCCCTCAATATGCTCGCAAGATAGCCCGTCTTCGGACTTGTGGATCTCATTTGTTTCTTCAGCAATGACGGGCATAATCGTGGGGCGAGGGCCGTTGAACATAGTTTCGGGCATGAAGAGAAACATCGTGATCAAGCTGACGCCGATAGACATGGCGGTAATGAAGAACGCCCATCGCATGCTCAGCGACTGGATAATGTATGCAGAAGCCAGAGGACCGAGTTCGTTCCCACCGAGCACGGACAGCCCATACAGGGAGATTTTCTCCCCTCGTTCATGCAGGTAGAAGATGTCGGCGACGGTACTGGGGACGATGGCCTCAATTGGAGCTTCGAAGAGCCCGAGGAAGGCCCGGGCCACTACGAACAGGGGATAATTCTCCTGGGCGGCGATAGCCAGCCAGACACATACGATCCCCATGAGGGTATTGGATGCGAGGTAGACGGGACGGCGGCCGAATTTGACTGCCATAGGCCTATCGTATGCAATGGCACTTAGTGCTTTGTTTACTATGGGGGTTTGTAGATGCACGTACATCCACAGTAGAGTACCAAGCCCTTGGCAGATCAATGTTGCTCCATTGCTGTATGTGATATCGGAGAGGGGACGGTTGAAGAACGTGGCGAGCTGGATCATTCCTAAGTCGAGACCAGCCCTGTTAGGTCCCTTGCTCTATACTACGTTGATGAAGACGTACCTCCGGCCATCATGGGTCCAGTGACTGCTCCATTAAAGGAATAGAAAAGACCATTGCCAAAGGTAAGCCACTTCTTCCGTGAGCTCCACAACAACGGGTCGTTGGGGTCATTCAGTGATGGCTGTGGGACCAGAAGGATCCGCCCGTCACCATGAGCGACATGTTGGTAGGAATTGATCGAGGGCGAGTGCTCTTGATCAATCAAGAGCTCCGTGCCTGGGGCCGCGGTGTACTGCCTGGGCTGTTGCTGGATTCCGTCAGACATCTTTGCATTATCTACGCTGTACGAGGTAGGGTGACGGAGGAGAGAAAAGTAGCCAACAAAGGCATTTTCGGCTGGTCAGGAGTTTAAATGAAGACTTGATTTGTAACGTATAGTAGTACCTAACTTATTCCATACTACTATAGTAGAGGTAGTTGGTATAGGGTTTGTTCCCACCATTTCTCCGCCTTCTTCCCCGCGGCCTTTCTAGGACTCCGTATGCTCCGTATACCTTGACCGCCTATATATTCCGAGAGTAGAATATTTAGAATATTCCGGTTACACAAGGGCACTACAAGTTGCTATGAGGCGAGAGCATCAATCAATGAATCAAATGACCACTGGCGATGCTGTCACAGCTCGGTCTTGCCGACATTCCACTGTCCCACTTTCCCACTTTCCCACATTCCCATTTCCCCACTTACCGAGGCTGGATGAGATGATGCCATTCGGGTCGGTGGATATAGTTAGCTAGGTATATCCGCTTAGTCACGACTAGGTTGACACGAGGCATGTAGATCAGTGCCTACTGTAGATCAAGATCGACGAGACGGATTTCTTCCGTCCTTCTCGATTCTGTCGATCTTGGTCCTTCTAGTGGAGACAAGTGTATCATGAATATAGAATGCAGTCGTAGGTGGTGGACAGTGGAAATAGTATAAATATCACGGGATTTCCAGCTTAGAGTGCTCATAGCTAATAGCATCTGCATCTGTCCTATCAACTTCTACTCTATTATGCTGAAGACCGCGAACATGCGTGCCAGAGCTCCCCTTTTGCTTGTGGCTCTCTCCGCCGCTTCCTGGGCGTTCGATGAAACACCCACGTCCGCAGTCCCGACTGCCACCCCAACCACCCTGTCTCAAACCTTGATTTCAGTCAACAAGGCGCCATACCAGAACAATGCCAGCGCCTACTACCTTGGATATCATTCTGCGGACTATGAAAAACCGTTTGCCAAGTACTTCAACCCCCATGTCGCGCCTATCAGCGCCGAGGTTGAGAAGGGGATAACCATGAGCCCCTATGCTGCCGCCTTAGGTGAGATAACGTACAAAGTCTTCCGTATGGACCCTGCAGTATCGGATTTCTAACTGTCAATCTCAGCGTACGAAGCTCATGAAGCGGTTGAGTACATGTTGCGCCCAGGGTATCTGGAGCTCGAAAATGGCTATGCAGTTACTGAAAATGGCACATTGATGGTTGCCGTTCGCACGGACATGGGAAATGGTATGTGGCCGGACGATTTATCTGATAACGAGGGTCTAACCATGCACTGGCAGTCACGGGTGAAGAATATAACTGGTGGTTTGGATGGCATCTTGTCGAGTCCGCCAGGTGAACTTGCGCCGCAGCCGTCCCTTTTTTCGTTCCTTGATGAGCTGACAGCAATGCTCCTAAACAGATACAAACTCTGGAACCCAGTCGCGCATCAGTATGCCTGGCGTTATCCCAACTCTTTAGATTGGGCGAACAAGACGTATCCCGAGCGTTACTTCAACACGTTCTCCTTCATTGACGAGTATCTCGGCAACGATGCCTATAAACTGACTGTTGCGTTTATTGACCCCTCCGAACTGGGCTTTGATCCGTCCGAATTTGCTGAGCACAACATTGAAACCATGGTTGTGGCACATATCCATTCCGGAAGTAAGTATACCCTGTTCGCTAAGGAAGGCGACTAGCTAGGATTTTGCTCACAAAAAAAAGGCCACATCATTTCTGGTTTTGACAACAGGTCCTTCCTGATTCACCAGCTTCGTCGTAAGCCTGATGGAAGTAGCGAGCTTCGTTCTCGTTTCTGGCTGGCCGAGCATACCAGCCAAGTGGCTCATGACCTTACTGTTCACTGCAACATCGAAATGACTCGTAAGTGAACTGTTCTGTTCTTGTGTCTTTCTTTCGGAAAGGAAAATAACCTCGAGTTTCAATCAGACTTGAGCAGTTTTCTCCCTGCTCTATTCCAGGAATTTCGCGACACAATTTAGGACTGATGGTTATGTCCCGGGGGTTCTCTGCATATACCTAGGCGTACATTATTAGAGGACGAGGGGTAGAAATTGTGTATTTAGATCTTCCTGTAACTACTCCTGACCGCAAAGGAAATATAGAGAAACCGTATCAAAAGCTCAACGCCTGCCATGATGTACTATGTTCTTTTGACGCTGAAGAGGTGTCGATGAATCACTGCAATGCAGCTAATTTTATAGATGCGTTAGTGGCAAAGGGACGTCCACTAGCGTCCTCTGGGCATTTCCGGTGCAGATGAATATGTGTCATAAGCCTTGGACACAAGACTGACTCCTATTTAGATAAAGTGGGCGATCGCAGCCGCGGCGCCCAGTGCTGTAAATAGGTCTATACCAGCTCGTAGGATCGAGCGGCTATTCGAAAAGTCTTAGAGAAAAACAGATTGTTGAGAGATAGATTAACATCTTCATTATAAATATAGCGAAGGTAACGAGACACGTCTATACTCGCGGCAGCCACAATTACGGCAGAGTAAGCAGAAACCTGGAAGGCTACCTTAGTCCTAATTCTAGTATAGTTCGGGATATTCCCGTTCCAGTGGAAAGATTGATTCGAGATAGCCGTAACTATTTCCTTAATCAGGCGCCGCTTAGCAGAGCTAGCGGGCGACGTTGAAGGGCACAGATACCTGAAAATGCACGTAAGACTCAAATGCATTCTTGAGGCCCCCAATCGGCAAGCGCCACGATATCAGGCAATCTGCAGGGATGCCTTCTGCCCTTCAATGCGTGGAGTCTGGGTCCTGTTGGCGTCTATATATATAAATCATTCCAGATAAAAGGCCGACCATGAAAGAGTTGACCCGGAGAGTAGAGACATAGCAAACGAATACAGTAATAGCAGTGCGGGCAGATTGGGATTACGAACAAGGCCTAGTAGAGTAACAACCACTGCCTACTATTAATTAAGGTGCGGAGTGTTACTTCTGAAGTTTCTAACTATAACAACTATAATAGTCTATATTTGTTTCTTTCCTTTTTCTCTTTTCTCTTTTTCTTTATTTTAGATTGGTTCATTGGAACAGTTTCTCGCGTTTTATACACCTTACATCAATATACTGTAAGCTGCCGATAAGTAGTAGCTAAAGAAACTTAAAGGATATCTGCCTTCGATCTATAGAATACAATATATACGCAGCTTACAAAGCTGCTATACACTGAAAATAAGTCACAGAACTCCAAATAAAGTTCTAAATGAGGACACGTCTATGTACATATAATGGGTTCAACAGTGCTAGACATTTCCACGTACGTAATGCCATGTTCTGATAATTCGTACACTGATCCTTCGCTCCAGTAAGACCCGTACCAAAGAGTAAGGCTAATGAAGATAGAGTTAAACTGAACATAGCGCCCTTTCATATTCTAGGTCAATCGGCTACTTCTATGACAGTGCAATGGATGTAGAACGAACATCATATATCGACATTACATCTTACTCTCGACGTCGTTCTCCAAGAATGATCTTCTTAACCAGAGACTTCTCCCCACTGTTGCTCACTAGATTGCAGAATACGCCATCCCGCAAGTGTAGTAACTCCTGCGGAGTACCAAACTCCACAGCTCTGCCCGCATCGAAAACGAGGATCTTGTCGAAATCCGCAACCGTGCTGAGCCGGTGTGCAATAACGAGTAACGAAGAGCCATGGTTGCAGAATTCCTCACGAATGGAGCGCTGGAGCAACGCGTCTGTCTGCATGTCAACTGCTGAAGTAGCTTCGTCGAGGATCAGGACTTTAGGGCGTGAAGCAATCGCCCGTGCCAGGCAGAGAAGTTGCCGCTGGCCTTGGGACAGATTCGAACCGCCCTCCACGATGGGGAAGGAAAGAGATGAAAAGCACAGGTCGCCATCGCGACTGGGCGAGGTTCGGTCCCCTGTGGGGTTGAGGTGCACACATTCTAGTGCGCGATAAAGCTCTAGATCAGAGCATTCACCCCGTGGATCGAGATTTGACCGGACGGTGCCGGAGAAAAAGACGGGATCCTGCGGAATCATGGCGATGCGCCTGCGTAGGACACAAAGCTTTATTGTGGAGATATCGATGCCGTCAATGAAGACGCTACCCCGAGGCGTTTCCAGAAATCGAAAGAGGGCCATGGCCAGCGACGATTTCCCGGCCCCTGTGCGGCCAACTATTCCAACCCGCTCGCCTGGGCTCACAGAGAAGCTCACACTGTTCAATACAGGAGGAAGGGTCGGTGCATAACTGACCGATAGATTGGCCACCTCGATGTGGCCACTGGCGGGCCACGCGGCCGGGGGGTCTTCGCCGCCTTGATCTTCAGTGTCGTTTGCCGTGTACTCGAGCACTCTTTCCGCGGCGTTCATATCCATTTCCAGATTGGCGTAGGACCTAAGGCACATGGAGACGGCAGAATTGTACTGCAGCGCAAAACTCACTGCGAATCCGGCGAGTGCGGCAGAAATGTTGGTAGAATGATGCACCACAAGTGCTGCTGTCGCCGTGGTGAAGAAGGCGCCCACCATGCTCACTCGAAATCCCAGCCAGTTATTGAAAAGCCAAAGGTGCCAGGCCGCCTGTGCATGCCGGTCAATCTTGGAATACATCCGCTGGAGATACAGCTCCTCCCTGCCAAAGGCACGGATGGTCGATAGTCCCGTAAGACTGGACGAAAAATGTTCTAGGACGGGACTTTTCGCAACACTCTCGAGTCGTTTCAGTTCCCTAGCACCAGTAATGTATATTCGGGCGATATGAAGACAGACAAGGAACAGGGCAGCTGCGAAAGCCAGCAATATAGGTGACACTAGCCCTCCAGCTACAATGATACCGACCAGTTCCATATTTTTGTACATCACGTTGCCGAGATCATAGCCCAGCCTCCAGTCTAGGAGTTGAACATCTGAGGTGAATCTGTTGAGAAGGGCACCTATTGGTACAGTATCGAGCCACCGCATCGGGGCGGTCAGGATACTCGTGAGGAGATCTTGGAACATATGTCGGGAAGTATGGAGGGAACTGTAGGATAAGACCAGGTACTTGAAGACACCCACGAGACAAGCGGTAACAGAGATGGCAACGTAAATACCCAGGAAGAAGATGGTGTCGTTGCCGATGGAAGAGTTGCCCACACGCATTATGGTCTGGAGCCACCGGGAAGAAGGTTCGGCTGCCTTCGACGAATCGGACGAACTAGTCCACAGCTTGAGCCACCATGACTAGATAGATCCGTTGTTAGCCAATATGCTCTGTGCCGCGTACAAGAGTAGGAGGGATCTCAACTAACTCGACCAAGGAGAAGAGTCATGAAGGTTGCATATGCTAGAAAGGTCAATGCCCAACGCGGCAGCCCGCCCCCCTTAACTAGGTAGGCCTTGTAGACCGCCCAAGAGACGGAGCCGGTCTGGCGGTTCTCCTCTTGAGCAAACTTGTTGGGAACACTCCTGCTGGGTGGAGTTACTGGACCTGGAAGATCTGCGGCCTCCTGCAGGCCCCCTGTAACTGGCCGTTTCCTTTCCAAATGTTTTGTCGTCTCGGCATACACCATGCCCCCATCTTCCAACAGGACACAGTAATCTGCCTGCGGTAAACATAAGCCTAGGTGATGTGTGACGAGGATCCTGGTCCGCCCCTGGCCCAATTCGCCAGTCAGCGCATGAGTATAGATGTGTCGGCCCGTCTTCGGATCCAGGGCGCTGAAGATATCATCCATGACCAGGATGCCAGCTCTAGAGTACAAGGCCCGTGCGAAGGAGATTCGCCAACGCTGACCACCGCTGAGGTTGACGCCATTTCTTCCAACATCCGTCTTGTCTCCGTCCGGCATGGTTTCCAAGTCCTTTTCCAGCCCTGTCACGAACAGCACTTGATGGTAGCGATGATGTTGGTACGGAAGGTCAAAGACGATATTTTCCTTAATACTTCCGTTCTCGATCCACGGGCTTTGCCCAACGTATGCGATCAGAGAATCCATGACCCATGTTCCTGGGGTCGCTCTGTCGTCGAGCTGTGCCTCCATGGAAGGTGGGGTGGGAACTGCGAGAGTGCCGCGGAGGATATCACATTCACCAAGGATCGAGGCAAGCAGCAGGCTTTTTCCGGACCCAGACTTGCCCGTTATCACGCTCAGTCCACCACGAGGAAATTGCAAATTCAATGGACCAAGTTTGAATCGATCCTCGTTAACTGAGTTCGGTTCTGCTGTCCACGCGATTGTCGCGTCTTCAAAGGTAATCTTATCCGTCTGGCTGCTTGTGTGGACGGCTTTATCCGCCGTGACAAGGTATTTTTCGACCCGATTAGCGCTAACCCTGGCGTCCATCCCTCTTGAGAGCATATCAGGAAGACCGCTCAGGGCGGCCTGCAGGCTCTCAAAGACGGACAGTACAGTAAAGGCTACCGAGGCAGGAAGCTCTCCATTTTCCAGTGCATACACTGTCAAGCACGTAGCGGAAACCAGGATTGGTCCAAATATCCAGACAGATTCCATAATAGTAATATGAACCAAAGCGTTCCAGAGCGACCTGAGCTGCGCATCCCGTCGTTCGGCGACACGATTCTGCCACAGCAGCTCTAGTGCGTCGAATTTCACTTGACGAATGCCTCGAACCATCTCGGTCACGATCGTGATATGCTTGTCACTGGCTTCCATGTACTCCTCCTGCGACGCGGCGTAGCACTTCGTGGCGTACCAACTCGCTGGAACGAAAACGAGCGCTACAAGCACACTGGCCATCATGCTTTGCCATCCAACCAGACGAAAGAGGAGGGCGCTGGCGATGAGGAGTCTCATCAAAGACGAGGGGAGGAGGTTGATGACGGTTGCAAAATCAGAGATGCGCTTGATGTCCACAGCGGCCATATTAAAAACGCTCTGCTGACTTTGCTTTTCTTCATCGCTCTCACCAAGCTGGGCGTCTTGCGTTTTGGACTCTCCGGGATGACTGACTGTCTTGCAGCGCATCGATTTGGCGAAGACCAGCGCAGACAGGCCCGCATAGGTAGGAATCCACAGCCGCGAATACATCGTCCAGGATATCCACGAGTTCAAGCCCAGTAGTATGGGTGATACGAGTCCCAGTGCCGTAACGCAAAGCCATGCTCGCGTGCCACTCCGATAAGAAGGATCCTCCATTGACTTGAGCATGCCATACATGGCCATTTGTCGACTTAGTTCCAGAAGAGACATCAAGATGCTAAGAAGCAGCTGCAACACTAAGGGCCGTATTTTGAACCAGATAAGGATGACCCAAAAGGGCTGCGATACGCTGGTCATCATCGTCTGCAAACGTTTGTGGAGGGGTTCAGCGCGTGCAAAGTAAGGCTGTTTAGGGAGGGCGTCGATATCAAGGCCTCGATTCTTTCCAACATAGTGAAGAACTGGCGTAGCCCAGGAGAATGAGATGCGGTTGCGCAGGCTGACTGTGCGTTCCCTGTCGACAACAAGAGCCTCGTGATATACATTTGGGCGACGAGGTATATGAATAGCAGACAAGCCGCGGGCAAAGGCTGACGCGGCGATGAGCACTAGCAGGCGGGCTGGCAACAGGTCAATGGCAGTAGAGTAACTTGAAGCACGCAGTAGGCCCATCTGAATGCCGGGCACTGCGATGGCGACGATGCTGCTGGCAAGGACATGGAGTCCAAGTCGGTAGCATTCAACCGGGGACGCTGGCACAAAAAGAGTTACAGATTCTATACTCAGAAGTATCTACGCCTGCTCAGCATATGACTCGATGACTAGCCTTTGTAGGTATGGCACTCACCCAAATACCGGACTGTAGCCACGAGGGGAGAAGGAGAGGACTGTGTCTGGACCGTGTGCTCACGACCAACAACGCCAGTGCAGACGCCAACCCGGTCGCCGAAAAGAGGGTAATGGCTATTCTCTGTCCCAGATTTGAATAACTCTCCTGGGACTCCTCTGCTGCTTCGCCATCTTCGTCTTGGTACCACTTCTTTCCGGGAACTTCATCGTCGAGCCGAATGGGTTGAACCGGCTTTGGGCGGAAGGCCTTCAGAACTGCAGGCGAGCTAAACAATCCGACAAGAGAGAGCCCCAGAGCGCCTGACACCACGGACCATGTATTTAAGTCGGGTGACATTTCACCTGGGCGAATAAATGAATACGCGTCAGGAAGATAGGTACGCGGGGTCACTGAACAGCGAATTGCCCCTGGGACGGCTCGTCTTATAATAGCAAGAAGCTACCAAAAAATTGTTACCATCTGATTGGCTTTCCTGCATTCTCTGGGTTATTATTCTCCTCATAGTCATGAGGAGCTAGCTATATGTCAGGTTTTATCCCCTGTTTGGGAATGTTTAGTCTGGCCGCGTTATCACGTTACTCAGGAATGCCACAGGGGTGGGAGATAGAATTCGGCTGGCAAGGACCAGACAAATATACCAAATTGATGCTTTGTTTCATATTGAGAAGACAAAGGAGACAATAATGTTTATTAAAGATTGCTTGTTTATTGCTATCCAATTTGGTGATGGACCTCTTAGAAACAGGAAAAATGTCAAAACGTGTTTTTCTGCGACATGCGCCGGGTCAGGTTCACGGACTTCATTACAATCTTAGGCCTCTGACACGGACCGGTGCAGCTGCGGGGAAGGGTTCCAGACCCCAAGGCACGTCCTCCCTGCAATGTTCGTTCTATCGGGAGGCGCGTGGGACGATGATGGCACAGCTGCAGGCCATACAGGGCCTCCGGAGGAGACTCTCAGACTACGACGCGCTCGTATCTGACCTGCAGGCGATCAGCTACATCGCCGAGTTCATGCACCAAACAGGCCTGCTCGGGGAATTCAGCCCATGCAGAGCCTCTCGCGAGGTTCAGGAATAGATGTGGAAGACGCTGGTTAAATGGATTAATCAGCTGCCTAGAAAGGGTCTATCTAGGCGCGGCAACGCGTTAGAAGGAACGACTACATAGAATGGAGAGCGCTAGGTGTTTGACGCGTAGAATGGCGCGGAGATAGATGGCTGCGTGGCAGGCCACGATTTAGTGGTGTTTTCGCTTTTCGATGTGGCCACATGCCAATTTCTTACGTCTTTTCTTCATTGCGGGTTTATATGGGCTTTTCAGGCGTTCGGATACCAGATTCCTGCTTCATGGTGAAGCGCCTACATAGCTAATCGCTTCAACAGATAGGCTCCAACAGGCTAATAGAATCTTGATTGATTGATCCATTACCATCTTGACCGACATTGTAAGAGGAGTAGAACTAACAACACCAGAGTTTGAGAAACATCTTCCCCAACGTGTTATGTTCATGGTTCGCAACGGTTCTTTATACCCAGACAAGTTCCTCCTGCGATAAGTCACGCATCTGCATCTACGGACAGATATCCCGGGGACCAGCATTCTCGCAGGGTGGCCTAGGGAGGATTAAATCCTCGGATGTCTTCACGACCTTCTCGGTGAGAAGATGTCGCTGTGTATAGTCATTCAACGGCTGAAATTTGCGGCATTTATGCCAGGTGTTAAAATCGGGATACGGGATCAGGAAAGCCTTCCACCCAGCTGCTGGTCACGATGCCAGCATCTCCTTGGCACTGCACTACCTGCCGGAGCATGTCGATGCAATGGTCTAGAGTGTTAATGAAGAAAGGGTGGGATGGTTAAGGCGCGCAAAGGGTAGGATCTCGACTTACCAATGTGCAGGCGAAGGGTATGGTTGGAATCCGTGAAAGATGGAGGTCGATTTTCGGGACGGGAATAATAGTCGAGGTACGTATATTGCCGGATCAGATTCACGCAGTGCAGCTGCAGAATTAGCATATACCTCGCTCGTATGTTATATCTGGGGATGCAGGTCGTTGCGACGCACCTGATGGAATACTTCTAACCCTCCAGTATACCACTCTCCATCGGTGCTGCGCAACTTGGCTTGGGTTGGGGGCTTTTTTAGATGCGTCAGATCGCTTGGGCCGACTTTGATTTGTCCCACTAGAGATCTGTAAGACAATATATTCAAAAGTTATGAGGCATCCAGGCAACGGACTGTTTACGATCTCGTCCCATGCAGCATCTAGTTCTGGACTCGGTTCACCTTTGTAGGGGTTCTCATCGAGCAACGCGCCTTGGAAGCGAACCATCTCATATTCCACTGCATCCAAGGCCGGTGCTAAGAAGAAAAATTTAGAGCTCCGCGGTGAAAGATGGGTTGGATTTAAATAAGCTTTGACAAGGTTCGCAGGGACTTACAGTAAGCTGACAGTTGCCTCGCGCACTGCTGTTCTGTCGGATATCTCTGCTGAAGCCCCGAGAGAAAGAATGAGAGTGAAAATAGGAAGAATATGGTATGGGCTGCCCAAATGTAGCTCGACCTGCTTATCTCCCACCAGCTATGTCGCCGTTGAAACACTTGCTTCTTCTCCAGGAGACTCTCCGAGTCTTCACCTGTAGTAGAATACGAGCTGGCAAGGCTTCGTCGTGGTTTGATCACCTTGTAGATGATATTTCTGGCATCCATGGTGTCCTGAGTTGTTCTATGGCAAAAAGCAGTAGGGCGAAAGATAAGCATGAAGTGACAACAAATGAATAATAAGTCATCTCGACCGATAAGTCTTGAAATAGGCCTCGAGGGCACAAACGGTCAGAGCGTACTCACTACCTTGCGTCCGTGATTCTCAGCTCTGCAGATAGACAACTCCCTTACTTTCTTTTGTAGCAGGTATCATTACCGGAGCAGTGAATTGATTGCATCGAGAGACAAGGACAGGTGGAGAATAATAAGCTGTCGTACAATGCAACACAAGTAGTGTTTTTTTTTTCCGATGCATGCCCTATCAGTGCTCTGGGGTTTTAAACCCTTACATTGACGTGGATGCCTCAATCCTCCTGCTCCGAACTGGTCCGCATCTCACGGGTGACAAGGCAAGGTCGATGCTTATGTAGCATCCTTGGGTATCTTGTGACACATTGGGACTGTGGACAGGGTTGCGGTGTCGTCTGCTGTTGTTAATGTACCTCTCTCCTTACGCCGGTTGCACAGATGTTGTTCCGTGGAACAATCTTGCTATAGGTTGGAATTGCTTTCCACTTGATAATCCGTTCCTATCCATGCTACACTACATATACTGTACTTACAACACCGGTCCTTAGGCGCGGAACACCTCATTGATGCCACATTGTGCAACCCCAGCTGTTGAGAATCGCCTGGCATTGAGTCCATACTCTGGATACCGTGGGACGCGGAGAAACGAGCCAGGCCAACACGGCGGCTAATCAAGGCTCCGAGCAAGAGGAATCTGGCTCTACACAAGGGCCTACCCAAGCCGCACACGTCAATCATCGTCCAGATGCGTACGATGCGCGTCACCCTACAACATTTTCTCTTCAAGATTAAGGCCTCAGACTCGGACCGGTGCGGCTGCGGAGAAGTGTTCCAGACCCCCAAGCATGTTCTTCTGCAATGTTTGTTGTATGCAGAGGCCCATAGGACGGTGATAAACAAGCTACTCGATGTGGAGGGACTCTGGCGGAAACTCTCAGACTACGACGCGCTTGTGTCTGAACCGCAGGCAATCCGCTACGTCGCTGAATTTATGCACTAAACAGGCCTGCTCAGCCAGTTCCGCCATGCTAAAGTAACGGAGCCGGCGGAACCGGTAGAGCAGGACCAGGAACATGGAAGCCTCTTACGAGATTTAGGCATAGATGTGGAAGACAAGAGTTAGATAGAACCAGCAGCTGCCTAGAAGGTACCTATCTAGGTGCGGCAACGCGTCAGCAGTAACGACTATAGAATGTAGTAGCATAGGTGTCTGACGCGCAGGATGGCGCAGGGGCGACATCTTGCCTAGTAGTGCGTGAATTTAGGGGTGTTTTCGCTCTCTTCGATGTTTCTTACGTCTTTTCTGTATTTGTGGGTTTATATGGGCTTTTCAGACGTTTGGATACCAGATTCCTGCTTCATTTGAAGCGTCTGCATAGCTAATCGCTTTAATAGATAGGCTCCAACAGGTTAATAGAATCTTGATTGATTGATTGATACTCTGGATACTAGAGAACGCAAGAATGAGCGGTGTGAAGACCGACTTTGATTCAGTATCTCCCTGATATCCCTCATGAGTCTATTCCTGCTTTCTCATTCCTCACTGCCCCTTGCTGCTGCTGCTCATCGAACTTGAAGTAGGACCCTCCTCGACTGCGCTGCATAACGACTTCTGGCCTACCCCCAATAGCGACTAGCTAACCAGGCACACTACGGGAGATAGTAGGAGCGGTGAGTAGACAAGACGCACGGGGAATATTGTTGCAGCCAAGTGCGGTGCGTAGCGAATGTGCTAATGACATGGTCCATTCTGGCCTGAGGGCTATCCTTGAATGCCGTCAGGGTATATAAGTCCTCCATTTCTCTTACCGTGTACTAAAATCACCAACTCCAGCTACTCTCATCTCGAAAACAAAATAACCAATATCACTCATCAAACCATTCTCCGCTTTTTGCCGATTATCTTACCCTCCGCCACAAAAGAAAAAAAAATCTCACCATGAAGTTCTACCCTTTCTTTGTCTTTGCCTCCACAATTGTAGCTGTTGCTGCTGCTCCCATGGGAGAGTGAGGGAAGCCTTACAGTATATTCTCTTCCTCTTTAGCTAACATTTTTAAGGGCATCAACGAGCATTGCTCCGATGAACGCCAAGGTCAAGTACGATGTCTACGATGGCCCTGAGAAGCGCAGCAATGCCAAGGTCAAGTACGATGTCTACGATGGCCCTGAGAAACGCAGCAATGCCAAGGTCAAGTACGATGTCTACGATGGCCCTGAGAAGCGCAGCAATGCCAAGGTCAAGTACGACGTCTACGACGGCCCTGAGAAACGCAGCAATGCCAAGGTCAAGTACGACGTCTACGACGGCCCTGAGAAACGCAGCAATGCCAAGGTCAAGTACGATGTCTACGACGGCCCTGAGAAACGCAGCAATGCCAAGGTCAAGTACGACGTCTACGACGGCCCTGAGAAACGCAGCAATGCCAAGGTCAAGTACGATGTCTACGACGGCCCTGAGAAGCGCAGCAATGCCAAGGTCAAGTACGACGTCTACGATGGACCACAGTAGTGCCAAAATAAGCCTCGGCGTGCAACTCATCGTCGCTGCGTCTCCATGACCTCGTCGCTGGAGCGGGGATCAAGCTAAACAAGGATGAGCAAACTAGGTTCCTTGCAGCGGGTATAGTGGGTTCAACGGAAAACGAACTTAGTGGGGGGAATTCACTCATTAATGATATGGGAGCATCACATCATTTACAGTATGGCGACGAGAACTGGACTGCTTTGGCCCTACTTTCGGATAGCGAATCTACGTTTGATGCTCCTTCAACCAACGTCTAGCACAAGTATAATTCCTTCACTAGCATTTTGGCTACTTGAATGCCATAGCCGTATGCGACTGTAGCTATGTTCGAGGCTCTTCTAAATTGGACTGTGTAAAATTTGTAAGCTTGTAGTTTTGCAATGACTTACCACACATCAGAACCAACTACTGCTTCTTGGTGAGAGAGAACAGAAGTTGCAGTTGGATGTACCGTAAATGTACCCAGTAACGGACAAGAGACAAGCTACAAACATCGGTCCCAATTGATAACATTAGGAGTAAATTATAGGTAAGTCATGTTCAGAAACTCTTGATTCGCCACTACCAATGAAAATGCGGCTGATGGACCTTCTCTTCCATCCGCCCGCACGGCCGTCCTGTCCATTGTGGGCTCCTGACAGGCTACGGTTACGCGAACGACCCTAACCAGCTGCTCATGGTCCTCACTTTCTCTCCGAAACCCAGTGAATCTACTGCGGTTTGGACAGATTCCACCATCACCTCTGCTAATCTTCTTCGGCCTTCATCAGGTTCGATTGCAATCGCCATACGCCATTCCTCGGACAGAACATCATCAACGTCTCTCTTACCATCCAAGGCGTCAGGATGGTTGTCAACATAGCTCTCCCTTTGCGCCCTCCAGCCAGCTTGAGATGCGGCTTTCTTAATACTCCTGGGGCTGTACAGTGAGAGAGTGTTACTCTCCTGTATTCCCCGGGCAACTCGGCTGGACATCTCCGCCTGCGAAAGAGCAGCGAGTAGATGAGGAAGAGTCGTCATATCCCCGCGCACGTTCAGTGAGAACTCTGCGATTAATAATTCCCGAGCTCTCCCACGGAGGCTGGTCAGCATGGGACGAAGGCTGTCGGTAGACTCGAAATACCAGAGGCAATGCATGAAGATGGCGTAGTCGAATTGAGCATCTGGGTTGGAATCGAGGAACTCTTGCAAAGTAGCCTGGTGAAAGGAGATTCTGGAGCCTAGAGGGGACGCCTTCAGGTTTGCGTGGACCTGACCGAGCGTGAAGGGGCTACCTTTTGTGCCAGAATCTTAATTAGGTCATACATAGTAAATTTCGAGGAAGCTGAAGGGACATACCATAGTCTAGCGGTGCCGGGTCGATACCCGTAACGTGGCCGTTCTCCCCTACGAGATCGGCTAGGATCACAGTGCTGTCGCCCTGTCCGCAGCCAATTTCGAGGACTCTCGATCCGGGCTCAATGTTCCATCGTGAGATGATATCAAGTCGTTGCTGTAACTCGACTTTGACAAGGCGGCTATACTTCTCTTCAGGCATGTATATGCGGGCAAGATGATCGATGGAGCATTTCATGGCGGATGGAATTCACAACCTCTGTTGCCCTGTCTGCAAAATACGCTTTGTCGCAATGTTTCCGAACGAATAAAGAACACGCTTTATTTATTTCGGCCGATATGGAGTGTGGTCAACAGGAAAGGAGATATACGGACCAGATGCTGCCGGCTTCTTTGACAGCTCTCCAACCGCGTTCTGCAGATACCAATACATTGCTCCAGAGCGTAGGGGGATGCTTTAAATTCATTGCTTCCGTGTCCATTCACTGGAGCCTGTTCGGTGTAACAGGTAGCATTCCCAGATGAGGGACGGAAGGAGATGTTGCATGACTTATGCCGAAACCGACACACTCCTTGCGTACAAGCCCGTCGGAACGCGGATATTGGGCTTCTGAAAGAACATGATGGTCTACATACCTTACCGTAAGCGTTGTTGGGCCTGGCTACTCTCAATGCTCGTCCTGCTTTCTGACCGGAACAGGCGTCACCCAACTAAAAAGAGGGTCACGGCGAAAGAAAAGATTCGGGAAATTTCCTGAAACGGCCTGTTGCTGTTGAACATCTTGCCTCCCCATCTACTTCCTCTTCAATGGAATTACAACGGATATGTATTTCATATTTAGCGTCCCGACCAGAGAAGATGACTCTGACCCATACCATCATCATTGAATGCTCGCCCGAATTCATTCATCCTTTCAAGTGATGGAACACTCCAAAGTCGAGGGAATTTCAAGCGTCACGGAAAGTGCTCCGGTGAGACAGTGCTTCTTGGAATGTTGCAAATCCCCAGCTGATCTGTTGGGCTTTTCCTCTCCTGCAGTCAAATCATGGTCAAGATGACGAAGTCTTTGCCCAGTTTAATCCTACGTAAGCGGATTACATGACTGGACACTCTACTCACTATTAGCAACTGACGGTCAAGATGTAGCGAGTTTTGTATGACTGGAGAAGATTTGGAAGCTGCGAAGCAGAAGGTGGATGATGTGTCGGATTCCCAAGTCAGAGATGTATGTAAACGCGAGTGGCATGTTGGCAGCCACAGGTTTTGATGTTTTTTCTAAAAGTGCTCACCTCGTCCAGGCTGTACAGAATGTGTTGCAATTCCACACAAACGATCCCAACTTTCCCTCTGCAATTCTGCACCGGTTTTCTGAATTTGCCCGAACTCCAGATGTTGACCAGTCCGAGAAGCCGGAGGCTGTCCTGCTGCGGGCGCAGGTCCGCTTGCTGGTGGCCCTGATCTTGACGAACAGCCCCTACCCGGAAGTGCGCGCCATCGTCGGAAACAAGGATGACCCGGAAACGCCTTGCTCGACGATCCGGTCATGGGCAATCGGCCTTTTCTTCGTCGTCGGCGCATCTGCGGTGAATCAGCTGTTTAGCGTCCGTCAGCCTCCCATCGGTATCGAGGCTATGGCAATCCAGCTGTTGTCGTATCCCTTGGGAAAGGCGGCAGAGCGGGTTCTGCCTGATGTGGGATTCAGCCTTTGCGGCGTGCGACACAGCCTCAACCCTGGACGGTTCAGCCAAAAGGAGCATTTGCTGATTGTTATCATGGCAAATGTGGGAACCAGTCGACCATACTCAAATTATACAAGTTGAGTCAACCCCGTTCCTCTCCGTCCGTACCTCACTCGTTCAGAACTAACTAGCGGCTCGATAGTCTGGAGTCAAGTCCTCCCCCAGTACTACGGCCAGTCTTATGCTTCAGCCTTTGGATACCAGCTCCTGCTTTCTCTATCATCGGATTTGATGGGTAGGCTTGGCTTATTGGGCTTAGTTCAGACCATTACCTAACTTTCACCAGGATACGGCCTTGCCGGTCTAGGTCGCAGGTTTCTCGTATATCCGTCCCTCTGCATATTCCCTCAGTGCCTGACCACGCTCGCGCTCACCAACGCCCTCTATAGTGGTGAGTCCGGACATCTTGGATACAAGCGACCCCGTCTAATCTTCGTGACTATAATTAGATGAGAATCCGTCAGCCCTTGGGCCGTTCCGGCGGACGTATAACACATCCCGCTTTCGGTTCTTTATGTATGCCTTCGTGGGAATGTTCTGTTACGCGTGGTTCCCCTGCTACCTGTTCGAAAAATTGAGCATCTTCAACTGGCTCAGCTGGATTTTCCCCAGCAACGTGGACCTGATCGCGATCACTGGCATCCGGACCGGTTTGGGCCTCAATCCTTTCCCAACGTTTGATTGGAATATGGTCACCACGGCACTCGATCCGCTTGTGGTGCCCTTGGTGGCTACCCTGAACGTATTCGCCGGCGTCGTAACCAGCGGGGTCGTCATCGCCATCTTTTGGTTCACTAACGCATACTGGGCCTCTTACCTGCCCATTAATACCAACAGACTCTTCAATCGTTGGGGGACGGCATATAACGTGTCGGAAGTACTAGACTCCCACGCGGTCCTCGTCCAGGCCAAATACCAACAGTATTCGACCGCCTTTCTGGCACCGAGCAGCCTGGTCCAGTATACGTTCTACTTCGCAACATATTCCGCGACGATCTCGTATGCCATCCTTTATCATGGCCGGCAAATCAGGGCCGCATTCCGGAATCTGGTCCGTAAAACAGGTCAAGTTACGGCCAGCGCTCACGACGTCCATTCCAGGCTAATGTGCACATATAAAGAGGGTGAGCATGTTGTATTCTAAGGAGTTAGCGGATCGCCAAGTTGCTAATAGACTCTGGCACACAGTTCCCGAGATATGGTATGCTGCGCTGAATGTGCTTGCTCTCATGCTTGCTGTTGTCGTCATCACAGCCTGGCCAACATCCGTAAGTGGCTGTCACAACATCTCCTTCGATTCAATTTATTGAGATCGATCTTGTTCCTTTCTTCTATATGCAGACAAATGTCGGAGTCGTCTTTGTGGCGTTCAGTGTTGCAGCGGCCTTCTTGGTTCCAGTCGGTCAAGTTTACGCTGTTACGGGGATTGCTATCAACCTAAAGTACGTCCATCTCTGCTGCCTTCTTTTCCATCGAAGTATATGAAATCTGATCTTCCAGCGTGCTGTCGGAGTTTTTAGGGGGCCTGTGGACTCCAGGCAATCCACTTTCAGTCAGCTTTTTCAAGCTATACGGGTATGTACTGAAACCCTGCTGCTTCAGAATCCAATTCATTGATGTGGCCGCACCCTTCCTGATGCTCAGATACACCACCCTTTCCAATGCGCTGCCATTCATCAGCGATCTCAAACTGGCCCACTACGCTAAACTTCCACCTTGGCATACCTTTTCAGCCCAGGTCGTCGCCACCGTCATATCGGCGGTTGTGTGCACGGCCATGCTTAACTATCAGATCAATCAGATTCCTGATATTTGCCAGAGGTTTGATCCCAACCCCGGCCGGTGTGATGACACTAACTTTCAATCGTTCACGCCAACAGCACTCAGAAGGATCGTTTTACCTGCCCTGGAGTCAATACCTATTTTAGTGCCTCGGTAGTCTTTGGTAGCATCGGCCCTCGCAGGATATTTGGTCCCGGAGGGCCGTACTCGGCTTTACTCGCTGCCTTCCCCATCGGTCTCACGCTGCCAGTGATACTCTACTTCACACAAAGACGAGTATCCTGGTTACGCAACATCAATCCGGTTATGCTGCTGCACGGGGGAACCACTTGGTCGCCGGTAAGTACATTCGAGAGGCCCACATGACCTTAGTACCCTTGCTGTTTTTTGACCATGGTGACTTCACAGTTCAACCTTGCCTACGTCTGGCCTGCGGTTCCAGTTTCATTGTTCTCGATGGCTTATCTCAAGAGGCGGTATCTAGAATTCTGGACCAAGTACAACTATATCGGATCCGCAGCGTTCTCATCAGCCACTGCCATCGCCGGCTTGCTGATATACTTTTCGTTACAATCTAATGGCATTGAGCTGCCTTGGTGGGGGAATGATGTGGATTCGGGATGCGAGAGACACGCGTGTCCACGCCTGAGCTTGACAGGCGACGAGTACTTTGGGCCACGGGAAGGAGAATGGGCATGAGTGTAATGGCCCAACTGCTCAAAGAAGGCAAGAGAAGGTCCTGAACAGCATAGCATAAATAGGGGGGAAAATATACTCTGAATTCTAAGGCCTCATGCGGCTTTCGGGGCGAACGTCATACACCATAAAGTAGGCACCGTATTCGCCCTGTCCGCCATATTTGGTATCATCCTGTATGACACGATCCACCTCCTTGAATCCCAATCGCTCATATATGCCTCGGCCTGCCTTGAACGCAAGAACAAAAATCGGAAGTCCAATTTTCTCCGCATGCTGGATTCCACTCTCCACGAGTGCCGTGCCAATCCCTTTGCCTTTATTTTCAGGGTGAACCGCTAGATAATCCAAGGCTAAGCGAGTCAGAGTTAGTACTCTGCCTGGGCCGGGATCCCAGTCCCCGGTGCGGGTACGTACTGATATATGGCCTCTCGGCCAAGATGCGTTCCATAACCACCTCATTCTTCGCATCAATCTCGCCCATGCCCTCCTTTGGATTCCACCACGCAGACGCCGCCAGCTCCTCATAGTGCTTCCGCTCCGCCTCGCCGACGTCAGGGACTTGCGCCTCGGCCCACGTTGGCTTCCCATCCGCGGCAGTCACATGGCCCGGTGGCAGAATCCAGCGCGCATACCCGACTACCGTACCAGTGATAGGGTCGACGGCCTTCTCGTGGCGCGTGTCCTCTCGCGAGCGAAGGAGGTTGCGTGCCTGTCGCTTTGTGGACTGCTCGATAAGGAAATCCAGTGTGACGGCTTTGGGCCACAGGGCGATCCACGTCGGGTCCTCCCAAAAGGCGGCCATGTTATTGCGCGCCAGGGCGGCGGCGTCGGCCACGGTACAATGTTCGATGTTCCAGCTAGTCATAGCTGCGCTAGGACGTTACCGTGTATAGAGTAAATATGTTAGGATTGTTGAAAGGAAGAAGTCGATCTCGATGGGGTGGCGATCTATGGTTGCTTAGTTGTTCTGAGACCCCCTTGACATGGTGTTCGCTTCCGGAAGTCTTGGCTTTCAGGGAAACGTATCCGGTTGGCCCTCCGCCGGTATTGGCGTGGCGTTACAGCGGCCGGAAAAGATCGATAGAAGCATGAAGAGCGCGAGTGTCGACGAAGGATGGAGATGATGGTACGTAATCGCCTACACAAATTACTTCAGCCTCTTGCCCCGATTAGCCAAGCTTGTACAAAATGAGGTGTTTTGTATACTAACCAACAACTATAACTTTTGCTCTTTAAGGGTCTTCTAACGCTCCATCACAATTATAGTTCGTCATAAAACACGCATATTGCAGGAGATGGGTATTTTAAATTTACCAGTTAACTCAGCGTTCGTTGTCGGGCCAAAAATACAGAATATTGAGGTATGCGCAGCTCAGGGCGCACGTAACTTGATGAACTGAGCATTGACTAGTGATGAGACATACCCAGTGGCCCTCATTAAAGCGGCCTCGTCCACATAGGGAAAGTCTCGTTGATTCTAGAAAATCAAGTCTGTATAGTGATAGATATATATTTTTCCTGTTACCATAGATATCCATAGCTTTAATGTAGGTGAATATTATGATAAATATATTAATAAGATATCTAGGGCTTAGAGAATCTAAATAAAGCTCAAAGAATCTAAACAGAGCTTAGAAACTATTTCTTAGCCCTCTACAATAAGCCCTGCCGAGGTGTTTTCCCGGCGTACACTAAATCCTGAGTCGCTGTATCCCCTTCTCCACCCCGCCCGGTGTGCTGCCCTTCCTTGTCCCACTTCACTATGCACCCCTTTACACCTGTGCTAGTATATAAGCGCCGTCATGCTCTCCTCTGCAAACGCCAGTGGTACCAACGCTACCAGTGATTCCAGAAAGTTTCGCTGCCGGGTGTGCGACAAGGCCTATAGGAAGTTGGAACATCTCACAGTACGTTACAACTCGCTCGCACGCGTGACAGGACACCCCGATGCTGAAATGGCTATAGAGACATGAACGAGCACGTCAGTACTCAGCACAGCAAATCGCCTTCAGCTGCGTGCTCGAGAAAGGAAACGGCTGATGATCATTAGATGCAAATTTAAAACCATTTCACTGCTTGCAATGCGATAAAGCCTTTGGCCGACAGGATGTGCTGAATCGGCATATGAAGCTGCATACGAACAGGCCCGGTCAGATTCCCACTGCCAGTCCTGTGCAGCAGCAACAGCAGCAACAACAGCACCTAGCTGCGACCGGCGATGCAGTCCCTACTGGACCATCAGCGCCCGCGTCAACTCCCTTGGGGCCGGCGAACTATGCTTTTGAGCAACCAAGGCTCTTCGACCAATCTCTCATTGCGAGCCCTTACACCCATGAATGGGGAAATCTGCTGGACTGGCTGATGCCGGATTTTCAGAACAATTCTTCGATGCTATTGCCCATGGCCGACTTCTCTGATGATGCCCATCCGTTGATCTCAGCTTTAAGCTGTTTGCGCTCATGGCCCCAGGCGGATAACCAGCGAAGCCCGGGCCAGCATGCCGTGCACGAACTCCACAAGCTCATCGATGATATATCCAAGAGACTGAACAATAACCTGCACAACGCGGGTGTGACCCCTCCGTTCGTAGATGCGTGCTTGAGAGAATATTTTGGTCGAGTATCCCCCTGGTTTCCGATTATCCACGAGCCCACCTTCTCCGTGCGGGACTGCATCGCCCCGCTGTTGTTGAATATGGTTGCGTTGGGTTCGCTCTTTGTCTGCCTGCCCGATGCCGTGGAGCAAGGAGAGATGCTATGGAAGCTGGGGCACACCGCGGTGGCAGCCTCTTGGCAGAGTCTGATCGAGCTTCGGGGGCCGCACGACCAGTGCGGTGGTATCCAGTTAGTTCTGACGGCTCTTCTGGGGCAAACGTACGCATTACTTTCCAGCAATCCCAACATCCGGACCACAGCATTTGTCTTCCATGGCCTCGGCTTCTACTGGGCCAGGACATCTGGCATGCACTTGGTGGACGATCTTCAATTACCAGCCATCCCCGATGTGGAAGCAGAACAAGGCGTCAAGGAGACCGCGTGGCGTACTTGGGCCGCCGCGGAGGTTCAACGGCGCGCCACACTCGGGCACTACATTCTGGACGGGCTCATTGTACAGGCATCAGGCTCCGTCGCTAGCGCTCGTCATCTCACAAACAAAATCAAGAGCGCCTGTTCAGACGCTGCATTTGCCGCCGAGACCCCCGAAGAATGGATTAGCCAGGTGGCGCGGTTGGACCATGTTCAGATCCCATTTTCAGCCCTGTTCGTGAGGATCTGCGCGAGGGATTACGTCGAGGCCCCCCTAGGGCTCTCGCGGCTGTCCATCGCAGTCTTGCTCGAAGGCCTGCAGTCGCTGATCGCCGAGCTCCATGATGTTGGCAGCCCCGCCCTGGGAACGGTGTCATCCTCGCAGATCGTGCAGGGTCTCATGAACATCTACGAGGGCAATCTCTGCACATCTCGCAGCGTCGACGCCTCCCAGACGCTCATCCGGTGGCACGCCGTGTGCATCGAGCTCTGCACCCCTCCCATATTCCTCTACCGCCGCATCTGCGACGCGTACAAACTACCACAGGTTCTCAGCGGTATCCCCGTCAGGGACGGGGCGCCCCCTTTCGACCTGGGCAGCTGGGCTCAAAGCGTCCAGGCCTTCCGTGCCGTTCTCCACGCAGTCGCCATCATCCGTCTCCTGCACGATATTCCGAGCGGACACACCCACGCAGTCCATATCCCTGGCTGCCTCTTCGCCAGCGCCATGGTTCTCATCGCCATTCACCTCTGGAATAAGAAGAAGATCAAGATTCCCAAGAATGTGCGATGGTACGATGTGTGGGTCGGTGAGATCCAGGCCCGCGAGAACATGGACTATGTGTCTGCCCCGGCGCCTGCAAATCCCGTCTCTGCCGACTTCAGTGGAGCCGAGGAGCTGATCAACTCGCTGAATTCAACCGGTGCGAGCGATGCAATGACCTCGGTGAACTTACTGCACGAGGTGAATTCAGTGCAGATCAGTCTGAAAACAGTCGCCTCGCGGTGGCGGATTTCGGCCGAAATGGAAGAGATTATTGGACGTTTGGCGAGGCTTCCTAGGCAGTGAGTGCAGAGATGGAAGATTGAGGCAATGTATAAATCATGTTCATACGGTTGAGTGGATGGGAGGCCCTCTTCTGCACGCCCTATATTTAGAAGATAGAAGGAATTTGAAACGACAGAATGACGTATAGGAAACAAAGTATATACATACCTTCAACGCTTCCAGTATGCGTATGTTCCCATGCTCATAGGAACGCACACAATATACCTACCTTAGCTACTTGACCTCAGCATACACCTGCAACGCATCATGCAGCCGCGCAAAAGCACCCCCATGCCACCCCCTCGCCTCCTCCCACTCCTCCGCCGGCAAAGTAACCCGCATCATGCGCAGCCACCCGCCAACAATACAATCCGCATAGCTCGCCCGCGCCCCCAGCAAAAACGGCCCGCTCGCATCCCTCTCAAACATCCTCGCAATCCCACCCAGCGTCTCGCAAAACGACGCCTTCAGCTTCTCGCGCTCCTCCCCGCGCACAGTGAAGTCATCCCACGACGCCGCCCCCGCCCGCTGCACAAACGCCGCCCGGCTCGTCTCGGCCGTCTCCGGTGGAAACGGCAGCCCGTGCACCATCAGCAGGACGTGCGCGGAAAACGCCGCGTCGACGTTCGTGTTGAAGCGCGCATACTCGGAAAAGTGGGTCTCGTCGCGTTCCGACAGCGGCGCAAACAGCGCCAGGTCGTGCGAGAACTCGTAGTCGAGCTTCTGCGGCGGGAACAGGTCGCCTGCCCCGGACATCGGGTATGTCTTTTGCAGGTACACGGCGATGTCGAATGAGTCTCCGATGATTTGTCCTGTTGAAGGATCAGAGAGCATCGGGAGCGTGTGGTAGTCGCTTCCATCGGCGAACTTGCGCGAGGCTGGGACGCCGAGGCCGCGACGTACGCTGGCAATGTCGGGCAGGTCTACCCATGTTGTGCTGTACGGCATGCCCTTGAAGTTGAGCGCGTACCGCGCTTTCCAGGGGTTCGGTGAGCAGCAGGTCTCTGCTGTAGGGGGCCGCATGGCGATGTCGTAGAAGACCATGGTGGAAGATGTACCCATGGTGAAGAAATGTGGTGCTGTATTGGTTAGCAGATCCTTTCGGAGAATGTAAAGAGTACAGACCTGAGAGTGGGGGCTGAGTAGGTCGAGATATGTCTCGGGTTGTTCAGGATGTCAGAAGTGGACGTCGGAGCCAAGTATGTCAGTGTCACGTGACGGTATTGGCATCGAGATATCATTTTTCCAGCAGGATAGAATTCTGACTAGAAGCATCTTCATTGGGATTGAGTCTGTTACATGTTTTGCGGGAGGTTGTGATCATATCTAGGTGGGATATCGGGCTTCACGCGAATATGCCGGCGCGCTGAGCATCCGCCTCTCAACTATAATTAGGACTTTACGAAAATTAGGAAGGAGAAAGAATCAGCTTTTAAACTATGTTGCAAGGCTGCTAGAATATGAGAACGGAAGTTGACTTAACATTAATCATAGATCTCAACCTCAGGAGGCGCTCACGGCCTTGACTAGTAGTACCTATTTTTTCTATAGCGAAACCTACCGACTATATTATTTTTTTCGGTTCAGTGAGCCCTACAAGCAGTGTCGATCACGAGTTTATTCCAGGGCAAGTCGTGCTTAGGGAATAGTATGGAGAAAGTATATATAGGATCAGATTTACCCCTCAACCACTTCTCTACATCCAAAGGACTGCCCAGTGATTATCTCGGGTGCGTGAATCCGTTCATGATATCTGATCTTGACAATGCCTCAAGGAACCGACACTAGGAGAAGAGATTTCAAAGAGACGAGCCAGTAAGACTTGCCTGCGCATAGTCAAAGGCATCTAGGTACCCCATCAACTGGACCACAGCGGCGCATACCACCAGGATATGAAATATCGAATGGGAGCCGCATAAGTCAAATTTACCAGGATACTGACTTTCGGGAAACCTGGTCTTCAGAATAACATGTGTTAGAGTCTTTTGTTTTTCTCTCTCTTCGTGTGCGATATTATGAGAGACTTACTGCATAGAATAAAGTCTCAGTTAGTAGGCAGCCTGCTTTTGCCAGAGTATAGGGGAAAGCTTTTCTCATCATCTGCGACATGCCGAACACCTGAAGTCCATCGATTAAGGGTACAACTCCGGTCAAACTAGTCGCCACGAACATCAAGGCTCGAAAGAGGCGATATCTAGGCCCCTAGAACTTAGGGTGCATTGTCATAAAGATGGTCAACGTCCCGAAAACTCCAATCTATCAACCCGGAGAGAAGAGCGTTAGACTCAAGAACCAGATCCAAGAGGGACAAAACTGTGTAGATAGCGATTAACTCACCATAGACCAGTAAATTGTGCGTGGAAACGATTCGCACCATGATCAACGCAGTACAGCAACTATCTGCAAGTCGTTTCTGCTGCCTAAGACTGGACATAAAGAAGCCAGCTTTCGTCGTTCCTTTAGATAGGAAATCAAGAGTCTTCAATTCATCAGATCAACTGGTCTTCATAGTGTGAAATTATGATCCCAATCTGCCCCAGGGGCGTCCCGGCGGGGTCCCTGCGTGAGGACCAGTACCTGAAGGGCTACAATGAGGGCAATTGGGTGGCCATTTTACCAAGCTCCGAAGACGAATAAGTGGGCGTGAAATGGGGGTCCGAGTCTCCGTTCTCGGGGATGTTCAAGAATGGCCTTTCAGTGAAAGCAGGAGGATTCAATGTGGTCATTTAATATAAATCCATACTTCTTTTCGATTCATTTCCCAGACTACTTATTGTTTGAATATTCCCCTTCTCTTTCCTCTCTTTGCTCACTCGTATGCTAAGTACAACGCCGACTCTCCGTTCTCATAGACCTCACGGAACTCGGCACGATCGAATAGCTCGTACAGCCCGGCTGGCATCAACGCTGCACAGTCAACCTTTCGTTGCTCTAGGTCAAATACCAGGGCCACATGTCCTTGTCTTCCAGGCCCCATCCAATGCACCAAGAATAAATTGGGGCGGATCTCCCGCTGTTGGTAGGGTAGCGCCAGGACTGTTGTTCCGTCCGGCAAGGGAGGAATGGTGAAGTAGGCCAGCTCTTTACTAAAACTGATGCGGTATCGGGGCCCGGTGGAATATTGATATTCAAACGTACGGCCAACCATTCCAGTCGTCTTCGGTCCACCGACTTTGTCAGGAAGATGCTCTGTCTGTAACGCAGTCAGTGTTGCTTGCCTTTGCAGGTCAAAGAAGCGATATAATGTAGATACCTCTGGTACATTGACTGCTACATTATCTGTCGGTGTTGGCATCTCGGCGAATGAGTTTGAGAGCTTAGTTATTTGAATGATTTTTGTAGAACTATCGGTGGAAATATGTCTCCGGCCTTTATACATACAACGGAGTAAGTATATATGGGGGATATATTGAAGTGGGGGCTGGCTTGCGCGTCCTGTCAAGCGGGGTAAGTCGCGGAGATAACCCCATCGACTATAGAGACCTCCAGTCTTATTGCCCACTGCTTCATCATGGAAGTGCCTGAAGGGGAGATACTATCATACTCCATAGTGAGGCAGCAAGTGTGGGGATACAGTACGGACTCGGGAGCGGGATCAGCCAATTCGGAATCGTCGGCCCCGCAAATTAACCAGCCTCTAATTCGACTCCATCCATGTTGCTGGATTGAAACTGGATAACTACACCGCTTGGATGGGTATGGATTTGTCAGGGTCAAGCGTTTACTTCCTCGAGAATGTTACAAGCAGGTGGGAGGTTTTCCCAATATACAGATCGACGAAATGTGATTGAACTGCTTCAAGTTACCTTGCCCAGTGCCAATTGCTGCCTGTCCGACTAAACCTTCTCGTACATGAATAAATGAATTCGAAACTAACGCATCGCTCGCCGAACCAGACCTACCACTCCTTCAAACCGATTGGACCGGTACATGTCCAATGCTTGTAGTTCAGCTTGTTATTCTCAACCTCATCCACAATAGCCACTGCCATGTCCTCGTTGTAGATTCCCCCATCAATTCCCGGCTCAGCAGAACCCGCGGAATCATCTATATAGATCTCGTACTTTCCAGTACGAACGCCTAGTCATTCAGAACGGTCAGCATCGTCAAGGCCACCTAATGCAACGGTTGAGATTACCCTTATCGCGTAATTGCCACGGGGGCGACAAAAAGGTCCAGTTTGTCTCCCGCACCCCTTCCCACATATTCAGGGCCACTCGAGAGCACAGAATAAGGCCCATCGCATCCGGACTTGTCATGGTCTTTTTAGCAGATCGCATGAACCAATTTGCAAAAGGTCTGAAAAGCCACGAAAACCCTATCAATACGAGAACCGGTAAGCAATTGCTCAGCAAGAGATGGGACAATTTAACACTTACAGCCAGGATTCTCCCGATTTTTTCTCGCCCATTTAAACAGACGGATGAATATGGCGAATCCTCGCTGGCCATGATCAAACATGCGAGTTGACATGTAATCGAGATGAACATCCGGCCATGCGTACCTGGAATCGGTGAGCTTTTACCCAACGCAATGTATTCACACGATTCCTTGACTCTCACCAATGCTTGAAACCGAAGCCTTCATCGTCACACAGTTGGACACCGCGTTTGTAATAGAGCGAGCCGGCGCCGCCTGATTCTCAGAGTAAGAATCCGATATATATGATAGAGCATGTCTGATCAAGTCAACTTACCAATGATGATCAAAGGACCGCGAAAAGCCGATCGGAGGATTGCCATTTTAATGTTACCATGGCCTTCCACGCCCACGAGGTATGCAGACTTCATGTCAACCAGAGGGGGCGCAAAGGCGCAAACGACAGCGTCGAAGTCTCCATCCGTTAAGATTTTACTGAGGCCTTTGATGTCGCTGAAGTCGCACGGAATGCCGCCATATTCTCCGGGTTTGGCCCATGTCTTGGGAGGCGCACGAGAAATTCCGACCACCCTGTGACCTCTTGACAGGAGCTCATCCACGACACATGAGCCACACTGCCCCTTAGGCCCCAACACTGCAACTCGGAGGCTTCTAGACATGGTAGGGAAGAGAGTCGCCCTTTTTCAGCTGCTTAATCGCCAGTGAATTTGAAATCGAACAATCCGACAGAGTGCGCGGTGTGAGGACAAAACGCAGCTTGAAGCTGAAATGAAGATGGGGAAGATCAAAAGTTCAATCTCACATCCCCTCAACTATCATTATTTATGGCATAAACTGCGGCATATCGGGCCTCCGTATATCCGGCTGGCCCCGTCGGTACAAAAGCTTATCTCCCCGCCGGAACCCCACAATCTCCCCCACAACCCCCGCAGACTCGCGTGGTGGCTGAATTCTATTTGGAAGATCTGCCATGCAGTATGAGGTGTAGCCTTCTCCGCGCGAGATACACTTCGGCGAGATGACTGCGTTCTCCTTCGATATTTCATCAGGGTGCTCATGCTAGAATCTGCATTCGGACCCTTGCTCTGAATATTGGATAGCTCTTTCTATCTTTTTTATTTTCGATTTTCATTCTCTACTTCCAAGTTACATCATGGGTGAAATTGGATCCCACGCCGAATTCTTGAAGTCATGTCATGACAATAGGAAAAAGGCTGAGAAATATGTCCAGTTTCGTTCTGCCTTGTCACCAGAAAACCCCAAAGCGCGCTTTCCTGGGTTTCGCCAGGGACTCAAAGCGTTCAAGGCAGGACAGCCGGTGCAAAAGGGGGCGAAGCCTTTACAGGTGGATTTACTCATGCATGAAAGCATGTCCATGGTGCTCTCCGATGGCACCAAGCTGTATTACGATATTTTCTTCCCCGCTGATTATGAGGACCTCCGAACTGTTGACGAGCGCAGAAAAATTCCCGCTTTGGTTGCTTGGTAAGATTCTCATTTGAGCTGCAAAGGGCATGCAACGAATTGGTCACGATAGCTAAAAGATACTACCTAATTGCAGGAGTCCTTATGGCAAGCAGATGGGTGTGAGCATATTGGATGACTTTCCTTTCCGCGCCGGCGTCCCAAAAGATTGGCTTTCAGGTCTTCAGAAATGGGAAGGTCCTGATCCTGCGTTTTGGTGTGCGGAGGGATACGCAGTGATCAATGTTGATACACGCGGCGCTTATACGTCTGAGGGTGATCTCATGATAATGGGGCACCAGGAAGCTCAAGATGGGGCGGAATTTGTGACCTGGCTGTCTCAGCAGCCTTGGTGCAATGGCAAAGTCGGGCTTACGGGGAACAGCTGGCTGGCTATGTTGCAGTGGAAGATAGGGAGTCTGCGGCCTCAAGGCCTAGCAGCACTCGCACCATGGTGCGTGGAATGATGTCGAGAGATCTTTGGTTGCGTGGAAATAAACTGAGTGTCTCTTGACCAGGGAAGGAATACAGGACGTGTATCGCGATATTATGTGTCAGGGGGGAATTCCTTTTACCGGTTTCCATGACTCAATCGCCGGTAAGTCCACGCTCATGCATGAACCCCTGCTGTCACAGTTGATGACAAAAAACAGACACCCTCTCCAGCCATGGCAAATTAGAAGATATATCTGGTGCCTTACACAGCTGTCCTCTTTGGAACGAATACTGGGAAGACAAGAGGTCCAAGTGCGAGCAGATCAATGTCCCCACGTACGTCGTGGGCTCATGGACGAACCCCATTCATACATCGGGGACAATGAGAGCCTACCGGGCTATCCCTGAATCAGTTCCCAAGTGGCTCCGAGTGCACAACTCAATGGAATGGCCGGACTATTATGCCAACTCCAGCTGTCGTGACTTAAAGCGATTCTTCGATTGCTTTCTAAAGGGGGATGCGGAGAATGGCTGGTGGGCGACGCCCAAGGTGCGACTGAGCGTTTTGAATTTCGGATTATCCGGCTTGGATGATACGGTAAACAGGGCCGAGACGGAGTGGCCTCTGGCTCGGACCGAATACCGGAAGATATATCTCACAGCGGATCAACAAATGAGTGAGTCACCATTGACTGAGCCGGGTCAAGTCATGTACGACTCCAAGAATGGGAAGGCCACATTTCGATATCGCATACCTCATGATATGGAAACTACAGGGTATTTCGTCGCTCGGCTCGCAGTATCTTCCTCATCGGATGCCGACATGGATTTGTTCGTTCATGTGAGTTGCCTTCGAGGGCGCTCTTTGTACAAGCAGGGCGTCCTCACTATACGGCCACAGAACCTCGTCGTCCTCAAGTTGTTGAAGCTGCTGCATGACTGGCAAGTCGGGCTTCAGGGAGCCGGTATGCTGTTCCATTGGGGACCATCTGGCCAGCTCCGAGTCAGCCATGGCCAGAATTGCAGTGAGCTGTCTACTACCTTCGAACCACTTTATCGTCATACCGAGCGTGCCCCATTGACCCGTGGCGAGGTCCGAGTCGTGGAGATACCACTATGTCCCTATGGCATGTATTGGAAAGTACGTATCGGATCATACCAAGCTTACCTCATGTCTCCAATTGCTAATCGTACTATAGAAAGATGACATTATGGAACTTACTGTGGCGGGAAATCCGCTGGTACCATTTCCAATTCCTGGTGTCAAACCCTGCTACGGCGAGAATACTGGAGCTCACATCATCCACTGCCTTGATAGAGGAGATCAGAGTTCATGTCTTATTGTACCCTGTACCTAGTTCAACACTACACCACCTCTGCTTCTTTGCACAGAAATCACTGTTGGGTTTCCTTACGGTATATCGGCCTAGATAAATCTTCCTCCCTTTCTCCTGCAACCAATCTACGTTGTTAGTTCCATCCTACAATAGCGCCAAAATGAGGAGCACCACATTACGCGTACCGAGGACCTCCGACGGCCTGCAGATGAATAGACCAGAGAGTTCAGTGCACTCTCCCTGACTGTCAATTCCTATCAAGTACCTATAGACCTGTAAAGTATCCGAAGCGGAGCTCCGGCGGGGCCGACGGGGTATCCGACTTTCCCTCTAGACGTGCGTGAATTATATTGAAGGGTCTCCAAGGTTTTGTTTCCATGCAGGGGCTTCTTAGAGAGTTGCGGCTGAGGTGGCACAGCTTATAAGGTTGCGGCTATAACGTGTGACTAGATACTTGTGTAATCTGCGATCGGCTGCCATATAGAGGCGCGGTTTCTGCCATCTCGGCCTTTTCTTTGTTTCAAAACGGTCTCTATCTAGAGGATAGTGCAACGAAATGTCAGATCAGCCACTTTCAACATCCCTCTGGGACATATCTACTGTGCGATTTCCGGAAATGTCCGCCGCTCTAGCTCTGCTCTGCCGTGTGGCGGTCATTGCTAAAGTGGCCCTTTGGATATACCGCATACACCTGCACACCCTGAAGTCATTCGAGCCGAACCTCTGATTTGGGAGAAGATATACGGGCTGTCACCTAAGATAGTCGCCTTTGTGGCTCTATGAATATCGATATCTACCGTAGATCTCGGTAAGTCCGTGGTGCCTGACCTGACGTTTACATTTTCTAACCTTTTCGGGACAGTCTCTTGACGACAGAGATTATCACAGAATTCGCCTTTGCAAGATTTGACACCAAGAGCTACTAGCTCACTATTGACGAGGAGTAATAGTGCTATACTGAATCCTTTGGATGATTGGTCCCCACAAAAGGTGGGGATGTATGAGCTTTCCCCGCTTTCGGTTAACTTTGATGAAAGCTTCCGCTGATTCAGCAAATATAGCTCAGCTATATTTCTGGGCATTATATTTCTCAAGTCCCAAGTTCAGCGAGCTCTTGACAACTACATCGAATGGACGTGGCCTGCCCCGTACCTCTCATAATGGCAAATCTCGCTCATGGTCCTTCACCATGCTTCCAAAATAATGGCCCCTACATTTACTCACCTTCAAATCCGGACGAGGTCCCCTCTCCGCCGAGAAGGTACAATTGTAGCCTCTGCTCAAGGTCCTTCCGGCGCCGCGAGCACTTTGAGCGGCATCTCACAAGCCATTCTAAAAGCAGAGACTTCAGATGTGATCTCTGTGGCAAACGGTTTGCGCGGAAGTAAGTTTCCGTGGGGTATTTGGCGCGGTGCAGTATGCGGACAAACTGACACTTGTCCCGAGGGATACATTGCAACGCCATTCAACACTTCATAGGCAGGTACCACTTAACAAGGTCCAAAAGACACTTCCAAGAGCACCCTGTGCCTGTCTCAACTGTGTCAAGTCAAAACAGCGCTGTTCTGGATCCCATCCATGCGATCGCTGCAATCGCAAAGGTTGGCCTTGCGAGTTTACGAAGGGCTCCAAGGAAAGGCCGCCGCAAGGACTGGAGATATTTCCGAATGAAACCGAAGGAAGGACGTCGAATCAAATAAATCAGACTTCGGGCAACAGTCGTCCTGTTGAACCCGCCGTTGCGTGCGGCTTATCCCCAATAAGCACAGTCACATCGGGCCCTAGTGGCCCAGACAGTGTTAACATTGCTGGCGGGCAATGTGCGGATTTTCCCTTCTCATGCCTGGCTCGACAAACCTCACAACACCCCGAGGCCAATCTGCTGTCCGATTCGTTCCTTCTTTGGCCTCTAAATGATGCCTTTGAGACTTCTGATATCGCTTCAACGGACCCCTCCAGTCTTCAGACGCTATCCGAGATGGGAGGGACCATGGATCAACCGTTAAATATATCTCTTGAAGGGGAAACTCCTGCGGAGCTTTCGATTTTTCAGCATGAGCGTCCACGATATGCCGCTGACACTCCTATGTCGCCCAATGGGCAGTTAGCTAACTATGTATCAGAAAACGCTCTCACTGAGGAAGACCGTGATATTTTAATATCCGAGGATTACGGGCATCTTCCCAAGCCTTCAATTTCAACATATGAAAGGATCTGTGCGCACTATGCGGAAATGAGTCGGTCTTCACCAGAAGCCCCCCTCTCCAGCCTATATTCATTGGACGTGTTGCACGTATGTACGGAGTTGTACTTCGAACACTTTCACCAACAATTTCCCATTCTTCACAAAAGTACGTTCGAAGCCCGAAGTTCATCGTGGCTTCTTTATATCGCCGTCGCCGCCGTGGGGAGCCAGTATTCTCGACTTCCAAGCCGGAGTAGAATATTCTGTGACTTGGTAAACGCCATTCGAGTGTCTTTGCTTCGAAAGGTGCGTCTAATCGAATTCACCTACAACGAGCTTCAGTCACGGTTGGTCTAATATGGTAAATTAGCTCAGCTCCACTGTGTCACTTCAAAATAATCTTGAACTTGCCCAGGCAACACTACTATTCAATTTTACTCTTCTTTTCCACGGAAAACGTGAGAGTTTAATGCATCTGCAGTACCAAAGAAGTTTGCTGGTCACGATGTGTCGTCCCCTCCTGACTCCCGGTCTCCTATTTGCGAAGAGCGGCATGTTATCAAATGCGGCTGTGTCGACCGATAATTGGACTCAGTGGATCGCCGTTGAGTCTTGGAAAAGACTAGTTTACTTTACATGGTGTTAGTAGAGTCTTCCTCTTTCCTCCTTGTTCTCTATGTCTGCTGCCTCTTTGCTGACTCTCAAACTTCAAAGTGGTTGAATGTCTCGAGTTAATCTTTTACGACATTCCTCCTCTTCTTACGGTTGACGATATGCATCTGAGCATGCCCTGTAATGAGGAACTTTGGCAGTCCGCAAGCTTCCATGACTGGGAGAGGGCTCAAGGCCTACAGAGAGGTAATTTATGCTATCTATGAGAGTTGACAAAAAAACTCGTAACCGACCTAGTCTGATAAGACCCAACAGAATGTGTCAGCGTTATTTCTCTGCTCAATATGGAAGACATTAATCAAGCGTATATCCGCTCGTTGAGTGACTCTGCGCTTTGGATATCGGTATTTGCGGTGTATGTTGCGGAAAGGCGCTCTACTCAACAGCACTCGCTCTACCATTCGTCCAGCATACACAGCACCTCAGAATACGAGAAGCTACCTTCTGTGGGGGGAGTTGTTACCTACAAGGATGATCGGGATCCAGTTGATTCCATACTTGAGGGTTTTCAACAGGCCGTTACTCAACACCGCAAAGAATCACCTCTCCGTCCAATCGTTGCGAAATTCTCTCTTGTTCTCAGACTACTTCGCTTCGTCCAATACCGTCTTTTGTACGTCTCTTCGGGGTGGATGGCACAGCTTCAGGAGGTCGACGCTGCCGCGCAACATATCGCACAGCTACTTCAAACGGAACCGCAACGGGCTCGCCAGAGTCTCTTGCATGCTGCCCAGTTGTTCCGCATAATCCGGTCCCAACGTCAATTCGAACCCCACGACTCTATCATTCTTCTTATGGCCGTTCTATACATCTGGAACTACGATAGATTCGTCATCTCAGACAAAGCCTGTGACCCTTCTAGTGGAGACGCTGAGATTCTTCGGATTGACCAAAGTATGGACGAGGATTTACAGAAGAAATGGATCACAGGCACATTTGAAACGCCCAAACAGGTCCATATCAGTGGGCTTGGGGTGCTTAATGGGCGGGATAGCGTGCCGCGCATTCTTAGGGAATCAGTGAGGATCTTGAGCCATGAGAAGGCTTGGTCAGGACTGGCGAATGCTATCAAACACGCACTGCATCAGATCGTATTAGGGGGTGCTCCATCATTTCCTGCCGAAGCTGAATGACGGGCCAATAGTGGCCCCTGACTGTTGATTCGAGGTTTCGTTGGCCACCCTCCATTCATCCCTATGTCAATATGAGGTCGATGCCGTGCGGGTCTATATTCATTCCCAACTACTCTCGTGTCACTTAATATAGAGGAAGTTCCTACCCATACCAGTCAGTAACCACCAGGTACTACCAGCTGCATCCGCCAATGAGGTAGCGAAAACGGTTTGCGTGAGTGCAGGACAGCACTTCTTGACTTTGTCGTATCCGGCGCATAATTAACAAGCTAGCACTAGAGAATAGTGAAAATAGAGACGTTCTCTGTCAAGATCGTTATTGCCTTATGGTATACTAAATTTAAGTCCAACTTCGAAGGTGATTTCGAAATCTAGGTCTGTTACCGAGCATTGGTCGCGGTGCTTCCCGGCCGGTTCGGGACTTAACTTTGTAGGCTACAGGGACTACTATATATCCACGCAAAGCCCAGATTGCGAGAACATTGGTCCCCGTTTGGAAGCGTACATTGAGCCTACTGAACATGATGAAGACGGCGAGGAAGGTGGTGTCACAGTTGAGGAATAGACGTGGCTTGGACTCTCCTTTCGTTAACAGACTCATCACTTTCTTCAATATTGGACTTGAATCTGGTTAATAAAATACAACCTGTTCTTAGAAATACTGAGTTTTTCCATGAATGATGGGCTGCCCATGCGCTACCATTAGGTTAGTGACAGAAGGCCTATCTTAAGAGGGATGTTGATGAAGCCAGCCAGTTCTTGATCGGCGTGCCCTTGGCACGGTGGGATCATGTTCGGTCCGCAATGCGGTCGTCTCCTCACTTGAGGTGTACTGCCAGGCAGTCGGGTTTCCCTTCGATGCTGAGAAAGACTTCTAAGCCCTTTCCTACACCGTTCTGCTTACCTTTATGCTTACATCGTTCTGTTCTACCTTTTGCTTGCTTGCTATCATGTAAGCGCCGAGGACGGCTTGCAATGTCTGCAATATACCAAGCAACCCCATCGATTTGTCAGCGCAGATGGGGCATGGCTAAACCATCGCGGCCTTGTCTGGACTGCACCGTACCACCCTCAAAGGAAAAGAGGGGACAGGCGGAGGGGAAGAGGAAAAGAGGAAGAGGAAGAGGACAGCATCTGTGGACCAAGATAACCATTACGCTACCAAAGTGCCAACGTAGCGAGTGATAGACACGGTGATCATCCACCATCAGGGAAGAGATCCAATCATTAATCAACTGAATGCCGTATCTATCTGTGCTCTCACGGTATGGCTGTAATACAGGTTAAATCTTCCAAAATGTACAATATCAGAGCTTGTAACCCGTGCTACTGTAATATAGCCCCCGGAAAGCAGGTCCCTCATTCATGCTATCTTAGGCTCTGGTGGCTTCACGGCTGTGGATATATTCCTCCAGCTCAGTGGCCCAAGAAGGGAGGACTACTGACAACGGAAGTGGTTTACCTGCATCTGGCACATAGATATCTGGGTCGAGAGTCCGAACTTTGGCGCCACGGGGAAGCGGTAAGCCCTCCTCCGAAGGAAGGCCCTCCTTCTCCAGACGATCCAGGATTCCCCGGGTTCGCTCATCAGCCACATCGCGCAAAAGCTGCCAGAACTCCTCATCCGATAACTCCCATAGCTGCTCCTCCTTGATGCTTCCCTGTTTGAGGACGGTTGCAATCGCTTGAGCCGTTCTTCGGTACATGTCGATATGTGCTCTGTTCGACCAGACATCGCGATCGATGGCTATATATGACCTTGCGATGCGAATCGACAGATCGACGTCTTCCAGCACCAGCATGCGCTGTGGATGGGAAACATCTGGAAACGCTCTTAGGGAGGATAGTACTTGTTTCGCTTCGTTTAGGGACAGATAGCCGAAGCCCACCGCGTCCCTCAAGGCATAATCGAGACGATCCGCGCACAGATGCGGTGATGGCTGCTCCACAAGCGGGAAAAGATGCTCTTCCAATGTCTGAGATTCTCCGAACCCGTGACTGTCCAGAATCTCGAGTAAATTGGTCATGTTCACGTATCTCATCTTGTGGACTTCGTGGAAGCTTTCTTCCCCGTCTTTCGACAAAGCCCAATCCACAACATGGCTAAGGGTCGTGTGGCTTATGTCGTGAAGAAGCGCGGCGATTTGTTCTTCGATGCTTGCACCGACGGTGCGTACCATCAGAAATGCGCCAACCGAGTGTTCTAAGCGGGTGATTCGATGGGTGATGCCTAGGAAGCCGGTCACACCGTGTTGACAGACGCCCTGGAGACGCAGGAGGGCGGGTGAGTGGAGTAGATCAACCAGGATAGGGTCTGAGATTAAATGTTCTCCATATAGTTCATCGTGGATGAGGACTTGATACTTTGACGGGTAGGCGAAGGTCTGAAAATAGCCCGCTTTGAAGGTTTGAGACGCCATGGTGGAGTTTCAAGTGCGAAAATTGGAGACGCTGTCTTTCGTTGCATGCGATACCAAAAGGCGCAAGCCATTCAGGATGCACACAGTATCCGGATTTGATAGGGCGACTATGGTACAAATCGATCGATGCGACTCAAGACATACCTAGTCTCTCAACCCACTCCAGGCAGGCTGAATGCCACCAAGCAAATTCTATACAACCTACGAACGAGGTCAAGATAGACAGATGCAAATAGATATGGGCTCATAAGTGAGAAATGTGTACGATGGATGAGGTCACATCGGGATAAACAAGGAATGCCACGTGACCGTGCTAACCCGGGACGGACATCCGCGGCAGGCACCGCAACAGTTCCGCAACTTTTCGCAATTTCTACGATAATCCCGACATCCGTTGACACGGGCGGTTTTCTGTCTTTCTTTCCTTCTTTTGCTGATCTGTATTACTACTAGCGTTCTTCTTCATAAAGCAAGCGCTTCCACTGCCTTCGTTTTATGTTTCATTAGTCACCCACACCGCTGAGCATGAAAGCTCGAACGGCCTCAGGGCCGGTCCTCTCACGAGTCACATCCTCGTCATTAATATGCTCGCAATGCCTTCGCCATGACCTCTCGAACCCAACCCCAATCACCCAATTACGAACATACCGGCCGACCAGACGGAAGTCAGTCTCGCCGATTGGGGCTGCCGTCTCCGCCGCGCAGACCATCTTCAAAGGCCTCCCCAAGGCACCGCCGGGCATCTCGGTCGATCCCCTGCGTATCGTAGGCAAGGAATTGAAGTTCTTGACCAAGAATATCCGTCAATTGCTGGGATCAGGACATCCGACTCTGGATAAAGTCGCCAAATACTACACCCGCAGCGAGGGCAAGCACATGCGACCCATGTTAGTATTGCTCATGTCCCAGGCCACCGCATTGACGCCCCGGAAGAGTCGAGCCAACGGTGCATCCTCTTCCGTTACCGTGAATGACCCGATCACCGCGCCTTCCATCCTCGCCGATAACAATCCCGACCTCAATCCGTTGGTATCGTCGTCTCTGGAAGCGAAATACGACTTTACCGGGGACGAGAACATCCTGCCTACTCAGCGACGCCTGGCCGAGATCACCGAACTTATCCACACCGCCTCCTTGCTTCACGACGATGTCATTGATAATGCGGTCACCCGGCGTTCGTCCAGCTCCGCGAATCTCCAGTTTGGAAACAAGATGGCGGTTTTGGCAGGCGACTTTTTGCTGGGCCGGGCATCTGTTGCCCTGGCTCGCCTGCGGGATCCGGAGGTCACGGAGCTACTCGCTACTGTCATTGCCAACCTGGTGGAGGGAGAGTTTATGCAACTGAAGAATACTGCGGCTGACGAGAAACACCCCGTGTTCACCGACGAGACGATCGAGTACTACCTGCAGAAGACCTACCTAAAGACCGCCAGCTTAATCAGCAAGTCCTGCCGCGCCGCCGCATTGCTGGGAGATAGCACCCCCGAGGTGGTGGAATCGGCATACGCCTACGGTCGTAACTTGGGACTGGCGTTCCAGCTGGTGGATGACATGCTGGACTATACAGTGACGGATGCCGAGCTGGGCAAGCCGGCTGGTGCTGATCTGGAACTGGGCTTGGCTACGGCGCCCCTTCTCTTTGCATGGAAGGAGAGCCCCGAACTGGGCCCGCTGGTGGGCCGGAAGTTCAGCCAGGAGGGCGATGTACAACGGGTGAGTGTCCTATTTTGGATCGGAGTTGAAACGAACAGCTTGGCTAATCTGTGCTGTACAGGCTCGTGAATTGGTTGTCAAGTGCGACGGCGTGGAGAAGACTCGGCAACTGGCGCAGGAATATGCTGACAAGGCCGTTGCGGCGATCAGCGGGTTCCCCGACAGTGAGGCCAAGGCCGGTCTGATTCAAATGTGCGAGAAGACCATGAACCGACGGAAGTGAACCCAACCGGTGTGGAAGGAGGGCGTCGCTGTTTGAATTATATCAGGTCCCGCTTAGAACGGTCCCGTGGTTGATTGGAGTGTCGACTGCATGGTGACAGCCACGTGTGCCAGTGGTTTCCCTGATATTGACATGATAAATTCTCCCACTTCTCTGTACTACTATTATCATTTGTGTATTATGCTTGTTGTATTTCCTTATCTTTTCTTTTGTGCCGGGCTTGTAGAAATAGACCTTATACAACTCAATATAAACGACGCACAGTATATATTTATGTTGAAGTACCTCTGATGTATCTCTCTCTGGACTTCCCGCCCTCTCCAACACAAGGGTACTTTAACGGTTTAGCCGCGGTCGATCGTGCAGCGATCGGCGGGAAGAACCAGGGAGACCGACGGTGATTCGACTGATCAGGGTACTTGATACCAGTTTGACGACCGGAGAATTTCCAGTTCTGATCATTTGATCAGGGGACTGTCCCTTTTGGTCGGAGTCCGGGTTTCACCCGAAGCAGTTCCCAGCGTGACACGGAGGGTTTCAGACAGATGAGAGAAACTCCGACAGATAATGCCATGTCATAGTGCGTATCCGAAAGCAGATGGACATACTCCATAGAATGGATGCTCTATTGCACTCTAAACATCCCTTGCCTTATAGCACATCTATACTATCCTCTGTAGAACGAATCATCAACTTCAAAGAATGGTTCCTCTATATGATGACATTGTGGGGCGCCTGGCGGGGCAACGTTGTTCCCGCCTAGGACCGATACGGTAAGAATGATGAGGTTGGACCAAACGGATCGGAAGTCACAGAGTCGAGGTACATTCATCATCAGCTCTCTTCGTTTCTTGCATGCATCTTCCCTAACTACCCCTTATCTTCTGGCCTCCCTCTCTATACTCCCTCCTCTCTCCCTCCTCTCTCCCTCCTGCAGTTTACTTCCCATACCCCCTCTGAGCTGGTCTCATCTCCCGTTCACAATCCTCCTCCGCTCTGCTAGTATTGACCTCATAATGATGGACCACCTGTCAATATCACTCCTTCTGTGATCGTCGCCTCCCAATGGGTTCTTTCACCAGCTTTCTCCTCGTATACTGCCTCGGCGGACTCACCTTCATTCCACTGGTCCTGTCGTTAATCCTACTTCATGCCTATCTGACCTTCCCCTCTCGTTCGCCCGCGGATCAAACGCCGCCCACCAGCGATCCCGCCCGCGATCCTATCCGCCGCCCCTCCGATGACCAGTTCAGCCTGAAATCCGGGACCGACGAACTCGCCGAGAAGTTCCATCGTACACACGAGTCCGATGTCGCGGCCGGCTATTTCGCCGTCTGTCGCGAATATGTTCCCGGTGGAGTCAATGGCAAGCCCCCGGAGAGAACCACGCCAGCCGGCGAGGTGATCGCCGCCGAGAGTCCGAGCGTCTACCAGGCCATGTACCGGAGTCTGTTCGATCGCAAGCAAGCTCCGACGATCGAGCCATCCAAGAACGGCGCCAAAAATAGCAAGAAAGCGCGGAACGTCTTTTACATTGTTCTCCGGTAGGTCTGAGCATTGGCTTGTTCTGCCTTCCGGATGGTCACGGGTGCTGATATTGTCTCCTCTGCAATCCAGACACGGTCATTTGATGTTATACGACGATGCGAATCAGGTCGAAGTCCGATATGTCATTTCCCTGGCACATCATGACGTGACCATTCATAGTGGAGGCGAAGGGGAGATCCCGGAAGGGGAGCTATGGCTCAAGAGAAACGCCATCTGTCTGTCGCGGCGACTCGATTCTCTTGCGGATCTGGGAGGCCCGACCCCGCCTTTCTTTCTCTTTTCCGAAAACCTGTCCGAGAAGGAGGATTTCTATTTTGCCATGCTGCAGAACCAGAGTCGCATGTGGAAATCGCCCGATGCCCCACCAAAGCACCAGTCCTTCGATGTCAAACACATCATCACCCTCGTTCAGCGCTTGCATTCGTCGGAAGAGCAGTTGCAGACGCGCTGGATCAACGCGGTCTTGGGTCGGCTGTTTCTGGCCCTGTACCGGACGCCGCAGATGGAAGAGTTTATTCGCCAGAAGATTACCAAGAAGATCTCCCGCGTCAATAAACCGAACTTTATCAGTCGGATCGGTCTGCGAAAGATTGACATGGGTGAAGGTGCGCCGTTTATCATCAACCCCCGGTTGAAGGACCTGACCGTCGATGGCAACTGTTGCGTCGAGACGGATATCCAGTATGCGGGCAATTTTCGGGTGGAAATCTCGGCCACTGTGCGCATCGATCTGGGGCAACGGTTCAAGGCGAGAGAAGTGGACATTGTTCTGGCCGTGGTCTTGAAAAAACTCGAGGGCCATCTGTTGATTCGCTTCAAGCCACCTCCTAGCAACCGCGCCTGGATCTCCTTTGAGACCATGCCGAACATGGTGATGGATATCGAACCGATCGTCAGCTCGAAACAAATTACGTACGGAGTTATCCTTCGCGCGATTGAGAGCCGGATCCGTGAAGTAGTGGCGGAAACTCTGGTGCTTCCATTCTGGGACGACATACCCTTTCTCGACACGTTCCCGGACCGGTTCCGTGGTGGTATCTGGGAGCATGATCAGCCGGAGCCCACTTCTTCAGAGAACATTCCGGACGAGTCAGGAACTCAGCCGAAGCCTCAGGGTGCGAAGATTGACTCCGCTGATGGACTCAGGGCGAATGATGAGCGCACCCGGAGTGCGCCAGCCCTAGCGGAACCCTTGCCTACTGGCGTGAAGTCGCGAAAAGGCTCCAAGAGTACCCTCGGAGAGGTAGAACGAAACAATTCCAGCGGCGTGTCATCCGGTGTCGAGAAGTTTGGTAGCTCACCGCCGCGCGCCATCCGGTCCAAAACTTTTGCCGACGTCGCTGACCCTGTCGTCACAGCAGATAATGTGAACATTGACAAGGTTGTGTATGAGCGGAAGAGCGAGGAGAAAAGCAGTGCGACGAGTGCGATGATTGAAATTTCCAGTCGCTCTCCCCCCGGCTCTCCTAATAAGACCCCTGGCGGTTCACCTCCAGTGGAAAGCCCAATTACCTCCGATGGTGCGTCTCGAAGTCGCGAGCCTTCCATCACTGAATCGATCGAGAGCGTCGGGGAATTTAGCAATGGCCTTCCTACACGCCCGCCGTCGGTACATCAAGCCAGTGACTCCTCTCTCCATTACCGACTCAGCGGTACCAACAGTTCAAGTGCCTCTGTGAACACTACCGATCGGCCTCGAAGACGCACCACATTGGAAAACTTCACCCGGTCCATCGCCTCCTCGTCCGAGTACAGCAACACCAAGTCCCAGGTTTCTCTGACACTCAATTCGGCTACGTCCGCGGCGAAGAAATGGAGCTGGAACGTATTTGGGAAAGGAGACCAAAGCACTGGTTCGGATTCGTCCCGTCCTGCAGGGACCCCCGAGGAGCCCATCGGACGCGGTCATCCGCTGCCTCCCCCCGGAACCCCGTTGCCGTACCCGGAGAAATTCAAGAAGAATTCTGGGCCCAGCGTGAGGCGAAAGCCTGTTCCTGCTTCCCGGCCGAACTCTTCGAGATCTGAGGAGAATAAACCTACTGGTACTAGGCAATCAATACCACGGAGAAAGCCGACTTCCAGCTCAGAGGAGTTAGAGGGACACCGGGAAGAGTTACTCGTGGTGGAGGCGCCCCTTGATTCGGTGCCCAACAGCCCGGTCGTCGATGTCGCTCCGCATGATGATGTGCCAGCGTCAAGCTCAGGATGCCCCGTCTCGCATTTATCGGAGACGAATGGTAACCAGTCAAATAAGAGTAGCAGCAGTGAGCGCGATGAGAAGACCTATGATGAGGAACACAGGTCTCAAGGGTTTGATTTGCCCAAACACGGTATGGAGATTTTGTCGGCGACTGACGGCATTATCCCATGAATGATAGAACTGCGGTTTAAACCGCCTCCAGCCTACTAGATGTAGAAGCTGGTCGGTCTTGATCATACCATGGCTACAACACGGTATACCCTGAACTCGACTAGGCTGTGGTGTTTACGGCGTTGGGCTGGTCGGTTGATTGTCTGGGATGTATGGCTATTTTTGTACATTTAGGAGTATTCGAATGAATGGTGGTAAATATGGCTACCTAGACAGACAGGCATCTACATATCCATAACTCTGTCCGGCCAGGGACTCAGGAGGTGACGACGCAGTACGGGCGCCAAGACTTGGGCCACGCTGCCACCAAACGTCATTCAACATCGCAACTGGACCCTCTCTCGACGGCTCCTCCTAATTTCTCTCCCCTTTCTCTCTCTCTCTCCACATTCACCCTATTCACCGTCTTTCGTTCTCTCCCTCTCTCGTTTGTCTCCTTCTCCTCCCCTGCTCCTTTCTCTCCGTCCGCGCCACTTCCTTCGCCCCCGTGAATTGCGCCGTCCGCATTCGACTCGGGCCCACCGGCTCCCGCGGTACATCGTCTGCTCTCCCCTGACCCTCGACGACAACCGTCAAGATGAGTCGGTAGGTTCTTGCGTCGCTGTCAGTTCACAGAGCGTTGAACAGCACTGACATCGATCCCATCCAGCACGGAAGCAGATCTCGCGATCAACATTCGCAAAGCCACCAGCATCGGTTAGTCGTCGCCCAACGGAGACAAATAACCCCCGACCCAATCGGCACAGCTTCGCTAACCATGACACGTCCGCAATTGCAGAGGAGACCGCTCCCAAACGTAAGACCCGTCGTTCCCATCTCCTCCTACCGGTTATGATTGTCGTCGCGCGCCTCCGCTGATCCGTCGTCTTGCCTCCAGGGAAACATGTCCGCAGCTGCATCGTCTACACGTGGGACCATAAGTCCTCGGCCGCCTTCTGGGCTGGCATGAAAGTGTGCGTATTCTATCGGGCTCTAGGGGCAAAGCGAAAAGCACTGACAGTATCCGGGTCTGTAGCCAGCCTGTCCTTGCCGATGAGGTCCAGACGTTCAAGGCGCTTATCACGATACACAAGGTCCTGCAGGAGGGCCATCCGATCGTTATCCGCGAGGCACAGCAGCACACCAATTGGATCGATAGTTTGATGCGCGGTGTTGGTGGTGAGGGCTTGAGAGGTATGCGGGACGAGTACAACTTGGTTGGGCCATTGATGCTGACGGCGTGTAGGATACGGTCCGCTGATCCGCGAATATGTCTTCTTCCTCGAGTCCAAGCTGGCGTTCCATCGGAATCATCCCGAGTTCAATGGTGGGTTTTTCACGATTGTGATACTGCTTTGGGGGCTTTGTTAATGGGTGCTGCAGGATTGTTCGAGTACGAGGAGTACATCAGTTTGAAGACGATCAATGATCCGAATGAGGGGTGCGTTTGCTGCCGACCACGAATGGATGATTCCCCTGCTCACGGTGGACAGTTATGAGACAATTACCGACCTCATGACCCTGCAGGACCAGATCGATGCCTTCCAGAAGCTCATCTTCTCGCACTTCCAGTCCGGAACAAACAACGAGTGCCGTATCTCTGCGCTCGTTCCTCTCGTCACGGAAAGCTATGGAATCTACAAGTTCGTCACGAGCATGCTGCGAGCCATGCACACGAGTAAGGCGCCCTGCGCAGTAGCGATTACAAACTACGGAATGACTGACGGTCTACAGCGACGGGCGATGCCGACGCACTGGAACCCCTCCGCGGACGTTACGACGCCCAGCATTACCGCCTTGTCCGTTTCTACTACGAATGCTCGAACCTGCGCTACCTGACCAGTCTCATCACCATCCCGAAGCTCCCCCAGGACCCGCCGAATCTTCTTGGCGAAGATGATGAGCGTCCCGCGCTGCCAAGGCGTCCCACGAAGGAGGTCGAGCAGCCGTCTCCGCCGCCGAAGGCAACCCCCGCCGAACCGGAACCCATTAACGACTTCTGGACCACCGAAGCGAAGCGTCAGCAGGAGGAGTTCGAGGCGGAGCAGCGCCGTCTGCAGCAACAATGGGAGGAACAACAGCGACAGCAGATGCTCGCGCAGCAGCAGGCCCAGCGCGACTTTGAGGAACAGCAGCGTCTCCAGGCTGAGCAGCAACGCCTCGCCCAGGAGCAGCTCATGCGTGAGCAATACCAGACCCAGACCCAGGGCCGGCTGGCCGAACTGGAACAGGAGAACCTCAACGCGCGCGCCCAGTACGAGCGCGACCAGCTCATGCTGCAGCAGTATGATCGCCGCGTCAAGGACTTGGAAGACCAGATGAACCAGCTGGCAGCCAACATGAACCAGCAGAACGCCTCGCGCGACGACCAAATCCGCTCGCTGCAGGAACAAGTCAACACGTGGCGATCCAAGTACGAGGCTCTGGCCAAGTTGTACTCGCAGCTGCGTCAGGAGCACCTGGATCTGCTGCAGACGACGAAGAGTCTCAAGCTCAAGGCTGCGTCTGCGCAGGAGGCCATCGACCGCCGCGAGAAGCTCGAGCGCGAGCTCAAGACGAAGAACCTGGAACTGGCTGATATGATCCGCGAGCGGGACCGCGCTCTGCACGAGCGAGACCGTCTTTCCGGGAACAACAAGGAGGAATTGGAGAAGGTCAAACGGGAACTTCGGTTTGCCATTGAGCGGGCCGAAAATGCCGAGCGCTCCAAGGGCACGGAGATTTCAACCCTGTTGTCCAAGTACAACCGAGAAATGGCGGACTTGGAGGAGGCGCTTCGCGTAAGTTGCTGTCGAGTCGAATGTGGAGATGGAGATACTGACATTCCCAGAACAAAACGCGCGCTCTTGATGAAGTCGCGAGTCGAAACAACGAACGCCAGGGCGATCTTGATGTCGCCCTCCGTGAGAAGGACGAGGAGATTGAAGTGTACAAGTCTGGAATGGAGCAAGCTCTGATGGAGCTGGAAGAACTCAAGTTGGTACGTGGTGAAGGCTTCCAGATGTGACGACCGCAGCTGACCCAAACAGAACCAAGGCGATGTCGACAAAGCGCTGGATACGCAGATTGATACTGTTCTGCACGGCACCGTGGCCAAGATCAACGACATCATCGACTCTGTGCTTCAGACCGGTGTGCAGCGCGTGGACGACGCTCTCTACGAATTGGACTCGACCATGCAGGCCGGTAACCAGAACGCCTCCCCGCCTTACGTCCTCTCGCAGATCGAAAAGGCCTCCGCCTCGGCGACCGAGTTCTCCACTGCCTTCAACAACTTCATCGCCGACGGACCCAACAGCACCCACGCTGAGATCATCCGCACGGTGTCGATATTCTCGGGGTCCATCGCCGACGTCCTCAGCAACACGAAGGGATTGACGCGGTTTACCAACGACGAGAAGAACGCCGACCAGCTCACAAATGCGGCGCGCAAGTCCGCCCAAGCCACGGTGCGGTTCTTCCGTGGCCTGCAGTCCTTCCGTCTTGAGGGCCTGGAGCCGCTGCAGAAGACCGATGTGGTTATCAACAATAACCTCGAGGTGCAGCGCGATCTCCAGTCGCTCTCGAAGATGGTCGACGCGTTCGCGCCCAAGAACACCAAGCTCGCCACCAACGGCGATCTGGGCGACCTGGTTGACCAGGAGCTGAACAAGGCGGCCGACGCCATTGACGCCGCCGCGCAGCGCCTAGCCAAGCTCAAGTCGAAGCCTCGCGACGGATTCTCGACGTACGAACTGCGCATCAACGACGTGATTCTCGAAGCCGCTATCGCCGTGACTACCGCAATCGCCGAGCTGATCAAGGCGGCCACTGCCTCGCAGCAGGAGATTGTCCGCGAAGGCCGCGGTAGCTCGTCGCGCACCGCGTTCTACAAGAAGAACAACCGCTGGACCGAGGGCCTGATCTCTGCCGCCAAGGCTGTCGCTTCCTCCACCAACACGCTGATCGAGACGGCCGACGGCGTCATCTCCGGCCGCAACTCCCCCGAGCAGCTCATCGTGGCCAGTAACGATGTGGCAGCCAGCACGGCGCAACTGGTGGCGGCCAGTCGCGTCAAGGCCTCGTTCATGAGCAAGACGCAGGATCGCCTGGAGACGGCCAGCAAGGCGGTCGGCGCCGCGTGTCGCGCGCTGGTGCGTCAAGTGCAGGATATCATCTCCGAGCGGAACCAGGACGAGGGCGAGAGGGTCGACTATGCGAAACTCAGCTCGCACGAGTTCAAGGTCCGCGAGATGGAGCAACAGGTAATCCCCCTTATTCCTTCCCCCTTCCCCAAGTGTTGCAGTCTACCACCCTCCATCGTGGAACGAGAAGTTTTGGGGTTCAATGCTGACGGTCGGATGTCGCGTATAGGTCGAGATTCTTCAACTCGAGAACAGCCTCGCGCGGGCCCGACAACGCCTGGGCGAAATGCGCAAGATCTCCTACCAGGAAGACTAGACGGGCGGATGTGGATCGCGCTCGAACACCTCGAAAAGCGCGTCGACGCAGGAACAACATTGGATATGGCGATGTACAAGCGAGGAAGATGGCGGAGTGGTTTCGCCGTGGATGGTGCTTTTGTTCGATTCTCCTTCGCGTTTCCTGATATCTTCATCTGGCCAGTTAGCTCGACCTGTATTCATTTCTTTCTGCAGATACACAAACCAATCTCCATCGCAGCAGCGTCAAATAAACATCTTCAATATTTCGCTGCGACAGGCCAACAACCCACCAAGAAGATAGACCACCGTTCCTGCAGATCGCCCCAGGGGGGACCACTCAACGCCTAGACCGCCGTTCTTTGTCCCCCTCTTGCACGTAATACCCGTGAGGATCCTCCGCCGGCTGTGCCCATCCAGGGATCCCTGTGCCGCGTCCCACCGGATCGTCTTGGCGCTCGCCGCTTGTCGAATCTTATCCCGACCGTTTCTTTGTTTGCGCCCGTCGCCTCGAGGGCATGTCATGACGTCTGTGGGTGTGGGATGCCTTTTCCGGCGATCCTTTCTTTGTTGTCGGGTTGTATCGTTTGGGGAAAGCTCGAGATTCGATCCATGGGACGGAGTAGGAGAAGGGGAAGTTTCGTGGAGTTGTTTACGACTAAAACAGGTCTACGACGCCACGTCTAGCTCACGTACAAGAGTCCGTAGATTATCGCATGTGGATTATTCTATTACGCCCAGATTCGAGAGTAAAGTACATGTAACAACCAGCCCAATGGAAAAAATAGAGAAATAAGACCTGTAGGAACCCGGACGGGGCGACATGGATGTATGTAGGTATGCTCGTTCTCGAGACCGGCGTACAACGCAGGTATGTCGCGCGAAGCCGCAGGAACAAACCAAACGACCGAGTGCCATTCCGAGAAAATTAAACCAGTAGAAAGAAAGGAAGGATGAGCAAACGCAGCGCCGAGGACCATGTACAAAGTCAAACCCGATCGAAGCCACCCAGGTAACAAACAGATGAGATCAGTTTGCACGAAGGGGATGATCCACTCGATGGACCCCTTGCCCGTGTTCTAGATGGACATGCAGTGTCCGACGAGCCAAGTCCGCATACACCAGGCAGATACTGTTGTCGTCGCGAGTGGCGTCCGTGGGAGGGTGAAAGGGAAAAATGCAAAGCCGGAGAAAAAAGCAAAACTGCGCAAGAGAGACAGATTGGAAAGGAGAGCATGCAGCCAGTGCGAATCGCAGATCTTTGTGTAATGCAAATCGTGGGGAATGTCAATCGCTCGTTTCGTCGACGGTCGTGTCGGTCGTTAGGGCGCTGATGCAGGCTCCCGATCATGGTGGTCGGCGTCCTTGTCTTCTGACGGCCGCTTGGTGGGTTGATCATGGCGGTTCGTGGGAAGGGGATTGTGATGTGGTCGTAATGTACACGGAGGATATTCACAGGCGTGGTCGCTTTCAATTGCGTGAGTGGTTGGCATCATGTGTCCAGGTCGTGGTAAAAGCGGACAACTGCACTTGTTCCACAATGTCTCATTTTATATTTCAAGGTAACGCTCGATGTCAACCACGTCGTAGGGACTTGGCATCAAAGGGTCATTGTGCATCACAGGTGTCTGGAGAGAGGGGTCATAAGGGAACAACGGAGTCTGCTCTTCACCCCAGTTCGCAAATTCAAAGCCATTGAAGTTGAAATCGAGCGTCTCAAACCCAACCGTGGCATTTGCATCATGTTGAAGAAGCGGAAAATTGCGGACGGTAGGTACCTCGTTGGTCTCGACTGAAGCATCACGAACAACCATGCTCATGTCCCCAGGATTCGGAGAAGGGGTGCTGCCGGGTTTGCTGGTTGGGGTCATTCCAGTGACAGGAGTTGTGCCCCGTTTCAAGATCGCACGATTGCCAGAACGCTGAACGCCATTGCTTTCATGGATAACCAACGTTGGCTGAGCAGCAAAAGCCATGACGGATGCATTACCGCCTTGGGTGGGCTTATTCTTGCGATCCCCTTCAGAGACATAGCCAGCAGCGTAGCAGTTTTTCACAACATCATTGACAGAATAGTTTGTGGAGATATCAGCTTCGTTTGCAGAGCTCACGTTGACCTTCGCCATGGTATATTGTTGTTCTTCGTCAACTTGCAATTCCCAGCCCATGACCTCAAGATAGCGAGTGGGTTCGAGGATGCCAATAAAACCAGCATTCAGACCAAGGAAAGTATCCAAAGAGACATCGCTATCGTGGTCATCCCGTATGATCGAGTAGGCTTTGGCAAGGATTGCCCATTTGGCTTTGAAGGGATCGTTCTGCCACAGGAACCGAAGGATCCCAGACTTCGATTTTTGAGTAAGTTCCGGGAAGATGGTGGAATAATAACCTGTGATGGTTAGTTCCTGTTACCGTATCAAAGAATGGGGCATGGTAAGCTCACTTCGGAAAGCGATGAAACTATTCAGTGGCCTTTTCTTCACATCCTGAATGTGTCTGCCTCGCGAAGCTGAAGACCGCCCACTAGGACGAGAGGGAACGGCAGTGATACGTCTGCTGTCAGCGCGGGCCTCAGTATGAGCCTGGATATCTTCTCCGGGATGATAATTGTCACTGTTCTCCTGAGCTCTGGCGTCCTGGAGGTACTTGAGTAACTCTTCAAGCTCTTTGGTAGGCATGGTCAAGAGAAACGAGTTGAAGGCTCGTTGCAAAGGTGAGATTTCGGTCTCCATGATGGACGAGAACTTGATTGACTGATCTCCGAAGATAGGTGAGTGACAGGTACTTGTAGGTTCAAGGCAAATGGGAAAGATAGATGAAAGTGTAGACGCTGATGTTGTCTTGAAGAGATGGATCGGAGAGAAATGAGAGATGAGGAAGAATAGAATGCAGAAAAAGAAGTAGGGGGCGAAGACAAGGCCTTCCCAGTGTTAGTCCTTCGACAGAAACAAAGGTTGGATCAATGTTCCAAGTTGCTTGTGCGGGAGGCTGGTAAGACAAAGAAATGTCATATCCTTCACTGAAATATCCCATACCACATTCACAAGCGAATCATTTCGGGATTCTTCGTTAAAGGGACTGAAATCCGTATATGTTATTGGCGACTAGAGCGAATCATTCTTACGATTATGTATCTGAGCTTGAATTATGGATTTCTTTCGATAATACCCTGGGGACAATATGCTATGAAATTAGTTTGAATGGCACTTTCCATCTTCATACCGTGTGATTTACATTGCGGGAACCCACACAATACATAATGTCAGAGCCTTAGCATTGTCAAGTCTTTGAACAATAGTAGGGCCAGTATTATCTGCTATATTCCTGGAAGCTGACGGCTACAGTGATCATTCCGGGCAAACAGTGGAAGTCCGAGAGTGACGAAACCAAGCTGCACTTCCGCAATTTGGCTGAAGAGCTCAAGAAGCACGCTGACCACCACCACAAGAACGCGACAATGTACCAACAGTTCAGTTACCCGGATATTCTTGTTGGTGATCCGTTTGAGTTCTCTGAGTTTGTTTCCGACTGCTTCTGAATGCTGAGCAGCTTATGCCCCCCTCTATGCCTGGTCATTGCTCTTCTTCTGGTGCAGGTGTCCTTGACAGCGACTCCCACGAGCAAAATGCCGGCCCTGTACCCTGATATCCATTCGCACGGCTCAGAGAGGTGCGTATCCAAGGTCTCGGCTCGATCAAATCTAACGTGATTGTATAGATATTGTGTCGATCCCGATGAAAACGACGTGCAGATCCTCCAATTCCTCTATCCCTTTCTCTGTCTTCCTTATCTGTTTTCATACTCGAGATACCATTCCATTTGATGTACTAATACTCTATTTTGTTTCACAAGCTCTGTTATTCTAAATGGTTGGCCTACCCAACAAGCGTTATGTTTGCGGCAATTGCTCTCTTCCTTCCGCTGTACATATCTGTCCAGTGAACCTACTTCAGTTTGTGAAGCCCGTGGTTTTGAGAGACTTTTTCTAGGATTGACATAATTAGAAGATAATGTGGAGTCTGAATTCAGTCGATTTCATCATAGGGGGTCTGATCGAGCAGTCGTTTAGATGCATATGAACGGATCGATGCAGTCTGTTGCCATCAGCCGCACAGTGACACCTTGTAAACGGGGATGGTTGGACTACGTATTTTGCACAGTTTCTGCTCCAAAATGCTTTTCACGTTTCTATTGATCTTTTTAGGATTCCAGGCGTAATCTTCTTCAGCAAGCTACACCAAAACCTTAGGTCTAGACAACTACAGGCTTGTATCAACAACTAGAACCCTTGTCCCCAGAAATATATGTTGGCTCAAAAAGTGAAGGACTGGAGACTCTACTTAGCCAAATCGTACAGGAGTAAAATGTATAACGCCATTAACTGTACGGAACAGCAGTATCAACAAATGGGAACTAACATACGGGACCAAGAACAATGGGAGGAAGCTGAAGATTTGCAGGTGCAGGGAGCACTACCATTCAGTACTGCAGTTCAATAGGCTGAATGATATTGATAATATACAAGGGCTCTAACCTTGAAACAATGCACATTGTCGGGTCAGCACAGAGATTTGTCTGATATGTCCTCCTTCATGCGTTAAACTTCCCCTTTGATGGCTCGACAGTTCCCCTAACTATCAATTGATAGATCCCTTTTGTGACATAAACTCTAGCGTCCTTCATCGTCGTGGCAGACTATAAATCCAACCTCTTCCCTCCTCCCCCGGGCCTCCTCTCTGGACCCAGGTCAAATCCAATCCATCTCATCTTCATATTCATCCAGCAACTCTCTCTACTGAAATCGTACGTTCTATAACTGGCTCTCTTTTCCATCCACATAATAAACACCGCCATCACCGCTGCAGGCAAAAACAGGTAACCCTGTTGCCATGTCCCACCTTCAAAAAATCTGGTTAATCTTTGGACCCTTTCACACTCCTCTGTGGGATGAAATTGACTACTGTTATGAGTGTGTGGATCAAGGCCCTAAGTATTATACCACTGATCCTTCCTCGGTGGATGAATCTGTTTATTGTCGGTTGATGCTGTTCGCCGATGAGGAGCCTGGTCCTGACTTCTTTGATAAGATGTCCATTACTGCGAGAAGCCTTCTTGAAGAGCATGGTGCAGCCAATGCTGGGAGTTTTGCCCTTAATGGGCATCCTGTACCTGGACATGGCTTTTCCTTTTTCCTGCCGAATAACTATTATGGGAGATGAGGAGGTGATAAGGAGGATAGCTGAAACCATGGTGATGTCTCTGACTTGACTTGTGATAGGTTATGCTTTTGTTTTATCAGTTTTTGATCTGCTTATTTGGATAAAATGTGATAGCTACGTGTTGCAACCTCCCTTCTTCAAAATTAAGTATGACTCTACCTGTTGTAGGGCTGTTGGTTGCTTTGTAAGGCATGCGTCATATCATAATTGGCAGCTAACTACCTACATTCCAGGACGGCACCATACCAAGAATAGGAAGTATAAGTAATTGCTAGCGTTATGTGTCTATAGATGCCAATGTTGGTACTTAGCCCAGAGCAGACGTACCTAGGCACCACACACATATGTCACAACAAGTCACCATGCCTTCCTCTACTGAAAATTCTCAACGTCGTCTCTTATTGCCTTATGATGATGCTTGCTTGCCCTTTAGTTTTACCAACTCTAGCTCAAGCTCCAATCCCTTCATCTGATTTAACCAATATTCCCTACTTCTATTCCTGACCTCTTCTATCATTTGGGCTCCTGAATCTACCCTCATTAACTAGATTGTTTTGAATCTCTAACAGACTCTTATTGCTTTCTATAAAGTTATTCCTCCACACTGTCTCCGTTACTGTTTGACTAAACGTCCTCATGAACATGCTCCCACTCTGGTGTTTGCTGACCGGGAAAGGATAGTTTGTCCAAAATTAGTTTCTCTCATGATTTTATGCCTGAATAATGTATAGGAACCGAAGGGGTATCATCCAAAATAGAATCAGTAATCCAGATTATTCAGTCCGAGTGTTCCAATCACTGGCCCATATAAACGTGGAACAACGCCATTGAGTTCCTTTCTCTTTATTCCCGCTGGGTCCCAGAGGCCTTGGACAGATCCAAAAGGATCGGCCGCAATTGACCCCCGGTTTTTTGGTCGTCAAGCTGATGCATGGTTCCTGGTGGCCTTCGCATTTGGGTGCAGCCTTCTTCTTGCTAAATAACTTTGACCAATCCTCCTTGCTCACGATAGGATCAATGAACGTTTCATTTTCCTGCGAGGATGGAGCTGCAGGTTGACCCTTACGCGGACTGTCGGGGTTACCTTCGATCTTGTTCGCGCTTTGTGCATCCGCGGAGTTATCGGGTTCATTTGAAGAAGTCTCTGGCAATGGATCCGGAATCAACCCGGGCGAATCTGATCCTCGACTAGGTCCCACTTTGTCCTGTTCTGTGACAGATACTTTGGGCTTAAAGAACCCCTTGAGAGACTTTTGCCCACCAAGGGCCCCTTGTATTGGGGTGGGAGTTGATTTCGAACGTTTGACGGGAGGAATAGGTTCGCTTCTTTGGGACCTTTTGCGCGCACCTCCCTGGGCAGGTTGGGGGCCGCTGGGAGTTGGGGTTAGAGCAGGCTTCTCCTCCGGAGGACACACATTGGCAGCATTGGCCTGTTGTGGTCCAGATGGAGATGGTTCGGTTGCAATGGTGTTCCCTTTCGTGGCTGTGGCGGAGGGCTTGCGAGAAAACATATCTTTGATGCTTCTCCGCTTATCGAATTCGGGTATCAAGCGGCCGGAAGTGGGTAGAATTAGCTTTGTCGTATATTCTTGTTTGCGTTCGCCATTAGCGAACACACCGGGAGGATTCATAATGTCTCGAATGTTGACGGGTTTGCCGTCGAGTGGCACGACGTCTTTGAAAATTGCATATACCGGGCAGTGATCGGATCCCTGATCATTTATTAGCCATGACGACAGGTAACGACTGCTCAAACTTACCATAAGGCCCTCTTGGATGTTTGAATCCTCTATCCAATCTCGCATGTCCAAGCTGCAAAGTACGTAATCTATCCTCGAGCCGTAATTACCGGGGCGCGCATTGATTCGTTGTTCCCAGCATGTATACATTCCCTTGCGGTCAGGGTGGAACATCCGACAAATATCATGGAGGACGGGTTGCTCTCGTCCCTCATCACGCTGCCCCAGCACCTTTCCTTCAAACAAGAGCTGATTGAATAAACGTCGCGCCGGCGCTGACACAAAGTCATCTTCAGTCAGTGTGCCTTTTCGAATGGCTTCCGCCGCGGGCGCTTGATCAATCTCTCTGGCCGATATGTTGAGGTCACCCGTAACCACCACCCGCTTTCCCATAGCAACTAGATTTCGCAAACGAGTATCCATTAGGTCGAGAAAACTCTGGCGAAACGAGTCGCGACTTTCATCTCGATTCGCAGGACAATATAGCCCCAGCAGGACAAACGCCGGGAACTCCAGTATGACACATCTACCCTCAGAGTCAAGGGTGGCTGCATCAAGCTCGAGCTGTGACAATTGCTCGATTGCCGGATAGCCACCGATTTGCTGATCTTCCGGTAGATCCCGGAAGGGGGTGGATGAATTTGGAGGGCAGAGTACTCCAGTGAGACCCTCCTCAGCACGGATTGGGGCACATGTCGAATTGCGGGTGTAGATAACAACCCCGGAATAGCCTGTAGATAATAAGAATTTGTTGGCTACAGAAGGAACAGGCTCAATGGCTGGCACAAACCTTTCTTGACCCGGGGGAGACTGAAATAGCAATCCCAGCCTGGGACTAGGACCATGTCATCTCGGAGGTCTTTCCGTTGAATCTTGGTCTCTTGGAAAACTACTATATCGGCCTCTAATATTTCAAACATGGCCTTGAGTATTGCCTCAGGTTAGTTGCCTTACTCTGAGTTGTTGGTGGGTAGTGCCTCGTTACCTGGAAGGTACGGTTCCCTCGCCATGGTTCATACGAGAAGGGATTCCTGTGTAAGTTAGAAAAGAAGCATGTAGTATACTATTAGACAATATACCGAATTCCATTTACTGATGGGCATTAGTCATGTTGATATACTGAGATCGTAGCGGCGCTTACCGTTCCATGTTGTGATACGAAACCCCATGCCGGCTATGAGTACGGGGGAAGCTGACACATATCGTGGCGTGCTTATGCAAAGGAGTAACGTCCGCCTAGTCTGCGAATATCTCACACTGGGATCGAGAGAGACGACTCGAGCGATGGTTGTAAACAAGTGACTGGGGTCGGGAGTTGATGTTCCATAGAGACCACGTGACCAACGGGCCGTGACATCACGCGATGCTGACATAATGCGCACGATGACCGAAGACGAATCACGGGGCTGCTAAACCTCCTTCAACCCGGAAAGCCCGACGTCCGTGGAGAATCCCACTTCAAGCACTCTCGACGCCGACCGAGATACGCCCTTTGCCCACCATGTTCCCTCAGCGCAACCTCCTCCGTCTTTCTCAGCGCTCTGCTCAGCAGCTGCGTGCCACTCCGGTGCGCTCTGCTGTCCAGCGCCGCCTGAACAGCACCGACGCTAAGATGCCGTCCTGGGCCGTCGACAACGAGTTCAACCGCGAGAGAGCCAACGTCAAGCACCATGCTGCTTCCACCAGCGGTACGTGTACCTCAATTGGCCTTCCAATCCAATTTTTACGATGTTTCGCATTGTCTCAAGCGGTCATACTGACACAATGGCTCTAGATCTCTGGAAGAAGCTCTCCATCTTGTACGTTTTCTGCCTGCATCGGTCGTTCGAGTCATCGCATTGTATCTAACCATAAACCCCAGCGCTGTCATTCCTTGCCTTATCCTTGGCTCCGTCAACGCCTACAACCTCTGGGAGGAGCACTGGGAGCACTGGGAGCACATGCCCCCTCTTGAGGAGCGCACGGAATACCCTTACCAGAACATCCGTGTGAAGAACTACCCCTGGGGTGATGGTGACAAGGTAAGTGTCATTCCTGACATTTTGTGCTTCAATTCCTTGACTTGTGCTAATATTATGTCAGACCATCTTGTGAGTTTCTCCCATCGACCCAATCAAACATAGATGCGACCCGGCAATTCCCTCACGCTAGACACTGCTAACAACCTATAGCTGGAACTCGGACGTCAACTACCACAACAAGGACAAGGCCACCTAAATCCTTGCAAAGGCTTCTGCCTAGGTAACTTCCTCCTGTTGGCTGTTACAATCATAAGGGCTATGTATATTTACTGCGACCACGGGGATAGAGGCGGTGGGAGATGTGATGATTGAGGGCTTGTCACTATGCTACCATTGACTTTCATTTGTTTGGCAGAAAATCAAGTGAAATACAGTTGCTCGATCTAGTTTAACGTATGCTTCAGTAGGCTTGAGGGTGCTTCGTAAAATACCCGGATGCTATGGTCCGATATTATGATTGGTGACTGTATAGTCGTTATACATCTGAACCACCCAACCTCTTCAGATCCAAATACTTCGCCGCATAATCATTTGCCAGAACCAAGTCACCAGTGAGATGCATGACTGTTGCTTTCTTTGCCATCATTTCGCACTGGCCCTTGATATCCTCGATTTCCTCATATTGATCATACGCACAATCCAGATATTCCAGGGCTCGGTTCATGTACTCTTTCTTTGCTGACGCATTTTGTCCTCGGTTCTGATCGGAAAGCTTGCCTGCAATACCCATGTTTGCGTCCACTAGCAAGGAGTACGAGCGTGCTGTCAACTCGCAATCATTTGACTCCAATACCTGAGGCATGATGCTTTCGACCAACTGCTCCACGGCCTCAAACTCCCGAAGGCTAAGTAGCACGGAGGACAAGTCGCAGATAGCTTCCCAGAGTCCAGGAAGGAGTCTCGAGCGGTGCGCAATGCTAGCAGCCCTCATAGCTAGCGAAAAGCCACGTTGCGGCTGGCCCGTCCTCTCCAGGATGCGTGCTTTTAGGCATAGGAGTTTCACTTGAGAGTGTATGTCGAAATTGTCATGGTGGAGGGATTGGGCAGTTTTCTCGACGGCATCAAGGGCGCGACTGTAATTCCCCTGTCGGATCATGTATTCCACAGAAAGGAAGGAAAGATGAAGGGATATCTCATTGTCCGGTAGCCGTATCGATTCAAGCTGTGAGAAGAGGTAATCTGCTGCTACTTTGTCGTCCCTAGAGATGGTCAGACTCAAGTCTGCCGACGATGGAGAAGAAACGCATACTGATATATCTGTCGCTTCAATTTCAACATGCCGGAAAAGATGGTCCAGTATTGGTTGGCCTTCAAGGACCTGAGCTTTTCTGGTGGGATCTCGTTCATCCGAGCTGAAACCTCCTTGTAGCGACCTTGCTGGGCGAGCTTTGGAATGTTAGGTGCGGTTTTGTGGGGGTGCGTGATCTCGTACCAGTTGACAACTCCGGAAGGTACTTTTCAAATAATCCTCGAACGGCGCTCGGCTTCCATAACATTCTCGGAAGATCTCGCTGCTTAGCCAGGAAAAGTGTGATATTCCTGTGCTGGTGAGCTAGGGTAAATAAGCCTCGAATTCTGGTGACCATACCTATCCTAGAATAGAGTGCAGTTTGTAATAGTAGCTGAGGGCCCATCGAATTCAGAAGGTTTTTGGTGATGTTCAGGTGAGATGCCCGGACAACATTCTCCATCGAAGAAGCCAGACTTTCGCCCTTTGTCGTATTAGTAGGGAATATCATAGAAGGGAACGCTGACACACATTCTGCAGTTCAAGCTTCGCTTCACTTAGCAACGTTGTGCTCAGAAGGCTCCACATTTCTGTTTCCTTCGCTTTTGCTTTGAGGAAAGCTAAGCCCTCTTTCTCGTTACCGAGCATGCCTGTATTCTCTACATCTCTCATATGTTCCGGAAATGCTTTCCCGAAATGATACAGCCAGCTCATGCAAAAGTTCAGACAGTTCAGGTCGTGGGATTCACGGGCGATAGAAACAGCCTCCTGCATAGCTGATACGGCCTCTCCATAGCATCCAAAATCTGCCTGGAGAATTGCCAGGTTGAGGAGTGCATATTGATAGGAGCTTCGATCACGACTATGCATCGTATAGTCGAAATAGCGATGTAGGTTGTCGAAGGATGAGGGATAGTCCCCGGCTCTCCACGCATCAAGAAACCTGTAGAAGTCAGTTTCCGTGTTGTCCAGGGAGGCGGATGGAAAGAGATGTACCTGAGATAATGTACCAGATTAGGCAGTGTCACGCCGGACGTTATGATTTGTTGCAGCCGTGTTTTCATGCAATCGGGGACTCTTCCACCCAGCCCTGCGTGTGTCAGGAACGCCAGCTTGTTAGTAGGGGTGCTACGTACTCTGCATTTCTCCAATCTGAAACTCCAACAGCCTTTCCACGTCCTTGGTGCTAACGTAGGTCTCCTCAGGATCGTCCCCGATATTCCCATAGGCTACCTGAGCAAGCGCACTACTGGCATCAGTACCGAACCACGAAAAATTGGCGTCCACGATAGTGTGTTCGGCGGATGGGTTCTTCTTTGCCCACGCACGGTATGTTGGCAGTCGGTATTTGACAAATGCGCTCCATAGCTTGACTGAGTCATGGAATTGCAGTCTGGTGAATTCGAGCTGAGCTCGCCTGACGAAGGCGCCCAAGGGCGAACATCGAGAAAGGCGTATGTTGCCTATCTCTGGAGCCAGGCCATTATCGCGATCCCGAATTTGTTCTTCGCGAGTTTTGACCAGCATGTACGATATGTTCGAGAAGAAAACTTCCAGCTGATCGCAGGAGTCAATAGACCAGATCTTGCGCAGAAACAAGTCCCATACTGAGCGGCCTGGGATGGAGGATTGATGAGGGCTTAAAGCTTCCTCGAGGTCTGTGATAGAGACGGCGTAATGTCTCTCCCATATTGCAGGCGAGGAGTTGGAAGTCTCTGGTTCCAGCGAGCTCAGGCACGAGACCAGGAAGGAGAGAACATCAATGGCGGCAGAGTTGGGCACAACACCATCCGTGTATATGGAGATGAGGGAAAGAAGGGCCACCTTTGCCGGGGTCAAATAACGGGCCATGGTGACTATGGGGTCAACATCCTTGGGAACTGTGGCCCAGTGTTGTTCGAATCGTCAATCGGAAAGGCCCAGAGGCTTTCCCAGACGGCGTCACGCGTTAGACTAATGGATTCACGCGTCCGACGCGGATAGAAGAAATTCTTTTGGAAGGAGAGACTGGGGAGGCTGCGCAGGTCGTCGCAGAAGATGGGAATAAACAACGGGAGCCGAATATCGTGGTGGGGAGAAGAATGCATGGCAAAATGAGGTTATATTTTACTTGGATACAAAGTCTGGTACATACGACCACAGGGTGTGGAGAACAGGGCTTCCCGTCCGCTCAGCCGTACTTAAGCCACACGCCGGCCGGTTAGTAGTTGGGTGGGTGACCACCAGCGAATCCCAGCTGTTGTATGTTTTTTTCTTTTTTTAATTTCTATCCGAGAATTACACTGCTTTGGTTCTGCCGTCTGCGAAGCTGTTCCTGAAGCATTGCACTTTTTTTACGGATTACAGCATTCTTTCACTCTAATGCAAAGGCGATACCGAACTAAAGTCGTTCTCTTTAGGCTGGGAGATGGGCGGTTAAAACGGAGCTGCGATTGGGCGTGATCCCAGTTTACTCCGTAGGCCCTAGTTACTAGTGGCAGGGGCCAAACATGGAGCAGTCTCAAAGCTCCAACAAAGGCCGCAATCGTTGTGTCAAGCGCCGTCCGCAATCGACTGGGAAAATGTCAGAATCCAATCCTCAGTATCCTGCGAGTCTCCTGCTCCACGTGAAATCCAGACCCCTACCTCCCTTAAATTTCCAGTAGAGAACGCCCTTGCCGCATAGCACCCCTTGCCTTACCTATACATCGTCCACAACCCGGCGCACGGTCGCTTTATCAAGGCCCAAAACAGACACGCAGGAGAATCAACGATGGGCCTACGGAAACGCCCTCTTACGGCTCATCTCGCCTTCTTCGCGTTCCTCCTTCTCCAGGTTGTCATTCCCATCTCGGCCCAACTTTGCTACAACCCCAACGGCTCCATAAGCAATGACCGCCCCTGCAATAGCACCGCCGACGTGAGCGTTTGTTGCGAGGACGGCTTTGTCTGTACCGAAAACAAGCTCTGTCAGCCGATGGGATGGTATGACGGCTCTGATGGGAACCCACTGCAGCTGATCCGGGGTACCTGCACGGACAAGACGTGGAAATCGGGCAATTGTCCTGGACACTGTATTGCTGGTAAGTCCCATGCCGTTGCCAGGTGTCTCCGTCGTGAGACACCGGAACTGAATATATCTGTAGCCCGCACAAAATACCTAACAGCAAATAGAATCACCCACTGGAGGAGAATGGGTCATGCGATGCGGTTCCAACTCCCAGGAATACTGCTGTTCCGACGATTCCTGTTGCAGCAACGGTGGAAAGCGATATGACCTTGGCAATGCGACAATGACTGCGCTAGCCGGCCGCCAGGTGTCATCCTCGACCCAGTCATCATCATCAACAACGTCCGCTTTATCGACTACGACGACGAACTCGGAGGCGACGGCGGCGCACCCAACCCCTACGGTATCCGCACCGAGTGAGACCGGACCGGAAGATTCAACGAATTCGCAAGCCAAAACCATTGGCATTGGTGTCGGAGTGGGAGTTGGAGGTGGTTTACTGGTTCTGGGGCTTTTGGCTTTTCTTTTGTGGCGACGGAAAAGGGCTAGGGCTGCTGCTGCTGCTGCTGTGGGTGGTAGCTATTCGCCGTCCCAGTTGACTCATGTGTGGGCGATGAAGCAGTCAAAAGGTGTGGCGGAGCTGGACTCGCGAGACCCGCGGGTGTTTTCAGAGATGCAAGGGAGACCATCGCATCCGGTGTATGAGGTGGAGTGATCAGGGTGATTTCTGTTCCTCACATGGGCAATATCTATAGAACCAGCACGGCTTTCCGTGCCGTATATATCTGGCAATTTTGCTGTACATATACCGCTCTAGTGGCTTAATTGCATAGTTACCTACTTATTTTCACGGTCGGAGTGGGAACACGCTCTCACCATCTGTTTATACTGCCGTTCCGCAGTATTACCGACGCTATACATTCACTCCTGTACGCTTTGGCTAGCAAATGCATCACAGCGAGTAGGTAATTCTTGTTGGAAACACAAAATCCAGATTTTGAGAAGAAACTAATCAGAAAGAAAAGAAAAGCAAACATAAATAAAAAATACTCTATAGCAGTTTGTGCAGGAAGCCACGTCAAGAGAAGATCGGTCGAGGCGTATGCTAACTTCGCTGTACGGAGTCATGGGCGCGGGTTTTGTTTGATCAAGGCGACTCAGATGGCGACCCGTACTAGAATATTCTCTCTGATATACCCAAATTATGAATACTACCAAATTTTCAATGGAAGAACACCCCATGGAACTGATGAAGATGTTGAAATGCAGTATATGCGAAAATTCTGCCTGAGGCCACAGTACCCCGCCAAAAAACGACCTTATCGATTATCACGCCGCAATCTTTGACGTCTTCCCTCTCCTCCATCCCACCTCGCACTTCCCCCATTTCTCCAATTGCATCCCGCCACCATGACCGACACCATTGCAGTCACCAACACCGACCTGAAGGGCGTGCTGCCGCTCATCGCGCGCGGCAAGGTCCGCGACCTGTACGAGGTCGACGACAAGACCCTCCTCTTCATCGCGACGGACCGCATCTCCGCCTACGACGTGATCATGGCCAACGTACCCCTGCCCCAATCCGCCATTCCCTCCACTCTCCCAATGACACACTAACCCCCGGTGAACAGGGCATCCCGAACAAGGGCGTCCTCCTGACGCTCTGCACGCAGAAATGGTTCCAGATCCTGACGGAAGCGATCCCCACGCTAAAAACGCACTTCCTCACGCTCGACCTGCCGCCGCAGATCCCGGAGTCGCTGCGCCCCGTCCTGCAGAACCGCAGCATGCAGGTGCGCAAGCTGCGCATCCTGCCCATCGAGGCTATCGTCCGCGGCTACATCACCGGCTCCGCCTGGAAGGAGTACCAGAAGTCCGGCACTGTGCATGGCATCCCCGTGGCGCCGGGGCTGCGCGAGAGCGAGGCTTTCCCTGACGGACCGATCTACACGCCCAGCACGAAGGCGGAGCAGGGCGAGCATGATGAGAATATTCATCCGGATCAGGGTATGTTTTGTCCCGATTGTTTTATACAGGGGGGAGGGAGTATGCTAATGGTGGGGGGTTTGTGTAGCTGCGAAGATTATCGGCGAGCCGTATGCGTCGATCGTTGCGGAACTCGCGGTCAAGCTGTACAAGACAGCGCATGAGTATGCTCTCACCCGCGGGGTGATCATTGCCGATACGAAGTTCGAGTTTGGCGTGGATGAGGAGACGAACGAGGTTGTGCTGGCCGATGAGGTGCTGACGCCTGACTCGTCGCGGTTCTGGCCCAAGGATGACTATGAGATTGGTCGTGGCCAGCAGAGCTTCGATAAGCAGTTCCTGCGCGACTGGCTTGTCAAGGAGGGTCTAAAGGGTAAGGAAGGTGTGCGCATGAGCGACGAGATTGCCCAGAAGACGAGCGAGAAGTACCGCGAGGCCTGGCAGCGGATCACCGGGGGTAACTAGAGTACTAGCTTTGTCTGCGCAGGTTAGGATGACATAGGTTAGAGAAAATGTACTGTATGTGTTGTGGCAGACTATGGTGTCTAGATATTGTACAAGTTAATTGGTATCTTGAATGATAATTACTCCCACTCATCACGCAGTCCCTTCAGACCCTTTCCTTTGGAGCCGCGTTCCTCCCTCGACCGGGAACTATCAGCAGACTCTTTCGTCCATTCGCTGTCAACACCTTCATCGACGGGTAACGCATCCGCACCGCAGATACGTCTCTCCTCCTCGATTTCCCCCTCGCTCATGCCATTCGTCGCCCAGATCCGATGGATCCGCAGATCGAACGGACCCTCGATCCGGTCCGTCAACCCAATACCAACACTTTTCACCCGCTGACGCAGCAACGACGTCTGCGGTTCGACCACCAGCCCGTGGTTCGTCCGCACAAAAGAGTTCAGTGGCAGTAAGATCGTCTCCCACCCCGTGGAGCCAGACGTCGTGGTCGTGGATGACATGATCGTCGACTCGGGCGGCACATCCGACAGGGCCGGCGGAATGCCGCCGGGGTACAGGGTCTCGGCGAGCTCGGGTGACTCGGTTGCTGTGGAAGAGGCGTACGGCGAGAGGTGGTCGCGGGCGGCGGCATCCTGGACCCGGTGATGACGCGTGTAGAGACGGTGTTGGTGGATATCGGTCTCGACGATGGAGTCGGTCTGGATGTTAACGGTGTATCGACGGCCGTCGGATTTGACACGTAGCGCGAGATAGGTGTAGGGGTCGACGTCCCAGTAGAGCCGACCGAACAGCCAGAAGCCGCGATCCTTGTTACGAAAAGCAGCATAGCCTGGACGGTTGTTGTCAGCGTGGACCCTTGGGTCGTGTGCTAGACCAAGGTAGGGAAGTGTCCATTGAAGTAACCCTCAACGTACCAGTGCGCTCGACTCTCCAATTGTTTGGTAGCTTTGTCGATATACTCCCGTGGAAACGGGCGTGAGCAGGACTGTTCGAGGATGGATCGGCAGGGACGTAGTCTAGACTGGCCGTGCTGTAGCCTCCGACGGCGCGATCAGCCATGGTCTTACAGCTGGCGACGGAGGATTCGTCTTCGAAATCGAGAAGGACATAGGGCTTGGTTGGTGTGTGGAGAGCTTCAGAATTCCAGGCTGGGTCGATTGCAAGATTAGATCATCGCATCCAAAGGCGCACGGGGAGGAGATAGGTAGATGCTCGCTTACCGATTCGCGACAAGCGGGAGAATTCTTCTGCGCTGCGCTTAAAGAAGCCAGCGGGTTTGGCGGCCAGACATCGAGCTGTCGGGATCATGATGGGAAGAAGGAGGTGAAGGGCGGCAGGGAGAGGGAGGTGTAGAGATGGAGCGACAGACGAACATGAAGAACTGCTTGAAGAGTTCCATCGCGGGATGACGTAAAGGAGTGTCTTGGTGCCTCAGGCAGAAGCTTCTTCTCATCCCTGCGTTTGTGGAGCACTTACAACGTGTAGATGTGCATAGAGCAGATTGGATCATTCTATAACTAGGTACTTCTTCAGTCTTTGAATATTTGATCGGTATTGCGGCATCAGATCAAGGAGAGGAACACCAACGCCGTAGGTCCTGCGGTTGCCGATCTACATGTAAAGATATATATCAGCACTCAGAGCTGACTTCATGTAAAGCACAGCAAGCATCCTCGTCGCCCTTTGGCTGCAAGTTCATATATTTACTGCCAAAACACATCAGGGCATTCCTTATGATAATCAATACAGATTTACAATGATTGTTGCTAGTCTGTACGTCCCGATTAGCCCCCGATCGTGAATGACAACAAATCTAATCTTCCTCTAGACTGCTTCACAATGCGCCCAAAACTAAAGAAAGGCGAGGAAAACATCTAGCCTCACCATGTTGTGAAGCTTTCAAAACCCTCCATCACTGTTTGGATGGAAAGGCGGCTTCTTTGAGACAGGCGCCCGTTCCAGCCTTGACCTCGACGGCACGATGACATCCTCTTCCAGACTCAAGTCTCATAAATCATGCGCCTGAATCATGTACATGCCTTCCTCCGGGGTGTACTGGCGTTCATTCTCTACGAAAAGAAAGGCGTCTCTAAGTTTGAAGCTATGAATTTGGCCTTCCGTGGCTGGATTGCTCTACTGAGCGTCTCAACACCGTCATCGCTGCAGCAGCCGGTGATTATTCGATTTACTTTCTAACAAGCTCGACGGTGAGCTGTGCAGCTCGCTGGCGAGGGTGTCTTCCTTGGGACCTCTTGTTCTATTGGTCCAAGCTCAACGGAATGACAGTCTGGACGGTGAGGTGGGTGTTATTTCCGCCGTCCCGACCCTCCCGAGTCAACACTCGCCCGATGCATACCATGGACCATGTATCCGATGCTATGACCACCGCCTTTCCAGTGGTACTGGGGTCCGCCTGCGTAGAACTAACAGTGCAAAAGCAGTTCCGCTCCATATATGCAGCACCTGCCTTGTTCGGTTCCGTTCTTTCTTCCTTCCAACTAACTCTATGCACGGGCAGAGCGTCAGGGGATCCATATACTTCTTTCCTACCGGGGTAAATGTGACTCCTTCACTAGACTCCCAGGGCAGTGACGACACTGCAGGTGCCCCGGATTGATCTTTCCGCAGCACACCACCGGCAGTTCACTACCATCCTTGGGATCAATAAATACAGAGTTTGGAACTCTGGGGCTCACGCCCTTCTTCATCACTGACCACCATCTTTTTAACTTGCCCTCTCCCCTCCACGACTCTTTCCCTTCCTCCTTCCTCATACCCATTGCTCCGTTCGTTTCTCACTCCGTCTCTCGCTTCACACAACCAGCATCGCAATGGACATGAGCGTGGAGACAGCGAAGCGCTGCCAGGACATTTACGGCCTGGGAGCCCGTCTCTTCATCGGGAAGTAAGTACCTACACTGAGGCTAACGCCCTCCTCTCGCCGATCGACCAGAGATACTAAAGCAGCCAACCAGGATCCCGAACGGACCAGCTCAGGAGCTGGTCCTTAATCTGCTCTTTTCGTGTTTTGGAATGTGGGCGGACGGGGGGCGTGGTCAGCATCCTGCTGACCAGCAGACGCGGGAATAGAGTCGCCTGGGTGCAGTACAGGGTACGTCTACAGACATCTCGCCCCCAACACCCTGGATACCTCGTCTAACGAAACGACCACAGACCCGCGCCGAGGCCCAGGACGCACTGGCTTATGCCCAGGTCTGGGGCGTGTTTCTCCTGTCCAGACTACTTCGGGTCGAATGGGCGAGGGGCCGGAGTACGTATTCCCCCAACAACCACTATACGCGCCCTACCTGTTTGGTTGGATATGCTGACGCTCATACAGACTACGGCAAGGGGCGCCAGCGATGGTACCAGTAATCCGTTTACTGGTCTGGCAGGGTCTGGTGAGGGAAGAGAGGGAGGAGATGGAGTAAGCATAACTTGGGTGCTTGGAGTACTCCAGCGAGCATAGAATTGACCATTACTGTGGAGTTCATGGAGTTAGGCATCAGTTTGTTTCCTATTGTTTTGGAATTTGGTTTTTCGGCAGCGGCATTGGATACATGATAAATTCATCATTGGATACTATATATTGCAGAGAACATGATGTGAGGCATTCAGAAGAGTACCTAGTTGAATGACTCGATCTTGAAGATGAAGGCAATGCATCCGTGAATACCTATGTCATGATGAAGCCGAACCAACTTCCCACATAGGTAATTGGATAGAGTCAGACGAAGGCCTGACGAATAGGACGTCACAGCATACACATGTCCATGTAATGCTATATACCGCACGGTAGAGAGCGCTGCCATATATAGTGCAACGATGGAGAACCCCACGAACGCCAATGTAGAACGCGGAGACTTGGGGAGTAAGTAAATAAGTTGATTGGTTCGTCTCATCTGCGAATAGTTCACAAGAAGTCATGAAGTTGATAATAAGAAGGCAACAGTATAGAGAAAGCTCTTGTAGGATCAGGAAACAACCTGTCATGAAACTACGAGGCCAGCAGCTAAGGCAGGACCATCTACTCACGTCGGATGAAGACCCGGGTACCTAGGGAGTATGGAACCATGTAGAATTGTCTGATTTCTGCTTCAACTTATATATGCCCAGCCCATGCACCCACCAACAAAGTTATAATATGAACCGGTAGAAACCACCTGACTGAAAATTGATGCATACAGCTAAGCCGAACTAGGTAGACAAGAGTGAGAAGAAAACAACAATGCATACTGTCTAGATAGTAATTGTGCCCAACCAGAACTCGCCGGTGTATCATGGATGTAGAATATGCAAAACCCCCCAAACACCTGTGAAAACACAAACCGCATGCGATGAGTCATGGTATCAACGTGAGCATATGCAGAGAAGAGGACTGGAGACTATATACGGGGCCGATTGGAATGAGAAGGGTTGAATCGATGTGATAGTGATGAGGATCAGAGGTCTATGCTCTGACCCGTCGAGCATCAAAGAATTTGAGGTTCACTGCAGTGTCGTTGACTCCCACAATTGGTGCTGCGTCCTCGAGGAGCTCCCATGGCCGGACCGGGTACGGCCCGATGGTTCGGCCACGATATTGGAGACGAAGGCGGCTGGCCACGCAGTCTTCGGAGACACCGGTTGGAATACCAGAGAGCGTGGAGGATGCCTGCTGGGTGGACGACCCGGGAGGCAGGCCGCTGGACGGAGTGGGCGTAGGAGTGGATGCTGCAGCGGCAGCAGGAGAGGGGACAGAGGCAGGAGGTGGAATGTTCGAGGTTCCCGCATCGGGAACAGGCCCCAGAAGATAGGAAAACCGATTGTCGTTCTGGAACTGGAGGAAAGGAGGACATTTGTCCTTGAGGAAACGAGCACATTGCTGTCGAGATTCGTCCGGGAATGTGTCAATAAGAGACGCTGCAACGTCCAAAGCATGGGTTTGGAGTAAGATGCCGGGACAAGGACGGTAGCCCTCAGATGAGATAGGATGGGGAAAATAGTCGGCTGTCGGATAGAGACGGAGGATATTGGTCGGAAGACGCGCGAGCGAAATGCAGAAAATCGAGACCAGGAGACGAGATTGGTCTTGGACGACCGTCGCTCTAGGCACTGAACTTGGCACATTGAATGCAGTCCGATGAATGACGATCATTCTCAACAGGGCCGAGAACCAGAAGGCCAGTGCTCTCTCAAAATTTGCACGGGATTGAGTCGCTTGATCGGAGACCACACCTTGCCTGGTGACTAGGCTTGTCTGCATGACTACGAGCTTGTGAAGCAGCAGGTCCATCTTCTCTACGAGAATAGGACCCACACTTTGCACACCAGCCTCCGGAATGCTATATGCAAGCTTATCGATTATGGTGAGGTATAGCTTGGCGGTTTCCAGGGCCTCCGTATTTGGTGCATAGGATAATGATTGATCACCGAGAGTTTCTGCGAAGAGGGGGACAGCAAAGAACTCTTTCTCAGCTCGCTCCCGAATCTAGACGAGTTAGAATTACCAAAGACTGTGGGTTCATGTGGTTCTCACGTACCTGCTGTACTGAATTCGGACTCATCAACCGTACCAGACCTATCCAGTTGGACCCTTTGGCGCGGGTGTCCGCCACTGCAGCCTTGAACATTACGTCCACAATTCCGTCTCCCATGTTCTCTTTAGATTCAGCATTAGAGAGCACCTGAAGCTTGAGTTGACAGAATGGAAGTGAGAAGTCGTCAGTCGTACGAATAACATTCTCGGCCATGGAGACTTGCGGATCTTGGAATACGTTAGTAAAGTGGTAGTCCAATCATACGTGGGAACACGTACCATGCAGTGAAACAGATTGCAATAATTGATCCAACGTGTCCTGCAGGACGGAAGTAAAGGTAGAGTGCTGAGCACTAATCTTTTGCAGACAATACTGCACCACGTCTTCGGGCTCCTGAGCAAGGAGAAGACGGAGGAGCGTGGTGGCCGAACTCCTAAGTTCCGAGTTGATCCCTGCAGCAGCTGCATTTGTGGAGAGAGCATCGCAGATAATGTCCAACGTTTCCTTGTAGTATTTGAGGAGGAACTCCTGCTGCGCGAGGTGGAAGCGATATGTGACCTACGTTGATTAGACAGTGTTCCCGCTAAATGGAGATATAAACATACCAAATCAAAGTACCTGCTTTGTCCTGGTGCCGGGGGCACTAGAAGGTCCAAGATGTCCATCTTTAGGCGAGCTGGATTGGGTATTTTGGAAGCTATCCTTTCTGACTGCAGGAGCTTCTTGACCAAGAACACAAATGCATGTATCGTCACACAACCGACTCCAATAAGAGGAGGCAGGATGTGCGGCATGGTCGAGCGAGCAGAGCTCTTCAAGAGCCCACACACCCATCGAACCAACATGGCATCGAAATGCTTGGGATGGAAGGGTCTGAGGTAGGCTAAGTACCGACATGTTTCGTTTGCTGAAAGCTTCACGTCCTCATTGCGCCCGGTGAGGATATTGGTCAGAGAAGCAAAAATCGAGGCCATAGTGGATTCATCCATGCCACCACCGGACGAAAGGAGCTGGTCTAATTTGGAGCGAAAAGACGGATCCGCTTCATTGATGGCGGTGGACGGGTTATCCGATAAAGGCGATGGTGCTGCCAATGCCGACTTGCTTTCTATACGCAAAAGGTCCTGACGAAGAAGAGCAACAGTATTACACTCTTGCGGAAGTCGAAGTCCAAGCTCAATCAGGGAAAAGACCAAGTCAAGGTTAGGAGTGCCCAGTCGTTTCAACCGAGCATACGATTCCACCAAGCTCCTGAAGAGATCCGACGTTGCGCCAATGACACAAAACGAGTCAAAATGGTAGTTTACCGTGTCAGCCGCAGAGGCCAGAACAATGTTGTCGTCACAGCTAGTCGTCTGTTTCACCACATCTGCAAGCATAGATAGGTCTCCAAAACTCTCCAGAACGTCCCGTATGTGGTAGAACTCATCGGGAGTGAGACGGGAAACGTTCCTATCAGCAGGCACAGTAATTCCAGCCATTGCACTAGAATCCGTTAGTAATTAGGATGGAATGTGGATAATGGAAGATCATTGCGTTCTTACCTAGTTGCGTTGCGACAGTGCCCGGAAATACCACGTCGAAGCCATTGACCGATTTCGGATTTGACGGCCCAGGTTAAATCCAGGGATGGTGATTCCACCACCATCGTGTGTTCAACCTCATTGCCGAATATATTGGGAAGTCGCCCAGCGATCGAGGCCTTGAGCTCCGCAATGGTCGAATCCTCCAACGTTGCAGGGACACCGGCACGGTACAAAAGCGTGTTGCGCAGATTGCGCACGTGGTCTGGGAGGCGGGTCATAGGAAGCTGCTTCAAGAGGTACAGATCGATGGAATGATCTGACTGGTTGCTGGACGAAACGCCCTTCGCCATCAGCCATTGCAAGTATCGCCCCACAGAGAATGTCTGAGACCTGACCAGCTCCGAAATGACGTGGTAGATATTGTCCATGGTCAGCGAAGCACGATTACCGGTTCTGGTAAGAAATGAAAGGATGTAGGTGTCGATATCTACTCCTGACATCTTCCATTTCCGGAGAAGGCGCACAGCAGTATACACGCGACACAGACCACAGCGGAAGGGAGTCGCCGTCCACTCCAGAAGTTTGGTCACCAGAAGGGATTTATCATCTATAGTCTTTAAACACGCGGCGGCGGCTGATGCAACATCATGGGTGGAACAGACAGCGTCAAATAGATGGATGACACGCTGTTGTGGTGATCGTTGTCCAGAATCTTGTCGATCCTTGGATAATTGGATCCGGGCATTGCGTTCCGCAACATTTTGGAAAATGGCCTTGTGAGTATTGTCTTTCATATTTAGACAAGAAAGCACAAGATCCTTGTACTTTGCCCACGAATTAGGAAGGATGACCGAAGACGTGTGCTCGACAACGAGTGTTCTGATATGAAGTGACAATCGATCGACGAGTGGACGGAGAGTGGTGGCATGTTCCGGGTTCGTGACCTATGACCATTAGTACAAGATGGACCGCAGTCACCAGATGTGCATACCTGACGGAGCTTCTCTAACAACGCTTCGGCCAGTCGACGTCCACGCTTGCGGTACCGCATAATACTGTCCCAGTAGATCCCCAGCATGAGGAGCCACACAGGGACCGTATTGAGGGATGCAGCCTCCAGTGAAGACAGAAACCACCCGAGGTATTGTTCGTCATCAAGCAGGCGTTCGAAAAAAAGACGTGCAGTCAGTCCGACGCTGTAGTCTGTTAGAAAGAAAAAAAAGCAGAGTGGTTCACGGATACGTACGCATATGTCATCTTCATCTTCCAATCAGCTGTTCCGCATGCAGCAACCAGGCCCTCCAGGAATTGCTGTACATGTGCAGTCCATTCACGGACCCATTTGGCCTCTAAGCCTATAACCACCGCTCCGCTAGTCCCCTTCCGCTTGAACGCGCGAATTTCATTGGCACCCACACACTTGGCCAGCCACACGGCGCGGTTGACAGGAATCCATTTGCTCAAGCATTGATCCAGAAGGGCCTTTCCCCTGATGCCGTGCGGGATGGTTCGACTCAACCGGCGCAGCGGAACAGAGGGATTGGCGAGATCTCGAAGCCATGCCTCGCGTTTGTTGTCGGTCAAGGTGACTCGCGGCGGTGGTTTGAAGGTGGAGGGAGCGTTGACTAGATTGTGGCTTTGCCTCTTCTCGAGGGCAGCAGCGAAGACGGAGGAAAGCATCTGCAAGCCGGAGCGATGCTTGAGCTGGGCGTATAAGGAAGGTCGGGCGGTGTTGGATTCATTTTGGGAGACTTGTGTGCGGTCGTAATGTCCCTGCTTCGCTGTCTGTTCATTAAGGACATCTTCCGGGTGATTTCCGGTCCACGGGGAGAAGTCCGCTACTTCTGAAAATTGACCGCGATGGTTAGATGGGTCTTTCGGCGTCCACTCCACGGAGGGGCACTTACTCTGGCCTTTGAGAACGGGGGCCACGGACGGGCACTCGATATGATACGGGGTTGTCTGTACTTTCTTTGCAGGCGAAGAATCCCGTGATTTGACGGACTTATTGCCCGCGGCCTCCGGAGGTGCGTATTTCCAAGGGAGGACAGGAAACGGGGGCGGCGACGCCGGTTTCCCACTCTGCGCAACGGCAGCAGCATCCTCCTCGCTCATTCCACCACTTCCGGGGATCTCCGATATCAACGCTTGGAACGACCATACTGGTCGACCACGCCAGGATAGAGAAGATGGCTTTGCGGTAGGGGTGCTGGTGCTGGGGGTATTCCGCGGCTCACCGTTCCCCGACGCCGGACTCGCATCACCTGTGGACGCAACGGATGGCAGATCCAGGCGGAGTCTTTTTGACGGCGGTTCCCTCTCAGATGTATCGCCAGAGTGTGTTGTGAGGTCGACGACCGCCGGTTGTCGTAGTTGGGGCTGAGGCGCAGACATGGGCGCCTTCTCCAGCTGGAGGTCCGACGGGCCCAGCGCCGAAGCCGTATCGGTGCGTCCAGCGCCCGGATTCAGGGCGTGAAGGGGATGATGACCCCACTGTTGGACGCCGGCAGAGGAATGAGGGATCATCTCAGCGTCATGGTGCACACTGGCCGGAAGGAGGTCGTCATCGGAGGAAGGGCGATCTGGCGCGGCGACAGACACTGAGATCGGTTTATGGATAGGGGTGGGTCTGATAAGGTGGAAAGGGAGGTCAAGATCGGATGGGATTAATTATAGTGACGGCAATCGCATGAAATAGCGACAGGATCTGGTGCGGACGAGAGGAGAGGAACGGAGATCAAGGTCGTAAGAATACGTGATATTCGGATCGGATGGTGAGGTCGGTGCAGTCAGTTTGGAAGGCTTGACGGCGGCAGTCTTACTATCAAATCGTAGTAATCATGGTAAATAACGGAACGGAGGAAGGAAACCGGAGCCGTGCAGATCTCCCCATGCGGTGAGGAGCTGAAAGGATCGGATAAGGAAGACAGGGGGAGAGGATAATGGCTGGAGAGCAAACAGCCGAGGGCTGAGAGATCAACTACTATCTATCAGTAGGATCCCGGGGCAGATGGTTCATCGGACGGATTGAGTTGGAGGTTGAGCGAGCGTGAGTGCGAGCGAGGGAGAGTCGAGGGGATTACCAGTCCGGGTAAGAAATACGCGGGAGTGGCGCTATCCGACTTCATCTCTCCGTCCCATACGGCCAGTTTTCCGTCTGTCCGCTGCCTCCTTGGGGTATAAACCCCACTGGATTTCAGCTTTCTCTGCTTGAGATCAGGATCTATCGTTTCTAACACATTTTCATCACATAATGAGTATCTCCGGAACCCATCTCTGTCCGACAGCGATCCAACAAGTTTCGTTACGAGCCAGTATGATTGATACATCCATATCGGCTTATCCGGCAAATCATCCACAATCCACCCATCACGGAGTCGACTTGGCATCAGATGATGGGGGCTTTCTGACATTTGATTCATGGATAATGAATATGAACAATGCCATCAGGATATACTCTTTCCCCCGTGCCGACGGATCCATCTGTCAAACTCTACGGGGTGATCTAGTCAAGTCAATCTACAGAGTAGACCAAGCCCTTAGCCTAGTACATATCAGGCGTTCCACCTGATGAACTCCTGCAGGAGACAGACCGCCGGAATATGATACACCAACCCATATCGAAGTGGCGTGATACAAGGATTGTATGATCTCCCGGCATATGGTCTGGCAGCACCCATAGGACCGCTGCATTCTTTCTTCCGTCAACCGTATGATGGATACGCTCCCGGTTGCACATTATTCGTACCTAAACTTCCCTTCCTGGACGGACCTGGTGCACCGTGCGGCATCCCACTTGCATTGTCGATCATTCCAACCGAGATTCAGGTCCTGGTTGCCGACTGCAGTGCTACGCACCTGGTCATCACACAGCCTGACGCTCAGCCTGGGACAGTAAGGTAGGTAGGTACCGGGGTGGTTCCCCCAACCGATCCTGTACATGGTCGGGGTCCAGCCGATCTCGACCGGATTTTACTTTTTCCTGAGAGTGGTTGTGCCACGAGAATGCTGGTCTGTGTACTCTGTAAGCGAGGGTCTATCGAATTGGTCTTACTTGTCCTATCGGATGGTGACTAGGAAGTGCGACAGTCTTACTTGTAGATAAGGTAGCACTACGGAGTACACCCAAGTTCCCGTAACCGGCCTACGGTTATCTCTTGATTGGGACATATCGAGGGCGATCCATGTCACCATAATCTACTCCGTATGATCGTATCCCTCATTATGTAGTTTGCTATCGCAGTCACTAGGCGATCCTTATCGACAAAGATAGGTAGATATGTCCATGGCTATCTCTATAAAAAGCAGGTAACCAAATGACAGTCGGCGATAACTGCGGCGTCCAGTCAGCGCGCCGCGGGAGGGGTCTTGGCGCCCCCAGACGGTTCCGGTGGCCAGTTCATCCTCCTCCCCAGTCGCATCCCCAAGCGCTGCATCAGCTCTCCAGATTGACTCGACACAATGGCTTCCAAACAGAAAGATATGCGGCGGCCGGATCTCGGTAAGTTGCTTGTTTATTTCGATTATCCCACAGCGGTCCACCCGCTCAGGGCCTGACAGCGCAATCACTGACGACCACCTCCCTCTCCAGTCGTCCCCTACGTCGATCCGCCCAAGGATAAGAATGAGGCCGACATGACTGGTATATACTCAGTCCCTGGAGCTAGACTCTGTAAATTGGTTCAGATGGATGGATTGGTTAATGTGGTCTAGGCGCTATGTCCAGCACCATGCCCATGGCTGCGGTAAGTTGACGTCTTGCGCCTGCTGGACTTAATGCATGCTGACTATCATCTGTAGATGTTTACCCGGAATAGGTAAGATAGCGTGCTGGGTGCCATTTGCTGGGGACATGAGACTGATAACGAATGTTACGCGACAGAATGATCGGATGGTGAGCTGCGTCCGGCTGGTCGTACTGGTCTGATGCTCACTCATATCGCAGGGTCTCGTTCGTCTTTTCGCTCCAGTCGTGGCTCGGCGAGACCGAGGACCAGAAGAAAAGCGCCTCGACTCCGGCTTACATGTCGGTTCTGATGTCTTGTTGGTTCTCCTTTGATGTTCGATATCCCACTTGTGTTTGATATACTAACCTCGGGATGCAGTGATGGCACTGGTTGTGGTAAGTTCTGATCGTCTAGCGCGTGCCCATCTACTCGAGGATCGAGTCTAATAGGGGCTGCAGACTTATTTCCCTATCTTCATGCCTCCGCCCGCCGCTCGGGTCAACCCCGCCGCCGCGTCGCCCTCGCCTTCCCCTTGAAAGAACGTCACTCTATACCACATTGGAAGAGTTGGGGACTGTTTGAAATATCCCAAATGTCGGATTGGTTGAAGAATGAGAGGACTTGTGGAGGATTCGTCGTTTGAAGACCTGAATACCCCGGATTCCGCTGCCATGCGGACATGCATCCTCGCATCAGCCTTGCGTTCTGGATGCTGTACAGCTACTTTAATATGAATTCGTGTCCATGTAATAATAACCAATGTTGATTCGTCTCTTCATCACGTGACTTTGTATAAGATCAGAGTGGCTAGGCGAATACACCCATTAGTTTCGGAGAGCACCTCCATGAAATAAAAAATGCTCGTTCACTTCTCTCCCAACTAGATTCAGAGAAGCGTACCAGGGATAGATAGACAGAACTAGTAGGGCACTAATGGAATCACCAGACATCCTGAGTAGTCCAGCTGAGGCCTTTTCTTTTGCTGTGGCCACTGCTGAGTCATCCGCACACCGCCTTCCCCCACGCCCCTCAAAAGGCTCTTTCTTTCTCGCCTTCTTTCGACTTCTTTCTACCCGTCACCACTTCGCATCCATCCTTACTTCCCGCTACCGTCAACCCCGACGTTCGATCCCTACATCTTCAGAGAGATCTCGATTCTCCCCCCTCCGCTCACTTACTATACACCGCTTTTAAGGGCCGTTTACGAGCAAAGGCCGAGTTTATGTCCATCGAAAACCTTAAGACCTTCGGTAAGTGCTTTTGCCACCTTCCCTCTTGCGGTCTTGTCGTGATCCCCAGCGACCGGTTGCCTGTTGAGCGACTGGATCCCGTCGGTGATGGCTCTTCCATTTTGTATCGACTCGTTTCCGTCGCACGATACAGGAGACATCGCCGCCTGAGGTCCATCATCATCAACGCGTTATATCGTGGCGGGGTAGTTGGAATCTGGTTTGCCGGGCTGAGGCTGACACGTGCTCTCGACACAGACCCCTTCGCCGAAGCTGACGAAGACACCGGCGAGACCAAGCAGTCTCAAAATTACATCCATATACGGATTCAGCGTACGCTTTCCTCTTTGCTCCCACCTCACCTCCCCGTCGCGTCGGGTCGTCACCGGCGGGAGACCCCCCCTGTCTGCTCCCGGACCGCTCGCTAACATCTCTCCTTAGAACGCAATGGTCGCAAGACCTTGACCACCGTGCAGGGTCTTCCTAAGAAGTTTGACCAGAAGAAGATTCTGAAGGTGATCAAGAAGAAGTTCGGTATGTGTTGTCTTTCTCTCTCGCTACCTCTTCGGCTCCGCTAACCCTGGCCCAGCGTGCAATGGCACCATCGTCGCTGACTCTGAGATGGGCGAGGTGATTCAGCTCCAAGGAGATCAGCGTAAAGATGTTCAGGAGTTCTTGACCGACAAGAAGGAAGGTCTCGAGCTGGATGCCAAGACCATCAAGGTCCATGGATTCTAAACGAGACGCCACGCCCTGTTCCGGTCCCTTCTTCCCAGTCTACATTGCCCTCAGAGTGGCGGGATAGAGGATATGTGGTGTCATTTACAGTCCGTCTGACCTTGCAATTGCCGGCGCTCGCAGCTGCCTGGTTGTACGGTTCCGCTCTCTTGTCCTCTGCCCCCTCCCCGCTCTGTGCCCGGTATATTGGACTTGGGCCTTGTCGAGGATGCACTGTTTGATTTGATTCCCCCGCTGTCGCAGACAACGCGGGGGTCAATGTCGGTCGTGAATTTGACTCGACTGCTATACTCAGAATGGGATTATGACGGAACGAGGCGTTGGTAGATACCCAATATCTGCATATGTGTTTTCCTGTTTTTCCTCGTGTTTTGTCCAATTGTCTCATGGATCCAAGCTGGAGGTCTCGCTGCAGGGAAGGGTGTCGTAGTTCGGTTGTCGAGGTTGTCCACATCGACTCTCGTTATGTCTGCTACATTCGGACTTGCTGTCTTCTCACTAATCCATGCTCTCTTATGTTCCTTCCAATAAACTAAACTGTTGGATCTGGTTGTCTTGTGTCGTAATTACGTAGGAATGTCATTTGGAAGAAGCCTTTACTCGTTTCACAACTCAGCTTAAGATATGTCGAACAAACACGCAACGCCAGATAAAAACCTGGAGCCAACTACAACTCACCCATCCCCGCTCGATCATCCGCCACACGCATGCGCAGGAATATCGCGACAGCCCAATCCCACAGCTTGCGAGTGATCACAAACACCGGCACCTCCGGCTCATTCTCGCGGGTCAAATGCAACTGCAGCAGCAACGAGGACATGCTGACGAAACTCGCGATGGCGACTACCAGCAGCGCAGCCGCGGTTTCCCGTTTGATCATTGCATGGTTTTGCGTTGCGTGGTAGAGGAAGGTCAAAGTCTGTTGCCATGTTAGTCACTCGACTTCGGATTGCGGATATATAGGAGACGGCTCACGGTTGTAATGGATATCCACGCAGGAAGCAGAAGTCGTGGATCGGAAGAAGCACCAGAAAGATAGAGAACCCAAGAAGTCATATATGCAATCAGGCCGTTGGTGGTCAGCAGACGAATGACCACCGCCGGTGGGGTATAATTCAGAAGCCTGCATATTGACAATTAGTACACGGCAACAGCGTGGACAGCCGGAGAAACCCACCATCGAGACATCATACAATCAGCAAAAAAATACGAAAGATATGCGGATGCACAGCACTACACCGCCACAGTTAGCCAAGCAGTAAAAGGATAAACCGAGCAGACGAATACATACCCACATAATCGCCAAAGCCACCTCCGTCACTCGAAACCTCCTCTCGACATCCCAGTGTTGTCCGACGCTGCCAACAATCGCCGCCGCCCACCCCTCGCCTCCGATGCCTGGACGGATGTGCAGCAGCTCCGCCAGGAAGGTGAACGCGCACCGCAGCCCCCACCACGCGGCCGGAGCGGTGCTCAGCGCGCGACAGATGATTAGCGGCAAGTACCACTTGCGGTCGACGCCGAGGATGACGGCCACGCGCGGGTGTAGGGCGGAGGTGGTCGCGTGGCCGGCATCGGTGCTGCTGGTGGGGGTGTGTGCGGCCGAGGAGGCCGGGGAGGGCGGGACGATGGTTGAGGCGGGCGATGAGGTCGCCACGTCTTTGTCGGGCGCGCCGGACGGGCCCAGGGTGGAGGGAGACGAGGAAGGGAAGTAGGGCGGAGGCGTGGAATCGACCCGCGGGGGATTCACGTCTGCAGCTTCAGGGGAAGTCCAGGCGCGAGAGAGGAACCGAGGGGCTGCATTACGACGAGGAGGAGCCAGCCTTATATCACGGCATACGCAGCCGTTGTGCAGAGGACCTGAGGGTCTGATCGGGAGGATTTGTTGGTAAGGTTGGATTCTATCCAGGCCGAGACACTTGGTCTCTTGAGAAGTAAGGAGTAGGCGGAGGGCGTGAGGTGTATAAAATGAGCCAGGTGGAGAGATGAGAGGCCGGAGATGGTCTCAATTCGTTTGACGCTCCAGTCAAGAGATCCTGGGAACGTTGGCGCTGGGAGAAGCGCAGACGAGGGAGAAGATGGAGACGGAGAGACGATAAGGAAGACAATAATAATAAGACAAGAAGAGACCCGCGGCGGAGATGGGCGGCACGTGACCCGCGATTTCTTTGGCCGGGGCGGACATGCAACGGCGGAACTTGCGGTCTATTTATCCCTCTGTCCTCCCCATTCTCTCGTCTCCCGTCTCGGTCCGCACGTCGCAATGGCGTCTTCTCTGTCCAAGGGCCCTCTGTTCTCGGCGGTCCGGTCCAACGCCGCCGTTTCGCAATTCTACTTTCCTGCGGTCCCGGGATCATGCCAGTGCCGGTTCTTCTCACAATCGTCGCAACGCAATGGTCGTCAGGCGATGAACATGGATAGCCCCAAGGTTCCTACGCCTTTGAAGCCGTCTACCGCGACTAGGGGCTCCATGATGTCGAGGTCGGAGTTGCCCACCGACCTCGGTTTGCTTCCGGGCACTTTCATCCGGCCGCTCTGGCGGGACTTGCCCTCGATCTTCACACATCCCAAGGAACGTTTACAGCTGGAGTGGCTGTGGCTGAAATCTGGGTTCCAATCTTTTGCAAGGTATGCTCATCTGCATTATGCCTGACCCGCATCCGCGACTACTTGTGCCGCATTGAACCAACCTACTAACTCCCCACAGCATTATAGTCTACTCGAAAATCACCTTCAAAGGTCTCCCCCTTCGCTTCCGTGAACGACGTCAGGTAGCTCGCGAACTACACCAGCGGGTGTACTCCGCATTCGCCGCGTAAGTGTCCCCTCCACGACATCCCCACACACACGGCCCATTAACCGCCCGCAACACAGCGGCGACGTCCCCACGATCCGCAAGATCTGTTGCACCGGCTTCGCAAACGACCTCACCTCCCGCATCACCGCCCGAGCCAAAGATGAAGCCGTCACCTGGACCCTGGACAAGTACAACCGCACCCCGGCCACGCTGTTCACCGGCGTGCGCGTCCTCGCAGACCGTGCGACGCAGATCCCCGAAATCCCAGACTCGGGGCGTGCGACAGGTCGTCGTGCGCATCACCAGCCGCCAGTCCACCCAGAAGATGCGCGTCGTCACCAAAGCCTCCACGACCGGCGCCGGCCCCGCCGCCCGCAAGTCCCTCACCAAGGAGCTCGAGCCCGTCGCCCCCGCAAAGCAGCAGGACTGCACCGAGTACCTCGTCTTCCAGAAGCTGCGCTGGTTCGGCCAGGAGGAGGACTGGCGCATTTGGGGCCATACCCAACCGACCACCGTCGAGGATCTGTACTCCAACCCCATGTTTGCGCCGGGGTTGACGCTCGCGGAGCGCATGCAGCATGCGCAGGATATGTACCAGGGCAAGAAATAGGCCTGTCCGGCTTGTTCCGTCGCTTCGGTGTGACGGTGTCACTGCGGTGCCGTGCGTGCCTCGACCCCAAACCTTTGTCTGGCGCGATGGCGGATTAGGCGTGAGCTGCCTGTCTGGTGGCTGCGTAGGACGGCCGTCCCATCGAGTCACGTTCCGCCGGATCTTTTCCTGCGGCTAGACGAAGGATTGGCCGTCGCTTCGATTCTCTCTTGTGTTAAAACAACAGCTTGCAATTGGCTTCTGTTGCATCTCTGTACCATGTATTATGCCCCGTCTGATTTCCGTCCCCCATCTGAGGGAGCTTCGCATACAGCATGTATTATATCCGATTGTGGTTGGCTTTCACTTTGTAATTATTCAGGGTTATTCAGTTCAGATACATAGAAAAGTTTGAACCGCAGTGGGAATTCCTGAGTATGAAGGAAGAAAACAGGAGTAAATAGCGATCATTGTCGCGTAATGGTTGACTCAACAATGGGTAGTAGGTATTATTTACACAGTACGTATAGGGTACTCAAACAGACAGAAGAAATCAAGGGGAATCCAGGATAAACCAAGGAAAATCATGAGCAACTACATAAGACTGATTCAGTCGTCGTCAAAGATCTGGAACGTGTTCACCAGGATCGTCTCAATGACACGGACCTGCCATCCGGCATCTGCGATGTTACCGCCACCGCCCGAACTGGCGCCCATGAGCGTAGGCCTGGACGCATACCGTTAGGTTCAGGCTCAGCAGAAAATGAGTGAGAAACTGTATAGCTTACCCGAAGCAAATGGCAATGTTGCCGGCATTCATGCGGTTTTGTGTGTAGTGTTCTTGGATTTTGTTGAGATGCTGCACGAGTTAGATTCGGCCCGATCCGCGGTATTTTGTCAACGTACCAGAATCAGCGCCCTCAGAGTGGCGTAGTGCGCGTCAGGGAGGTTGTTGACCAGGGCATGGAGAGAATCCCGGCGCTGGATGTCGTCATCGATCCCTGGACGATGTTAGCAGCGAGGAACTCGCATATTCTAGTGCATACTCACGTGCTGCGCTGATGAAATCGGCATAGGCCTGCGAGGTGAATAGAGGATCAGGGAGATCCCGGAAAAACTGCTTCAACAAACCAGCCACACTGTTCACATCATGATAGAAGTTCTCGGGATTGGTAAAGTCCACTTGGGACGAATCTGCAACGATTAGTACCAGCGATGGATACGCACGCAATAAGACTTACCATTGTCAAAGAGGGCTTTCATCTGACTGATATGATTTGCGCTACCAGACAGACGGTAGATGCCCTCCATATCCAGACCGAAAAGCTCAATAGCCTGGAAGCACTGATAGACGATCATAGGGACGGCAGTCCCATCTCTGGCGTACAGGTCATTCAGACTCACGCCGAACACTGGTTTCAACGGAGGAAGATGTGATTGGAAAGTGCTCGTGGGAGGCGGTAACGGGCTCGGTTGGGGGGCTAAGGATCCTGTCATGGCCGGTGGGTTGAGGGGAGCTTTCTCATTCGCACTGGTCGGGTATGGAGGCTGGTAGGGGGCCGAAAACGAATCAGGCTGGGGCGGATGATAAGGTAATGTCTGCGTGGTCGGTGCTGGCTCTGCTGCAGGTGCAGATGCTGGAGTCTGCACAGATGGTTGCGACAAAGGCAGTTGTTGCTGGGAGAAGGACTGTGGTAACATCGACTGGCGTTTGTTTTGAGTGCTAGTTTGTGAGGTGCCAACGACTGGCGACGGGCCACCACCAAGGGTCTGAAGTGTTCGTGTTAGAAGCCCGAGTTCTGGAAGCATTAAAGATAGTCGATCGTACCGGATGACGGTGATATTGGATCTGCTCCGATGCCACTGCATTAGGATTACTTTCATGGCTCAGGATGTAGTCATGGAAGTCCTTCTGGTTGTCTACGTGTTGGACGACCTCATAAAGGCTTTTGGAGCCCGCGGTAGCTCCGTCTTTCAGAGGACTGATAGACAAGCCTTGTCCCACCAAGAGCTTCTCGTTGAAGGTTGCTAGACACGGTCAGCTGCGCCCTATGATACGGGAAATGAAACGAAGCTCACCAAACTTCTGTAATTGCAATCCCAGCCCGGAGTCGCATTCAGCGATCAATTTCTGGATATTGTACACCGCCTGAGGGCGATGGGTTGCAACCAGCTCCTGGCGAGCGGTTTGGGCAGCCTGGACCTTTGCCTGATAGTCCGCATCGGCATTTTGGACCTTGCGGAGTAGATCTTCTTCATGCTGAGCAGCCGACTTGTGGCCTTTCAGACCAAATTTACCGCCCTGCTTATCACCTGTCCGGACGCGATCATATTGTTCCGCCAGTGAGTCGTACTTTGCCTTCGCTTTCTCCGCCGAAGCTTCGGCTTCGGTCACTTTCTTCTCCGCACTCAGTCCGGTTTGCTTCCATTGCTTTCGACCACGTTCAGTGTTCGCCGCGAGTTCGTGAAGATCATCGGCCATCTGTTGGAGGGAGACGGAGAACTGGAGTCCATGGTCGGCCATGCGGTCGTGAAACCGACTCAAGTCATTGTAGCTGGCGCTGTAGTACCCTGGCGGTTATCAGACGAGAGGCGGAGTCGTGGAGGGCGCGCGACAGCTTGCGCAAGCCTTGGGCATGCTCCTCCTCCAGACTTGATCGCTTTTTCAGAAAGGTAGAGAAATCCTGGGTGTGATGTTAGACTAATGGCGGGGTTGGCCATGATCGTGCGGTGGGTAGTAGACGCACCCTAGCTGAAGCAACGCTTTGCTTCCAATCGAGTCAAGAGGGTGTGTGATACCGATCTATCGACGGGTTGTCAGTGGCTTTGTCCCCCGCACACCGGAACCGGAGACGGGATCAACATACATCGGAATAGATGACCTTATCCAAACGAGCTTTCAATTCTTCTGAAACGACTGGAGGAGCCGGATGGGCTTCGGGTTGGGACTGGGGACCGGTCGAGCCCGCACTTAACGGCGGCGCATCGGGATCTCGGGGCGAGGAGGCCGCTTGGGCTGAGGTATCTACGTCGGCCATGAGGTGCAGGAATAGGGGTTCAGGTGGGAGGTAAGGGGAGAATCGAAGTGTTCAAAGATTGAAGGGAAACGAGAACCAGGTGAGCGCGACAGGGAGTTTTAGAGGGAGGGAAAATGGCGGCAGCCTAAACTGGAGATTGAGCAGCAATGGTTTCGTCGCTGGTGTCGTCAGTGGATTTGTTGGAGTAAAGGCGGTTCCTTAGCAGTATGGGGGTTACGTAAGGCGGTTGGGCGACTAATTAGTTAGTTCTGCTATTCTTGGAACCCCGCGGGTTGGGGCTGGTGTGGCTGAGTTTGGGTCAGGTACCTAGGTAAGGTACTTTTTACTTTATTTCATTTACCTTACTTACTTCCTGTACGGAGTATGTGTCTGTCTTGTCAACAAAATATTGTCACGTCAATCTGAACAAAATAAAAGAGCTATCAATGGTTGATGCTGTAGTCGGGGATCATGAAGAGACCATACGTCATCGGAGCAGCTGGCTTGAGATGCATATCTACCTAGGTACCTAAGTCCATGTATACTCCGTAGTACCCGGGTGATCTACAGAGGCAGAGTCAATCATACGGTATGGCAGAATCCCGTGGTTCACGGTTATGATGCTGCACTGCTCATACATAAAAGCTGGTCCAAACGACTGTGAATGCACAACTCTGCCCGCTATGCTCGGCTGACTCATCTGCCGACATCGCGCGCTTTCTCCCCGCCCAAATTTCTGCCGATTTCCGGCACATCCTCATAATGGTTTCACATTCCAATTTGCATGTGTTTGCCTTCCCGAGCGGTCCCATCCCGGCGGGTGATCACCTTGAATTTATACGGAGCACATCCTGATGGATCTGGAGTATCGGAGCGTCCTGGCACCGAGTGGGTTGCCCTCCCATGCCCATCTGATCACACCCTCCGCCACCCCCAGCGACCTTCGGAACAATCCTCGGTTTCCCCGACCCATCTCGACCTACGATCTATCTGCCAGGAGTTCGGAGCCGTGCGAGATGGAGAAGATCCCCCCAATCACCGGAAAGCGCCGCGGGGGGAGTCGAAAGGCCTGTAATGAGTGTAAGCAACAGAAGGTAAGCCTTTCCCTTAGACCGGCGCCGCCCTCCACTTTGATATCGGCCGTCGAACTTCCGCGGCCCAGTGTTCCCTCCTATCTCTGCCCTTTCCCCAGCCCCTAAGCTGAGTATGCATTGTCTCCCCGACTATAGCTCCGATGTGATATCGTTCAGACCCCCGCCGCAGCATGTTCCCGTTGCCGGCGTCTCCAGATCGAGTGCAAGGTGGAGCCCACCTTCAAGCGCATCTCCAAACGAAGGTAACATTTCTCATCCCCATGCCCCGGTGCATCGTTACACGGCGCACGGTCGTGGCTAACCGGTCTCCGTACCAGGCGCAATGCCGAGATGGAGAGGGAGATAGCCGAACTTCGTCGACGGCTTGCTAGCAATGATCAGTCGCATGCTGTGGAAGCAAATGCCAGTGATGAATTATCTCAGTGCTCGGAAGATGTCTTCTGTGGCCCTGATTCGGCCGTGTCCAATCGAACTCGGCCGTTGTCAGCTCCTATCGACCCTCAGCCTCTGGCTACCCCGATGAACATGACTCGGGCCGGCTCCATTCTCTCCCAGGACGATAGTCCATGGAAGTTGGAGGATATCACACTGTCTAGAAGCCGAGTGGGCCGGCTATTTGAACAGTAGCGCTCCCCGCTCCTGATCATCCTGTACCATCAGCATCGTCCTAACTATGTCTCAGGTTCTTCAAGTATTATCACCCCTTCCTTCCACTTCTGAACCCACAGAAGCCGCCGGAGGAATACCATCGGCGTTGTCCGCTGCAGGCGTGGACCATCGTTTGTATTGCAAGCCGACGGGCCCCATCCGAACCCGGCCTTCTCAGTGCCCTTTCTGGACCATTCAGTCGGCTTCTGTGGTCCACCATCACTGCTGTTCCTCAGGACTATCGTGTGGTCAAAGCGTTGTGTCTTCTCTGCACATGGCCGTTGCCGACGACAAGCCAGCGCACCGATGCCACATTTATGCTGAGTGGTCTGATGATGCAGATCTCTATGCAGTTAGGGTTGCACCGTCCCGTCCAGGCCGAAGAGTTCACCACATTCCGAATGGAGGCCCAAGGAGAAGCTGTCAAAGACCGCCTACAGACTTGGGCCATATGTAACGTTGTCGCCCAGAAGTAAGCCCTCCCTGCTGTACCGATGTCGTGATCGAAGATTAATCTCCTCTCAGTGTGGCCACTGGCTACGGCCAGCCTCCTACCACAATCTACGATTGGGCGCTGGAACCGGCTTCTCTGCGAGACGCCGACTATCAGCCTTCGGAAGACCTTCGGGTTCGCTTGCGGATAGAAAAGTTCTGCGATCGAGTCACCAAGTCATTGTACAGCGGCAAGCCGGAACCCGCTGAATTCAACAGCTCGGAAAAGCTGTTGATCGTGCAGCTTCTGGAAAACGAACTGCGCGATATGGAAGTCGATTTTGGTTCAAGCATTTCGAGTCCGTGATCCGTGCCCCGCCCTTCCGCGTGCAGTCTATGCAGTCTAACCTTTGGTAGATATCAACATGATCCATTTGCGTGCCGCTGAGTTACACCTCAGATACTTTGTCTTCCTGGGTTCCAACCCGCGAAGTGATGATTTGACAAAACTCTTCATTGCCACCACATCGTTCCTGGGCCGAGTGCTTGATCTGGAAACGTCTCCGGGCGAGCTCATCGGCCATGCGACGAACTACATTCTTCAGATGATCGTGTCGGCTGCGTTCGCGTTGATGAAGCTGCTGAAGAGCAACTTCAGCCGACATATCGATTTCGAACATGGGAAGCTCTTGTTCAACGGAGCGATCTCGGCGATCCGGCGTATCAGTGTGATGGATCACGATCGGCCCGTGCGTCTGGCTGATATCTTGGCGCAGATGTGGAATGCGGGCGCTCCGGAAGCGGGCGAGGATTCTCTTTTGCTGAAAGTACGTTGCCGCATGAGCATGAGCCACGTCTACGATACGGTGTGGCGATGGCGACAGCGCTTTATGCCGATGAAGAGCATTGAGGATGCTCAAGGTGCGTTCTAGATTCTTTTTCCCCCGTCTCTTTCCACGGCTAATCAATTCCCGGTAGCGACGATGAGCAATACCAACATGTCGACCGCCGCCGGACCAGCCCCCCGGCAGCAGGACAATTCACTGGCTGACCCCGGCCTGATCTATCCGCCCAACTTCGACCAAGGCGCGTTCATCAGCGAAGTGGGTTTCTCCGAGGTGTTCGATTCGCTCAACTGGGTATTCGACGGCATCCCGGATTCCTTTGTGGCTCCACCGGTGATGTAGACGGCCGTTCACGGCGCCCCGACCGGCCGCACGTGGCCGTGTAAAAAAGAAGCGCGCTGCTTTCCTTCGTCATGTATATATCTGTCGATTTCTAACCGAGATACCAAATTTAGCGAGACCAATCAAGGGCCGGAAGCCTCGTAGCTGGAGGACGCAGGAATGCAGTTAGTCATCCTGGAGATAAACTTAGGAACGTGTTGGGTTACCCCACATGCCTCCATCTCGCTCAGCATCGACTCACCTTAAAAAGATCTCTGTCGATCGACCGTTGTTGTTTCCTATTGATTCTATTCACCCACCGGTTGATCACCATGTCTGCGGAGGAAGTCAACGTTGTGGCGATCATGTACCCCAAGCCGGGCAAGCATGATGAAGTGAGTCCCGTCCTCGGCCCATACAGGCCATCCCTAGATTCCTTACCAGGACGCGCACGCATCTGTTCTGTGTCGCCATGGCCCCCAAGGGGATTGAATTGGTTCATGGGCTGATCAGGGTGATGTGCGATCGAACAGCTTTCGAGCCATTTGTCTGAATTGACCCGGCAAGTCCAGGCCCATGAGCCGGACACGTTGATCTACTATGCGTTTTCCATCAAGGACGGGAACGAGATTATGGTTGTGGAGAGGTGCGTTATTGTGCACGCCGTGACCGGAGTGAACGCCATGCTGACTGACTGTCCCAGGTATCGGAACCAAGAGGCGCTGCAGATCCATCTGCTGAACCCGTATTTCCAGGACTTTGGCAAGAAGGCGAAGGAGCTGATGGAACGCCCGTATGATGTGAAGGTGGGGAGTGGCTTTTTGTCGGGGTCGGCGAGTGTGACCCGAGCTTGATCTATCTTCTTGACTTGAGTCGATGGATGGTGGATGGCGGATGGTGGATGGAAGAATGGGTGGTGAATGGGTTGGTTTGGTAGGCTCGGACCTCTGTACATAGTGGTGGACTGCGCCACGGCGGCAGAGCTGGGATGGGATGCAGGCGGCGTTGTGATAAGAATGGGGCAGATGCAATGCAGGGAGTTGTGGCACCCAATAAAGGAGGAGGCGGTGGTTGGGATTGGGACTGGAAGAAGTACCTTACTCTAGTTATGGTATTATATGGTAGTAATAGGGCTGATCGGTTGTTGAGCTCCCTGTCGCTAAGTAACTTATTACTACGGAGTACTCCGTAGTACCTAGGTAGTGAGGTCTTGGATTTGGATAGGTCGAGGTTGTATGGAACCCGCTCCACCCCTGAACCGGAGGACGGAGTGGGTTCCTTGGGTCGAGTGTTTTGGACCGAGTTCAGTAGGATGAGTAAGTACGGGAGTAGGATCTGTCAAGACAAGGGTTTATGCTGGTGGTGGTGGTAGTAGGTACTTCCAGTATATCTACTTCAGTACTTACCTAGGTACCGTTGAACAATAATAGTACTAGGTAACTACGTAGTCCCTAACCTAAAGAATGATGCAGTAGAAGATGTTGTATCAAGTCTTTGCATGATTGGATGATGCATCCAAAAACTGTCAACAAATAAGCGGGCGAAAGACACAAAGCGCAAGAATCGGGCATCCCGACCCGATGCTTCAATCGCATTATGATTGATGCGTTCGCGGTAAGAATAGAATATAGAACTGTCTAGCTAATAATAAAAATCATCCCCAAGAACCAGTGGATATCAGACACTCAACGGGGGTCTCAGCACAAGACGCTAACTCTAGTCTCGGAGGAACATCAACTAACCAACTCCCCCTCAACCTCGTCTTCGCTTCCTTCTTCTCCTCTCTTCTCTTCTCTCCTGCTCCTCGTCCTCCTCTCAACTCCATACCCTTTCTTGTTGATTGTTTCTCTAATTTTTCCTCTTTTCTTTTACCTTGGTTATCCTTGTCAAAGTCCCTGTATCATCGAGTCTCCATATTTCCCTTTTGGTTCGTTCTCGTGCAGATACCCGTCCGCCTTGCGTTCCGCCAATCTTCCAGTCGATCCATCACCTCTTCTCCTCATCTCCTCAGCTCGCTCGCCTCCGTCCCAATTCTCGTTCATTCTTCCTCACCCTCCACACAGAGCCATTCACTTTCAGGATGGCCACCGGTCCCGCGACTCAATCCCTGAAGGTCAGCTGTCGTCCGCTTCCCGTCGCTTATCGGTCGGTCTCCCAAACCGTGGCTAACGGACTTTGGTCTACAGTGTGTCGTGACAGGTGATGGTGCCGTTGGGAAAGTAAGTCCAAACACTACCTTTCATCTCTGCTTCGATCTTCGACCGTCATCAATCAACCGATTCCCACCTCGCACGATTCGACACTGGACCGACTAACCTCCCCGCCAGACATGTCTCCTGATCTCCTATACTACCAACGCTTTCCCCGGTGAATATATACCGACCGTGTTCGTGTCACTCCCCTGAACGGCCCGAAGCGAACCTGTCATTGACTTCTCCGCCCAGATTTGACAACTACACAGCGAGTGTGATGGTGGATGGCAGACCGATCAGCTTAGGACTCTGGGATACTGCTGGACAGGAAGATTACGATCGTCTTCGCCCATTGTCTTACCCTCAAACCGATGTCTTTCTCATCTGTTTCTCCATCGTCAGCCCCCCGTCATTCGACAACGTCAGGGCCAAGGTGATTCCCTCCTGAGGACGACAGACGACGACACGCTACCGAACCCCTGACTGACCCCCCGTGCAGTGGTACCCGGAAATCGAACACCACGCCCCCAATGTCCCCATCATCCTAGTCGGCACCAAGCTCGATCTGAGAGACGATCGGGCCACCATCGAAGCCCTCCGTCAGCGGAAGCAGGAGCCCGTCTCCTACGAACAGGCCCTCGCCGTGGCCAAGGAAATCCGCGCACACAAGTATCTCGAGTGTTCCGCCCTGACACAGCGTAACCTGAAGAGTGTGTTTGACGAAGCCATCCGGTACGTGCCTGCAATTCGTCAGTCAATGACTCCATGCTTACTTCTCCAGCGCGGTTCTCAACCCCCGACCCGCGTCAAAACCGAAGAAGAGCAAATGCTTGATCCTGTAGATGCATTCTATTTTCCTTCCATGGTAATATAAATCACTAATACGGCGTCTGGGTTTGGGTCTCATGCCCTCTGATGATTTGTTTCCTGCGTTGATTCCACCTCTCGTTTGATTGACGATCCTCATGCTTTGTCTCTGGTCGGGATCCACGTCCCGACCCATCTCTCTTTCCCTTCTAATGCCGTATAAAGATGTATCATGCTATACAATATCATGCAATGAATATGCGGATGGGCCGTGTCCATATCTCGGAACTCATTTCGATCCATGCCGACTACACGCTGAGAAGGCAGGTAAATCACCCAAGGACATGCGCTCAATTCATTCATTCCAAAAACAGAACGGAAGGATATCTCGGCGAATTGAACCAGTAAACTTTTAAAGCACATCAACAGAAACTCGCAGCTGTCTATGAATGCAATCCGACTATGCCATGCGGCCCAGGCGACTAGGGTGCACACCCGCATAATCACCCTGTCCAGTTTCTTCGCCGTGTTTCTTCTTCTCCTTTTCCTTCTTCTGCTCCTTGGCGTTGCGCTGTCTCTCCTCGTACAGCTTCTTGTTCTTGGCCTCGATCTTCGCCTTGCGGGCTTCCGTATTTCCACCGCCACCAGCACTGCATCCGTCAGTACGCTGCACGCTCAATATGCAGAAGAACACTCACGTCAGCTCAACATTGATCCGTCGCGGCGGATACTTTCCATCATCAAACATCGAGTGGTGGTACAGCTTGAGACAAGTCTTCATCCGGTCGTAGTTGTCGAACTCGACGAATCCAAACCCACGACACTTGGTCGGCTTGTCCCGCTGCGTCGCGACACGCACCGACAGCGGTTGGATTTTCGCAAAGTGGTTCGTCAGCGATTCGTGGTCGGCGGAGAAGGGCAGGTTGCCTGTGGAACGGTCAGTCAGCGCTCGCGCATCGGTGGGCTGGGACGCAACGTACCGACGAAGCAGATGAATCGCGCGCCCTTTTGCTTCTGGGCGTTGTCCTCAGCCGTTTGTTCCTCGGGCGCCTCGCTGTCGGCCGCCTTGGCCTTCTTTTCCTTTTTCGCCTTCTTGTCCTTCTTGGACTTCTTGTCGTTCGTCGCTCCGTCCGCGCCGTTTGTTGCCGGCTGTGCGGTCTCTGCAGCGGGCGTTACGTCCACGTCCATGGCGTCCGCGGACGGCTGCTCTGCAGCGCTGGTTTCGGCGGACTGGTCGTCGCTGGCCTCATCTTGCTTCTTCTTCTTTTCTTTCTTCTCCTTCTTTTCCTTCTTGTCTTTCTTCTCCTTCTTCTCTTCCTTGTCCTTCTTTTCCTTCTTCTCTTTCTTGTCCTTTTTCTCCTTCTTCTCCTTCTTTTCGGCCTCCCCGTTCTGGACAGGAACCTCTGCAGGCGTCACAGCATCAGCGACCTCCTCCGCCTTGCGCTTCTCCTTCTTTTCCTTCTTGGACTCCCGCTTGGCCTTTTTGCCCTCGGGGAGGACCGCGTCCTCGGGGTCGTTCTTGCGCTTTTTGTCGCCCATTGCAGATCGACTGACTTGAATAATATATAGACTCCGGGAATCGTCAAAACAAATAGCAAATGTATAGCAAAATGAACTTTAGAAAGGAAAACAAAATGCGGAGATAACGCTGGAAAATATGACGGACGGCGGGCAAAAAATTGGAAATTTCCTTTTTTGCCGGGCGGAGACATCAGGCGGTGAGCGCGTTCTCCATCTTATCTGCCTGAGGCATTATATGGTGGGTGGGACTAACCCGTTTGGGCGAGCTGCCAACGTCCATCTCTCTCCATGTCGCAGTTTGCTTTCGATCAACGCTTCGAACGTTTGGACCGCTGAGTGAATGCGTCTGCAGGAGTGATAGAGGTGCATTCACTGGGTAGCTGCAGTGACTTATGGCTGTTCGATTCCTAAAATGAGCTGGAGGATGCCTTCACTTCTGGTCGGAGACATAAATATATCTCCCTCTCCCATTTGTCTGACTCTTTTTCCACCTCAAACAGCTTTCCTTTCCTTTCTCTTGCCTATATAGTCAAGGATTTATGAAGTCTATATATATTCTTCAACTATGTTCTTGACATCGGGCATTGGGATCCATCATCCACCAAAACATGTGTCGCGTACCAGGCGTGTGCAGGCATATGGTGCACTGTGAGGCAAAAGACCAGTCCATTTCGTTGTAGTGGATGCGTAATGTAGTCCAGTATGGAGTGCTTTAGTGGTTGGAAGCGAATAATTGGGAGCCTCAAGTTACATTATGGTTGTCTTATCATGTCCGAATTTCTCAGAAGTATAGAAGAAGAGCATGTGAAATACATGGGTTGAAAGAACATCTCAATAGAAGCAATAGCCTGAACCTATACAACGCCTGTCGTGCACTCATCTAAAAGACCAAAATCTGAATCTTCTTCTCCTTGGCCCCATATCGCTCCTTGAATTCAGAGCGTGTCAGAAGTTGTAGCAGAGGGAAGTGCGTTTCCTTCATGTCGAAGATTCCCCGCTGCTTCTGGTCAACGTAAGAGCCGTCGATAACGATGCGCTGTAGATCATCCAACTTCAGAGAGCCTGTAGTCGTTAGAAAACCGAGACAAACATAGAGTCTCTCTATTCACATACCTGCGTCGATCAGATCAGAAATACGAGCGGGAGTGCCAGCTCCGATACCCGTACTGTGCAAGTTAGTTGAGTCGTCTATATAGAAAGTTGCAAAGACTCACCGAGCTCGTTCCAGGAATTGCTTCGCCTCCTCCAGTTTGATGTGCTTGGCGAACAGCTTGCCAATGATAGATTCTTTCGTTTGGAACGAACGAAGGGCTCTATATACAAGGTCAGGATCCCGCTTTGGAGTTTCCTGTCTTCGGTGCGACCTACCTCACAACATCCGCGGCTCTCAGTCCACCGGGAGAAACTACCAGCGTGTGGGGAGTACCCTTTGCTTCCGAGGCTTGGGCAAGACCGGCTCCTTTGTTAGGAGAGAACGCTTTGAGAAACGCAGGAAGCTGATCCAGCTGTCGGGGTGCATCGAAGGACGAAGTATCAAGGAATGCGACATCTATACAGTCAGCATTCGATCAACTGGGCATGCGGAGAGCAATCATACCCGGAATACTCAGATCACTCAGCTCGACAGAAGTAAGGTTCTTGTTATGTCTCTTTGACTTCTGCATGAGGTGATCGGCGAGTAATCCGCCGTCCATCTTTCCAATGTCCTCGTTGATGCTGCCTTTGCTCTCGGTGACCTTGGGATCTTTCGGCTCCGCATTCTGCTGAGGCTTATCTTTCTTGTCTTTCTTGACCTTTCGATTTTTCTTGTCTTTCTTGTCGTTCTTGCCTCCCTTATTCTTGTTATCCTTTCTCTTCTTGTTCGGGCCCTCCGCGCCCGCGGACGGAGCAGCAGCCTTGTTTTCTTTCGACTCCTCGGCCTCTCTCTTGCGCTTCTTGTCGACCTTTGTCGAGAGACCAGATGACTTGGGGGGTTCAGCAGACATTGTGGTTTTGCTGAGAATGCACTTGTGCAAGTTATAGCACTAGAACTCTTTCAATGGCGGGTTGTGAAGAGTTAAAAGAGAAATTGTCGCATGAAGCTCTTGATTCCGCGACAACTTTTTATGCTTACTCAGCCACCATCCTTATCGATAAGGCCGACCAATCAAAGTGCGGGCATCATTATTATGGTTGCGACGCGCTTCAATGATTAACTTGTGTTCATCCCACCTCTTCTCTCCTTTCTCTTCGCATATTCCCGTGTGCCATTGCCCAATCCACCTCCATACAATTTTATAGTTCTCCCAGATTCCGCACTTTCATACCCCCTTTATGCCAGCCAATTCCGTCCACTGAGCCCACCGCCATGTCAACAACCCCCAACCCGCGCGGCCGCCGCTCGCCGCGAGCGTCCGACGTCTCTGAATCATTCACCCCCATCGGAGAAACAACACTCACAGGCGTATGTCCCTCACAAAGAGTTATTTGGCAAAATGAGACTAATGTAGGCTCATGAAGTTGCGGCGACTCACCGGTGCAACGAGATACCCGCTCACGCCTAGTCGATTCGCAACGGGAACCCCCTCTCGCTTCACGCCGCGGAGTAGGGGCGTAGGCGCCCCGTCCACGCCCCATGGCCTACGTGCGATGCAGCGCCGGGCGGCGAACACGCCTGGTCGCGATCGGAGACGGAGTGGACGAGTCCAGCGGGAGACGACGTTTGATATTCTTCGGAATCTGGGAAAAGGTACGACATCCGTCTTGCGTGCAGCTACGCAATGCATGCCATGAGTCGGTTTGGTGGATTCGGGCTGACAGAAGTAGCTCTTGCGCCAACATCGCAGCCGATTAAATCTTCCCCGCAAGACCAACGACCTCCCGAGCCTGAACCGGAAAGAGACGAGATCGAGGAGCTGGATAACGAACCCGCGGTAGAGCGGCCGCGGTTGTCGTTGCCGTTGGAAGATGTGGAAGAGGTTGATGAAGCTAGCCCCGACCCCCGACCGCCTCGGCTGTCTCTCGCATTCGAAGACGATGGGACCGGCGAGGTTGACGTGGAGGACATCACGGTGGAGTACCCGCGTCGAGACATTAGTGATCGCGACCGCGCAAGGCTGTCGATGATGAGTTTCGGCGGTCCGCGATTGAGTGAACATTTTGGGGAGGCTACCCAACTGGAGAGTGAGTCTGAAGGTGGAGATGATACGGGTCTCGCCCACGATGAAGGAGCAGACGAGACCATGATCAGTCAGGGTGCCTTCGACGCTGGGTAAGTGGAATAACTGGATTGTCTGTTTTACAGGGTGCTAATATACATATAGTGGAGAGACGGATGACCTGGGGCGGTTCAATTTCGACTTCAATTTCCCATCTCCTCCGCCACCAGGGGAGGGAGATGACATGGATGGACCCCTGCATGACGATGATGGATTTGAGCTTCCGCCTGTTGACTTTGCAGCTGATACAGGCGCTGCTTCAGATGACAGCGGCGACGCTGGTGATACAGCCGGTGGTTTTGGCCTGGACCTCAATATCCAGCCCCGTGTCTCGCTGAGCGAAAGTCCTGGGATTGTCGGGGGAGGGTTGCGCGAAGAGGAACATGTTGCACCAGGAACCAAGCAGAAGAAACTGTCCCGACATGGAATCCCCGTTCCCAACATGCCCTCCGGAGTGATCCGCAAGCTGGCTACCAGGTTCGCACCTTCACGAGCTGGGTCAAAAGCAAAGATCAGCAAGGCAACACTGGCTGCCATTGAGCAGGCCTCCGCGTGGTATTTCGAACAGGCGGGAGAGGACTTGGCGGCATACTCGAAGCATGCTGGGCGAAAGACAATCGACGAAAGTGATGTGATAGCGTTAATGAGACGGTAAGTTGACTGTCTCCATACCAGAGTCAGGATACTGATTTATTAGGCAACGCCATCTCAATAGCGCCAACACGGTCTTCTCCCTCGCACAGAAGCATTTACCCAAGGAACTCTTGCAGGATATGAGACTGGCGATGCCGCCATGAAAGACAAATAAACACAATGCAATTCCCTAAACAACAAAACGCCGCCAATGAATGCGCCAGTCAAGAGTGATCAGATCTACCAGTTCCGGTTCTGACGGACACGACGTGTGGCCTCGTTGGGTCTCTTGCGGATGATCATCCACAACATGATCGATGTTGCGAAGCACAGGCCATACCTGATGAGAATGAGCCAAGTCCGACATTATTGATATGAGGAGCTTGGGGGATGATCGCACACTTACCATGTGAAGATGTATTGACTGTGGTTATTCCTCAGGTTCACCTCCGCCGCACGGCCGATGGGAATACCCTTGGGCTCTCTGTCCAGGTGTTCCACCATGTCCGGGACTAGAGACGTCAGTGTCAATCGCATCATAGCCAGGTAGGACTGTATATTAGCTTACTCATGGTCTCTTCAATCAAAACCGGCTGACTGCCGGTCAGTTCAGCCATCTGTTCCACATCAGGAAAGTAGAACTTCCCATCCTGTGGCTTGTTCTCCGGCGTAAACATGTTCTTCTTGTACGGCTCCCGTAGCAGACCCTCGACAGTTACCTCCCCCTGTGGCAGTCCTACCGCACGATCCTTCTGGTCCACCATCTTGCGCGAAATCCACCCGCGATTGACCAGCACGGTACTCTGACCGTCGCCGCGCTCGAGGGGCGTGATGACGACGTAACCATCCTGACCCTCGCGCATCCGAGGCCCAACCAGCATCTCCTGATCATGTCTCAGACGTCCGGTGGCGTAGACCCGACGATAGTCAAATTCCGAGATAACCTCCGGGTCAATTTGCGGAGGCAGCGGGAGCGGCGGCTTGATCAGACGGTCTTCGTACTTGGCAATCAGTTTGGTTTTCCAATCGAGGCGCTGAATCTGCCATGTGCCGAGGGCGAACGAGATGATAGGGATCAGGGCTATACATATGTTGATTAGCCTATGCGCTTCCGCAGCTTGAATGCGCCATCAAACACATACCCAGGATAATCAGACCAGGGCCATGCTTCCGACCTGTCCGGACAATCTGCGCAGGGTGATCGACGACCGACAGCCAGCGCGGATCATCTGCCATCTGGTTGAACTGGCTTTGGAAACGGATCTGTTGAGTGCGGCATCTGGCGCAAATGGAATCCAGCTTGAAGACCATGCGAGAGCTTCGCAGCGACGCGGTTGGCGGCTGCCATGCCGTTGCGGCGGTCCGATGAAGGACCGAAAAGATAGACCGCATGGTCAAGTATAGACCTAGCGTTAGAACCCGATGGGTTGCGAGAGGGATTGAATTGGACTTGTGGGCTGGCTGGCAAAAGGGCGTTGAGGAAGAAAAGAATCGGAGTGACGGGCGAATTTCCGAGGGGCGCTCGTGATCGGCGGCCGGCGGCCACTTGGTCCGGGCAGCTACATCATCTCAATCATCGTCCTCTCCTCGTCCACGACGACGCTTTCTACTCCCTTATTATCTACTCAATGCCTGCAATGTTCTTCTCCGGAACCCTCCAGGAAGGCATCGCCTTGGCGGTCTCTCAGGCCAAAGCGGTGATCTGCTTCGTTCGCGGTTCGTTGTCGCCAGCTTTCCCCGGTTGTTTGTTCCCCGCATAACTGACACCGTCGCGCAGACGATGGAGAGACGAGTTCGCAATGGGAGGAGGAGTATTTTTCAGATGAGGAGGTAATTCTACCATTTGGGAATTGCATTATAGAGGCTGACATTTAGTTTGTCCGCAGTTCGCGCAGCAGATACTGGCCACGAAATCCGTTCTGCTACGACTCCCCAAGGATAGCCAAGAGGCCGGGTTTTTAACGTCATTCTGTCCGATTACCAAGTTTCCTACAGTGGTTGTGATCAAGTATGGCTGAGCGTTTGCGATCTTATCTTTGGGACGTATTTGACTGGTGTTCAGGAACGGCATGCTCCGCGACTATATCGTGCCCGAGATCTCGAAGGACCACTTCCACGCTCGATTGCGCGGCCTGCTTGACGGCGGTGATGCTTCTGGACAGCCAGCAACGAGTGCACAGAATACTGCTACGAATCAATCCGCGACGTCTACACCTGCGCCAGCCCCTGTCCCTGAACCACAGCCTGCATCTACTCCAGTCGAACCTCGCCCCGAACCACGTCCATCTCAAACACAGACCCAGAATGTACAGACAACAGGTGCTGCAGGGACGACAGGGAGAGCCCAATCATCTGAGTCCACTCCCGTGGCTCAGTCGTCTGTATCAAAACCGCAACCCCCTAAATCAAAGCATGATCCCGTGCCGAAGTCTCGTCAACCTAAGCAGGAAAGTAAGCCTAAGGAAGAACAAAAGCCAAAGATTAGTATCACGAAACGCCAGCCGACCGTCGAAGCTGTCGATGAGATCACAGAAGAACGCAAACCTTCGGCCTCCTTACCTCCCACACAATACCGGTTGCAGGTACGGCTCTTTGACGGAAGTTCCATTCGGTCGAGTTTCGCTCCCTCCCACACGATACGTCGAGACGTCCGTCCTTGGATCGATAGCCAGATCACAGAGGGCAAACGCCCCTACAATCTCAAGCATATCTTGACGCCACTGCCAAACCACACGCTCACTATTGCCGAAGAAGAACAGAGGCTCGAGGAGCTCGGCTGGGGTTCAAGCGCTAATTTGGTCATGGTCCCCATCAGCTCGTACACCGAAGCATATTCTTCCTCTTCGTCGAGCTTGCCAGTGCGAGCCGTCTCCTCCGTGTACGGACTTGTTTCTTCGGCGGTGGGTTTAGCAACCGGTCTGGTAGGGTCTTTCTTGCCCTTCGGTTCCGGTCAAACAACGCCTTCTGAGGCAACCCCCACGGCGAACACCCCGTCATCCGGTAACAGCACGCCGAGATCGCGTGCCCCAGCGTCCAGAGGACCCAATATCCGGACACTGAGGAACCAAGCTGGGGAACAGGATGACCGACAATTCTACAACGGGAATCAGGTATGCGGCTTGTGTTTTGTCCATGTCTCATCACTAACTCGTGCTAGCTGAATTTTGAGCCTCGGCGTGACTCAGATACCCGATAGGAGAGACTGTAGCGAGTACGTAGTCGTGGCGTTTGGTTTGGTATACACTGGGAAGCTATTGTCATATCTGAAGCGTGTATCAACTAGCTGCAGAGTGGAATGTGTCTTTTTATTATATTTTGCTTTGTCTGGCGGATCCGACCAGACGGTTAAATAAGAACCATGTCAAACCCAAAGTACAGATGGTATACAGGATCGGGAGATTACGCCGCTATGCAAACACAACCCAGGACGAAGCCGTCCCCGGTATCGAAACAGATTTATGTATTGGATGAGCTCCATAACATCACAAGCGTGCACCAACGTCGCCTAGTAAGGCTTAGCCGCCGCCTGGCAAGCTTTCTATAAACCCATTAGTACGTTCCACACCCACTTCTACACCCGTTATAACCATCGGAAAACCTACCAGCTGGTCCAGATACCATCCGCAGATGCTCATGTTGCCCTGGTTCTCGTCCATGCACTTGCGGAAGTTGCGCACATCCGTCTCGCAGGCCGGGTTCTCCCAGGAGCTGTTGGTGGCGCTGCTCTGCCAGAGCCCGGCGTCCATGGGCTGGGCCTGGGCCGGGGGCGGCGCCTGCTGGGACTCGGCTGGGGCGCTGGAGCCGCCACCGCTGAAGAGGCCGCCGATGGCGTGGCCGATAGACGAACCGACGGCGACACCACTGCGAGAAGATTCTGTCAGTCTCGTTTCGTTCTTCCGAGGACGGACGGCTTTAGCCGAGGATGTTGGGAGCGGTACTTACGCGGCGGTCGACGCCATCTGGCCGAACAGTCCGGGGCCGGCGCTCTGCTGCACGGGAGCCGCCTGCGGAGGAGGGTGAGGGTAGGCCTGCTGCTGCTGCGGGTGGGCGGCGGTCGAGTGAGGCTGCTGCTGCTGGTGCGACTGCGGCGCAGCGGCCGGGCGGGCGGGCGCGGCGGTCGGTCTGGTAGGGGCGCTGCGGGCGGGAGTAGGGGCCGGAGCGGCACCGCGACGTTGACGAGGCATGGTTGAGTGTGTGGGGGTGGTTGATGTATGTGGGTTGAGGTGGATGATGTGGTGGTGAGAGAAGGAGAAAGAGAGGGTCTTATATTGCGGAAGTTGAGGCGGAGAATCACACCGTCGGGCGGAGAATCGCGAAAAGTCCGATGGCCGCGGGTGATTGGTGGGTGTGGGGTATTATGTCAGCAGAGTCGGGGATTACGGTGCCGGTAATACAGTTGTATCTTAGCCGGGATTTCGTGTATTCTATGTATCGTGTTACGCTCTCTTTCCGACAACATCTGCATGTATGGGATAGTGGCTGTGTGCAGGAGGGAATCCAAAGTTGTTGCCTTCTATTCGTAGAGGGAGGCCGTCAAATAGATAGTAGATGTCTACTTTGGGGGTATATTACAGATGATGAGCCAAATTCTAAGGACTGTTCAGGAAAAGACATTCTAGACGTGCTAATACTTTGCCCCAAGGTATACTTTCTCAAACCAAGGTGACAAGTTAGCTATTTTGACGATAGATGTGCACTTGTCGGCGTGAGGCGCACCCAGAGCGGCTTATTCTCCCAGACAATGTAGCTCCGTGCATTGTCCCAATCGGTGGTCCGGGGGTCCAGCGTGATATCAAAGTGCCAGATGAGCTTGGAAAGGATGGTTCTCATTTCAGCGTAGGCAAGGCTGATGCACAGGTCAGTCATTGTCTGTGCCGGGGACCTTTGATAGGGAGCAAACCATACTTTCTACCGATGCACGCCCGCGGCCCATATGAGAACGGCTGTAGCGCTTCTCGCTTATCGTTGCGGAATCGACTATCCTCGTTATCTCTGAGCCAGCGCTCTGGAAGGAAAGAATCCGGTTCGGCAAAGTTAGATGAACTGCGGAAGGTGGGATAGTGTGCCACGGACACAGATACCTATAGCCATTTCCATTCATATCCCGAGTCAGTCGACTAGAGTTCTCAATAGGGAAGGGACAGAAACATACACCTCCCGGTATATGCTCTCCATTCACCACAGCGCCACCCTCGGGGACCAGCCGGGGCCCGATGGCTGGCGCTGGCGGATACATTCGCAGGCTTTCTTCGATGATTGCATTGAGGTACGGGAGCTTTCCAGCGGCAAGAAAGGTGATCTCCTCGTCCTTGGAGAACGCCTGACGGACTTCTTCCGTGAGCGCCTTGTAGCACTCGGGGTTCTTCTGGAGGTAGTAGACACATGCCGACAGCGTGGTGGCAGTGGTCTCGCTGCCGGCGGCGATCAGAAGGGCGGCATTGACTTCAATCTCGGAGCGAGACATGCCCCTCTCGTCATTGTATTTCAGGATGTACGATATGAAATCGGGCCGGGTCGTGTCCATGTCCAGCCGTCGAGTCACCATCTCCTTGCTGAGACGGTAATGGTCCGCTCGCTTGCGGAGGAGACTCTTTGGCATGAAGTACCGGATGATCTTAGCAAGCGTGGGATAGATCGTTAGAGCGCGGAGAAGGGCGCCGGTCTTGATGCTCTGGAAAAGAATCGCAACCCACGGATGATATGCGGAATCCTTCAGACAGCCGAACGGCTCCCCGAAGGCCAGATCGCCAACAATGTCGAACGTGAGATAGTTCAGCCAGTGGAGTAGATCGACGTCCTGTGAGTTGTTGGCCAACTCCCCCAGACGTGTGATAAACAGGTCGATATAAGCCATGACGAGAGACTCCTGGTCTCGCAATGACCGCTCCGAAAACGCATGCGTCAGGAGCCGTTTTTGCCGCGCATGGTCTGCCTCGCTCGAGTTGATCAGGTTGGTGGACCCGTTCGATGAGGGAATGTAGAACTCGGGATCCTTGCGGAAGGGCGGCGCGCCGGCCTTGCGGTGGCCGTAGATATCTGTCCACGCCTGTGGATCGCTGAAGGTGAGGGAATTGGGTCTTATTCGAACCACATCGCCATGCCTCTCATGGAGCTCTCGGATGCGCGAGTGCAGTTGACCCGTAACTGACCATTTGGTGTAGGGCAGATTAGAAATCGCTGCCAGCTTCGGCCCGGGATACTTGCTCAGTGGGTGGAGGAGCACCCGGTACACGATGCGGCAGACGAGGCCAGCGATGGCCTGTTGAGATGCTGTTAGTCCAGTGAGCGTCTCAGAGACAAGCAGCAAAACATCCCACCGTAGTGAGCAGGATATTCCATCCCGCCATAATCTCGCCTGCTTCCTTTCTGGGGATGGCTTCGAGGGGTGACAACGCCAGATGTCAGCTGAGACTTCCAACTTAGTGAAGTACAAAGATGAAAGCTAGACACGATTCCTGCAAGGTAATCAGGTAGACTGAAATCCGGCTGAGCTGACTGATCGTCCTGTGTGCATCCTGTATGCATCCTGCGTGCATCGATGTATGCAGGCCAAGAGGACACAGCAAGGAGCCAAATGGCGGTATAGGAATGGAATGGACTCTAGGGATTGGCAGTATCATTTCTTCAGCTCTTGATATGTACCTGCCGCATGAATGTAATATGTAAGGAATGTCCAGCATTCTCGGGGCTGCTATACGCAACATTACGTAGCGTTCTGCAGGGCTATCCACAGCATGAATGCCCTCCTCCACACATACTTGCCGAAGCATTGATTCTCCTGTCTCACTTCCTCATCCGAGACTGGCTTAAGCGTTGTGGAATCAAACTCATGCGTCTACATCCAACGTCGTCCAAGCAACGATAAAGTCGTATTATCTATCTTGCGTCATTCAGGCATTTGTGTTGTAAAGTGCAGTCGAACGTATGTGCAAAGAACCAGAACATGATCAGACGATGCGTCTCATAACCTTCACCGCCGACTCACCATAGGGGCTTTCGAGCGCCCTGACCGCGAAGGCAGTAGCAAGACCCCGATTGCCTACGTTCAGGCCGAAAGAGGCAAACCGGTAAACCCACTCCACTGGCCAGCCGCCATCCTCGCATTGTTTTCCCCTCAAGCTGTCCATGTCTCTCGCACTGTCGATACCAAAGCTACGGCAGGCAAGGATCCGCGCTGCCAATGAGACCGCTTCTCCAGGTGCGCCCACCCGCTCACGCAGTCGGTCTACCAGAGGCAAGACAAGTTGTTCCCGTAGGCTCTGATTCCGGACTGCCAGGCAGAGGCGTGCAAGGAAAAACAAAAACAAATCGGGCGATGGGTAGTATCGGGTGCCCGAGAGATATGCCCGGTTGATCAGGATGTCTCGAATCCAATGGAACGTTGGAAGGACGTCTCGCTCTCGGTTATGCCTGCAGAAAACACCCAAGACGTTGATACATACGACTGGGTCGACTCGAGGGCGCGAGGAATCGAAGTAAGTCTGCAGTCGCATTAGCCGGATGCTTGGGACAGCGTCGGTGGTCGTGCGCATACCATAAAGATACCGTCATCGGTGACGAATTTAAGCATCTCATCCAGGACAGAAGAGACCACATCCTCGGCCACAGGAAGGACCGAGAGAGCCATAGATGTGGTGTCCATGTCATCGGGGAACGTGGCTGTTGTGAGCTTGGGAGGCCCTAAACGCATCGTGTGAAGATTAGCGAATGACTGATGCAGAATGAGATGTTACAACGAACCTATGAAGTAATTCCAAGTCCTTTTTCCAGCCTGAAGCTTCACCAATTCCCTGTCCTATCCGTCAGTCTGATGGTACGACACTGTATCATTTGCGCGACGACGCCGCCGCCGTACCTGTCCTGGGCCAGCTCCAAGATGAGGAGCTGAGCAAAATTATCTTGGATAGTATCGCCGGTGTTGGTCACACTATCCATCTTTTTCGCATTGGCCGCTAGGAACTGCAGGCCGCGATGGACCGGATCGCCCAAGAAATTTAATACAACCCGACGGAGATCTTGCTGACTCTGAAATAGAACGCCTCGGATCCCTACCGACTGGGCGGCGATGACATTCTCCAACTTGTCATCTATAAACATGATCGCATCGCCTGATAGGCCAATCTCCTCCATCACCCGCTGGTAGAAGCAGATGCTCGGCTTCCTCATGCCCATGAGACCGGATATATATATCCTATCAAACACAGGATACTCCGCGTTGATTGAATGCATTACGTCTTGCTCTGGCCGGGGCGTGTTGGTCATCCCACACACCATCAACTCGCCCCCGGCATCCTTCTTGACTTGCTGGATAAACAACAGTGTCTCATGGTGAACCTGCAGGCTCTTGCGCGCCTGTTTCAGCGTGTCTTCCATGTCCGCGGCGCTGATATGAAAACGGTCTGCCACTCTGGCATAGCAGTCCTCTCTCGAGTACCGTCCGCACTCGTAGTCATGCCATATGTCAGAGGACATGATCATTTTGAGTATCTGGGGCGGCACCGCAACATTGCTGGGAGGCTTCCACGAGCAGAGAACATTGGAAAAGTCAAGAATAAGCGCCTTAACTGGACCCTTGGTGATAGCCATTGCTTTTTTTTGGCCAGACACCCCACAGCAATTTGAGAACCTGGGTCAACGGGGGACTGCCATCAAGATATAAAGTTAGTAAAAGACCCTGCTGATCATGGGTTGGTGGGAAAGGGGGCCGATGTCTCATGGACTACCCTATGAGACTGCTAACCTGTGCAAGATAGAACAACAACGAGATCCTCCCTTGCTCTAGCACCATTCCTCTAGCCCCATTCCAACATACGTGCACTGTCTTTCGCCACCCATCCCACTGCATAGCGCCCTTGCAGCGAAAACATGCCTCCTTGCCACGCCTAGTACGTCCCACAACATGTTTCCTTGCCACGCATAGTACGTTACACGACCGCTGCTCCCTGATAGGAGACTTATCTGCACGGAACGTGTCGATTGTAGATGGCGAGAATGGCGAGAATGACGATAAATATTCCTCTGTAGACCATCCGCTCATTGCGATCCGAGGCTTATATTGTAAACCAACTTCGTCAACTTAGCTGAACTCGAAAGATGGACGATCAGCTCCGGCTCATATGGTCCCACGTACTGGATTGCGATCCACAGGAGATTGACAATGACATGAACTTTTTTGAATGTGTGTTATCGACTCCATACCATTGGCCTGTGACAATTCTGACCGTGCTTGCACAGTTGGCGGCGACTCTGTAAGACGTCCGAGGCGCAAAGACGAGTTGATACTAACCACAAGGACCAGGTCAAAGCCATCCAAGTCGTCGCAGAAGCCGGATCGCAAAACATCTGGCTGGATGTCGAGGGCCTCGCCACTCGTGAGCCAAACTGCTAAATGAGCTCCACTGCCATGAATCTGACAAGTCCAACAGATCCCACTATTGGCTCCTTGTCATTGTATCTGTCACAATCTGCCCGGAAAGGCAAGGGTACGGCGCCCTCGAAGCCTCAGACCTCACCCTATGAAACGTACGACACGTCCATTATCGAGGAACCCCATGCTCTCAGGGCATTAGCACACAGGATTGCCCCGGTTGCACCTCTTCAAAGTATGTGTCTTCAGCTTAGGACCTCGTTCACCCTGTCTGACGGTATGAGTAGAACGGATTCTCGAACATACCGAACAAAGGATATTAGCTCCACTTATTTTTGTCTACGAGCTGAAGGGCAACGTGGACGAGGATAGAGTGGTTGATGCCCTTAAGGCCCTCACGGCAAAGCATAACATCCTGCGCACCACCTGGGCCAAGACCAGCATGGGTTATTGCCAGGTCCTTCTCCACGAATGCGAGGTACTGTTCTCGACCGTGCGTGGGAGCATTGGCGATCATATCAAGGAGTGTGAGCGCACAGTCTTTGGTCTGGCAGAGCCAATCGCTCGCTATGCTTTGGTCTACACAGACCATGGCTCGACCTTCTTGACGATCACCATCCACCACGCTTTTAATGATGCTTATAGTCGCACTCTGTTAGAGCGCGACCTGGTGCGAGCACTTCGAGCTCCAGATGGCTTGAAACGAGACCCAACTCCACCATGGTTCGGTGATTTCTCATACTACCTGGTAGATCACATCGATCCAACGGCGACCCTGGAGTATTGGCGCAGGTATATCGGTGAATCCACGGCAGAGATTTTCTACCGGACTCCCTCCGACCTCGAAGGAGTTGGGGGCATCGAACAAGTGTTGCATCATCGACTGGATGCAGGTCTCCAGGTTGGAACCAGCACGGTCATACTCGCGGCCTGGTGTCTGGCTCTGGCCAGTCACTCGGGCCTGGACGACTTTGTCTTCCTGTCTGCAAAGATGGGCCGCAGCCTTCACTACCCAGGCATCGACCAAATCCTGGGGCCGATGTTGGGGGTCTCTGTGGTCCGGTTCCGGACCCCGGAGAGGAGCTGTTCGACGCAGAAGTTCCTTCAGGATATCCTGCGGGAGTCGTCCAGGCACGGGCCCTACGAAGCGGGAATGATGCCATCCGTCCTCCGTCAGCTGCGGCCCATGCAATGTCAACTGAACATCAGACTTGGGACACCGGGGATACCTAAGACCCGAGTGACGGATGAGCTGACTATCTGCCACCGCAGGGACCTGCAGCCGATTGATTTCATCCCCCAGTCGGGAGTTTACTTTGGGGTGGATCAGCATCCTGAGGGCCTTCATTTTATCCTGAGGTATCAGCGCAAGCATGTCAACGACGACCGCGCCAACTCCCTATTCAAGAATTTTGCACGCCTGTTGATGCGCATTTCCGCATCTCCTGCGGATGCTCCTATCGGGGAAATAATTAAGGGCGTCGATAACGTGGGTGATGGTGTGCAGGCTTGACCATTACATTCATCCTATTTTTGCTCGTGAGGGAGATAGTTTGTTCCGGGGATTGAACAAGATCACAAGGGGGACGACCAAAGTACTTAGGAGCTGTTCAAAATAAAAGACTTGTTGTTCCTCAGACATGCTTATAGGACTTGGTATCATATATTGTCATGTCAAGAGGGGAGGGTCGATCAGAACGACGATGAGATTGATAGAAGGGTAGAGGGGCGCTAGGTCTAAAGAGGCGTCTTTGAAGCCTAAGGCTCCAACCTTTATCATCCAAACTCCAAGTAGCTGGCTTCAAAATGCCGACAACGGTACGTCAAGGCAACCTACGGTTGTCCTTCTCGACTCAGAAAGAGTGGCGAACATCTACGGTGTACGGAATTGCTAGAGCCCTACAAATACACAAGAGTCGTGCACTTAAATGGTTTGATTCGTCTTTGTATCAAATTGGCTTATCCATCACCGACGCCCTTTATGTACAGAGTAAGCTCTATCAAAAGAGCACCATTGCAGCCTCCAGTTATGGCCTGCAGGAGACCACTATCAACTGCCAAACAAATGAAACAGTGCTGAGCTCCTGTTTCATCGGGAGATTGACCGCCGATCACCGGCGAATTCCAGCTTGAGACCAGTTTTGGCGCATCCCATATTGACGTAGGTGGGACGCACTGATGTTCCCACAGCTCCTGGGTAATCCCCGAAGGACCATTGCGGCCCCATTGAGAGATTTCGGACCGCACAGATGGATATTGGCGGAAGAAGCGAACATACAGCTGAGTCCAGAGCCGCGACAAGATAGTCGGTCCAGCCGGGCCATACATTGTCGGGTATGTAGTATATCGTGAACGAGTTCCTGATGGTTATGATTGTCTCGCTTTCCGCTTTTCCATCTTCTTCTTTCTCCGCTCTTTGCTCTCCTCCTTGCGGCCTTCTTTGCTTCGCTTGTTCTTCTTCTTGGCTGACTTGTCGCCAGACCCCTCGGCTTTTTCCTTCTTCTTGCCCTTGCTTTTGGATTTCTGTTTCTCCGCGGCTTCGCCTTCAGATCCTTCGTCCGAGCCGGACTCCGATCCGCTCGTAGGGTTTTTGGATGATTCTGCCGGTGTCGATCCAGACTTCTTGGCCAGTAGCGATGCCTTCATCTGTGCGCGCGCCTTCTCCTTGGCCTCCTGTTCTTTCCGCTGCATGTCCAGCTTGTCATTGCCAGCCTGGCCTGTGTTAACACCTCACTCGGCAGTCGCGAAAAGGTATACGTACAAGTCCATGTTTGATGAAGCGTCCTGCGGCTTCCTTGTCGAGTTTCATCGTCCGCTGTTCAGGCTCTGTCTCCAACGCTTTGATCTTCTCGAAGTACTGCTTTACCCGCGTCAACTCCCGAAACACGGGATGTTCTTTAGCGTTCACTCCATGAAGACGGAGATAGGCTAAAGTCGTCAGTATATAAACAGGGTCATGGGAAAACTAGCAACATACAGAAGACTAATGATTCCAGCGCGTAGGTGACCAAGACGTGAAATTTCGCCTTGTCCAGCACAGGAAGCTTTTTGGACGTCTCCGTGAGCGAGCTCTTCAAAATTGGGCCCAGAATCTCCTCCAAATCGTCAACGTTATCATCTAGCTGCTCCAGCAGCGGTGTGAGATCGGGTACGTCCATGTTGTATGAGATAGAAAAGTATGGCGGAGGAAAGGGTCTGGCCTGTCGCGGAAGAAAAGCAATAATGTCGATTTTTTATCTCCGGGCGGTGAGGTGGGCGGTCAGGGCCATCGTCGCATCATCCTTATCGGTCCAACAACAACTTCATCCTGCGATAATGCCAATTTCTTGACGCTCCTCGTTTGTCTCCGCGGTCACCCGCGCCAATTCCCTGGTAGATCTTTCCTTCGACACCCTTCAAAGTGTTGTACATACTAGGGCGCCGTCCGCTACTGCGGACCGGCATTTCGGAATTGTTTCTTTCCACCAGATCGAATAATCCCCCAACTATCTGCAGACGCTTTCTCGCAACATGGATGCAAGACGCCGATGATGTATCGCGGGACAGTGGGAAGCGCCGGCTATCGGGGCGCATCCACATCCTAGGCCTGGGGAACGTCGGCACGTTTGTCGCGCACTCACTAGCCAGTCGCCCGTCTCCTCCACCAGTTACTCTCCTTCTGCACAATCCGGATCTTTATCGGGCTTGGCTGGAGAAGAAAAAGTGTCTGGCTGTCAATACTAATGGCCTGGATGATATCAAAACCGGCTTCGACGTCAACGTCCTGCATGATAAAACCTGGCATTCGATTCCCTACTGGAACAAGGATGGCTCCGCGGAGCATGGCAAGGGGACCGCTAACCCGGATCCCCGCGAGGAGGAGGTCGAGGAGTCCCTGTCCCAGTCCATGGAAGATGATGAACAGATCGAATGTCTTATTGTCACTGTCAAGGCGCCCATGACAGCGGTAGCGCTCGAATCCGTCTCCCACCGCCTGACGCCCGATTCGACCGTGTTGTTCCTCCAGAATGGCCTGGGCGTAATCGACGAGATCAACCAAAAGGTCTTTCCCGATCCGCGATACCGGCCGCACTACATGTACGGCATCATCTCCCACGGCCTTGCGCGCAAGGACTCATTCCAAGTCCTCCACACGGGAGTCGGGACGACGATCCTAGGCTCTGCCCTCCCCGCCAACGCAGTCGGCGAAATGCGCGACAAGGACGTAGATGTTGCCCCGAGCACCAAGTATCTCCTGCGCACGTTGACCCTTACCCCGCCACTTGTTGCGGTCGCCGAGACGCCGTCCTCGCTGATGCTTTACCAACTGGAAAAGCTCGCGCTGAACTCCGTCATCAACCCATTGACCGCTATCATGGACTGCAAGAATGGCGAGCTCCTCTACAACTACAGCTTCACCCGCATCATGCGCTTGTTGTTGATGGAGATCTCCAGCGTCATCTGCGCCCTGCCCGAGCTGCAGGGCATTCCCGGCATCGAGAGCCGGTTCTCGCCGGAACGTCTACGCTCGCTAGTTACGCGGTTAGCTGACAAGACCGCAAAGAACACCAGCTCCATGCTACAGGATGTACGAGCCCGGAGAACCACGGAAATCGAGTATATGAATGGCTATATTGTTCGTCGAGGCGAGGAGTTAGGTGTGAAGTGTGTGGTGAACTACACGATGAAGCACCTGGTGCTTGCCAAACAGCAGGGCTCGAAACAGAGAGAATCTGGTGCGATTCCTATCGACATCCTTGGCGGGCCTAAAGAGCCCAACACTTGAAGTGTCTTGTGCTTTTGGCATGGCGAACGGCATCTATCTTGGCCGCATTTCAGCACGCTACAGCCTCAATTGCTGTCTTGCAGAGATCCTCGATTTGTCTCCAGCGTTTCAGCAGCCAGTCGAGTTTTTCTCGATTCTTCGGGTCTTGTGCATCCGACGCGGCACTCTTCAGCAGGCTGATTGCCGCGCGTGCTTCATTTGCATAAGTCGCTATCCATTCTTTGATGACGGCTGCAGTCTTTCCGGCGTCAACGCCCTTGGTGGAGTAGCCAAGCGCGTAGTTGCGCCAGTCGTTGAGTGCCATGTACTTCATACAAGCAGCGATCTCGGTGCGGTAGCAGGCGCCCTCGGCTGTTACTTGGTAGTTGCTGGTCTTGTATTAATAGGGATACTTGTGATGGAAGTCTGGAAGGCAAGACGAAGCGGCGAATTCTTGTGCATACCCGTAATACTGCTGGAAGTTCAGCTCTTCGTGGAGGTCTGGACTCAGATCCTGGAATATGATATCATCCAAGTATAATACTTCTGATTCGTTTTCGTCGAGATAGAACCCGTCTATTGCGTGTTAGCTATTGGCCTGGTTACATGGATGACCATCGGGATGTACTTGCATTCTGTCAGAAGAAAGTCATTCGGATGAGGTCCGTAACTCATGTAGATCTCCTCTCCTTCGTCTGTATCCGAATTAGACTCTTCATGTCTCATGAGTGGATGGATTGCTATACCATAATGTTTTGTGGCTCGAAAGACATACTTCTCCCCATCAAATTTGACGTTGCACTGGAATCCAGGTCAGCCCAGTAACAATCTATACCCAAAGCATCATCCATACCGCAACATCAGAATGATTAAAGTAATCGGCAAAGGGCAGCATCGCCATCGCATCGTTACTGTCCTCCGGCGGCTCCTCCCCGGGCATCAGATAGTAGAAACACCTCGTGTTAACAATGAGCCAGTGATACGAGAAGCTCTCCCAGTCCGTGTCGGGGAAAACAGCCACCACGCTGTCCCACGCTTGCTGGAGGCGCTTCTCCTGCTGCGGGAGAAGGTTCTGGTGAGGCGTCTCGTACTCGTGCTCGAGCTTCTGTTTCGTGATGGTATTCCACGCGCCCGAGATCGAAGGCGGAAGCACCGTTGCCCCGGATGCTTGACCGCCGGGCACTCGTAGCGACGACGGCCAGAGAATGGGCATGCTGTCTTCAAAGTCCTGGCGTGAGGGCCATGTTCTTCGCCATAGCTCATACGGACTGAGATCCTCTGCGTTGCCGTTGGTGAGGAACGCGGCTACTATGGCGTGGACTGGGGTTCCCGCGGGGAACCTGCTGGTGAAAGACGCAGGAACGCGCTCAATGGTTAACATCGCCTTCAGTGGGACGGTGACGATGGCTTCATCTTCCTTCGTGCGGTTAGTTATGTCGTTCTGCGGGGGTCGCGTTGGAGCCTTACTTCTATGTCGCGTGTGGCTATCATGCCTAATCCACGACCGGGGAATCGCGCCGGGCTGACTCCGTTCACCTCGATGCCCTGGGAGAGCGCCCATTCGGTGAACCGTTCATGGTCTTCGCCGGGCCACCAGTTTGGTTTCATTTTGCGGCGGTACAAGCGGCTTGGCTGGCGGCGTACTAGGTCTGCAGAGATTTATATCAAGAACGATCAATTGGTGTTAGAGGCATAGCAAATTCGAGGCTAGGTGCTACATGAGTGACTCTGCATGTTCATGTCGCGTCGAATTGCGGAATAAGTGGCCAGGTCTGAAACCCTGTTCGAAGAGTTGTTCTGTCCATCTACATCGCGATGGTGGACTGTGGAAGTAGGCGACACGCTAGACCTGTATAGGAATGTTCTGCCTGAGGCATGAATATACTACACCCAACGCACCTCAGAAATTGGTATGCCTCTGTCAAGACTTAGTAGTTAAACCTGCCTTCAACTATATATAGCACGTGGTATAGGTAGTGCCTGCTCAAGCTTCTTGTGGTATTGCATCAAAGTTGCCAAACAAGTGGGCTACGAAAGATGTAGCCTTGCTGCGTTCGACTCTACTAAAGCACCTACAATACCAACATATTACCTGTACTCTACCGCAGAAAGTCCGACGTAGCCAATGCATGTGTCTTAGTAACATGAAGGAACTCGTCAATGGACGCGAACTCGTTAGCGGAGGCCACTGGAAGACCGTCATTAGCTCAGCTTACAATGGATGCCAATGACACTTACTACTCTCAGGACTACAGCCGTATACGTACGCTGGCACGCCAGCGTATCGGTAATGCTTGCAATCGGTAGCGCCCATGGATGGAATAGCCACGGGGAGGGAGCCCCCAACAAGATGAACACTGTTCTCGAGACATCTGATCATGGGGTGATCAATTGGAGAAAAGCTGCTCGGATTGCTCGCAGCCTCCTGCTTCCTGAGCGTGATTGTTGCATTCGAGTACTGTTGCTTGATTGAATCCAGCACCGCAATAACTTCCTCCGCTGTCAACCCGACAGGCAGTCGGATATCCAACTCGAACTGGCAGGTGTCTGGAATCATGTTGACTTTCATTCCACCCTTGATCGTGCCAATGTTGACTGTCGGTCGGGCGATAATGGTCGATGTCCCCGGACCCATAGCTTGATCGATAATAGCCAGCGTTTCGGGATTGTGCAGATGAGCGGCGATTTCAGGCTGTGCACTGACATTCAGGGATTCAACCGCTTCTATCGCATCGGCGAGGAACCCAGTCGCAGTGCGGATGGCTCCCTTACTATCACGAATCTGTCAGTACACGTCTGCAAGTCCACTGCAGTGACAGACCTCAGATTCAGGTACGCCCCGTGGGCCCCCTTGGTCATCACCGTCCCCGAAAGTCGCAACGTCCCCTTTTCAGAAAACCGAATAGTCTGACCAGTCGGCTCAGCGCTGAGCATCACATCCCCTCCCCACCGCGCACGATCGTGCTTGATGAGATACTGGGTGCCCCAATGTCCTCCCGTCTCTTCATCGGAGACAGCACAAAGAGCAACGCTTCCTTTCAAAAATTCCCTGCGCTCATATAGAAAAGCGTACGCTATCACTAGAGACGCTGTGCCAGACTTCATGTCCACAACGCCTCGCCCATGAATGCGGCCATCACTAATATCACCCGAGTAAGGATCGCGTGTCCATCCCGTCGTATTACCTACGGGAAACACATCGATGTGGCCGTTCAGGACAACACGAGGCCCTGAACCTTTGCCTCCTTGGAACTCACTGACGATATTAGGACAGCCCGTCTGGGGCTCGATGATCTCGAAGGGGATGCCTTTGCTGGCTAAGTAGTTGGTAAGGACTGCAGCCGCTGCTTCTGTATTTCCCGGAGGGTTTGGGGAGGCCGCCTGGACGAAGGATTGCAGTAATCGTATTTGATTCTCTTTATCGGACTCGAGTGCCTGCAACAGTGATCTTTTGGCGTCTGCCATGGTGAAATCGGGTCGCTAAGATGACAATATGACGTTGACTGGATAATGCTAACCAAGGTCAAAAGAATCTGTTCGATTTATCAGGCTGCGGAGAAGACGGCCAGCATGAGTCATTGCGTCCCTCGCCATAACTACTCGATAGCATGCTTACGAGTGACTGCAGATCAGCCAGCTTATCGCGCGCATCTCGATGAGTCCTCGCGGTAGTCATTCGGTTATTTTGACAGCTTATGGAGGACAGGGAGTGTGAATTTCCTCAAAATTTTGAACTTCGAGTCTTGTATTCGATATGTAAGGCGTTGTCTTGGGTAGCCTGAGCTAGTAGTCTGGATGTAAGTATAGAACAAGTCTAGAAGACGAATCTAGATAAAGCAGTGGGAGAAGAGCAAGGCAAGCTTATCGATCTTATCAGTGCGGCACGTGCCACATCCGGAGCATCGGACCACCCGAATCTCAACTTCTCCGCCGTCTTCCAACACAACACGGTCATGTCCCCAGCGACGTGTAGCTCTCTGGACGCAAAATGTCGATCCTAGGACGGCGTGGAGCCGCCATTGTCGCCCGCGAACTTCCCTTACCGGCGTCCTCATCGTCAATCCTAGCCTCGCATCCTCGAGCCTTCTCCATCTTCAGCCGTCCGCAGCCCAAATACCCCGGCCATGTGCCATTGAACGCCATCGAGCGCGGTGCGCTGGCCGTGGGCTCCGCTGTGGGAGCTCTGATGAACCCCCGGAGAGCTGGTACATCCCCTGTCACGAGACCATCGGCGAGACGCCTCCAACTAACACTGCGCAGACCTCATCGCAGCGTGCGGCGAAGCTACCGCAACCCCCTACTTCATCTACCGCCTCCGCGACGCCATGCTCTCCGATCCGACGGGCCGCCAGATTCTCCGCGACCGACCACGCATCACCTCCACGACGCTCCCGCTGCCATACCTTCGCTCGCTGCCGGAGAACTCGGTGGGCCGGACCTACGCCGCCTGGCTCGACCGCGAGGGCGTGTCGCCCGACACCCGTGATGAGGTGAAGTACATCGACGACGAGGAGTGCGCGTACGTCATGCAGCGGTATCGCGAGTGCCACGATTTCTACCACGCTGTGACGGGGTTGCCGATCTTTGTCGAGGGTGAGCTCGCCCTCAAGGCGTTCGAGTTCCTCAACACGCTGATCCCCATGACGGGGCTGAGTATGTTTGCGGCCGTCCGGTTGAAGCCAGCGGAGAGGGAGCGCCTGTTTTCGATCTATTTGCCCTGGGCGGTGCGCAGTGGGCTCGGCAGTAAGGAGCTGATCTGTGTCTACTGGGAGAAGATCCTGGAGAAAGATGTGAATGAGTTACGGAGGGAATTGGGGATCGAGAGACCGCCTGATATGAGGGAAATCCGGCGGATGATCCGCGAGCAAAAGAAGCGGGAGAAGGAGCGGTTGAAGCAGGCGGAGTAAGAATGTTCCACTAGGTTTGTCTGGGCCGGCGTTGGCATTATGTATATTAGTAGATTATTGCGGCCTTGGTCGCATCGCATTGGAAGATCAAATTCGTTAGCCGCTGGTACGAGATAGCGACATAGAGCGCAAAGAAGAAAAGATCAGTTGCATCATAACCAGTCGTAACGCCTATGACCACCCTGTCGATGGTGGAACCGAAGGGACCAAGAGACATTTTGTAAGATCAAAGCCACTACCAAATGCATGGTGGATTCACAGATCCAACAGGTCATCATCATCGTCCCATCCTCCTTTCCGACGGTTGATCACAATCTTGTGTTCCTCCTCGTCCTTGCGCTGGTTCTCGGCAACAGCGTTCAAGAGCTGTTTAAGCTGGTCCTCGGAGACCTTCTGGCGCAGTTGGCCCGTCTGGGCCAGCATGATCAGGCGGTTTTCGATATCCGCGGCCCGGGATTCCTTCACAAGGCGAATGCGGCCCAGACGGTCGGCGGCTTCGGGCTCGAGGATTTGGTTCAGGATCGCCGATCGACGTTCAGCTGGCAGGTGTCAGCGATGACGTGTGGGGGAGGGCCCTGGTGGTGGGTGGAATACCTTCGGCTTGCCTGTAGAATATTAGTCAATGATCATTTCTCCGGGCAGATTGCTGAACCTACTTTCTCTGTTCTTCCTGGTTGTCTCCGCCAGCGCCTCGACCGCCCCCTTGTTGCTGCAGCTGCGCAAGGCGTGCCCGCCTGATCTATATCGGAGTGAGCAACTGGCCTACCGGGGGTTCCCGCACGGCGTATCCCAACTTCCGATGGGATTCAATTTCAAGAGTGTACTCACCTCCTCTAGCTCCGCGTCGGCCATGATTCTTCGGTGTGGGACGTTCCAATCGAGGTGGATGGAATACAAGGGATGAAGCTAAGCAAGATTGGGCGAAACTGTCGGTCGTACCCAGGATCTCCTTGCAGACAGCGACGCGATGCAAGAAGGACCGAACGTGCCTGTGAGTTATGGTTTGGTGGATTAAAGATGTTGGAGAAGTTTCAACCCCACTTGTTTCAAGCCTGAGGCAGCAAGGCCGCAGCGGAGTGGGGCGCCATGAGGCATCCGTTCATCGCCATACAAAACCATACACCGTTCAATACGGCTTGTCCCTGTCGCGTCAGATAAGGTACCAGACCCCCATTCCGCTCTTATGGATACTACTAGGTACCTAACGCAATGGATCCAAATTACCTGCAGCATCAAAAGGACGAGGGGCGCGGATCCAACCCTTGATATCCGATATCCCGATATAAATAGGAACCGCGCGGGACGGCCTCCGATGTCTCAGAGCTGCGAGATTCCCTTGTTTGCTGCGAGTGTCGTCATCGGACCCGCCAAGGCACAGGTGTCTTCCCGATAGAGACTATTTCGAGATCGTCCAACTAGGGGAGAATAGTCGCACAGAAGCTTCTACGGAGTACAGTAAACTTCCCATTGAGTTTCGTCACAGGTTGTGCATGGCCTCATCAGGCATCGTCGCATTCCTCACATCTTTTTCGCCACAATGAGGGCGAGTCTGTAATAGAACGACCTAGATGGGCGCGCTGGCGCGAGGGGTGGCGGCAGAACGTGGCACCAAATCCGATTCAGGGATCTTCCCACATGATATCCGGCATGAAGATGTTTCAGTCCGTCTGATGATTCTGGCAGGTGAGAGGGAGATACGGTCACTGGAGCCGAGGAGATGCAGGCGACCGAGTGAGCAGTAGTCGCAGTGTATTTGTATCATTGCCAACGGGGCCATCTGCTAGTGATTGCCTCAAGGGGAACACACGGCCGGGGCGATCGGCATGCCCGATCCGGTGGCTGACTAAGGCTGGTATAACCACAGCAAATTCAATAATGGGAGGAGACTACCAGATGAATAAGAATCATTTAGCACGAGTGAAGGCACAGTATTAGTAGAGAATCGTCTTACCGTGGATTTTCGCCTAAAGTGGACGAATACTAGGTACCCCCAGGTACCTAGAGGTACTCCGTGCACTGGCATTCTCCCACTGTTAAGGTCGCCGTGGCTGGTACCTCCCGGTACTAGTGCGGTATTCGGTATTACGCCTCGACATTAGCGCCTCATCACTGCCACTCGCCTTTCTTCTTCTCTCTCACTCTCGCCATCGACGGCTTCTCCTCTTCTTCCCCTCTCGATCCAGAGACAAAGAGGGGTTCCTCCAGCTCCATCGTCTCCATTCTCCCTTCTTTCGTCATTCACACCCTTCGTCTATCCTTCGATCCTGTTTCCCTCCGTCGTGGTCTCCCCATCGACTTCCGCTCCCTTTCCCATCTGCCCATCGCCGCCCATTCTGCGCACTGGCGGGGACAGTGCATGACTTTCAACCCCCTACATCGTCCTCTCGATACATACAGCCCCCAACGCTCTTTCATCAGTCGACTTCGTTACAGATGGGAACAGTAAATCGAGCAGCATCTTCTCTGTGGTCGTGACACCCGCTTTCCGTCATTGTGCTTCCCATTGCTGCAATCCCGTAACCGCCCATCACCATGGCTGAGTACGTGATCGCCTTTCGCCTCTCCCCCCCTTGACCCCAATGGTGGAATAGTGACTGACTTTATCCCCAGTTTAATTGCCTTCCACTCTTACCATTCTCGCCGCAGTCTTCTCTCCCCATCCACCATGCTCCCCCGGACCACCAATCACAAACGATCCAATTCCACGGAGAACCGCTCCCTTTCTCCCGATCGAACACTCACGAAAGCGAAGTCGGCAAACGATCTGGCGGCCATTCTATCGCCCAGCCGACCAAACCCTAACCTTCGCTCGACGAGCGTCGGAAACCTTCCGGACAGCGGATTCAGTACGTTGAAGGATCCTCGACTAGGGAATCATCTCAATGCGTCCGAATCCTCTTCCCCGCAATCGCATCATCCCGATCTCAGTAGCGAAGTCGCTGCTCTCAGTGTGAAGCTCGTCGAAGCTATCAACACACAGACCACCCTGGATGACAACCTAGTCGCCGCCCGTCAAGAACTGGAGCAAGCACGGAACCGGATTCAGACTCTGGAAACAGAAAATGAAAAGTATCGGCGAGATATAGAACAGGAAGTCCTGGTCAAGAAGTCCGACTACGAGTATGAAATTATGCGTCTCAAGGCCGCCTTGGCCGATGAAAAGGCGCAGCGTGCTCTGGTCGAGAAGGAGAAAAAGGGAATTGAACAGGAACTGGAAACGCTAACAGCGGCGCTCTTCGAGGAGGCTAATAAGGTATGCGCCTTGTACTTGATCCAGATGACCTTCGACTGACTGCTTTTGTTCTCTCAGATGGTTGCTGCGGCTAAGCACGAGCGCGAAGCTGTAGAAAAGAAAAACGAGCAACTCCGTTCTCAAGTGAAAGACACCGAGTCACTGCTTGCATCGCAGCAAGAACAGCTCTCCGAGCTGAAGGCCGTCCTCCAGGGTATGAACGTGCCAAGAGAAGACATCGAAACCCGTACAGTCGCGTCGACGACACCCTCCTCCCCAGCTGGGCCTCAGCGTATCTCTGGAATTACATCGAATTATGCTGAAAGTCCCGCGGCGCTGGAACCCTCACCTGACATTGAAACCCACACTCCCGGCCCGTCCACCAGCTTCCCTCACCTTATCAAACCGGTTTGTCGGACCGATATTCAGGCGTTCGAGGATTTCAAGGAATTGTTCAGTTTGTCTTGCACATCCAAGCCTCCCAGCCGGGCTGCAAGCGGCTCTTATGCGGGACTGAACGTCATGAGTCTCGCCAGTTTGAGCGCCAGTGGGTTCGGGTCGGCATCTTCGTCGCCAGCGAAGGCGGCTCACTCTCCCAATGGAAGCTTATCGTCGCCGCAGCCCTCGACCTCTCACATCCCATTGAAAGAAACCCGCTTCTACAAACGCGTTCTTTCGGAGGACATTGAGCCGACGCTGCGACTTGATGCGGCCCCGGGGATTTCTTGGCTAACTCGACGCTCTGTGCTCAGTGGAATCTGCGAGGGGAGCCTCGTTGTGGAACCGATGCCGCAAAGCGTAAAGAAGTATGAATTTCCCTGTTCGCTTTGTGGCGACCGGCGGACCGGGCCTGTCAACGAGAGAACCCATCGGTTTCGCACCTCGGACAGCGAAACAGCTCAGAGATATCCCCTTTGCGTTCTGTGTCTCGAGCGAGTGCGGTCGTGCTGCGAGTTCACCGGATATCTCCGCCTAATCCTCGACGGACATGTCCGCGTCGGTGACGCGGAGGAAGAAAAGGACGCTTGGGAGGAAACGGTGCGTTTGCGGGAGAGAATGTTCTGGTCCCGCATTGGAGGTGGCATCGTACCGGTGTCTGCTCCAACCAATGGTGTTGAGAATGCCCCTGAAATCGAGCGACATTTGCATACCATTCCCAGTGTCTCCACCGATGATGGCCGGGATCTAGTCTGCGAATCTGCCGACTCTCCTGTTCTGCCTCAAGATTACCACGACCTGCCCGGCGACATAGATAGCCGCAGATCGTCTGTGGCTGAAGATCCCTATGTCTCTGCAGCTTCGGAATCACCGGCTAGCAGCGCGGCTGTCTCAGCATCTTTCGAGAACGAGGCCCCCAACATCGGCTCTATACCAGACGCCAAGTCGGAGCAAAGTATAGAACACACCACTATTGTCGCCGTTGATGTCGATGGCTGTGATCCCAAAACTCCATTGCCGGTCGAGGAGTCCGTGGTTCATGAAGCCACCGTGGAACACACCATTGACCACCAGACGCGATGATGCAAGCATCGCGTCTAGTCCTCATCGATATCCCTCTGGTAATCTACTGTCCCTTGGGATATTGACCTGTATTATTAATGCTTATTACGCCTTCAACTGTGTATATTAATGTTTTGTTTAGGCCATCCTGAGCCAAGTTTGATGCAGTTCCTACTGCATTCTGTCGTTTTGACTTTTAGATCGGGACACCGACTGCCGATGCCTGCGAAGAGCGTTCGATGTTTCCTTTGCCTTTGCCTTCCGTTATTCATATTTCATAATACCTAATGTTTCGCTGACCTTGGCTCCTGGCCCTGCCGTTTCATGCGTCGGACATGATGATGATGGCCACATTTGGGTCTGATGTACGGATGGTGTGAATGCAAGGGCGCAAGCCCATTTCCTAGTCAGTCCTGTTAATAAATGACATGCCCATATGGCTTCAACTCTCCCCGCTGAAGATAATTTCCACAACGCCAAACCCGCCGACCTCCTGTCCTTCGAAACGACCATCGAAAGTCACGAATCCCTCGTAGGCCGTAGGAAACGCCGAACCCCCGGCAATCTCCTGATCCCCAACGATGCTCGCAATCCGGAACACACCAACCTCACCCACCGTGACCACCCAGTCCAGCGGGTACAGCTTGCCACTCGCCTGCGAATACCACTGCCGCGTGTAATCCGCCCTAAAGCCAACCGGCACAACAAGCTGCGCGCCATCTCCCCGCCGAATCGTTGCAAAGCGAACCCCCGGGCCTCCTCCCTCGCCGCTGTCAATCGCCCACACGCTCAGTCTGTCCCGCGAGCCCGCGACATGCAGCTCAAACCGCGTCCAGCTCGCCGCCGCAGCGGCCTCGATCCACTGGCGATCGAACCAGGTAAACGAGCGCGCCGGGTCGACGCGCAGTGGCGCCCCGTTGATGCGCGCGCTGCCCGTCGTGACGCAGTTGGGGAGCCCCCACTCGTAGGTGCGCCCGCTGCCGAAGGCGAACAGGCCCATGCCGCCGTTGACGAGGGCCGTCGAGGTCGCGGCGTAGGTGAGGTCGAAGGTCAGGACGGGGGAGTCAGCGCTGAAGGTGCGCATCTACGCGACGTTGTCGGCGGAGAGGCCCTCGAAGCCGCTGTTCTGGACTGTGGCGCGCAGCTGCGGGCCTGGCTGGAAGACAGGAGCGGTGCTGGAGGTGACGGTGGTGGTGTAGTTGGACGGGTTGGCGAGGTTGAGGGCGGAGGCCCGGTACCAGGAGCGGTCTGAGGGGCCCACGAGGAGATGCGAGATCAGGAGGTATTGCTCGTTGGTTGTGTTGGTGATGTAGGAGCTTGTCCAGTAGGAGTTGGTGGATGAGGTGGTGTTGAGGAGCTTTGAGTGACTGAAGTTGAAGAGGAGGGGGGTGCTGGGCTGGGGAGGTTAGAGGGTTGTCTGCGCTGTATATACGTTTAGGGCTGGGGTCGTAGACTTGCCTGCCAGTATGTTGCGTCGGCCTCGGGACGGAAGTGGTATGTGGGTGCATGGTGGGATGCGAGGACGAGGCCTGCGAGTAGGAGTAGCGAGTACATGGTGCGAATGGTTTACCTGGGTTGAGGCTGGAGAGGGATATGATGCTGTACAGGTCGCAGCTTTTATAGCATTCTTTGGCCCTGAAAAAGTCATCCATCACCGGTTCATTTCGATATGCCAGTAGTCAGCTGAGTTTAGTGTCTGGTAGGACAGTCCATCTCCAGTGTGTTAGTCGCTTCAAACTACTGGTGCTCGGTATCTTGTTGGGATATGTTTCCAACAGGCAGTCAATCCGTGTGATAGAGGTTGACATTTCAATATGTCCAGGCATCATTCTTCCAGTCCTCGCCCAGGTCAACAAAGCATGGAGTATATATAGACTTGTCTGCTCATGCTTTGGCTTGTGTCAATCAGTCGGGTAGACCACGGGTGTAACAAACTGTAGACGGTTGAGTAGATAGGTAGATGTATAAGTATTTCTATACGTACCTGATGACTCTGCTTCCAAATTGCATAGAGACCTGCTCAGGAATCTCGTATAAGACTTGGGTTAGAGCCCACAGTAAAACACCACGAGCAATGTCCTAGCACTTGGAGATGAGCTCGTTCTCCTAGTAATTCACCTACTCTCTTACCCCCTCATCACGACCTGATTGTCTGCTTTCCCGTGTTTCATTCCTTTCAAAAGTCAGCGGCACAAATCGAGGTTACGCACCATGACTTATTGACACCAGCCGAGTCCGCCTGGGACTCCCAACCTTCAGCTTGAAGCGTTCAACTCCCCCTAGATGATCGGCGTTGGTTCGGACCAACTATGAATGTCCCTGATGGCCAAGAAAGTACCTTGGGGTCGTCTATTTGTGAATACGATGAGGTCCACACGTATCCCAGCGAGTTGATTCTTATGGAAGCTATAACTACAAATCAATGAGAAAGGAGCAACTCAGATGTAGTCGACAAACTCCCCACAGAGCTCGAGTCCATAAATAGTAGTTATCCATATGAGGATGGATTGGCCGAACATGAAGCGATGGCCCTTCCAAGACTCCTATACTCATATACCACACCTAGCAATGATAGCTATAGTTCCCGAACCCTAAGCACATCCCCACGACGCCCCCAACTTGGCACCGCACTCTGACCACTGAAATCACTGGCATCTTGAGGCTCGTGTCAGCCACTGTCGATCGCGGTAGATCGTCCGTCGTGCAGTCCAATCGTACCCGTTGTCAGCCGGCTGGGGCGTTTGGACTATCTGGCACCCGATCTTAGGGCTTGCCTTATTCGGGCACAATTCACGACCTACGGACGATAGTCGATGATCCCAATAACTACATCTCCATCGGCTCCATTCCGAGGTATGCAGATCTTTCACTTCTGTGTAGTCGAGCGTCAATGTATACGAGAGGGCCCATTGTCTGCCTAAACACGAACGCAGGGCTCTGATCAACATCGTATACTTGGGGAGTCGTGTCGATCTATACTTTTCGCTGCAAAAGCGGAGTCTGCACAGCAGTATGTCTCAGTAGGAATACGAGAAGCCCAGATGCAAGAGCAACTCGCTTCAAGATAGATAGTACTCTTTCAGATGGTCGATAATGTTCAAGACATCCTGACCCTCGAGCATAAATAGCCCCTTCGCGCCCGCTTCTCTGCTCCCTTCTCATCAACAACAAGCCATCAATCTCCAATCCAATCTACTTCAATCTCCTTCAACCAAACAACAACTCGCAAAATGCAGTTCTCCACCGTCTTCCTCGGCGCCGTCGCCCTCTTCAGCTCCATGGCCTTTGCCGTGCCCTCCGAGAACCTCAAGGTCCGCTCCTCCTGCCAGCTCGGCGATATCTGGGGTGCCGGCGATGCTGCCTGCAGCGCTTCTGTATGTTCCTTTTGACGAACATCCTATCTTCCATCTCCGGGTCTAACCATTTCTAGTGCATTGCCCAGGGTGAGGGCTACCACGGTGGTCACTGCAACGACGACAGGTGAGTGATCTGATCTGGGCTTGAAGTGGTCCTGTTGGTGTACTGACTACTGGTTTAGCGTCTGCGTTTGCAACTACTAAGGGCGCCGTCCTTGAGTCAGAATCCTGATCAGACGTCTGCTTGGCCATTGTGAAGGTTCAGTGCTGAGTCTACAGGGGTCGGTTAGAGGCAATTGTTGGGCTGGATTTGTTTTTGATATCTTCTTGACTCTTAGATGTGCTTTACTCTTGAGGGTTTAATTTACACTCGCTTTCTTTCGTATATTTTCTTTCCGGTGTGATGGTAGACGATCTGGCCAGATTCGCTCCAGGCGTACGCGATGTAATCGGGATTCGTCCATAGCTCTGAATATAGAAGTCCGCGAGGGATCTCCGTTATCAACAGGGTAGAGAGAACTTGGCTGCGATGTGGGAGACCGTCCAGATGGAGGGAGGAGCAGATGAACAGAAAGGAAGCCGTAGCAGAGATGAGCACCAAAAAAAAAAAAAAAAGGCATACGACCTGACTAGGTAGAGTCGCGGATGTATATAATTTACGCATTCTCTGACGGAACATGAGCAACAGACAACACCAAATCCAACAAGGGCACCCTGTCCTATATATATTGCGAACTCAAGACGAGGAATGCAAATCGGTACTATTCAAGTGCACTATGCAGCAGCGACTGCGCTTGCTTTTACTACGCCTAGACGCTTACGGCTGTTGATGGATGATCAGGTAGTCCAGCACTGGAGTCGTGAATATATATTTACCTAGTAGCTCCAATCAAAACACAAAACACATACTTTACAGCTGGAGTCTCATAGTCAGCTACTAAGGTGAAATGACCGCAAACTCCAGGAACACGAGAAAACGCCCATGCACGATCCGGTAGAATCCCCAAAAATCCAAACCAAGCTGATTGAATCATTTGTTGTATCGCTCGTTGGCCCGCTCGTAGATGTGTCGGATTTGCTCGTCAATATTCATGCTCTGAGGATTAGCAGGCGCCCCGGCCGGCCCAACCATTGGAGGGATGGGTCCCTGACCGGGGGCCCCTTCCACTGCCATGCGCTTCTTGCGGGCTTCTTCTTCGGGATCACCGGTTTCCGGAAGCACGGTCGAGTCAAAGACATCGCTCCGCTGGCTGGCGAGACGCTTGAGGTTGTTGACCACGTCGGCCGTGGACAAGTTGGTCGTGGCGCTGCGGGATTCGGCCTTGGCCCGTTGCTCTTTCCAGCGGGGATCGAGAAGCTCGATCCGCATGTGCTGGTCGAGTTCCGCCACCGGGATCTGCTGCTTACAGTTGGGACAGAGGGCGGTGGCGCCGGCAGCGTTCTGGCGTCGGGCTTGCGCACGCGGCACGTAATCCGAACGGATACGCATCGGTTGCTGGCCCGGAGCGGCTTTAGCGGCCGCCTGGGCTGCAGCGGCTTGTTCGCGGGCCTGTGCGCGCTCGCGAATTCGAGCCTCCTCTTCCTGGGCGGCAGCAGAGGGGACGGGGTATGGCTGAGGTACTTGTGGCTGCGGTGGGAATGCCGGACCGACAGGTTGAGGCACAGGTTCGGGTTGGGCAGGGTAGGCGTTGTAGTATGTAGGAGCTTCCTGGTCTGTCGGCATAGCTTCTTCGATGCGAAGGGGGTTGAGGGACATCATGGCTTTCTGTTCGAGGGAAGCGGACTGGAGGTCGTTGAGCGACGTGGGAGGCGGAAGGTCAACCTGGTCATCCGCTTCGGTGAAGAGCACAGTTTCAACAACGACAAAATCGTGCCAATCGATTTGCGCATAGGCTATCCGCTCCTGTTCTTCCTCTTCTTCCTTCTTCTGCTTCTGTTGTTCCTGATATTTCACCCATTCGGCGCGTTGTTTCGCTCGGTCCAGGATATGGAATCGGTTCTTCACGTTGTTCTCGAGCTCGGCGATCCGCTTCTTCTCCGTCGTAGCTGCGTCAATTCCCTCATTGCGCAAGAGGATAGTGTACTGGTCGACTAGCCGGGTGAAAAACTGATACAGACTGTGCTGCGGCCGCAGGAAATCAAACTGGAAGTTGCGGGTTTCGCGCTGGGAGAGCGCAGTCATGAACGACTTGCCTCGTTTGGCGACAAACAGCGCAGTGAGCTTGACAACCTCCAGATCTTGCGCGTTAATGATCGGCATGCGTGCGGAAAAGTGGAAGTCAGGAGGCTGCTCCGGTCCCTTGGGCTTCTCGGGTTCTGGAGCAGCTGCGGTCTCGCCCGGCCGGCCTGCTGATACCGTCGTTCCTCTTCCCTCCTTGATCTCCGTGAGACGCCACTGGTAGAAACTCGCATATGGGTCGTTCGGATTCAGGAAGGAGAACTTGGGGTTATTGCGCTCCTTTTCGCGGACACGATCTAAGGCGCGTTGCCATCAGCAGCCGCCCACCAGAACGGTTCGGAGAGGCCTAACGACTCACCTTCAAAGACAATGCCATTTCGGGCGACGTATCCGGCGGTTTTCTCCACGATCGCTGTCCAAGGTGTCAGTATTGAACGGCTATCTTTCACGGCGCAAAACGTGACCGAAGGGAAGGGACAAAAAACGGACCTCGAATATCCTTGGGCGGCAAGACGACCCCCTCTGGAGGTTTGCCCACCTCTTCCGGCGCGGTGGGAGTGTTTCCATTGCTGGTAGAAGCCATGTTGACGGCGAAGGAGCGGACGATGGAATACCTCTTCACGACGAGCTCTGCATGAGCTGGACGACGATAACCTCATGTTCTTTCCGCTGATTGCTTGGCGCGGGCGGCGTGTGGCGGCAGTAACCGCGCGGAAGAGGAGACCTCCTATTGGTTGTGATAGGTCAGGATGGACTAATCCAGATTAGGAAGTTTGCTTGCCTCAGGTTCCCCGTAGTCTGGAATTGAAAGGCATACAACTATTTTACTTTGTCTATAGAAGCCTGTCATAAAGCAGACCCTCGCTGTCAGAGAAACCGACATCCTCATCAATTGGTTCTAAATATAATCCGTTCACAACAGATATCGCTGTTTTCGTGGGAGCCCGTGTTCCTGCCACCGTCATTCATGCTGACGGGAGCCTGAGGCGCCGACGATCTGGCCTCAAACGGACATTCCATCCACACGTGTTGTCTTCCGTCACCATCACTCTTAACCCTCATGCTTCCCCTCTTCTTTTCTTCTCCCCCCATTGATCTCTTCTTTCTTCTGTGTCATGGCGTTTCGCCTTTCGATTCTTGACTCTCGTTGACTGACTGAATTGACTCTTTCCCGTTTCCTGGTTCGTTTCGAAAGCGTGAGGGGTTCTTGAAGCTCCCCCAGTCGGAGCGACATTCCAACTCAATCTCCGCCGTACTACTACGATCTCTTGCATAGTCTTTGCATATTCCTAATCTTTATTTCGTTTCTTACTTGTTTTCTCTGGTTCCTACCGCTTTCTTCTCCCACAAAGACAAAATGTCTCACAAATCCAATGACGCCTTGCGCGTCCAGCCTGCTCCAAGATCCGGACGCTCTCCCAGTCGCTCTCCCAGACCGAAGAACCGCAAGAAGGCCCCCGCGACGACCTCCAGTTATGCCTCGGAAGGTGTTCAGGACAACAACATCTTCAATCTTCCCTCCTCGGACTACAGGGCGCTCGCACTCCTCACCCTTATTGCGGCGGTGGTCCGGTTGTTTAGAATCTACCAACCCTCGAGCGTGGTCTTTGACGAAGTCCAGTATGTTCCAGTGCCCGCGGAATCGTCCTATCGCTCGAATAGCCACGCTAATACGTACGAATAGCTTCGGCGGATTTGCGACCAAGTACATCAAGGGCCGGTTTTTCATGGACGTTCACCCTCCCCTCGCCAAGTTGCTCATCACTCTTGCCGGCTGGCTGGCTGGATTCGATGGCTCATTCGATTTCAAAGAGATTGGAAAGGATTATCTGGAACCGGGTGTGCCATATGTTGCGATGCGCTTGCTTCCCGCGGTGATGGGTGTGCTGACCGTACCCATCATGTTTTTGACCCTGAAAGCCGCGGGTTGTCGTTCCTCGGCTGCCGCTTTGGGTGCGGGTGCTGTGATCTTCGGTATGTTATGAGCACAATCGCATGCCCTTGGATGCAGCTCTAATCTTTCGCAGAGAACGGTCTCGTCACCCAGTCTCGTCTCATTCTCCTTGATTCGCCGTTGGTGTTCTTCACATCGTTGACCGCCTTGTCCTTCACGTGCTTCACAAACCAGCATGAATTGGGTCCCGCGTACGCCTTCCGTGCACCCTGGTGGTTCTGGCTGGCCGCAACGGGTCTGTCTCTGGGTGCTACCCTAAGTGTGAAATGGGTCGGCCTTTTCACCGTCGCCTGGGTTGGTTCTCTCACTGTTCTTCAGCTGTGGGTGCTGCTGGGAGATTCCAAGACCGTCACACCCCGCCTATGGTTCAAGCATTTCTTTGCTCGCGTCTTCTGCCTCATCATTATTCCCCTTGGATTCTACTGTGGAATGTTCGCCATCCACTTCCTGTGCTTGGTTAACCCGGGAGAGGGCGATGGCTTCATGTCGTCCGAGTTCCAGGCGACTTTGAACTCCAAGGCCATGCAGGATGTCCCGGCCGATGTCGTCTTCGGGTCTCGGGTTTCCATCCGGCATCTGAACACGCAAGGCGGCTATCTTCACTCCCACCCTCACATGTACCCCACGGGAAGTAAACAGCAACAGGTCACCCTCTACCCCCACAAGGACGACAACAATGTCTTCGTCATGGAGAACCAAACCCAGCCTCTTGGACCGTACGGTGAAATCGCTGGCCCCTTTGCTTGGGACAACATAACTGCTGAATATGTGGAGGATGGCGCCGTGATCCGTCTCAATCATCTGACGACCGGTAGAAGAATCCATTCGCATGATGAGCGACCTCCTGTGACGGATGTGGACTGGCAGTTCGAGGTGTCTGCCTACGGTTATGAGGGTTTCCCCGGTGATGCCAATGACATGTTCCGTGTGGAAATCGTCAAGTCGCACTCAGACGGAGAGGAAGCGAAGAAGCGTGTTCGGACGATCCAGACAAAGTTCCGCTTGGTCCACGTCATGACCGGCTGTGTGCTTTTTTCGCACAAGGTCAAGCTTCCGGAATGGGGCTGGGAACAACAAGAGGTTACTTGCGCCAAGGGAGGCACTTTGCCCAACAGTCTCTGGTATGTCGAGTCCAACAGCCACCCGATGTTGCCCGCGGATGCGGAGAAGGTCAACTACCGTAACCCTGGCTTCTTGGGTAAATTCTGGGAGCTCCAGAAGGTCATGTGGACTACCAACGCTGGATTGACTGAGTCCCACGCATGGGACTCCCGTCCACCTTCTTGGCCCACTCTCCTTCGCGGTATCAACTTCTGGGGTAGAGATCATCGCCAGATTTACCTCCTCGGTAACCCCTTTATCTGGTGGTCCTCCACCGTGGCCATCGGTATCTACATCATCTTCAAGGGCATTGCAATTCTCCGCTGGCAGAGAAATTGCGGTGACTACCGGAACGTGAATTTCAAGCGCTTCGACTACGAAATCGGTACCACCGTGCTTGGCTGGGCGTTCCATTATTTCCCGTTCTTCCTCATGGCTCGTCAGCTGTTCCTTCACCACTACTTCCCTGCTCTCTACTTCGCGATCCTTGCCCTCAGCCAGGAATTTGATTTCCTGGCTAACCGTGTGAAGGCTTTTGGATTGGCATCTAAGCCGGCAATTGGCAAGGTTCTGGCCTCTATCTTCCTCGCAGGCGGCATCTTCGCCTTTACGCTTTACTCGCCACTGGTATATGGCAACCCCTGGACACAGGATGCCTGCCGAAGTGTGAAGCTCCTGAGCAGCTGGGATTTCGATTGCAACACCTTCTATACCGATGTAAGCACCTCGAATCAAGAGGCCCTGCTTTCCTGCCCCTTTATAGTACTGACCATGCTTCTAGCTGTCCCAATACGTCACTGAATTTTCAAGCCTGAACGCCGCTGTACCAACGACACAAGCCCAAGCTCCTTCTTCACAGGCGCCCCCTGTTGCGATCCCACCCCAGCAACAACAGCAACAGCAGGTGAAGCAGGATCAACAGCAACAAGCAGGCCAAGGAAAGGCGGAAGAAGCCCGAGTCACCTCGCAGGCTCAACCGCAACCGCCTCGTGCTCAGGCACGGGTTGAATATCGTGACCAAAATGGGAACCTCCTCGACGAAGAAGTAGTTTCGTCCTTGGCCGCGGAGGGGAAGGTGTCGTTCGAGACCCGGCATGAGACGAAGACTCAGCTAGCGAATGGACATTTGGTCGATATGGTTGACGGCAAAGTGGCTCCCCCCGCTCCGCCACACCCAGATGTTGAAGGTCAGAACCCCGAGACCCTCCAGAAACAGGAGCAAGTTCCTGTCGAGGGTGGACCGGCTTCCGCAGCTGGGGACGGAAGCTCCGTCGAAGAACCATCATCGCCTAAAGCCAAACCTGCCAGCGAGGGTAACGAGGCGACTGAGGTTTGAAAGAACACGTCTCTATAATAGGTTGATCTTGGCGTATATCTTTTTACTTTTCTTGTTTTACCACCTTACCCCCGACAGTCTCTTTCATGTACTTTCGTTTCAGCAGTAATATTTGTCCGCGCCCTTGTTCGATCTAACGAAATGTGATCTTGTACATGATTGATTAACACCCAGGGGTGGGAGTGTTTGTACCATTGTACATGACTAGCGATTGGCGAAAAGACTTTGGTTGTAGCGCAACAAAAACAGTCAATCTCCAATTGAGTCCCATCAAAAACAATACTATGCACAGAGCCCCTTCACAGTCTACCTCCCCCTCTAGACTTCACAGGAACGTAATTTTAGTATACAGCAGTCCGTGTCGAGCGTATGGCTCAACTCATCCCCGACATCCGCCTACGCTGTATGACATCTAGTAGTCGTACTCCTCCTTGCCGTACTTGTTGAAGCGCTCGTGGAGGTCCTGCATTTATAAACATTAGCGATTCGTCTATGACTGGGACAGCTTCTGTTGAAACACAGGCAAACGCAACATGAAGAGTTGGACATACAGCGGGCAGAGTCACGTTGGGAACGATGACGGTGTTCAGCGCGCTGGGGGCGTTGCGAAGAGGCTGGCTCTTGTCACCGTGGGGGTGGTACTGGTACTTGTAGTTCTTGCCATCGTCATCCCGCTCCCAGGGCATGGCGCTGTCGGGGATGCGGACGTTGCTCTCGGAGGTGACGGAGGTGGGCTTGCTGCCGAAGTACCTGTGATCGAGGGTGTCAGTAATGACGGAGTTGTGGACAGTACAATTGGCGGTGTGCCCGCGAGTATGCTTGTTGGGTGTTGGGGGGTTGGAACGAGGGCCGCTTTCGGGTGGTGGTGATATGATGCTGCTTGAACAAATAGGAACGGGGCAATTATTCACCATCCAGCGAGCAGGAAAGCACCGGACATGACACCGAGGAGGACCTGCAGGAGACATTAGCGACCCGTTCCAGGGGCACAGTAGTGCCATTGGCCCGGCGGAGGGCGCGGGAGACGGCGTACGTAGAGCTCGGGGTCACGCTTGGGCGCCTTGTCGAGGTTCGCCTCCTCGAGCTTGGAGCTGTAGAAGCGGCGCGGGGGGGCGCGGAACAGAGACTGGCGGGCGAAGGCCCGGCGGGAGGCCATGGCGGCGATGGAGGACATGGTGAAGGGTGGTGCGAAGCGAGATTATGGGGGAATCTGGCTGGAGCTGGACAGGCTTTGGCTCTTGAAGGGGAAGCGGGAGGAAGTGGGAGAAGTCGGACGATGATGTTCATAGCACGTGACCTTCCGATGGCTCCATCCGTAGCTGACTCAGCCCGTCTTTCGTGTGGGCGCCTGATCGAGACTAGCGCGATATGCGGGATGAGGCTAACCTTACTTGGTTGACCAGGGGATCATGATGGGCTCATGCGGACTTCCAGACCGTTTTCTTTCTCCTGTCCTCCGTCTCCGTCCCTGTTTGTCGCCGCCGTCTCCTGTCGTGTTTGGGGTAAGGCCGTGATGCGATAGGTGCTGTCTGTGTGTTTGCTCCCGTACAGTCCATTGTCGCAACTATATCGCAAGGTGGGTAACGAGTCTCCGTGTCTCACCATAGGGGGCTCCGATCCCCATAGAGAGTCGCGTCCCTTTCCTGTCGCAAGTCGCATGAAGCTGATGAGAACTCTGTCACTAGTCTAGGTTACTTACGCTCGTTCTCTTCGCTTCGATCTTGCGTGTTTTTCTTGTTCGTCTTCGTTCGTCGTCGCTCCTTAAATTTCTCTCGTCGGCCACCGCGCTCCGGTGTGCGGACCCGGAAACAATCGATTCGCTTTTCGAGGCGGCTTTCAATCACGGAATGAGACCGGAAGAAACAGATTCTTCTTAACAGCATAGTGCCTTCGATCATATACAGTCATGGCCGCCCCGTCCGGAAATTCGGGCGCGGGCGATGCGTCCAACCGTCCGCCCTCGCAACATGTCCTGGGGATCCCTCGCCCTCCCTCCGTTGGGGGCATTTCGTCTCGCGTGACGGATATCACGGATGATGGTGAACAGTCGCAAACGAATACCGGCGTGTCCTCATCGCAGCCGCCGCAGTCACGGCCGTCCGTGTCCAGACGAGGTCCTCCCCCTGCGCGAAGCTCGGTCATCAGTCAAGGAACCAACAGACCAGGAAGCTCGGGCAGTCGACTGAGCCGTAGCCATATCCCATCGCTAACGGCGCAAGGCTTCTTTCGTCCGATGTCCTCCCAGCGCCTTCAGGCTCACCGCGGTCGTCCCATGACGAAAGGCACTACGGCATCCTCTGAGGATTGGGGAGACCAGACAAGCCAGAACCGACGGAGTCTGATTTCCAACAGTACGTTTCAGCAGAGCTCGATTCCTCCAATGGAGCAGGAAGTGCCGCCATCACGCGGCACCGAATTCACCGACCCTATCATACCGGACCGCAACACATCCAACGCCAGTCCCACCGGTAACACCACTGCCAGGAGTATGGGCGAGAGTGCCAAATTGCTCCATGACAAGGAAAGGATCAAAAAGTCGCCGCCCCATCTCAACCTGGGTATCAACTATAATGGCGGAAATGGCCCGGAGACACCCCAAAGGTCTCCGCTGTCGTTTTTGACCTTGCAGAACAAGAATGCAGGACAGGAGCACCGGGACGGACGGAATCATGAGCGGTTATCGTCAGCAGGCTCATCTCCCAAGTCTCTCGAGAAGCAGAACCGGGCTATGGAAAAAGGCCTCCAGGGCAAAAATTATGAGTACTTTATCGGGAATACTATCTTCTGGGGCGGCGGGAGACTTCAGAACTCCCGGGACAAACCGGTCAACATTGCAACTGGCATCTTTGTGATAGTGCCTTCGGCGCTATTCTTTGCCTATTCGTATGTTTGCCTCTCTCGAGGTTGTTGGAAGTGTTTACTAACGTAACGCAGAGGTCCCTGGCTTTGGCACAACATTTCACCTGCAATTCCGATCCTATTCGCATACTTGTTCTGTGTCTGCATTTCTTCGTTTATTCACGCGTCTGTGGTGGATCCCGGGGTAAGAAGTATCCGGATCGGAGACCGTGGCATCCTGCTAACATCTCTAACAGATTATCCCTCGCAATCTCCATCAGATGCCTCCGCCGGACCCGTCAGATGATCCTTTGGCGATAGGGCCGCCAACCAACGACTGGGTGATGGTCAAACTCGCCACATCCGATGTGGCAGCGATGGATGTGCCGGTCAAGTACTGCAAGACCTGTAGCATTTGGCGACCGCCGCGGTGCTACCACTGTCGTGTGTGCGACAACTGTGTAGAGACGCTGGACCATCATTGTGTCTGGCTCAACAACTGCGTCGGTCGCCGAAACTATCGGTATTTCTTCACCTTTGTGAGCTCATCGACCCTGCTCGCCTTGTTTCTTCTCGGGGCCAGTCTCGCACATCTCCTCGTGTATCGTCTGCGTGAAGGCATCTCGTTTGGCGCCGCGATCGACCACTGGCGAGTGCCTTTTGCTATGGTGATCTATGGGGCTGTTGCAGCCCCCTATCCGGCCTCTCTATGGGCCTACCATCTGTTCCTGGTCGGGCGCGGCGAGACGACGAGAGAATACCTGAATTCCCACAAGTTCGCAAAGGCCGACCGCCATCGCCCGTTCACACAAGGGAACATCTTCCGGAACTTGATCTCGGTACTGATGCGACCACGACCGCCGACATATATGCAGTTCAAGGCACCGTATCACGAGGGCGACCAACGGTTGAGCACAGTGAAGCGAAAATATCTCCCGCGCCGTGTTGAGCCTCAGACCGACATTGAGATGCAGCGGGTGACCCCTGGTCCAGAATAGACCGACCTCGCATTTCCGATACACTTTCAGATCTCTTCTTCGACAATTAGGAACTTCCCTTCTGAGTGACCTATTGCTTTATCCAACACGCTAACGTTTTTTAATGTATATCCATCACCTTCCCTGTGACATTTTCTTTTGATTCATGGCCATTCTGCATCTCTCTTTTGATATCCCGCGTCTGTTTCTAGAGCGAGTTGTCCTTTCACTACCCGTTGCTGACGTTCTCTATGACGATCTTCTATTTCCTTTTTGTTCGTTGCCGCCGTTCGTGGTGGATCATGGACGGTGTTGATATAGGGCTATTTGGTGGGAATTGTTTGATATTAGGCATCCCAAGGGACATCTGTATGATATGGGCGCGCAAAGTCCTGCAGATAGATAGACTATGAATAATCTTTATATAGGTAGTTGTGTCTTGCGGTGCAATGGGGTATGGGCGCGTAGATTGATACACGCGGCCTGGACGGACAGCAATAAGACCGAGGTGATAGGTAGCTTGTAGACAACGTCAAGAACGTTGAAAGAAAGAAAAACATGTCTCAAGTTGGCCTGACGAGGAGACGAGGGCAAGACCAGGTCGACGTGGGGCGTGACAGGACGATTGCCCTGAGCATTCCGCGGTGGTGCCTCCGTCCCTGGCGGACGATACGGACCTTCTCTCTTCCCACCTCCTCTCCTCCGCACCTCAACTCCCATCTTCTCCCCATTCTCTCCCCATCCCCCGTCTCTGGCCCGGTGGACGTCTATTTCTTGTTTGGCCGTAGCATGCTCGTTCCCGTCTTAGCCCCTATCAGCCGCCTATACTCCTGATAAGACGAGACTCCGTGTGCATTGGTCCCCCAGGTCAGCTTTTTAACCGGAAGCCACACGCTCCCCGCGTCTTACGAACCACGCCATCCTCAGATTTGCTCGTGTTTACCTCCTGTGACGGCTAGATCTTGTCAAGCTATTGCCCTTCTGCCCTCTTTCGCCAGACCATCCCTCCCAGGCGTGGGATGGACACTCAACCCCAACGACTCCCGTCCGGCGCGTCTCCTGCGACACCCGCAACCCTTCCGGACCTGAAGAACCACCCGCACGAGCCCCGTGACGACACAATGGCGTTTGAGTACACCGAACAGCTCCTGACCCCGGAGAACAGTCGCTCCGAGACATCCAGCAACAACGAAAACGCGTCGACTGAAGAAAAACCCACCCTCCGCCGGAGATCTACACGTGTAGCACGCGCCTCGTTACAGAAAGCCGCCGACCTCCGCAGCGGCCTCGACACAGACACGCCGGAGACGTTGTCCCCGGCAGTTGAGAATGCCCTTCCTGTCACAGATGAGGTCCTCGCCGTCGCCGGCAAGAAAACGCACGCCGGTGCCGTAGCCGCCGCCTCCGTCTCCTCATCCCACCTCCGACACAGCATCGCGGTCATGGAGTCGTCGCTATGGAGCGAGACTCACCTCGCGCTTGACACAGCCGAGCCAGAAGACCACCCAATGGCTCCCGATACCCCCGTCTCGAAGTCATCGCAGGAGTCGCCCTCGGAAGCAAACCCGCCCTTGCAACAGCGCACGCTGAGGAAGCGTGTAGAGCGAGTATTCAGCAAAGAGGGCTTCAATGGCAGGGAGAAGTCCTCCGGTCCGACAGACACGCGAAAGGACGCGCCTTTGCGGCGCTCGTCACGCGTGAGCCTCCTGCAGAAGGCCTCGGATTTCGTCGGCCGTGCGCAGAGCGTTCTGGGTAAACGCTCCCGTGGCGCAGTGGAGAAGGGGAAGGATGACAGTCGACGTGCAAGTCTGCGGCCTCGTCCTGCTCCCGTCAAGGAGGAAACGCAGGCTCCAAATAATGAGCCCGCGACAAAGAGAAGACGCGTCTCTGAAAGCGACCTGGCCGCGAAGATCAAAGAAAACGAGGAGAAGCGGGATGAATCAACTACGCCGGCCCCTGTCACGCGGTATCGGCCGAAGCGCTGGTTAGCTCATGGTCTGTACGCGGGCCAGGAACCCGTGAGCGCGCGGCCCCTGCAGAACAAGAATAACAAGACATCCAAGAGAAGAAGCATCAGTGGTGCGCGACGGAAGCTTCTCCCGCTCCCTATGTTTGCAGGGGATCGTCTTCTCCGACAGGGCAGGGATTTTAAGCTGCCCTTTGACATCTTCTCGCCGCTGCCTCCTGGCCAGCCCAAGCCCAACGAATGGAGAAAGACCAACAAGAGTAAGTGTGGTAGAACCACGCGGTGGATAACGGCTAACAAATCGTAATAGACGTCTTTGTTGGAGAGGCTGGCAGCATCTGGAGAGCAAACAAGGACCTGGAACTGTCCAAGTGTATGTGCACGGAGGAGACCGGCTGTGACGAGAACTGTCAGAATCGTTATATGTTCTACGAATGTGACGACGGCAACTGCAGCTTGGGCCCGGGGTGCGGCAACCGCAACTTCAACGAGCTTAAGCAGAGAACCAAGGCTGGCGGGAAGTACAACATCGGCGTCGAAGTCATCAAGACGGCGGATCGTGGGTATGGTGTCCGCAGCAATCGCACGTTCGACCCCAACCAGATCATTGTGGAGTATACGGGCGAGATCATCACTCAGTCAGAGTGTGAGAAACGGATGCGGACGATTTACAAGAATAATGAGGTTGGTTTCTCTATTTTTGTGGTCGACCAGGGCTAACAGATTGCCAGTGCTACTACTTGATGTACTTTGATCAAAATATGATTATCGATGCCACGCGTGGCTCCATTGCACGCTTCGTGAACCACTCCTGTGAGCCTAACTGCCGCATGGAGAAGTGGACGGTTGCCGGTAAACCGCGCATGGCTCTCTTTGCTGGTGACCGGGGGGTTATGACCGGGGAAGAGTTGACTTATGACTACAACTTTGAGTAAGTGTTCTCCATGAAATTTTTGTACAGGGTATTGACGTCCACAGTCCCTACTCGCAGAAGAATGTTCAACAATGTCGCTGTGGCTCGGCCAACTGCCGTGGAGTGCTGGGCCCCCGGCCTAAGGAAAAGGAACGTGCAAAGGAACTTCGAGCCGAAGCTAAGAAGGCCGCCTCTGCGAAGAAAACGAGTCGAAAATCCTCTAGCACTAGACGAAGGATCGGGGCTGTCCTTGATGGCCCTACGTCCCGCATTACCAAGACTCGCAAGCGTGTTACGTCTCGGTCTATCAAGTCTGGTGTTAAGAAGGCCATTTCGCGGGTACGTGGAGCCGCGAAAGCCACGACCTCACGGCGAACTACTGCCCAGAAGGCCAAAGACGATGCGAAGGCATCGAAAAAGACGGGTACGACTACGAGAGCCCCGAGACGCCGAGCGAATAAAAAGGAGTCAAATGAGAAGGTCAAACTGCCTAGGGTCAGAGCCACCAAGGCGAGAGCAACAGTCCGCGTCCGAAAACCGGCCCAGAAGAATGAGAAGACCGAGGCAAAGGCTACTCCTGGTCAGTTGACGCGTCCCTCGGAGAAGACCAAGGCCAGGATCCTCGCCACGGTGAAAGGAGCGAACGCGCGAAAGCGCACCACGACTAATAAGAGTCCTGCTAAACAGTCTCCCCGGGCTAATGCCTCGACCCAGCGTGCGAGAACTACATCCAGGTCCCCCAGAAAGCCCAAGGCTTAAGCGACCTTACATGACCTACTTGCACAACCCACGGACAGACTGGTCCTGCTATGCCTGTTCTCAACAAACTGGGGCAGTTTATAATTTATAGTCCTCTACCTTGTTGGATGTCTTGGACTCGTTATGTTTATCCTTCTTGTTTATGTGAACTTTCTTTCGTTCCCAATGTGCTTGCTACAATGTGGGTTTCTGGCTTCTTGATGAGAGTTTGTTCCGGTTAATGGGCTCCTGATCACCTTGTGGTGTGCAACTGGCGTACTGTTTGGAAGTGCTGTTCCTGTCTATCAACCATGGTTTGCAGAATTGGTGTTGTGCGTTGCTTTCGAGTTTGCTGTCCGGCTGATGGGATGAGTTCTATCTTGTAGTTTTGCTAGGGTAATGAACATGCAGATTGGACTGTCACTTTTCCAGAGTAACTCGCTCCACTCTTATTACCAGGATGAAGCTACACCGCAACCATTCACATAGCGCCAACGCCCTTACACGCCGATATAAGAAGATACGCAAATTCATCAACCAAGCGCAGCTCCCCAGCTTCCCAGTCCCGCACGAACTGGTCATACGTTACAACATCGCGCCAGCGCGTGGATATAAGCGGCCCCGTACTATCTCCAGGGTCCGGCGGGTCAACGTACGGCTTCGAGACGGGCAACGCCACAATCTGCCGAAGAAGATAACACGTCTTCCACCGGAGCACATGGCGGATCTCGCGCGCAAGGTACGAGACCACCACGACCTTGCGCGCACTGTCGCACGCATGCCACAAGCCCCGCGCCTCGTCCGCAGACACGAGCCCAACCTCAACGAGGGTCGCCGTGGACTGGCGGGTCGCCAGTTCCAGGCTCTCAACATGGACAGTCCGCAGTGCGAGGAGAGTCTCTATCTGCTCCGCCAGACCGGTCGTTACAGCCGTCCCCCCAAAGACGGCGATGATATAATACAAGAGGATCGCGCAGAGCTCAGCCAGCCCGTCCTGCAGCACGGCGGGCGGCCGCCGCGCGATCAGACCGTCGACCTCGGTCTCGAGGAGCTGCTGCGCAAACGGAAGGGCAGACTCCTTGCGGAGTTTGTGCGCGGCGCACACGCCGTACGCGGCTCGTAGGGGCGGCGGGAGATCGCCTCTGCTATCCGCTGATGGGTGCATGAAGAAGGCTGTCCCGTGGTGGAGGAACGCGTCGATCTGCGTGAGCAGAGTCGTTACGCAGAACTGCCAGGTCGCGTGGTCCTCGACCCGCGGGTAGAACTCGAGGATGCGGCGGTCGAAGGAGATGGGCCACGGGGGTTCGGGGCTTGGTTCTGTGGGTGAGAGGCTGAAGTCATCGACTAGGGCCCAGATGTTGTCGTGATTCCCTGCTATGGTGCTATTTGTGGGGTCGGCTGGGTTCAGAGCATCCTCGTCCTGTTGACTATTTGTCAGAGGCGGATACGGATATCGACACGCCACAGACCGTTGCGCGCAGCGGTGGCAGGTCGGGAAGGCCAGGTCGCATTTCCGCTTTGCCGCTACACACGAGGCGCACGCCCTCTTGCGGAGAGACATGGTCCCATCGACGGAGATGATATGTAAGGATGAAGGTGATGGTGGAGGAATCTTACTATGTCGCTGCGGAGATCCACTTTTGTCCGCTGCGGCGGATGTAAGTGGATCCTCACCTGCTATAGTTCGTCAGCAACGTATGCTAGTATGTAAGCCTTGTTGGATTGATAGAGTAGAAGATAGTCTGCGGACCGCATGTCGGTGATATGTGGGCCAGTTGCATCTGAAGCATTGCGCGATAAAAATGTAGTTGAGCGTAGGCAGTATATATACATCTCTCTTTCCAGCAGTCCGTGGCATAACTCAACCCCAGAACACAATACCATCTCCAAGCACCATTGAAATGCCCCAACTCCAGAAAGCAGTCATCACCCGCAGCCCAGGCCAGGCTGAATTAATCACCAACCGGCCTCTTCCCGCCCTCCGCGATGGCTATCTCCTCGTGCGCACCGTCGCCGTGGCCCTGAACCCCATCGACTGGAAACGCCTAGAGAGTACGCCCGCCCCAGAGGCGACGATGGGCCACGACTACGCCGGCATTGTTGTCGCAGTCGGTGCCTCTGTCAACCGTCCGTTCCAAGTGGGAGACCGGGTCTGCGGGCTCGTCAATGGCGGCGACGGCACGCAGATCGAGAACGGGGCGTTTGCCGAGTATATCGTCGTCAAGGGGGACGTGCAAATCAAGATTCCGGACGGGGTCAGCTTTGTCGATGCGGCCACGGCAGGTGTTGGGATCCTGTCTGCTGGACAGTGCCTGTATGGCCCGTCGGGACTGGGACTGCGGTTGCCGGGCGTTGGACAGGGTCAGTCGGACGGAGAGGCTGTGTTTGTGTATGGAGGGAGCACGGCATCTGGGCTGTGGGGGATGCAGTTTGCGAAATTGTTTGTGACATCCACTACTACCTGTAGATCGATTACTGACAGTGAATAGATCAGGCTACACGGTAGTCACAACATGCTCGCCGCGCAACGACGACCTCGTCAAGAGTTACGGTGCAGACGTGATCTTCGACTACCATGATCCGAAATGCGGTGCCAAAGTCCGCGAGCGGACTGGGAATGCGCTCAAACTGGCATGGGACACCATAGCCACCGCCGAGTCAGCCAGAATCTGCTCAGAGGCAATCGGCTCTGCGGGTGGAAAATACCACGCGCTTCTGCCTGTGCCAGGCCCCCGAGACGATGTTGCATCGGCATTTACGGATGCCGGCACTGTCACTGGAGAGGCATTTGAATATGGGCCTGACAGAATGGTGATTCCGGCCATGCCTCACGAGTTCGAATTCGCGGTGCGATGGGCTGGTTTGGCGGAGAAACTGTGGAAAGAAGGGAAGTTGAAGACTCTGCCGGTTGAGATGGGACACGGGGGTTTGGAGGGCGTTCTAGAGGGGCTAAAGATGTTGAAGGAGAACAAAATCAGCGGCCGGAAGTTGGTGTATGTTGTCTCGGATACTGTGTAACAGTCGGTTGATTAGGATTTAGATATATGGAACTAGTGGGACTAAATGTATTGTCTAAGCAATAAAACATCGTACATGGTGACATGCTACTACATCTGCAGAACTGTCTCTCCTGGCACGAGGCCAGCCCACCTCCAGCATGCCTCCCAGAGCTTGTTCTGTACGCCTTCATCTTTGCTAGCCGCCGCAGCATCCATTTGCCTCTGGCCGACGAAATATCCCCTCTTTCCCTGGAAGGATGGGCTGACACTCAGGGCGACAAGGTCTCGTCCAGCATCTTCGGTTGTGCGGAACGACTTTGTCAAATGCTTGAGAACCGGCATAAGGAAGTTGATGGTCGCAAACAGACGCTGGGTGGACTTTTTCTGCTCTGACTGGGCTCTCGATGATGGAAGTCCGCCGGGGTCCATGGCAGTCGCCGTGATATGCGACAGTGAAGGGCTCTATACACTGTCAGTTATCCATTGAAGATCTCAATAATCCGGGCAGTAGTCTTACCTCCAGAAGCAGTCTGTTGAGATGGTTCATAAATGTGACGTTTGCCAGCTTGGCCGTCGCATACCTCTGGAACCCGCGATCATGAACGAGACCTGGCGGATCCGCCCGAGGCTTGACGAGCTCCTCAATGTCGTCCGGAAACTGGGCCACCAGCGACGACAACGGGTTCGCATTGTTCGAGTCGTGTGTCACCGAGCCGAGCATGACAATGCGTCCTGACGTGTCCATGCATTGGAGCAGCTTCAAGACCAGAAGGTAATGTGACAAGTGGCAGACTTGAAATGTCGCCTCGTAGTTGTCCGCGGTGAACTTTTGGCCTGCCTCGAGCGATAACGTGGCCGCGTTGCAGACAATCGCTGAGATGCGTGGGAATTTCTCTGAGAGCACATCACGAGAGAGCTTCTCTGCGAAGGAGCGTACACTCGACAGCTTTCCCAGGTCGAGAGCCTGAATGTACACCTTTGCCCTGGGGTATCTGGACACCAGCTGCTCAAGTCGGGCAGTGTTGGCATCGGTCACTGGGGACGGGTCTCGCACAGTGGCCACCAATGTATGCTGAGGATATGATTGGAGGAACGCTTCGACGAATCCAAGGGCTAGGGAGCCGTTGGCACCAGTAATGAGCACTGTTCCAGCCATTGTAGAGTTGTCGCTAGAGATGATGAGAGGGGATCACGGTCCATGGCCCCGAGGGAGGCTGTTTATATAGAGCCACATTAGCAATCCGCCGTGTTAAGTCCGATATGTCCTGTTCTACAAAGACCGAGTAGAAACAGAGCGAACAGAACGATAACAACGACAACTTCTGCTTCTTGGGTCTATACAACAAGCCTTTCCGCTTTGAGCAGGCGCCAGTCTTGGCTATATTACCACAACTGGTTAGTGCTTATGCTTCAGTCCGATTGCCACATTGTATACCCTCCATCCATCCATCATTCCCCCATCAACTGTCTGGCCTCAATATGCCGGAGATACAATTTATCATCGCGTCTCCTCAATCAGTGGGGTCCGGCGCATCCGAGTCCCAAAGGACGATGGCGCACTCGCACGCCGCCCGCTCCGCCCACGCCAGGAAGAGGCGCTTACGGACCATCCAATACCAGGCCCAGAAACGGCACTCCTCTCTTGTTAGCATCCTGCCCGCCACTCGGGCAGACCCGTTCATGAGCTTTGCCCGATCCTTGGACCCCATTGAGCCAATGCTCTTCGATCACTGTATGTCCAGCCCGTAGGGTGGTTGTAGCGCAGTGAGAGTAACACTCCCGTCCAGACGTGACCGTTGTCATCCCGCTCATGCGCTGCATGGAGACTGCAAGCGGGTTTGCTCGCCGCATGACGACGATCTGGGTGCCACGGGCGATAGCGGAAGCGAGTCTGCTGGATCTGCTCTTTCTCGCCGCGTGTCGGCATTTGGCTGCGAGATATGAAGAGAAGGAAGGGCGGTACTTCGACCGACTGGCTCTGCAGTACAAGCTTAGATGTCTGCGGTCGTTACAGGATGCGATCGTGTCTGACACGCTGTTGCTGAGTGACTCGACCATATCACAGGCTATCATGCTGGCGTACGATGAGGTAGGGAGTCCTTCATGAGCGGGATATAACGTAACACTGACATTGGCTAGCTGTTCGTCTGTGACGAGACAATGTTGAAGCATCATGTCCAAGGGGCGATCAAGATGGTCGAGCTGAGCGGCGGGCTTCAGTCTCTTGGCCTGGATGGTCTTCTGGCCCATTTTCTTTCCAATCTGGTTTGGAAGACAGAAGAAATGACAGGTCTTTGGTTCAGGATACCCTCGGACAGTCAAACAAATCAGGGTTGAAGTTATACATCCTCTAGCAGTGTATCATGCATTTACTACTTATAATATAGATGGAAGAAGGGAGTATGAAGCCTCAACCATGCAACCACATCGGGTGAACATCCCCGACGAAATATAACCAGACTAGCTGTCTTCCTGGACGCCGCATTTCGGTGAGGCGCTTACTGGATTCAGGTAGGACCCTGTCCGACTGTATCCTGCAATGGTGACGACAGACATCATACCACCTGCAGGACGCAGTGGATGGTGGCTGGCCTTGGCATAGCCAAACGCAAGAAACGGCGAGCAGATCCCTGTCTGCCCAGCAGCCATAGTAGCCATATAATATAGTTCGCTTTGACTCGTGTCTTGCGTACAGCCTCTCGGGTCGATGCTCATGGAGATATACTGACCCAGCAGCATCATCCCGGCAGACCGTCCTTCATCGCAAGCATACCCATGGATAATGCGAGCTGATCCGGCCAGGCTGGTAGCCGATTGGAAAGCCTTTCCTTGGTGCGCATCGGCACGAAAGGCGCCATCGACGGCGCAGGAACCACGTCCCACGATGGTAGCGTAGACACTGTTGGAGCCATGGACAGCCGACGAGCATCAGCCTGAACCAGCACAATCATCTGGTCCAGGAGTGCGAGAGCCGACTCTGCTCCATGAAGCGCAAACTGCCTGAGCTTCTGGGCCACCGCGACAGGAATCAGCGCAATCAGGTCTGCTTTCGTTTTTAGTACCCTGTCCTCCAGGGGTGCAGGAAACTCCGATTCCAGATCTTGCCTCAAGGACTGAAGCCTTCTTTTACACAACACAATCTCATCCAGCAGGGTCTGGCGCACGGCGCTGTCCGGCTCCCGGTCTCGGATCACACCGCAAGTCCGCGCATACAAGCCCGGACACTCGGTGACCTCGACAAAGATCTGCTCGGACAAATCGCCCAGACGACAGCCCTTCCCTCTGGCATTCTCGTCTATGATGGTCTGCGACAGCACGGAGCGCCATTGGGGCTCGGCCAGGAAACACGATTCGCCCCGAACAAGAGCATCGGCTACGATAAACGACTTGAAGGATACCAGCAGGGTCCGGCCGAACCCGCTACGATGCGCCTCTGGTCCGCGCAGGCGAAACAGCGTGCTGATGCCGCGCGAATGCGTGAGCCAGGACTCTGTCGTCATGCCGTCCAGCATCTCGAAGAAGCCGAGCATAACGGCGATGGCAAGTGTCATGTCGGATCGCACCGACCGCGGGTTCTGCAGCAGATCGCGGAGTCCTCGCAGTGCACGGCCGTACATCGACCGACTGCTCGCGATCTTGTTCTCGTCTTGGTGCTGGTTGCCCAGGTGCAGCGTGCCCAGAGATCGAATGCTCCAGACGAAGGGGTCCAGGGTGGATTCGGCGTGGCGACGGGCGAAACTCATCCAGTTCACCGCGACGCGCGTGCTGTACGAGTAGTAGAGACCTGGCACGGTGGCATCGATGAAGAAGCTCAGGACCTCGATTCCCTGCGCAGTCAGCGCTTTCTGCATGAGATCTGGCGCCACCAGCTCGTCTACATTGTTCTGCTGTCGTAGAGGCCGCTTGGCGGGTGGTCGTGCCTTGGGCGCATTCTGATCTGGGACGATGGAGGGCTTGGAGGTGATCGCAGAGTCTACTGGTCGTTCGCGCTGGGCGGGCGTTGTAACGGGAATAAACCTGAGAGGTTTCTGATATCCAGGGCACTGTATACCTCGACGCTCGCAGCGTCGGCATGCTGGCCGCGACTCGTCACACTGTGTCCAGAATGATCGATTAGCGCATACTTCTGTCTTGTACTGCCAAGCAGCTGCGGAGGCTCATCTTACCTTGATGCGACGCTGTATACAAGTGCGACAGCCTGTGCTGTATGGAACTGCCACCATGGCCGTGGAGTCGGTGTGAGACGTGCTTACTCCTGCCTCGATGAAGAGAAAACAAGGGTTACGGAGGTCAGAGCAGACATGAGGCTGAGATATGCTCCCCCGCCCCAAGGATGCCAAGAGTATAGCCCCTTTTATAGGCGGGGATAGTTCCATGCCATTCAAGCGAGTCGGAATACGAGGCTGATACACACTAAGGCAAGAGCCTCATTGTAGAAGTGCATCTATCCAGAGACCTCTAAAAACTCACGTAGATTGCCCGGTCGGTACCCGGATTCAATCATGCGGTCAATGACAGATTGGTGAATGTGGTGGTGAAAGGGAGTCTTTCTCCGATACCGACCTTCCTCCGCAGACTCCATAGAGCGCCCCAGCACATCAATGACACAGAGCGGAAATAATTGCGCCATTTTGTCTAAAGATGCAGCGCCCAACAGACGTGAGAGCCGGTTCCGATACTTCATGGAGGCGAAGCTAGGCGCATCATCTGTTGCAGAAACGCCGTCCCACTTCAGGGATCTGAGCTCACTACAGAGGAGCATGCCACAGGATGTCACGGCGTTCATGTCTTTGAGTTCGTAGTCCTTATGCTTGGCGAAGTATTCCTATAAAGTGCCGTGGTTCAAGATGAGACCAGCGTCTTCGGCCTGTTGAATCATCCACATGAGCGGGAAAAAAACCAAGATCAACACTTCCATCCAACGTAGCCTGCGCGTCAGGCTCGCTGGGTACAACGCCTCCAATGTCCTAGACTAGTTAGCACTTCATATTTAGGCCTCGGAGCTGAAAACCTACAGCATGCTTAGCCTTCGGTTGTGGCGATTTTGTCGCGCTTCGTCGGATTGACTGCATCCTGGAAGGTAACCTCGTCGTTGCTCCATCGTTGGTAGAGAATGGCGTAGCGGAGTCCCGGGCTATGGACTTGCTCCTCGCCGATTTCAGCGAACTCGATATATGGAGCTCAGGTTCGAATGAGTCTCATGTTTTTTTACGTGGCGTCGTCAAAGTTGCGTCACTTCTGAAGAGCACGGCTTCCGGCGGGTTGTCCAGCAGATCGCGCAAGGCTGTCGTTCGTGGTTTGGTTTGGTTGGTTTCAGCCGCAGCACGCGACTGTCTGCACCCTACGATTCCATAGATCTATCTATAATTGAACATGTCTTCAGTCCCAGATAAGGTTGATATAGGAAATCTAGGAGCTGTGAAAACTCTCAGTCTGTACCTTCGATGTATTCGTTTTGCTAAGGTGTCCGTCCAACTCCCCCAGCTTCGACTGAGCTGCTGAGGTTCTCCAACGTATGCTTCCATCTACCTCCAGCAAATACATCTCGTGACCGCGTTTTGTTTGCTGCTTCTCTTGCATACAGAAGGGGTGTTTTCCCCTCCTTATCTCTTTCAGCCAGATCGAAGGGACTATTTTTCCGCAAAAAGTCGATGACCTCCTTGCTCAACGAACCGCTCATGGCACCATGGTGCAGAATGGTTTTCCCACTATCGTCCCTTGCCGCCAAGTCGACACCGTGATCTTTGAGGGCCTTCAAAACGCCAGGCTCGGTGCTATGGCTGTGCATTGCCAAGTGTGCTAAATTTTGGCCTTCGGAGCTTGTCCAGAGGGCGTCAGCGCCATGTTGCAAAAGGAAACAACAAATCTCTGTCCGGTCTCCCAATCTAAATCCTCGAAGATGTAGGCTGAGTGGAGTGTCCCCATCTTGGTCGACATCGGTCAAACTTGTGCCGTGACGCAGGAGGATGGCAATCATTTCAAGGGAGCAGGTATTGGCTGTCAAATGGTAGTGCAGTAAATTCCTTCCTCGCGCGTCCCTTTCAAGACAAAGACGCCGGGCGGCCAGTTGTTCGTCCATACCCAAGATCACTCCGACAGTGTCATATTTATTGGCGGAAACAGCATAGTGCAATGCACTGAGGCCCTGAAGGTCCACGGTGGTAATGCAACAACCTTTGCCAAGAAAGTTGCAGGCAATGGTTGAGGCGCCTGATTTGCAGGCAAGGCGCAAAGCAGTCTGGCCTTTCGCATTGCGTGCAAAAATATCAGCTCCGGCCAGAAGTAGCTCGCCAACGATAACTTCCGAGTTGCAATTGCCATACTGAACTGTGTGAAGAGGGGAACAAAGTTCAGTATTTCGGATATTCACATCAATAGTGGCTCTTGAAAGAAGGGACTTGACTACTGCCAGCCGTTCTTCTTCGATATACTGGTATATTTCCTGTGCTTCTTCTCCTTCATAGTCAGAGATGAAGTCGGCAGAAAATTCCACATGCCACCTGCTGTCAGTCCATTCGTCGTCATCAGGCAGAACGACACCATATCGTGGTAGCCGTGGGCTGCTTCGTGCCTTATATATGCTTCTCCGCAGGGCGACATGTAACGGCGTATCCCCGTGGTAGCAGCGCGCGTTTGGGTCAGCACCTCTATCTAGAAGGTATTCGGTCATCACATTATGGCCAATGCAAGCTGCAAAATGCAGAGGCGTGAGCCCAGTAGCATCTTTGGTTTTTCCTTTGACAACCCCAGTCGTCCGGCATTCCCAATGGGCTCTTCTCCCAGAGTCAATGGTTTTTGCCCAATACTTTCTCTCAATTCCCAGATTGACGTCTGCGCCCGCCTGAAGAAGAGAGTCTAGAATAGAGGTGCTTCCCGTTCCAACTGCGTAAAGCAATGGGGTCATGTTTCCCACATCACACGTCGTGAAATCAGCACCATGGGATAACAGCAAGTCTGTCATCAAACTAGCCTCAGGCCGGGAGGCAATTGCCGTTAAATGTAATGCATTCCGGTTCATTGTATCTACTGCATTAGTCAGGGCTCCATGAGAGAGAAGCTCTTTTGCAGCCTTTACTCTCATATCTACCGCAGCAGTCAGTAAGGGTGTCTGCCCTTGTATGTCCCGAGCGTCAATCATCGCACCGCATTTAACGAGACGTCGTATCAATGCTGGATTGTCTTGGCTTGCAGCGTAATGCAGGGCAGATTTCATGTCCATATCGGTTGCATTCACATCGAGCCCTTCCTTTAATAGTAGCTCAACTGTGTGCTTCTGCCCATTTTTCACAGCCCAATGTAACGCTGTCTGCCCAAAGCTGTCTGCTACATGAGGACCAAAGCCTTCTCGTAGCAATTCCACGACCTCTTCTTTAATGCCGAAGAAAGCCGCAATATGGAGTCCAGTCACCCCCTCCGGTATTTTAAGGGTGCCAAAAACCCCTCGCTGCACGAGTAAAACCTGTGCAGCGCGGGCAATCTTTTGCTTGTTTCGGAGGAATCGAGCCGTGATATCCTTGACTTCAGGGTATGCCACCCTTGCATAGTGTCCCCAGTATTTTGCAGCGTAGTCGTAGAGGCAGTTTTCCTCCAGCTGCTGGTTGTATTGTATCCAATTCTCGGCAGGCTTGCTAGAAAATTGATCGTAGCTCAAGTATGTGAGCAAAACGGTGGAGATATATTGATTTGCACTTGGGAACCATGATGCCCAGGATTGCTCAAAGTACTCTTGAGTTGTGTAGTGGACCAAGCGAACGACGTCGCTTTGTTCTTCATAGACTATCAACCCAGTACAAACGTCTTTTGCCAGTTCAATGTCCGGCAAGTTTCGTGGATTAAGCGCCGATGAATTGGCTGTAACAGCAAGAGCATGTTGTAGTTCCAATTTTCGCATGGGTCTCCGAGACTGGGTAACCCAGGTGAGGACTTGGATAGCGAGCTCACTGTATTCTTTCTGCTGGCCTTTGATTCTCTCCATGGCATTGTCATATGATTCATAGTAAGCGCGTGACCCTTTAGGGAGTCTCTCTAACGCATCATCAATCTTCATGGCGCTGGTCATGTACCGTAAGGACTCTATGTGGAGTTTTGCAAGAAGGAACCTGGAACAATCGTTAGCAATTTACCAGCATGGGCTGGCTTTCATGGACTTACATCCCGTCAGTCGTGTTGATAATTGCAGTGGTTATCTGCTCTTTCAGCCCCCGAGTCTCTTGCACGAATGCCGGAAAGCTTGATAGTTGATGTTCAATATATTTCCTCACATCTCCCTCTGTCGCACGGATCTCCAATATACTGCATCCTCTTTTCTGCAACTTTTCTGTTACTTCAGAGACATGCCTTGAGGTCATGAAGAGATTTGTATTGGATCCGTTCTGGAGTCTAAACAGCCGTGAAATGATGTTCGAGCGAGTGCCGTCAGAAGCCTTCAATTCGTCGAGTGCGTCAATTAGGATGAAGGTTCTCGAATAACCAGCAACAACATCGCGTAGTGTATCAAATATTTCATCAGGCGAGGGAAATGTTCCTCGGGGACTGTGGTGTCTGTACAAATTGATCACGGCCTCGGGCATGGAAAATTGGGCCAACTGTTTAAGTATACTCCGAAGCAGGTCTGTGCATGATACTGACTGCTGATAGCTGCAAAACGCGAATGCAATTCCGACGCTCTTATCATTTTGGAATTTGCGACAAAGGGAATCGATTGCAAGTGACGTGGCAACGGTCTTGCCTGCTCCTGGGATGCCGGGACAGAATAGTGTCTGTTTATCCCGGTGTAACCAAGCCTGGAACACAGTTGAGTCTAGGAGCCATTCAACGGTTCCTACTTCGCGTTGACCGATAGTGGCTCTCTGTTGAGGCCCCTGATCGATGTCACTAAGCCAATTAAGGATTGGGTCGTCCTGCCTGTCCAGCATTGACCTCAGCACTGAGATATCTGTTTCGGTTCTAGATACGGCATCAAGGACTAGCCCATCATTAAAAGAATACCAACAAATGACTTGGACTGGACAGAGACTAACCGTCTGAAAGAATTTTTGCAGCGCTTTTTTTCTGCCTCGACCGTCTTAGGCGCGATTCGGGTTAAAAGCTCTTTTGCATACATGGCAGCTGTCATCGCGGCATACCCCTGCCAGTCCTCATTCTTGTGACTATCCGAGTAATCACATATGCCACGGATGACAAGACAAGGAAAGTGATTCATTAATCCGGCAGCTTCCATCTCAAAGCATAGAATGTCTCTTTCTGCTGAAATTTTATCGCGGATTCCAGCATCTTTCATCAACTGGTTCCCCGAGGCGATCAGTCCATAATGGATCGTTGGGTTGTCCTCGGTTTCAGCCCTTGCTCGTCGTTTTATTAGGTTTGATGGGTCGCTTTCACATTCACTGGCTGCTCCACAGAGTTCTCTGTGTGTAATTTCGGGCTTGAATAGCCGGTCACTGACGGGATCTGGTTTCTTATAACGCCGTTGCAGTCTTGGCTTCTTTTGAAGAAGGACATTGATGGATTCTTCAATTCTATGCCCGTCTATTTCATGTTTGGCCCTGATTCCCCTTACTGCGGAACGCATATAGCCGGTGGGTTATCAAGAACCCTTGTGCATTGAAGACTTTGACCCTGGATAGTCTTGCCAAAGTCGTACTGAAATACGCCGCCCGTGCCATCACGGGGCGCACTCACGACCACATCCCCTAGTCGAATATCATGCTTCATTGGTGCACCACCACCAATGCCAACCATGAGACCTATTCTGACAGCAGGGAAGCTGTGTACCATATCTTTTGCAACAGCTGCTGCAGTCGCCGTGCCGTACTCCCCATCAGGCAAGACTGCAATGACAACGTTGTGTTCTCCAATTCTACCGAGGGTGTAATCATTATTGTCCCGATCAGAGACGCAATCAGGACCCCCGTGTTCTTCATCAAGGACGACTTGAGCGGCGACGTACTCTGTACTTAGGGCACATATCCAGCCAACTGTGTAGTCACTTGCCTCGGGCATCTTTCTCAGGCGACGGTACGGTCAGGGCAGGGGAGGACAGCGTCAGACGGTTGTAAAGACGAGTTTTGATGGGTTACAGGAGAACCCAAGTGGAATATTATTCTCCTAGATAACGTTGCTGAATGCGCAGGAAAACAGAATGAACTGAAGGGATATCGAAATTTTTCTAGCTTATGAGGTTGAATCGTATGACAGCACTGCCACAACACGAGGTCACTCCTTCCAGCCAGTAACTACTTACCCAGTAGCCGCCCATGTTATCTAACCTCATCCTAGACGTCAATATCTTCGATTCCACAAGGCAAGTTCCTTCGATGATTGGCCATGGCAAAGCCTTCCAGCTTATATTTGCAGGTTACCCCGCAACATGGACTGCATTCTTTAGCGACATCTTTTATCGAGTTAAGTTATGGTAAAGATATGTATAACTTGACCATCCACGAAGCCGTAGAACGACAAAAGGTCTAGTAGTTCTCACCTACTCCTGTCCTTCAGCCGTCGCTATTGTTTGCAGGTAACACGGAGGCTGGGCTTTGTAGGATTCATCATGCGCAGGGGTGCTTGTAACCACCTAACAGCTCAATAGCGTAGGCCAGCAATCCTGGCGCCAGACATGTTGACACGATTGGGCAGTTTCCTGTTACTGGATATATACGGAGTATGCCAATGCCTCCAGTTCAGCTGAACCCCGCCCGGGGGCGGCGCGTTTACATTACTCTGATTCTGGATCTGCGCACTTCAAGTGCTTGTCCGCGCAAACAGGTACTCTTCATACAAAAGACCTTAAACCAGCTTCCGTGAGGAATACACGGAGGACTCCAGAGGACGACGAAAATATCGGGAGATCACCACAGGCCGATACAGAACGGAGTATTAGTGAAAATATGGCGACAAATCCCGGGTTGACGAATCTGGAAAGGGGGCAGATAGCGAGGCTCGCACGCAATCTCTCCAAGACCAATCAATAATGTATTGAGGCAGAGACCTGATTAAAATGCCAATCAGATTGACATGCAAGCAAAAGGCTGTGATGTGGCAGCCCTGCTTGCTTTTTCTATGCCATATTTTGAAGTACCTGATTGTCTTCTCGCAACCCCCCAACCTCCAACTTATCTCCCCCTCCGTTTCTTGAAGCGGACGAACCAGAATTTTTATGCCAGATCGGACCCATAAGCCATGGAGAATTGCAAATCTCATGGAAACACCTGACCTTCTAAACCAGATTTTTGACTCTTAGTCCAAACCATTCCCGGGTTGACTGTCCAAGATGGAAAGCGCAGTACACGCTTTTCTTATTTAGACTGGGAAGGTAGATGTGGATTTTAAATACTCTGAGTAGTAGCAGTAGTAGGAGTAATGATGGGCCAACTACGTCTAAACCGTAAGGAAGACGTCAAACGCAAGGTGGAATTCCAAGGTGTGTAAGCCAAGCTCTATAGAGCCTATGATACAACAATCGAGATATAATATGCCTATCCTATTTCAAACATCGTGCCTGCACCGAAACACCGAATCCCGCGCCCTCGAGAACCAATAGTGAAAAGATTGTTCTAAACAAGAAAAATAAAGACATCCCCTGTACGGAATTTAGAAAGACACAGATCGTTCGCTAAATAGTATGTGTTGCGATCTAAGCACTGTTTGTTTCTGAGGGTGCCGGTGCCGGTGCCGGTTCTGCTGAGGCCGATGCACTGTCTGCTGTCTTGGGTTCTGCGTCCTTGCTTTTCTCTTGCTCGGGAATTGCTTCGGTGCTGGGCGCAGGTGGTTCTGCTGAGTTGTCGTTTCCGTTGCCTTCAGTAGGTTGTGCTGGAGTGTCTTCCTGAGGAGCGGGGGATGCAGACTTCGGAGCTTGCGCCGGTTCTGGGTCGCTACCGATAGGGACCGCATCCTCAGTCGGGAGTTCAGCGCTCGATTGAGCTGGCCGCTCAGTCCGCTCTGTTTCGGACGGCTCAGTCGGTGGGATGGGCGCACTCGGAGCTTCCTGTGATGTATCTTGCTCAGCAGGCGGCTTCTCAGGTTGATCCGGAGTTTTCTCTGGCGATGCCTCTCCAGCCGGCTCTGCGGCAGATTCGACCTGCTCAGAAGGTTGTTCGATAGGTTCTGCAGGGGCTGGTGCAGTAATCGGTTCTGTAGAGGACTCTGCAGCTTTCTGCTCTGCTGTTGCATCGGGGCCTTGTTCGGAAGTCGGTTGGTCTTGTGGTTGCTCGACACCTTCCGCAGGGACCTCTGCAGGGACTGGAGAGGGCTGCACGGACTGTTCGTCCGCTTCTGCATCTGCCGGTGCTCCCATAGGAGCTTCAGGTTCTGCTTGAGGTTCGTCTTGTTTCTCTGCTTTATCATCTTGTGTTGCTTCTACTGGCTTGTTTAGACTGGCTTCCAGCATGTCAAGCATGTCGACATCCTTGCTTTCTTCCTGCGTCGGTTCCATTTCTGGAGCCTTCTCGGGGGGCGCCTGTGACTGATCTGCCGAGGTATCCATCGCATCCTCAAGCTGAACCTCAGCTTGGGGAGCAGGCTCGATCTTCTCCACAGCTGTCGTGTCTTCTGCAGACTCGACTGCAGCAGACTCCTGGTTCTCGGTAGGTAACGCGCTAGAATCAGGTTGAGGAGTTTCTTGAGTCGGCGCCGGAGCGGCTTGGTCGACAGCTGATTGAGTAGCATCTGAGACAGAGGTCGTGACGTCTGCAGCCTTCTCGTCTGGTTTAGACTCAGTCATCTCCACATCCTGGGGAATATCTTTCTGCTCGGTGGTGTCAGCCGGTGTAGCAGTTGCTTCACCAGCCGGTTGACCTGCATCCTCAGGAACCGGGGGCGGCATCTGGGAAGGAGTCTCAGACAGCTTCGGGTCCGCCAGTGCGTCCGCCATCGATGCAGGTGTTTGCTCCGCTGCAGACTCAGATACACCATCAGCGGCGGGCTCCACACTGGAAGGTTGGACAGGAGTCTCCGGAGTCTTCGCATCCAACATGGACTCCTCACCCTCGTCGCTTTCGTCTCCTTCCTCGCCATCGTCATCCTCATCATCCTGTCCTGGTTGGTCGGCCGACATCTGCGAAGCATCACCGTCTTTGGCATATCCCTCCGTCGTCCCATCAGTGCCACCAGGGCCAGCACCATGAACCAACGACGCGTCCGCCCCTTCTCCAGGCGCGAACATGACCTTCTTCCGTCTTCCCTTTCCAAAGCCCTTCGCCTTGCGCTTCGGGGGAGGCGGCCGTCTCTTGGGGGGTGTCATGACCGCCGCAGAACCAGCCTCCGCAACGACCACGCCCTCCCCATTCACCACACCCACGCCTTCAATAACAGTGCCAGGGGCCGGTGCCTCCGGAATGACGGTCGCCTGGCTACTCTCTGCCGCCAGCTGCGCGTCATCGGTGACTTCGCCCTCGATCTTATGGCCCTCGGGAACCCAAGCCTCGTAGATAGAGATATTGCCCGTGGCGGGATCGACCTTTTTAAACCGCGTGCGTCTCATGGGCTGTGACGCATTCGCGCCATCAACCGCTGCTGCCGCTGCCCCATACAAGGAGGGCAACCCGGGGGCGTCGTTTAGCCAGAAATTCGACCTCAGGCGGCTCAAGGTGCTTGGGGACGGTCGTCCACTTGCGGGTGACGAAGCTCCGCTCGGCGCTCTGTATCACGGGTTGCTCCTCCACATCGGTCGTCTCTTTCTCCTCGTCTTCGGGGTCCTTCACAGCAGGTCGGATGTAGATGCAACCGGCGCGGGCGGCGCGCAGCAACGCCCGGCTCGTCGGTGTCAGCAGATGGCTGTCCCGCGGCATGGGGTGTTCAGGGATGGTCTGTTTCCCGCCGGGGCCCTGCATAATCGACTCAGACTCTTCGCTTTTGGGCATCTGCGACACGGTCTGGGTTTGGCGCGTCCATCGGCGGACGGGCAGTCCTTCGAAGACATCGTGATCGATCTGGCCGGTTCTCGTACGGTTGGCGCCGTCGCCGAATTGGCGACCCGAGCGGGAGGATCTGAACTTGGGGCTTGTCAGGGAACTATTCAATGAATGGCTTCGGATTGGGTTGTGGTTGGTGGGAGTATGGCGATGTTGGTGGCTAGGAGAAACCTACCGTCGGCGGCATGGTGAGAGGCAACTGGCCTTACCGTCTTCCTCCACCACACAATTAGGGAAAAGAGCGAGTAGACGTGTAACGGGCCCCTTCGGTGGTAATAATATCAGATACACAGCAGATTTCACGTAAATGGGGGAGATTGGAGCGATGCGCCGGCGTCGACTGGGGGCGAAGTCAATAGAGAGTTGAGTCGCGATGCGATGGATCGGGACGGTCACGTGATAGAGAGAATACGATACTGTCACGACGAAGCATTCGATTGCATTTCTATATCCAGAGAAGAGAAGCCGCGAATACCGCTGATCAATCCTACAATGTAGTCACGTTCATTAAAAATACAGAACCCTCATCGCCTGTCTATCAGCCCAGCCAACATCTGTGGTCGGTGGTGATCCACCCCGTCCATTCCGTCAAACCCGTCGACATGCTAGTATTTATAGGCTGTATGAATTAGTCCCAGCTGAGGCGTGGTTAATAATCTGTGGAGGAGACCGCGGTGGTCGCAGGGCGCGTCTTACCCAGTATCCTTCTGGCGAACAATGCCGCCTTCTTCCCCGGTTTCCTTCCCCTATATCGGCCGTTAGCCCGGAGATCAGGTCGATGCGACCAAGGCAGAACTCACCGTCTTCTGGCCTTCCACAACCAGCTTGTCCATCTGGTAGAACTGGCTGATCACGGTTTGTCTCTGCAGTCAAGTCAGTCAGATCCTCTCTTTGTGTGCTGGGAGAGGCGGGGAAGACAGAAGAATCCTGTACTGCTTCCCCGGCTCAGTGTGAAACCTCACCTTCATCATTCGCAGATTTTGGAGTCCATCCTGGATCAGTTCCTGGATCTTCCGGTCCTCCGACTCATTCTGATGCTCGCGGAAGGCGTCCCTCGTGCGCCGGCGGGCATACTCGCGGAAGTTGTAGTTCGAAAATTGGGACGACTGGCGAAGTAGGGAGCGGAACTATTCAACAAGAAGAGATATGGTCAGTGTGTTGATCGAAATGGACGAGCTTTCCGAGGGAACCCCGCGCAGATAGATGATAGGGGATTGACATACCAACGAGCGAACCTGGAAGGAGGTGTTTCGCGGTACTGTCATAGACATGATGCAGAGTGGAGAGTGGTAGTTAATGGAAGATGCTCAATAAAAACTCTGGAACGAAGAATATCGCGTAGCTCAGGAACGGGTCTTCGGGAGGTAGTCGCGCGTCCGGGCTGTGGATTCAGAGCGAGATTCAAACGCGGAGACAGATACCGATAGCGGATAGTGCCGAAGAAAACAATCAGGACCTGAAGGAGCCTGTGAAGATGGAGGAGTATTCGTCAGAAGATCGAGTGCACGGAGTAGTGTAGATTATCGCAATCCCGGTGGCGTTGGAAAGGAGCAGCCCTGTTATCCGAGGAATCCCACGTTAGACACGAACTATCGTTGTCGGCAACAGCAGACTCACGAGAGAGCAAAAATACAACAGAACGAGGTCGAATGGGAGAGTTGAAGCTGGAGAGAGAAACAGACAAGACCAAGTGGGAGTGGTTGATGGTGGTTGCGCCGGCGGGAAATTCTTTGGCTTTTTTGGGCGATGAATGACGGAGTTATCGGACTCCTCGGCCGATCTTCTCCAGCTTTTCCTGTCGTTCTTCCCCGACATCCAATTCCCCGAGCTCTCCTCCACGACACACACTGCCATATACCTGTATCGCGTGCAGGCCTGGATCCTCTAGCTATGCCACAAATCCCTACTCCTCCAGCCTCTCGTCATGGGTCGATATCCCCTGAACCCGAGCACAAACAAGCTCCGACGGCCGACTTGACGCAGACGCTGGACGACCTGTTGGAACGGTATCTCCATCTGCTTGATAAGCACCAGAAGTTACAGTCCCAAATGGCCTCCTGTTTGTCTTCAGTATGGTTCTCTCCCCAACTTCTTGGGGACTAGGTATTGAGTTGATTATAGGGGTTCATGGCGCTCGCACAAGCCAACTATGCCTGTCCTCCAGGGCGACGATACGGCGAAGATTACTATGACGATCGCATGAAAGCAACAAGACGGATGTGAGCCAAAACAACTGTCTGCACCCGATGATAAATTCAATGCTGACTATTAGGATTGAAAGGACCATACAAACCCGATGCGCCGCAACCAACAATCTGTCGGCGAAAGATACAGATCAATCCGACAAGTCGGCCACATTCCAGTACACATTCAAAATCGAATCCGCCAAAACCGAGGAATCAGAAGAAGACCCAAAGAATGACGGACCGCCGTCTCCTGAGAGCAGTGATCCCTCGGACGGTCAGCCAGCTTCAGAAGACGCTACGAAGCCTTTGAACGCCCCAGACTCCCCAGAGCCCTCCGGTCCAGATGAAGCAAGCAAGACAGGATTAGAATCTACTACTACGTCCAAGTCAAAATCGAAGTCCAAAACGAAACCTCGCTCTTCCGATCCCCTTCGGTGGTATGGAATACTGGTCCCGCCAACCCTTCGCAGTGCGCAAAATTCCTTTACAGCCGCTGTAGAGGGTCATCTATCAGAACTTGCAAGTGTTACGACTGAGATGCAGTCAGCAGAGAGGGAGATCGCGCAAGTACGAGAGGAACTCGGTCAGGCCTAGGGCCGGTGTGATTGTACGAAGTACAGGATAGAAACGATACCTACCGCATGCGTCCATGTCCGATGCACCTATATTTGCCAAGTGTCTTGAATGGGGCTCAAAATGTCGTGCAGGGATTCTATATTTACATACTGGATATACTCCATAAGGATCAAGGAGCTACAATATGTATATAATGTACTCCGTAAAGCCTGAGTGGAGTCACATAAACCAAGTGGATCTGGATATTATGGCAGAAGAACTGAATATTATTCGGAATAATAATATCAAGTCAATATAACGACAAACATATTCAAAGGAATATAATGTGGAATTGTCATCACATTGGCATCTACTGCAGTAGTCTACATACAAGCGGATCACGTAAGATACAAACAACAAGGTTGTTGATCTCTCGTCGATGCTTCTTCCCCCTGTGCACATCCTTCTCCCTGCCTCCTCATCGTCCAAAATGCTATTAATACCATCAACCATGGCCCATGCACTCTCGGGGATATTACGATAATATCCAGAATCAATAGTGCCATTGACTAGCCTCGCCCCAATCCCTGGAAGCGAGGTTAGCCACCGACGGCGCGGTCTCCCGCCACCAGCACATCTCAATCGCTCCCAACTGACCAGGGAAGCCTCATGAGGTTGGTGATCACCATCGAGAATGCTATCGATCCAGTTGGATATGCTTCGGATGCAGTGATGATCATGCGTTTTGACACCATGTTGATCCCTTCCGAGAACCATTTGCGATCAACCATCAGCTGGATAAGTCTATCCAGCCCCGACTCGTCCTCGAGAACCCCGGCTTCATTGGCCAACCGACACGGGACGCTGGTTTCATGTTGACTTCTCCGGTTGCCATTCCCGCTGCACAGCCGTGGCTCCAGTGCTCAAGCTGAGACTTAGCGTCAACCGCTACACCTTTGGTGGCCTCCACCAGCGCCAATGGGACTCCCGCGATTCAGATGTCTTATTCCCACTGGATCCTGGCCCCAATTATCTACCCGAGCTCATTCGTTTACTCCGGATCTTTTCGACAGGCCAATCTGACTGCGTCGCCTACACCTCCCATCGCGTGGTGTTGCGATTCATGCCTCTCTGGCTCACAATGCGAAACATGGTATCAAAAATGCCCCATCCCCCGCGAGTGCCGCTGAAATGCAATTTCATGCAGTGAGCTGGGCCAAAATCCATTGAAGTAGGGGATATCTGCAGCACAACATCTATCTATCTTTCTACGGAGCACGATAATTCTCCGATAGAAAAACGGCTGGGATTTTCGAACACTACCTGCGACTATCAAACGGTCCTTTGTGTCAGCCTCCACGCTACTTCGGCTCTGCTCCACTCCGACCGAACCAGACGGGTCTAAACAGTCGACCATTCTACCCTAGTTCCGTGCCCATGCATTATTGCACGGAGATGAGGCAGTTTAATATCAACGCCAGACCTTTGGTTCTCGGGTGCTGGAAAATCCTGATTCATATTACCCACCCGTGTCTGGTGCTATCTCCCAAGCGCCCCATCTATACCGAGTCCGCGCTCTCGGCTGGTTTTCTTCCTTCCTCTTTACACCTCTGTCGTTCTCTTTCTCCGAAAGGGCTAGAAGCTCCTTTTCTCTGTTTCCTTCACACAAGGGATCCGTAAGTCCAGGCGTCAAGATTCTCTTCGCCTTTGCCCAACACTGAAAGACTGACATTGATCATTCCAGGGGCTGGTAACAGCAGAAGATCCATTGACACTTCACATCCTAGTTCGAGACTATGGAACTGTGATTGTCTATTATCTTCATTTCTTTCTTTCTTTCTTTCCACCCATCAGGTTCCGGTATGTCTTGTCCTTCAGACCCTATGATGTTGCTTGTCGCCTGACGTCTCGTAGAAGGCATTGAATGCCCTCCTTCTCTACTTGAGCGCAGGAATCTCAAGATCCAACTTCTTTGCTTCCATCTACCGTACACTCCGACTGCACAGCTTTGAAATAAGCCAGCTACTCGGAGAATCATCACGTTTGCCTTTCATTCATCCATCTCTCTCGACGCGTTCGAGCTGGTATTCAGTCAGGCTTCGCCTCGACCCTTCATTCTTTACTATCCACTTCACTCAATCGCAACCTATGTTCTCTACAAGGTCATCTACAGGACTGTCATATACCGCCTGCGAACAACTGTGACAGACCGACAATATACTTAGTCTGGGAGTCAATGAAGTCTAGTGCGCCACGAAACCAAGGGTCTGGACCTGGTCCGAATAGGGGTCCGGAAAGGAAAGGATCTGTTCGTCGGGCAAGGGAAATGCTGGAAGCTGGGAGACGTCCAAAAATCCAAGCTTCGCCGGCGAATAGCCCAGCAATGCCGTCTTTCAGACAGGACCCGGCCCACATGACCCAGTGGCCTTTGCCAGATGACGATCTGCCGCCGAATGTGGTTGATCAGCATGGAAGACTGTTCGTTCCCCGAGGCCCTCCTCCTCAACGGCCGCCGCGACCCGATGTCCCCTCTCCGTCAGTATACTCCGAAAGGAGCTTGCCCGACGCTGCACCGAGTCCGCTTCACTTCCAACCACGCCAAGTGCCGTCCTTCTCGCAGCCCTTGCCTCATCATGCAGCCCCAAGACATCCTGACCAGTCGAGCGTTGAATCGAACATTCCCCGTTCCTCTGTCGCGACGGAGGACCTCTTCCGGCAATCCGCTGTCTCGTCATCTGACTCTATCCCATCGATCCCTGATTTTCCAGTCCCTGCCCAGGCTGCTCATGCCGAGCACAATGTCCCTCAGAGAGTCCCCCGAGGACGGACCAGCAATCTGGCTCCACCTACCTCCCGCCCAAGCATGAAGCGTAGATCCTCCGTGTCTCCCATTCCCGAGGAAAGTCCCCGTGGATTCCAAGGATCCGTCGCATCCAGCAGAGTAATCCCCCTCCAGCTGGGGGTCGGGGCCCCGCCGAGTCCGAGATCCTGGGCACGTACCTGGACGTCGACTCCGACGACTCCGATCCGAAGGACCTCCACGAGGCCAGCACGGGTCTTGTCCGACAAGCCAGCTTGGGGAAGCGAGGAAAGCCCTCGCTCCGCACGATCCAGCGATCTACCACTGAATCGCCCGCGCCGTCGCGGGACGAGGCCTCCAAAGCTGTCACAGCGGAGGCTACACCGACAGCTATTTCGAAAGGTGTCTCTGGCGGTGACAGCAGCGCGAAAGCACCGCGCGATTCCTTCCTGACCTCCTCTACCGACACCTCCTCCCACTTAGACCCGGAAAAACTGCCTATTGTACTCGACGAGCCGCGTCAGACCGCGAGCCCCGACGCACACGATGTCTCCGCTCTCGAAAAAGAAGCTGGTGTCTTCCCCAAAGCAGCCCCTACAATGAGCGACAAGCGCCCGGGCGGTCGCAGACCCCCTCGCCTCGACATGAGCGCTGTCCGCGACGCTGAAAAGCGCGGCAGTCTGACCAGCCTGCCTGACCTGATCCGTCGGGCCACGAAGCTTGCTACCAATCTCGAGCACGGCCGCACTGCCAGTCGCAACGACCTCCTCAACGGCGGTGGTGGGCCACGGTTCCCATGGGGTAAGCATCTCGTCACCCACAACATACCTCCATATACCGAACTCGCATACTAATCTGACCAGGCCACGAGTACCGCAAATCCGGCTCGATCCGTAGCATCCTGGCCTCATTCCCTCCGCCGGCTGCCACCCCTGAAAACGGATACCGCTCCTCGTGGCCCGTCTTCTTCCGACGCTCGACCCTGCACCACCTCGACTCGCACGACGAGGGCGCCGACCAAGAAAAAGACGCGAGGCCCCAGCGTCGCTGCTGCGGGATGCCTCCCTGGCTCTTCGTCCTGGTGCTCTTCATCATCCTCGCTATCATCCTCGTCGCCGTCCTCGTCCCAGTTTTCCTCGTCGCAATCCCAAAAAGCCACGCCAGCAGCGCCAACACCTGCGAAAAGACGACGCCCTGCGAAAACGGCGGTGTCAGCGTGTCCAGCGCGGACGTCTGCTCCTGTGTCTGCACAAACGGCTTCACCGGCTCGCGATGCACCATCGCCGGCGACGCCAGCTGCATCACTACCGAACTCAACGGCAAGAACGCCACCGTCGGCAGCGATCTCCCCCGCCTCTTCACCCAGTCCTCGGAGACGTTCGACATCGACCTCGATCCCACCACCATCATGGCGCTGTTCAGCCAGAACAACGTCTCGTGCACGACGGAGAACGCTCTCGTCTCGTTCCGCGGCGTCAGCAGTAGCAAGACCCGTCGGGCTGTTCTTGATCTCGGCGAGACGCAGGCAGGCGCAACGAAGACGCTCGCGGCGCGCGGCGCCACCGCAACATCCAACGGCATCGTCTTCGACAACTCCGGTGCGACGAAAACCAAATCCTCGCCCACGGCTACGGCCACCGACGCCACATCAACGACCTCCGCTACAGCAACAGCGTCGCCCACCGCAACCGCCCTCCCGAGCAAGGCGGTGGACTTCTCCCGCGTCGCGGTGCTGTACATCCTCGAGAAGACCGGCACGCTCGGAGCGGCAATGTTGACCGAGGAGCGGTTGCAGAAATTCCTGGGCGATGCGGACGCAAGCTCAATTGGCTCGCAGAATTACACGATCGATCTGGCGGATGCGGGGTTGCTGGCTAATTTCACGTTGGATTATGGGCGGTACCAGATCACGAAGGAGTGAGTTTCGGCACGGATGTGGGTAATTATTTCTCTTCTTTGGTCGGTTGGTTGGTTGGTATAATAGTATAGGTCGTATATATCCCGTGTGTTTGGAGCATTGTAGAGTAGAATCGCAAAGTCATTCTTCTCGATTCATGCATGCATTGTACAGTAGACTATAGATACAGATGTAGCTCATATACACGAAAAGGTAAGTACCAACCAGTCATGCAACGCCAATAACACCATCCATGCAATCACCACATAGAAAATGAAAGGGAATCAGAGAAAAGGGGACATCACACAAACAACGAACTATTCGGCGCAATCCCCTCCAATCCAGACTCCCCCTCAATAAGCGGCCACAGCCGCCGTACACGATCATCCAGAATCATCTGCTCCGCCTCCCAGCGCTTCCGCTCCAGCTCCAACGTCTTGACACGGCTCGCACCGCCAAACCACGCCTTCTCTGCTTGCTGGCGGCTCTCGCGCTCCGCACGCTCGGCCTGCGCAACCAACCGCCCCACCATGGTCTTCCAGTTCTCGAGGCCGACGCGCAGACACTCGGCGCAGCGGTGGCGCGCGTCCACGCCCTCGCCCAGCTCCATCATCGTCGTCTCGGCCATGTCGACGGCGTCGCGCGTCCACGCCAGCCCCTTCTCCTGCGACGAGGACGCGAACAGGATCTCCCCGATGTAGGTCATCAGGCCGGCCTCGTCGCAGACGGAGGCCGGGGTGCGGGGTGGTGGGGCGTCGCCGCTGGGGAGCGCGGGCGGGTACTCCACGGGGCTGAACATGTTTTTGAGGGAGGTGAAGAAGCGGCGGATGGGGTCGTTGGGGCGGGTCAGGGAGGGGAGCGCGGGGAGTGTCAGGGGGCTGTCGGGTGAGACCGGGGGGAGGGCACGCCGGGCTTGCAGCACAGAGGTGAAGATGGACAGGGCGGTGGGGAGGTTGCCGTGGCGGGCGTGGTGCACGGCCAGCGCGGTGGACACGCGCAGGATGTTCTCCGAGGGGAGGGGCGGGCTGCCCGCGCTGACTGCAGCGTCCTTCTTGAGCACGCCGGTCTTCAGATCGACGACGCGGGGCGCGTCCGCGCACCCAGCGGCAGCAATGTCCATCGCCCAGGTGTACATGTCGCGGGCGGTGACCTGCAGACCATTGTAGTCGAGCCAGTCGGCATAGGCGAGGGCGGCGTCGAGCTTCTGGCGCGTGTCGAAGCCGCGGGTGGTCAGGATGCGGAGGTAGAAGACCTCGGGGCTGGGCGAGGCGGGCTCGCAGTCCTCCTCGCGGGGCACCTTGCTCTGGCCGGCGGGCATGGGCTTGTGGCGGGGGTTGGACGGGCCGACGACGTAGTCGGCGGGGGCGGAGATGCGCTGCTTGCGGTCGGTGAGCCAGCCTTCGAGGCTCTCAGCGGCTTTGGCAGCGCCCATGAGGGCCTGGAAGTAGCCACGGCGCCAGGGCTCGCTCTTGGCCGAGACGTCGAGGCCGGTGCGGCCGACGCCCTCGACGAGGAACCCGCCGTGGTCGTCGCCCTGCGGCACGACGCCCTTACCGTCGGCACTGTTGGCGTCCTCCAGCCGCTCGAGCAGCTCGCGCAGGTACCCGGCGACCATGGGCCAGTTGGTCATGAGCTTGCCGATCTGATCGGGGTGCATGAGGGCCTGGGCGGAGCGCAGACACCAGCGGCTCTTCCAGGTCCATTCGGGCGGCGTGGGCCAGTTGTGTTCGATTTCTTCCTGGTACATGCCCAGCTTGATGACCTGGAAGAGCACGAGGATGGCGTAGAAGCTCAGGCCGATGCGGAGACCGCGGCCGAAGCGGCGTTTGTAGTAGTCGCGGCGCTCGGTGGAGATCAGACGTGCGAAATGCTGGCGGAGGTGGATGGAAAGCGGAGGGAGCGGGCGGTTGGTAGTCAATGGCGAGAGGAATGGGAGCTGCGGACGAACAAGCGGCGGGGACACCAACTCCCGCCGAGGGGGTTGCGTGAGGGCATGTCGGTTGGAAGGGAGTCGCGGTAGGCGAGCCGCCCCCGGTATTCGACCGACGGGAAGACGAGGGGGAGGCATGGTCGTGGTTGTTGTGGTGGTGGTGAGAAAATGAAGCTGTGCCGATGGCGATGATGAAGTTGATGGTGTTTGTCTGGTTTGGTAGTCACGTGGTATGATATGCCCTGATCCATACCGTCTATGCATGATAGTACCTTATGAAGGAATCGAAAGCGGCAGTCTCCTACATCTCAGATTACAGTTCAGGCACCTACAAATTTACTCTGCCATCTAAGGGGAATCAAAGCTATATTAAAAAAGAAGTACATTCTATACACAAATCCAGCAATCACCTAGTTCCCAACCCAAAACCAAAGCGCCGATCATCTAAAGACGGTCGAAGTAGCCCTCACTCTCGAGCATGAGGATGATCTCGTGCACGATGCTGCGCACACTCTGCTTGGAGACGTCGACAACCAGGTCGGCGTTCTCCGGAGCCTCATAGGGGTCATCGACACCAGTGAAGCCCTTGATCTCACCGCGGCGGGCCTTGGCGTAGATGCCACGCTTGTCGGTCTTCTCACAGTACTCGAGAGGGGTGTTGACGTGGACGAGGAAGAAGCTGCCGCCGAGGCCGGAAACCGCCTCACGGGCAGCCTTGCGGGAGCGCTCGTAGGGAGCGATGGGGGCGGCGATGACAGCGGCACCGGCGCGGGTCAGCTCACCAGCGACGAAGGCGATGCGTTGGACGTTGGTGTGGCGGTCCTCGGCGCTGAAGCCCAGCTCCGAAGAGAGCTCGTGGCGGACGGTGTCACCGAGGAGAAGGGTGACGGAGCGACCGCCCTGCTGGTTCAGGGTGACCTGGAGGGCACGCGCGATGGCGTCCTTACCGGAGTTCATGTAACCAGTCAGGAAGATGGTGAAACCCTGGGTGGCACGGGGAGGGCTGGATTCCCGGAGGATCTTGACGACCTCGGGGTAAGAGAACCACTCGGGGATGTGGGCACCGGTGCGCAGGCGGTTGCGGAGCTCGGTACCGGAGATGTCGAGGGTCTTGATGCCAGCGGGGACCTCATCCTTGGGCTTGTACTCGTCGGTGTCTGGCAGGTAGGTGACCTGCTGGAACTCGACGACCTCGATACCCAGCTCCTCGCGGTACTTCTCGACGGCGTGCTGAGCGTCGTAGGGGCCGTAGAACTCCTCACCCTTGGAGTTCTTACCGGGACCGGCGTGGTCACGGCCAACGATGAAGTGGGTGGCACCGTGGTTCTTACGGATGATGGCGTGCCAGATGGCCTCACGGGGACCACCCATGCGCATGGCGAGGGGCAGGAGACCAAGGACGGCCATGCCGTTGGGGTAACGGGGCAGGAGGGCCTGGTAGGCACGGACACGGGTGAAGTGGTCAATGTCACCGGGCTTGGTGAGACCGACGACGGGGTGGATCAGGACATTGGCCTGACGGGCGCGCGCGGCGCGGACGGTCAGCTCACGGTGAGCTCTGTGCATGGGGTTACGGGTCTGGAAAGCGACAACTCGGGTCCAGCCGAGCTTGTCGAAGTGGACACGCAGCTCCGCGGGAGAGTCTGTGCGGGTCAGTACGCGGTTGGGGGATGGGGTGCGGACCGAGACATACAGCGGAGAGCGACATAGTCGTAGTGGTTGAGCTTGTTGACAGCCTCGATCTTACCACCGATGTAGAAGTCCTCAACCTTGGTGTTGAGGTACTTGATGGCAGGGTGCTCGGGGTCACCGCCGAAGACCAGCTTAGCCTCCTTCTCCCTAGATTGATGGGGACAGATTAGTTATCCGCGTCATCTAGCCCCACTTATAGCGCCCGCAACGCCAGCCCTCGTGCATGTCCAATCGCCACCCCTCCGACACGGAATGAGGCCGCGGACGGAGGTAAAGGTTGGAGATCGACATGCGCCAAGACCGAGAGCGCGAGAGGATAGGAGAAAAAAAAGTGAACAGTGAGGGGGTCAAACGTACTTGTCAGCGCGGTAAATGTCCTCAATGGTCAGGATGGCCAGGTTGCGGTCATCACGGAAGTCCCGCAGAGTGACGCGAGAGCCGGGCTTGAGGTTGGAGTCGGAGATGACCTGCTGGGAGGCATCGAGGGTGATGGGCATGGAGAAGAGGTGGCCATCGGCAAGACGGCAGTTCTCACAGACACTAGAGAGGAACCCGAGTCAGCCACAACCCCTCATGGTGTTTACTTTTTCGAATTGGGGGTTTTTTTTCTTGTTAAATTGCCAATGTCTTGGGGCAGTCCACATACCCATCGAAATCCTTCTGGGTCATGAAACCTGTGCGACGGAGCGAAAGTCAGTCCTGATGCCGAGAGCCAAGCGCTGGTGCCATCGCACCAAGAATTGACCTCATCGCGGACAGCAGACATACCCTCAAGAGGAGAGAAACCTCCGTTCATGATCAATTCCAGATCGCACAGCTGGCGCTCGGAGAGGACGATGGCGGGCAGAGTCTCGGCCTCGGCGGCGAGCTCATCATGGCGGGGGGCATCGCGGGCGAGGAGGTCCTTGAGGACACCACCGTGGGGGGAGTTGGCCATTGCGACGGGTAGAAGGTTGGTAGGAGAAGGAAAGGAAATGGAAAGATGAAGAGAAAAGAAGAAGAAGAGAAGAGGAGAGGAGGAGGAGGAAGAGGAAGAAGAGGACGAGGTGGGGGAGAAATAAAAGAAGGCCCGGCAACGACCAGAAGTTAAAACGGACCAAGGATGGCTTGCATTACGGAGCAGACATCGTAATAATAATGATAATAATATTTTTTTTTTTAATTTTCTTCTCACTAAAAAAATCCCCCCAGCAAGATTAACAACACTCGTTCCCCTCCGATTAATGAAGGAAACTTGGCGGCGTCGTCAGGCGGTGGAGCCTCCGCTTGCTGGGGCCGGTAACGATTGTCTCCCATATCCGTGGTCCATTCAGGTTCTGGAGATCCTGGTAGTGGAGGACTATTGGGTATAAAGGAGACATCAGAACCCATATAATGCGAGGAATCAGACATTCTGCACTCTTCACTGAGCATCTCCCGCGGCATGTTGGGGAACAGGCCGCTAGGGCCCCGTACCCCCATCCCCCATTCCCCCCATGATGACGCCGATGATGATGACAATATCCGACTAACTAACAGAATCCATCGAACGCGACTAGAATCCCGGAAGAAGGCATGATTTTCAGGGGCAACCAGGGATTGGGAGGAGGGAGCGGAGGGAGGTGGCCTGTGGCGAGGGGCTCGGATCCAGGTTGTTGAGAGATGAATCTATATATGTAGTATAGTATAAAGTACTGTCGCAATCATCTTCAGAAGGCTGACGTTGAAGATCTGGTTGTTGTCTCACATCCAAGGATTCCCCCGAAAGGTGTCTAGCTCAGAAGAGACTAGGCGAGAGCTCTCCGTCGCTGTCACGGCAATTGAAACGTGGCGGCAGCGCCATCACGACATCCGCCCGCCCGCTTGCGTGATTCGTCTTGGCAGGGCGGGTCACCTGATCGACATGCCCTATTCCTACAGAGTATGCACGCACACCAAACCACTCAATACTACGGAGTTCTAAGAATGCTAAGAATAATACTTAGATAGGTAGTCATCTTCTCGATAAACCCCCCTCGACCCAGTGATATTCAGGGTTCATCGTCAGGAGACCCAGTCCCCCCAGCTAGAATCCATAGTCGGTCTTGTCCAAAGCCAAGTGGTAGGTTATCTCGGACCCTCCGCCGGGCAAAGACAGGAAAGACGGAGGAGACGGAGAACTCTGTCTCCTGAGTATCAGCGTCTGGCTGTCGATCCGAATATAAAGAACGGGGGAACTGTCGTCTGTGTCTTTTGACTGGGTGGTGACTCCGGTCGTATCAGTTTTTCTCCGGGATTAGATACCACCCAAGTCCTCCGTACGTGCGCCGTAGCAGACTGGTCGATTAATGCAACCCAATTGGTTTCACGTTGGTTTCAAGCATTCGTTCAAGGAAGAGATCTGTCAATTCTCCAATTGCCTTCTACGTACCATGTTCAAAAGACAAAAATTCCTCTAGCGAGATTCTGTCCACGATCAATGCTACCTTTCACTCCAGATGTACCTTCAATATGTACTGTAGTGGGATCTAACCGCCAGACCACGTCCCAGAGAAATTACCTAACTAGTATCTACTTCAGGACCACCTGGTCAACAAGCAATGATCGTGCCACAGCAAAAGCTTGGCCGGCGACACCGTGGCCAGGCCGCCCGATAAGATCGCGATAAGATAAGATAAGATCCACCACCACGTGAGGCACCAGGTGCCCTACAATTAACTACAACTAGCCTGTCTGACGCCATCGCCTCCCGCATGGCGTCAACGTCAACGAGATCGATCTGCGAACCAGAGGGTCAACCTGGTCGATCTGGATCTATCAACGGTTTCTAGATCAGATCTGCCACCACTGGCGTTGATCTGGTGACCCTCTGCAGTATCCAGTGCCTCCCCCGTATCAAGTGCATCGATGGACCTAGGTAGACAGAGGGTTCAGGATAGACTTGATCCTCTGTTCTCACGAGAGTATCATCTAGCCACTGTCGCCGGATTCCCTAAAATCTCGACAAAGGGGCTGCTTCGGACACGGAGAGGGAGATATGTTTCTGCCTACCGTGCTGACTTAGGGTTCTCGCCCCACTCCACTCTCACGGCCTAAGGCCTCAATAACAAAGCCTACTATACCAAGTCCACACAAATCAATAAAATCTAGTCATTCTATCATGCTAGTCATTATCGTGGTCGACCGTCCGGTCTTGCCAACCCACTATGTACAGAAAGGAAATTAGGGCTGGCAACAGTCAGCTTTTAACCCATCCACCCAGTATGCCCAAAAATCATAACGACATTATGTCCGTGCCCATATAAAAGATGTAAAAGAACCAAGGCTGGTAGTATCCCGCTAGTAAACCCAATCAAAACGCCGACGAATGCAAATCAGGAATTGACGGTGGCCCTCTATCACTGTGCCGGCGTCAGTTGAGTGTTCAACGCCTGTGAGAGAGCCTCCTCCTGGCGCTTGCGCTCCATGTCCAGCAGGTACTGGGCGTACTTGGAGCGAGGGTTGTGGATGCCACACTCGGTCTTCTCCTGGCCCTTCCAGCGGCCCGAGCGTTCATCCTCGTTCTCGCTGACGGGCTGGGTGGAATGGTAGTCCCCGATGCTCTTGTACCCGCGGTCAAGGAGCTCGTTGTAGGGCACGTTGTTCTCCTTGATGTAGGCCTTGACCTGCTCAAAGGTCCAGTTGGCCAGCGGGTTGATCTTGATGAGACCAGCCTCGTCGACTTCGATGATGTCGAGGTCTCCCCGCTTGCCACCCTGGCTGCGGCGACGGCCAGTCAGCACGGCGTGGACGTTGAGTTCACGGGTAGGCCCGCTGAGCAGGCTCGACCTTGGCCACCCAGTCGTAGAACTGGTCATCCCGCTCCCAGAGACGGGCACCCGTACTTCTTGGCAAATTCTTCTTCCGTCTCCAGGCCCTTGGGCTTGTAGACGTGGATGGTGACGTTCGGGTATCGTTGGCGGACCTTGTCAACCAGAGCCAAGGTCTCCTTGAAGTGGTGGAGGGTGTCGAGGAAGACCAGGTCGACCACCTGGGGCCGGGGCACGTCCAGCTTGGAGAGCATGTCCAGCGTGACCAGGCCGGTCAGACCGAAGGCGGTGGTCTGAAAGAGATGAGGCAGTGATGTGACACACCATCTCAGGACATCTAATATCACGTCAGTGATTGGCCCTTGGATGGAAAAGAGGGGTAGGGAGACGGACCTTGAGGCTCGAGGAACTGCAGCTGGCGGTTGAGAAACTGGAGATGAGGCTTGGTGAAGACAATCTCCGGGAGATAGTCCTCGCTGGAGCTACCACTGACATATCCGGATTCGGTGGTGGTATCTTTGGCATCGTAGGCCTCAGACTCAGTGGGGTAGTTGTCAGGCATCTTCGCAGGCATTGTGACTGACGCGAGGAGAGGACAGTGGGTGGAAGAAAGAGAGATTGCAAGGCTGAATGCAGCAGACCGATCTATAGAAAGGCGGAATGGGAGGAAGATGGGCTGAGATGGGAGATTGAAGATGGGGAAATGCAAACTGGAGGCGAAAAGTGATGTCGGACAGAAGCAGAGGTGCCACTGAAGGGTCTGATATAAGAGAAGAGGCACCCAGGGGCAATCACGACATCATCGGCAGTCGGGAGCTCATTCTGGCGTGCCCAGAGGGCTTGAGACATGCCGATGCATTCTGCCGCTGCGATCACGACATTGGCTGTGACCGCCTGCCGCATTCGGGCGGCACTGCTGAAAAATTCAATTTCCTCATGTCTCCAGGAAATCACGCAATACCTGCGCACCTGGTCGCTGTGCGCGCCCGCAGCCAGCGTTTGGCTGAGAAATCGCTTTCTTCGGTGGAGGCCCAGCAGGTTCTAGTGAGAAAAGTCTCATCCGGGCGTGCACAATGACTGGATCCGCCGCAGCGGATCCTCGTGGGGAATTGTCATCTTGATGATGTACATGCCCGGCGGGATGATGTATGGGAGATGTTCGGTGATTACTCCGTATGCTGTGCAGGATTAGCAAGCAGGATTGATGACTGATGGTCGTCATGGAAGGGTCGAGAGATGTGTGTACTTGCTGTGATCAACCACCGTCGTATTCCATTATGGGATGCACTAGTCGTACAGTATCATACTATACGCTCTCCAAAGCAGTAGGAGTGAGGTGTTGAGGTTGAAGTTATGATGATGCTGTCATGTGACCTTACCACGTGCCGATCGGCGCCCTTCTCCCCCCCAAAGAAACTCCCGCCGAATTCTGCATTATCAAAACTTATCGAGAGCAACGGCTTCACGCTCTCTGTCTCCTCCCTCCGCGGGCTTGGTCACCTTCCTTGCGTCGTCTCTATCGGTCGCTCTGTATCTCTCGTTCATTCCCCCCGGCTATTGTCTTCCCATCGTCCCCTCCATGGCTTCCAATAATCCCCCGACGACCACCCGTCCCCAACGGCCGGTGCTGCAGCAGACCCTGCGCAGTAATTCCTTCATTCAGGACCACCAGCAATACAAGCCCTCCATTCCCGTCAATCAGACCATCGCCAATGTTCTGGGAACTGGCAACTCCATCGACTCTGGGTTGAGCTCGCTCTCTCTCAATAACCCCATTAGTCCCGATCCCGAGAAAGTCACCGACAGCGGCATCATCCACAGCATCTTCAACCACCACACCAATCCCCTGCCTGGGGGCACTGCGCAAATCGTCGCGACCATCTACTACAAGTCCGCCAACCCTATCCATCCGCATCTCCATCCCGATTCGTCCGCAAATGCGGCACGCCCCGGCGACCGACTCCCCTCCCCCATGGTCCCCCCGGGGTCGGCCCCCACCGTGGATATCGAGAAGATCCCCCGCGAACCCCCGGCGCCAGAACCCGAACCCCTCGACCACCTCTACGGACCCTTCGTGTCGCAGCTCTGCTTGACCAATTTCCTCCAGATCATCGAATCCCTGCCGACCCCCTACCAGCGCATGAACACCTCCCACCGCTGTCTCGACCAGCATGAGAACCCCCGCGTCGTCGAAGTCACTTTCTCCCCGCCTCCCAACCCCGACTATCTGACCTTTGGCGATCTGCGCAAGCACGAGAGCATCTGGCGCTTCGAGCGCGAGTGGAATGTCGAGGTGGTCCTGCAAAAGGAGAGCGTGTTCCGTCGCCACAAGCGGCTGGTCGTCTTCGACATGGACAGCACCCTGGTGGACAACGAGTCGATCGACGAGATTGCCAAATTCATCGGCGTCGAGAAACAGGTGTCGGTCCGTGATCCCGTCCCGTCGCATACCCTCCAGTCACTCACGAACGTCTAGGAAATCACGGAGCGTGCCATGAATGGTGAACTCGACTTCTCCGCCTCGCTGAAAGAGCGTGTCAGCCTGCTCAAGGGCGTCCCCGCAGACGTCTTTGACAAGCTCAAGTCCGTTTTGAAGATCGTGCCCGGTGCGCGCGAACTCTGCAAGGCGCTCAAACAGTTGGGCTGCAAGATGGCCGTTCTGAGCGGCGGATTCCAGCCGCTGGCCGAATGGCTGGCCGGCGAACTGGGTATCGACTATGCCCATGCTAACCACGTATGTCTTTCGCTCCCTTATCAGTGGATCATATGATAATAACCAGGCACAGCTTGAAATCGACCCCGAAACGCAGACCCTCACGGGCCGTCTCGTTCCCACGTACCCGATCATCAACGCGGAGCAGAAGCGCGCGCTGCTCAAGTCCATCGCTGCGGAGCATGACATCCCCCTGTCGCAGACCGTGGCCGTCGGCGACGGCGCGAATGACCTGCCCATGCTGCACGCCGCCGGACTCGGTGTCGCCTGGCGTGCCAAGAGCATGGTCCAGCTTGAGGCACCTACCCGTCTGAATGGCGAGAGCCTGGTCGACATCCTGTACCTCTTTGGTCTGACGCATGAGGACGTCCAGGAATTGATCGCCGATGAGATCGCATGATCGGGAGTTGTCATCTCTTTCTCTGTATATTGCATTTTCTTGGATCTTGCCAGCAGGTACGGCAAGAGACCTGCATTCGTTTCTTGATCTTTATGAGGTGGTTTGGTGGGAGGACGAGTTGGGGTTTCGGATTGAACATTGCATTTTATGTCGGCGTAGGAGTGTACATATACGACGCTACGAATATACCGGTTGATGAATCTCTCCTTCCGGAGCTCGGTCCTTCCTATCAGATGGTAACTGGCGGCTTGCGGTGCTTTCTTTCCTAGCTCGAGGGACTGCTGTACTTTCCTTCTTGTTGGTCTTGCCTTCCTAACAACTGCATTCCTTCAGCTATATATTGTTCATCGTTCTACTGGAACCCTTCCCTTTCTCTCTCACACATCCCACTTTCTGCTCTCTCTCTCTCTCTTATCTGACTTAGGTCTTAGCGGAAAAATCCATCATTCTTACTCTGCCATACGAGCCACAATGAGTCGCCTGACAGGCCTCGACTTTCGCGACACCCTCACAGACGCGGTCAACGAACACAATGCGGAGTATGCAGCGGTATACGCTCTCTCCATCAGATGGGCGTCCGATGATGCTCGTACAGTCGCCGCTGCCACCCAGTTCCAGAACATCTTGGAAATGTTACGACTCCCTGAGGCAACGGAGCTCACCCTCGACCACTCAGATAGACCTCCGGGCTGGAGGGTGCAAGAGAAGCTCAGGGATCTGCTGGCGTCGGCCAAAAGGACCACCGGAAGAGCCCTCGTCATCGTCCATTATGCCGGGCAAGGGATTCTGACCCGCAATTCGCCGTCCGTTGATCTATGCGACAGGCTCAATATCCGACGCTTCGAGGCGTTCGATGCAGATACATTTCTGATTTCGCTAGCTTTGCCTGGTCACTACGATCTGAGGGACACCGCGAATGTCGACGTCCTTTTTGTGTTTGATTGCAAATACTACTTCGGGGTACCGCGCCATTCCCCTCCCACCACTGGTACTCACGTCGTCGAGGTTCTCGCTGCAGTGGATGAAGAGTACTCCCCCGCAGAACCCAGCCTCACAGAATACCTCAGAAAGGAAATTGCTGTTCGACAAGAGAAGGGAGCTCGGTATGTGGAGGTCGCGGACCTCGTCCAGACCATGTGGGGGCGCTCAAGAAGCATGAAAATGACAACAAGCCACAGCGTGAAGCTGGGTGCATCATCGATATGCCTTCCATTAGCTGGGTTGAATGAATCGGTCCATTCCCCCAGTATCGCTCCTTCGCTGAGGGCTCTTCTCACCGTGCAAATTGCAGACAACGTAACCCGCGAGCAGCTGGACCAGCTCGTCTCCTTCATCCGAGACGCGGGGCCCGAGATTGGGCTCATATTGCAAGGCATTTTACCTTGCTAGTTGAGTAGCGTGTTCTTCTTTTTTGTGACAGATCCAGCTATGATTATCGCATCCCACTACGCGTCTAGCACCTAATATTATCAAGTAAATTTCATGATGTTGAAATCAAATAGTAGGCGTATGTATACCCAGACGGCTCCTAGCCCATCGGTCCGGTAAAATAATATCTAGAATACAAGCAATGATTTTGCCAACCTGCGCCGTAACCAACTTCCATGCAAGAACAAACAAAGCTTAAAGACCATTAAAGCACCGGGCAGCATCACCGCGCCTCGTCCATCGCAACCGCGCCATCGCGCACAGACTCGCCTGTCGCACCAGCCGCCCGACGTTTCTTCAGCACGTTCTCGATGAACGCCTCGCCGGCCTTGTAACTGCTGCGGACCAGCGGGCCCGACGCACAGTACAAAAAGCCCATCTCGAGCGCGCGCAGGCGCCAGTGCTCAAACTTGTCCGGCGTGACGTATTCATGCACGGCCATATGGCGCTTCGTGGGACGCATGTACTGGCCGAAGGTGACTACGTCGACATTGACAGCGCGAAGCTGACGGAGGGCGTCCTCGATCTGCTCGTCGGACTCGCCGAGGCCGAGCATGAGCGAGGTCTTGGTGATGAGATCGGGGCGGGCAGCCTTGGCGGCCTGGAGGACGCGGATGGACTGCTGGAAGGTGGCGCGGCGGTCGCGGACGAAGGGGGTGAGAGCCTCGACGGTCTCGACGTTGTGGGCGTAGACGTCGAGGCCGGAGCGGGCGACGAGGGCGACCATGTCGGTGTCACCGGCGTAGTCGCCGGTGAGACACTCGACGAGGATACTGGGGGCCTTGGACTTGATCTTCATGACGGTCTCGGCGAAGTGGCGGGCGCCGCCGTCGGCGAGGTCGTCGCGGTCGACGCTGGTGAGCACGACGTAGCCGAGCCCCCAGCGCGAGATGGCCTCGGCGGTGTTCTCAGGCTCGTGCGGGTCGAGCGGCGGCGGGCGGCGCGACGTCTTGACGCTGCAGAAGCGGCAGCCACGCGTGCACGTGTCGCCCATCAGCATGATCGTCGCCGTGGCGTGCGACTTGTCGCTGCCGCCCCAGCAGTCGGAGATGTTGGGGCAGCGGGCCTCCTCGCACACGGTGTGCAGGTTCAGCCCGCGCAGGTCGCGCTTCAGCCGCTGGTAGTTCTTGGAGTCTGGGATGGGGGTCTTCAGCCACGACGGCAGCCGTGTCATCTCCTTCTTGCGGCCGGCGGGCCCGACGAGCGCCGTCTTGAGCGCGTAGGCCTCTGACGGGTCGAGCGGGGCGTTGTCATTGTTGCCGCCGGAGACGAAATCGGTGAAGCTGGGGCCTGCGTTCAGCTTGTCCGTGAAGTTGGTGCGGCGGCGCTGCGGCGTGGTGCCGGTGGCGGACGAGGAAGGGTCGGTGGTTGCGTAGGTCCGAGCGTGGATGTGAGCGGGAGAGAGAACTGTGTTGGTCTGCGGGATGCTCCGCGAGAGGAGCCGTAACCGGCTGGTAGATGCGGCCATGATGAGTGTTGTTGTGCTGGGAGAGTTGGTGGAGGAGAAGTTGAAGATATGAAGTTTGGAATTCCGCGGGAAACGGAGATAACGGGCTGACTCAGCCGACTTTTCCTCGCCCGAGAGCCACACAGCGTAGAAGCTTAGGACTTCATCGACAGGCTACAGCTTCCATGGTTACTCGTCCTTACGGGCTACTAGTTCAACAGCTAGGTGGGAGGGTATCATTCTTCTCCGGTAATTATACATTAACCTTCCGGTTAAGAACATAGGAAATGGCGCCGAGGACAGGCAACAAATGTACAACGAGGGACAGGGATAGAGGTAGTATGCAAACAAAGTATGCCAGATTAAACGATCTATGCAATGGTCTCGCCAGAACAAAAAGAAAAGACAGAGTGAGAGGAAGAGACTGAATGTGCAAAGCAACATTATCTCGAGTGTTAGTATGATCAAAGAAGAAATTCGAGAGTTAAAGAGTGTCAGGCAGTGATCGCCACTAGGAATTGGTCTCCAGGACCTGGGCTAAAACAAGCACTGCCGCTTTCAGCGTCTCGTCTTGCTTGCCGGCAATGGCAAGCAGCAAGTTATCGACGATCCGATCCAGTTCCCTGCGCAGCTCCATACTGCGCGAGCCCAAGACCCGGTCTTTGATCCGCGTGGGCGACGTCTGGGGATAGTGGATCCCCAAGGTGGAACATGCTTTTTCAGGAACCCTTTCTGGAACGGTGTCGAGACGCGACAAGCTGGGCTTTTGAGAGAAGTTACTGGTTCGTCGATTAGGGAAGGACATGGCGGACAAGGACACCACATAATTTTGGGCGATCAACGCTGCACAGAGGCTGTCGAGCAGATTCTCCGCAGATTCAGGAAAAATCTTGCGGAAGGGTCGGATAAGAGCTTTTTCATTGTTGTGACGGAGGAACATAATGGCCGGCGAGGTCAGTTTGAGCATATTGCGCGGAAAGTCCCTCGCCGACTGCTCTAACTGATCGATGGTCCACTCGTGATCCCACCATTTCTCTAATTCCTCCTGTGGGGAGGGATTGGACGAGTGACGCTGGGAAGGATTGGTGGTAGGTCGAGCATTGGCCCGGAGAGTCGGTTTAGGCATGGACTTTGGGCGAAACTGGTCATCTGCAGCGGGCTTATCGCTGTGACAGACGACCGTCTCGCTAGCACTTCCAGAGCCGATGGAACTCGCCTCGACCGAGTCGTCCTCCTTGTCACCAGGGAAGTCCTCTGGAGAGTAGCAGGAACGGTGCGTCCCATACCCGCTGTCTGACATGGCCAACGGGGTCTCAGGGCTGAAGGCGGAGATTTCCTGCAGGCGTTGATCGGGCGTGCAAGGAAGAGGTTGTTGGGGAGGCGTGGGTATGGAGTAGCTGGTGGCAGGGGATGACTGTCGCGAGATGTCGACCAGTTTAGGTTTGGATTTACTGGCGACCGAAGCAAACATCTGGGAAATGTTAGAACGTTTCAACGACACGCTGAATGCCGATCGACTTACCAATGGCTCATCCGGCGTAGACTTCATGTCACGCTTCCGGTCTCGAGGAGGCGGGCTGTTCTGGACGATTTGGTATTTCCTTCGACTGAGTTCCCGCGCGTTCTCTCTATTCTCATCGATCGGCTCGATTGGGGCCCCTTGGAGCCATCTCTCGCAGTAGGACAGGTTGCTGGCAGCCCAGCTGGCCTCGCTGGAGACGGTGCCAGACCGACTCCGCTGGGTGCCCATAGAGGACCCAGAGAAGTCTCTTTTACCAAAGGCTGCGATGTCGGACGTCACTGGAGGCGATGACATGCGTTCTGAAGCCATGGACATGGGCGTGTATTTTCCGTCCTCGGACGGCTCGCACTGTCTGATCATATGAGAATGCGCCATGTGAACATTGGTGGCTCCCGGTGTCTTATTTGGATATTCAGTCAGTGTCTCGGGTGTGGAGGTCCGATGCATATTATAATGTTTCACGTCCGGTATGCCGGTGTTACTTTTCGGTGTGCCCTGCTCAGTGTCGGTGTCGGAATCGATCTTGGGAGAGAAATATGTCGATGATGGGGAATGCTGGGAGGTTCTGTAATCCGACAGAGGCGGGCTAGGGAGGAGGCCGAACGTCTCGAGACTGGTGGTCATGAGGTTACCATCCGAACGCCATGTCCGGAGAGAGTGATTTGCAGATGGCGTCCTCGAATCTCGAGAAGAAACAGGGGAAGGGTTGGTATCGTATGATGGAGAAGACGGAAGACGCAGTTGGAACGGCTGCTTCATCTTGCGCACTGAACGGAATGGTGAGACGCAGGCACTGCTGCGATCTGCCACAGGGCGTCGGGGAAGTATTTGAGGGGGTTGCGGTTGCTGGGGGTGCGGGTGTTGTTGTGATGTGGTGTATTCGGAATGCTCCGAGCGCGGAGATGTGGATGGAATGAACGACAGAGAACTGAGAGCCTGTTGCCTCCTCCAGGGCTGCTGCACATGCGGCGCATATCGTGGCGAGACCATACTACTACCATCTTCCGCCGTTCCATAGTAGGAGGGAACATGTCGGCTCGCATATGTCGGGAGATTCTGAGAGGACATGGTGTGTTGATGATTAGCGTAGGGAGGTTTGAGAGACATTCTCGATTCGCAGTCCATAGCGGACGTGGTTGTATATTAAAAATTAATAACCAAAAAGTATGGATATAAATGAATGATGGAGAAGGACGGAAACCAGAAGGAAGAAGAAACGGCACCACGACGGGCGTGAAGAAGGAGTCCCGGCCCTTATACGAATCGATCCAAAACATCCCTTGGCTACCTTGCGGTGGGAGAGCGCCAGATGACGGGGTATGTGTTTCCCTCCCTTCAGAGGGTCACCCAATCCTCTGGAACATGAAGGTAGCGTCAAGGGCCACTGCGGCCACCGTCCTTGCATACCAGAGCGAGGTGGAATCGAGTCCCAGTCGACGATCATTGGACCAAGGAGGCAATGGATGCCACCTGCAGGACGGTGACAACGTGGATGGGGTGCTTTTTTTATGTCGATTTCGTCATTTGCAGACCAATTGAAACACGCATGAGTCCAGGAGGGAAAGGATGGACGCGGCAAAGCCTCACCCTACATCAAGGGGGCGAATAGATTGAGAAGATGTCAGGCACAGATGGGCGATGTTGCGCCGGGCAATCAAGGTGGAGGCATCCCTAGCAAGAGCATCCCTTGCGTGGCGTTGCTGTGGGCATTAAGGACGGGATGGTCCATATTTGGCGATGGGTGCAATTTCAGCCCGACATGCGCGGCGGAGATTTGGAGAGTATCAGAATAGGCCAACGCCACCTAATAGTATGTGGTCTTCAATCCTGATGCCATATATAATATCCTGCGGCCTCATCCGAGGCGACGATCTGGAGAAGTTGATGAAGGTTCATCTCTGCTGCAGGGATCAGCTTGACTCGTGCGCAGGATCGACGAAGGGGCCGTTGCAAGGACGGGGCGATGGATTGACTAGGAGAATAAATCGGACAAGGGATCTTCGGGGTTCATGGAGGACGTTAGTTCGGAGGAGTTGTGGAGGAGGAACTATGTAACTACTTGCCGAGTTGGGTTAGTGAGATGGCCTACTTAGTAAGATCGCGCTAATACCAACGCAGATTAACTGCAAACAGTGCAAACACCTCTTTATCGCGATTTTTGTCCCCGAAAATTCCTAATCTGGTAATCTTCTCTCGTTTCTTCTCTTCACAATTCCCATTCTCATACACCCTCTTCTCGCGATGCTCACCGAATCGTTCATCGCTTCCACCCTCCCCTCAGCTGGGAAGCCGCCGCCGTCTGCGGCTCTCCGAGATGTCGGCATTTGCATCCATGAGTTTCAACCCGCTCCAAACCTCCGATCCACCTTCAAGAAGAGCTCAACGGCCCCCAATTGCCTCGCCGTGAGTCCGTCGCATGTGTTCGCCGCGCAGTCCGAGAAGGCCATTGTCCATGTCTACAGTCGTGAGAAGGGAAATCAGGAGGCTACCGTGCCCTTCCCCGAGCGCATTCGCAGCATCGCCATCGCGGGGAGCAAGAATGGCGATATCTTGGTGTTGGGTACCGAAGACAGTACGGGAGGAGGACGGTTAATTCTCTGGGAGGTGAGCATCCCACATTCTGCATGCCGGTCGACATCCTGAGCAAATTCTAATGAGTGTAGACCTGCACCGGCCGTCAAGTTGCCTCTACGGCGTCGCATCTCAAACCCGTCACCTCGCTAGTCGTCGATCCTACTTCCAATTATATCCTGTCAGGATCGTCCGACGGCAGTATTCTCGTCTGGTCTCTCGTTGATCTTCTCTCCTTCACGAAACCTCCCTCCGGCCGGGATCGACAGCCCTCCAACGGTCCCCTCCGCACATTCTCCCACCACCGCGCCGCCATCACCGCCCTCGCTGTCGGTCACAGCACCGGCCGCTACAACATCGCCGTCTCGACGGCGCAAGACTCCACCGCCATCGCCTGGGACTACCGCACCGGCCGCGTCCTCCGCACATTCCTCCTCCCCGCCAGCGCCATCAGCGTCGCCCTCGATCCCGTCGACCGCGCATTCTACGTCGGCTACGACGACGGCAGCGTCCAGTCCATCGACTTCTACAAATCCTCCCAACAACCCACCCAACACCCCCTCCACGACGCCTCTCTTCAAACCACCCCCGCCCAACTCCCCGCCGAGTCCCAATGGACGCCCCCCTCGCCAGAGTGCGGCGCCGCCCACGCCCTCACTCTCTCCCACGACGGCATGACGCTCCTCTCGGCGCACCACAACGGCAAGGTTCTGGCCTGGAACGTCGGCCGGCGCAAGTACGCCTCCACTGTGGCCGACTACACCCACCCTGTAACGAACCTCGCCATGCTTCCACTCGACGGCCTGCCCCGCGGTCCGGCCGGCCGCGCGCCCCAGCGCATCGCACATACTATCGTCAAGCCGCGCTACGACAGCTCCCTCTCGGAGCGCAACAGCGCTGCCGACAGGGTCCCGGCAGACTACACCTTCAGCACGCATCTTCTCGCGTCGTCGCTCCCCGCGCAGACGGCCCCGCCCCGCCCCGACCCCTTCGCCGCAGCCTTCACCCACCCATTCTTCCCAGAGTCAATGCTAGAAGAAGGCCTCGCCGAGCTGTCCGCGTTCTCTACCACCGGCGGGGCCGCCGCGCAACCGACCGGAACAATCAGCGATGAAGACGCCGCAGCAAAGGACGCCCAGATCGCCGCGCTGGAGACCGAGCTCGCCACACTGCGGAAGAAGGTCTCCGCCAGCGATGCCGCGCGCCACACCACCACCGACGAAGTGACGCGCCTGCGCACCGACCTGGTGCATCTGCACGACTACATCAACGAGCTGCACCAAAAGCAGGAGCAGACGCAGCGCGATCGAGTTGCTCGCCAGGCGCGGCGGGAGGCGCGCGAGACGCGCCGGCGCGAAGCGTGGTTCGCAGCGGAAAAGAAGGGCAAGAAAGGTGATGCCGTGTTACGGCAGATGGATGCGGAGGAGAGCGCACTGACGAGCGATTCGGATGATCTGAGTAGTGGGGAGTGAAACTGCACTTGGTAAGGCAGATGTACATTGAAGTGTGGTTTGCATGTATCAGGGCTAGACGGCGCACCGGTCGAAAAGTTCGCTTGATTCATTCCATGCCTCAGGTAATGGGATCGACATTGTGTGTATATAGAAGGCATAAATGCACGTAATACCTACGGGATAGCCTGTCGGCACCAAAAATTATTTTAATAGTCAAGTAGTCTAGACTCTACCCGCATGAACAGCTGCAATGAATTGTGGTTCCAGCCACACTATGCAACGCAATTGCAAGAAGCACGAAACGAACCCAAACAAACCAATGCAAAACACCTACACGTGCAGGTTCATCAACAAGTCAAGATGCATGCATTAAGTCATCGCTAAGAGCCCCTCAATAGTGAATGAAGGGAATTTATCTATCTATGCAGGGCACTAGGGCACCAGGATCTGCAGGAGGGCGGCAGATCCCGAGATTGGACTTGTCGGGGCACGGGCCATGCCCACCGATAGGAGCAAAGCAAATCCTCGCGTGGTGGATCGTCAGGGATGGGGTTACAGGGGCTTTCGGAGGTCGAGGAGTACGGTAGGCATGTAGCAGCTGGTACGGGGTCTCGTTGGCTATCGCGTGCCTGTCCGTTCGCTTCCATGCCTTGGGGAGAAGCTTCCTGCAGGGCGGTTCCAGGCGGAGGCAAGGGCGGGCGGGAGAGCCAGGGGGAGGGGGAGGGAGAGAGGGAGGACGGAGAAAGGAGCGGGAAGGAGAGGATGAGGCGGCGAGGGAGTGACCTCACCTGAGGAAGATGGGTCTTTGGTCCATCTGGATACGGAAAGCGAGGGGATAGGTTACGACCCGTTATATCGGTAGGACCGCTTCGCGCGATGGGTGCCCTCGACCAGGCCGCGAAGACTCGTCAGGCCCAGCCAGACGGCTTCTTCGGTGCGGATGGTGCGACTGCCCTGGCCTGGGAGGAGGTTGATCCAGTAGTCGAAGAGCTTTCCGGCGTCGGTGGGACGGATGTCCATGTCGCGGAGCTGAGGGTCGTTGCGGATGGCGGCCTCGATGCCGGCTACACCACCGAACACAACTAGTAGATGCTTGTAGTCGGGTCGGTGGGTGTGGGGAGGGCGGTGGTACGGAGCCTCGTCCTCGAGCACCTCTCCGACTGGAGCGCCGCGTTCGGAGGTGCCAAAGGACAGGTCGTAGCCGCCGTCAAAGGGGCACTCGGTGAAGACGGAGGAAAGCGACCGACAGCGGCGCACGTAGTAGCCCCAGTAGTAGCCGGCTTCTGCGCGCGGCGCCGAGGGATGCACCGGTTCTGCGTAGTGATCGTGTCCGTGGTGAGAGAAGCGCACGGTGACGCGGGCGTGTTCCGGCAGTTGAATGTCCGGGAGGACGACCTTCTCGGAGAGACCGGTGTCCACGACGGTGGCCGTCGTGGGGTTAGTAGAGGCTTGACTAGAGTTACTGGAAGGCGACAGGTTACGATAGGAATGACGATTCGGGGACAGGCTCATCTGGGATCCGCTTCTGCCCCGTCCATCGCGAGGCGTGCTCGAGAGGACAATCCCTTCGCGGTAGTCGCACCACTCGTGGGCGCGCAGATGATGCGGCATGTCGAGACTCGGCAGTAGACCGGCGCCACGGAGGTTGGGATGCATGGGGAAGAGGTGTTTGCGTAGATACGGAGGCGTCTCGAGGTACGATAGGACATGGGCGAGGAAGTGCGAGGGGTCGGAATAGGCGGTATAGCCTTTGGTGGAGGCATTGAGTTCATCGGATGTTTTGGCGATGGGCGAGTCATATCCGTCATCGTAGTGGCGATAGTTTCGAGATCTATGTTCCTCGTCATCAAAGATCACGACCTCATCCACACAGAAGACGGCCAAAGCACGCGCAATGATACCGGCCAAGAACGTTTTTTGCTCGATCGAGTGGGCGCTGAGGGAGTTAGCCTAGTGCATCCGGATGGAGTCGAGTCACTTACTTGGCCACAATGCTACCTGGGATAGCAACACTCAGGGTATGAGTGCGACCGCCGGAGGGGGCGAAGACGGCGGTGGGTTTGGCTGTGAAGAGACTGGAGCATTCATCACGAGCAGGAGGGCTGTGCTCGTGGGAGGTCTTGCGTTTCTGCAGCGGTCAGTACACGATTACAAGCGAGATACGTCACACTGAGAAGATCTACCTTGTAGTTGGTAGGACGTCGCATTGCCGATGAGGAGGAGGAGGAGGTAATCGACAGGGGGTTAGGGGAAGATGAGTTCATGGTGTGGACAACAGACGAAGAGGACTCGCTAACAAAACAGGACGCTGGACGGTTGACCGCTGAGGGCGGTTCCTGATGACGTCGTGCTCCACCCGGTGGAGGTTCCTGGTGGTTCCTTGGGTCTCATCTTCATCTACTCCGACAACTATGAACTATCCACAGTAAACTAGTACTCAGAGTACTACGGAGTATTGGGTAAGTATTCAGTATCTATTGTACAATTCAATAGGCACTACTCCCCTCCATCCCCCTCATAATCGTCACCCCCGAACTGCTCCCAATACGCTCCGCCCCCGCCTCCACCATGCGCACACAATCCTCCCTCGACCGCACCCCTCCGCTAGCTTTCACCCGAGTCCCATATCCCATCTTCTCCGCCACTGCCCGCATCAGCGCCACATCCTCCACCCTCGCACCGGGCCCATTAAACCCCGTACTCGTCTTGATGTAGTCCGCGCCCGCCACACAGGCAATCGCCGACCCAGCGATGATCTCCTCGCGCGAGAGCTGCGACGTCTCCAGAATCACCTTCAACTGCGCCGACGGCGAGGGCGCCGCCGTGCGCACCCCCAGGATATCCTCGTAGACAGCCGTGTACCGTCCGTCTTTGAGCAGCGGGTAGTTCAGCACCATGTCCAGCTCCGTCGCGCCGAGGGCCACCGCCTCCTGCGCTTCCTGGGCCTTGGCGGACGTGGGGTGGGTGCCTTCGTGGAAGCCGACCACGCAGGCGACGCCGACGTTGGGTGAGGCGTGGAGCTTTTGGACTGCCTGTTGGACGTGGGCGAGGCGGACGCAGACTGTGGCGAATTGGTGCGCGATGGCTTCGTCGCAGAGAGCGTCGATTTGTTCTGGAGTGGCGTTTAGCGCCAGCAGAGTATGGTCGATCGTGCGGTTGATCTGGGATGGGTCTGCTGGGTATGTTGGAAAGGTGTCTGGTAGGGAGTTTTTGATCGAGGTGATCAGTGCCGTCCAGACTTGATCATGGTGAGACATTGTGATGGAGATGTGGACACAAGTCGTAGTTGATATGAGGCAGGGCTGTAGTGAGATTCCGGAACGACGACAAACACAGCTTCATCCACTTCATGGTGGTTGATTCTCCCCCTCTGCGGGGAAGACAGGCGATATCACGTGATATGAATCCAGGCCAGGTCAGCATTCTACTTGAGCAGGAATCCAGAGTCTCCGTGTACAATAAAACCTGTAGTATTGAAATCAAGTCCATGGACAGCCGCTGTCTTGTCACCACCACCCACGCCCAACTAGACTACCCACAGCTCCCACACTCCGGACCGCGCACATCATCCACACGGCCAATCCGTCTTGGACCAAATCCACCGCTCCCTCCTCCACCACCACCACCTCCTCCGGGACCTCCAGAGCCGTAGCCACCGCCGCCTCCCCAGCGCGCACGGGTATTGGAACGATTACCGGGGCGGGAGACGTTGAACTGCGAGTTTTGGGCGGCGGTGTAAGGGTCAAACTGTGGACGTTCTGTTAGAATCGAGAAGGTAGGAGATTTGCGGGTGACAAGGGACAGGACGTACTGAGAACAGGCTCACGAAGTAGAGTCCGAGGAACATGTAGACATTCTCGACGAAGCGGGAGATGCGGACGGTGAGGGGAGGGCTGTTCTGTTAGTCTCCATCCGAGCAAGGGCATGTGTGCAGAACATACCTGTCCAGGACATTCCCGTTCGACATGTACGTCTTGGGCTTTGGATTCGCCATGATGGCAGATGAGTTGCGTGGTGAGAATGATACTGAGTACGGAGTAGAGAAGAAGGCGATAAGATGATCGTCGATCGGTCGTTGTGGAGCGGTCCCGTGACCGCCTGATTCAGCATGCATTTGTTTACAACTTCCTTTCAACTTCATAGAATAATCCATTGTTCATGATCATTGATATTCGTATCATGCAATCTATAGGGTATCTCATCCAACTCCGAAATCAATCCAACACGCCATCACCATATGCAGAATCCCAACCATCTAATCAATCACCCGTAGCTCATCCAGCCCCCGAAACCCCTCTTCCACAACCCATTTCTGCTCCTTCGAGGAATGCAACACATGACAGCTGGCTCCCACAATCAACAGCCCCGGTGGCCGCGATCCCTCCGCCTCAAACGCCTGGCAAACATGCTCCAGTGTTGAGCGAATCACCCGCTGGTCGGTGCAAGACGCGCGCTCGACAATCGCACACGGCGTCTCCTTCGGCCACGGGGTGCGCGGGCGGGCGCCCTCACTCGGCGGCGAAACCAGTGAGTCCACCAGCGCTGACAGCCGATGCAGCGCCATGAGGAACACCACCGTCTGCGTGGCCACATACGTCGGCGGCTCGGGCGCGGCGCCCTTGCGCCCCGTCCCCGTACACACCAACACCTGGTCCGACACGCCGCGGTGCGTGGCCGGGATCTCCGCAAACAGCGGCGCACTCAGCGCGCTCGTGATCCCCGGCAGCACAACCGGCGTGTACCCCTCGCCGCGGAAGAACTCAAACTCCTCCCCGCCGCGCCCGTACAGATACGGATCGCCCTGCTTCAGCCGCAGCACATGGCGCCCGCGCCGCAGCGCCTCAATCCCCATCTGCAGGAACTCCTCCTGCGCCTGGTCCGCGTTGCCGGGGAACTTGCGCGCGATGTGCACCTCCGTGCGGCGCGGGATCAGCTCCAGCACCGGCGCCGGGACCAACTTGTCCGCCAGGATGAGGTCCGCGTTCTGGATGGCGTTGTACGTCGCCCGGGTGAGCAGGTCTGGGTGGCCCGGCCCCGATCCGGCCAGCACAATGCGGCCGGTCGACCGCGTCGGCGGGTCGACCCCCGCGACGCCGTTCGGACCGTCTTTGCCGGACGAGTACGCCGCCAGGATGCGCTCGATGTCGTCGTCGGAGATGCTGGCCAGTTTGCGCAGCGGCCAGTACTCGCAGATCTGCGACAGCCAGCGCATGCGCCGGGTCTTGGCGGCCGAGACGTCGTCCTCAGTGACGAGCGTATTGAAGGTGTGTTTCTGTCCCGTGGCGTCGTCCTCGTCGCCGTCGAATAGCGTGCCGTGCGTCGTATCACACAGCCCAGCCGCGTTGTCCTCCGCCCAGAGGCGCCTGCGCACGGCGCCGAGCCGGTCGATGGCGCTGCCCAGGTTCGGCGGCAGCGTCGACGAGATCTCGCGCCGCAGTCGCGACGCCAGCTTACACCCGCGGCCGGAGGTGGTGATGCCGATGTGCAGCGGGCCGTCAGAGTACGTCGATAGGAGACTGAGTGTGCACAGCTCTGGGGCGTCGGTCACATTGACCGGGATTCGCAGTCGGCGACAGAGCTGTGAGATAATGGGGCCTGCGATTGTTAGCGCACGGACAGAGTTCGACAGGCAAATGCGACATACTCAGCGGGTGAGCACCCCCCAGCGTAACAAAGACCATATCCACCACATGGTCGACTTCCTCGCGGCCGAGCGTAGTCAGATCCTCATCGCGAAACTCCCGCCGGATCCACTGCGCCGAGCCGTCGTCGATGCGCTCCGCGAGAGCATACGGCACGTCCGCGGTCTCAGGTGCAATAATGATGGGCTTTGCGCCAACTTCGAGACTCTTGGTGCAACGCGCCGCGGCGAGCTGGTTCGCGCCGATGATCAGATGCACCTGGGACTCGGCGTTGATGGCGGCCAGCAACGGAGGGGTATGAGGGCACGAGGCATCTCTCATGGTGTTTGATCTCGCAGCGTAGATTCAGTTGAGTACAGAGGGTAGAGGGCAGAGAAGGAGATAAGGTAAGGTAGTTAAATATCGGCGCCCAGACAGGTCAATGGCTCGACCAGTGAGAGGCGAGATGATTCCGTCCGCGGAAAAGTGACAGCGAGATAAGAGTTATCAGTCGTCTCAATATCGTGACTGACCGTTTGACTCACAGGATGCATGAACGCGATACTGCCTACCTATAGGGACAGAGTAGTTTTTATTTCTATCCGAAATCTACTCCTACAATCCATCCACAAATCATTCGAGATCGTTCCCAAAGCAGTTAACCCCAATTGCGTGATCGCTTACTCACTTCATGCCTGAGGCATCAACGTTGACTTACTAAGTTGTCTCACCATCACTCATACAATCTACTGCGTAGGTACTCTATCTCTACCTAACTCTACTCCGTACACCATCCCACCACCTAAACCCCAAAAGAAAAAAAGAAAAAGAAGAAAAATGGCCCCCCTCAAACTCCTCTGCCTCCACGGCTACACCCAATCCGGCCCCCTCTTCCACGCCAAATCCCGCGCCCTGATCAAACACATCACCAAGGCCTTCCCCTCACACGACGTCTCCGCCCACTACCCCACGGGCCCTCTGCGTCTCAATCCCGCCGACATCCCAGGCTACGAGCCGGCGCAGCCGACCCAAGAGGGCGGCTCTACCTCCGAAGACACAGACACGAAACTCGACGCCTTCGCATGGTATCGCCGGTCAAACACGGCCGACCCGCCGCTGTACGTCGGGCTGGAGGATGGGCTGGCGGCGGTGGCGGAGGTGCTGCGGACAGAGGGGCCGTTCGACGGGGTGATTGGGTTTTCGCAGGGGGCGTGCATGGCGGCCATGGTGGCGAGTTTGTTGGAGCCCGGGCGGCGCGCGGCGTTTGAGAAGTTCGCGGAGGACCAGGGGATGCCGTTCCCGGCCGCGTTTGAGGGGCTGGCGCATCCGCCGTTCCGGTTCGCCTTGTGCTATAGTGGGTTCCGGTCGCCGGGGGCGCGGTACCGCGGGTTCTATGAGAGTCCGCCGGTGCAGACGCCGGTGTTGCATGTGCTGGGAACGTTGGATGCGGTCGTGGACGAGGGACGGAGTCGGTCGTTGATCGAGGCGTGTGCGGGGAATCCGGAGAAGGAGGGGAAGGTGGTGTGGCATCCCGGCGGACACTTTTTGCCCAGCCAGCGGCCGTATTTGGATGCGGCGGTGCGCTTTATCAGAGAGGCCATGGAGGGGGGTGCCGGTAAGAAGGATGATGAGGAGGATGTGCGGGATATGGAGTTGCCGTTTTAGACTTCAGAGACGGAGATGCTTGTTGTTATAGATATAGACTGTACTTTCAAAGATACCAATTCACGTCAATGCCATCATTCTAATTACTATCTATCTAGCGAGCCTTGCCCTTCTCGCGGGTCGGCAGAATCCGCGCCATCATCTCCTCCTTGGTGATCAGATGGTCGATGCGCTCCAGCAGTCCCAGCAGACTCTTCATGTCACTGCTCCACTCGTTGAGCACGTCGTCGGCGTCGCGCGGTTTGGCAAAGTTGACCAAGCGCGCCGGCCGGTCGATCTTGGCGTAGATCGTCTTCGACGTGACCAGCTCGCTGATGTACTTCTCCGTCTCCTCCTCAGTCAGGTCGAGCAGCTGCGTCAGCCGCCCCATCTGGATGCGGGTGTAGTACTTGGCCACGACGCGGACGTTATGTTCGATCACGCGTTTTCGCAGGTCCTGCCACCGCTTGTGCTGCTGGTCGTCGGCCGACTGGCTCGGCTGCGCGCTGAACACATCCGTGTTGCACAGGTGGGGGCCGAACCGCTCGGCCACCATGGGCCAGCGCATCAGTTCATGGATGGTGAAGAGCTTGATGAGACGGGCCTCGACAGGGACCATGGATAGCCGCGAGTCCTGCTGGATGCGGTGCAGCAGGTCCGACTGCTCGTTGTCGTAGGGGGAGAGAACAATATAATAGACAATCCGCGCGAGGACCTATCTTCGTTAGTAATATGCCCAACCCTGGGAGTGGGGGAAAATCCAGAAGGGCAATCACATACGGCCCGCAGCTGCTCAGGGTTATTCTCCACCGACTCGGTGTCCAGCACGTCGCGGAAGTGCTTGCACACCTCCAGGTACTTGTAGTCGTGGTTGGCGAGGATGATCTGCTGCTCGTAGTAGCGGAGCTTCAAGTCGGTGACGTCGTCGTCGACCTCCATGGGAGGCTCATCCGGCCCGCGGGTCTTCTCCCTCTCCTCGGCTTGCTTCTTGAGCTTCTCGATCTCCTCGGGGCTCTTCTTCGGCTTGCGGGCGAAGTATCGGCGGTTGATCTTGCGGCTCAGGATGGTAGCTTGCGTCCAGTCGCCGCGCTCGATACACAGGGCGACCTGTTCGAGGATGAACTCGGTCTTCTCGCGGCGGGTCATGGATCCGAAGGTCTCGACCTGCAGTTCGCACAGGGTGTCGGCGGCGGCGTTCAGGTCGCCCTGGGACTTTTTGATGTTGGAGAGGATGCGGGTGACGCGGGCCCGCTCGACTTCGACGAAGATCTTGCCTTCCGTCACGGTGCGGAGGGTGTGGATGACCGACAGCTTGACGTCCAGGTTGGGGGTGGCATCGAGAAAGCCCATCACCACCTGCACCATCTTCGTGACGGCCTGCTTGAGCTGGCCATGCTTCTTGGAAAGAAGAAGCACATTGTCGTTGAGGAGGTTCCAGTCGGCGGCGTCCTTGCAGAACGTGACAATGGCAACGAGGAGACGCGATGTCGTGGGGAGGTCGGAGGCCTGGTGCCGTTAACGCTGCCGAGCATCATCAGACGGAGAAACACGTCCATACCTGTCGTGCTTGCTTCTCCAGAACAAGAAGCTTGTCAATGGCGCCCTGAAGATCAGTCTGCAAGAGTCAGTTGATGTTCGATAAAACCGGGTCGAAGTCCCTACCTTGGCCAGCTGTTCGGCCTCTGGAATCAACTTGTCAGCATCCTTGCTGAAGTCCTTCTCCGCCTTCAATAGTCCGTCCGACATGGTGGTGAGACTATCGTGACCGAGGGATAAGAAGATAAACGGGAGGATGCAGAGAGAAAGGGGGTATCAGAGGAGATGGGTTGGAGTGGATGTGATGGCGTTGGCGATGCAGCAGGCGGAATGACGAGCGTTTGAGCTTCGGAAGCTGGAGCTGTCACGTGATATAATGTAATCCAGCGGACGAGTAGTAGGAGATCCCACCCACCCTTCATCCAATGCATCGTAGTAATTTACTCCAGACTTAGTGACTAGTGCTGGGGACGTCCGTACCCCTGCGTAGCGAGGAGACCAGCCCCTCGACCAGCGGTGAGCTCGTATCAACTTGTCCTATTCCCATATCTAGAACATTTGCATCTCCATCACAACTACAACAAACCACACTCCAAACGATTCAATCAACAACCACTCTACTCCTGCAACCAAAGCCAACAACCATAAAAATGCCTGCCAACAATAACGTCAACATCACCGAACTGGAATCCAAAATGGACGACCTCCTCAGGTACCTCTCCCCTCCCACAACCTATGCATATACAATGCAGAATCTCTAACATTGAGCAGCGCCTTCGGCGCCCACCCGGGCATGCAACCCCCCTCGGTCAACCCCACGGTCTTCTTCATCGCCGACTTTGTGCGCAACACACGTGCGTCCCTGGCCCAGATCGAAAAGGCAAAGTACGAAGCCGGAGATGCGCGGGCCCGCCAGCAACTCAATGAGGTGATGGGACGCAACGGATTCGCCAACATGCTCATTAGCGATACGACGGGACAGTTGTCGGCCATGACGGGGGGTGGTGGACCGGTGGATTTTGGTGATGATATTCGGACCAAGATTCAGGCTGTTGTTGCTTAGTCGCACTTCTGTTCTCTTTGGTGAAGTTTTCATGGGTTGGGGTTGAATGTTTACGATTGCGATCAGGGAGGATACTTGAGTTACATCTATCGAGGATGAATTGATACCTACCTAAATATGACAGTTGTCGGTTGACAATCTACAAGACTCCCGCGGACTAAAATGGTTTACTCCGTATATAGCGTGGTGGGCCCTACAAATCGTGGGGGATAGCGGGGCTACAACTACAGCCTACGGGTGACTAGGACAGATGTAAGATAAAATAGAAAAAATCAAGTATAAATATACGAACATACATTGCATGAGCAGGATGTACACAGCTTGAATGCCGGATAGACCAACAGACCATCCAAACGAACAGCCTGCACGCCAGGCTCCAGTATCCGTCCTCGTCAAGATCTGACATCCGAATCCTGCACCGGGCAAGGTTCATGCAACATCTCCAGCGTGGTATCATCTGCCCATCGATCCACCAGACCGAAGGACCCAACTCGCAACGACATCCATTGAACAAACACAACAATAACAAAATGCAGAGAATCATCTCCCGATGATCCGCCAGATATCCGGAACTCCCCATGCTTTTTTCGGGCGTAGTCGGTGCAGAAAACGGCAAGGCAAAAACGAAACGAAACGGTGTTTATGGAAATTTTTTTTGAATTGGTTGTCCCTTCGAACCTTTTGTATTTTGTGGGGGCTTCTCGCAAGGGGGCGAGGATTCCATCTTCTATCTGAGTGGGCACTGCTTGCTCAAACAAAAGGCAAAATATTAATCCATCATTTCGAAGAACGCCACATTGCTATTCATTCATCGCCAGTCCTCGTTTTGGATCGTGTCGTGACATTTACTTGCGACGGAAAGAGCAGCCCTCAGTGAGACGGGCCTTGCCACCGGTGGGCTGGCAGAGGACGGTCGAGCAGCCGGCGCAGACGACGACGGTCTGGGCGTGGGAGAAGACGGTGGTGATGGTGAAGCAACCGGGGCACTTGACGTCCATGAAGAACGAGCGAGGAGCAGGCACAAGCATCTAAAACACGATTGTCGTTAGTGGATCGGTCGTGCAACGACTCGACGGGTGGTGGTCCGTCCACCCTCAAGATCCCAAGTGCATACCTTCAGCTTGTGCTTACGGGCCTCGGCCTGAGGCGTAGGGTTGAGGAGGTCGACCGCGAGAACCTATTCACACATCATTCGTTAGCCCTGTGTTCCCATTCCCTTTCGATCAAAATTTTTTTTCCCAGTCGACGGCGATATGGAGTGATGAAGGCCGACGGCGACGACGATGTTGACGGCGAACAGGAGGCGGAGGTGCAGGCGTAGGAATGCACCACTCGACCGACGGGGGCTCAAGGTGAAGCAAAATCGAGGGAACCTACCATCTTGACGAGACAAAAAGTCGATCAGCGATAGATATTGAATGATGCGCTGATGGAGATGGCCGGCTTGAAGGGTGAGAAGCGGAAGAAGGAGGTCTCGTGGAGATGGCAAAGTTTGAAGGGAATTCGTCGACGGCGTCACCCACCCGGCTTCCCGTTTGGGGGGAAAGCGTAGGGTTGCAGCCCTCTTTCGCTAACGCTGCCCTTCCCGGTGGTCTTGGCGCCAACCCGCCAATCAGTGGCCCGCATTTGCTGACCTGATCCATCGAGCATTCCAGAGCGATCGATTTCTATCAAGCTTCGTCTGCAAGGTTCTGACGTTCATTGTACATGCAACAGCTTCTATCGCTAATATCCATACATGATACCGACACAGGGTTTCCAGCCCGCAGTATCGGGGGAACGCATGTCGCGGACATCGCCCCGGTCTTGACTTTCAAGATCCCAACCGACCGACCAACGCTAGAACGCTCACCACAAACAAAGCCTCCAGATATTATACTACCTAATGATGACAACTCACCGCGCTCTACGCCCGCTCTACATCCGTCGAACGACTCACGCATACTTGATATGCCCCGCCTGTTCGCCAACTCCCCTTACTGTGCCTTCTTCGCGTGTCCATTGGCCGCCATCACTTCGGGGTGCGGGTGCTTGATCGTCAAACACCAGATGTCAATGTAGTCGCATATCGTTGTGATGATGTCGTGCTGCACAGCCATTAGTATCCGGGTCACCGTAGACCATTCTCACCGTTGTCATCACTTACAATGAAGCTTCCGTAGACACCCACAGTCAGACCCAAGCACAGGTATACAAAGGCCACCTGCCGGGACTCATCGCCCAGGACACTCGACCACAGACCAAGCATGGGAGCCAGACTGTCGCATACGCCAAATGCCAGCGGGAAAAGCAGGACATTGGAGTAAGGAAAGTCGGCCTTGACCAAGTGCGCGGTGATCATGCGGCCGACGGCGTACGCGTTGATCAGACCGACGTAGAGGCAGAAAGGGACCAGGTAGTTCTCGAGGATGACGGGCTGCAGGTAGAGATAGGCGGGCACCAGGGTCCACGTCGCAACGAGAGGCAGGAGGCCGTAGAGCGGCGTGATGGGGTCCTGACCACGCTGTCTCCGCGCCTGCATGACATTCACGATACTGGACCCTGTAGCAAAGAACAACAGGACGGCACCGTAGATTATGAACCACTGGGTGAAAGTCATGTCGTACACGTCCTGCGGGATGACGCCAAGCTTCGGAACTCCGAGGGTCTCGAACATGGACTGGTGCCAGAAGCTACCGCCGCCCATGTAAGCGGTAAACCCAAAGACCGTGCAGAGCGTCAGAACACCTTCCACGGGACCGGACACGATACCCAGAGTGAGCACATGGGTGTGATACTCGTCCCAGGTCTGGACGTAGAACGTCATGGTAGCTGAACGGGTCAGTTAGGGCAGGGAATAGCACAAGGAAGAAATGCATACATCCGAACAGAGACAGCACGGTCGACCAGGACTGGCCGAGGTTCATGGCTGCGCAGAAGATCAAAACGCCAAGGGCCGTGTTGCATGCATCGACACTGTGATCAAAGAGTTCCCCGAGAGGACCACTTTGCTTGGTTCTCCGCCTGCAGGAAAACGCATTAGTCCGAGTCCCGTCCCGGGAGGAAGCGCAAGGGGTCATACGCCTGGATGCCATCGACGCCGTCAAACGTCTGGTAGAGGAACAACCCCACGGCGCAACTGGCATAGACCCAGGGAGGACAATCTTGGTCCAGCGTCGGGTTAAACCACAAGATGGTGAAGAAGTTGATTACCACGAAGAGGAAACCGGTAAGAGTGATCTACCAGGACTATTAGCCTCCCATTCGTTTCACACGGAGGACTGGACTTACAGCATTAGGGCTAAACCGACGTTAGTCGAGACCTGTAGAATAGGGGGTGGGAGACGCGGAGTTACTCACGCCATGCTCAAAGGGAAACACTTGATCACGACATTATTATAGAATGGCTTGAGAACAAAGCGGCTGATCAGGGAGAGATCGAGCCCTGAATAGCGGTAGGCCTTGAGGTTGGGGAGCTGATGTTGGCGAATGTACACCATCCTGGCGATGAGATCCGACTATGGCCTGTGATAGAAGTAAAGTACGCTGGAAGTTGGTTCTTGGTACTTTTACGCGAGCCAACTGGACGCCAGCGACGCAACCGAGACAACGAGCCCTGCGAAAGCTTAATGGGCCAACACCAGAAAAGGGTTGGGGAGCAGGATGTGTCTTGACGGAAGACAACCACGGGAAAAATGTCGCGATGGGGCAAGGGGGAAGGGGGTCTAGCGGTGGTGAGAGAAAGAAAAAGGGGAAGAAAGAAAAGAAAAGGAAAGAAGGTAAGAGGAGACGACGGCGGCTTTTTCAAGTGGTGATGTCCTCTTTGGCACGACCTTTCGTTCCTAGAAAAATTTAGTAGTATGCATGATTTATTATGATTGTTCCAATTATGATTGTTTTTTTCTGCCGGCGAAATCCACTGCGGCCTCCAGGTTGCCGCGCGGAGAAGACAGACCCAGGCTGCTGAGAGAATCCGACCGCAGACCGTCGAACTTACCGTACGTTACCCTTCTTATAGTACATACAAGCACCTGGAGAGGGAATTTGTCCTGATTGTGGTACCTCTGAGGTAATAAGACGAGCCCTGCGAAACCGGTGGGGATCGGCTACGGTCTTGGGAGTCCACGTGTGTCCAGTCATTCGCCCGTGGACGACTGGGCGACCGTCACGGACATTTCTGGCAACCTGATCGTCATGGCCAGGAAGTGGGGTAACGAGGGTGTCGGCGGACCTGGTCCCGAGGCACCATCTGAATGTGAACGAGCGAAGAAACCAATGAGGGGTAAAGAAGATGCCTGGGATTGATTCGATAATATGGAACCTCTAGGATACATGGCAGATGGGACAGGCTTATATGGAGTAGATCATGCTAAAGGGACAAGACGCTAGGAGCCCTACCGGACTAGGGATGGCGTAATGTGGGTGTGTGGGTAGTTCAAGTGCCGCAGTGAGGGAGGGAGAGACCGTCCTCTCCATCTGGTCCACCCTCTGCCAATCGTATTGTATTGCATGGGACTGCCTTCCACTACCCTGACATCACCATCATCATCTCTGGTCGGACGTCCCATACATCGACTGGTGATCGATGTAGTCGTAGCTGGACAGACAGAGCAGCATTTAACCCACTGGGCTCCAGGGCATGGGGATCAGAATCCGACTCTGCATCGTCTGGATGAGCGGCACGGTCTTGTGGACCGTCTCCGCCCATCCTTCAATGCCCCACGACTGCTCCCGGCGAATCTTGCGCTCCTCCAGGTTCGCAAATTGCCACAGATGATGCACCGTGTTCAAGTCTCCGATTTGCACGAACCATGCACCGACCCCTTCCATCACCTCGCGGCGCGCCTTGAGGCCGCGGCGCCAGTGCGTTTCCCACTCGAGCAGATTGCCCGGGTGGAGGGTGTATGATCGCAGTTCGAACAAGCCCCCCAGTCGGCGGGGCGGCGTCGTGGGCCAGAACGAGAATTCCTGCATGAGCGACGTCTTCTTGCTCTTGATCAAGCTCTTCAGTTTCTTATCGAACGCGGGCCATTCCGGGTGGCACGAGATGTTGTGCAGAGAGTCATGGTAGCCCTCATACCGCTGGTACTCCCAGATGTGAACTACAGGATCACAGTTAGTATCACACTCGAAGTGCCATCGGGTCGGCAACAAGAGGCATCGTCTAGTAAATACCGAAAGTATCGTTATCGCCTACTTGGGTGCGCCAACTGCCGACCAGGTTCACGCGGTTCTCTTCGGTCTGCGCCATGCGTGGGTACCACTGTCCCACGAGGTCGACATACTCATCGACTTTGTCGGGCTTAACCTCGTGGAAGACGATGGAATGGACGTATTTGCCGCGGGCGAGGACCTGGGAAAAGGAGCGTTCGATGTCCTTATCAAGCTGCTGGCCTTCCTTGGTGCCGTAGATCAGGGAGGACAGGGGGCCACGCTTGGGAGACTGGTTGGCTTCGTGCAACTGTTCGTCTCCTAGAAAACGGTGGGTAGATAGTGAGCCCAAGGCCTTCTTATCAAGGATTTCGGCGGCGTCAAAGACAGCGGGGCCGGTACTGCTCGCATTGCTCTCGCGGGGAGCAGTGGGAGCGGTAGCGTACTCACGGAAGCGATCACGGGACACAGGGGATGATGAGGTAGAAGCAGAAGCAGAAGCATTGACGGACTGACTCTCTTCCTGTTCTTTCTTCTTGCGAGCCGCCTCCAGGTTCTCGCGGAACTCCTTCTGACGGGCATTAAACTCAGCGGCACCGGCGGGGGTGATGTCGCGAATGGAGGGAGCACGATAGGAAGCGGGAGAGGAGCTGAAGGGGCGAACCAGCGCAGGCACCGGTCGGAAAAGACGAGGGGCGAACATCATGGATGGTTCGATGTACAGGCGACTCGATGGGATGTTGGCAGGGGAGGAGGATCGAGCTGGTGTTGAAGATGGCGTGGAAGGGTACGAAGGGGGGAGGGGAGAGCAGGTAGCTTAGAAAAGGCAGCGATGGGGTCGAGACACGATCAACGGGCGGAGACCACCACAAGAGCTTTGTGAAGGTGGCTGAAGGGTAGTACAAGAGGGGTAAGAGTTTAAAGAGGGGGAAACAACGCCAGACAGGCAGAGATAGAGAGAGGCACAAGCTCAATGGAGAGGTTAATCCAGAATGGGCTGACCAGACGGGTAAAATGGACGGGAAAGGGCCGTTGCAGGGAATGCCAGCACGGAGGCGAACTGAGTTTAGGCCGACTGTCAGACGGGAGTGTTATTGTCGGCCACGAGATTGGTTCGGCGGAGAAGAACAGATCCCTGACAAGGGCAGTCGGATGATGGTCACGGATAGGAGGTGAGGAGAGGAGAGGAGGAGGAAAGGTGGTGAGTGGTTGTGAGAAAAGAGGCCAAAAGCTGGGGAAAGCAATGGGAAGTGCGGGGAAAGCATTGACTAAGGAGAGGTTGGACTTGATCCCTTTTATACTGTTCTCGTTCTACTAGCTACCTAGTTAGCTATTACAGAGCAGTACTACTAGTACTACAGCTGTGGGAATCTTCTCCTGATCGGCCTAGATGTCATTCGTCGAGAGGAGTAGGTCCAGTCGATCGTTGCGTGTTCCATCATCCCTTTGAAACCATTATGACGAAAACAGTCTTTCTCCACAGCACACTACCTGTACTCTTGACAGCGTACAGAGACTGTATTTTCTGGTCAAGGTCTCTCAGTGACCGATTTCCAGAATATTGAGATAGGGATCGTCTCTCCATCGACTGAAGGCGAATCCCATCTTACCTATCAGATCCACGGCGATGACGGTGACGTCGAGCATTCTGTAGCGTTCCGCCCAAACCACCTGGCGATCCGGGCGCGACCGATTACCTACTTAGCCCACCGCGATTCGGTTGGTCCTGGTATGTCGAAGGACTAAGCTGGTTCAGTTAGAGTTATTGGATCCTTGGAGAACCCATTCAGCCGTATACCATCTCGATTAGCAGAACCAAATAGGACACTGGATCCAACCATCCGTGGAAATCCAACGATGCGGTAGAAAGAAATTCCAGCTCCGGACCGCCCCGCTGGCGTCCCCTCCAGAAGGACCAGGCAGTGATCAAGCCTCATCCAGCTCTGTCCGGACGTCTGTACGAGCTCTTACGCGGTCGTCAACCCATTGACTTTCTGCTTCACGTCTTCCTCCATGGCCGACCCCGTCAACCCGCCTCTCTCTTATGAGGCGTCCGCCACAACCACCCATCCTCATGTGGCCACCACTCTTCCGCCCGAGGTCATCTCGTCCCTAAAGAACTCCCGATTCGTACGTGGCTCTACCTGTCTAGTCTCTCGTTCACTTGCTCCCTCACTGACCAAACAGCTTCATCTGGCAACATGCGACGGCCTCCAACCCCACATCTCCCTCATGTCCTACACCTACCTGCCCTCGACGCCCTATGATCCCTACCCCACGATCATCATGACCACCAACCCCTCCTCCCGAAAGACCAACCATCTTCTCACCAATCCGCGCGTCTCGCTTCTCGTCCACGACTGGGTGTCGCACCGTCCGCCGACCCGCGCCCCCAACCCGGGGTCGGAGCGCGACGGATCCCCGCCGCCGGCCGCCACTCGCTCGTCCCTGGCGAGTCTACTGCTGAACCTGAACACGAGCGCCCTGTCAAGCATCTCCACCACCATTACCGGCACCGCGCGGTTCCTCGAGCCCGGTTCCGAGGAGGAGGCCTGGTGCAAGGAGCGTCATCTGGAGAATAACACGTTCGAGGAGGAGATGAGCGTCTTTGGTCAACAGCAGCCGCAACAGGGATCCCGGCGGCCCAGCTTATCGATTGACAGCGACGTCCGGGTTGTGACCGTTCGCGTGCGCGAGGGCCGCATTGCGGACTGGAAGGGTGGTGTGCGTGACTGGGTTGTGGTGCGCGAGGGAGAAGAAGAGAATCAGGGTGGTCTGGTGAATGGTATTTAGGTGTTCTAGGCTTACGAGTTATGCTTACAACTGCATCAATGTATTCTACTCTACACTCTCAAGGATGTAGCGTATACAACGGCACAGCATCCAGTATCATTCTCTGTGTTGGCTCAATTGATCCTCCGGACGATGACATCAACCCGAGACCAAGCTAACCACATCGGGAAGCTCCATCAATTCCGCGGAAACCAATCCAACAGACCGATCTATACCTACATCTCCCCGGACAACTTCAATTACCATTAAACAGCCTCACCAGACAAGCCAGACCTCTTCCAAACACACACCGCAAGACAATGAGACTCGCACACCTCCACTTCCCAGGAATCACCTCCTTCACGCGCGTCTCCAACCTCCAACAAACCCTCACCACGCGCCTCCTCGCCCACAAAAAACACCACGACGACACCACGACACCACCGCCCGACCCAACCATCATCACCTTCACCCCAAACCCCGTCTACACCACCGGCCGCCGCGACCTCCCCCCTTCCAACACTACCCCGCAAACCGCCTCACTCTCCCTCCCGCCGTCCCTCGAACCCATCCGCTCGCTCCTCACCGCACCCAATGCCTCCTCCTCGCCCGGCCAAGCAGAATACCACCCCACCCTCCGCGGCGGCCAAACCACCTACCACGGCCCGGGCCAGATGGTCGCATACACGATCCTCGACCTGCGCCGCCTCGGCCTGACGCCGCGCTGCCACATCCGGCTGCTGGAGAACAGCGTCGTGGACGTGCTGCGTGGGTTCGGCGTGCAGGGCCTCATCACCGAAGATCCGGGCGTGTGGGTGTCGCCTGGCACAGGCGCCGCGACGGAGCTGCCGCGAAAGATCACGGCGGTGGGCGTGCATCTGCGGCGCAACATCAGCAGCTACGGCATCGGGTTCAACGTCACCGACGAGCCGATGTGGTATTTCCGGCAGATTGTGGCGTGTGGCCTGGAGGGGCGCGAGGCGACGAGTTTACAGGCGCTGGGGGTGCGCGGTGCCAGTGTGGATGACGTTGCGGAGCGGTTTGTGCGGGCGTTCGTACAGAGGGTTAATGCGGATTTTGCGTGTGGGGGGAGTCGTGCCGGTGAGGGGATTGAGGGGGTTTATGCTGCTTCTGAGGAGGAGTTGTTACGAGGTGATTGAGCGATTGGGGGATCTAGAGATCTAGAGATATAGGTAATTACTTGTGTGTTAGATGGAAGGGAAAGGGCCTTCTATCAGTGAAACTGGGCTGCGCCCAGACATTAAAAATACAGATTATAGAATCCAAAATATATACTCATGAAAGGGTAAAAAGAAAGCAAAGCCAGACATGGCCGTAGCCGGCCTCCCATTCGCCGTGAAAAGCCGGCGATGCGAAAACGATGCGGGTATACAAAATCGTGATACGGACAGACAACAAGTCTAGAGGATGACGCACCGCTCGCCGGAGCCGTTCGATCCTTGGGTCTTCACTTCCAGCGCGACCTTGGCCGCTTCATAAAAGGTCTCCATTATGCCGCGGTTCTGGACCGCGGAGCATTCTGCGAATCTGTTAGCGCCAGGGCAACCGTTGCGCACGCAGACAGGCAGCATATCATACCCAGGTATTTCACGGCGCCAATCTCCTTCGCCTTCGCCAGCCCCTGTTCGTAGGTGATCGCGTTGGGGTTGGCATTCTCGAACTCGTCCTTGCGCAGGTCACACTTTAGCGCCGTCAGGACGAGCTTCACGTTCGGGCAGTTCTCGGAGATCTCGTCGATCCATTTGCTGGCGACGTTTTCGAACGAGTCGGGGCTGTCGACCTGCAGACAAAAGTGTCAGACGCCGTGTGTTCAGGGTGGAGGGCGGTCCCTACGCTGAAGCAAAGCATGATCACATGTGTGTCCTCGTACGAGAGCGCGCGCAATCGGTCAAATTCTTCCTGTCCGGCCGTATCCCACAGCGACAGTTCCATGTGTACGTTATCGACGAAGATATCTGGCGGTATGAGCGGAGGGTTTCATGAGAGAAGCGGGGCGGATTACCGTGGACATAGTTCTCTGGGGTTGATGGTTAGTCGGTGGTCGTTCATGGGGAGGGGGTTGCGCGCACCGAAAACCGTAGGCTCGCTATGCGACGTCGTCATGGTTAGTATCGCTGGATCTTGTAGGCTCTTCCGGAGGGAGGAGTCCTTACTAGACAGTCGGGAAATATCTGGAGACAGTTAGCAGTCCGAACGGCGACAGGGGTAGAGGAATAACACACCCTCGAGTGAACACGTTCAGGGCGGAAGTCTTCCCGCAAGCACCGTCACCGCTGTGTCCAGTCAGTTTGTAGATCTGAAAGATTCATCATCGTCGCACTGACAGAAGCACCATCTTGCGCCGGACAACTTTCTGACGACCGCACAGCTCCATGGTGGTGGCAGGACAGGGTGTGGATTCGGAATGCGCTTGGTCAGGGGGGGATCTAAACAGAGTCGCTAAAAGAAGGCAAAACGGTCGTCAAGCAGTCAAGAGTATAAGTAAAAATGAGAGTAGGCAGCAGGAGGCGGAATTATGACAAAGGGAAAGTCGAGTCAGGCACGTAGGATGAAGGTGGCTGCGAAGACTGCGCCGTGGGCCGTGCAGGAGTCGATGTCATCGGAGCGTGTGAGGATCGGCGAATAGAGATCGTCCCTCTCGTCCATCTGCCAAGGGCTTCCTTGTCGCCTTCGTCGTCCCTGAACCATCACTTGCCGCGCGTCTCAACTGAGCAAGTTCATATTCTGCATTTATGGAGTATAGTTGGTTTTCGGGCATTGTTGAGGTGGATGTGGTGGGAGTGCTGGTCTTGGTGGTTCAGGTTTCAGTCTCCCGAGTGGAAGGACGAGTATCGTAGTCTGACTATGAGATATACAGAATGTGATATTCATTTAATATTAGTCCTGTGTTGATAACTACGACGGATGGATTTGTCGTTATTATATCTGGTATAGCGAAATATCGAGACTGGACGTGGTCGATATATATATCTGAACTTGGTGTGGCTGACCAACAAACCATGTATGGGATTCAATGCGAATCCCACATTTTCTATATTCAATATTTTCGTCTGTTCTATCTAAAACACTACATAGGTACTAACCAAATAATATAAACACCTTGATCAAGTGTACCAAAGCCGCGTACCTGTCTTGAGGAAGATGTAGATGGATGGCTAACATAAGCGGGGAAGCCCAGGCTCCGATAGGCGCGGGAGCTCTCTCTATCTTGCACCCACCGCAGTTTATATGTACCTACATCACTTCTCCAACATCAACGTCCACACAGCCTACCTCCCACCTCTTGCTGGAACAAGAGTCACACAGCTAGACACACCCCACACATACAACATCAAGAGAACCCTCTTCAACCCTCACCATGTCGGACGACGATGATTTCATGCAGGACTCCGGCGATGAGGAGTAAGTACTTTGCTTGTCTCTCAGTCGTCAACCCAGACTAATCGTACTTCCAACGATAGGTACGACTTTGAATACGAAGACGAGGACGAGGACGAGTCGGGCGACATCGGAATCGAAAACAAATACTATAATGCCAAGCAGATGAAAATCGACAACCCGGAGGAGGCCATCGATGAGTTTCTGGGGGTACCTGCTCTGGAACAAGACAAAGGCGATTGGTACAGCTTCACTCAATGTATAAAAAGCAAGCACATTGCTGACGCTTAACAGGGGATTCAAAGGTCTCAAACAAGCCATCAAACTCGAATTCAAGCTAGGTCGATACAGCGATGTACGTCACTCACCACCGCTCCAATCGTCCACTGACACCCACCCAGGCCGTCGAACACTACAAAGAACTCCTCACCTACATAAAATCCGCCGTTACGCGAAATTATTCGGAAAAATCCATCAACAACATGCTGGACTACATCGAAAAGGGCTCCGACGACGCCACGGCATACCAGTGCATGGAGGAATTCTACTCGTTGACGCTCCGCTCGTTCCAGAACACCAACAACGAACGTCTGTGGCTGAAGACCAACATCAAGCTGGCGCGTCTCTGGCTGGAACGTAAGGAATACGGGCAGCTGAGCAAGAAGGTACGCGAGCTGCACCGGGCGTGTCAGCGCGAGGACGGCACCGATGATCCCAGCAAGGGCACGTATCTCCTCGAACTGTATGCGCTCGAGATCCAGATGTACGCCGAGACCAAAAACAATAAGCGACTGAAGGCGCTATACCAGCGCGCGCTGCGGGTGCGGTCGGCGGTACCGCATCCCAAGATCATGGGGATCATCCGCGAGTGCGGGGGGAAGATGCACATGAGCGAGGAGAACTGGGAAGAGGCGCAGAGCGACTTCTTCGAGTCGTTCCGCAACTACGATGAGGCCGGATCCATGCAACGCATCCAGGTGCTCAAGTACCTGGTGTTGACGACCATGCTGATGAAATCCGACATCAACCCGTTCCACTCGCAGGAGACGAAGCCGTACAAAAGCGATCCGCGCATTGCCGCCATGACCGATCTGGTGGATGCCTTCCAGCGCGACGACATCCACGCCTACGAGGCTGTGCTGAGCAAGAACCCGGACGTCCTCGCCGACCCGTTCATCGCGGAGAACATCGACGAGGTCAGCCGCAACATGCGCACCAAGGCCGTCCTCAAACTGATCGCCCCCTACACACGGTTCTCGCTCGCCTTCATCGCCAAACACATCAAGATCTCCGTCCCCGAGGTCCAGGACATTCTCAGCTTCTTGATCCTCGACAAGAAACTGCACGCCAAGATCGACCAGGAGACGGGTGTGGTCGTGGTCGAGAGCACCAGCGACGTGGACCGGCTCCGCGCCGTCGACGAGTGGAACACGGCGCTGCAAGCCCTGTGGCGCGCAACCCTCAACGACGGCGATGGCTTCAAAACCGACGAGTCGTCGCAATTCCCCGGCCTGCGCGGCGGGCCCCTGTTTTACTCCGGGATAGGCGACGAGACCTCCCCAGCGACAGGCGGGGTGCGAGCGGGCGGTCGACGATTACGGGGGGAATGGAAGGGCAAGGGACCTGGGCATCGAGTCAAGCTGGGGGAGTGAGGCGACATTGCGATGGGATAGAGGGACAGGCAGACGGGAAACGGGAGACGGGGGCTAGAACGTGGGGGCGCAGAAGCGAGATCCTTGTTTGCTAGCGATTCACGAGGCATCGAGTATTACCGTGCTGATTATCATTTCACGAATGGACGGATTGATTGCTACCTACGATGCTTGCAGACGGACCGGGGGGTCAGGCACAGGGTCTGCCGTCTACAGCTGCCGGTCGCGATGGGCATGACGGAGTCGGTTCCGTAGCGGCCGCAGGACTGCCACTAGCGAAGGCAGCTGGAACTGATTCGTGTTGCACGGGGGTAGACAACACCACCCAGCGGCAATGCAACTTGCATGCTCTGCAGTAGTTTGCCAGCACAGGTCGAGATCCCATCAATGGAAGGTCGGCTAGATCCTGCGATATGCACCGGATGCCGGTCCCTGAGAGTTGCGACGCAGTAAGAAACACGAGTCAGTCTAGTCAGTCGAAATCATGCCATCCCATTGGGCATCTCTCTCTATCTCCGCGTGTGAAACTCCCTCGTCCCTCAGGAGGAGGCAACCGGCGGCATGGACATACACACAACTGTACCGATCAAGCTCTTAGCCCCGGATAACCTCGTCAAACGACGAACACCAAATCCCGAGGGAGACCCCTGCGGACGGGACCACCGGCCGAAACTAGCGACGAGGGTACTTTTGCGTGGACTGTCATGGATGAGCGTTGACCGGGTGTGTCCCTAGGTTAGATATACTCCACGATGAGTCGTAAAATGGATACGATTAAAGTCTGCAGTCGACAGACACTGCACACGAAGCTGTTTGTGACTGCAACAAGAGACTGGTATGATCGCAATCCCAACCGATCACCCAAGCCGTTAACAAGGCTGTTATTATCTCCACCTCGCCAGGGCAGGGCTCCAGGCACAAACACGGGGTCCGTCCCCTTGTCTCCCGCCGGCCAGAAGTACCTCCCTGTCGACATACTTTGTCCATGTTGTGTCCCCGGTGAGCGGGTGGTTTGCCCTGGATGGCCCTAGTGGCCGCCGCGTTGTCAATTTCTTTGTTCTGGGAGACACGCCATTCATTCCGATAGACTGGGCGACTCCCCATCCGTGGTGAAACGGGCGAGGACGAATCGGAAGGACCCATGACTTGCATGACAGCGGGAAGGCCATCCGCTACCTCTCTAGGTCTAGGTACGAATGATGCTGGTTATGACTATTGATTATACTTTAGCTGGAGCTGCAGGCGACCGGGGTGGATTGTGGCTCTGGCCCTGATGGGATTCAGAAAACAGGGACAGCGGGCACAAAGCCGCAAGACACCTACCTAACCTACCTCAACAGATGGAGGTGCGATCAAGAAGGGGCAAGGGAGGCCAGCAACTACCGTGGTGGCGAGAAGCCACTCGGGATTCGAATCAGGTCCATTGAGACACTGACCGTGGACTCGGCGCCGGCTTCCGAGGTAGCATATGCATGCCTACGTCTAGCTGGATCGGCAATCGGATGGTGGATGGGAGGGTGAGAGGCCAGAGGAGGCGTAAGCTCACGCAGCGCAGTGACGAGGAGGAGGAGGGCGAACGAGCGAGAACGAGGAGGCGCCCGACGCACACACCGAATCAGTCGTATCGACGTGATCCTGTTCTGTTGTCCAGCGCTATGGGCCCGGCATGGGCTTCTCATTCGTCTGGGGGATGGTCTGATCCTCGTCATCGGTGCTCGCACTGACGATACACAGGCCAAAGGGAGAGGGGGAGAGACAGATCGGTGGGTTTCCTGTGACTTGCTTTTTTTTTCTTAATTTTTAATTTTTAATTGCTTTTTCTTCTCTTTTGTTTCTGTCACTGCGATTTCTGGAAGGCTGATGATGTTGTTTGACTGGAAGGAACTGAGGGGGATGATTGGGTTGGGAGGTACCGATCACCAAACTACCTGTACTCGGTACTACTAGGTACCTAACCTCGTTGTCGACGGCGATAGTGTTGGACTACCTGGGAAAGCAGACTCCGCGCTGGAATGGAGAGAATGATAAGGTGGAGGACATCCTTCGACATAGATAAACAGCCGACTAACCAGATGAGGGAGTAGATAGATCGTCCTACTAGAGACTATCTACTAGTAACACTGAGTAAGACTAGGTAGAGTAGTCGGGTCCGCGTATCTGGATCACCCATCACCCAAGTGGAGGCTTTCAGGACATGTGGCCGTTTTCCAGCGCATGATTCTTCTCTTTGTTCGTTTTGTTTCGGTCCTGTTCTAGGGCCTTTCAGCAGGATTCGGAAGAAGCGCCAGATGCCAATCATGCGATGTGATGACATATGAGATACTACATCTACCTACTTACTAAGGACCTAGTAGGAGGTAGTAGGTAAGGTAGTAGCAATAGGTACCTAATTGTACAGGTACAAGATAGATGCACATAAAAAACCTCAATGTGATTAGGTATGTCCTTAAGTGACTGACTCTAGTGAATTAGGTCAACCATGCACCTAGTAGTTCGGCCCCGGAACTGTGGATTATCGGTAATCATCCATGAACAAAGGATGCAGTGGATCTGGTAGTGCAGTGGACTCCCGGCCCATCCGTACCGTATTGTACACCATCAGTCGGCTCCGTCCGCTCTGGATGAAGACAGCGTCTGTCTGGGCGACGACCACGATTCCCTCTTCTCGACGCGTCCAGGACATCCATCAACTGCGAGGGACAGACGGTTATCGTATCTCCGCGAGGTCCTCCCCGACTCCTCGTGGCGTCTCCTCCTGGGGATTCGTCTGATCCGGATTCTCATTTCAGATCCTCAGCAGACGGAAAAACAGACTAACTGCTCACTAACGGACACCGACCAGCAAACCCCGCGCTCGCCCACCAACACTGAAGCCATTGATTTATTCTTTCCCTTTTCTTCTGCTGCTGCTGCTTGCTTCTCCTTCTTCCTTTCTTGTCCGGTTTCCCTCGATCTCACCCACTATTCTGGATTGGTCTTTTCTCCCCTGTAGATACCGAGTCTACTCCAACCTCCTCATCCCGTCCAGTCCATATTAGATTCTTCTTCCCTTCCCTCCTCACCTCCATCATCGTGTCATCCTCCACCCTCGTCCGGTTGATCGATTCTGCCTCTATCCACTTCATTTTAATCGATAAATCTCCTTACGCCGGAGTCCTGACTAGTTCACATTCCTGACACGCCTTTATATCAGCCACCACACGTGGGATCATCCGTCTTTTTATTGATCGATTTATTTTTCTTTCCCCTCACCGCAGTTGGACGTATTGATGTATGCGCCCCGTCTGTAAGGGAAGCCGACGACAAGAGAGCAAAAGACAGAAAAAGGAAAAAAGGTACCGGTACAGTCTCCTTCAGGTAAGAACCGTGATCTTTTACTCTGTCTCTCTGCTACAACTGGTTTTCTCGTGGTGCTCTTATATCATCCTCAAAACGACCCACCCACCCTGTCAAACTTTCCTCCCCCCCTCCCTCATCCTCCATCCGACCCTCCTATACTTCCTTCCCTCTTCCAACCTCCCATTCGTCTTCACCCATATTGCATCGCCTGTCTGGTATTCTGCTCCGGGCGGAGGAACCCGACGGCTGAGCACGCACATACCTTTTCTTCCGCCCTCCATCGGCCTTCGGGGAGTGGATTCGAGTTTCCCTTTCCATCTCTTCACGTTGACTCGCCTGGTGTGATGATCCTTCGTAAGGGGCACCTGTCGAATGCCATTGGAATCGGCCCTTGGTCACTGACGAACCCTCCTTCCCCCTTTGGTATCTCGTTATGACTGCATCTCACCATGCGTGCCTCGCCCGTCACATGCCACGGCGTCCCAGAAGGCCTCTGCCCCTTTAGCTTTGGCACTTCTGACAGGACAGGAGAATACAGACAGACTCTTCAGCTGCCTGCCAGTGGTCTTTCCTTGCTTCGATGCTCCTCCTATCCCCTTTCATTGGTCTGTCCGCGCCTACTGCGACTCATCTCCCTGTTCTGCAGCGCCGGGCTTACTCGTCATGCTGCTTCCCTCGTCCATGGCCTATCAGCCATGATTGGTGCTGTCCTACTTCCAAGGCATCTGTCCACCCCCTCCCACGATCGTTGCCCCGAGTCGCCGGGTCAAGATCATGGTGTCTCCGCTTGTTCCTCTGCCGATCCCTGTGTAATCGTTTGCTAATCATATCCAACCTCTAGGTCCCCTTTCGTCATTTCCAACAGGAAAGTACCTGGAGGGTCCCAACTCCCGGACGATCCGACCTCGAGGGGACAGGAAATCCTTACGTGAAACATGCGGATTTGCTCCGTATGCATTCCCTGATTCGTGCATGACCGAACTCAATAGGGATTGGATCTGACGATATCGAAAGGCAGCATTTCTTCCGTGAATCCCGTTTTCAAAGGCCCCTGCGGCTCAGCTTGCTCCACCCGGCTATGCGATGTCATTATCAGACATATCTTGGAATCATTTACACCTTTTAAACCAATTTCCCGCCAGACCGGATTCCACCGCTGATCTCTACTCTGCACCGGCCCGCACTGCGGCGTTCATAAACCACGACTTCTCCCGACTGTCCAGCGCGTATTCTAACCACCGATCGCACTTCAACATGAATACGCTGTCGACTGAGGAAATGGAGCGGTTCCAGAAGCTGTCCAATGAGTTTGAACCGGAAATTCAGGCGAGTGTCTCGATCTGGGCCTCTGCAGGCGCCGCCGCTGACACCATCGCAGGGACCGCTCGTGTCAGCCAAACAATCAACCAACGCCATTGCCATGGAGTATTCCGGGGCAGATCCCACCTTTGTCGCGAAAACCAGCGTACGCATGCCCCAGTCGAGGTACCGGGTAGACTCCCGCTGACCATCTCTAGGCCTTGGCAGTCACACATCCCTACTGCCGCATTATGAAGCGGGACGGTAACTGCGGCTGGCGAGGTGACTACCCTCCCATCCCCGGCGGGAAAAGGAGCTAACAGCGTCTAGCGGTTGCCTTTGGGTATTTCGAAAGCCTTTTCAATCTCCACAATCTCATCCATGCGCAGTCCGAGTTGGTCCGCATCAAGGGTCTCAATTCGCTTCTTGACCAAGTAGGTCACCAGGAGCATTTGTACGAGATCTTTGTAGATGCAACCGAGAGTGTCTTTGAGCAAGTGTGTGAGGCGATTCAGGCCGGGGTACGGGACGATTCGTTCCTGAAGGACCTCTTCAATGAGGAGTTCAACTCCAGTGCAGTCATCACGCATTTCAGGGTCAGTAGTACTCCTGTGGATGCATGTTTGCGAGCATTCAAACTGACTGCGGTTCTTCCCCGCCACAGCTTCTTACCAGCGCCTGGATGAAATTGAATCCTCATCGGTACCAGGCCTTCCTGCCGCTCCCCCTCGATCAGTACTGCACGACGCGGATCGAGACCGTCAAAACGGAAATTGATGAAGTGGGCCTCCAAGCTCTGGTGGACGGCGTCATCGAGCCGTCCGGCGTTGCTGTCGAGATCCTGTACCTGGACCGGAGTCAGGGTGAAGCAGTCACTCCCCATCTCTTGACCCCGAGTCGGCCTAGCGCTTCGACAATCCGTTTGCTGTATCGCCCGTAAGCCGAGGACCCGGTCTGTCTGAACGCTGATCGTAGCTAACAAGTGCAACAGAGGCCACTACGATATTGCGTACCAAGCGGAACCTACCGTAACGATGGAACCCATCGTCAATTATCAGTACGGCATGACCACCAACTACTCGCCCTGGGACCAAGGCGCCCTCTCGTTTGATGTGAACTCGAGTCTCATGTCCATTCCCAACCTGATGATGGACCCCTCCTTTGCACTCTCCCCTTCCCCCATGACTCCCGCCCCGAGCCCGTACCGCGTCTCGCCCCCTCAGGAAGTGTTCCAACCTCCGATGCACACGCCTCCGCCACCGGTCCCCGTCGCATCGCCGCCGCCACCCCGCATGTCAGCCCCGCCCCCGATGACTTCGTTACCCAACCGGTCCTCAGACGGGCCGCAGATTCGACTGAATCCGTTGGTGATGAAGCAGAACTTGAGCCACTCGCTCCCCGTCACGACTCCATTCAAGAAGTGAGTTACCCGACGGGAGGTGCCATGCGGAGCTAATCAATTGCAGTTCGCCGTACAACCAGGCCCATTTCCAAAACCAGGACTTTGAGCCAATCCACTGGGAACCCAGTGATTCCCGCAAATGACCGTCCGTCCCCGGGACCCGCACGACTGAACATGTGTTACGCTCGCTCTCGGATTTCCTTATCTTCTCTGTCTTACCACGGGTAGGCTGTCTCTCTTATGCATCAGTTTGAGGGAATTCTTACCGTTCGCATATGGGCGACTGGCACTCGCCATTTCTACTGGTTACTTCTGCCATCTGTATGTGTTGTTTAGCGTGTCTGTGTGCTTGCATCGTTGTGAGCGTGATTTCCATTTGGTTTTACTTGTCAGAACAACCACCAGAAATGATGTGGGAGGAGATATTCGAACAGGTTTAAAATTGACCCAGCTTGATGAATCGAGACTACCTTACTCGTGCATTTTCCCCGTAACCCCGATCCGGCTAGTGGCGGGTAAACACTGGAGCGAGACAGGAGCAGGAAAGTGGGACATTGGGTCCACCCTCAGCCCGAACCGAACCTTAATTTAATTGCCCAGCCTTAGGCTAAATTAATCCCCTCCAATGAAGACGGGAGACGGTTCTGCAGAGAATTTGCTGCTTGAATGTCTCACTTTCATGCATCATCCACGATAAGGGTTGATTACCGATTGAAGAATGGACTCAGATGAGACAGGAGGATCACGATCTCCGCAGGCCACCATGTCGGGACGGGACCTTCATGTTTAGAATTCATGCCGACGAAAGCCTGTTTGGATCTGATCGAGACCTGACCCACCCCCCATCTCGTTAAACCTCCGATCTTGCAATGTCATTGACCGAAGATAGAACATCCCAGTTATCCGATGGCGATACCATCCGAATCGACCAGACCGGCTTCGACACCTACAACTACACAATGACATCAATGACATCACAGCGGCCATGGTCGAGCCAGTTGCACGTTCCCGGGTTAGAATGAGCACAATGCCCTATGCAGTAATGGGTAACTGCAGCAGCTGCGGAGGTTTAGGCTCCTCGCCTGGCGGTGGGCTGCACTGGTGGGGCGCCTTGGAGTCGACGTGAAGAAGGGGTGTTTAGGCCGCTGGTGTTTGTCAGATTGGGGGATTTGACTTTGGGGTCTATCATCTGATGCGTTCATGCTAGGGCTTACTGGTGAGACTGGGACAAGTGCTTTGGTTGGTGGGGATGAAGGCCGATGGTGATTTTATTGGGTGTGGTTTGGTTGAGTTGATACCAGTCTATTGTCTTGAATCATACCTGGGTAGAACTTGTACTGCCTACTTGTAGCTAGCTACCTAACTCTGCTTGGATTCGGGATTCTTTCCCTGCTTGGCCTACCTCTAGATGCCTTGGTACTCGAGGCAAGACAGAGTGCTTCGTACCTTGTATGGTAAGGTATGATATGACAGTACCATACGCACAGCCCAGTCCCACTGAAAGTCCCGCTACTCCCAATCGGGTAACCGACTCTCATCCGACGTCCGACCCCGACATCCATAAGAACCCTGACTACGCCCCCTCGAATTCCTCTTGTTCAACACCACCGACCTAGCATCAGGTCATAGGCTTCCTCCCTCCTCTCTTCGCATCCAGTTACCGCCGCGGGCCGCAGAGGCCCGCCTGAGCTATCGAGTCATGGCAGACACCGCAACCGTCTTCGCGGCCTGCATTGCCTTCTCGTTCTTCTACTACCAGCCTTCACAACTCATCTAATTCCTGTCACCCACATTTACACTCGCATTCCCATCGCAGTGAACTGCAATTCCTCGATCCGCACCTCTACACCACCCTTCCTACCTCTTTCCCGCCTTCGCTCTCCTTGGACTCGCCCTTCGACAACCCATTCGGCGAAGACTTTGCCGACCTCGAATCCTGGGACCCCTGGACTGCGCCGTTGGTCACCAGTTCGGACACTCTGCCTCCCGATCTTGCGGTTGACCCGCAGCCCGCCCCTGTTCACTATGACGCTCCTACGCAAATTGATGCAAACGCGCAAGATATCTTCCAATTGCCAGACACTACATTGACCTACTGCCACGGTGTGATCCCAATGGATAGTTCGATTGTATGAGAATTTCATCTAACGGAACCAGATTCACGCCAACCACAACCACCCATGTCCCTCACCGCTTCCACCACCACATCCCCCAACTCGTCCGCGCCCAGTGACTCGGTCTCGACTGGGACGTCGAAGGCGTCGAAGCAGCCGCTGTCGCGCATCGAGAAGCGCCAGCAGAATACCATGGCTGCGCGTCGGTACCGGCAGCGTCGCGTCGACCAGCTGAAGAACCTGGAAGAGGAGCTTCGCAAGGTGCAGCAGGAGCGGGATGAGCTGCGGTTGCGGGTGTCGAAGTTGGAGGGGGAGACGGAGGCTCTGCGAAGTCTGTTGGGGAGAGAGAAGAAGTAGTCGTATGTGTTTTTTCTGTCTGGGTTGATGTGGATTTGGTGGTTATTTGATTAGTGTGGTAATTGAATCTTGCTTGTTTGCTTTGTGTCTACTCCGCAGTACTCCGTAAACTGTAGGCTTGTCCTAAGTTGCGATTAGCGCTGGACACCGTGCAGATCGTAGGTAGAGAGTGTAGAAACGGCGGGTAGTCTGACGATGTCGACAGATTGGTACCATCATGTATCAAGCAAGGCCTGGATCAGAGAAAGTCTTCTTCATGCACCCATGCATGGATCGGCTGGATCTTTGGGACGGCGGTGGAAAGGTGGGGGCAGACTGACCATGCGGCAACGGTGTATCCGTATTACACAGCATCAGGTACAGGCAGGGCCCAGCCTGAAGGAACCTCACTGACATCCCCGTGCAGAATGATACCTTGCTGTTGGCCTGTAAGGAGATTCGGCCGAAAGCTTTGTAAATCAGAAAAGTAGGTTTTGAAATATGTCTATTCTGTCTACATTGTTTATTGTGTAGGTAAGGTAGGCGTTATATACTACAACTGTTGTTGGTGATATCTGTACCTAGTACTAATCTAGTCATGTATTCATACTGTATACAGATTGCATACCGTATGACCACAAACCGGTCGTTTTTTTGTAAGAATGAGTGAGAATGACTCACTTTCCTGGGATGTGATTGGTTAATCCTTTTGGGGATTGTCTTTATTCTTAGCAGTTCCTGGATAGACTTGACTTGAGCATAAATCATTAGTTAGTTCTGATTATGAACAAACTGACTAATTCGATCTTATCCGATCGACTTGTGCCAGTCTACCTAATGATCGATCTCGATCTATGAGGTGTAGCCCAAGGTACGCTGTATGTACTCTCAACATCTCTGCTGTACAACATCATGCCAGTACTTAGTAGGTACGCAGTAAGTCCTATGCTCGTACTGAATCAGTCCTCTCCTTACATAGACAGCTCATACCCATCCCATCCTACCTAACATACTTCTACACACAGTCGGCCCTCCTCCGATCAGCGGGTCGCTCCCTACCCCAATGGCCCATCAACCTCCCCCGCATGTCACCGCGTGATACTGACTGACTGACCGCTCCCATTCCATTGTCCGGAGCACTCCCCTCCGTCAACTGGAAGATCGTGAATTGGTCATTCCAGGGAGACGCTCGATTCTCCCTCTGTGGTGGCATTCGTCTTACATGCAGCTTCTCACGGTGCAGTATCGCGAGGTTCGACTCTCGATGCTCCCAAGATAGGCGTCACGAATGACCACAGAAGCCAACATGGCTTCGGAAAGGGATCACGTCCCGAAGGGCGGCTTCGCCTTGATATTCCAGAACCCCTATCTTCTAGGTGTGGCGTCGGTACGTGCCGTATCCAGAGACAGCCTTACATATAAACAATCTGACGACGGCAGTTCTCGACGCTCGGCGGCCTCCTCTTCGGCTATGATCAGGGCGTCGTGTCCGGCGTCATCACCATGGAATCCTTCGCCGCGCGCTTCCCTCGCGTGTACACCGACAGCAGCTTCAAGGGCTGGTTCGTGTCGACGCTGCTTCTCGGTATGTCCGCACCAGAACCACCGCTCAAGCATACCCCCAGCTGACATGACGACAGCCGCGTGGTTCGGCTCCCTCGTCTACGGCCCTGTCGTCGATCGACTCGGCCGCAAACGCTCCATCAACGTCGCTGTCGTCATCTTCGTCGTGGGCTCCGCCCTCCAATGCGCCGCCGTCTCCCTCCCCATGCTCTTCGTCGGTACGCCCGCGCCCCCTCGCCCCTGATGCCCGCTATACTAACTACAGCTACGCCAGGCCGCGCCATCGCCGGCCTCGCCGTCGGCCAGCTCACCATGGTCGTGCCGCTCTACATCTCCGAAGTCTCCATCCCGGACATCCGCGGCGGGCTCGTCGTGCTCCAGCAGCGTGCGTCCTGTCTTCCCCCCTCCCCCTGCCACTATGCTATCTAACTGTCTCCACAGTCTCCATCACAATCGGCATCCTGATCAGCTACTGGATCGACTACGGCGCAAACTACATCGGCGGCCCCCGCTGCGCCCCGCAAACCCCCTACACCGGCGGCGACCCCGCCGCCCCCTCCTTCGACCCCTACCACGACGTGCCCCCCGGCGGCTGCACCGCCCAGTCCGAGGCCTCCTGGCGCCTCCCGCTGGCCATCCAGATCGTCCCCGCCGTCGTGCTCGGCGCGGGCATGCTGTTCTTCCCGGATACGCCGCGCTGGCTGCTCATGCGCGGGCGGCCGGGTGAGGCGCGACAGGCGCTGGCGCGGTTGCGGCGATGCCAGCTAGACAGCCCCGGTCTTGTGCGGGAGTTTTTGGAGATCAAGGCCGCGGTGGTGCTGGAGGAGGGGTTTGCGAAAGAGAGGTTTCCCGGGTTGGTGGGGGTGCGGTTGGATGTTGCGCAGGTAGATACCACCACCTTCTTCTTACTTCGTTGTGTGGGTATGGCTGGATGACGTGGGACGGGCTAACCGGCTGCGTAGTATGTGTCGCTTGTGACGACGTGGGCGCGTTTCAGGCGTCTTGCGATCGGCTGCGCGGTTATGTTCTTCCAGCAGTTTATGGGGTGTAATGGTGTGTTTTTGGTTTGACACGCTGTTTCTGTGTGTAGGGCATGGCTGACGGTGTGCAGCGATGATCTACTACGCGCCTACGATCTTCAGCCAGCTCGGTCTGGACGGGAATACGGTTGGTGATGTCTTCTTGTCAATGAGATGCCCACTTCTAACGCATGATAGACCTCCCTCCTGGCCACCGGCGTCTACGGCATCGTCAACTGTCTCAGCACGCTGCCGGCACTGTTCCTCATCGACAAGGTCGGCCGGCGCCCGCTGCTCATGTCCGGCGCCGTTGGGACCTGTGTTTCTCTGGTCATTGTGGGCGCCATCATTGGCGCGTTCGGGTCGGATCTGGTCAACCACCAGTCCGCCGGGTGGGCGGGCATCGCCTTTATCTACATCTACGATATTAACTTTTCGTATTCCTTCGGTGAGTGGCACATTGGGGAGTACTACTAGATTGGAACGTGGTCTGCTAACTACTCAGCTCCCATCGGCTGGGTCCTCCCGTCGGAGATCTTCAATCTGTCCATCCGCTCCAAGGCCATCTCCATCACCACGTCGGCGACGTGGTGGTGCAATTTGTAAGTCCTCTGCGATAGCTTTTGCAGTTTTGTACTTCATCCTAATAGTTGTAGTGTCATCGGTCTGATCACCCCCGATATGCTCGACTCCATCACCTGGGGAACGTATATCTTCTTCGCCGCCTTCTGTCTCCTGGCGCTGGCGTTTACTTTCTTCTGTATCCCGGAGACACGGGGAAAGGTTCGTGCCCTGTCCCTTGCTACGTCCGTGATCGTAAATGCTGACCCAGCAGACTCTGGAGGACATGGACCTGATCTTCGGCGACACCGCCGCGCACGAGGAGAAACAGCGCATCGTGCAGATCGAGGCCGAGCTCCGCCAGACGGCATCCGGAGATGCAGATGATCTGCCGAAACCCTCTGTCCGAGAGGAGGAGCACGTCTGACGTGCCCTCTCCCTGGTTATTTCAATAAACCGAAGAACTATGGAGTGGAAAACTCTGCCCTCTGTTTCTGATTCCCGTCTCTACAGCACAACCTGCCTTCCTCTGAGCGGCCGTTGTACAGTATACATCCTGTAGGTCCTCCATATTAATGGAACTCGTTTGTCGGCGTGAAGTTTACCCATTCGGAGAAGTCCATTCCCCCTAGATTCAGTTCTTGGTCGACGTCCGGGAACATGCTGGCGAAGGAGGGGTTGTTGAGAAGCTGGTCGGAGAATTGCATCAGCATCGGAGGCTGGCCGACGACCCCGTCGGCGATGGAGCTCGTGTACGCCGGCGAGCAGAGCCGGTTGACCACCTCCAGGCAGCGGGTGGCGAATCGGTTGCTGATGAGCGACGGGTGCATCAGCAGGTTCTTTGTCGTTTCGACGTCTTGCAGCCAGCCGGGAGCCTCCGGGCTGGTCGGGTCGGTCATAAGCAGGATGATGGGGATTAGGCCTGCCTGGAAGAGGAAGTATCTGCATATGGTCAGTTTGGTCATTTTACCCTTCCGGAAGGGTGACACGTACAGCATGTACCATGCGCCGATTCGAGTACAGATGTGGTTGTTGACGAAATCTGTGATCGATGAGAGGGTCAGTCGGGCATTGCGCAGGCAGAGCCGTCGGCAGTCGGCCTCGAGAGGATCTTCATGATCCGGAGAGGAGCCGGTGGTCGGTGTCCACCTTCGAGAGGCCCAGCGGAGAAGGATAGGCCTGTACAGCAGGATTCGCAAGTTCCAGTCTCGCCACATGAGTCGGTTACGGACGAGGGCGAAGGGATCCGACTCGGAGGTCGGCGGTGGAGTCTTGAAGTAGTCCGGAAGATTGTTGTACCATTCTTCCATGGGCTTCTGGAGACTGAGTGTCTCTTCTGGCGTCAGGCTCGGGGTGGAGATCAGGCGTTGATAAACGCTGTTGGTGAGTAGATGGAACTTTGCCTGCGCGATCATGCCGGAGTAAATGGTCGGCCCGTTGACCTCGGGAGGCAGGGTGGTTGTGGTTGCAGTGAGGGCATCATCGTGAATATTGAGCACCTGCTTCGAGTCCATGACGCTGTCCTCTGGCAGGAGAATCGGCCGGCCGAATGTCTTTGCGGCGCCACTATCGAAGATATACACGCCCCACCACAGTCTTCTGCGGATCTCGCGCTGCAAAAGGCTGATTTTCCAGCCTGGAAATTCTTTATGCAGACCGAGACTCATGGCCATTCGAACGGCCAGACCTAAGAAATTCCAGCCAGTGTTCGGCTTGTTTCGTTTCTGAGCATAGTTGCTGAGCAGCAGCAATGCCTGAACCAGTGTGAGGTTTCCGGTCTCGAATACGGACACCCGCTGCAGATGCCCTCGGGCTTCTTGATAAAACGTGATATCGATGTCCGAGCTATCATCGCCTATACTCCAAGCACCCAGAGCCAAGACGGTGTTGAGCAGAATCTGCCACACCTGGTTGTTGTGGTGGGGGGCCTGCTTATAAAACTGCGCTCGGAATGTGCCTTCGTGGATGAAGGGGTAACTAGTGTGGTAGTTGAGGAAGAAAGCGTCCATGAAGGTCTGCTCGACCAAGCCGGATGGAGCCGAATTCAGGAGCTGCGACTTTAACGGGACACCCTCAGGTCCCAAGTGTCTCGTCTGGTCGGGGAAATTGAGATCAAATCCATGCTTATATAAAGCTCGAAGTGGCACAACACTCGACGATGCTCCTATGAGATTTATTAGACGCGAACCGTTGCCACGTGGGATTAGACGAACCGAAATATCCCGTTCCCTCCGGCTTGATCGACAAGGCTGCCATGCCGTCGGTCAGATCACCGACGGTGATTTTGTTTTCGGTCCAGTCAAAGCCATCTGCCTGCTGCGGAAGTGCCTCCGGAGCGGGTTCGGTGCGATCGGGGTCCACCTTGGCTGGAGTCGAGTGCCGAGAAGACGACTTGGACGAGGATGGCTTGGGGCCATCCTGGTCATGCAGAAGCGAACGAACGGTTGCGTCCAAATCACCTCCGGGAAACAGTCTACTCAGGGCAGTCTCGAAAGCCTGCAGACGGTCTTCCACATACGTGAGATGCCTGGGATGGAGTATTAACGCGGGTCCCCGGAGGGATGGTGTCGACTGGCGGGCACCGGACGAGTTCAAGCCATTAATACTTACTGTCGCGTTAGCGGACTGCGGGTGATTTTGGGGCTATAATTGCATTCTTTGTTCAGCTGTTTGCACTGGGCGCAGGTTGGTCTCTCTTTGGAGCACTGGGATGATGTGTCAGTTCGAGGGGCAGCTGGCGGGGTAAGTAAGGGTGGCTGACCTTGGACTTTCGCAGACGACACTCGTCGCACTGCAACATCGGGTGGGTTAGCGAGTTTGCGCATTGTCTACGAGGAGATCTCAACTCAGAGAGATACTGAAAGGAGACTCACAGCGTAAGAGTGAGAGTCTCGCGTACTGGCCATTTTGCATGAAGCGGTCCGTGTTATGTCTTTTGGTAAACAGAACCTGGTGCGCCTTGACAGTCACACAACACAGATCTCATCTGGAGATGGGTCAGCGATGACTCGAAAGATGCGATGCGATGCGATATAAATGACAGTCCTTCGGACAATGCGGGATTCATGAACATGGGGTATGCGCATCGAGATGTTACTGGGCTATGGCGATGAACAAAAGAGGGGAAATGAAAAGGGTACTGGACTAGGGGAAGACCAGTGCAGTATGATCAAGGATATGCACGTAAAAGCCATATTTATTGAATAATAATGAAACATTGGATGGTAGAAGCAAAGAGGCACTAGACGGAGGAGGGACTGTGGGGTACTCCTGATAAAAAGGGACGCAAAAAAGGATTTAAAAAAGGTACTGGAAAAGGAACCACTCACGATCGGCATAGGGGAGATGCGGTCAATAGTCCATCATCCTCCGGGAGGGAGTATCAGACACGACAGAAGACAGGGAGAAGGAAGAGTAAAAGAGATAGAAAGAGAGAGAGAGAGAGAGTTGGGGATTGTACAGCAGAATAATGATAGAGGAGGAGAGGGGAGAAGAGAAAGTTTACCTAAGACGGTCGGCTGAAGACTGCCGCATCCCAGGCACATGGTTGGTTGCTTTGGTTCGTGTGGGGTACCTCTCGGTCATGTGATGTCCATCTACACTGGTACTCATACAGACAGTTAGTCAGTTACTATGGAGTATCTAGCGAGGTATTCATTATTCCCGTAGATCCGACCTTACTACACATTTTTCATTCGTCTCAGCTGTGGCATTCACTGGTCTCACGATACCGAGGACCGCGGGGTGACTCTGAGTCCGTTCAGCCGTGCTGGTGGTCACTTGTCTACCTCGTTGGTCTTTGCCATATAGATCACCGACACAGAATCGCATACAGTAGACACTAAGGACAGGAATAAACGTCTACCGTACTCTGTCTTTAGCATGTGCTGGATGGGAATGCGATGCGAGGTCGATCATCATCACGTGATCTATAGTTGCGCTGGAGGATATCAAGCGCCCAACTTGCAATTCGTAATGACTTCGAAGGGAATACCTGGTAGTATGATAGGTAGGCATATTGCTGCCTTCTAGGGGCAACTCGCAAGAAACGACTTGTTCTAGACATTACATCTGGTCCTCCACAGCCTTCTAAATACCAAAGATGCAGAAGTATATATATGTTACAACAACACCACACACCTCTGCACATAATTATCCTTTTGCACACGATCTATAAACAACACCTTTACTGCTATATTTAAACAACCTCCCATTCTCTACATCATGATCCCCCTTTAGAGCGCACCGCCAGAACATAGATGATATGATCTACAGTATTTCCTGTTGAGTCTTGGCGTGGAATTCCACCCCACCAATGATCCCGACCATCACAACTTTTTTTGCGATACAACGTCATCCCCTCACTCCCCCAACGGAGTACAAGTCTAAGTACTTACAACAGCATCCCACTGCAATACGACACCAACCAGCCCAGCCCAATACGCGGGCACAACCTCAACCATGCCCACCCAACCGCCCCTCCCGCCCCTCCTCACACCATACATCTCGTCGCTCTCCCCCTCGTCCCTCACCGTGGTCTCCTCCGTGCTAGGCGCAACCGGGAACTGGCTGATCCTGCGATATCTCCATGCCGCCCTCAGCACATCGTCCGACCCGCACGTGGGCCAATTCACCGACGGCGACGCCGCAAAGAAGCGGAAAGTCGTGCTGGTGAGTTTTCTGCGGGGATGGGAATTCTGGAGGTCCGAAGCGAAGAGACTGGTACGTTACGCCCAGTCCTACACGAGTCGTGGGGACTTTTTTTTTCATGAAATTCTTGCACTCCTTATTTGCATCTACAATGCATTAACCACCCGCAGGGCCTGGATCTCGCCCGTCTCACAGATAAGCGCCAGTTCGCCTTCGTCGACGGCCTGTCCGAACTTTTCTCCCCGCCAGCCGCAACGCCCTCGTCTCCCTCCCCCGCCCAACCTACACATACCGCTACTGTTCCCGCCCGGACCGTCCTCCCCGTCCGATCTCAGCCCGGGCCCATCCCAGCACGAGGGCCGCAGCCCGCGCCAGCACGGCCCAGCAATCCGACCCCAAGCCCGTCCCCGGCCCAGACGACGACAGTGACGAGAGAAATTGGCCCAGTCAAACGCCTCCACCTCACAGGAACCGGAACGGCAGCGCTAGACGCCCTCGAGCGGGACATCGTCGTCACCATCCAGCAGCTGAAGACTGCGACGACGGCTGCGGCCACCGAGACGGACGAGGTCCTTCTGATCGTGGACCAGCCGGATCTGCTCCTCGCCGCCACGGGGCCGAGTAAGGGCATTGGCGCGACGGAGATGGGAGAGTGGATGATGGGATTACAACAGGTACGTTTACATCGAGATTGGCTTGTACTTTACTGACGTACGGTTGTTTGACTGGCAGAATGCGTATGCGACGGTGTTAACCCTGTCGGCGGATTCGCCGCTAATACACAACGCGTCTGCGTCTGCGTCGCTGCCGCCGACGCCGCTGGAGACGGAGCATGCGGCGTTTGCGGTTGGGTCGGCGCACCGGGCGCAGATGGTCATGCAGCTGCGCAATCTGGAGACTGGGGCCGCGCGGGATGTCAGTGGTGTGCTACGGGTCAGTAAAGGAGGCGCATGGGGCCAGCATCATGGGGACGAGGAGGGCCACTGGGAGGAGAAAGAGGTCTTGTACTTTGTGCAGAGGGACGGAGGGGTGAGGGTATTTGGGAGAGGGGAGTAAATGTGCCTCGGGACGGTCTGTATCGAGTGTGTACATAGAATAGACGGTCGAATAGAAGGTCCTTGGATGTTGCACGTTCGGAAACTGGATGGATTCAGGTAGACAGATCACATTGAAAGGGATATCTCAATCGCGTGTCTGTCCAAACATGGGATATTCGCCAGCCATAAACAAGAAAAGGAAATTCATGCATTGCTTTCCCTGTAGATCTTTTTTCCCTTTCGAAAACCCCACGAAATTCTTCCGTCTTCCATTCGTTTGTCGTCGATATTTTTTCTCTAAAAAAACAGGATATGACGGCAAGAAACAGACAGACAGAAGAGTCCCAACACCAACTCCACGGGAAAGCGTTCTTTTTTTGAGCGCCTCGCACTGAAACCGTAACTCATTTCATATGCCAGGCCTTTGTCATACCAGCCCTCTCCAGCTTCCGAGAACGAGAAACAAAGGATGCGACGTCGGGATTAGATTTAGTGGTTCTCGGGACCACGGGCGCCCTTGGGAGTGCCGACCTGGAAGCCGTTCTGGAAGCGACGGTGGACTTCCTTGAGGTGGCGCATTCTGCCGGAACCGGTGGTCTTGCGACGCTTGGCCTTCTCGCTCCAGTTGACTGTTCGGATAGAAAAGTTCTCGTAAGCAGCAGTTTCCAGAAGGGTAGAGGTGTAACCGGCCCCCCGGTCATGACCAATGTTGAACCAAGCCCATCATCGACCATCACCCGGGGACACACGGCACACAAGACACAGAAAATCATGGATCGCAGGGCAGGGAGCTCGTACACTTGCGGGTCTTAGCGGAGGGGTAACCGCAGTTGGCGCAGGTCGACTTCTGGATGTGGAAGGAGCGGCGGCCTGAACAGTCGAAAATTTCACCACAGGTTAGCCCATCTGAACAGCCCATATGCATCCCAATCCCCATCCGACTGCTTCTCGTTTATTATCCCGTATAGGAGATCCGCAACGATGCTCGCCGGGGGTTGGGATCATCTCGGAGAAAAGTGTAATACTGACCACAACGCCGGCACAGGGTGTGAGTCTTGTTGTGGCGCTTGCCGAAGCTGGAGGTACCCTTCGCTGTAATCGGTGTCAGTCCGGATGATTCTCACGGTATATCGGGTCGTCTTTGTTTCTCGATGGCGAGGGAGACTGAGGGTAGGCTGGGATATCGAATTTGCACGTACTCATCTTGGATTATGGAACTGCAGGAAACAATCACGACAATGGTCAGCGAAATTATTCGGTCATGAAAGAACACGCGACAGCATATCGCATCCACTGGTCACTTACCTGGCGATTCCGCTGAAGGGCTGGTTGTCGTTGTCGTCGTCGCTGGGCGTATCGAAAGTGTCGCGCTGGGATCTGGGGGGCCCGGGTCGCTAAGCGAGTTGTGGTGCTATCCAGGGCTTGTGCCCTGTCCCGTGACCGCCACCTCAGGGCTGTGTCACATGACCTGGATCCACCATCTAGCTCATTTCGGGAAACAATCTAGAAGAACGTCTACTTGCATCATCTCATGCTGTTATAGATGCACCTGGAATTCCGAATGCACTTTTTAACATGACCGAAATCATAGAATATATGTACACGTCAACAGGGTATTTGAATCAACACCGCCAAACGCCCCAATGAAAAGCGGAAACCCATCGCTCAAAGGTCCTTCCCGATAAATGCAGCCATTGGATCGTCTGCAGCAAGACGACTTCGCTTATACGATTCCAACTCTTCCTCTGAAATGCCAGATTGGACCTCCAACAGCGTACGCTTCTTGGGTCTCGTTGTGGACTCATCTTGGCGACTGCCGTTCTCAGCCTGCGTATCGTGCTCATTACTCGACTCGCCATTTTCAACCTCAGCAGCGGCTTCCTCCTTCTCATCACTCTCAGGTAGCATGAGCATTTTGTCCGCTTCCTCAAACGCCTTCTTTCCGTCTTCTCCCGTGCAATAGCTGTTCTTCACCGTCGAATAGCAGCAAGCGTAGCCCCATTCAAAATTGTGCCACCAACTTCCCCACACCGTCGTATGGTTGTTGGTCAACACGTCCTCGGGATATTTCGATTTGGCGGCCTTCTTGGGCGCACCCTTGATGGCTCCAGTTTCGTCGTACTCCACGAACCGCTCGTTTTCTGTAACCATCGTTTCCCGTAGCGGAGTGGGCGCAAGATGCTCGGAGCCACCATACTTCTCCAACAATGCTTTCTTGTGCGCTTCACGCTTGGCCACACTTTCCTGCTCTTCCTTCTTTCGTAGAATTTCCCCGGACGTAGGATTGGCTTGCAGATGGATCTTCTGGGACCCGCGTTCCTGAGCCTCCCAGGCATATCGCTGCGCCCTTTCGAATTCCGCAGCATCGCCAGACGCGCGCACAAAGTTCTCCTCGGCAACGAGTGCAGCGGCCTGATCCTCCTGCGCTCCCATGTCGACCATTCGTCGGGTCTTGGGATCGTATTTTGCCGAGTCAAGATCGAGGTTCAGGAGATATTTTGCCGTGTCTTCTCGAATACGAAGGTTGCGGGTGGCCGTGCTCTGTTGTCTTCCCATGTCGGATTCCTCGGCGTACCGGGCCTCTTCTTTCGGAGCATCTTCATCATCCAACTCGCCATCCGCGATCTTCTCCTGCTCGGCGTCTTGTTTCGTCGCTCGTTTTAACTTCTCCAGCTCCTCGTATTCCTCCACTACCTGGCGATACTCGCTGGGATCGTAGCCGTTCCACCGATCTCGTTTCGCATCCCACCCAAGGTCTACCGTCTGCACAACCTCATCGGCCTGGATATCTTTGCCGGTCCATTTGGCGCCATGCTTCCGTGGCCGACTGAGACATTCCTTTGTTTTGTGGGTCATCGCACCGCAGTTTTCGCAGGCGCCTTTGCGGTATTTGGTGGCCGCCGGGCCGGCGCGCTTGCCACGCTCATACCATTTGGACTGATCGGACGAGGCTTGCTTTTGGAGACGTTGATGCTCGAGATAATCGTTCGCGGATTCGTCGTCCGGAACATAGAATGGCTTTTTCGAGATGAACGACGGGATGTATTCGTTGCGCTCTTTCGACGCCACATCGGCCGGTTTCCGTGACATCGTGATTAGATTGTGGCTGGTTGTAGAAAAACAACCAGGTGAATATTATAAACGAGGTTTCTCCGTTTCGAACGCGATCTCAATCAACGACCTGCGCTGTTGCGGAACTGGTGAGGCGGAGCTTGACGAAGAAGATCGGGGGCGCGATAGGCTCACGGGCACGTGACTTGGCGTTTATCCGTGCCCCGAAGCGCGTGCCTCTTTGTGGTTCCTGCACGTCATGTTCCCTGTCGCCAGCAATGATACCATACGATAATGGCGCGACTCGAAGAATAATCTATTGAGTGAAATGAGAGCTCAGTTTCAGTCTGGCCATGTCGATGACAGCGTTGGCTGTTTCGAACTCGCCCGATGGAGCCCTTCCAAGTGCGCCTCAATTGCGTGGATCACTACCAAACAACCCCAACCGAGTTTGATCCTCCTCTCCCCTACAGGGATGGCGCGGCCGGAAAATATGACAGGCCCAAAGTCCCAGTCATCCGAATATTCGGCGCGACTGAGACCGGCCAGAAAGTTTGTGTGCATGTACACGGCGCGTTTCCGTATCTCTACGTCCAATATGACGGGAGCTTACAACCGGAAGATGGTTCGTCCAGGCCCTTTACTTTTCTTTTTGTGAGTTGCGCATAACGGCCGATACTGATACCGATGCACTACAGTCCGCTCCGCCATAAGGAGTCTGCACCACTCTATTGATCATGCACTTGCGGCGAGCTATCGTCGCAATGCGTATGATAAAAGAGCTGTTTATGTCGCCCATATCACGCTGGTAAAGGGTGTCCCCTTTTACGGCTACCATGTGGGATACCGGTTCTTCTTCAAGATCTACCTCCTCAGCCCGCTTTACACGACGAGATTGGCCGACCTGCTCATCCAGGGCGCTGTTCTCAAGCGACCTCTGCAGCCGTACGAAAGCCATCTCCAGTATGTACCCCAGTGGATGTGCGATTATAGTTTGTATGGGTGCGCATATATGAAATGCGGCAAGGTCAAGTTCCGGTCACCAGTCCCGGAGTGGCTGGAGCTGAATGATTTATCCCACCACTGGCATGATCGATCGATATCGCCGGATTGCATTTCGGATGAGTCGGCTCTCCCGAAGCAAAGCCACTGCCCGCTCGAAGTGGACATCTGCGTCCAAGACATATTGAACCGCCTAGAAATTAAGGAACGACCGATTCACCACGATTTTACCGAGTTTCTCCACCCTGTATCGGTCAATGAGCGGCTCGTCCCAAGCATGGCTGGATTGTGGCAAGATGAAACTCGCCGGCGCAAGAAACGTCTCGGACTTAATGACCCGGAAAGCAGCCCGTTTGGCCCTGAAGATCTGGTCTCGCTCTCGGCTGACCCGCGGAGTTCTACAAAGGGTGGTTGGATCCATGAGGAGGAGTACCTTCAGATGGCTGCGGAAATTGCTGCCGAGGAGAGACGTCAATTTGACGGGAGAGACAGAACAGTGGAGAACTTTTTGCCCGAGAATCCGTTTGAGCAACACATCAAGACAGCGCTGGAGAGTGTCGAGGATTTCTACCTCGGTACACAGGAGACCAACCCCCAGGTCCACCAGGAACAGCTTCTGGATAACCCCGAATACGAAGGCGGACATGAAGAGAACGCAGATTGGGCGTTCGCAAGTGATGGCTCTTACAATTCGGATGATGCTAATGTTGCTGATCTCTTTGCCGACGAAGAGAGCGAGGGTGGCTACACCGATGTTGCGGATGATGAAATGGTTCTGCTGGATTTGCCGTCCCAAAACGATGACCTGCTGGGCATTTCGGACAGGTTGAAGTACTTGAACTCACCGGAGAACATAAAGAAGGATATTCGCAAAGCAAAACGCACCCTTCAAAGCCCGCAGACCATAAATCAACAGACACCGGCAAAGAGGAGGAAGTACTTTGATGATGACGTCTCGCAAAGCGCGGCTAAGCAGCCCCGAGATTTCACTAGTTACGTTGGAATTTCGAAAGGTGCCAACACTGAAAATAAGGCTGATAGTGGTCCTACTGCGCACTACGTGGAACCTTCCTCGCAGGGGAGGCCTCCAGCGTCTCAGTCAAATCTTCACTCTGCGTCGAGCAGCCAGAAACAGAACAGCCGACTCAATTTCCCTGTTGTGAAAAACCCAAATGATCCCTTGACAATCCAGCGTTACAGCCAGGAAGGTGGCTCTTTCAAGGCAACCCAGGATATCATAGAGAACAAGGCGCTTACCGAGCCAAGCTCAGGCTCTGGCGAACATAAAGGTGATGTCAGTTCATCATTGCAGTCATCCTTCGAAGCCAGCTTGAGTGAAGTGAATCCGTTTCTGCTGGAACTAGCCCCAATGATCCATAACAAATTCGCCATCCCACCAAGCAGACCGGTGTTGTGTTGGCGACCGCCTTGCCCTAGCCAGAACGAGGTCACTTCGACTCTTGGCGACTATGGCTACCCATCTGTTATATACCAGAAAGCTCATTACAGCAACGAGGATGACGTGCCAGATCGATCACGCGATTACGGGGGAAGGGAGTTTCGACTTGAAGGGAGTGGAATCCATTATCTACCGGACTTCGATCCGTCTGGACGCTCATTGGCCATGACGGGCGAACAAGGCCCAACATCAAGAGATAAGCAAGAGCAAGAGAAGACTGACAAGCGCCTGAGAGAGCTTTCTACCAGTAAAGTCTGGGAATTTGCCCCAGTGCCCCCGACTCGCTCCGAGGTTATAGAGTGGTTGGAATCCGAACAAAGAGCTGTGCATACTGCGCAATCCAAAGGAATCCAGCAGGAGCCCAAAACGAAACCCAATATCCTGTCGCAGATCGAAGGCCCCACGCAAAAGAATGAATACGGATTTAAATATTCTCAAAAAAGCAAGTCAACTAGCGTCGAACATCACACACAGTATATGAGCTCGATGAGCCTCGAAGTCCATGTCAACACACGTGGTGTTCTGTCGCCAAACCCAGACGAGGATGAAATTACTTGTCTGTTTTGGTGTATTCAATCGGAGGACGACTCTGTGGACGTGAATAGCTACCTTCCGGGTACTCATGTGGGACTGATCTTCCAGGGCGACGGCAACAGGCCGGAGGAGAAGCTGTCCAAAGCTCTCAAGATTTCTATGGAGCACGAGTCCACGGAGCTCGAGCTGATCAATCGACTCATTGATATCGTCCGGTATCATGACCCCGATATCATCACCGGATATGAAGTCCACAACGGTTCATGGGGCTATGTGATTGAGCGAGCCCGCAAGAAATACGACTTCGACCTCTGCGAAGAGCTAGCAAGGGTCAAGTCACAGTCGCATGGCCGGTTCGGCAAAGATGCGGACAGATGGGGGTTCACCCACACTTCTTCCATTCGTGTGACTGGGCGTCATATGATCAACATCTGGCGAGCCATGCAGAACGAGCTGAACCTGCTTCAATACACTATGGAGAATGTGGTGTTCCACTTGCTGCATCGACGGATCCCTCATTACTCATTCCGCGACCTCACAGAATGGTATCAGAGCGGCAAACCTCGCAACCTCCTCAAGGTCATCGACTATTTCGTCTCCCGTGTGCAAATGGATCTCGAGATCATCGATGCAAACGAACTGATCCCCAGGACCAGCGAACAAGCGAGACTCCTGGGGGTCGACTTCTATTCCGTCTTTGCCAGGGGATCTCAGTTCAAGGTTGAATCGCTCATGTTTCGTATTGCCAAACCGGAGAATTTCCTTCTAGTCTCACCAAGCAGAAAGCAAGTCGGCCAGCAGAACGCCCTCGAATGTCTTCCCCTAGTCATGGAGCCGCAGAGCGACTTCTACACCAGCCCGCTTTTGGTGCTCGATTTCCAGTCTCTATACCCTAGCATCATGATTGCCTACAACTACTGCTATTCCACGTTCCTAGGGCGAGCACGCCAATGGCGAGGCAGAGACAAAATGGGATTTACCGACTACGCCAGACAGCCTGGACTGCTAGATCTGTTCAAAGACAAGATCAATGTCGCGCCCAACGGCATGATCTACGCAAAACCGGAAGTGCGGAAATCGCTCCTCGCGAAAATGCTATCCGAGATTCTAGAGACCCGTGTAATGGTCAAGACGGGAATGAAAATGGACAAAGACGATAAGATGCTCCAGCGTCTCCTCAACAACCGACAGCTCGCGCTCAAGCTCATCGCCAACGTTACCTACGGCTACACCTCCGCCTCATTCTCTGGACGCATGCCCTGCGCCGAAATTGCCGACAGCATCGTGCAGTCAGGCCGCGAGACCCTCGAAAAGGCCATTGCCCTGATCCACTCCGTGGAACGCTGGGGCGCAGAGGTCGTCTATGGCGACACCGACAGCCTCTTTGTCTACCTCAAGGGGCGCACGCGGAACGAGGCGTTCGACATCGGCGAGGAGATCGCCAAAGCCGTGACCGGCATCAACCCGCACCCGGTCAAGCTCAAGTTCGAAAAGGTCTATCACCCGTGCGTCCTGCTCGCCAAAAAGCGCTACGTCGGGTTCAAGTACGAGCACCGCGATCAGAAGGAGCCCGAATTCGACGCAAAGGGCATCGAAACCGTCCGCCGCGACGGCACCCCGGCCGAGCAGAAAATCGAAGAAAAAGCCCTCAAGCTGCTCTTCCGCACCGCAGACCTCAGCCAAGTCAAGCGCTACTTCCAGGCGCAATGCACCAAGATACTGCAGGGCAACGTCTCCATCCAGGACTTCTGCTTCGCCCGCGAGGTCCGCCTCGGCACCTACAGCGAGCGAGGCCTGCCCCCGCCCGGCGCCCTGATCAGCACCAAGAAGATGCTCGAAGACCCGCGCGCGGAGCCGCAGTACGGCGAGCGCGTCCCCTACGTTGTCGTCACGGGGGCGCCGGGCTCGCGCCTCATCGATCGCTGCGTGCCGCCCGAAACCCTCCTCCACGACGCGCAGCTGGACCTCGACGCGGAATACTACATCACGAAAAACCTCATTCCCCCGCTGGAGCGGATTTTCAATCTCGTCGGCGCCAACGTGCGCCAGTGGTACGACGAGATGCCCAAAGTGCAGCGGATCCGTCGCGTCGAAGGCACCGCATCGTCGTCGGCCACAGGCAGGGATATGCGCAAGACGCTCGAATCCTACATGAAGGCGTCGGCTTGTATTGTCTGCCGGACTAAGTTGACAGACACTGACGTTCCGGTGTGCGCGGAGTGCATGCAGCAGTCGCATGTTTCGCTGCTTGATCTTGTCAACCGGCAGCGACAGGCGGAGAAGAGAGTGATAGATTTGCAGCGTGTGTGTCGGTCATGCATGGGCGCTGCCTTTGGTGACGAGGTCAAATGCGATAGCAAGGATTGTCCCGTGTTCTACTCTCGAACGAGACATATGGCTAATTGGCGGCATACTAACGCCGTGTTGGATCCTGTGGTCAAACTCCTGCAAGAAAGGAGTGATCGCGAGTTGGAATGGTAGGCTATGGGTATGGTTTGACATGATTTACGATGGGATAGGCACACGGAGGACATTGGTGTTTATTGGTCTTTTGGGGGTAATGGTTTTGGCTGGAACATGATACCACTGAATTGCTACTAATTGAATAAACTGTCTGCATAATACACGAGCATTGTTATATGCGAAGGAATACATGATGCATTGAAGTGTCGTGAACGTCAGCAGGGAAGAAATCCCTCGCGTTTATTCCATCCCGAGTAGATCATAGAGCCTGTCAAGAGCGCTCGGCTCAACGTCAGTCTCGATGGGCTCAGTGGTTGCAGTGTGTCCGTGATCCTCCTTGTTCGGTGTATTGTCCATCTCTCCCCGAGATTCCTTGTTTCCACCGTCGGTCTTCGCGAGTTTGACTGGCGGATTGTGGCCACCGTGGTCCTCCGGTGCGTTGATATTGTTCTTCTTGATGTTCTCCTTGTTTGGCTCAACGTCAATTTCCACGAGTTGAACAGCCATAGAATCTCCGTGTTTTCCCTTCGATTCTTCGCCCGGCGCAACCGTAGATATCTTGGTCTCAGGGCATGATCCAATGTCAACCTCTACGAGCTCAACAGGAGCTGTGGAGGGCTCATGGCTTTTCTTTGCAGAGTCGTGGGCCGTTTCATCCACCGAGTCCTTGGCTCCAACTGGGCCCTGGCTGCCCTGCTGCACCTGATCATCGACATCTAGTAGGCTCATGCCCTCGTCAACGGTGGTATCGTGGACCTGACCACTGGCCAACGGGGACGAAACGGCGATGTTGGAAAGGCCAAAGTCGACGAGCTCATCAAGTGATTGGATAGATCCATTATCTTTACCCACGAGGACGTCTTTAAGGATCGCCTCACGGACAGTTGTCTGCGAGACTACTTCTTCCCCCTCGAACAGCCCAAAATGGTCTTCATACGGGACCGGCGAGGCGCCATCGTTGGGCTTCTTCTCCCTGTCTGTCGTTCCATTCTGACAATTTTCAGAGACGACTTGTTCAGGTTTCGGATCAACAGCCGCAGGCGCAGGCACAGGCTCTTCGTCATAGTATCCGGTAGCGATCTGTCCCAGAACACGTGGAAATATCCACGGAAAGCTGATCAGCGGCAGTTGATCCATCTTTGGGCCTGTTTTCTGGAAATTCTTCGCGTCCTCCGAGAATCCAGCGCGGTGCTTTTCCAGGGCCGCGTTCATTTCCTCATGCGTAATGCGGTACATTGCCAGAGCGAGGGGCGCCACGCGATCAAATCCACGGCCCCCGACTTTGTCGTAGCATTCCCGTTTAAAGCCTTCACGGAGGGAAGATGACAGCATGCCAATCTCCTCGTGGAATTTGTAGTCCTTGCTCATGTTGGCGTGGGACAAGACAAAGGTCGACCAGACTTCGAACTCGGTTTTGATCTCGTGCTGCGCCATGATTCGACGGAGCGCTATATCGTAGTCTTTCTTCATGTCTCTAGCGAACTGGTAGAGGTCTTCTGCGACCGGAATCCGGCTGTTCAGGATCCGCCTGTCAAAGGGCTTCTCTAGACTGGGGACAAAGTTGACCCGTTCCACGGCGTCATATAGCTGGCCTAGAATCTTCCCGGACTTGTACACTTTTTCGGTCTTTTTCTCCATGAAATGGGGCCAGAGTTTAGGTTCAAGGTTGCGTGTCATATGCGCCGGGGTTCCGTTCTTGTTGTAGTCAACCGCGTCTGAGTGAAGTTGGGCCAGACGAATACATTTCTCCTCATCTACGCCGTTGTCGAGACGGTCTGCCCAGGCGAGGTGGGCGTGGGCGATGGTAGGGAGACAGTCATTCTTCATATATGTGACGAAGAATGAAGTGATCTCGTCCACTGTCACGTCGCGATCTAGGTCGCGGGCTTTGTTGGTCGTGTAGTTCATCGGGGGTCGGAACCAGTCCTTAGGGATCAGATCCTGATCCCAGATCACAACATAATCATCCCCGTCCAGGTCTCCGCCAGAGCACATGCTTGCAATGTCTCTGTCACCGGTTTGAGGTAGCACCACTACATCTTGGAGGTGGCGGAGGGCCGGGACGTCGACAGCCTTCACAACTCGGATGTCCCCAGAGTGAAGGGACGGATTGCGGGCGAGAATGCACATGCCCTGAATGACTTCGTACTTGCCTCCTTTATCTTGATTGGGAATCTGCAGGAAGATTTCGGGCAGAGCAGCAAATCGTTGCTCGAATGGGGCGTCCCTGTCCGGTATCTTCTCATGGAAGTAGCCTTTAAGAGTTCCGGTTTCATCCATGCAGCCAAAAACACAAGCCCCTTTGTCGATGGTAATTTTGGCCTTGTCCTTGAGATATTTGAGATGCCACGCTCTCCACAGCGTCAGCACGGATGTCGCAAAGGGCTCCTCTGTTCGTCTGAAACCATCAACTACCATTTGGCTAATGGTGAGAGTCCTCTGGTTGGGGTCAACGTATCTCCTGAGCAGATGGATAGCCTTTGCATCGTTCTTCAAGGCCTCGTTAAGTCCCCATAAGACGGCCCTGAGTTTCTCGTGGAAGATTCTATCCCGAATTCCAAGGGTCGACAGCACTATAATGAGCTGCCTGTTCAGACTTGCGGCGGTAAATTGAGACCACCGGATGATCTCGAGTCCGTTGTGAGTCGCAGTAAACTTAGCCTGGCTCTTTCTTATGTGGACCTCCTGACGCTGCGCTTGAGGAGAAACGGTTAGGATTCCCTTGCACCCCCCGAGGCGGAATTGGAAGACGGAGGGAGGTTCGCCACTGGGCGTTTTGATCTTCAGTTCGGACATCACCATTTGAGCGAGAAATTTCGAGATCCTCCCGACACCATCTGAGAACCTGTATCCATTGCGCACAATGTCATCAATCTCCTGTACTTTGATGGGACAGCCAAAGATTGCACGAGTGGTTGAAAAGCACTGTCCCAGCCTTGCGGCGTGCTTTGCAACGTTGCGAATGTCATCAAAGTGTCCCATCCAGGCCCGGATATTCGCAGCAGTGAGATTGGGCAGTGGAGCAAAGAAATAGGCGCCGTGCTCGCGGAACTGGGAGTTCCCAAACGCCAGGAACTCATAACGCCTGTCTCCGATGACGATACCGTTGGCCAGTGCTCTCTTGACACGAGTGAATACTTCGTCCATGGTGTTGTCAGTGGTCGAGTAGATACGCCCAAGCAGCTTCTCATCTGTAAAGCGAACTCGGAGGAAACGATCAGCATACTCAATGTAGTGGCGGATTATGCGATTGGACATGTCCATTGATGGTGTCTCGTAGTACACCGTGCTTGGTGTCACCCGAGCCGAACGGATGTAGCAACAGTATGGAGGGATCTTTGCATTTGTGGCTCCTTTGATGAACTTCAAATCGAAAATTTTCATGGGATCATAATATACTCGCTTCTGGGTTGCCACGTGCTCCAGGAGCTTTGTCGCTTGTGTCTCCCCGAGTTCGGACAGCTTGACAGCGAACTCCCGGGTCATTGCATATTCGGAGAGGTACCCGTTGGAGATACAAACTTCAAGTTGATAGCGCACTGAGAACGGAAGATGGATGTAGTCATGATCTATAAGATCTACTAATGCCATGGAGGACTCTGCGGATGGGCGAGAATCTGTAGGATCAATCCACTGCCAGATCGGAGACGGTATCTGCTCGTCCTTATCCCAGAGAGTGAACCGATCGGTATGCTCAATCTTGATATTGTAGTCATTCAGAACGTCGCAAAGCAATGCGAAGTCTTTTGTCTTCGAGACCGTATTTGAGTACGTTATCCTGAGGGCGTTCCATCGGCCTGTCGCAGCGAAAGTTACAGTTAGTCAAATGTAGAAATAAACGCTAATGGAAGGACATACCGATATCGACAACTGGCTTGATCTTTTTCAGGCCGATTGGAAGGGAAGCGTGTTCGTGTGGGTTATGGACGATATGTGTCTGTCGGAACCAGGTGTCGGACTCTCTCCAGTTAAGATCGTCTATGAAGGTATTCTCGACGTTTTTAATCCGACGCTGGTAAATTGGAGGCGAATCCAGGAAGATGAAGTGCACTATGTCTCCGGACTTTGAATCCTGTGTCTGGAAAATCCGAGTGAGCTGGACCAAAGGGATTTTGAGTCGATACTCTTGTTTGACGACTTCCAACCTCTCCTTGCGCACATGAGAAATTGCAAGGTCGAAGTAGATCCATAAGGCCCTTCCCCTTAAATCGAGAATCAAAGGTCTGGGGTTGCTGAAATTGACTGAGCGCATAGGCAGCATTGTCGTCTCGCCGCACAGGACGCCGATCTCCATGCTGGAGATTGGCATTTTCTACAGTCAAAGACATGAGTACATAAGGCCTGACGGTCCAAGGTCTCTGGGGGAATTACCGATTCGGCAGGATATTGTATGTCACGAGGGGTTGGGCTGGGAACATGCGGATCCAAGCGGTTCTGGTCGAGCGCAACGGAGATGGTGAATTTACGGCCATCATGCAGGCTGATTTGATATGGTCTGTTCCAGAACTCCTTTTTAGGAGGTGGTCTACTCGCGGTTAGAAGTGTCGCCATGAGTTCGTATGAAACTTACTTGAATCGTATCCTGCCTTTTGACTCTCTGTTTCCCTGGGCATCCTCAAAGATATCGATTGAGTAAATATTCCCGTGCTCTTGGAATGCTGACCAGAGGATGAACGCGTTGATTTCTTCTGTGAGGTTTTTGACAGTGATCGCCAGTGAGTCCCAGAGCTTCCACGGAGCTATCACCTGGGACGATTGATTGAACGACGGTTGATGTCTTCTCGTGGCTGGAGGAGCGTTATATCCGGGGTTCCTCGCCATCCTCGCGGACTTTGACTGACGAGACTGATGACGAGAGGTTGGGAAAGAAGACGAGGAAGAAGAGTAAGATGAGAAGGTGGACGAGGAGGAAGATGGGTAGGGAGAAAGTGACGAGGAGTCTGGCGCCGATGATTGTTGGGGGAGACCAGGTCGACGACGGCGGCGACGAGGATGGCGGGATGTGAACGGGTGCGGGCGAGGAGTGAGGTGATTGACATGGACAGAATTTGATGACTTTCTGTTTCCTTTCACTTCACCAAGAAAGTGAGGGTGAATGTCCCTTTCACTTTGTGTTTGGCCCCCATAGGCTCTTCCTCTCACTTCCAACAATGGCACCCTGAGCTGACTTTCAATTGATGCGTCCTCCATCCTGACTAGACATCTACTTCCACTATCCTGGTCAATCCCGGACCACCATGGGTACTGAAGCAAAGAAGGTCAGTAGATACACACAGCTGGATATGAAAGTAAAGAGCCTATCGTATACAGACTAAAGTCTACGCAGGCATTGCGGAACCAAGCCTATATACCATATGTATAGATCAAATGTCCATGTATGTGAGTTCTAGCGCCCTGCAGGCATCCATGCTGAAAACAAAGCATCAAAAACGCTTTAGGAACAAAATATGTGGATACTGCTCCTAGTATAGATCACTGTTAGGGATCCGAGGGACAACTATACCAGATTACAAGTAAGAATAAGAATATTTACACTAGAAGAACTAAACATAACAGAAGGTGATAATTAAATAAGTCATATCTCATGTCGTGTGGAAGCCCATCAACGGCGAACCTCTGGAGGCACGTTGTTTGCTTCTGTTGCAGGCGTGCTGGTGAAAATAAAATCCTTCGAGAATTCCAAGTCCATATCCAAGTCGAGATCCTGGAAATGATTTTCCTCCCCAGTGCCATGGAACTGAGAAGCTGAAAAACTCTTGCACTGACTAGAAGCGGATTTCCTGCTTTCTTGCGTGCTGGGTTGACTGTTCTGGCTGTTCTGATCAGCTTCGCCCAGAATTCTGCGCTCTCGCCGATCTCTTCCGCCACCCGGACAAACAGAATTTCGTTTACGCTCAGGCACCTGAGATGATGGTGGTATCTTCTCCATGGGAAATGAATTGTCCCGGTGTCTTTTTGGGCTGCGTCTTCCAACGAAAGAGCCATCCGATTCAAAGGACATGTTCGCCAAGTCATCGCCGTCGGTTTGCGTGTATCCCGCTGACCGTGGTTGTTCCTGCGGCGTGGATTGCAGTGGTCCTGCAGTTGGCCTGGTCCGCGATTGTTTGTGCGACGGGTTCGACCTGGTAGGTTCAGTTTGAAACCCCATCACATTCATCAGTCGTCCGATATGCTGCTGTGCCTCGGAGAATTCTCGCGCTTTGGCTGCCCGCTCGTCTCGTAGGTGTTGAATCTGACAACATTAGTATGGGTCGTTCTCTCGCTTAGGTTCTTGTTCTCACCTTCTTTTCCAAGTATTGGATTCTCTTGTCCTTTGCCTGAAGCTCTTTAGTGGCACTGGCTGCGGCTGTCTGCATGGAGCACTGAAGGGAGGAGATTTCGTCGTTTCGCTTCGCACACTGCGTCCAAGATTAGAAAGACCTTGCCAATAAATGGATTAAAAGCGTACCTCTTCTTTGACTTCCCGAAGTTTCTCCCCGAATTGATTTTTGACCGTTTCCAGTTCCGTGTTGAGCTCACCTTCGGTCTTGCGGAGCGCAGATTTGAGGTTATCCGACGTTGTAATCTCTTCATTCAACTGCAGAGAAGCATTTAGTCTTCATAGCTCATCTCTAATCCCATATCACTCGACGCTTACCTTATTTTGTAGAATTTCCGCGCGAGCTTCCGTGTCGTCCTTGATTGCAAGCAAGCGCTCGATCTCTTCATCTTTCCGTACTAACGCTGCTTCCAGGTCCTCCGCTTGCTGCTTGACTTTGGCGACTTCCTGCGTCAAAGCATTCTTGTCCTCAAGAAGAGAAGACTTATCTTCCATCACGGCATCCAAAATTCGCCGTAGTTCCGCATTCATGCTCTCCTTCTCACGGACCACATCTTGCAGCCCCTCCAATTGATTCTCCTTCTCGGTCACGGCAGCAATCAGGTCCAGTTCCCTCGTCCTGGCCTTTTCTCGCTCGCTGTGCACAGAGTCCTGTGTTTCACGCCGTTGCTCTTCCAGCTCTTTCCGGGCTGCATCCAGACGCTCCGACAGCTCTTGAATTTGGCCCGAAGCGTTTTCTGCGTGGCCCTCGAGGTTGGCGATTTCCTGACGGAGAGCTGAGATGGTCCCAGTCGCCTCCTGCAGTCGTAGTTCCAGCTCGCGATTGAGCCGTTGTGTTTCGTCTGCCTTCTGTAAGGCTTTGTTCCGCTCTACTTCGACGGCTCGGAGCGGAGCTTCAATGTCACTGCACCGGTTTTCAAGATCGTAGCAGATTTCTTCAACCTTACGAATCATCTTCTCCTGCGATGCCTGCGTGTTGAACGCTAGGGTCTCTGCGAGCCCAGTGCGCCAGTCCTGTCTCGTGCTAGATGATTTCTCCAGCGTCCTTAGTGCAGGAAGCGACTCACGGAGCATCATTGGTTGAATCTGAGAGAATGCGCATGTGGCTTTAGTGATTGTATTTCTTGCATTTTTCATGAAAGATTGTAAGATTTTGAGTTCTGGTGGGGACGATGCGTCCTGTTCACCACTCCGGAAGAACGATGAGCTAATGAACAGGGCAAAGACGTCGCAGAGGAGCTCGTTTTCCATATTGACGAGAGAAGCGCGACAGGCATCCGAGTCTTCACACTGTGACGGAGACGGTCGTCGAGGAAAACTTTCCATCAGCTGAAGTATGCTTTCAACGAACTGCCCGTGTGCTTGCTTGGCGACAGCTGTTTTGAAGGAAGTGGCATCAAGGCTCTGTAGACCAGACACAATAGCCATCGACAGTTGAATTGTGGCGAATGTTGCAGTATGTGTGAAAGAAACTGATTTTAATGAAGAGATTACATAGTTCAATAAGCTGCAAATTGCAGGCTGCCCAAGACACATCTGGAAAGGTTGTTAGCCCTCATGTCAGCATAATTTCGTATCAATCTTACAGCGACCGTATTTGTTAATCTTGAGATCATATCCAAGGGCAAGACATCCAAGACCAGCCTGCTGTCCTTTGACACAAGCCATTGCAACGCAGTTCCTGATATACCAGGTGACGTGACGGAAGGCGGAAGCAACGCCGTCAAGAAAGCCATGCCCTGCAATACGTCAGTATAGAGCGAATCGCACATAATTTCCTTGCAACGACATACAAGCATCTGGATTTCCGGACTGATCCCACTTCGCGTAACCTTCTCGCAGAGCTTCGCAATTTTCGGACGGTTAGCTGCGACCCACGCATCTCTCTGCCCTTGTTCGACGCTATCACAAATTCCAATCGCTAGCCGGACACTTTCGGCAGCCTGGTTAGTGGTCAGGCTACTGCAGCTGGCGGAGCAAGCGAGGATCACGCGTAGCACCACCAGGTCTATTGTCTTCAACCCGCGTTTAGGTCCGAAGAAGTGATTGATATTCTGCAGCCATGACGGGGCTTGTGCGTCTCCGTCCTGAGCCTTTCTCCCCGATGCTGAAATTTGGGCGAAGGTCGAAAGGCAGAGGAGGTTGCCCATATGGTCATCCAGATTGCGCAGCGTCTTTGTGAGCTCGAGCTGAAGACTGGACATTGTTTCCTGGGGAATTTCGAACAAGAGCCTTGGTGATGTCTGGAGTCCACTGATGAGTCGATGCAAGGGTTGGATAGTTTCCGCACATGGGTTGTTCCCCATTGTACAGATTAGTCTCGTGAAGAACGGGGCCAATCGAGCGGGAGTCACGAAGCCCGGCGGAAGGGGAGACGAGAGAATTGAGATGCATGCTGATATATACTGTGAAGCCAGACAGGTCAATGCCTTTCCATTTGCCTGTAAGCTGTAGCGACTAACCTCGGCTTGGCCATCCTCAATGGATTTCTGAAGGAACTGATCGAGAATGTATGGGTAGCGCTGCAGCAAAGCATCACGAGCAGTTGGGACTTGCGCTATTTAGCCTTAGAATGTGTCCAGAGATAACGACGTTATTGGACTTACTGAATATTTGCAGCAGATTAAGTGCGTAGCTAGAGCGCGATAGACCGTCAACAAGGACATCAACTAACGCACCGACTTGGCATGGTTTGTGAGATGCCCATAGCTTGATCTGAGACGAGGAAGATTGACGGGCAATGCCATATAGATCCTAGATTTACGGCGAGTATTAGCAGTGCGCTACTAGGGGTGCGATGCCCCATCGGGGCTGCTTTACCTGGAGTGAGGGTGCATATGGAGCCGTAACAATGCGTGCTACTTCGCGCCCTAGGGCTTCGATATAATCCTGCATGTTTGCAAATACTAGGCTCCCCTCAGACATTAATTTGGGGCAGATCTAAGCCCTTTTTCATGAGACCATCGGGCGACTAAATGCTTGCTGTGGGTGATGTTAGAAAGGAAGAGAAACGGGAGGTTTCTGGCCGCCCGTTGCCCCATCAACAACCAGACCCGAACCATGCACCCTGAACACCATGGTGTTGATCCCGCCAACCATTTCACAATGAATGGTACAGATATAATTTTGAAATTACTTTTTCAAAATTATAATCAAGCAAATGTCTTACAAAATGTAGCACATAGGGTTTCTGCTGACTCCCGAAGCTATCATGCATACCGATCCCCCCGAACATTGCTGATCTCCGTGATCTCTGGCTCCCCCGCCGGCAACTCGACTGGAGCCAATTGTCGTACCGGAGCATACATCTCTGATGCAGGCTCGTTGGCCTGCAACTCAGACGGTGAGCCCTCGTTGCGTGATACCCTCCACATGACTGGCCCTTCTGCATTGTCCGCGAGCCTAGCACGCCTGCGTCTGATAACGCCGTACAGCAGGGTCCCCAGCGCCGGGAGGACCAGTACCCCACAAGAAGGCCCGATGCTAATCCCCACCGGTTTTCCACGCGAAGCACTCGAAGTGGTTCCATAGTTCGAGTTGTCTGGTGTATTACTGAGCGTGTTGCCTGCCGACTGGCCTGCCTTCGTGGTGGTAGATCAGGCAGTTGTAGGTGTTGCTCGGAAATCGGTGGACTGCCATCGGGTTGCTATTCCAGATGTGTTCGCTCCTTTTGCCACCCATCTATGTTCCCGTGCACCATCCGCCAGTGGCGTCTGAGGTGTAGGTCCATATTTCTTCGGACGGCGGCGCCTGAGCACATGCGTGGTCAGAGTACCACGGCCAGCCTGACTCTCCGTCTGACAGCTATAGCCGCAGGCCCTGCACAAGATGGAGTCGGATGTCGGGAGTATATGCTACTAAACTACCTATTGGGTCGGGCGCCAGCAACCTAGGAGCAAGCAACCAAGCTTAGGAAGTAGCAGAACTCTTTAGAAAATATATGGCCCATATACATTGCTTAGTGTACTATGAACGGCGATATTGCGTCCTACGGCGTTGCTTTATTAATAAACTGGACGGGAGATGAATTTACTTCTATCAAGACTGCAATTTCTGGAGCACCTGGTCCGAATGGAAGTAAATATATGAGAGCTTGGAATTCCGTGTTTTGTCTCGGCTTCTCCTAGTTATGCCAGCCGTCTTATGAAGAATTCCAAGCCATCGAATGTGCAACCCAACGTTTTGTCCAGCAATCAGCGGTGATCATAGGAACCTAATTCATAAACTGGTGAAGTGTTGGCCGTATCCATTTCCTGGGCATGGTCATAGGCTTCTCGCCGCTCAATGAATTCTCGATTCGTAGCTAAGTAATTCGGAGGTGTGCGTTCGTTGTGTTCGTCTTCGGCGATACAAAAGCCAGCCTATTATAGTTGCAAATATCCCGACACCGGCAACGGGCCCAATGACGGCACCTGCAACCCACGCTTGGCTCGCCTGGGATGCAGCTGGTGCAGGGGAGGAGCTGGTTGATTGGTTGGTTTTTGTGGTTCGTGAAGTTTGAGTAGATGAGCTTGCCGAAGACGTCGATGTAGTGAATGTTGGATCTGTAGGCAAATGTCAGATAACTCCTGTCCTGGCAGACCATGTGATAAGCATACCGGACGTGACTGTTGGCACTGGCAATTCGCGATATATCTGGAATGCACTCCAATTCTCCGCACAGAAAAAATTAGTGGCCGACGGCGCTCCAAATGGTGATGTCTGAAAAATCGTCATTGTCCGACATATATTACTGAAACCAGTGGCGGACAGATAGAGTCAACCCAATGTGTTACTCTTGTATTTGGATAGCAAGGGCAAGTAGGACTTACCAGTCGGCCGTTTTTCCATTATCATAGGTTATCACATCATCGTCACAGGCTGTTGCGACGGAGCAAGGATTTGTTAAACAGCCGCGAGCGTAGTTCCCAGAAGTACTCCAGAAAGCCGGGTCCATCAAGGCCTGACATAGAAAGAATAATGTGGTCGGCACCGTTCAACATCCCCTGTCTCGCAGAATCGGTTTGCTTACTCGTAGTCGGGGCATTGTACCAGCCCATGAAATGAGGGTCATTCTGTACTGATGTAGGCACAGCATCTGCACCCAGAGCGCCAGTGGACCATCGAACAAGGTAGAAGACTGTGAGCCATCCTGTGAAGGGCGAAAACGAGGTCGGGTCCATTCTGTGTTGTCCATAGGCTCACTGGCCTCTTGTCCCTGGCAACTTGATCAGTACTGAGCACCTACGGGTGTTGGCATGGAATGAGAGACCTATAAGCTGTCGGGCTTAAAACAAATTTCTTCCTGCGTTGTTGACCGACTCTTCCGTTCTATCGTGAGCAGAACTCCGTATGATTCTGTCAGATTGTGGGATGTTCTTTTGGAAGGGGAGAAGGACACTCACGAGATGGGCTCCCTGGTCAATAATAAAGCACTCACTAGACGACTCTCAGGGGTTACAGCCATGTATGTCCTTCCTAAACATACTCCGTAGTGTCAATTCGAAATTGATGGTCATGCGCGCCGACCCGTTGAACTCATACAGCTCCAATTGGAGTCTCCGGATTCCCGCAGTTCTTTTTGCTCCGACAAAGACATGCTCACAGCATTCGCGGCGGTTGGCTAATCTAGATGCTAGGCTCGCCTTGGAGTAAGCTCAATGTCGCAAAGTATGGGCGTTTAGTCTTTCTTAAAGAAATGGTTGGTACCGTTCCACCAAGCCACGATATTTTCGGATTGGCGTTGGGTCTTTGTTCATCATTCATGCCAACATTCGTGCTTTATATAGACCGCTCTGGCCTGTCCCTCAGTTTTGTCGATATATTTTTTCCACGCTCGTTGAGCTCGCTTTCCCACTTACGCTGGAATAGAAACTGTCAATGCTACCGATATCAAGCTTGAAAACCGCGCGGTCTCTGCGCCTCCTTGTCGCGCTCTCTTTTTCTTTTGCAGTCTTTGTCTTTTTCCGTGCCGGATGGTCACCAATCTCCCGGTTAAGCTCAAGCAAAGCCATCGCATTCGCCAAATCAGCTGAAACGATAGCGACCGGCCACGGAGGTCCAGACCTGAACTCCCCACGGAAGAATCCTTTACTTGAAGATCCGATCGGTCAGACATCTTCCGCGAGCTCTAGCTACTCTATCCCGGAGAAAGTGTGGCACTCCGCTCGCTTTGAAAATATAACGGACATCCAACGAGAATGGACCAGTAGCTGGTTGAAAAAAAAACCCTTCCATGCGCCAGGAATTGTTGACCGATCTCTCGAGCGAGGCATTCGTTAGAGAACATTTCCACGCGATTCGACCAGATATTGTGGAGGTATACGAAGCAATTCCAATACCGATTCTGCGAGCAGACCTTCTTCGCTATCTAATAATCCTCGCTGAGGGCGGTGTCTGGAGCGACTTAGATGTCACCTGCGAGAAACCGGTCTCCAAGTGGATACCATCAGAGATCCACGGAGTCGATATGGTTGTAGGGCTCGAGTTTGACTTTGAATGGCGTGGACCAGGGACACAGGTTGCGTCTCAGTTCTGCAACTGGGTGTTCATGGCCAAGCCGTCTTCTCGAAATTTGCAAGTCGTCGTTGACGCCGTCGTGGAAAAGTTGAGAGATGTCGCCCGTGTCAATGGCGTGCCACTTCAAAATATCACTTTGGATATGCTTCCCGTGGACGTTGTGGATGTGACCGGACCCAAGATTATGACTATTTCGATTTTGGACGGTCTGAAGCAGTTGTTAGGCAGACCAGTGGATGACCGCAATTTTTCGGGAATCAAACGACCGAAGCTGATCGGTGATGTCCTGATTATGCCAGGGAATTCGTTTGCTGCCAGTCAGAATGGCTATCCGACAGACCAAGGAGAGGTTCTTGTGACACATCATTATGAAGGTTCATGGAAGCAGGCAGATGCAGAAGCAAAGGAGAGAAAAAAGCACAAGGACAAAGGCCGCATAGAGCCTTAATCGCCAAGAAAAGTTTAGCGGGAACTCAACACTAGAGAAGGCGTGGTGAGGCAAACATTTCCTTCACGTCTAATACTACTGGCATGCCATTATAATATGTGCTTCCACAATGCACATAGTAATGTGACCCTCTCATGTAGTAGGTGTTCTCGTAGGGTAGGTCTTACTAACCTTCTAGGTGGTAGTTATGGATCCTCTGGATATCCTTTCTACAAGCCACTGAAACATTTATTTAGCTCCCGAACCATTCTTGACATAGCGTACAGGATCCGCCTTCAGAGCACGTCTGTTTGAGGCTTAGACAGTGCCAGAACCCGCGTTAGACCCGTCTTATCCTCTATTGACTCTAGGACCTAGCCACAATTGGCATTCTTGGCTTGCCAGCTCTCATTAAGATGCACCCGCCCCCTGACACGTTCACGCCAGGGGAATGGGTTGGTTGGATCACCCGTTCGAAAAGATGGCCTGATATGTGAACCTCCACGGCAAATTGCCCCAAAATAATGCTGATATTGAAGTGCTGGGACCGGCGGAGTCGTTCAAACGAAGCTGAGATGATATAGTATGTCCTTTGACTTATATCTATCAAATACTCGTCCATGCTCCGGCAGTACCAAGCCTAGTGTACCTATCTGAACGATATGGATAAGTATAACTGCTCTTCTAGGTATTTCCAAGGGTCATGCTAAAGAGGGCCACAATAAGCTCTGTTGACAAAGACAACGGGCCACCTCGCTGCATGGAGAGGGCAACTATACGTATTTCAAACAAGAGTGGATATGTTTATCTTTTCTTTAGGGTCTTTTCTGCTGGAGAAACATGCTCAACTACCGGGTCTCACATCGGCTGCATCTTCCCAGTCCTGTTTGTTTCAATATGAGGAAAGGCGTTACACGAAACATGCCATGCCAAGCACCTCACTAACCTTGTGTTATTATCGCGCACTTCTGCCAGTACTTCCTGTCGTGAGTTGGAGACTTTGCTAGTCACGAATTGTTTCCCGCCATAGTAACAATATCCACCTCGCTGTTCAACCATTGAAGCGTCAAATAGAGGGATACTGGGGAGTTTACCTACCAAAAAGTATGATTACCCAGCTCGAAGAGATTCCAGGAGGTTTTACGGGATATGTAGGAATTGGTGCAGGCAAAGCGAGGGAAAGTAGGGAACTGGCGAGAAAGAACGATTGAAAGTTCAGATAGCTACCTAGTAGGGACGGTATCCAGGAATAGCCTCTCCATAATGATATGTTTTGCGCATAGTCCATGACGGCTCTAATTCCGAGTTGTCGGACTTATGCCGAGCGCTCTTCTCCGCGGACCCCATTTCACCGCGTGGGGATGGCGTGGGGGATTCTAGTCCTGGACCCATTGTTCCCAGTTCTATTTTTCGGGGCTGTCGGTAGTATGCTGCCGTAGCGACAGCCTCTCTACCCGTATCATTATTGTCACAGAAGGAGTTCATTCGGCCGAGTCCCGAGCGGATGTGAGCACTTAACCGACTCATCATTTCCTCCGACGATGGCGTGTCTACCAACCGCATAGGGCATAATTGGAAGCACACCGCCGCACCCCCTCACGCGAGGACAACCCAGCTGAGATTCAACCTTCAACAACTTTGTGACTCCACCCTTTTATCCTTGTTGTCTTCAATTGTCCTTTATCCTCGTGTCTCTCGACTGACAGCGTCATGCGAACTCTCTCGCGTCTACCTTGGGGCTTCCCCGCACGCCCCCGCGTGCCCCTTGGCAGGCCCCAAATCTCGCAAGCTTCATTGCTCGCGACCGCGAGAACCGCCCGGTTGAACAGTTCCAGCGCAAATAGCAGTCATAATGAACAGAGGAAAGACTCTGGAAATTCGGGATCATATTCTGGCTCGTCCAATTCCTGGTCTGCAGGCCGGACGCTATTGATTTCGGGCCTGGCCGCTGGCGCAGGCTATGCGGGCGCGATTCTGAGCTGCAAGCCGCAGGGCGAAAACCTTAAGCCGCCCCAGTATGGAACAATGCAGGACTTTGAGAAGGTAGGAAACGGGCTATTCTTATCACGCATATAGTTCGCGCAATGGACCTAGATCATTAACATCTACTTTCTATAAGGCAATTGCCGAAGTGCGCGCCAAGTTGGGCGATGACGCGGTTAACACGGACGAGGATGACCTCCATCGACACGGATTCTCTGAATGGTCAAGTTTGAACGCAGATCGGTTGCCAGTTGCGATCGCCTATCCCAGCAACACGGCGGACGTCGTGGAGATTGCAAAAATCTGTCACAAATACAAAATGCCCATGGTTCCGTTCTCTGGAGGGTCGAGTCTCGAGGCGAACTTCTCCGCCCCCTACGGTGGCATGACAATTGATTTCGCTTTGATGAACAACATACTGGAGCTTCATGAGGACGACATGGATGTCGTCGTTCAGCCCTCCATCCAATGGATGGACCTGAACGAAAAGATCAAGGACAGCGGTCTCTTCTTCCCCGTGGACCCCGGCCCATCAGCCATGATCGGTGGTATGATCGGCACAAATTGTAGCGGAACCAACGCGGTGCGGTATGGGACCATGAAAGACTGGGTCATCAACCTCACCGTGGTGCTGGCAGACGGTCGCGTCATGAAGACGCGCCAGCGCCCTCGCAAAACCTCGGCTGGCTATAACTTGACGGGAATGTTTGTGGGCTCGGAGGGGACACTCGGCATTGTCACTGAAGCGACCCTCAAGCTGGCTCCGATTCCAGAAGAGACTCGCGTCGGGGTAGTTGCCTTCCCAACTATGCGTGATGCTGCTTCAACCGCCATGCAGGTGATCAAGAAGGGCGTTCCCGTGCAATGTATGGAGATTTTGGATGACGTGCAAATGGATGTCATCAATCGTGCTGGGGGTACGGGACGAACCTGGGCGGAGTTACCTACGCTGTTCTTCAAGTTCTCTGGCACCAGTGCCGGTGTTGCGGACAGCATAAATCTGACCACAAACCTTGCGAAAAAGAACAATGCCGCGTCCTTCGAGTTCGCTCAGAACGAGCGGGAAGCTCATGATTTATGGTCCGCCAGAAAGCAGTCATTGTGGAGTATGATGGCGCTGCGGAAGGAAGGCTCCGAAGTGTGGTCTACGGATGTCGCCGTTCCGATTTCCAGACTCCCTGATATTATCGGTAAGGCGTCTGCCGGGTCTATTCTCCGGACTGAACTAACGTCGTCACAGAGTACTCGAAGAAGGACCTCGACGGATTAGATCTTTTCGCCAGCATTCTCGGACACATTGGTGATGGAAACTTCCACTCCAGCATCATGTATAATCGCCACGACCCCGAGGAGCGACAGCGTGTGGAGAAAGTCGTCTATGATATGGTCGATCGGGCCTTGGAGATGGAAGGATCTTGCACAGTAAGTTATCTCGACACAAGTAGAAGCGATTGTATGGCTGACTCAAACAGGGTGAACATGGTGTAGGCCTGGGCAAGAAAGAGTCCTTGAAAAAGGAACTTGGTCCGTGTACAATTGACGTGATGCGGAGTATCAAAGCAGCCCTGGACCCTCACTGGTTATTGAACCCGGGCAAGATCTTCGATTTTGAGCGGAGGAAATAAGGTGATCAGATTCCCCTAACAGAGGAACCACCTATTGCAGTGTATCTTGGGCTGTGGATAGTCACATTGTTGCATCGATGATAGGTGCCTATACAGTAGAGATGTCAAAAAATAGACAAAATTTTTGTGGAGAATGCATAGACTTCTTCCAACCGGAGTTGGTCCCCTGTCTCCGGTAACTCATCAACTTACTAAGGTCCGCTGACTCATCGCGGGGCGAACATCTCCGTCTGAGCGATATCGCTGTTCTGGTCCAGACTGCCACAAGCAACTACCTCGCATCACTCCATTTGCATTGAGGTGAGTACAAGTATTGCCCATTAATCACTGAGCGTTTGCCTGAACATCCTTTTTGTTGCTTCCAATTTACCCAGAATTGATGGCAGCAGCCCATCGAGTCGTTCACGGCCACATGCGGGGCATGAGTCAAGCCCGTTGGGTATCGGATCGCAGTCGTCGTTCATAGTCTTTGTCGTCAGAAACCTTCTTCTTTTTCTGCATCACGATCTTTATGTTTTTTTCCCGCTCAATTGTGTGTACAATCATTAATGGACTGCGACTGACGTTTTTACCGAGCAGATTTGGACCGCGCTTTGACTCATTGCGTCCCCGATCAAGATGACCTCCTACCCCAAGAAGAAGTGCGGTACGCTCGAGACTTGAGTTGCTAGGTTATAACGATACAAACTTACAATCAATAGGTGTCCTGGGCGCCACTGGCTCTGTGGGCCAAAGATTTATCCTCTTGCTCGCAGATCACCCCTTCCTTGAACTACATGCCATCGGCGCTTCGGAGCGTTCCGCAGGCAAGCGCTACAAGGATGCTGTGAAGTGGAAGCAGACTACTGCCATGTCCGAGAAGCTCAGCAACCTCGTTCTGCGGGATTGCAAGGCTGAGCACTTCGCTGACTGCGATCTTGTGTTCTCCGGACTGAACAGCGACGTGGCCGGTGACGTCGGTACGTCAATTGCACATTACAATACAGATTTGATCTCAATGTTAACATAAACTTTTTTACAGAGATGGAGTTCATCAAGGCCGAAATCCCCGTCTTCTCGAACGCAAAGAACTACCGGAAGCATCCCTTGGTGCCCCTCGTCGTCCCCACCGTGAACCCCCACCATCTGGATCTGATCCCTCACCAGAGAAAGGAGTTTGGCCTGAAGAAGGGATTCCTCGTCTGCAACTCCAACTGTGCTGTCATTGGCGTCGTCATTCCCTTCGCCGCCCTCCAGGCCAAGTTCGGCCCCGTCGAGGAAGTCGAGGTCTTCACCGAGCAGGCATTGTCGGGAGCTGGCTATCCCGGCGTTCCTAGCATGGACATCATGGACAACGTGATTCCCTTCATTAGCGGAGAGGAGGACAAGCTTGAAAACGAGGCCCAGAAGATTCTGGGTGCTTTGAGCTCTGACGCCACTTCCTTCGAGGAGCAGGCTGGCCTCCGCATCGGCGCTACGTGCACCCGTGTCGGAGTCACGGATGGTCACATGGCTTTCGTTTCGTTGCGCTTCAAGAACCGCCCCGGTCCCAGCGCCGAGCAGGTCGTGCAGGCCATGCGTGAATACCAGTCGGAGGCTCAGAAGCTGGGTGCTCCTTCTGCGCCCAGCGAGGCTATCCGCGTCTTCGAGGAGGCCGACAGACCTCAGCCCAGACTCGACCGAGACATCTCTGGCGGATACACCGTCAGCGTTGGACGCGTGCGGGAGGGTGCCCAGGGTGGCTTCTTCGACCTTCGGTTTGCTGCCCTTTCTCACAACACTGTCCTCGGCGCTGCTGGGTCGTCCATCCTCAATGCGGAGGTTGCTGTCATCAAGGGTTATATCTAGAGACATGTAGATTTGAACATATAGCGATAAAAGCATTAGATACCATCTTAAATATATCCTTCGACAGCCATGCTTGGATAGTAGTTTCATTGTTGTAGTGCATCATCCAACACAGAGATATGCTGCCAGCTACAGATAGAGTGATAACTACCATATGCTGGAAAAACAGAGGGACGGAGAGAATGAATGCCTTTTCATTCATAGGGACATACAGAAAAGCTAGAAATGTCAGCTATGGTAAATACATGCACGAGCTCTAGTCTCCATCAAGTTGAACTTGGACTCTGTAATGAGGGATCGGCATTTATACCTGAAGATTAAGGCATTATGTAGATGTCTTGCACGTGATACAGCTTCCTATCTGGGATCGTAATTAGATAAGGGCGGTGGGTCTGGATTTGACCTAGCGCTAGGGCTAAGCCCACAAGCACTACCCGCTAAGCGAAGGTTCCGGGCGGGATTGGATATCAGTTTTGCTCTCCCTGGCTTTGCTGTCTCCTCTCCTTCGCGACACTCCGACAACTTACCGGGCTTAAGTCGACAAAGCAGTCAAGATGCCTCGCGGACCGTGAGTACTCACCATCGTCCATCGAATATTTTAATCGTCGGCGACCATGGTGCACGAATTCCGACCACCGTGACCTCGTCGACGATTTTGCGATGCTGTTAGGTGACGAGAAAAATTTGAGACTGACCGCAATGCCTACAGTAAGAAGCACCAGAAGCGCCTGAGCGCGCCCTCGCACTGGCTCCTGGACAAGATGTCCGGAACCTATGCTCCCAAGGCCTCTCCCGGTCCTCACAAGCTCCGGGACTGTCTGCCCCTGATCGTCTTCATTCGTAACCGGTACGACGACCTCTAGGACCACTTTCGACGAAGGAAGGATGCGCTAACATGTGTGGCTGGTTAGTCTGAAGTACGCTCTCAACGGCCGTGAGACCAAGGCGATCATGATGCAGCGCCTCATCAAGGTTGACGGCAAGGTCCGCACCGATCCCACCTACCCTGCCGGTTTCATGGACGTCATCGGTATCGAGAAGACCGGCGAGAACTTCCGCCTCATCTACGACACCAAGGGCCGTTTCACCGTCCACCGTATCCAGGCTGAGGAGGCCGAGTACAAGCTGTGCAAGGTTAAGCGTGTGCAGCTCGGCAAGGGCGGGATCCCATTCTTGGTTACGCACGATGCGAGAACGTGAGTGCATGCTCTCCACAAGTTCCGCGTCATTCAGTCGTTGGACCAAGCTTTGGTTGATCGGCGGAGGACAAACGAACTTGAACATTCCAAAGAGGATCTCTTTGCTGGGACTTCAGTAAGGAGAACACCGTCTGCGAGCAGGTTGTGCTAATGATATATACAGCATCCGCTACCCCGACCCCGCCATCCGTGTCAACGACACCGTGAAGGTTGACCTTGCCACTGGCAAGATCACCGACTTCGTCCGCTTCGACACTGGTGTTGTCTGCATGGTCACCGGTGGTCGTAACATGGGTCGTGTTGGTGTTGTCACTCACCGTGAGCGCCACGACGGAGGTTTCAACATCGTCCACATCAAGGACGCTATTGACAACTCCTTCGCCACCCGTGAGTCCAACGTCTTCGTCATCGGCCAGGACAAGCCCTGGATCTCCCTCCCCAAGGGCAAGGGTGTCAAGGTATGTTTACCCCATTATTCGATGGTCTGTTCGACATTTTCTAACTGTATTTTAGCTCTCCATTGCTGAGGAGCGTGACCGCCGCCGTGCCCATGCCATTGCCAACTAAATCTGGTAAGTGGTATTGGTTGATGGGAAAAATAAAAGCTTTGAAAAATCCGCTGGAGACGACGTCTTGCCTTGCTTTGTGGCCTGTATGACACCGGTTATGACGATACCATTATGCGTTACTAGGGAAGAAAAAAAGAAGAAAAATCTATAGGACGCATAATCGGGCGTGATCGTTCAACTGCTTTGTTTCGTAGTCTCGAACCATAGGAAGCAAAACCGGGACGAGACGTCTCATTCATGCCTTGATGTGATACCTATGCTTATGCTTAATTTGTTGAAGCGATTGGATTTGCGTTCGATTCGACTGTAGTCACCGCCGATCGTAGCACCTTCGGCGGTCGATTGACGTAGCGTTCGTATCTGTCCTTGCGGCAATATTGCGATCCAGCCCAAGAGCATCATCCACGCAGGAGGCGCCAGCTGGTTATGTGAACGGGTTGTGTCTATCTACCGTACCTCTCACATCGTCCAGGACGCAAGTTGTATGTTTGTGGCGAGGAACGGGCATAAGGTGAACCATGGATTCGTTCCATGACAACTGTACTTGATTCGCCTGTCTCGCAGACGGGCAGTCTCTCCCCCTCGATACCTCGATACATAACGGCGGCACAAGTGGCCGTGTAACATGTCGATTTATATGCAGCGGGCTTTCGATGTCTTCTTCCTTTGTTCAGGAAGCACGGCGCAAAGCGAGGGGCATGTACCCGGCGTGATAGATTGGATGTTGGGATAACGGTTGATATCCCGGACGTCCATTACCCGGGTGTGGGCACTCAACGTCCGGCGGCGGAGCGTCTGCGCCCCCGTTGAACGAGACGACAGCTGAACCTGCAGGTTGAGACCGTTAGGGTGCGTTGGGCCGACGGACAAGTCACTCGCTCATGTTCTTCGGGGTGCGATCTTGGTCCTTCCATGTCTTCTCCCTGGACCATGGAGGAGGCGTTTCGGCCTCGACCCATGCGCCTCCAGATCTAGCCAAGCTCCAGGCATGGACAACACAACGGCTTTGATATTGACTGGGATCCCAGCACCCGCAGATAGAGCCACCAGCCCCTTGTTGTGGACTCGCGGCTCCAAGGGCGTTCGTTGTCCCTGCGGTATCGGCTCGTTGCCCGATAGGCAGGATTCTGGTGTCGTAGAGGCATGGGAAATTGCATCTACGGCATCAGGCTGCTCACTCCGTGGTCTCCTTTACGCTATCTACTTGCTTCTCTGCTTCAGCTATTGCACCGTACCCGCTCCCATGACATCTCGGGTTCATGCCTATCGAGTCCCCTAACGCCGTTGAGAATGATGGTGGACGCATGTCATCGAGGATGAGCCAATCTAGGGTAGTGGATAGAGACAGGAAGAGCGCAAGGGTTCCGACACCGGCGAGCGTTGCCGCGAGGCCATGGACGTCATGCAGATGGGTTCATCGACCCAGTTATGAAGGAGGAACGACATGAAAATATCATGTTTATGTACAGGTGGTTGAGAGTCGCTATATGTACACAGCATAGCTGGTATATATTTCTGCGCCGATCTTGCTCATTGTCCTTACTGGAATGACTGACTGATACTGTACATAGGTGACCCGCAAGGTGACCATGCATTCAGTACGGAGTATGTCATGTACTGACAGCAAGCAGGGTGGCTATTGTTCGCCTCCTGAGCCGTTGGCCCGCACCGGATGCATGCTTCCTTCATCCTTCCCGGTGCTGTACGTACCCATTACCTCCGTCCCAGACTGGACTGGAGTCGAATTCAGCCAGCCTGGGCCTGGCCAGCACATGGGTGCTCATTGCTTCCGCCTGCAGTGCGGGTGGGGCAGAAACCGGGGTTTGATCCCGACAGAAAATGGGGAGTACAAGTAGTTGCATGGAAACGGAGATGCGCGGTGATAGCCAGCTGGCCCTCTTTTGGGGAGCCCATGGCGCCTAACTAGCTAACCATGCTGCCTTGGACCAGCCGGCGAATTTCTACCTGTGGCCGGTCACGACCGCCCAGAGAAAGTTTTGTCGGGTCCATTCAAAGCTGCAAGCTTCATCCCTGATGTATGGTCAATTTCCCCTCTCCCCTCGTCGCCTTCGGAGCTTGACATTATTATTACTACAGGAGGTATTACCGTTATTATTACTGATGATCATACTGAAAGGGTCCTCGGGTACGCCGACCCTCGTCCACAGAAAGACCGCCTTGATCTACTCCGTAGCATGCTCTCTGCCAACCGGTGGCTGTCCCAGGTCAAGGACATCCGCATGAGCCGATGTGCTAATCGGGCTTGCGACAGCGAATGATCGGTTTACTGCGTGTTATGGAGCGATCCCAATAGCGTCACCGTTATTTCCACCAGTTCCCTTGGACACTGGGGTTCGTGGACCTCGATCCACCGAATGTAACATCAAGGTGTCGCATGGAAGGGACGCGCCGTCGGAGGGTTTGAAGAAGAAAAGGGGAGACCAGAAAAAAAAAATGAAAATGAAAAAGAAAAAGAAAATTAGAAGCGAACTAAGGAAGTAGCAACGTGCGGAAAAGGCGGACTTGCCCGAGGGAGATCCATGGTTCCGACCAACAAAGACCTGGAGCCGATACGGATCGTCATCCTTTCTATTCTTCTTCTCCACGAGAAGGGGCTTCCATCTCATATCATATGACGATGGAAGACATCATCAGGATACCCAAACATCCAACAGAGACTGAACTAGTGCCCCTGGGATCCACTTCACACCATGTCCCTCCCCTCGGGCACGCCTCGCGAGACTTGCTCGATCGCGAACATTCGCCGGTAGCTGAGTCGGAGTGGCGATCTTAGTCGCCCTGGGGCATTGCGTCCCGCTTCTCGTCAACAGTTACAATACATATAAGGGCTATCCTTATCATCCATTTACCTATGGCGTTCATCGAACGCCCTCCCTCGAGGCGATTGGTCCCCGAGAGCGCCGACACGAGGCCCCTCGAACAATCATCATCCGGGGAGCGTGGCCCTCTTCCATCCGGAGTACCGCATCGAATGGAATAATAATGATACATCCATCCCGGACCCAACTGAATCTTCCAGAACTCAATGGTCCTGCAGCATGGAGGTCGCCGTCGTGCACCGTCCCATGCGGCCTCCTGACCGCTTCTCTCCTCTGAATGCCAATTATTGCTTGATCCATTCATGATGATTGCCGCCGCTGGCCCACTCGCCTTCTTGCCGCCACATTGGTAACCCGACTGATCAATTCTCATGGAGAAGTGGATGCCCTCGGAGATGAGCATTGGTGCATTCATTTGCCTTTGGTTCTCACTTTCTATCTATTGTACGGAGTATGTGGAGAGTCTGTCTTTTTCTCTCTCTCCCGTGTGTCTTTCGTCGTCTCTCCTAACGGCTCAGGGGTGTGGCTGTACACCCTCGGATGCTCGACATAGATGATGCCCAGCAGCAGATGCTCTGGTGGTGGTCGATAATTGATTGATCGACTCGGCCCACTCGTCCACCCCCAACTTCCCTCCCTGCCTCACTGGCACTATTTTCAGCTCCTTTTTCTCTGGTAATTTCCGAGCTTTCCAAACCTTCCAACTATCCTGGCTCTCGGGACCCAGTGGCCCAGTGGTTTGGATCCCGATCAGCCCGTCTTTTGGTCTCTTGCAGTGCCACTTGCCGTCGTGCTTAGCCGTTCATACGTTCGACTGATTGCAGGCATTCATCAAGTCCTGACGTCCAATTCCCTCGTGAGTTGGCTAACGTGGCAAAAAAAAGGTTGCAGAATCCACTCTATTAGTGTTTAGAGAGGTATTTAATACAACGGCCACCTGGAAATAATCCAAATAGGGGACGAAAAAATAAGATAAAATAAAATAAAATAAAAATAGAATAAATAATAGAGACCCAGCTGCTCGGATATCCCTCGCTCACTGTCAGCTATCAGACCCCCTCTCCGTCTTCCTCTCTTGCCTCATTACTCTCTTCATTCTCTTCCTCCCGTCCAAATTAAAGTTGATTCCTTCGGCTCTCTCGGGTCCCCTTCTCCCTCCTTCTCTCCATTGGTTCTGTACCGGCCGAGACTACTTCAAACCTTCGAGTCAGTCCAGACATCCCCTGATCGAGGCCCAACGTGTGGCGGTGATAGGCGTTTGTCTCAGGATCTGCCATCCAGAGCCGTATCTGGCAAACAAACACCGAGTGACAGACAAAGACGACCAGCTGAACGGGCTGTGTCGGGTCGTGGTGAAGTCTCGGCATCCTCCCGAGTCCAGTCTTGCTCCCAAGTAACCCTAACCGGGACATCACTCCTGCCTGCCCTCTGTTTTAAAGCACCCCCTTCTCCTTCCAGTATCAGGGGATCCGTGGCTCGCACTCTAGACGGTGCCAATGTCCCAGATGCTCGCCCATCATGCGGTTATAGGAGAGCCGGCGGGTGCAGGGTTGGCCGGGGGCCAACCCAGCTACCCGTCAATCTTTCGCGCCAGCGCCGAGATCCCGCCGTTCTACGCCTCCTACCGGTGGTGGGAGGACGAGGCCACCCCCATGCTATGGGCTTTCGACGCCCAGGAGATCAAGCGCGTCATCCGCTTCGGCCTGTACCGGGACCAGCAGCTGCCGCGCACGGCGCTGCAGAGACGCAACGCCTCCACCGTGGATGCGTTCCTGAAGACCCTCGTCGAGCCCGCCGAACGGGTCTTCACGGCCAACCTGTCGCACATCCAGAAGGTCGAGGAGATTCTCCGCCGGTGCAGGATCACCGCGCCCCCGCGCTCCGCGTGGAGCTGGTTCCCGGCCCAGACAGACCGTGACGTGCAGCCGGCTGATATTGCCAGCGCCATCGATGCCGAAAGTCACCTGCAGTTTACACGCATTTCGTTTGAGGAGCTCGTCCGCTACTCGCTCGGGTACCCGTCTGCGGCGGTCGAGTGGTTCTTCCAGCAGCACACTGCGTTCTACATCCACATGTATAACTACCTGCATGCGTATCCGGACGAGGTGGGCCGGTTTGTCGAGGTCGAGACGGTACGTAAGCCAGCGGAGTCTTCTGTATCTCTAACGGCATACTGACAACGTCTAGTATCTGCGCGGCCACAGCCCCTTCGCCCACCGCGCCCTGGTCCAGTGCTTGCTTGCAGTGCAGTCCGGGGGTACAGCCGAGATTTCCACCCCGACAGCCCCGGCCTTCGAGTTTATCGCCGGCCCCATCCAGCGGCTGTTCACAGACCTCTCGCCCAGCCTGACCGACATCCTGAAAGTGCTCGCCGTGCTGAGCGTCCGCTTCCAGCGCACGTACGTGCATGCCCGCGAGATGGACTGGACGCGGCCGTTCAACGTGGGATTTTCCTTTCTCGAAGACCTGCTGGCCGCCACCTCGGCCAAGGACTTTGCGCGCACGCTGACGGCCACCGACGAAGGAGTCTTTGGCAAACTCACTGTGCAGAGCATCCTGGACGAGGACGCGGTGACGACGGGGATCCTCACACAGTGGGAGCACCTCAGCCTCGACGTGTGGGAGTGTTGCACCGGGCTGCCGGATATGATTCCTCTGATCCAGGAGTGCGTGCAGGTGAGTGTCCCCTCCCCCCCTGCCAGTCGTGGTGGATAGAGCATAACTGACTGCTGTGCAGGCCCTCGTTGGGACGCGAAACTACCACTCCCTGACAGCCATCCTCACCGGCCTCCACAGATACAGCATCACCGACTCCTCCCTGACCACCACCCCCGCCGCCGCCGCCATGATCGTCCCCAACCCCGTCGTGCCCCCGGACCTGCTGTGTCTCCTCCACCCGTTCCAGAACTACGCCGCCTACCGACAGCAGTTCGTCAACGCTCCAGGGATCCCGTTCCTCGTGCCGCACATCAGAGAGTCCGAGGAGCACGGCCAGCAGGTCCTGAGCCAGATGTTCCAGCAGATGCGGACGGCGCTGCACTAGGCAGTGGACAGGTCGATGTGACGGGGCGATATGACGGATGACTGATGCGGGATGATTAACTGACGAGTAATAAATGGCATTGTTTTCTTTTTCTGTTCTGGTTCCAGACTGAGCATTTGGTTGGCATTGAAATTTGGTCCAGCGGTAGTGCAAAAGCCTTGTATGTTAGCCATCGCGTGGATCTTAGGTGCTCGGAGGATATACCCCCGCTGTTAATGAGCATAATTCAGATGAACCAAGCCCTCTCGTGCACCCTCGCCACCAAAGTCCATTCTACACACGCTTCCTATCCTCCTCCACAGGAAGACGGGGATACCCAAAAACGCCCAGGAAATACAAAACCCGATTCCCAAACAAGAACGCCGTAACCCCCACATTCCCCCAGGTCAGCACATTCCACCCCGCGACATCGACAAACGCGTCCCAGCCCATGGCCAGGCCCGTGACGTAGACGTGCCCGACGTCCGCGACCGCCAGCGCGAGCAGATAGTTGCGCAGGACGGCGGGCTCGCGCGTGGAGTACAGCGTGGCCACACCGAGCAGGCAGAGGAGCCCGTAGAGGCTGGAGAGCTGGTAGGCGAGCGCTATGGAGGACGGGGGGATGGAGTCCGCGTCCAGCGCCGGCGTGTTGGGGATTTGGTCGGTGATGAAGCTGGGGAGGTTGAGGAGGGGGTACAGCCAGCCGCCGATTCTGGGGGTTTAGTACCGGGTACTCGGGGTGTGGTGGGGGGAAGGCTTACAGGGAGAGAGGCTCGAGGATGGCGAAGAGGATGTGAGGCCAGCGGGGGAGGATTGTGGTAGGCATGATGGAGTATGATTAAGGGAGGTGTGGTGATGGTGGTTTGGTGTTGTTGGAGTGGAGATGGGAATTAAGATAAGATGCGGTGATAAGATTTCTTTCTCCACCAAAGCACAATTCCATACATAATTGCACATCACGGTCCACAATGTGCATTGATTGTCGTAGAACAGGGCTATGCAACCATTGCTGCAGCCAGGTGACACTGTACGCAGAGCCTTTAATTTGGTGTATTTATCCCGTGAAAATATAAGGCGTTGCTTGAGTTATACGTGGCAAGAGCGGTTAATACTCAATCGGGCAGCTGAGGACAGCAACATTTTCAATATTTACTAAACACATGATTGTTCGAGCGCTTGAGCAGTTAACAAGAACAAAGATAAGGCTCACACCCTGATCCCGAGCGACAGATCTCCAACGCGTGGGCTAAGTTTCCTTTTCCATGAGTCTGCGAGCAGCCACACCCCTGAATGTGTCGAGCTTGCTAATGTCTGCAGAGAAAACCAGGAACTCCTCGTACATCTCCCACGCCTCCTCCTTTTTACCCTGAACCCAGTATAGTTCTGCGCGCATAAAAGAGATACCAAAGCTTGTTGGCGAAAAGAAGCCTGATTTATCAGTACGAGAATATCGGAACTTCTCAAGAGTTTCTTCCGCTTCTCGAAACCGACATTGCTTTTGATAGCACCACGCAAGGGCCACGATACTCCCCCGCGTATCCGGATCGTCTTGTCCGAATTTCCTTTCTTGAGCGCTCAACGAAACCTGCAACAACTTTTCCGCCTGTTTCAGTTTCCCAGTGCCAACGAAGGTGATCCCTATTCGGCAAGTAGCTTCTAAAGTACCCCTGGCATCCGGGCCCAGAATTTCATGATAGTCAGCCAACACATGTAGGAGTAGATCCTGTGCATCACTTCGACCAGCTTGCTCATACATAACGCCAAGGTCAAGCTTGATACGAAGTGTTTCCAGGTTATCCGGACCATGGAGATTCTCATAGCCCTCTAAGGCCCGCTGAAGATTCCCTTCTGCGTCGGCAAAATTTCCTTGTTGCTCTTGCACGTAACCAAGTCCCCTGGCAATAACCAGAGTCTCCTCATACTGCGTCCCCGAGAGCTTCTCGAACCAGCTTTCTATCCGCTTGAACAAAGCTTCTGCATCTTCCAGCTTGTGCTGAAGCTTGTATGTCAATGCTAGCCATTCGGTCATCTCGAAAAACTGACGGCCTTGATCCCGATCTTCGCTGATAAGTCGCTGACAAAGCTTCTCTGCTTCATGATCTCGACCTGTTTGGAAATATATCGAGCAGAGAATCTTTGTGAATATCGATCTCTCGATACCACGGGAACACTGTGAGCAGGACGGCTTCGCAAGCATCCTCTTGATGGCATTTTCCACGTCTTCACATCTTTTGCGTTTCATGTCTAACACAACGAACGGCAGAATGACTAGAGATCCACAAAGGCATGGTCGTTCGTGCTTCCTTAAGAAACCATGTGGTAATCGATCTAAGACCACGCTGGCGAGATCTGAATCGCACATCGCATATAGTGACCCGAGAAGCCAAATCAAGTCGTAAGTCACTGGATGTCCGCCGCCGAGTGTCTTTTCACACCAATCTAAGACACACGCCACAGTGTTAGCGAGTATAGGATACTGGCCTAGCGGATAGTGATCATGCAGCTTGAAGACATAGAGAGCCATCCTCTCCAGAGTCTGTCGTTGTCCGTTTCTTGATAGCTGCACGATCTGATGGGCATGCCGATACAAGCGTTGCCTCGTGATCCACTGCCCTTGATCCTGCTTAGATGGAAAGGACTGTAGAGTAGATCTCATCGCTATGACAACTATTTCTTCCATATAAGGTCTCATTTTGCTGTGGCACCAGTCTTGCACTACTGGGTGCATTGAGTAAGTACTGCCCCGCTCGGAAGTGATTAGCGAGAAGTTGAGGAGCTCAGCCATTGCCCTGAAGAACGTGGTTGGCTTCAGCACAATCTCTGCTAGCCAATGTGGCTCGGAATTATGATCAAGGCCCTGGCGAACGAGGCCATACCATATATCGTGGTTATCAAAGCATGACAGCAATAACAGTAATCTTGCAGCTGACGGCGACCTCTGCTTAACCGCAGTGACGGACATTGCCCATGTAGTTGTTAAATCACCGTTTTCGTACTGCCCAAAGGGCTCAAGCCCTTTGTTTAGCTCCTCCCACTGGCTGTGATACAATTCTAGATATTCACCAACAGACACTCCTGTCTGCCGTATATAGGATCCAGCAAGCACAACGGCAAGAGGAAGCCCATCCAGCCTATTTGCAAGTGCAACAACATCTTCGTTCAGTTAGTCAAACAAGTATCGAGTGAGAAAGAGATATTGTCTGCACACACCGGGGTTGTCTTTCTCTGTCATCGGTAACACGGGCCCAGCACGAGTTAGAAGCAGCTCTATTGACTCGGCGGTTGGTAGTTTCTGGATGAGGTAAGGATCTCTTCCCACGCGGTTCGCGAGGCTCAACTCGCGTGTCGTGATGAGAATCGAGCCATGGTGTGCTGCAGGAAAGAATCTGGTAATGTCGTAATGGTCTGCATCGGGGGCCCCAGATGGGCAACAGCCATCAACGTTGTCAAAGACCAGCAGCCATTTGGAGTTTCCGGCTTGTGACAGCCAGCTTAAAACCTGTACAGCTTGCTCCTCCACATTCTGGTCATTCGTTGCCTGGCATTCAACCCCAGGCAACTTGGCCAGAAATGAAGCCATTGACTGGCATGCCGTTTCTCGAGTTTTGCCGTTGACCCAAAAAATGGCCGAGAATTCTTCCTTATAGCGCAGAACAAAGTGAATCGCCAACTGCGTCTTTCCAAGCCCACCTAGACCTTGCACTACGGCTATTTTTCTGCTTGTGGAGGCCTCAGGACTAAGCCGATCCCATAAGTTGAGCAAATCCGTGTCGCGGCCGATAAGACGCTCTACTGCAAGTATCTCCATTGATTCGAAATTGACACTGAACATTTCCTGGTCGACTATAGGAATACATAGTCAGTCAGACTTCAGGTCGCGTGGATTCAGCTTTGCAAGAACCACTGACCTGCCGGCAACGCCCGTGGGTGTCCAGAATCCTCGCACAGCCTGAGTGGTCCGATAACAGACAGTAGATTTTTGGCATACGCAGCCGCAGTTGCTGCCGCATACCAATTCCAGGCATCATTTTTATAGGAATCTGCATAGTCGCTGATTCCTCGTATGACTAGGCAGGGGAGCACATCTACCACTCCGGTTGCTTCCATTTCAACACAGAGTACGTTGAAATCTCGCCCAAGGCGTTTTCTCAGGTTGGCATCCTTTATCAACTGGTCGCCAGACGCAATTATGCCGTAGTGGATCATCGGGTCCGGGCTTTCGCGAGGGATTCGATCCACGATCAAGCCTGACTCATCGTAGAGCTCATCGCTCCGTGTCTTGTCATAGACTAGTCCTTGAAGGTTGGGATGTCGCTCCACCATCTCCGTGATGTATGGGAGAATTCTAGGATTCCTTCCAACCACCTGCCCATGTTGGAGCGCAGAAACTGCACTCAGAACCACGTCTGGGGGTTTGTTCAGGTGTCCTGTGATCTTGAAGCTCCCATCAAGGTGCTTTCCTCTATCATGGGGTAGCACGCCGCCCAGCCCATCTCCTGGAATTCCGACGACCACATCACCAAGACGCACATCATGTCTTTCACTCGGTATTCCTCCTCCAATCCCCACTAAAAATCCGAAGCGGATGTTCTTGAAAGTACGCCTCACACTTGTTGTTAGCCTTGCAGCTGCCGATGATCCGGGAACCCCGGCCAAAGGGGATACAATGACAATATTATGTCCCCGAATAGATCCAAGAATGTAAGTGATTGGATCATCTTGTTCGCTGAACAGGCCGTGATACTCGTCCAACACACACTCTGCCACAGTCGATTCGATGGGAAGAGCACTGATCCACGCCACAGTGTAATGCTCCTTCGGCCGGTTCTCCATGACGGAAAGAGGTTCAACAATTTGGACTCTTGTGTGCGTGAGGTTGTCGCAGGCTCAAGGGGGAAGATATATCTCAATTTATCATGCAGTTGAGAGTGTAATACATAGCCCGGGCTGCCCAGCCTTGAACAGGCTATCTGTAATAAGTACTTGAAAAGTATTTCGTTCTCCTGGGGCTGTAGGGTGTCTAAATAGGGGCCTAGCGGCAAGGCTGAACCGGTCGTCAGCACAAGGCCAAAAGAAGCGTCAGGCTGTGGTGTCTCGTACTCCTTCACCGCCTATACCAATCTACTAGGGTCAACAGTCCCGGCGCCTCGCCCTACGACATGAAGCCAGAACGAAGTGGTCTGGAATAGCGGTCAGAATCAGGCCTTGCGGAATGGCTAGAGATGGTTCAATGACCTTGCTACCTGGGTACAATCCAATGATACTGGTATGACCAGCAGTTCAACAAGAGCGCCGCCTGGAATCTATTATCTAACCCAGGAGAGTCGTACCCCTGTCTCCCCACCAGGCCATCATGTTATCAACCCATTGGCGCCAGCTGAATGTAACGACAGTACACGCCCAGCTGTTTCAGCTCGAATCCTGTTGTCCCAACACTGATATCTGATTGGGCTTACATTTCCTACAAGAGAAATTTCCCGAGCGTATCTTTCACATAATACAAGCACTACTAGCGTAATAAATGCCAGTGATTACTTTGAGAAACGACGAAAGCGACTGAACTTGTCCGTGAGAATGGGGATAGACGTCCCCTTGAGTGCGGGGAAACCGAGTGGAATATCGGAATGACATGGTTCCTGCAACCTGAATTCAGAGATTGCACACTGGAGACATGAGATAGCGACTCTGTAGAACGAGATTTCGACATTACTTTGAAAGCAGCTGGCTTTCCACTCGCACTGAGATTTCTTGGTCTTATCTATGAAGACACGCGGGACCGATGTCTCTGGCACTGAGCATGGCACAGTCGAACAGGGACATCCAGGCTGCCGAGAAAGCACTGGAAGGGCTTGCAGATAGGCTAGCAGATGAAGTATCAGCAAATATTGATCTATCGTAATGCTGCATAAGAACCTTTCATACCCGCATTGCTGATTCAGCATCCACGTGCGCGGTACATCTCCATCATCCAACTGTCCAACATCACAACTCATCATTCTCCTACCCACTAAATAGTCCATCCACCTACAAGATGGCCTTCTATATGGAGTACTCTGGCAATATAACAGCCCCAAGCATTCCCCAGTGATACGGGTGATCGACCATGGATTCCAGTCCCACCAACACAGTCCCCCGGTCCTTCTACGAGTCCCTGATCCGCGAGTTGCCCCAGCCCCAGAGTCTCCGCATCGCTCCTCTCCGAGAGCCCGTCTCCTCGCGGACTCTGAACATCCCATCACCGCTCGAGCCCAATGCCAGCGCCGTCCACGACCCCAAGGCGACCAGTGCAGCCGGCAGCGGCACACTCCCGCCCCGTAACAACGACTCCAGCGGAGGACCGCCGGAGGGCGGCCCCCAGACGCGAAGTAAAAAGAGCGACCCGTCGGTGGACACCCTCTTGACGCATGACCCGCCCCCGAAACCCATCCTACCGAGCTTTGTCAATCCTCGCGCGCTCGAGCGGTTCCCCTACTCCTCGTTTGACGATGACGCTTCCGGTCGTAAACGTCGCCGCTTGGATGTCCAGGCTGATTCCTTCGGCCAACACCTCCAGCTGCCCATCCCCCAGGCAAAGAAGGAACAACGACCCCGGCGGCCGTTCGGTCCGTTCGCCATCGTCAACGGTCTCTGTGAACCGCCGCCCAACGCCGCCCTCCTCCCGTCCATAGATGACTCAATCACTCGGCTGCTGAGCAAACCCACCCGGGAGGATACGGTGGTGGAGCCCGCTCTGTTGACGAAGCAACCCGCTGCAGATGGCCAACGCGAACGGCGCGAGGGGCGGATAGAAGAGATCCTCGATTCTCCGGTGGTGGAGAAGGCCGCGGACGAGGACCAGGGAGACGCTGTTGGCCGGAGGGAACCAAACGTCGAACCAGACCAGTCTCAAAAATCCACCGAGGCTGCAGCCGAGCCACTCTCTCCGAAAACGCGGGGCCGTTCGCGCAAGAACGTCCGCAAGTGGACCGAAGAGGAGACGACGGCTCTCCTCCGCGGTGTGGTCAAATGCGGCATCGGCAATTGGACGGCCATCCTGGCGCAGCCGGAGCTCAAGTTCAACAAACGGAGTGCATCGAATCTGAAGGACCGCTTTCGCGTCTGTTGTCCGTGGGCGTACCGCGCCGCGGACCCGAACGAAGCTACGAAGAAACTGCGAGATAGTCTCGCTGATGCGCTCTCCCGCGCGGAAGCTGACGGCCCCGATGGGACCTCGGGGAAGATTCACCTCCCGCATCCGTGGCCTGCTGAGTCGGAGTCGACCACCACGGGAGACGGCTCAGCGGGTACGGTGGAGGAGACCCCGGCGTCTGGGGCAGCTTCACCGCAGAGGGCGGATCCTCCAGAGCCAGGAACGCGCGCAAAGCGAAATGCATCAACGATAATGCCCACTCTTACTGGGAAATCTCGGTCTACGCTGGCGTCACTGGGAATCCCCGAGCCGCACGTTACTATGAAATCGCGACGACGCTCGCGACGGCCGTTTACGGCTACCGAGGACGAGGCTCTACTGAAAGGCTACGCGGTGCACGGGTTCCAGTGGACACTGATCCAGCAGGATAAGCGCTTGAACCTCAGCCATCGCAGAGCAACGGATCTGCGGGATCGTTTCCGGACCAAGTTCCCCCATGCGTATCGAGACGGCGGCTCTGTCAGCGGCAAATCGCTCCATAGTGCAGAGAAGCCTCTAGATACGGTGACCAAGTCGAACTCGCAGGCGGCCACGCCGCCCTCACAAACCAAATCTGACGCAGCAGATCAGACCGTCGGGCCCGTCGACCCGGCGCTCTCGCCTCCGGCTCCGCCAGGCTATCTCGAGAATTCGACTGGGTTCCAGTTTCCGCTGGACGAAGCCACCGGAGGAGCGGGCGTGGACGCGTGGGATAATACTCTTGCCCCTATGATGTGGGATGAATTGACTTGATCTTCCGGGGCAGTCGCTCATATGTAGATTGGCATGTACAGAAGGAATGGACATAGCATCGCGCGTAGACTAACGACCGAATGAAAGGTATCAATTAACAGAGTATACATCACGGCCCGTAAACCGACAAGAATCAATGCAGTCCTGTTCACCAGGAACAAGGTATAACGGATACAACGCTTTGCTGAGGCAGGCCAGAAACATAGGAAAGAGTCCACATCAGATCACACCCCATCACCGCAGCAGAGCCCTCATCTACCACGCATTGCGATCCCAGTTCGGATCTACACCAGTCAGCACCAGCAAAAAAAGCCAACAAAAAGAAAGAAAGAAATTACTCACCCTGTATAAAACTCGCCAACACCTTACTCCCCGTCTGCAGCAGCGGATGCCCGGCGACAATCTGCAAGAACCGCTGCAGGCCCTCGCGCCGGTGCTCGATCACATCGTCGCTGAACCGGTTGGTAAACACCTTCCCCGGCAGCGGCGGGATCGTGACGCGCGTGCTCTCGCGCTCGAGGATGTCGCGGAAATACTCAAAGTCGGAGTACCGGCGGCGCACGACCGAGTGCTTCAGCTTGAAGGCTGGGATGTTGGTGCGGCACACGATCTCGTACGAGGTGTACATGTTGCGGGATGTGCCGTGGGTTTGGGGGTTGCGGACCTATTATCATTATCTTTAGTATGCTGTCGCTGTCGCTGTTGCTGTGTGTCTTGTGTCTGTGTGGAGGGGAAGGGGAAGGGGAGGGAGGGGTGACAGGGTCGGTTGTGTTCGGACGCACCTCGATCTCGAGAAAGTTCTCCGGCGGCCCGTAGATCTCCTCAAAGGTTTGCTGTCGCGACTCGGGGACGGCCTGCATTGTGATTTTTTTCTGTCCTGGTTGAAGGTAAAGATTTGGAGGTCCGTGGTGCAGGTGCTGGTGTGGATGGTGACAGAACGGGTGGGGACCGCGGGGAAGCGGGATGTGTGCAGTGCAGGGCTGGTTGATGGACGGATGCAAGTCAACGGGGCTTATACGAAGCACAGAGCTCGGGGGCCCAGCGTTCGAAGATTCGCGAGCTTTCGGGATAGACAGCTAGAAACAGGAATTTGGGCAGAAGTTATGACGACGCTGGAGGCTCGATTTGATAGAGCGCACGGTCCGGCTCTTACGTAATCCTTATCAATGACCGTTGAGACATGGCAGTATGGCAGTTAGATGGCATACTGGCTATATGGATAATGCATATAGGATACTCATGAGATGCAGAATCAATTTGTCTAATACACTGAAGAAGCTAGAACCCGTAAACACACCGATTTCCCGATAAGCCGTAGAAACAGTAAATCAATCGAACTGTAGTACAGAGAAAAGAACCCCGACGATAGCAATGCAGACACCGAATTAAGCAGAGTATGAGCGCATGAAGAACAAGAGAAACACCTGCCGGAATGTCATCATGGTGAAATAGAACAGAGAGAAACTTTTGATCTCTACTCCTGTCGACTGCGCTTGGCGCCATGCGGATTCCACGATCCATCGCCAACGCCGCCCTGGTTGGGGAAGAAGCCCTGGTTGAATCCGGGATTGGGGCCTTGGAAGCCGCCTTTACCTAGCCATACCGCGGTCAGAACACACACCCCATGGTGACTCCATCGACTCCATCCGTGCGTGGTGACACGTACCTTGCATGCCCATGTTGCCTCCCATGCCGCCCATCATCGGGTTCATTCCACCGCCCATCGGGTTCATGCCCATGCCTCCCATCGGGTTCATCGGCATGCCCATCATATTCGGTCCGCCGCCCATGCCACCACCGCGGCCGCGCATGCTGGCCGGTCCGCCGCGCATGCCACCCATCATGCCGCCGCGTTGGTTGAACCCGTAGTTCTGCATGCCGCCCATCGCGTTCCCGCCGAAGCCGCCCGCCATGGGATTCTGGAACCCACCCATCGGGTTCTGGAAGTTCCGGTTGTTGTACCCGCCCATGTTGTTCATGCCGCCGCGGTTGTTGAAGCCTCCCCGGCCGCCGCGGAAGCCCCCGCCCATGTTGTTCATGCCGAAGTTCATGTTCTGGTTGGGCGCGTTGAACCCGCCGGACATGGCGCGCGCCTGGTTGTCCTTGCGAATGGGGGCGTCCTTGGGCAGCGTGCGGAACGGGTTGGGTTGCGGGCTTGTGTAGGTGACTGTGTGTTTGCGGCCGGTTTGCCCCGTGATGTTGAATGACTCGATCTTGTGTTTTGTGGCGGTAGCCGCCTGCAGCGAGGTGAATTCGACAAAGACTTGTCTGTACGCAGCTTACTTAGTACGGTGGGATAGTGCTGAATGATATGCATGCCATACCCTTTACTCTTGCCGTTGACTTTGTGCTCACTGAAGGTGACATCCTTCAGCTCATCCTCACAGTCGGCCTGGCGGACCCAGCCGCGGATGTCATCGTCGGTCGTCCACCAGAACAGATCGGAGATCAACAGCGCCGGCATTGCATCAGGATCGGTGGGCCGATCATCGTGTTCCTTGCGTTTCACGCCCTGTGTCGGTGCTGGCGTTTCACTCGACGTGTGTTGCGTGTTAGATTCTGGTTGTGTTACATGCTCGCCATTGGCACCGGTGCCGTCCGCGTGGTCCTGCTTCGCGTCGGTCTCTGTGAAACCATCGTTCTGTGCGGCACCGCTCGTCTGCGGCTGGTCGGGAGCGTCTAAGATCAGCTCCGAGTCGTCGTGTTTCATGTCATCGCCTTGGTCATTGGCGTTGTATCCGCTGCCATCTCCGTAGATGTCAATATCGAAGTTATCGTCCTCAGTGGCCATCGTGCTAGAGGGGGGCTCGGAACGTCAGAGCCACAGGGAACAGCTTGATTGTGCAAAATACAGTCCTTGTTTTCTTCTTGCTTTGCTTTTCTCAGGTTCTTGCGATGATTCCAAAGTACATGTCTGCAGACGGAAGTCGTCAATTAGCATGGAGATAATCATTCATTGAAAATAACGGCTTGTGAGTCCTGAAAGTCGAGGGAAAAGATGGGGCCATCCTGGACGAAAGAGAGAAAACAACGCACATCCCCTTCACCACACCAGAAGCAAGAACAGGGCGATCAACGACAGGAGGATAGAAGGCTCGAAGATACGTACAATCCGAAGCGAACACAGCTTCACAGAGGAACAAAGTCTTTTCACCGAGTCCAGCAATGTGACCGCTCTGATGCGGAGATACAGAGCGTAGTGTCTCCTCTCCAGAAGTGATTCCAAGTACAGGTAAAAAGTAAGAGAAGTGTCTGTCCACAGAGATGAGGATAGTATCCTTTCACAGAAGGTGTCGCCGATGATGAAAGTCCTGCTGTTCCAACGGCCAGACAGTGAGAAGAGATCCTTGCTTGAGAACAGTCTGATATCACCCTTCCGATCAGAACACAGAGCAAACGTAGACAAGTGAGAACGCAAAAGTCGTAGGTGAAATGTCGGTCCGGCTGCTGGTTAGTCTTCAAATGCGAATGATCCAGGAAGTACACGGGATCTCCGCGCAGGGTGTATCCCCTGAAAGGTGACCGTCAGCACACGGGAGTGCGTAATGAACAAGTGAGACGGGGGAGAACAGTCGGCGGAAGTGCGGACAGATGATGGGTCGTCGAATTCCCTCGTGATACGGTTTTGACGGGAGTGATGGGACGAAGGGGAGAGAATGGAAGTGAGAGACAGCTTCGGATCGCGGTCGAAGGAGCTGCGGTGGAGGAGCTGATGTTCCGGCCCGGGACGGGACAACCTTCCTCCGGTATCAGTATAAACATTTCGCACGCATATTGTTACGACAGTCTTCAGCTTAAAGGCGTTCATTCATCATATACTAGGCAGACTATACACAGTGTATTTTGTAAGAGAAGAAATGTACCCCATTTTCTGAACCTCACCAAAGTTCATAGGCATACTCGTCATCCAGAGGCGTCCGAGTCCGTTCAACTGGTCGACTCCTCAGATATCGAATCGTGTCCTTGAATTGGTTGAATTCGTTCACATAGTTCAGCCGACAGTCGTAGCTCTTTCCGACTGGCGGTTTGCCCTCATCCTCTGCGGCCCCGTCATTCCAGCTATGTAACGTGCAGGTACCTGTCGACAGGCCCCAGCCATTCCATGACGTCGCTGCAATATCATTAGCCTTTTAGTCTTTCCCCACGAAACAAACCATTGCGTGAAACTTACCCGCAAGGACTGGGGCATTGGGGTGCCAGCTAGCATCTCGAACACACGTTCGCCATGTCATCTCGCCGCTCCGCGTGCGCATCTCATACGCGGTCGTATAGATGTCCTGATCTTGCGGACGCGTATCTTCCGTAGCCTGGCCAACATCGATCGTGCCAGCGAGCGTGGCATCCAGGTTATATACATAGACCTTTCCATCTTCGCTACCCGTGTACACGTATCGCGAATTGGTACTTCCCGGCGGGGAGAAGTGACACCGGATGAGGGTCTTGAGCACCCGATGGCCACCCCGGAACGTGACCACGGAGCAGTCGTGTGGATGTTGATAGTATCCCTCGGGATATCGCTCAAACCGGTAGTCGAAGCCTGTCGTGTACCGGTGGATGTCTACCGTATCGAACTTGGCGGTCGTCATCATCTTTCGCAGATCCCACAGTTTCATTGTCTGGTCCTTGCCGTTGGAGAGAACATATCGCCCGTCGCCTTTACTGTCGACATACGTCAGTCCCTCCGTGTGTCCCATGAAGACGCCCGCTTCGCGTCCGTCGCCCATGGAGCGCCGATCCCACACGCGAAGTGTGGTATCGTCAGATCCTGAGTAGAGGATATGGGGTGAGGATTTATCGCCAAAGCAGACAGCATTGACATCGTCTTCATGGTTCTGTAAACGCAAGACAGACTGCATAGTTTCGATGTCGTACACCACCACCGACTGGTCCGAGGTGCCTGCAACAATCTCGCGTCCGTCTCCGGAAAAGCGCAGAGACCAGATCTATCTGCCGTTAGAGATATTCAATTCACATGTCAGAAAAATGTCTTACCCCAAAGTGTGAGTTGCCGTATAGGGGCCCACGGTCCGGGCGCCTAGAAACCGATGACAGATCCAAGATAGTAGGCTCGGAACTGTCAGCCGGATCCGTCGGCGCCAGACAGACAAGATTTCGAATCGACGAATACGCCAGGAACCTATTGTCAGGGCTCAAAGTGGCATCGGTAATAGTCCACTGACCGAACCGGTAGTCGACCGTCTTGTAGTACTTCCATTCGTACGGATTCGACGTGTCATACATCCGGACCTTGAAGTCCTGCGCACAGCAAAAGAAGAAATTCCCGTCGTCGGAAAACTGCCCCGAGTAACAACGGGAGTCGAAATGGATGATTTTGTCCGCAGCAGAGCCCGGTATCAGGCCCTACATTCCCAGCTCTCATTAGCATCACTCCAGCCGAACCTGGGGGAGAAACACTCACCTGAGAAATAGCCCGTACGTCTCTCTTCGGACCCCCAGAGACATCCACGCCCAGCTCACGCCACATGACCTTCGTCGCGAGCGAGCGTTTGCGCTTCTTCAGCTCATCGACATAATAAGAGTTGCTCCCGAAATCGCCGGAACTCATCAACTTAGCACCCTCTTCGCTCGGAACCTTCGGTGGTTCATGATTCCCAGTCCGTCGTGGTCGATTCCGATAGCTGAAGAATCCAAAGTCGTCGTCTTCGTCATCCTCCTCTACGAAGTTCCCGCGCCAGGCGTTGGAGTGGAGGATATGCCGCAGGCCATTGGAGGCTAGTAGATTCAAGAAACGGCTGGCTGCCACTACAACATCAGTCTCATCAGTCCTTCGGAATCCCCCATCGCACTTCATGCTTCGCACAACCTCAAGGAACATTACCTGTCATACCTCGGCTGTGTTCTCCGCGGCCGCCGCCATTGTCTTCGGCGTCGTCCATGCTGAACTCGATGTGTATATTTCCGGCCGGGATACCCAGGCCACCTTCACCAAGGAATCAAGCATTAGCCTCGCACAAGAGAATAGATGCAAGAAAGACGAGGAGGTCGTACCAAACCCAGCGGCGTGGAAATCGGCGTCTTCGTCGGCCAATCCGTCTTCCTCGTCCTCGTCGTACAGATCAGGAAGGGCGTCGTGGTCTTCCGAAAATTCCGATTCTGGCTCAAAGTCCATGTCATTCTCGTCGTCATCCGCTTCGAGCCACTCGCGCGCTGGATGCCATGTAGTCGGTGTTTGGCTGCGGGACTCCGGTCGGTCACCGGCCGCGGGAGGAGAGCCGGAGGAACTCATGGTCAGGTGAAGATGTGAGGGGGGGAAAGGAATCGAGTGTCGGCCGCAGGGGTCATATCAGACCCTCGTTTGGCTTCCAATCGTAATAATACCTTGGCAAGTCAATGGCGGAGGGCGAGACAGGGAGTCCAACGGTCAATTGGTTCTGGGGGCGCACTGCTTATCGATACACACCGGTTATGTCATCTTCCCCACTTTCCGTGTTAACTCCTATCCCCGAGGCCGACATGAGATGTATCCAAGTGAAAGGCCATGGATTCGATAACGCCAGCAAAAGGCTATAAATCACAGATTGATCCAATATAGAACAACAGAGGTATCCCATACGCCCAAGCATCCAAGTCCTCGCACTGTACAATGCATCAATACATCGTACCACTTTTCAAGTACAGGCAACAACGTCTGTCGCGATGAGCGAGCCATTCCGCATTCTCAGGATAGCAATCAAGAATTGCCAAAAGAACGCCATTACCCACCGCATTCCATTATCATCATCGTCATCATCACAATCCAAAAACGTATATTCCGGGGATGCAAACATGTCGGTCATGCCAGTATTGATGAAGGAAATGATCTCGCAGATTCGTTCAAGCAAGGCCTGCGAATCAGGCCCAGCGCTGCCGTCGCCGACTCTGGTCACCTCACCACTTGGGGTGGTGGACTTCGAGTCGAAGTTGCTGTTGCATGCAATCGCTTGCTTATCAGTCCCCGGGGCTGCATTGGCAACCGACGCATATCGTGCAAGTACTCGAGCAACGGCCTGAAGCTTCTTCCGCAATCGAGCAGAGCGCTTGCGCGACACTGCCTTTGCAGCAGTGGACGCTGCATCACGTAAGATCGGGGCATCGTGGTGTTCGCTCTGCATCTGCTTGGCGATGAAGGAAGTCCCTTGGAGAGCGATGTTTGGGATCATGTTGCGGCCTTTGGTGAAGAGGTCTGCCTTGGATCCCAATCCTACACCGTCTTACTTAGCATAAACACATCGTCAATCCAGAGTGAGGAAGTCCTACCATAGAATCCCAAAAACGGCAACATTATGCGAAGTCCTGGGTCGCAAAGCATCGCACTGCGATACAGGCTGCCTGAAACCACCCCCTTGGCCAAGAATGGCCGGAATTCCATCTCACAGATTGCTATCAAGATGCCCCCTTCAGCTAGCTTGAGGGACATCGTGCTCGGCCGACGGGTTATTCTGCTCGAGATCAACTTGGAGTCTTTAGAGGGGACTCCATACTCTCTTGCCCAGGTCCTAGCGGTGAAGGACCATCCTACCCCAGCTTCAGAAAGGATGCGAGTGAAGCATGACAGGTCGCTTCTGGAGCCATGGTCTCTTGTAGCAAAATCTTTGAGGAAGTCAAGCTCTGCGGGTTTGCGAATCCACTCTTGCATTGCGTCGTTGTTGATCTTCCATTTTCCCGAGAGATCTTCGGTGAATGCTGTACCACACGGACCATTATCCAAGTGTTCATGCTGGAGCTCATCGAATAAGGACGTGTCATCCTGCTCCGAAGATAGAGAGGAGCTTTCCCACAGATTTGTTGATGCATCTTTGGAAAGGAGACGACTGCGAGGAATTTCAATCCGCAAAGGGGCAGGTTGTGGGAGCGAACATGTCTTGTCAGCACAGGCGTGACATCTGTCAACGACGTGCTTCTGCGTTCGACACCTGTCACATCCCTTGAACAGGTGGCCACATGACTTGCAGCTGTCCCTGGGACCGTCGTTCACATCACGAGGAGAATGGTCTGGGTCCTTCGGGATGAGTCCTAGTTCATCGGGACGGGTCTCACGGGCAAGGGCTGGAGCGGAAGAGTGGCGTGCATGAAGAGCGCGAGTCAGGGTAGATTCCATATTCTTCGGAGGCGGCGGATGAACTCTCTTCACGCTGGGCAAAAGCTCAGTGAGGTCACTGAGCAGGGTCGGTGGCTCCGGGCTCGACGCTTCGCTGCATGGGGTGGAAAGACAAGGCGACTCCGAAAGGGGGCTCTCACCGTCCTGGACACTAGCTCCATGATGGCGGTTGTATCCAGAATACCCGGAGTAACCGCCGGGTTGATATGCCCCATGTCCTTGGTGGGAGTGTTGGTGTCCTGTTCCACCCAAGCTTCCAGGAATCTGGCCTCCAAAAGCACCGCTCGCACCCGCACCGGAAGCGCCACCACCATAGTTGCCACCTCCCCCGTTATGCCCATTGTGGCGTGGCCGAGTGACTCCGCCGATGACTTGGCTATGGCTTTGAAAGCACACCCAGTACCCATCCCAGGTGTCATACTCAATCTTGCAATAATCACATTGGAATGGTCCGGGCACTTTAACCTTGAATTGAGTGATCGCGTCTTTCTGGTGCTTCACGCGGCTATGGCCGTCAATGTGGCTGGTGGCCTTGTCTCTTCTGGGGAACATCTCCAGTGGGCAATAGGGGCACTTATAAACCGCGGGGGCCTTGTGCTTATGAATAACGTGTCTCTGAAAGGTGCCTCGGTTCATCAATTTACCCCCGCACAAGCCGCAACTAAACACTTTTTTCGAGTTGTTCTGGAGGGATCGGGGAGTATCTGAGCTGCTGTCATCGCTGCTCGGGTACGCATCCGTAACTCCAAGATATTCGTCGAATAGCTTGTTGATGTCACAGAAGCCTTCGTGGAATCTCTGGCGGATCTGGAATAGCTGCTCTCGGTCACCACTAAGGCGGGTAACGGATTCGCGGATAAGCTTAAACCATTGGTTCATTTGAGAGGTGAGCGCGGCTGCGTCCTCCTCAGATGTCGTTTTGCCCTGTATGGAGCCGGTGGGTAGTTGTACACCGCTGGGCGTTGTGTAGTCGACGTTGTAAGGCTGAGGGCTCTGGTAGCCCATCATTGGCCCCAGGCCGTGTCCGATGGTCCCATTGTCGAAGCCCATTTGTCCATGTGCGGACTCCATACTGGTGCCGACTGGGGTGGGAGGGAAGTGGTGGTCGAATGGCCCTGAGAACTTCAAGACCCTGTCAGTGGCTTTGTAGGATACTTCGAGAGCCAGGCTAGTACATATAGTGACTTACAGCATACGGGCGAGGAGTCAAGTGAGATTGATCAAATTGTGCGCTGGGTTGACCATAGATCCTGGAGTCAGGGTAGTTCTGGTCCATTTCCTCCATCTCGCGGTATTCGGGGAGGTCCCCCTCCAAGTCCAAGTTGAAGAGGGAAGAGTCACCCATGGTGAACAGGCTTTTGGGGGGAGAAGAGAAAATAATTCAGGAAGAAGAGTCAGATACGATATGACGACGAAGAATCACAGCACACAAGGCACACCGGTCCACACAGCTGATGCCAACCCAAGTCACCTGTCAGGGCGCGAGGCTGAATCAGTGAGATAAAAAGAGACGGGCGGGGAAACGATTACCTCATTCCAGGGGAGTAATCTAGAATGACTGAAAACGAAGGTGAAGAGGAACAGGGAACAAACGAACTGGGAGGTTGTCAGGTTGACGAGGCATCCTTCTTATAACGACTGCCCATGAGATTGGATAAGCACAAGCCACCACTCCTCCCACCAGGACAGGACAGGAGAGGACAATTCCGTTACGAGGGCCAACACCGCCTGGTCGAGTAATGAACTGGAAGAACGTTCCTCACCGACTCTCTGTTCAAGAAAGAAGGGAGGGGAGAAGGGCGATGGGCGTTTTCGCCCCGATTTACCCAGCCTAAAGAGAGTACTAATTTCACTCTATGAGCAGAAGTGCCGAAGCTGCATCTCTCACTGGATGCTTAACTCCTAGTCTGCTTTTTCTCCGGATGATCGGTCACCCTTAATTATTCTAGTTCAAAAAAGTAAAATAAAATGAAATGAAATAAAATAGATCGATTGTGGCTTTCCACCGCAGGGGATCCTACTCCGTATGTCGTTCCATGGTTGAAAGTGGTAGCTATACTAGGTACCTAAGTACCTTATCTACGTACCGTTGCTTCTATGTTTTTATTCCCACGTCTGGGTAAGTTTCTAGTTGGGGTATATCCATATCAACTATCATAATTGACGTGCATTCTACAGTCCAGGATGAACGATGGTGGTCTTTCGGGTACCTACTTGAAGCTCTCGCTTACGTCATGGACCGAGAGAAAGCAGACCATCGGCCAAGATATGTTTTCTTTTGCCCCATTTCCTTTGTTCTCTGAAGTCATGCGTGATTGGTTTTGTTTGGTGACCATTTGCTCCTCAAGAAAAAGAAAAGAGAAAAAAGGATCGGGGGTTTTTTGCAGGTGTATGTCCCCGCCCTGCCGAACGTGAGGATATCCCAGAGCGACGGACCCCTTCTACGGCGTACACCTCTGATCAACTCCGCGACGAATAATCGATACCCAATTGAGAGCCAACGCATTGAGACCTTACGATTGGAACTAAGGGTAAACTACCCTGACCTTCCATCCGACAATGCGGCGCAGCTCTCTCCCCTCGCGACGTCACTCATCAACCGGAGACGAACCGTTTGTCAGCTCCAGACCGCCGAAGACAATCTCTATCGGTCATGAGAACCCCTCGGGATGTTTCAGCAAGGATGTAGGATATACAGGATATACAAGTGGAGACATGCACAGACAGCATCCGAAGCGGAATAATGATGAGAAAATGAAGGTTCGGTCCTCGACAGCCGGGCTGGGGCAACAGTGGAGCTCTGATCTGCGAGAAGTGTAGTCTGGAAGTACAAGTAAGAAGTCTGGACTCTTTCTTAGCTGCAATCCCAAAACCCCCGTTCGTCATCGACAGCGTCGAGTACAAATTAACCCCAACTTTTGCCACCGAGAACCTGTAAAAAAGCAATGATGCCTCTCCCCGGCCGAACGTCACAGCCTCCTTGTCCAGTCCTCGAGTCTATTGCCAAGCCCGCACCGTCGGCAACCGATGGGAGGCCTGACGAGCTCGGAGGCAGCCTTGGGTAGGCATCGTTCGCCACAGGGAGGGATAGAGTTTGATGATGGTTTTCTGCAGGTCGATTATTTCTCATCACAACTCCTTCGCGCTATCGAAAATGGACAGGTTAATGAGGGGAAGGGGAAGGGAAGGGAATCCATGGACGATGTCTCACAGTGTGGCGGTGCCACGTAGAGCCGCATGATTTGTGGGTTTGTGGCGGTGCAGAGGGGTCTCATTGTAGCCTATCCCAATGGGGAAATCATGTCAGATTTTGGCGAAAAAGATACTCTGTAGATGACGAGGGTCTGAGAGTTGTGGATACTTTGTGTGCCTAGCTAGCTTCTGCCTTGTCTCAGCGTACACAGTGGGAACAAAGAAAGCTTCCAGAAGCCGCCCGTCCAGGATTATTCGATTTTAATCCAGCCTGGACAATGCCATAGACCTTTCTATCTCCTTTCCCAATGAGCCACAAAAAGAGGCGGTGGAGGATTCAGGGCGTCTTGCCCAGGATTCACGGTGAACTGTCATTTCCTATTCACAAGATGAGAGGTGGATATTGTATACATGCAAGCCTTCTTCTAAACACCCGAAAGTACCGCGAACCCCAATAATGCAGAAGCTATAATACAATTATAATATATATTATAAAAACAAGATAAAATCAAGAAGTTGTACCAAAGAGGCGCAGAATTACCTCATACCTATCACAGTCAGGTCCAAATTCAAACAGGAACAAAGGGAAAAATCACTTACATCCCAAACATGATCGCAGCCGAGGGAACGACGCGAAGCAGATGCGGCGTCAACCCACCGTACAGCCCGACCATCCCCTCCTCCTTCCAGACCGTCTTGAAGCACTGCACGAGACCCGTGTACTTCATTTCCACCTTGCCATCTCCGATCGAGACCGTGGGGGCCTGTCGCAACCGCGTCCGTACCACCTCATGTGGATACGTCGCCGCCGCCGCGATCAGCTTGGCCACGCCCGCAGAGCAGATCCGGCCTCCCCACACCTCAACATCGTCCCAGGCCCCGTACTGGTAGTGAGGGTCCGCTCGCTTGGCCGCTTCGCGGCGCGCCAGGAACATCTTCATCTGCTCGTACATCACCCACTGCAGCGTGGACTCGGTCACGCCCAGGTACGACGCCGACAGGCCCTTGTAGAGCCCGCGGATGCCCTCGTGACGCACCGTCTGCCGGATACAGTCCCAGCTGTTCTTGTACTGCCGGCCCTGCCCGTGCTCGGCGTTGGACTTGTCAAGCTGGAGTCGCGTCTTCACCAGCCAGATCGGATTGGTCGCGGTACCCGTCGCGATGCCCGCCACCGCCGCGGCCGTAAGATGGACGCCGACCGGCGTCTCGCGCACGTCGCGGTAGCCGAAATAATCACTCAGGAGGCGCTTCCCGTTACCGTACACGTAGAAATTGATCGCACGCGCGGGCACCACGCCGATCAGGTTGGGGCCTAGGCCCTTGAACAGGGCGCGCCAGCCCTCATGCACATGGATCGACCGGAGGATCTGGAACGTCTCGTTGAAGTGCATCAGCGCACTGCGCGGCAGCGACGTCAACGCCGATGGCGATGCGGGCAGCGGGTGCGCAGCGCGGAGCTCCCGCAGCTGCGCCTGGTAAAAATCCGACTGCAGCCTTGTTTTCAGGACGTCAAGGGGGGATGTCAGGGTCGCCGCCGTCATGCCTCCGATTCTAGAACACGTCCACGGGTCAGCTGGGCGGCGTCGATCGGGAAGGATGCGCCAACGCGCGCGGTCTCGATCATTTGCTTACCCACCCGCGAAGAAATGAGCCCATGGCTTTGCTTGGTTGTTTGTGCCCGAGCCGGGGACGAGCTTCTGCGTTTCGTTGGGAACGACGTCCCCCGTCTCACGCGACTGTACGACGATGTCATTGCCGAGATCTGGTCGAGGATTCCCAAGGGCCAGATGCGCCTGCGCAGAGCTGGGTTGAGCGCCGGTGACAGGCATCTCGAGGGTGTTGCACCAGTCGCGGCGCAAGGCAGTGAAAACAAGGCGTTATTGATAATCTATGCAAATCATGTATTTCGTATTATCCAGAACTCCGATGCTTCATGAAGAGAATGGAAGTGAGACGAGAATCTATTAATGGGAAGGAGTTGAATGAGAGGTTGACATAATCCGAGAATCATTTTTTGCTTTGGCGGAACGGTCTGGATTTGCCGCCGATAAGAAATTTGCCGCCCCGGAGGCTCCTGAGTATGACTGCAAGCAATGATGTACTATTATATGGCTCTTGTTGTTCCTACGACTCTACGGACTGGTTGTATCCTCACAGTCCACTTGTACCAGCCAATGCTTTTGCAGAAATACATAACGAAGCAATGTCATAATTATCCTCATATTGTCGTACATGCTCCTTGGGTCTTGACATACACAGGTCAATTTCCGCGATCCCATCAATTCAATTGACGAATCCTCCGACATCAACTGGGAAATGCTCGCACTCCCAATTGCGTAGGTGCAGATACATAGACGTCGGACAGCACGGACGTAGATCGACGCCAGACTCTGAACAAGGGAATCGAAATTTTGTTTTTTCATTCAGGGGAATCTATGCACAGGCTTAGATGTGCTAGTACATCCGAAAACCCTCCATTTTGCGCTTCGTCTCAATGCAAAATCCACCCATGGATGGCAAAACCCAGAAACACCAAACAACCGCATCGACCATTCCATTCGTTTAGATGTGGGTGTCGTAAGGGATGGGAGTGATGGTCTCGGCGGTAACACCCTCGACGACGTGAGCCTCACGGGGCATGGCGGGCTGACGCTTCAGGTGGAGGTGGATGCCCTGCTCCTTGGCCTGGCGCTTCTTCTCGGCGTTCTCCTTGACACGCTTGATGAAGTCCTCACGGGAACGGGAGTGCTTGACGTGCTCGATGCGGACGTTGACGCGCTTCTCGATGTAGCGGTTGCCGACAACCTTGTAGAGGAGGACACCGACGGAGGACTTGGTCACGTTGTAGACGACACCGGTCTTTCCGTTGAAAGCCTTGTAGGGCATACTAGATTCCAGATTCTCAGCAATTCGTCCTTTCTCATATGTTCATGGCGAAACCGGAGATTCCGCGATGTCGAAATCGCACTGGGCGGGGGGAGGAAAAAACTGACCCCTTCTGGACGGCACCGTTGACCTTGATATCCACAATGTCGCCAACCCTGTAGAAAAATCATCAGATGCTGCTCGTAAGACGTATCGTCTGGAATTATTTTTCGCGAAGGATTTCGTCGTACCGGTAGGTCTTCAGGTAGGTCGACAGGCGGATCTGGCCGTGCTCCTTGAAGTTACGGCTGAAGGCATACTAAAATGAGCAGGGCGGCGTTAGTTATCGGAATGTCGTCCATCACGCAAATAAAATCATTGTCTTCCATCGGTCAAACATACCCGAGTGCCGCTTCTCAAACCGTGCGAGTGACCCATGTCGGCGGTGTTGGTGGTGCTGCAGTTGGGGACTTGTCGACAACGAAGAACACTCGATCCGCCTGTAGCGATGGTGTAGAGAGTGCTCGGGTGGCTTAGTGCGCGGCTCCCCACCGCCTTTTAGGGCTAACCCTGGTTAGGGTCCACTACCCTCGCTTAGGGCTTCCCGCCGACCCTCCCTCATCTCAGCCTTGGAATCTCTGTTGCGAATCTCCTCGTGAAGTTAGGTGTGTTCGACAATCTCGCGACAACGCTCAACCAGCAGCCATGGCCCCCGTTCCGTGAGTAACTGCCTCGAGGATGCATGCATGTCGGTCGCATCGTTCTAACCGTCTTGTTTTCGCAGTCGCGTCTACTCCAAGACCTACAAGGTCCCTCGTCGTCGTAAGTGGCCTTTGCGAAATATCTTGAAATTTGACAAAGTCCCGTGCAACCGCTAACTTATTTCCAGCCTTCGAGTCGGCTCGTCTGTTAGTACTCTCCGGCCACTAATCAGAAGCGTGCTTCTGTTTATGTCGTGTGTTTCCGTGCCTAACCTGTTTGTGCTAGTGACTCGGAACTGAAGATTGTCGGCGAGTACGGCCTGCGCAACAAGCGTGAGGTGTGGCGTGTCCAGCTTACCCTGTCCAAGATTCGTCGTGCTGCTCGGTATGTGCTCTGGAGGAAACGGAGAGATACAATGGGAGGAACATGTGGCTGACGGTAGTCCAGTGAGCTGCTCACCCTCGACGAGAAGGACCCCAAGCGTCTTTTCGAAGGTAACGCTTTGATTCGTCGTCTGGTCCGCATCGGTGTGCTCGATGAGTCCCGCATGAAGCTCGATTACGTCCTGGCCCTCCGTGTCGAGGACTTCCTGGAGCGTCGTCTGCAGACCTGCGTGTACAAGCTTGGCCTCGCCAAGTCCATCCACCACGCCCGTGTCCTGATCAAGCAGCGCCACATCCGGTATGTTGTGCTCGTCCGTTGTCTCGCCTCCAGTGGCCGCTAACGTTCCTCACAGTGTCGGCAAGCAGATCGTCAACGTGCCCTCCTACATGGTCCGCCTGGACTCCCAGAAGCACATTGACTTCGCTCTCACCTCCCCCTACGGTGGTGGCCGCCCTGGCCGTGTCCAGCGCAAGAAGGCTGCTGCTGCTGCTGGCGGTGACGGTGGTGAGGAGGAGGAAGATGAGGAGTAAATTATCAAAACCGGAGTACGGACGGGTTTCGTTAAGGAACATAAAAACTAGGGGGCTTCATGGTGACTGCAGCATAGCGTCTAATGTTGTACGATCATGCCAATCAACGAATGAAAAAACAGCCTTATGGCTCAATTCGGAGGCCCTAATCTGAGTCCAAAACCGTAGCCTTCCACACCGTGCACCCGTATGTTCATGTACCAGATTTCCGCCCAAACGCCTATCGTAAATCATATAGCCATCAATATAAACCATCTCTTATCCCTCCACCCCCACAAAGTTCTTGAGCGTCTCAGCAGCACTTCGGTACCACCGTCCCATCTCCTCCAGTCCATCGCTCTCGCCTTCCTGCTTCTTCCTCTGCGCCTCTCGGGCCTGAAGCACAGCCTCCGATTTCCGTCGCTCCAGAACACCCAACTCTCGCTCGATCGCTTCCGCTTCGCGCGTCTTGCGGGGAAGGGCATTTTGCACCGCGGCAAGTTGTCGGTTGAGAGCCGCCAGCTCCGCCTCCCGCTCGGAGAGGAGGGACAGCGTCGCCGGAAGAGGCAAGTTCTGGGACGACGAGGCGTCCATATTGGCGACCTGTTTGGCACGCAGCCCGGCGATGGTGGATTCAAGGTTCTCGATCGACTCGGGGAGATTCGACAACTGGGTCATCTGGAGCTGGATGTTCTTGTATCCTGGGTCGCGCGGTTCAATCAGCATCCGACGGGGTGACAACGACTGCACCGCGAAATAGCTACTTACGCGCCGCAAGATCCCTCCCCTTCTTCTCCATTTCCTCGGTCATCACCCGCACCTCCTCCTTGCGCGCGCGCAGCTCCGCCTTCACCGCGGCCAATTGCGCCTCCAATTCGATGTTCTCATTGTGGCCCACCACCAGCGGCGGGTCGCCGACGATCGCGCGCAGGAATTTTTCTTTTGTGACTTGTTCGACGTAGGAGAAGCGTAGTTTGGAGAAGAGTTCCTGCGCGGCAGTTGCCGATTAGTGTCGTGGGCTTCTTGCTCGCGGTTGGTCTCGGACTATCTCACTTTGTAGTGTGTTAGATCGGCCTCCAGCGATGCGGGCGTGGGGTTGTCGATGGCGGAGACATCGGAGTTGCGCTTGCCAGGTGAGGGGTCTGGGTTCTCGGCTTCTGGGGAGAAGATGGGCTCGCTGATGCGAACGATCGCGAGGTGGGATTTCAAGTCGCCTTTTTCTTGGAGTTGTTGCAGTTGTTGGCGCACTTCGGCGGGGTTGATGTCGGGCATTTCGTTTTCGCTTTATTTAGTAGGTCTCAGAGTATGATGATATTATAGAACCAAGGGAGCATTGGACGAGGAAATGTATTCAGCAATTTGACGACTTTCGTGTGTTCAAGAAAACTATCGAAGAAAAGACCCGCGTCAACATGCGGAGATAAACAAACGCAAGGGATCTGCTCCGGAGGCGGTGAAGTCACCGCCCAGCAAAAGTCGCCCGCCATCGAGATACACTCGTCTTCCTTATGAACGCCCCCTTGCACTGCTGGACATAGCATCCTTTGTCGCAGATCTGACACCTACAAACAACGATATGGTTACCATCTGCTCCCTATAAACAGCCCGTTCCCCGCTCCTGACTACCCGCCGACGCCTCATCTCGGCCCACGATGCCGCCCAACATGGGGAGTACGATTGGCGATCTCAGCAACGACGACTACGTCGCGCAGGTCCTCGCTCAGGAAGCGCGCGACAGCTCCCTGAAATACTCCGCGCAGGGAATGGGAGCATACATGCCGAAACGGTGGGTGATTCTCATCAACATCTTCCAACCTACAACTGACGGCGATTGCCACAGACCCGCAGGCGCAGCCCCCAAGCCGAATACGCGATTCCTACGCCACATAATTAAAGAAACGGACAACCACAATGCCGCGCTAAAGCGGAAAGAGGAGCGCGAAGCCCGCGAGCGAATGCAGCAGCTGCGACACAAGACGGCCGCCGCGCGCCTGGCGGGGGAGTCCGAATCTCGCAGTCATCGCCACCGCGACCGGGACTCGCGCCGAGATGATCGCGACGACAGACATCGCTCCCACCGGCGGCGACACCGCAGTCGCTCCGCCTCCGTCGAGCGGGCGCGGCATCGCAAACACCGTGGACGACGCGACGAGTCGGACGACTCTGAGGAAGAGCGGTACCGGTCGTCTAGGAAGAGTCGACGGCGGCGGTCGTATTCCCGCTCGAGGAGCCGCTCGCCACGAGACGAGGACCGCCACTCGCGCAGCCATCGCCGGCGACACTACAAGCGTGCGGATCCTTCGCGATCTCGATCCCGGTCGCGATCCCCGGAAACGGATGACCGGAGGAGGCACAGGCGCAAGGAAGAGTCGTCGCGTCTGTCGCCGGTCCCCCGCGCAAGCCCTACCCCTCCCCCTGCGGCGCCGTCCGAGAATGAATCAGATCCACTGGAGGATCTGGTCGGCCCGCTTCCTCCGAAAGAGAATGCCGTGCAGCCTCTTCGCTCGCGCGGTCGCGGCGCGTATAAACTCAGCGCCAGCAACATCGACGCCCATTTTGCCGCGGACTACGACCCGACGCTGGACGTTCAGCTGGAAGACGACGACACTGCCGCGGGCAGCAAGCCCACGCGTCGCCCAGTTGCCGGACTCATGACGGGCGACGATGACTGGGAACTTTCGCTCGAGGCGCTCCGCGATCGGGCGCATTGGAGACGACGAGGCGAAGATCGGCTGCGTGAGGCTGGGTTCAACGATGCGTTTGTGGAGAAGTGGAAGGCTAATACCACTCCCGCTGCGGCGACGGAACCGGACGCTGAGGGTCGGTTGGAAGATGTGCGGTGGTCAAAGAAGGGCGAGGGTCGGGAATGGGATCGGGGGAAGTTTGTGGATGAGGACGGGCATATTGATGTCAAGGCATCGTGGTAGACTATCGGGTGCATATATTTCGGGTTGGAGTTGGTTGGAAATCATCTTTGAAGCGATATATTTTGGTTTTTATCACAGGGTCTAAAAATTCGGGTTGTACAGCTGCAATGAAGAAATGAATCACGACTATCATAGGGTGTTCATGAAGTATAGAGTGGGGTTGAATGAATATATATATTGTCGCAGACACTACCTGAGGGTCGTTACAAGCCGGCGAGGCACACGTCAAAACAACATGACACAGGGTATATGTACACCAAGTCCTTTCATTTTACACATTGCCCAGATCAGATATATAGGTGGCTTGAGAGATAGGTACCTAGTAGTAGATTATTGATGGAAAGCTCAGCGCAAGTCGCACTCCGTTCCGCGGCTTTGTCAGGAACGCGGAAATTCCCCGGCGCGCACACCATTTGTCAGATGGATGACGGATATTCAGGGTCAGATTGATAATTACGATCTCGAGATTCTTCTCTGTATATCTCGTGTTTATAAGTAGTTTTCCGGTGTGTTGCTCTTGTGCGACAGAATAATCCAGACCTTGTACGCTACAAACAATTAAGTTACGTCACGAGCCTAGTGTCTGTTCACACCGCAGCCACGCAGCCTGCCTAGACCCTCATTCCTATAATCGGGATATCTTGAGTATCGCCATGACAGACCAGTTTGCGTTTACGTACCCCTCGCCCCTGGAGGGGTACGAGAATCTCGAACCGCTTCCAGAGTGAGTCCTCACGCGATAAGATAACGACAGTGGAGACTGACGTCCAGCAGTGAGCGAAACGACGACGGCAAATCATACAAGAACTCCCAGCATGGCGTCCTGAGTAAAGCATACGAGGAGTTCCCGGACCCTCTGACCAAGGGCCGACGGGGCGGCTTCGACATCCACATCTACCATTTCCAGGTGATTCCCCAAAGCAAGCATGTGCGCGCGTCCCATGTGATCTATGACCTAAACCATCCGCGCAGACCAACCCGGACCAAGCGGCATATGCAAAGGCGCTGTGGGAGCGGATCCGACGTGAATGTCAGTCTACCCGAGAAGCAAACATTTGACAAGATTGAACCTGCTGACCGAGCGCGCAGTTCCCGAGCTCAGGATCTACCAGTTCTTTGATCGGCCAATTGGACCGCACCCTGTGGCGATGTTTGAGGTGAATCTGTTCACGCCGGCGCAGTTCGGAGCGTTTATTCCCTGGCTGGTTATCAACCGCGGGCCGTTGAGCGTGCTGGTGCATCCGAACACGACGGAGGAGGAGGAGGAGCGGAATCATACCCAGCGGGCGACGTGGTTGGGAGATCGCATTCCGCTGGATCTGCGATTATTTAAGCTGATGAAGGCGAAGAGGGAGCAGGATCTGGCTAAGAAGAAGGATTAAGAAGGGGAGGTAGTCATCATCAATCTTGTCAGGGACCTTCGTGATATTGTAGAGATAGTGGATGATCTGCCAGGGTGTTACGGGGGTACCCTGGTGACTGATGCACGTCACGGGGTTGAATAGATGGCTTGGTCATCGCCGCGCTTACCCCTGTTCGCATCTTGATCATGCTTCTGTGCCGAAGTTCGAAAGTCCCCAGGACGTACTAGGTATATCCTGAAGGTATGAGGAAATCGACACCATGGCTTTCCATCCACCTCGCTCCTTCCGGACATCCACCTTGACACCTCGGAAGGCAAAGGCGAAGCTCTCAGGTACCGCAGTAGATCGACAGGTTCCTTACTGTCTGACTTCGATTCACCCCTTCGGATTCAACCTATCATCGATTGTCTACCTTTGACCGCATTCTTAGTTCATATTCTTCGGACCCTGCCCCGACCCTTCATCTGAACTTGATATCCGCATAGAGTCGGTAAAGCTCATCATGTGGAGCTCACAGTTATCTTCCATCTTGCCTGCGCTTCCGATCTCATTACAGATCCAAACTGTCTCTGCCGGGGGCTGTGCAGAACTTCCTCCGACGCCGTTGGAAGAGACAGGCATACCAGCTTATGTGCTGGAGTACGGTAAGCGACTTCGTACTGCTTTGGGGTGCATTCTGACCAAGCACCAGCGCCACTGCTGTGGCTGCATAGCCAAGATCCATTCAGACCATCGGGGATTGGCCAGCAGGTCATGCACACAACGCCAATGGTGGATTGGGAACCAGTTCGGGGGGCGCCATCGCCGCTAACCCTCGAGAACCTTGACGCCCTCAACGAGCTGGGTAACACGAGCGTCTATCTCACCTCCCACGAAGGGTCCAACGCGGATCCTCGGCCGGGATGGTTTCACGGAACTAGCCCTGACAGCTCAGGAGAGACGGTGGACACCGTTTCGTCGTGCATGATCCTTGTTGACCACGGTGATGCGACCGACAATTCGAGCGGGACGCTGGATGCATTTTATTTCTACTTTTATGCGTGAGTCGAAACAGCCAGACCATGGTTCCGGCAGGCTGACACCCCACGAACCAGGTATAACAAAGGAAACACCGTCTTAGACATGGAATTCGGTGATCATGTCGGGGATTGGTTCGTTCGTGTGGTACTCTGCGTGCGGACCGCGTCTGACCATGGATAGGGAGCATAACATGATTCGATTCTGGGACGGTGTGCCGCAGGCCATCTGGTACAGCCAGCATGCTGGGGGCCAGGCCTTTACGTACGCGGCCACGGAGAAGAAGGGCAAGCGGCCGATAGCATATTCAGCCAACGGGTCGCATGCTGTCTATTCGATCTCTGGGTGAGTGTGGCCGGCGTGATGATTGAACTGACCCCTGACTCATGTTAATCCCCCGGAATAGGTCTCACGACCACACCATTCCGGGGCTGAACCTGCCGTTCGGGCTGATTGTCGACTACACCGACCAAGGGGTGTTGTGGGATCCCTTGCTCAGTGCTTATGCATACCAATACGACGCTGGCCGTCAGACGTTCCAGCCCTACGACCCCAGCTATCCGGTCAACTGGCTGGATTTCAACGGGCAATGGGGGGATGATGCCCTTCCGGATGGCCCAAAGAAGTTTGGCGTGGCACAATACGCGGGAGGGCCCAACGGACCCAAGTTTAAGAAGCTCGTCCGGACAGAGGTATGTCCGAGCGAGCCGTGCATTGTGCTGCCCTTCCGAATTTGGAGTCAGGAAACGTAGCCGGGCGGTGTCGGGGAAGCACTGATCACTGGTTACACCAAGCGCGGTGGTTAGTCTGGGTTCGGTTCGCGAGATACACCACCGTTACAACGGTTATCGTACATAAGTACATGGGACCGGGAGACTCGATTGATCGGAAGCGTCAGGCGGTTGTGGGGGTGTATGGGGGATAGGGGGAATAATCTCCGTGCATGGAGCGCGTGAGCGATGTGATAGATAGACTGGGGAATTGCTACTTCAATTCGACCTTGGATGTTTATACAGAGTAAGGAGTAGGTAGTTATGTGTTACGAGAAGAACCAACTTTGAGTCTGGAGCGAAGTGATCTGCTGGTCATCGAACCAAGAAGAGCAAGAGGCATGCTCAGGGGTTGCGCACCCAAGGAGCTAAGAAGTACCTCATTCAGTACCTTTCCCGATCGGGCAGTCTGGTTGGTGTTCCTGAACCGCAGGTGCAGGCCAATCAGACGGCGTGTTGGTGGTATTTCTACCCGGTCTCCGGATACGGTATGTAACAGGAACGATCAGACAATTTGAAAGTTAACGATGGTCAACAGATGGGAGACTGGGAATTACCTTAATTAATTAATTCAATCATTATTAGGTAGATTAATGAGGTTCATCTTCGAGTAATGTTCTGGAAGCGAGGACTAGAAGGTGCATGCATGGTTCTCCCGTCGATAGTAATTCCTCTGGATTGTGGACCGAACCAAACGAGGCAAATCACAACAATTCCGCTAAATCCTCCTTACCACGTGTGGCGGCCTGGAGGGTTCCGGAATGTAATTGGCATTTTCCCCATGTACGGTCGACGTAATGATGACAGCTCGCTCTTCATAGACGATGGGCTGTCGCAGAATCCTACACGGTCTGTAGATAGAAGACCTCTTCTTCATATTATAGATAGACTCTTCCCATCTCCTCACAGACTACTCTTGTGAGCCCCGTACAAACTTACTCTGTATATCGCACGAGGGACTTAATCTCCCCTTCGGCCGCTGTCTCGCGCTGAACGACCCTAACCTAATTGCACTTAGAACAGTGGGGCCCTCCAGTCTTGGGAGGTCGAGCCCACCTCCTGTGAGGGAGGCTTGTTAGCTTTGAGGTTGGTTTGCCCCTGAATCTCCTGCTCAAAAGGTTCTCGAGCCTCTTGGGGAGAAAAAAAGATTCACGACCGCAAGGTGGATTCCATACAGGAATCGAAAATTTAAAAAAACGGTACACGAAAAAAAAAGTTCGAGGTCCTGGCGACATCTTCCCTTCAACGTCTCCGATACGCGTGACAGTGTACACGCTCATAAGCTGTCCATTGACTGATTGAGATTGCTGGATCAGTCTGCGTGTTTCGCAAGTCGCAGGCAGCAAAAGGCTCGCGCACCACAGCCATCGTCGTATCCGGTTCTTTGCTGGCCGATCGCCATCTTTCAATCAATCTTGCCTTGCGGCGCGGTCGTTCTCTCATTCTTTCCTCTTATCCATCTCTCTTGTCTTTTCTTTTCCGTCCGTCCTTGAGTGTCGGTCTGTCTCCATTGAATGCGCCGCATTGGTCGGACGCTGTGAGTCTTTACAACGACAAAAGTCGCGATTTCCCTGAACCAAATCGAGGGAATCATACCCACGCTCGTTGTGATTTTATTCCTCTCTTCGTTGGCCCATTCCTCTAGTAGAGCGGTTGGGTTGACCTTGACAACCACTTGCGGGGCTTGTGGTGTGCATTTCGTGATCGCTGTACAACGCGCGCGTTTGAGTGACACGGATTTTCTTCCCCAGTTGAAACCAATTGCGTGGTTAAGTGTTTGACCAGGTCGGTGTCAGTCGCGGAATCATCCCGATTGATCCCAGTCGCAAGAGAGCGGACGAACTGTATAGTCCGGTAGAGATTGGTGCGGCGTCCTAGAAGCAATTCTGCCCAAGCCTGTAAGTTGTCACCTGTTTGCTGATTGGGATGGGGAGAGACCTGCATGCAGCGGGGTGCTGTAGGGGACTCGACTCGACTCGACTTGACGCCGGATGGTCTGAGAAAGCGGATGCTAACCCGAACCCTCTGGGAAATGAATATCAGGCAAGAGATTACTTCATAATCGAACCATTCTCGAACGTTGGCGAAAAAAGGGGTCATTTCGTGGGTAGACGCAGCAATCTATATCTGAGACAACCGTCATCTCCAGCGAACCCCACTTTCAGTCGCAGCAGTGTTACAGGATTCTATTATGGCAACCGCCTCGTCCAGACCCCGGACCCCCGGGCACTCCCAACAACCCGAGCCGGCGGCTGCAGTCACGGAGAACGGCAACAACAACCGCCGCACGAGCTCCTCCCTCGCCTTCCTCCGCCGTTCCAAGTCTACCGAACCGTTGGGCGAGAGGAAGCCGTCCGCCAGCAAGAGCAAGAAGAAACAGGCGATGGAAGAAGAGCTCCGTCGTCAACGCGAAGCTTCCATGCCCAAACAGCCTCCTCGCCTTCCTGACCTGTCCCCCACCCCCGTGCTTGAAACCTTTGGAGGCGACGAACGTGTGGACAGTCTCGCCGCCCTCTCCAGCCCCTCCAACCCGCATCAAATCCCGTCGCGTAGCGCCATGAGTACTCCCGTCGCCAACGATTATGATCCATACGCCCGCACGGAGAGTATGACCCACCGTGGACGCTTCAGCTATGCCAGCAGCGCTGTCAGCACTGTGAACAGTCCCCGCCGACTGCGCCGTCGCAAGGACCCCACCCCATACAAGTGAGTTTGAACGTGTTTCCGAGTTTACGTTGATCTGATCTGCATTGATGCTGAGACTGCGCGATATTAGTATCCTGGTGATCGGTGCGCGCAATTCGGGCAAGACCTCGTTCCTCAATTTCCTTCGCAAGTCGCTCGCCTTGCCGCCGCATAAGCATCCTTCTCGCGCTCCTGAGGAAGTCGAGTACTATGATCGCCATTCCCCCGCCAACGAGGGTTACACCTCTCATTATCTCGAAACAGAAATCGACGGCGAGCGCATCGGATTGACCCTCTGGGACTCCCAGGGTCTCGAGCGCAACATCGTCGATATCCAGCTGCGTGGCGTGACTGGTTTCCTGGAGAGTAAGTTCGAGGAGACCCTAAACGAGGAAATGAAGGTGATCCGCTCCCCCGGTGTCCGCGACACCCACATCCACTGCACGTTCCTGATCCTCGACCCTGTCCGCCTCGATGAGAATATCGCCGCCGCCGAACGCGCAGCCCAAGGAAACCCCAAGGCGTCCGACTCCCCTGTCATCGGCATTCTGGATGAGAACCTGGATATTCAGGTGCTCCGGACCGTCCTCGGCAAGACCACCGTGGTGCCTGTTATCAGCAAAGCCGATACCATCACGACCGCTCACATGTCGTACTTGAGAAAGGCCGTGTGGGACAGCCTCAAGAAGGCCAACATCGACCCTCTCGAGGTCCTTACCCTGGAAGAGCAGGAGGAAGAGTACAGCTCGTCGGAGAGCGCGGACGAGGAGGAGGAAAAGAAACCCGATGTGCCGGAGACGGTGAAGGAAGAGGAGGGCGCGGAATCCCCCCAGGATGAGTCCACCGAGCAGAATGGAGACGTCCCGCCCCCCGCCTCCCCGTCTACACGAAGCCAAGCGTCTGGAGGCCCTGCTTCTCACCAGAACCTGCCCTTCTCCATCCTGTCGCCCGACCCGCACTCCCTCGAGGCTGGAGACGAACCCGTTGGTCGCAAGTTCCCGTGGGGCTTTGCGGATCCGTACAACCCCGAGCACTGTGACTTCCTCAAGCTGAAGGACTCAGTGTTCAGCGACTGGCGCTCGGAACTGCGTGAGGCGAGCCGGGTGATCTGGTACGAGCGCTGGAGAACCAGCCGGTTGAATCGCCATGGTCCGGCCGCGGTGCCTCAGAAAAAGGTGTACAGTGGGCGCATGGGACCGATGGATGGCCGCCGCATGCGGTAGAAGTCTTCTGATGCTTACTACTTCTTGATCCTGCATATACCCGCTGCACAGCTTTCGACTCTTCTGTTTGAATACCCTGGTGTTTTGGGCCGTCCCACACATTCATCTTGTCTCTCCGGTTCTCATCCGCCTCTCGGATTCTACGTCCTTTACTCGTTGGTTGGTGGATTGAGGATGGTTGGACGCGATGAAGAAGGGAAGGAGATCCTGGAAATCTGGCGGAATGCGTTCCTTTACCGCGAGTTGTGTTTTACTTCAATTTGTATTGTTCTCTTTCGAATCTGTCGAGACTCCTGCGCTCCCTGTTCTCGCAAGCAGGGGTAGCTCGCTGGCAGTCCTGCTGGGCGGAGTTCTCTCTTATACCACCTTATGTTTTCTGTGATATCACTGTGCTGTCTCGGCGTCTTTTCACCCCTTATCTTAACTTCCCCCTACCCTTTTTTGTTTTCGCTTCGTCATTATCCTGTATTTTGCCAAAGTCTTGAGATCGGGTATTGCCTGACCCATACTGTCCTCGGATAATACCTACAGATATGGGTGAATGTCAGTTGTCTTTGTTTCTGGCGTTAGTACGGCCCACATTATTAATATTGGCAACATTTCAGCTTTCGCGATCGGTTTCGTGTCGGCACTCGGACTTAACAGAAGGCTTAGCGTACTCCGTAGTGCTGCAGAGGTGGCTGGCGCGTGCTGACGGCCAGTGACAGCCGGGGAATTCCCACCAAGGCTGAACGAAGTGGACCAGCGGCCCCTGTTCGTTCTGCCAGCAGATCCAATGGAGCCCTGTGGAGAGGGGCGGCGATACGAGGAGGGGGAGCTGGACGGGCTGCAACTGAGCCTGTGTGCCTGCTGATGCGGCTCAATTGGCGGTCTCCCTCTGATTGATTTTACAGCTGCATGGAGGGTACTTGACGGTACCAGCAGGTACAAGGGACCACATACTTTTACCCATAGTCGGCCAGGTACCTCGAAGGCACATGAAGTCGCCGAACGACTGATCATCCTGCCGCTCATCACCCGAACGAGCTGAAAAACAAACCTCCCAACTCGTGCGACGCCGCGGTACTCTCCTCCCCTCTCTCCCCTTGTGTGCGGATGACTATTTCCTTTCCTCCTCCTTCCCTTCGTCATCCTCATTTTATTCTTCCCAGTGCATGAAAGCTGTGTGCTAATCGAGAAGCTCTTAGTCTCCATTCTCAATCCTCCATTCCTTGCGACATCGACCCCTCGACTAACGTCGCATTTGGCTCATCCCTTCCATGTCACTCCAGGTCGGCGACCCACGGTCGCGTGGTCGTTCCAAGTCTCCGAGCGGGCGTATCCGCGAGCGTTCCAGATCTCGCGACCCCCAGGCCTCCCCCGCCGTCGAGGCCACCCGACAAGCAACACGGTCGTACCTGGTTGCCGAACACGCGGACAAGTATGGTCGCTCGCGGTCCAGAAGCAGAGGCGCCAGTTCACGTCGCACCTATCGCGACGACAACCTGTCTGCCTCCGATTCGGACCACGAGCCCCGGCGGGACGGCCGCTACCTGCGCACCGTCGAGCCCCAGGACGATCGCTACTACCTGTCCGACTCTGGGGCGAGAAAATCGACCCGAGATCCTCGTGAACGCCGGTCGGCTGACCTCCGCACGCCCAACCTCCGTCCCGCGCGATACGATATTCCATCCGACGACTCCTTGTCGGCGTCCGAGGATGAGGCGCTGGCGTACGGGGATGTACCCAGCGACCTAGAGCGCGGGTACTACGGGTACAAAGCCTCGCCGCGCTCCTCGTCCTCGCGCATCGACAGCTCGAACCCGGTCATGTCGGGCGCTTACAATGGCGCCCCTGGGAGTCATCCCAGCAATGCCCGTCCAGAGGGGCCCAAGTATGCCACCCCTTCGCAGTATCTGCACCAGCCCAACTATACCGGTCCGCCCACGTCGGCGGCACACTCGTCAGCCTGGGCGCCCATTCCGGAGTGTGAGCGACCGGGCTTCGTGCCTCCGTCCTCCCAGGCAGAGGGTCAATCGGCCATGCCGGGTGCGTTTCCTTCGACCCATCCCGAGGCGATGCCCGTCTCTGGAGCGCCAGTGTACCCTGGGTCGCAGTATGTGACGGCAGACGGGCAACCTGGTGCGTATGCTGTCTGGGATGGAAGACAGTATGTACCGACAAGCGGCGCCTACGTTCCACCCGTGACCCTGGCATCCGCCCACCAGCGGACGGTGTCGAGCGACGCCTCGGGGCATATTGCCTATGCCAACCCCCCTGCGTTCCAGTATGCGCAAGTCGACCCGAAAGTGAAGTATGCGTCGAAGCCCTCGACGAAGCCTTCCTACTCTGCGACGCCCGTGCACTCGAGGACGGCCTCTGAGCCCCAGGCACAGTATCCCAATATCAAATATTCGGCCGCTCCGCAGTTCTCCGCCAAGCCAGCTTCGACTCGTTCGCATGACCCCGGCCCGCAGTATGTTGAAATCACTCCCGGAGGCCGGTCGGGGCGGCCGCACAGCATGTCGGTGTCGTCGGCCAACAATCTCTCGGTCGAAGCGCCGGACCCAAGCTTCCGCCCGGTCAGTCCTATGCTGGAGCCCTATAAGGGCACGTACCAGAGCATCTCACCGATGCCTTCTCCTATCGTCGGTCCTTCGAGGCTGGACGAGGATCTGTCGGACCTGGAGCCCCTGGACGCCAGCTCCGATGAGGCGCACAGGAAACATCGACGGAAGAAGACAAAGGACGACAAGGATCGCAAGGAGAAAAAGAGCGACCGAAGCAAGCGGGACTCGAGTCGGGTGCGACACGAGCGACACAGCTCCTCGTCATCACTGTCGCAGGTCCCCGGGCCAGAGTCCCTGATGGTGATCGCGCCTGGCAGCGCGCGAAAACGGGTGTCCTTCTACGATCCGACGCCCGATGCGACGGCCATGCAGGAAGCGCTGTCGCACAGCCGCAGCGTCGACAACAAAGCGCTCATCCGCGTGCTGCCCCACCTGACCAGCGACGAGATCCTGGACCTCCGCAAGGAGTACAAGAATCACGTGAAGCTGCGCGGGAAGGGCATCAACCTGGCCAAGCATATCCGCGTGAAGTTGGGCAACAACCCCTTTGGCAAGGTGTGCTACGCTACCGCGCTGGGCCGCTGGGAGTCCGAGGCCTTTTGGGCCAACTGCTACTACCAGTCGAGCACGTCCCGGCGGGAGCTGCTGATCGAGTCGCTCTTCGGCCGCACCAGCGAGGAGATCCGCGAGATCAAGGCGTGCTTCCGCGACTCGCGGTACATGGACAGTCTGGAGAAGTGCATGAAGGCCGAGCTCAAGGCGGACAAGTTCCGCACCGCCGTGCTGCTGGCGCTGGAGGAGACCCGGCCCAGCGAGCGCGATCCGATCAACGAGGAGCTCGTGCAACGGGATGTGGTTGAGCTGCATCGCGCGTTGGTGTCCCGGCACGGAGGCGAGACTGCCATGATTTGCATCATCGTGCGTCGCAGCGATGCGCATCTGCGGGAGGTGCTCCGCACGTATGAGAAAATCTACCAGCAAAACTTTGCGCGGGCCATGATCGCCAAGTCGCAGAACCTAGTGGTATGTCTTACTCTGGGAGGATGGTTGGTTTTATACCGTGGAATGGTGAGGCTAACATGATGTAGGGTGAAACACTGGCGCACATTCTGAACGGCGTGATCAACCGGCCAATGCGCGACGCGCTGCTTCTCCACCAGGCGCTCCGCGAGTCCAAGAGCGGCAAGGAACGATCAGAGCTGCTGATTTCCCGGCTCGTGCGATTCCACTGGGAACCGCGTCATCTGGAACAGGTGAAGGTCGAGTTCCGACGACGGTACAAGCAGCGGCTAGAGGAGGCGATTGCCGAGGAGATTCTCCCGATTCCTGGCGGAAGCGAATGGGGAGAGTTTTGTATTGAGTTGGCGCAGAGCTCCAAGACGCTTGCCGGGAAGGCTTAATATTGTTCTTTCTTTCTTTCTTTCTTTCGGTTTCGTTTCTGCTCATGAGTTACGACTGGGAGGGATTCTGTTGGACGGTGGAGGCTACTGGTTGTTGTATCTAATAGCGGTAGAAGTGCAATGTATGTATGTATGATGTATGTCAATCAACTTCTAGAAGACATCTTGTCTCCCAACATGCAAGGATCAGACTGCATGGGTTTATACCCGACTGTCCCCCTGTCCCTCTGTCCGACACTATTGAACTCTCGGTCCTCCGCTGCGTCTGTGCGGGATGCACGATCTGTATGTCTCTGCGCGACTGACGTGGATGTCTCGAGATCCATTCGCGCCCGACTCCGTCCCCGCTGAGATCGAGACTTGTCGACTCGCAACCGAGGGCAAAAGCAATATGACGGAGGAAGTCGGTACCTGCGTGGAAGAATCAGCTGCAGTGCAACCGGGGTTTAGGATGATCACCAGATCTTCTCCAACTGTCTGTCTATGGTTCTATGCCTCGGCTGTGGGGTAGGCTCGGAAACTTACTCTTGTTGCTTCCTCACTTGGTGGCATCAAAGTCACTCCCATCACGACCCTTGCGGATTTTGCCCTGCACCGGTCGACCCTTCCCCATTACTGTTTGTCCTGGTGAAGACGATGACGGTGAAAGTGAGTGAGGGTCACACTGCAGCTGTCCAGACCTGTCTTTTTCACTACCCCGTTGCTTAGGAACTAGCCGTCGACATGGGCTCACATGATGGCATCACAGAGATCGGTCACACCAGTGACTTGGTTGAAATGCTGGCTCTTGGTGGGAAATTCCATTCTCTGTGGATACTACAGTCTCATCTGGAGGAGAGAGAGATGAATGAGTGAAGGCTGTTCTATACGGAGTCTCCCTTCTACATCTGTGTCTGCAGTTATCTTCACCATGCCTTCCTGTTCGGGGTATTCACTGGCTGGTGCTGCTGCTGTCTATAAAAGAGCGCCTTCTGAGCCCTCGTCTGCTTCTCTTCCTCTCTTCCTCACCTCGTTTCACCCGTTCATCTCTGCTCTCTTTGTCCATACCATTCTTTCTAGACGTCTCCCACTGTTGTGTACTTACGCTTCCATCATCCTTATCCTTATTGATCCTTCGATATCTTTCTTCCCCCACAGGTGAGCCACCAAGTCATATGCTTCCAAACAGTGGCTGACGCCTCGTGCCCTATGCTCAGGTGGATCATCGACAAGCCCTAGTGCTCCCTTGGCTTGATCGCTTGGTGCTTGGCTCCAACTCCCTCTGGTCAAGCAAGTGGCCTTGGTGCCCTTGCACGGGTACGTCTGATCACTCTCCAGTCCTTCTTCCTCCCTCCTCTCCCCAGATTGAGTCTGGTCGGGCCTATTGCAGGCAGTCCGGCTCCGAACTCCGTCTGTGGGTTCATCTGTGGCGCGTCAGACGACGACGCATTCCTAAAAAGTCCCTATCATGCGTGCATTCCTGCCGTGTTCTCTCCGTTTTCTTCTCCATCCCCATACCGCTTGGCTGACCTCTCTTATAGGTCTGGAGCCCTGCACATTCCGATCCCTGTCTTCGGTGCGTGGCCTGCCAAAGTATTTAAGCAGTCCTAACATTCCAGTCGCATTGCAGAATTCTTTGATCGACACTCGACACGCTCGGTCATCTTCAATCGCTCGCTGTCTCCGTGAAAGTCCTTCCGGAAACGGTAATCCGCTTGGTGCCTCTTTTAAAGGTGCTTCTGTCTGGGCTGAATCGTGTTTCAACAAGCTTCGGTCTTCGTCATGTTGGTCTTTCAGTTGTTGGCCTTCTTAGTTGCCTTCCTGGTCTCTGGATCGGGGGCCGTCTCTAGCTTTATCCCCGCTAGACCTCCCGCGATCCCTCTCGCTGTCAAATCCCCTTATCTGAGTACCTGGTTGCGTGCTGGTAGCGATGGCGGCAATGGTGGTTATCTCGCTGGTGAATGGCCGACTTTCTGGGCGTGAGTATCCATTATCGTTCGTCGTCTGCAATTGGGATGTTTCTGATGTTTGCAGTTCTCAGATCACAGGCTGGGCCGGTATGGTCCGTGTTGATGGTAATGTTTATACCTGGATGGGTATCCCGGGTTCTGCGACTGTGAACCAGACTGCCTTTGAATACACCTCTACCAAGAGCATCTTCACCATGGAGGTCAACAATGCCATCCAGATGAATGTGACATTCCTCTCGCCTGTCACTCCGGACGACTTGCGCAGACAATCCCTGGTGTTTTCCTACGTGCATGTCGACGTCTCGTCTCTTGATGGCAAACCTCATGACGTTCAGATCTACTCGGACATTTCGGCTGGTAAGTTGTCTTTTGGCATGCCCCGGTATGCATATCTAACGGAGTGCAGAATGGGCCTCTGGTAATCGAAATGCTATTGCCCAATGGGACTATGGTGTCACCAATGGCGGCGTGGCTTACCACAAAGTCTGGCGTCAGACTCCGCTGCTCTTTTCAGAAAATTCCGATCAGGCTGAATGGGGTGATTGGTACTGGGCTACGGATAACCGCGATGGACTCACTTTCCAGTCTGGTGCCGATGTCGATGTCCGCGGGGCGTTCGCCAAAACCGGGGCGCTTCCCAATACCAAAGATTTCAACTTCCGCGCTATCCAGAACAACTGGCCGGTCTTTGGCTTTGCACAGAATCTTGGCTCCGTGTCTGAGTCTGCTAGTACGCTTTTCACCATTGGTCTGGCCCAGGATCAGGCTGTCCAGTACAACGGCACTGCGAATGGCTTAACCTCTATGGCTCCTCTTTGGAAAGATTTCTTCAGCACCGCTTTGGATGCGGTAAGTTTGCTCTCTTTGCGACTGGGCCATGGCTAATTGTATAGCTCGACTTCTTCCACCATGACTATGAGGAATCTGAGAGTATCTGTACGGACCTCGACCAACGCATCGCTACTGATTCTTTGAAAGCCGCTGGCCAGAACTATCTGACCATTACGTCTCTCACCGTTCGCCAGGCGTTTGGCGCTGTTCAGCTGTGTGGTACTTCGGGGAATGAGTACTTGTTCCTGAAGGAGATCTCCTCCAATGGCAACATGAATACTGTGGACGTGATCTTCCCCGCGTACCCCATCTTCCTGTACACCAACCCCCAGCTGTTGACGTTTCTCCTGAAGCCGCACTTTGAGATTCAGGAGGGTGGACTGTATCCCAACAAGTATTCTATGCACGATATTGGCAGCCACTTTCCCAATGCTACCGGGCACGGGGATGGCAAGGACGAGGAGATGCCTTTGGAAGAGTGTGGAAACATGATCATCATGGCTCTCGCTTATCACCACGTTGCAGATGATGCTGGTGCATACATCCAACAGCATTACCAGATCCTGAACCAGTGGGCCTCATATCTCATTCAATACGCCCTGTACCCTGCCGAGCAGTTGTCGACTGATGACTTTGCTGGAAGGATGACGTGAGTGCTCCTCTGAAATGCCACAGGATTTGACTGACAGAACAGCAACCAAACCAACTTGGCCTTGAAAGGGATCATCGGCATTGAAGCGATGTCTTCCATCAGCTCCATTGCTAAGCAAGACGTGGATGCGCAGAACTACACTGCTGTCGCTCACAGCTACATCGACCAATGGCAGCAGCTGGCAATCGACAAGACAGCCAATCCACCGCATATGACTTTGAACTATACAAGCTCGTCGACTTACAGTATGTTTCTACCGCCATCTCGATGACAGGATGCTGACAGGTATAGGCTTGTTGTACAATCTCTATGCTGACCGTCAGTTGGGTCTGGGGCTGGTTCCCCAGTCGGTGTACGACATGCAGGACAAGTTCTATCCCACCGTGAAGGAGAAATATGGCGTCCCACTCGACACTAGAGGCACCTACACCAAGGGTATGTTGACTCCTCTGCAGCGGCGACCACCTACTGACGATTATAGCCGATTGGGAATTGTTCGTCGCAGCGATTTCGTCCCCCAGCACTCGCGACATGTTCCTTGAACTCATCGTCAAATGGATCAACGAGACCCCTACTAGCGGCGCGCTGACTGATCTCTATTCTACCACCAATGGAGATTACCCTGCAGGCATAACTCATTTCATTGCCCGTCCGGTCATGGGCGGTTCCTTTGCACAGTTGCTTCTGGAGGAGTATTAGATGGGTTGATATGTCGAGGTGCTGGTCACTCGGTTTACGTTATCCATACCATCTCGGTTATCCTTACGACGGACATTTTTAAACTGTCTATGACGCCTTGATGGCCGACTGCACATATTTTTCCTGTACTTAGTATGGATAGACTTGAACATGATGGTTTTGCACATGATGGTTCACTATGCTCTTCGTAGTCTCGTACATTGCGTATATACTGTGTCGTCGTGATCATGTCTTTGGTATATGGTGTAGCCTTTACAGATCATGCTCGATTTCGGTATTGGCTCCATCGAACGCGCGAATCAAATCTAGATTATTAGCACCGCTCGACGTACGGGGGAGGAGACTCACCATAGTACAGCATCATGGCTTCCAGATGCACATCAATCGCCAAGCGCTCATCTACGGTATGGACATTCAACGCGCCGCCCTGACGCGACGGACTCCACCGATAGATATTCCGCGACAGATTCCAATAGAACCGCGTGTCGGTATTACCCGTCATGATATCGCCCGTGACGACAACGGTCTTGCCCTGCAAGCTGGGCACCGACTCGAACACCGAGCGTGCCACGCCGGCGAACCGCGCCCAGGTCTCGCTGGAGAGATCGGTCGGGCTCACCGGGGCCGGAAGAAGCGCGTCACTAAGCGTCGAGAGCACGAGAGTATTCGCCGCGTTGCCGTCATTATCGCCCGGTATGAACATGGCCTTCTCCTCGTCGGACGGGAACGCCACCAGCGTCAGATTATACTTGTCCGCAATCGGCGTAATCAACCGCACGGCCCGCTCCTGCACCTCAGCCGGCGTCTGATGCAGCGCCACGCGGTAATTCATCAACGCCGACACCTTCTCCGGCAGCGCGTTCGACTTGACGCCGCCGTGGATGAGGTCCGCCGCCTGCGACGTCTGCAGCGTGAAGCGCACGGCGTTGCCGCGCGACGACGCCAGCTGCTCCGCCAGCGCGACGTGGTCGCCCGACGCCAGCGCCGACGCCAGCCACGGCTCCACGGCGCCCGGCGAATGCGCCACCTGGCACTCGAGCTTCTTGCGGGCCGGATGGGCGTCGTCCAGGAGCGGGGTGAAGAGCTCCGTCCGCTCGAGCGTGTAGATGATCTCGGCGATGATCCCGATGCCGGTGTGCGCGGGCGGCACGCTGCTGTGCCCGCCAGCGATGCTGAGGTCGAGGGTCATGTCTATGCTGCCTTTTTCGCTGACGCCGGGGAGGGCATAGACCACGCCGTCATCCTGTCCCTCGCCCGTAAGAGTCTCGAGTCCCATGCCGCCCTCATCAAGCACGAATTCGAACGAGTCCGCGCCGAATTCCTCCTCCAGGAAGGACGCGATGGCGCCCGCGCCCAGGAACCCGTGCGACTCCTCGTCGAAGCCGAAGGCCAGCACGACGGTGCGCGTCGGCGTCCAGCCCTGCGCCAGCAGATCCTCGACGACCGACAGCAGGCCGATCAGCACGTTCTTGCAGTCGCTGGCGCCGCGGCCCCACAGCCACTCGCCGTCAAAGTGGCCGGCGAACGGCGGGTGCGTCCAGTCGGCGGCATCGTTGATGGGCACGACGTCCTGGTGGGCCGTGAAGAGGAGCGGCTTGGCGGGGGAGGTGCCGGTGAGGGTGAAGACGAGGCCGAGGCGGTTGATGTGGGAGAGGTTTGCGGTTGCATGACTATACTCATTTATTGGTATGCTTTTTAGGTGCATAGATGTTTGGGAGGGGCGTACGTGAGCGGAAATAAGTCCCGGAGCAGAGCCTGGAACTCGACAAACGGCGCAAAGCCCTCGTCCCACGGGTCGGTCATGTAGTCGTTGACGGTGGTGGGCACCTGCACGGCGCGCGAGAGGCGGTCAACCTGTTGCGTGCGGAGGCTTGCGTCTTTGACGAACTTGAGCGCGCTGTCTAGCCCGTCGTTTGGGGCGGGGACTTTGGGCGCCAGCGGGCAGATGTCCGCGATGTTGAAGCCGAGGGGGGTCTGCGGGATGGTGAAGGCTGTGGACTGGGGGAGGAGGGCGAGGAGCCCGAGGGTGAAGCCGAGTCCTGCCATTGGGGTGGGTAGGTACATTTTGGCAGTGGATGGATGTGGTGGAGGAGAGTACTATGGTGCTAGTGTACTCGGGCGGACGTGGATGGGTTTATATGTGGGCGGCTATCGGCATGGCCGATGTTCTCCGCACGCACGCCATTGATAGCGGTTGGAGCCGCCGTACGTCCATGATGCATGAGTGTTTAGGTGTGTACTAGGAGTCTGTTAGTCAATTGTTTATTCTGTGTATTATATTTGGAGGAGACATGGCGTACCGTTGAGATGGTGTTGTCATTGACTGCATTGAGAGTGGAAGTGGCGGTGATTGTGGTGAGATTGTGGTGGTTGTGGTGGCTGATAAGAAAGAGGGAGAGTTGGAGCAGTTGGAGTCGATGAAGATAAAGTTGATGCATCCAGCCGGTCACGAGACCCGTCCTTACATCTACCAACTAATGTATCCTACTTACTCTCTTATGCCTTACTACTCCGAACTATTCTTCTTCCTGCTTCTTACTCCCCCCGTACTATTATTCTTCGGTTCGTCTCAGAAATCAATAGTCGGCGATCCAGTCGATCACTGACATCATCGGCATTCCCCAAACGAGCGAATCCGCCTGAAACATCCCCGATCGGCGTTCTCTGCCGTTTCAACTCGTTTTCGATGTGATGCATTCCAAGGGGTGACGCCGTTGGGCATGGTCCCTATTTAACAAGGGGGTGGGTGCCGGTGCTGGTGCTGGTCGAGTGTCGAGTGTGAGTGATCTCTGCCGTTGTCTCTCTTTCTACAAGCCATAGCGTCCTGTCAGGATATCACCTCACCTCCGCTCGTTTATACTACTCTGTACTTGTACATCACCATGAAGTCTTTCCTTCTGTTTCTCCCTCTCCTTGCGCCCTCCGCAGCCGCAACCGCCTGCTACAGCTCCCCCGGCCAGCTCGTCCCCTCGCTGCACTCCGCCTTCCAAACGCGCTCCCTCTGCCAGCACCACTGCTCCAAGACGAACCACTCCATCGCCGCCCTGCACAACGGCACCACCTGCTTCTGCGGCTCGCCCGCCGATCTTCCTCCGGACACAGCCAAACGGCCTCTATCTGAGTGTCACACCCCCTGTCCCGGCTATCCCACAGACACCTGTACCTACTCCCCCCTCGCCCCCATCCAAACACACAGAGAAACTGACTCACGACAGGCGGCGGCCCAATTGCCTGGACAATCCTCACCCCCGGCCTGCGCCGCCGCATCGATCCCGCCGCCGAGTCTGTCATCGTCACTGCCCCGGATACACACCCGGACGGCGCGCACCCGGACCCCCTCGCCTCGCTCAGCGTCAACCCCACCGTCGTGCAGACCGGCGTCCCGCTGCCTACCGGGAGTGCCGGCGCCATCGACGGGTACAAGACGGCGCCGATTCCGAATTCGATTCTGACGGCGCCCGAGGAGCCGGAGCCATCCACGGCCAAGACGCAAGCTACTGCTACTAGTATGGGGACCTCTGTCGCGGCGGCGCCGACTTCTACTATGACTACCACTGTTTCGTCGGCGGTTGTGGCGACAGGGTCGGCGGGTGCCACCTCTGGTACGGCGAGTCCATCGGCGAGCCCGTCCGGTGCGGCGGGGGGCTTGGTCGTGCCGGAGGGCGCGTTTGTAGGTGTCTTGTCGGTTGTGGTGGCTTTGTTGTATTAGTATGGGTGTACTTGGGTTGAATCGCTGGTCGATTGAGCTCATTACTTGGTGTACAGCCGGGACTTGCGCAATAGTGTATTAGTGTATTGCAAAGGAAGTAAACCAGAACTAATAAAATAACACCAGGGTATCATAATCAGCTACGCTATACTCCTACTCCGGAACGTTGATCCCAAGTCTCCTCAGCTGGTCGTAGTACTTCTTCCCCATCGTCACCTTGTCAAAATTTGGCGGAAGGGGTTGTCCCTCACTGCGAAGATCAGCTTCCGACACATCAGATGGAGGGTATAGAGAGCAGCATACCGGTAAAACTTCATCTTCAGATTCCGTGCCCGATCCTTCAACTGCACCTGGTTGCGGTCCTCGATGCTCAGCTCGTCCGGCATCAGCGGCTGGATCTCATTCTCCTTCTCAATCTTCGCCCATTTCACCCCGAACAGCCGCATCATCCGGATGAGCCGGTTATCCTCCTGCGGCAGCCAGCGCTTGCGGTCCGTTGTGGTGATGATTGACGATGCCGTGCTGGGTGGGGGCACCTCAACCCTGGGCGTCGAGCGCCGCGGACTCGGCTGTGTCGTGGGACCGGCCGTCGCCATGCCGTTGCGCAGCTGGCGCGCCGGCGAGTCCGAGTCCGTGTCGGGTTCGTCGCGGCGCAGGCGCTTGTGGCGCGATTGATCGGGTTTTTCGGCGCGGCGCCGGCGCACGTCGACGGCGCGTTCGTACCGCTCGAAGTCGTCCGAGTCGTCTCGTGGCCGCTTCCGCATGGGTGCCGTCGCTGGCGGCTCGCGGCGTCGCTCGACGCTGGCGTCTTGGCTGATGGGGGAGACGCGGTGCGCGGTGCTTTGGCGGGTCGATGAAGGCCGCGGGGGCGCCGGTGCTCCGGCTGCGGGCGTGGCTTTGGCGGCGGCCCAGAGTTCCCGCGTCGCTGGGGGTGGAGGCCCAAGCGTGGAGGTAGGTGCGCGTCCTCATGGGCCGGGCTTTGGGGATTTTTCGAAGCTGCGCTGGGTGGTGTCCGGGAGTATCAGCAGCTTCTCCCCGCAAAAGTTCAGACCACTAGAGCACAAAAGGGGTGTGCGGC